TCCGCCGTCATCCGGTGCGAGGCGAACTCGCGCGCGATCATGTCCTTGACCGTCTCGTAGGTGAGCGCCTTGTCGAGCAGGAGGGACGTGTACATGTTGGCGTGCTGCGGGTTGGGGGAGGCGGCGAGGGCGCGCATGGTGACCATCGCCTTCAGCTCGAGGTCCATCTTGTCGATGTCGTAGCCGGTAGAGGGGCGCAGCGACTGGACGCGCGTCATGGCCTCGTCGACGCGCGAGAGGAGGTCGGTGAGGGCGGTGGTGGCCTCAGCGTCGTCGCCCAGGTTGACGTCAAAGAAGTCAGAGAGCGCGGCAAAGCGCGTGCCGGCCTCCTGGATGTTGAAGGCGGTCTTCATCGCGTCGTAGAGGTCCTTGGGCGTGCTGCGCTTGTCCTTGAACTGCGGACGAAGCGGCTCCTCCATGGCAAGCCAAAGCTCGCCAGCAGCCTTCTCCAGGCGCTGCTCATACTCCTCCTGAGTGCGGTACTCCGCATCAGTGACCGCGCTGGCGTCCTTGGGCTTGGGCTTGGTGACAGTGCCCTTGGCATAGCGCCAGAGGCCCTTGCTGGACAGCCAGGGCTGGATCTCGCTGTCCCACCAGCTCCAGTTGAAGCGGGTGAGGATGGGGCGGCCGTCTGAGTCACGCTTCGACATGGCGCAAAAAGACGGTTGTTGGGGACGATCGAACGGGCGAAAGTGGACGAGAGTGGGGTCGACGTGTAGGGGAGAAGGGCGCGGAGTGACTAGAAGTTGTTTGGAGGGGAACGGACGCGAACTGCGTGCGCGACGGCGAATATGAGGGAGGGTGAAAATTTGCGGTGATCGGAGGTGCTGGACTTCGCACGGCGATAGCGGCGGTACTGGCGATTTTCGCGGAGCGCGGCTCGGGCACAAGGTAGGGGAGGGTCTTGCGCGTCGAATGCCGCTCGAGCGGAGGGAATCGCAGCTGGTACGCGCGCACAGCGGCGAGTTTGAGTCGCGGTGTAGAACTGGCTGATTGGGGCAGCTAGAGCGCGGGGCTCATAACCTGTCCGAGGTAGAATCGAGCCAGTGATCACACTAGAGCGACAGCAAACGAGTCAGTATCATATTCAGCAGTACAGAACGCATAACTACGCACCTAGAGCGACAGCAAACGAGTCAGGAAGAGAAAAGACTCGGATGCGCCGCTCTAGGCAGGAGGGCACGGCAAATGCCGAGGAAATATGTGGCGCTCGGCAATAAGGCGCGAGCGCAGAGATATGACTGTAGGTAAGCGTACAGTACCGGGAAAAAGTCCGTAAAATCGCAGAAAAATACCATAGGCGCTAGAGAGCGCGTAGACACCAATTCCAACAATATATGCTGCCGCTTAAATAAGCTCCGGCGGCTAAATAAGCTCTGGTGGCTAATAAGCGTCGGAGCCTAAATAAGCGCCGGAGCCTAAATAGGTGTCGGACGACTAATAGGCGTCGGAGACTAAATAAGCATTGGAGACTAAATAAGCATCACAGCTTAATATGTGTTGGAGTTTGAGTGTTGGACAACTCATAAGTGTCAGACAGCTAAATAAGCATCTGCAGCTCATCAGCTGTTTCCTCTCTTAAGGCAAAGGTAATGTGAGCCCAGAACAGTAAATATAACTTGTTGCATTGGGTGAGCAGTCAAACTGCCACCTCAACACTCCAGTCTAAGCATGAGTCCAGGATGTAGGTATAGCACAGATAAACAATGGTCCTGGAATAATTGCCTTTTTGGGATTTGCGGACAACGCAGTGTCTGCAAATCCCAAAAAGGAAGGAGGATTCATGCACCTTTAGCTGTGCCAGTTATTATAATGTCATTAAGAAGACACTTATATGTGTATTTTGAGAACAGGCAGGGCTACATTACAAAACATGCTGATGGATTGTTGAGGTTTTCAGCCTCGTGGGCCGGTCCAGCTTATAGGGCAGGGGTCGCTGGCACAGGCTTGACTGGGATGTGGGTGCGGTGTGGCTCAGAAATGTGTGGGGCATGGCCTGCAGCGCCTCATCCCCTTGCTCGTCTGGCCTCTCACCCAACACATGTCCATCACACTGTGCGTGAGATGATGTTGCATCACTATTGTCATTGTCGTGATGTACCGTGCTCGCTGCCGCACGCGGCACTGGCAACACTGTGATGGTGTGCTCAAAGAGTGAAAGAGAAAAATGTATATGTAAGTTGTATATACTATACAACACGTAATAAAACACTTTGCCCGTTAGAAGGAGGGAGGGGAAAGGAGGGGGAAGGGGAAAGGGCACACGCAGGTGGCAATATTCTTTGGCCGATCGCGGAAGGCAGCCTTGCCGTAACGTGACCGTTACTGGTCACGTTCCTCGACTATATAAGGCAGGCTTTGTCCTATTGTAGATACTTACTCTTGTACCTTACGCTCACCTGCTATACACGGCCGTCATCTGTTAGCTTGCCTGACCCCCTTCAGCTCACCTTTCAGTGAAGACAACTCGCGTCACCTTACACTTGCAAGGGGGGGCGGTATCCAAGTGCAATCACGGCATGTGCGTTCTGTGTATGTGTGCAACCTCTTCTCCCCAAAGTAGGGGAAGAAGCATGCTACACGCTCACACTCAGTGTCGTGATCGGGCACGCTTGGCAAACTGAGCACACCGTCAATCACCGTGCTTTAGCGAGCATGTATGACGTAGCGTGCACACCCTGCAGAGCAAAATGATGTGACACGCGTGCATCACGTAGGCAGAAGGAAGGGGCGGGGGGAGTGGGGAGGCCTGTCGTTGGCTTGGTCTGGGCAGCATGACATGTTTTGGGCCGTGACAGCAGCACGTCTGCTGCTTTTGGTGGGCAAAGCAGAGGGTATCAAACAAGAGGAAGAGGGGTATGGTGACAGCAAGGGCAAGGGGGTGACAAGCAAGGCATTGTGTCAACGATCAATCTTTGTTTGTGTTGTTATATTGATCACACGTGCTTCCGCGAAGGCATGCGTTGGCGGAGGCTACAAGGGAAAACCGTCCATGTCTCACTGCGGCAGAGGTGGCAGTGGCTGATCCCCCCTTTGTATTTTCAAACGACACACATCTCCAGGGACTTATCCTTGACAAAGAATACATACAAAATACAATAGATTAGTGAGATGTGCTGGTGGGAGGCATAGCAGACACACCTGAGAGCCCTTTGAGCCCCTGCACCACTCCAGTTGGGTGAGGATGATGTGGCTCGGTCATCACCAGGGTGTGATGCTGGTCGAGCGCAAGAGGCGGCGCAAGGGACATCACATCGTACTCGCACCGCATCACAGAGCATCCACGAGCAAGGGAGGATAATCAGTTGTTATTGTGGGAGTTCCGTGTGAGAAAAATCAATGTTCCATAGAGACTATACCTGAAAGTCACAAGATTGAGGCTGAGATGGGTGCTCAGGGAGTGGGAATATACCTAAACTATTCAAGGTCATCTAGTGGGCTTCATACAGTACATATTCTCATTTACTATGCTATGAGCACATATCAAAACCTTTAAAGTTACATGACACAATAGTACAGGTATATGCTCAGTGCTTACACTAAGCGCGTTGCGACATATTGTATGTATATATGTACATAAATAACATCATTTTCTACATTTTTATTGCCTACAATCGACCCCAACGCGTGCGCTGCGTGCAGCAGCAAGCGCAGCGATGTCAACAACAACAATGGCAATCATCAGCAAGAGCACATGGTACGGCAAGCAGGCCCGATGAGCCGTTGCATGGCCGCAAGCAAACGGTGGTGGGTGAGTGCGCTCGCGCTGATTGCTCATCCACGCCTCATGTGTCATAGAGAGGATCCTGCTGAGCCAGGCTGGCCCGCGCAGCCTAGGAGGCCGGTAAGCTACCAGTGAATTCCGACGGAAATCTCTTGTCTGTATTGCAAAGACTACATGCAGGCATGCAAGGGCGTGAGGCGAGCGACCTGCCCCGCATACTTGTGAGCCAATCCCAGCCACCCAATCAGACAGCTTGGAGGCCTGCCTGATGAGCCATGCCAGCACACGAGGCTGAAAACCTCAACAATCCATCAGCATGTTTTGTAATGTAGCCCTGCCTGTTCTCAAAATACACATATAAGTGTCTTCTTAATGACATTATAATAACTGGCACAGCTAAAGGTGCATGAATCCTCCTTCCTTTTTGGGATTTGCAGACACTGCGTTGTCCGCAAATCCCAAAAAGGCAATTATTCCAGGACCATTGTTTATCTGTGCTATACCTACATCCTGGACTCATGCTTAGACTGGAGTGTTGAGGTGGCAGTTTGACTGCTCACCCAATGCAACAAGTTATATTTACTGTTCTGGGCTCACATTACCTTTGCCTTAAGAGAGGAAACAGCTGATGAGCTGCAGATGCTTATTTAGCTGTCTGACACTTATGAGTTGTCCAACACTCAAACTCCAACACATATTAAGCTGTGATGCTTATTTAGTCTCCAATGCTTATTTAGTCTCCGACGCCTATTAGTCGTCCGACACCTATTTAGGCTCCGGCGCTTATTTAGGCTCCGACGCTTATTAGCCACCAGAGCTTATTTAGCCGCCGGAGCTTATTTAAGCGGCAGCATATATAGGTGGCAGCCTATATCTGGTTTAGATACTACTGGCACAGGAATCATGCTAGGCAAGCTTTATAAGCTACAAGATTTTAAGCAGCTGACTATTTAAGCAGCTGGCTATTTAGCAGGCTGGCTAAATGTTGGAGTTGGTGTGCTTGGACCATCCCAAAGGGGATACTTACCTATAGTCACGTATCACACTGTCACTCAACCTCGTCTCTGACCGTCATCTTGTGGACTGCTGTTTGTGTTTGTGCCCTCGCATCTCAACACTAAATAGCTGTTGCCTGTCCCTGGTATGTGTAAACCTTTCCTAGGTATACTATATACCCATATATGGTATGTAGAGCACAGGAGAATGTAATTTGAGGCTAAAAAATAGCTGCAGAAAATAAGCGTTTAAGCGTCGGAAGTCTTAGGCTCTTAGCATACTAATCGGACAAATCTTTATATGCTAAGTGCCCTACCCAAGCGGTACCCTGTAGTGCCGATTGGGGGAGCGGCTGAGTCTGGCGCCGGCCAGCGTAGTACGCGTGCTTTCCCTTTGCACGTTCCGGCAGGATCTCATTGATCTTGTTGAACAGCGGCCAGCCCCTGTTTCTGAACTTGTTGGCGGCGGTTCGGTACGTGGCCTCGAGCCCGTCGATGAACTCAATCCAAAGAGTCTTGTTGGTGTCATCGATGTTGGCACCATTCTGAACTGAGTACGTCCACCTGGACCTCTTCTTGATCATATGTATCACGTAGCAGTTGACTCGAGCTGCTCAAAGTCAGGATCTGTGGGAATGCATGACAATCGAAGTACATACTTCTCGGTATTTGGCCCTCACATGCTTTGCTGTCTTCACCGCGCCGCGCTCGCGTAGGTGAGCGATAGCCTTCACGCAGCCACTGAAGACATCCTCAGGAAAGTTGCCGCCCTGCCCTGCCTTTGGTGGTGCGCACCACCGCTTCCAGATCCGGCATATGTGGTTGTGTTTGGTCCCCGCCATTAAGTTCATTTTGATTGTTCTCAAAGTTCGGCTTCGTAGTACCATACCACGTACAGTACCCGGTTCGTCTTGTAAGGGAAAGATTCGCAAAACGATAGCCCCAACACGGCTATCTCATTTTTGAATCAAAGTGGAAGCACATGAATATTCAAATGGGCTCTTCATGAAGGGTCCACACGGCGAGGCTTTTGCTTCGAGTACCGGCGGCAGACCGGTCAAGTGTAACGGAAATTCTCAAGAACTCTGCGGGACCAAGACGGGGGAAGCATGGACCGCCGAAGTAGTGCCCGGAGGCGGGCGATAGCCATGTACTTTGTGCGCCGCACAGTGGGGTGATGGCAGACCTGCCGATGCGGCCGTCTGCGTATTCCCCGTGGGATTGACCTTTTGCCCTCCTTTGGGGTGCTTGAGATGCCTCGACAGCATTTTACAAAACTGGGAGGGCGCGATTCAGCAAGATAGACGCGGAACGCGCATGGATTGTTACCCAGGCAGAGGCTTCGGGCAACCAAGACGCAGATCAAAAGCGGTGTGTAGGCGCAAACGCACTGTCCCACGGCCAAATTGTTTGTGTATCTCCTCGTCCAGTTCTTGGTGTATACTTTTCAAATAAAGTGCGATGGAAAGCTACGACTCGCCGCTACAATTTGATGCAGGCTTTTATTTTTTCCTATTTCTAATCAGGCAATACCGAATAGCGCAATTTGGGCATGCATTCATGCAGATCCGTCCCATCAAAATGTAGGTATGATCAGCCACTTTTCAATGGTATCCTTTACAAGACGCTACGAGAAGAATTGATGGAGGAGATAGAGATTCATTTGGGAATGACTTCCTTGGCGGGGCCAAACACGACCACATATGTCGGATCTGGAAGCGGTGGTGCGCACCACCACTGCCTTCGCTTTCTGCTCCTTAAAGTACTGTGCTGCCGCCTCCTCTGTCAGAAGTAGGGTATAGAGGGGCGAGTCTGCCTCCTCCCATGGGTGGACAGTTTGCCTCGCGTCCACGCTTTTGGTCCGCCTTCCTATTCGGGAAGAACTTTCCCACGCCGCTCCGGGGGCGTCCGTATTTATCCTTATCGTACATCTCTTTTCCCTCAGTCGCTATTCCACTAGCAGGAAGACTGAGGTCTTGCGCGTCCTGCGCTTCTTTAGCTCGTGAAAGGTTATGAGCCCCGTGGCCTAAATCGAGCAAGACTTTGATCTGCGACTCACTCTATCCCACTCTGCGCCATGGCTCCCAAGGACAGCAAGGTCCCGACGCTCACCGACGCGGCGGACTGGCCGCTCTGGCGCCTCCGGGTTACCGACGCCCTCAACAGGGACGATCTCACCTCCATGGTGACTGGGTCGGAGAAATCCCCTCCCCTTGAGATCGCGGTGACTCCACTGACGCCGACAACATCCTCTCCCCTGTCCATGTCACCCGGCGCTCCAGCGACCACCACCACATCCACAGGATCGGGCTCCTCCTCCACCACTCACCAAGTTGCACGGAGGGAGACCTGGTCTTGGCGGAACGCCCGCGCCCTCTCCACCATCCGGGAGCACCTCTCAAATGACATCGCCCTCGAGCTCCACGAGTACCAGCACGCGAGCGAACTCTGGGAGAAGCTCGTCGAGAAGTTTGAGCAGACCAACACCAGTGAGATGGCGGTCACCGAACTGATCAAGATCTTCCGCGCGAAGCTCGCCGATGCCGACGAAGGGGACGTCTCTTGCGAGGCGATGAGCGCGCACATCCACCGCGTTCGGCAGTTGGTCACCCAGCTTGCCACCCTCGGCTACCCCCTCAACGCCAACCTCGTCCCCCTCATCCTCCTCGCCTCCCTTCCCAGCTCGGAGAAGTGGAAGATTGTCTCGTCCGGCATCTCTGCGGGCAGCTCCAAGGCCGCACCCCTCACCTTCTCCTACGTCGAGGCGAAGCTGATGGCACAGGTGACCAGCAAGGAGGACTCGGATGATGAGCAGGCGTACACCGCCTCCTCTTCTCGCGCGCCCCCACCGCGCAAGCCCAAGGACAAGGGCAAGAAGAGGGCCAAGGCGAAGGTGACCTGCGTCATCCACGGCGAGGGGCACTCCCCCGAGGAGTGCAAGACGATCATTGGGCAGAAGGAGAAGGTGCAGAAGAAGCGGAAGGAGCGGGCAGCGGAGAAGGCAAAGGCGAATAAGGTGAAGGACTCGGACTCGAACTCGGACTCAGACTCGGATTCGGATGTAGACAACACACATGTAACCGTCTCGCACCGCGCCTACAAGAAGATCTCCGCCTATGTCCAGTCTGATCCTAAGCGACCGCAGCGGCACCAAGGTTCGCACATCGTCGATTCGGGTGCGTCAAAGACCATGACCCCCGACGAGCGCCTCTTCGACGACAGCACTTACCGTGTCCTTGACCTGCCACGCAACATCTACCTTGGGAATGAGTCCGTCATCAAGGCAGTAGGCATTGGCACCGCCTGCTTCGCCTCCAAGACGCCGAACGGTGTGCGCGCGCTGACTATCCGGAAGACACTGCATGTCCCCGACCTCGCGTTGACGCTCATCTCGGTGCCCCAGATCACCAAGCGTGGTCTGCACGTGTCAGCTGTGGCCGTAAGACATTTACAAAAGACCCCGACAATTGTCTGCGAGTCAATTGCAAAAGACGCGAGGCCCTTGTCGGCACTGCCACGGACCCCGGCCAGGTCGCCGGGGACCCGCCGACTCGCGCCCAATGCGGTAGGCGACCCCCCGGGCTCGCCGGTCGGGGTTCCCCGCCGCACGCGACGCGCGACGCGCGCATCGCGCTCGTCGGAATTGATGCGCGGGCGGCGACTTTTGATGCGCCGCTTTCTGCGCGTCGGTGGGTGGCTGTGCTATCACCGCGGCGACGTTGCAGCGCGTGCCGCCGCTGCCCCTTCTCCTCGTGAGTGCATGAGTAGCCACCTTATATATGCAGTACCTATTGATACACGAATAAACGCAATACGCGAGCTGGAACATTATAGTATGGAGAAAATGAATAGAAAGCGCCGCCGAAAATTTTCCGCGGCGCGGGGCAGCGCACTGCGTGGAGACAAGAGGGAGAGGGTTCGTAAAGGCATGCCTGGGGATGAGGAGGGGCTAATTGCACGTACCACGCACAGTAACGAGCCTGAACGGGCTCGTTGCTGAGGTGAGCTGGGGTGATCGGGAGGGGAGGGGAGTAGCTCCCAGGGTACGTGTAGTTGCGCGGTTGTCTTCCTCACGCGACGTGACGCATTGCGGGCGTGGGGGGCGGGGGTTGGGTCCGCGTTACGGTGAGGTAGCATCGGTTTCTGCTCGGCTGTTGAACGGGGCAGGCAGCAGCGAGATGGGCAAAATGCGCTGTTATGCACGTCGACCAAGAGCGGGTGAGTGCGGAAGACGTCACCGTCGCCTTTTACAACAATGCGACGGAGGGAGGGGGGTCATGGTGGGAGGTGGTGGTGGTGGTGGTGGTGGAGGCCAAGGGTGGTGGCCGATCACAAGCCTGCGAGCTCGATCGTGCTGGCGCGTTCGCGCCATCCCAGTTGCATATAACGTCAGTCAGAAAATGTCTTCTTGTAGGGAAAGGATACGCACCTGAATATATCCTCGGCGCGACGCGAGGGCGCCGCCGTTTCATATTCCTCCTCGCCAGTCATGACTGGCCTGAATTGCATGTACTGTAATTTCCATGAGGGGAGGGGGTAGATAAGGTGAGGGATCGTATAATGACATGATCAGAGGATTGAGAATGAGGTGAGGGAGAGGGGAGTGAGGGCACGAATGCTCAAGGAAGGTGGGTGGCGGGTGTCTTGATATTCGGGGCCGCGATTTCGTGTCTCGGGACCCCGCGGAAGTCGGTCCGGACGTCCGAGAGCCATCGTCGGCGTCGAGATCAGCTTCGGAAGCGTGCGGAAAAGCATTCGTGTATTGGAAAAGTGGATGTAAGGGAGGGGGGACATGTTTCGAATATTCGGTAGAAATTTGAACCATCATCTGTGCATAGAACACTAAGTTATAGTGCAAACATACAAGATTTGACCAAATTCTCGTACTATCGTTGCTATTGTGTACTATTGAGGGCAAGAAATATTATACGTCGTACATGCCAAGATGGAGTGCATCAGCACCTACAGAATGCACCTTGTTTGATGAAGATCTGTGCAGAACTGAGCTGTGAGCGCGCCAAAAGGTGGTTGATGGGAGCTTTGAGAAGGAAATGGTTGATTCTTCACAGAAGCCCATTGATAGTAAAGCTCTAGTTCTGACGGCTGTACACATCGGTACCCCTCCAAATTCGATATATCAGTCAATAAGCATGTATAGTCCGCTAATCTTCCCTTACTATACTGCCCGGTGTTCCTCGGTCTGAATCCGAGGCCGTCGACGTCGACGACGCCCATGCTCGGATATCGGACCGAGCACCCGGCCCGGCCTTCCGACGTGCCTGGCCGCGCGTTTCTTCTCTTCAACCACCACAACGTCACCCTTCCCGTCCTCTTGCTCCCCCTCCCGTCGCATCATCACCCATTTCCCTTCATTTACCTCCCCCTTTTACTCTATCACACGTTAATCCGCAACACCGCGTGCTCTCGATCGCGTTGATCACGCCTAGCAGCCCCAATATCAACGCACCCAACCACTGCGACGCGCGCCAACGCGCGTGAACTCCAGCTCAAGCGAGACAGACTGTGTGTAGAGGGTATTTGAGGTGCGTCCCTGCGCTCTGCGCCCCGGAAAAGCACTCACTTCCTTCAAATTTTCTTTTTTCAGCTTTATCTCAGAACGTCCCCCATCCTGCATCCAGCACGATGGGCGGACCTTTCGGCTATAACTACGCGCTCAACGCGAATTTCCTCCCCATCACCACCCTCCCACGTCCCCCTCCCCTCGTCGAGACGCGCGCCTTGTGCTAAGCACAGCCCGTTTGAGTACCCACCGCACCGGCAAATTCGCGGTTGCTGGGCTCAGTGCGGGGCGCAAAAATGGACGTTCCCAGGCCCTCGCGGCCTGGGCGAGGTGGTGGGATGCCGAGCATTGGCTCGGGCACGTACAGCTGCCCAGGCAGACGCGCATTGACAGACGCGCCATCGCGTGACAGCGCGACCTGTCACACGCGCGCCGCCATCCTCTACCCACCACTGATAGCCCTTCGGAAGACCCCCTTCATCATTGCTACCACCACCGCCTCCCTTGACCAACATCTCACATAAGACAGCAACAAGCGCGTGCTCGGCAAGGCGGGCTCTAGCATCCCCCCTCCCTCATCCCACCCTAGCAACCACCCCATAGCAACGAGCGCGAGAGGCTCGCAGGTAGCCGCCGCTGCCTGCGAGTACCCTCTTCCTCACTCCCCTTCCCCAGCACATTACGCATCTGCCTGCTACCTCCAGCACAGGATGCTCAATGCGTATCGTGCCGGCGAAGATCTTTGCCGGCGCTATTCTAATCATTTTTCCCGTCCCTCCCCCATTTCCACTTTTGTTCTACATACATTGTACTTTTTGTACGTATACAATCTATTTTTCTACTTCACGAGCGTGGATTAGCACGGACGAAGGCAGTGGCGGCGGCGGCGGCAACGCGTGTCGCGATGTCGGCGCGTCGATGGCACAGCCACCACTGCGCGGGCGGACGGCGCATCAGGAGCCGCCTCGCGCGTGCATCAATCCCGAGTGCGGGGCAGAGCGCGCGACGCGCATCGCGTGCGGCGGGTGACCCCGACAGGGGAGCCAATGTCCTATATATTTGACAACAGCCAATGGATATAACCAGACGATTTGATGTCAAAGGCGTGGATATAATCAGACCACTGGTTAACAAGACCGCACTAGGGTACTGGCGCCTGGGCGGGCGTCGGCTATTGCCGGGATGATAGGGTCGATATAAAAATGCGTTATTTAGCTTTATTTCTGGATATTGTGGCGGTATTTCCTGGGTCCGCGCATTGCCGGCCCCTCCGGCGGCGCGCGCGCACCTACCGGGCCTCCTGCCCGTACCCTGCGCTCCTACCTGCGATATATACCCTCCCCCTATACGCAGCGTTGCCGTCCCAGCTGATACCCCTTCGCATTCGACGCCGACGCTGCATTTGGCGGGGATAATCGCCTGCACAGCCACCGTGGCGGCATAGCAGCACAGCCACCGTCGTTGCCAATGCTGTCGGCAGCGCGCTGCTGCGCTTCGTGCTCCCCGCCTGGCATGCGCCTCCTCCCTCCCCTATGCATGTACCCGTCGCTCGCTATTTATCGCCCTCGTTGCCTCGCAATCTCGCTATACGACCAATATGCGGTCAGCACAGCCACCATCCTCTTCGCCTCCTCCCCCCGCCTCCCACCTCTTGCCTCCCCACCGCTTGGCTCTCCGCATACCCGCTCTCGGCACCTCAAACCTGCCCGAAAGACGTCAAAATCGGCACAGGCCCCATCCGCGCGTCGAGCGCACCTGTTGGATACGCGCCCAGCACAGCCACCCTCCCCGCCTCCCCGCCTCCCCGCCGCCGCCGCTGCCCTCGCTACGCGTTGCCTCCCTCAAACACCACGCATTTCAACCCTCTCAATAGCCTGAGTGCGTCCGCGGGGGCCGGGCAAGCTTGTAGAAGTCGGAAGCGCGCGTAATGGGTCCTCGGCGCTCGGGAAGCCTTGTTGCGGGCCCTCAACGCATTTCCCGGTACGTGGTCCGCACAACACTTATTCCGTGTACTTACGGAAAGCAATAGGGGCTCACGACTGCCTAGCAATCGCGACAGCGTACATTAGCCAGTACATTAGCCAGTACATACGTTGCTATCACCAGTACCCCTCAATACACCTCCCCATACGTCTATATGCTCTTTGTACATCACTATATCCATCGCGTAGCTCATAAAATACATCTGCCTGGCACGCGCCACCATCCCAACCCTCCCGCCGCATGTTGGCGAGCCCGCCCAGCAAATACTCGCAAGTCCCGATTGCCTGCCCTCAAGTCAGCCAGCACGTGACTTCATGTTCAACTTCGGACTTTCAGAACCATGTGGAAGATCAACAGCTAGCCAGTTAAAAGCCTACGTACATGACACGAGCGGGTAGATAGATAAGTCCCAAGAGCCCAGTATATGGTACAAAAATGACAAGATGCTCGCGCAGCACAACATCAGCAGTCGCGGGCTAGATGGTGATCTTCGCCTGTCTCGCATCTTCAGTCCTCGACGTTTTCGCATACCCACAGTACATCCTTCACGCAGCGAGCCCACGACGTCGGCGAGCGCTTTCCCAGTGCCAGGCCCCACCAACACAAGCACGCCACAGCAGACGCGAGCCCGTTCTGCCCGTGAACGGCAAGAACACCCCACTCGCCCCCCACTCCACCGCTGCGGTCCGGATAACCCTGCCTGTCGAGCTTGCACCACTCCGGCTGAAGCCCCGGCCACCACGCCCACATCTCCCGCTCGAAAACCGCGATCTCGGTGACGACAATGGGCTTCTTCGCGCGCCTTCCACCGTTGATCCAAGCGGACAGGAGGGTGGGCTTGGCCGCCGCGCCCGGCACCGTCAACGTCGCGCCTTTGTTCGGGTCGAAGTCGTGGCTGCCCTCACGAGCAGTCCAGGCGCGGAGCAAATGACAGTACTTGTAACGTGACTGTGACTAGTCACGTTCCTCGGCTATATAAGGCAGGCCTTGTCCCATTGTAGATACTCACTCTTGTACGCTACGCTCATCTGCTATACACCACGGCCGTCATCTGTCTCTTTGTCTGAGCTCTCGCCCTTTAGTGAAGGAAGGCTAGCGCCCCCCTTACACTTTTTTTTTGACATTTGACGGTTCGAACTCGCTCTACACGCTATCAACACGCGCTTGGCGTCGCTCATCACCGCCATCACTGATCTCGGCCTCGGCACACTCGCCCACTCGCCCACCCCCACCTCGGCTCAACTCGCCTTTGCCGGTTCTCGCTGTAAGCCCTCGACAAGCTGAGGCCTGCTCGACTCACCTTCGTCGCCGCCGCCGCTATGTCGCCGAGGAGAAGGATGAATCGGGAGGACTCGGAGGGCTCGCCCAACAGCTTGCCCACGACGGATTCGGGCGTCACACGCGCGCGGCATGCCTCCCACTGCCCTCGCCCACGCTCGCCGTCTCGCATGACGTGCTGGAGCTCGTGCTCGACCCCGCACGCGCACCCGCCAAGCCGCCGTTTCTGCCCCCGCTTAAGCCCTCGTCACAGGCCCGCGCGAGCTGCTCAAGATGCGGCGCGTTTGATCGTTCCCCATCCGCTCCCCGCCTTGACCCCCACCTCTGCCTAGTGCGCCGCCCACTTCGTCCTGGCCCCATCACTCCCTCTGCACGCGTCTGCGTCGCCCGCGCATGGATGCGCGTCCTCGCTCAAGCTCCCGCCCGAGGCCCGCGCGCGACACTCAAGATGCTACATTTCCGATCATCACCTGCCATTTCGGCGCCCGCTCTGCGTCTGCCTCGCACGTCGCTCACGTACCCCTGCCCTCCGCGTCTTCCCAACTGCCGCCGCCTCCAGCCGCTGGCGCGCCGCTGCGCATTCTCGCGCGCGGGCGCTTGCTGACTAATCCGGCCCCGCGGCCCGGCCCTCCGCTCGCGCTGTTCCGTCCGACTCTCGACGAGTCGGCGTCGCCCGCTCGAGCTGCCTACAGTATATTTCGCCTATCAACACCGCATGCCCTCTAATTTTGGCTACGCCTTGACGTCCTTGCCAATTCTCCGTCTGTCGGGTACCTCGTCCTCAATTACACTTGCCGTCGCCATATTTTGCTCGCCATCGAACTGCCATTTTCTCGGTTGCTCGTCTCGTTGCCTCGTCTCGCCTCGCCTTGCCTCGCTCGCTCGGTACTTCGGTGTTCTTGTTTATATGGCCTTGGTTCTTGTTTTTTTCGGACACTGGTGCTTGATTTTCGAGGGGTTGGGCGGGTGTAACGTGACTGTGACTAGTCACGTTCCTCGGCTATATAAGGCAGGCCTTGTCCCATTGTAGATACTCACTCTTGTACGCTACGCTCATCTGCTATACACCACGGCCGTCATCTGTCTCTTTGTCTGAGCTCTCGCCCTTTAGTGAAGGAAGGCTAGCGCCCCCTTACAGTACTCCTCGCCGAGGTCCGGCTGGTTCATGACGTTGAAGATGTTTTGGAACCACGGCTTGGCGGCGTCAGGGCACGTTGGTATGTCGTCCTCGTCCATGTTCGCCCCCGGATCCATGTCCTCCTCCTCCAGTTCCTCGTCCAGGAGGGCGGGCAAAGACTCCGCGTGCCGGTCGGTGGCCGAGGAGGGTGCCGAGGGCGCAGTCGAGCGAGGAGGCGACGCGCGAGGAGGCGACGCGCGAGGGGATGTCTGATGCGACGACGGGAACCCGGCAGAGGGCTTGTCGACGTCCATGTCGGCATCTGGATCGTCTTCTTCTTCCGCCATCTCCTCCGGCGTGAGATCGAGAGTTGGCACGAGGCGAGATAGCGCAGGAGGAGGGCCTCGTCGCGGGGGTGCCCGGCGTGCACCATCTCGGATAGCGGTCAGCTTGCCAGCAAGACCAACCGCCGTACCAGCCGGCGGGGATGTCGCTGCCGACGCGGTTGTCGCCGCCGCCGCCGCTGCCGACGTGGTTGTCGCTGCCGACGGTGATGTCGCTGCCGACGTGGTTGCCGCAGTTGGCGTGGTTGTCGGCGCAGGCGGTGGAGTCGAGGTCGCTGGCTCGGTCGTCGCAGGTGCAGGCAGGGAGGTAGACGACGTAGAAGCAGCAGGCGGCGTAAGCGCCGGACGCGCGGGCGGGGCAGCCCCAGTAGTCACAGCGGCCTCCGGTGTCGACGTTGACAAGCCTGACGAGGCCCATCAGCATCAAGCCCGATACGGATGCAAGGTAACATACCTTTCTTCGCCTTTGGCGCCTTCCCGGCGTTCTTCTTGCCCTGCGAAGCGGACGTGGAGGCCTTCGAGCGAGTCTGAACTCCATCTTCGTCGGGCTGGAGCTTCTTCTTCTTCTTCTTGCTGCCTTGCGTCTCCTCGTCCGAGTCCACGTAGTCGTCGTCCGAGTCCACGTTAAGCGCCGCCTCCATCTCCTCGTCGTACTCCTTGGTCCGATCTCGCACGAAGCCCTGATCATCGACGTAGTGGTTCTCCGTCCATGCCAGGGAGCGCGCTGTACGCGAGGACGGTTCCATGTAGCGAATGAAGTCGAGATACGCCTGGAACTCCCAGGCAAGTCGACGATAGCCCTCGTTCTTGCGCGGCGGATCGCTGGATTTGTACGTCTCCGCAGGGCACCGGACGTCGAACGCGCCGCGTGGCTTTAGCTGCGCAGGCTCGGGTGGCGTGGTAGGAGTCGCGGTAGGAGTCGCGGCTGGCTTGGACGACGACTTGGACTGCTCGCCCGCAGTCTTCGTCTGCGACTTGGTCTTCTTCGCGGGAGCGGCGGTGGCGGAGGCCTTGCCTTTGGCGGTCTTTGACTTCGAGGGAGCGGCAGCCTTCGCTTGAGCAGCGGCGGGCTTCGCTTTGGTCGACGCGCGTTTCCGCTTTTTCGACGTCGCGGTCGGCTCCTCGTCGGACTCAGAGCCGGAGCCATCAGAGTCGTCGTCGCTGTCGCTGAACTCAGGGAGGGGCATAAGGGAGTCGAGATCGAGGGGCAGGTGGACGTCTTCAAGAGCGGCCGCGTCACAGTCAGCTTGAGCTGCAAGACTGTCAGAAAGGGGGCACAGGGTCGAACGTAGCATACGCACTATAGCACGTCTTGACGAACTTAAGGAACTGGTCCTTCGCGATCGCCAGGCCTTCCGGATCGAAGTCCATCCAGGACTGACCCGCGAGATTGGTGCCGGCGAAGATCGAGTATGCGGTTATCTCACCTTGTGCAGCCGGGATAGGACCGCCGAATAGGCTGGCGCCGACCAAGCCCGTGTACCCTTGCTGACCGCGCATGATGTTCCTGGTGAACGCAGGAAGAGCGTTAATGGCTCTGAGCGTCGGTCAGACCATGAAGTATATGCACAAGGGGGAGCAACGTACTTCTGCCGAGCTGCCGGCGCTACCGAGGGACCCTCCGAACGCAGCTTATCGTACTCGGCGCGGACAGCGTCGCCCTCCGCGATGGCGCGCTCGAGGTACGCCTCCTGCTCCGAGACGGGCAGCGCCTCGTATTGCGCGCTAACTATCCTACCGCGGAACTGTGCAGACTGCTTGATGTTCGGCGCGCGCGTGCCCTCAAGCAGCTGCTTCTTCCACTCGGCTTCGTAGGCGGACTGCAGCGCGTCGTGGTTCTCGTGCTGGTACTGCTGCGGGCCAGTCCGACGTCTCGGGCGGCGCTCGAAGCCACTGAGAGTGAGAAGGAGGTTGGCGAGGGGGTTTTTCTGATAGTTGAAGGAGACATGAGGGGAGATGAGAAGAGCGCTCGAGCGGTATTTCATGTACAGGCGCAAGCGCTGTCACACGCATGAGCGACATCACCACGCGAGCTCAATGATCACATACCATATTGAGCCAGTCCATGTGCAAGAGAGCCACCTCCTTCTCGTCCTCTGTCAGGCCGACCGTAACATCAACGATCACGTTCGGGTCGTATGGGCGATATACTGCGTGATACTCGTGGTGGTCTTCGAGCCAAAGAGGGAAGTACGTATGATACTGGTTGCAGATATCGGCCATGACGCGTCGCTTGGAGATGTGCCCGCGCTGGCGTGCCGACGTGTAGCGGTCGACGTTGGGCAGCAAGACGCGTTCCTCGCAACATCCTTCAGCCCAGCCCTTGTTGTTCAAGCGATCTTCCTTCGCCTTCTTCTTATTCTTCCCCATTCTGTCGCCTGTGTCAGCGACGCGCTGTAGATCATGGGGAGGGTCGTGCCAAAAGCTCACCTTCAGAGCCTTCAAAGAGCGAGGTACGTTGACTGGTGCGCGTGCGATAGCTGACGGAAACGCAGCTGAGAGGGAAGACAAGGAGCAGACGAGACGTTTGCGCGAAGGCAAGTGCCACCCTTATTTGCGAGAGTCTGGCTAATTTGCGCATCTCTTCCGTGTCGCTGGCGGCTTTGCGAGGATCCGCGTCGGAGGGTCCTAATGCGCTCCCGAGGCATTCACACTAATGACTTCGGACGACAAGTTCGGAATACTTCAACTACTACATACACGCGAAACGCTCGAGAAGTACTCTAAACTTATCTGTTCTCCCTGCAGTCACTGACCACGCTCGGAGCAGAATGTTATGTAGCGAAGCAAGCGCTGCAATAATTGTGAGTTCTTGATAGGGTGACCATAAATTTCTACTGACCTGGTTCACAGCCGCGACGTCAAGGGCGGCCGCTGCCCTCTCGGGCGAGCCCCTCGGGACCCCCGCGGGAACGTCAAGGATGACGTTCGGGTCACACGGGAGACACGCGGCATAGTCCGCGTCGCTACAGGCTACCCATGTAGGGAAGCGCGAGCGATATTCGTTGCAGATGTCGTCCATAATCGAGCGTTCAGAGTCGCGTGCGCGCCGCTCAACGTGTACGATGTCCCCTATGGCGCCCTCCGCCCGACCGTTCTTGCGGCGCCCCTTCGCCTTCTTCGTATTAGGCATACTACGAGGCGCGTCAACAGCTCGTCCAGTCCAACACTACCTTTCAACCCTAACTGACCTTGAATTTACGCACGCGCTGACGCAATTATACTGAATAATGGCAACGAGGGACGTCGTGCAAAGGCATGCACCACTTTTATCTTACGAGACTCTGGTTAAATGACCCATCCACACTCGGCAGCTTCTGCAAACGATCCGCGCTTTGGCAGCTTCCCAGCTCCGCGGCACCCGCTCATGTACCGCCCAAGGGCGACCACTTCGGCGATCAACCCTGCTATATACATCCCAAACGCGCGATACACCGGCATCCGAACTTCTCTCTCGCCAACCGCCCTCCCAAGCTATGTCTTCGCAATGTACGCCTCTTCCCTCCCCTCCCCTCCCCTATCTGACTGGCACACAGCGAACACCGACGCTGGCCTCGGGCTCGACGCTGTCGCGCCCGGATCCAATGTCTCTACGTCGATTGCGCCTAGCTCGGCGCCCCCCGCTGCTCAGCCCCCCGCTAGCGTCGCTTCTGCAGCGTCCTACGACAGCGATAGCTCGGACGACATCGACATCATCATGGACCACATCCACGGCGCACCCGCCGTCGCCGCTCCTCAGCCGGTGGCTGCGTACGCCGCCCTCGTTCCTGCCAACATGCCCCCTCTGCCCGGGATGGTTGGCGGCGGCCCAGCGGGCATCTTCGGCCCCGTTGTCGTCACCGATCCCGCCGTCAACCAGGTCGGGCAAGGCTACGTCGTGACCCCGGATCACGACCTCCATCTGCCGACGTACTTCTGGCCTCCCGGGCCTAAGTACTACGCTGTGACGAGGGGCCGCTATGTTGGTGTTTTCAACAGCTCGTATGTGCACTCCTGCCTTCGCATCGTCCGTTGCTAATTTCCCTGCAGCGCGCTGTTTACGATGGCTATCTGTGGGGTGTCGTCCCCCGTGTCGCGCGCCACGCGTGACCTTCAGGATGCGCTCGACTTCTTCAACGCCGCGCGCCGCGCGAACATGCTCGAGATCACGGGCTAGGTAATTTGATTTTTTTTGCTCGCTTTGCCTCTTCAGCGCGCTTATCATGCCACGCAGGCGACGCGTATCCGCCTCGTAGTCTACCGCACGCCTCTCGTCGTGCCGCGCGTCCCGTCCACTGTACATTACAATCTGTTGCCTGTATGCCGTTCACTCGTTAATCCCAAAAAAAACATCGTGGCTTGCAAAAATGACATCCCGCTCAGTTGCACGTCTCTACAAAAAAAAAGGGACTCGGACAAATCCTCGCGTACCCAGTGAGCTCTCGGTACGTGCCGCGACCGTTATGGAGCATCCAATCGCTGAAAATGAACTTGCAGACGGGGTTCTTTTGCGGCCGGCCTTCGGGCGCAATCTGCGCCTTCTAGTCACCTCGCGCACTGCGACTCATGCCAGGGACATCCGAAAAGGGTCGTACGCGCGTCTCGTGGACAGCGGCGGCGGACGAGAGTTCCGCCGCATTCTTCCACGTCGCGGGCAGAGCGCGGGATATTCCTGCTCGTGGCCGCTCTCAGGCCCTTTCCCTCCCCTCCTCCGCCCTCGAGCTCAGTCTTATAGTCCGCCTAGGCAGAGGCTCAAGCTCCTCTATCCCCTCCTCCACTTCCCATGGCCGACGAACTTGCTGAGAGTTTGCGCCGCCTCGAAATTGAGGGTGACGCGCCACCCCCTCCGTACTCTGTTTCTGCTTCTGCCGCTACAGATGTCCCTTTGATTGCGACCCCAACGCCGCTTCCGACCCGTGTATTGCCGCGAAGCGCGGGTCGTGCTCCAGATGCGCCTTCTGTTGCGACGACAGTCCAGCCGCCGCGCAATGTACCGGCAACCGGCGGGGGTCGGGGGCGATCCAAGCGAGGCTACGTCGTCTTCGTAGGCAAGCGATCGGGCGTCTACACGACGTGGTACGTAGCAGCTTCTTGAATTTACGATGATTTTCCCTAATTTGCGGCAGGACGGCGTGCAATGCGCAAGTCTACCGAGTGTCGCACAGCTTCCATCAGAGCTATCCGACGGTTGCCGAGGCGCGCGCGGCTTTTGAAGTGGCGCGCGCTTACGGACTGACCTTCTCTTGCGGCGAGGGAGCCATCGCGGTCGACGGGCATATCAGAAGTGGATGCAAGGAGTGACCGACGGGTAGGGAGGTTGCGGATAGCAGGAGTGTCGGCAATAGATGATCGAATACGACCCAGCGGTCGGATGGCAGCAGCAAGGAGGGAAGGCAAGCGACAGACCCGGTACAAAGCCCCGGGCAGGGCCTCAGAGGCCCCCCTCAGCGGCAAGCTGGAGGGGCTGGCGCGCCCAGCGGCAACGCCGAACACAGACACGGACCGAAGGCGACAACGCACGGACTAAAGAGTGTATAAGTGTGACTACTCGGTATATAAGGCGTGATCGCGTGACGTGACCGAGTGACTGCTAGAGTCGAGCTGTACAGAACAATAACCAACTCGTGACACTCCCACCCAGCGAGGACGGCAAGCAGGAACAATACATAAGTAAGTAACCATGCTGGAAAAGGGGCAAAAGAAACAAAAGCTCCCACCCGAAGGAAGAACGGTATAAAGGTCCTGCAAGCAAAAAGGAGAAAACAAAAAAGATGTCCTCACAGCCCAAAGAAAGACGTTACCAAACAAATCCTTCCAACGATCCGGCAGAGATGCCACGCAGCTCCCACCGAACCCGACGTAGGGCAGCAGCCAGGGGGCGCGCCATGCCAAACCACCCGGTAGAGTATGGGAAACTCCTTCCGGAAACGGACACTTGCCTTTTTGGTAAATCATGGCTGATTTACACAAAAGGAAATATCCCCGAGGGGCAAAGCAGGCGCGCCGCCAGGTGACCGCGCAAGTGAGATGCAAGTGGGCTCCCACCCAACTTGACAATCCACTAGCGGTTGCTCAACCGACGAAGGGAGCTACCGCGCAGGAGGGCCGCGTGTTGGCAAGCGGCGGCGGCGGCAAAGGGGACGACAGCGACCACTACGCACAAAGCGGCATCGTGCATCAGCAACGTGGCTCGCTAAGGAGGCGCAGAGCGGAGGGCTAGTCCTGGAGCACCAGACGCAAGGTGGAGATGATACTCAACACCGGATATGCGAGGTGGTGGCATGTCGACGAGGGCGCGCATACAGCAGCGACAAACCGCGACAATCAAGTCACAAGGCGCAGAGCGGAGGGTTAGTCCTGGAGCGCCGGAGTGCAGGCAAGAAGGCGGTGCCGGGCGACTGCATGCGGCGATGAGCGGCGAAGGTGAGCAGCGGCAGGTGGGTCATGTGATAGATGAACATGAACGTCACATGAGGGTCAGGTGACAGAGGGGGTGACCTTGGCAGTTGCAAGTCACATGGTGAGTGGCTGATCACATGGCAGGTGGCTGATCACATGTGGGGTGACTGTGGTGTGATGCGTGACAGGACAAAGGACGTGATTGGCTGGAGGAGGTGAAAAAACGAGGCAGGGCTGCCAGAGCACAGAGAGTGCGCATCCGGGGCTCATAACCTATCAGAAGTGGATGCAAGGAGTGACCGACGGGTAGGGAGGTTGCGGATAGCAGGAGCGTCGGCAATAGATGATCGAATACGACCCAGCGGTCGGATGGCAGCAGCAAGGAGGGAAGGCAAGCGACAGACCCGGTACAAAGCCCCGGGCAGGGCCTCAGAGGCCCCCCTCAGCGGCAAGCTGGAGGGGCTGGCGCGCCCAGCAGCAACGCCGAACACAGACACGGACCGAAGGCGACAACGCACGGACTAAAGAGTGTATAAGTGTGACTACTCGGTATATAAGGCGTGATCGCGTGACGTGACCGAGTGACTGCTAGAGTCGAGCTGTACAGAACAATAACCAACTCGTGACAGGGCAGACCTCTGCGACACCCGTGTCGCCGTCCGACCTCGTTCTATGTCTCGCGTTCCTGGACGACCCCACGAGCGTTGCCATCGCTCCTGCCGACAACGTGTGGCATGTCGTCTACAAGGGTGTTCAGCCGGGTGTCTATCGTTCATAGTGAGCTATCTCATTGCACCTCACTCGTTCATTGGGCGCTCACAATGTGTTATAGCGTCGAGGTCGGCATCATCACAACTGGGCTCGCCGATGCGCGCTATTGCAGCTTTAAGACGAGAGAGGAGGCTGTCGAGTCATTCACGAGTGCGCTGGAGCGGGGCGAAGTGTATCGTCTTTCTCGAGGATAGTTCAGTTACATTGAGGTCATTTATGCAATTATATGCCGTTCAATGCTTTCCATGCCTTCGTGATTATGCCCCAAGGCGCGGGCTACATGCTATAGGTCTTACGCAGGTCTGTACTTGAGAGAGGGAGCTCACGAATGCTCCCAAGCGCCGTGTGGCCTCTGCTTGAAGGTCGTCCTGTGGCTAAGTTCGAACGCGGACCGAGTATCCGATAGTCGCTCCTCGTCGTCGTCGACGGCGCACGCCACTCGCAGTATTCATGTGAGTGGGTCCGGATGCCACGGAACAAGGTGAGCTCATATCGCCGGGGGCACAGCAGGCGACACACCAGATCGCGATGATTCTCCAGAGCTGAAAGCATTCCGAGCGTCGATTGAGGTCGTCCGGCCTGCAAACTCACACCAAAAAGACCCACTCGCGTCGAGATCACTGCCTCTTGAGTATGTCAGCGAAATAGCGTACATCTTACCGAGTTGAGCTGTATCCATTTGGATGATTCAGGCAATTTGGAGCGATCCCGCCGATGTATCATGAAGGAAATGACTGAAAGGTCGGTGGACGGCGTCGAATGGATAGTACTGAACATGCTGCGCTCCGACGCACCTTTAACGAACGGCCGGCATTATGCGCCACCATCCCGTTTGTGTCATGCGCGCTTAGCCACTCAGTCATGCAGGACAAGTTGTTGATGCATGATATAGCTCAGCAACGGTGTGAGAACACTGAACAGCTGCGTGAACAAGAAATGGGAGGTCCAAATGTTGGACGAGTGCACCTGACACTCCGAGTCTAGTCGACTGCGCCACCGTCTGACATCAACCGGCGGCGGTTTGCGCAAGCCAATACATCATGCAGGTTGTTAGTAGATATGTATACATGAGCTCAAAGTAGCGGATACCTCCTAGATTGCATATTGGAAGCCAATAACGTCCTCTCGCGCTCTATATGGCCCAACCAGGCCGAACTTGATTTGTTGCATCCTCAAATTTTGTGGGTTTCGCCATGGTAATGCCAGCGCTGTACCGCAATAGCACAATGGTAGATAACGTCTCTTTGATCTTCTCCTGCCGGAGTACCCGACTACAGATAGGAGAAGCTCAAGGACGCGAGTGGGCTTAACCCCAGCGCCTGATCCACTCACACAATTCGCCCTCCGGAGCACACGGCAGCGCATTCATGGTTAAATAGATGACTTGCAGAGTACAAGGGCCGCTTCATGCTCGGATTCCTGCTCCAGGTCCAACGCTCAAGCAATTTTATTCAGAAAGAGGCTCTCCTCAGGAGCGCGGAGAATCCATGATCATTATAATGATCAGCCTTGGGCCCGTCGTGTTTCCCTACTAATAGTACATACGGCGCTTGCGAGTACAAAATCTGAGCGGCCAATATATGACAATGCTCGCAAACTCCAGCCGACCACCGCCCTCCCCATCTGAGTTCGACCAAGTTCAACTCTCACGTGATGCTCTTCGGCTTCAGCCGACACGCGAAACACGATTCGCGCCATGCTAGTCGGCCTTCTCTTCCAACTGTCATCTGCTCCCCTTTGCCCTCAGCCCTCAGCCCTCAAGACGCGCGTTCGTCCAATCTTTTTGCTATCTGAGCCTCCTCGATCTACTCTCTCTCTTGTTATAATGCCTCCCGCGTCCCCTCGTTACTTGTCTTCCTTTGGCGAAGACGACACAGATGTGTTGTCGTCGCCCTTCTTGACCGGCGGCGCCCTACCTATCAGCCGCACTCACTCCCCAATCGAAAATTGTCTCTTCGACGAAAACCCGCCCACCTACGACGACGTCTTCACTGCCATCTCCACCACTCCACCGGAGCATCTCGCGCGTCCCTCCTCCCCAGCTGGGGACTCCGACAAAGAGAATGAGTGGCCCGTGGCTGCCGCCGTCGAGCCGCACTCGCCCCGCAACTCCTTTTTGCGCGCGATCACTGTGACCAGCGAGCAAATGATCAAGTAGTCAGTATCTTTTCCTGGCCTATGGAGGCACGTCTGACCTAGCCCCATCGTTGTAGCCGACTGACGCGAGCGCTGAACGAGGGCCGCGAGCTGACCGTCCCCGAGATGGTAGAATGCCGCGTCATCTTCCTGGACGAGTCGTTCGAGTGAGTACCCCCAAAGTAACATTCAACCTCGGTCGCTTATCTAGCACAGGGCGGACCTTATGGTGTGGCGCACTCGCGCTTTAGGGTTCTGGTACATGCACGATCCCGAGGACGCGCTCAAGGAGCCGCAGGATCAGTGGTGGAAGATGACGGGGGAAGACTACAGGTATGGTGTCGTCCGTTTGTCGTGTTTTTGCTTACTTATGCATGCCCAGGCAATTCACGCGTCGCTTGACCCTGCCGCCCTTCTCGCCCCCGACCAAGCTGGTGCAGTACATGCCCCTTCCTCCACCTTCCAACCCGGATTTCACCATCGGCCCGCGCCCTGTCTTGGGGTCTGCGCTCGTTGAAGTCCTCCTCTCCGACCTGACGCCGCGGGACTTGGCGCACGCGACGGCGGGCTCGACGCTTCGTCCCGTACGTGGCAAGTGCGTACCATGCCATTTGCCATGCGTCCCGATCGATTTATTGACCACACCTTGCAGCACGTACAAGTTCATCGACTTCTATCCCGAGCTCGAACAGCCGATGACGTTCGAGGCTGCGTGTCGTGCGAACGGGTTAGGAACCCCCAAGATTTTGCGTCTGTCTGGCAAGGCGCCTGCCTGCGAACTTCCGCTGACGCCTCCCGTGCGCGACTTCCCGACGATGCTCGATGACAGTCCCGACCTTCCCGAGTTGGTGCCGGCGTTGTCCAGCCCATTTTCGAGTCCGTCGCCGTCGAGTACTCCGCGCACTCGGTCGTGGGGCAGCTCGTCGACGCTGTTCTCGTCGTCGCCGCTCCCCCCGTCCGAGTTTGAGTACGACTCCGGTGCCGAGCCCGCTAGCCCGACCCCTGCGCGCAATTGGAAGACTGGCCAGCGGGTTGAAGGACCTCGTGGTCGCTGGTATATGCCGTGAGTGACTTCAGCGCCATTCCTATCGCATATCTGACAAGATATTAGCTACCCTGATCGCTCTAGGATGCGAGAAATCCCGATTTCTGAGCTCCCGCGGGCGCGCGGACCTCCCTCTGAGCGTCCCCCTAGGCGTGCGGCGCATCCTGTGCGGCTCAGGGGCTGTACCATAACTTACGATCCGGCGTACAATTAGGCATGATGTACCATATTTCGTAGCTGCACTGTATCTGTCACGATTTCACCGCACCTTCGTGCGGTGAAAGCGTGACCGTTATCACCCTGCCGGATGTTCAACTTCGTCACATCGTCGGACCCGACGCGGGAGATGCCGCCGCGTGATTGACTTGTTTGTGCGTGTGTAAATTGACCCGTTTGCGGCAGGACTTGAGAACTTGTCGTTGACCATACTCACCGTGCATGCCATCCTCCTTCCCTCATCTCCCTGGACTGTCTCGGCACACTCAGCGTGCTCTTACCTTCGAAACGACTCTCTGATCTCCAATGGTGCCCTGCGAAATGTGTTTCCAGAAACAGGGTCGTGTTCCGCCAGCCACGCAACTCCCGCTTGTCGGCTGAAGGCATATGTGCCGCGGACGTATGCCTGGCGTGGGAAGACTGCCCAGTACGTGCCGCTTAGACGTTCGCGTCGATACGTGCGTTTTTGTTGACTGTTGATCAGGAACTCGGCCGCGAACGCTCCCAGCTAGTCATGTCTTCGCACAAGCCCGGCGCGCGTCGCAAGGATCGCGGCTTCGGTCACGACATGGATATGCGAACAAACCTCGCGGCTCACCCTCAGCATATTTCCTTCGTCCTCTCGCAAGACTCCAGGCGCATGAATAGCACCGCCGCGACTTTTCAGCTACCGACTGCGAAGAAGCCACGCAAAGCTGCAGATCTGAAGGCCCCTCACTCAGAATGGCGTCCAATCGAAGATTGCGACGAGGACGACATCGCGTTTCAATATCCCGGTGCCGACGCAGACGACCTCGAGCCGGACGAGGTTCATTGTGAGCCGGGGGACAAGCGGAAGCGTCAGGTGCGTCCATCTGGACTGCATGACCGGATCGGTGCTGATGGTAGAGACAGGCCGATCCCATGGACACCTGGAAGGCGTTCTCGGACCAGACATACCTGGACGAGATGATGTGGGGCGAAGGTCTTCGAAACTCGCTCGCGGACCCTCATTGCTCGACATGTCTCGACAAATACACGCCTCCCGATCCCGCGCGCCCCAACGTCATTCCAGCGTCGTCCCATCCGACTCCCGGTCACACAGATCGGCTCTTCTGCTGCTGGGAATGCGGCGATTTCAATGAGTGTCTCGACTGCTGCTTGGATCGACACCAGTGCATGCCCCTCCACACGATCGAGGTATGTTCGCCCCTCAGCGTCCGTCTGTCGTTGCTCATACCCCAAAGGAATGGACGGGTGAATACTGGTCAAAGGTGACCCTGTCGTCTATGGGGCTGGTCTATCAGTTAGGCCACGGAGGTCGCCCATGCCCTCGTCCCGAACCCGCGGTCCGGACCGTGACTGTCCTCGACTACGGGATACATACTGTTCGCCTGCGGTATTGCGGTTGTCGCTTAGGCCCAACGACCGAGCACGCCGTGCAGCTCCTCCGAAACCGATGGTATCCAGCGACAGCGACGAATCCGGAGACTTGCGCCACATTTGCGCTCTTGGACTGGTTTCGCCTGGCGTCGGTGCACGCAAATGTCAACACACATGGGCTTATCAAGGTCCTGGAGATGCGTACAGATCCACTCGGCTTGAAGAGCGTGCCAGTACGTTCTTACGAGGTGTACTCGGTGAATATCGAGCGCTAATCGGGCCCAGGACCGCGAAAAATCGCTCGGCAGAATGGGACGCCAATTTTCCTTTCTCCTGCGCATGAAGCGAGCCGGCATCGGGAACACGAAGAAGGGTATCAAGGGGACCAAGCCGGGCGAGCTCGCTATCCGATGCTGGGCATGCCCGCGCGTCGGCGTTAATCTGCCGCCGGACTGGCAGAATGTGGCGGCAGCGGAGATGTGGGTCTACTTCCTCGCGCACAGGCTCAAGGACATCACTCACCCCTCATAGGTACCGGTTTCGCACCATGCTCGCCGTCGACGCGAACTTCCGACTCAAGAATCGGATCAGGAAGAACGAGAACCGCGCGAGCGCCCTCGGCGAAGGGCTCGGCTACTTTGTGGCCACAGAACCATACAAGGACCATATAAGTGGTTACGTGAAGGAGAGCGATGTGAGTCTGAAGTTTGCCGGGCCCTCAACTAGCGCTGACCAGCTTTCTAGATCAGCTCGTGCATCGCTTTTGCAGCATTAGCAGAGAAGGACACCAAGATCACGAAGGGCCTGCGCGTGTCTGGCGTTGGCGGCGTCATCTGCGCACGCCACGAGTTGGTCCAGCCGCACGGGTTTGCAGATCTGCAGAAGGGCGAGCGGTACGTAGCTCACTTTCTCACTACTCAGGCTGAACTTACGCATTCCCAGGTACTGTAACATGGACTATGTCCTTTGCTCCGTCCTCAGCCAGATCGGCAGTGCACATACGACCTGCTCGTATGATATTGGTTGTCAATATATGACTAACTTCTACGAGCGCGTGAAGAAGCTCCCGGCGCACCTCCAACCCGACCCCCTCGCCGACCTCAGTTTCGGCCTGCTGGTCTGGCACGGCGCGATACACGAGGAGAGCTGTCGTTCGCGCAACTCGCTCAAGTATCACGATGGCGTGGGGCGCACCGATGGCGAGGGCATCGAGCGTATCTGGTCGCTCTTCAACGCGATATCCTACGCGACGAAGGAAATGGGGGAGGGGGCGCGGCATGATGCGATCGAGGACAAGTCCGACAGCGTCAACTTTGTTAAGAATATTCACCAATGTACGTTCGTATCGCGTCTTACACCCCTCATCTACTAACATGTACTAGACCCCACACTGCTGCGCAAGCTGGTCATCGCGCTGGACGAGCGCCAAGTTCAGATCGAGGCCTTCAAGGTCGTCAACGAGAACGTTGATCGGAGGCAGATCATGGTATGGGAGGCGGAGGTTCGCAATTGGCGCAAAGATCCGAGCTCGAAGAGTCCATTCGCCATGCCCACGGCTCGTACGTTGCCCTGCTCGTTGGTTCGATGTAATGAGCTCACGATTAGCAGAGGGCGTGTCCGAGGCTGAGGTCCGGCGAATGCTGGACTCTGAGGAGATGGAGGACGTCAAGCAGGGCCGCGCCGGAGTACATACAACCAGTCAGACAACATTTCTGACTGCAGGCTTCCAGTTGGAGGCTGCACAGTACGTTCTTTCGCTTATAGCGTGCAGGGGGATCGGTACTCACTATGAACAGGCGAAGGATCATGGCAGATCTTAATGGGCCCGCCGTCTTGCCCATGAATCTAGAAGGGCTCATCAACAATCGCCGTCGCGCCTTCCTCACGAAGAAGGACAATTTTGAGCAACTTCAGAAGCTCTACATGCCCGGCGCGCAGGCATGGATCGAATCTTCCGAAGCCGACTCTCAACGCGCTATCGACGCCGAGCAAATGAATCTCTACATGCCATCCGACCTGCCGAGCAACATCCGCCGCATGTCGTGCGCCGAGGGCTTGCCCGAGAAGGAGCTCAAGCTTCGGGTGGCTCAGGCTCGCGACTTCCTGGACGCCATTCGACGCAAACTACACGCTAAGCAGTATCACATCGTTTGGCGCAACGAGAACGCGACAGGGCAGAAGAAGTCAACTCGCGCGCGCCAGCTGTTGGAGACGTTGCAGAACAAGATCAACTTGGATGCTGTGGGCTATCGTCATGCGCGGGAAGCGATCCTCGCTCTGCGGGGAGTGTTGGATGCCCCCGACTTCCCCCCTCTTCTGGCTTCCGACCTGCGACTTGAAGGCGAAGAGGAGGAGCCGGACGCCGCCTCCATCTCCGCCATCGCGCGCGCCGGCCAAGTTAATCGTCCGCAGCATATACACGTATCGACAGGAACTCAGAGAATGTCCTGGATCTGGACTGCGACCGGCCTTCCCGACACCCAGAAGGATGCGAACGTCGTTGAAAGTAAGCCGCTACCTTGAGGATTGTCGCTGTGGGCTCATGTGCACTCTAGCTGTCCGTTGCCTCTGGGCCAAGGCATTGGCGCGCAAGGAGCGCTGGCAGGAAGAGGTCGTTATCCTGCAGGAGGAGATGCGACGCTGCCTGCGCAGCCTCGAGTCCGAGTCGCAGGCGTGGCGCACGCGAGCAGGCGTGGACATCGGCCGAGGGGTCGAGTACGCATCGGGCGTCCACGCGTACGGCATGCGCCACGCAGAACAGCGGTTGGCAATACGCAACCACTTCCTCGAGGGCTGGAACAAGCCCGTAGGCCGTGCGAAGCGCAAGATCTTCGAAGACCAGAGGCATTCTGGCGCGCTGGATGAGGATCTGGCAGCAAGTCTGGCCGCCGCTCGCGCCATGATGGAAGGAGGTGGGGTGGGGCCGGGGGAATCCTAGGCAATACGGGGTCGGGGGCTGAGTCGGGGGGAGGAGCGGGTGGCAGGCGGAGGCGGCGGCCGATGAAGATCCTGCGGGGCGGTTCACGCTCAGCATCAGCGCTGGCGCATCGTCAACATGCCAGCAGGGCATCGCGCATCGAAGATGACTGCGTGGCGCAACGCAACTCACCGCCCGCGCCCGGGAGGCGGACGGCATGAAGAGAGTCGAGACGGCCTGAGACTCGCGCGGGCTGACCTTCGAGGCTAAGCCCGACGCAGGCCATTAGGACTGAGGTAAGCCCCTACGCATCCCATATACGGACTGCGGAACCTTGCTGACATTTCCCTCAGTTGGCGGCAGCCGTACTCGCGGGCGACGGCACTAGTCGAAGACGCGCAGGGCGCCTGCGAGGGCAGGGGCGCATAGGGTGGGAGCAACATCGGGAGCGCACGCGAGCACTGCGGCGCCGCTCAAGTGAGAGAGTCGGCGCTCTGCCACGCAAGCGCCGGGGCACCGTAGCCTTGGTAAGTCTACACTACAGGCGTGCTTCGCTCGCCTCGCATCAACGGAACGCGCTTGACCCCTTGGAGAGGAACCGCGCGCGTATCTCGCCACTGCCACCTCCGCCGCAGTGAGACATGGAGAGATACGCGCGCGAATCTTCTGAATAAGGATGCGCGACGGTGCGAGGGGAGCCGGCCCGACGCTCGTCCCACCACCCTCATGTTGCTGACTTCACAACCCAGATGGGCTCGTCCAAGCTTTCTCGGGCGTCAAGGTTGCGCGACGGCAATGGTACGCAGGGGTCCAAGGCAACGAGGATGCGCGCGAGGGCGAGAGCGTGCGGCAGCAACGGGACGACACGGGAGGGGAGGGGAAGACGCGGACGCAGAGGCCGACGAGCTCGCGCATGAAGACGGGCGGGCAGGTGCGGGAAACGGAGTGCAGGCGCGACGGGCACAGGCGGAAAGTGGGGACGTGAAGCACGCGCGAGAGGCGGGGGCGAAGGCTGAAGGCGGAGAAGGACGCGCGCGGGGCGAGGGGACGAGGATCAGAGGAGTGCGCGTGAGGGCGTGCGCGCAGGAGGGAGAGCACACGCGCGGGGAGTGCGGATGGAGAGCACGCGCGCGAAAAGCGCAGGCGAGCGAAGCGCGCAGGCGGGCGAAGCGCGCAGGCGGGCGAGGCGCGCAGGCGGGCGAGGCGCGCAGGCGGGCGAGGCACGGCATGGAAGGCGAGAAGAGGGCATGGGCGGGAGAGCGCGCACGCAGGAGGGACAGCACGCGCGCGGGGAAGGAGTACGCGCGCGGGGAAGGAGTACGCACGCGGGGAAGGAGTACGCGCGCGAGGAGCCCAGGCCAGTGCAGAGATGAGGGGAGGGGAGGGGAGGGCAGGCACGGCGCGGAAGGCGAGAAGAGGGCATGGGCGGGTGGATGCGCAGGAGGGCGGAGGAGGCGCGCCAGCGAGCGAGCGGACCCCGCGAGGGCGGCGAGAGCGCTCGGGAAGGGAGCGCGCGCGATGAAGAGCGCACACAGGTGCCGGAACCTGAGCCACGCATCGCTGAGACCCGCAAGGCCGAGGAGCGCGGATACGACGAGGAAGACGCGCGCCGCCCCCATGCCAAGCAGCTCGACATCGACTCCCAGTGGACGCGCGCTGACCAAGAAGGGGCGAAGGCGGTACGCCTTGCAAGGACGTCGAACGCCGCGGTCGACAGGTCGGAGGTCGGAGAGCGCAGGGCGGCGGGACCGGCGGCAGGCAGCAGAGAAGCCGGACGCGACCGACGCGTACCATGGCCGGCCGCGAGGCTCAGCACCACAAGCGCAGCTAGGCTATCGACGCGTTCATCGGACGTAGCGGTGAAGAGTATGCAGCACACATTATCTGTGTAGGTCTTGACTGGCTGGACGGCCGCGAGGGGGCCAAAATTGGGCGAGCGGGGTGCCGGGGAGGGCGGCAAGGGTGCCGGAAGGGCGCCTGCGGCGCCGGAGCCCGCCCGCCGGCGCACCACAGTTATTAACCATTGAGCTATCGTAAATATCAGTCCCCGACCCTTAATATACATTAAATGAAGTTAAATAGACTCGAAAGTTCCCATGGGCCATTGGTTGTCTGGTTATATCCAGGGGATTTGCCTAAAAGTTGGCTGGAGGGGCCTTACCCAGAGTCTGGTTATATCCACTGTATTTGACAACGAATCGTCTGGTTATACCCAGGGCCATTGCACAAAGTATAGGACATGGGGTGCGACAGGCAAGCCTGGGGGGTTGCCTACCGCATTGGGCGCGAGCCGGCGGGTCCCCGGCGACCTGGCCGGGGCCTGTGGCAGTGCCGACAAAAGCATCGTGTCTTTTGCAATTCGCCGGCAGACAATTGCCGAGGTCTTTTCCAAATGACCTACGGCCACAGGTGCACGTGTCCTTTAAGGACAACGCCTGTACTATCTGCGACTCCTCCGGCGATACCGCCTGTGTCGCGACGCGCAAACACGGTCTCTATCACGTCGACTGCCAGCCCATCGGCACGGATGAGCGCGCCTTCACCGCCATCGACATCAACCGGCTGCACCAGATCATGGGCCATACAAACTTCGAGAGCCTGCGCAACATGGTCCGACATGGGCAGCTCGGGGAGGTCGACACGCTTACCGGCATTCCGTCCTTCTGTGAGCCCTGTGTCATGGGCAAGATGAAGAAGCTCCCCTTCAAGCGGAGCACCACGCCCGCCTCGTGCCCACTACAGTTCGTCTCCTGCGACGTTGGGGGCCCCGTCGACCCCGCTGCAATTGGCGGCTATCTCTACTGGATCGTCATTGTCTGCCACTACTCCTCGGGCATCTACACGCTCTTCACAAAGAAGAAGTCGGAGGTCTACAAGAAGCTCCGTCAGTGGCACATTGACATGGAGCATCAGCACCGCGACTCTATCGAGCAGTGGGAGTGGCTCCCCGGCTGGGTTGAGTTCACCGGCACAGACGGCGGTGGCGAGTTCTGCTCGAACAAGATGGAGGCCGAGTTCCGGCGACGCGGTATCATCCACGAGACGACGGCGCCCTACACACCTGAGCAGAACGGCATAGCGGAGCGTATGAACCAGACGCTGGTCACCCGGGCGATCGCTAACCTCTGCACGGCCAAGCTTCCCTGAAAGTACTGGATGTACGCGATGGAGTACGCTACCAATATGATCAATCTGTCGCCCGCTAGCCGCCAGAAGGGAGAACTGCCCATCAACCGCATGCGCAAGGTCAAGTGCCCTATTGACGTCCACGCCCTGCACCCCTTCGGTTGCCCCGCCTACCCGCTCATCCCAAAGAAGAAGCGGAAGGGCAAGTTCGCCGACCGCGCCCGCCGGTGCATCCTCATAGGCTACGCTTGGTCTGAGGGCACAAAGGCATACAAGCTCCTCGAGATCGCCACTCGGAAGGTCATCATCTCCCGGCACGTCAAGTTCGACGACACCTCCCCCTCTCCTGTCGAGATGTGCGCGGGCGAAGACAATGTGTCTGCCGAGCAGTGGGAGGACTTTGGCAAGTACTTCCGTCTGCCGCCCAAGGACACTCCTGCACCAGGTGCGGGCAGTGACAGGGAGGACGATGACGATGACGATGCGCCGGCCCAGCCACCTGCAGCCGGGTCAGTGGGAGCACCTCGTCCACCCACGCCAGAGCCAGTGGGAGATAATCGCCTGCCCTCACCTGACTCGGACGGGCCACCGCCTCCTCCGCGCCCACCTAAGACGCGCATACCGCGCCGATCTCTGCCACCAGCCACGCCACCGCCGGCTCCTGCCCCCACTGCTGGTCTATCGCGCCACCCTGGTCTTCGCAAGCCAGAAGAGCAAATAGCAAACCCGCACAAGGACCAGGGCTACATCAACGCTCGGGAGCGGCAGGAAAACCACCGGAAGGTGTCCGCCCAGCAGCGGAAGCAGCGCGAAGCGAACATCCGCATGCGCGAGCAGCAACTCGAGGAAAATCGCCGACGTCGAGAGCAGCCGCCTCAGGCAGAAGCTCCTCCTCCGCCTCCCGCACCAGCTCCTGAACCAGAACCTGCACCAGCGCCTACCCAGGGGGGTGGGGATCCCCCAGGTCAACCTGACGAAGAGGGCGAGTCTGTGAACTTTGCTTTTCTCAATGACGAACTCTTCGCGGGCGCAGCATCTGGTGGTCGGTCGAGCAGCGGCGCGCGGAAGATTCCCACCACCTGGAAGCAGGCCATGGCGAGTCCAGAGCGGGACAAGTGGTTGGACGCGCAGTCGGAGGAGTTGAACAGCTTCAAGCTGAACGACGTCTACAAGGAGGTACCCATCCCGGAGGGCGTCAAGCCGATTACCTCCAAGCATGTCTTCTCTTTGAAGGAGGATGCTCAAGGGAACATTGAGCGGTACAAGGTGCGCATCGTGGCACGCGGCTTCACTCAGCAGGAAGGAGTCGACTACCAGGACACCTTTGCGCCCGTCGCAAGCCTGGAGTCCATCCGCATCATCCTTGCCCTTGCCGTCCGCCTCGGCCTCTACACAGACCAGATGGACGTGAACACCGCCTACCTCAATGGTGAGCTGCTACAGACGCTCTACATGCTTCCCCCGACTGGTGTGGACATCCGGGAGGGCTACTGCTGGCGACTCAAGAAGTCGGTCTACAGCCTCAAGCAGGCCGGTCGCACGTGGAATCAGACGCTCCACAACAAGCTTGACAAGCTCGGGTTTGTGCGCCTCAACTCGGAGACTTGCCTCTACGTCTTCCGGGACGGTAAGCAGGTCTGCTTCCTCGTCGTCTACGTTGACGACCTACTCCTCGCCGCTACCTCGCGTCCTTTCATGGACAGCATCAAGAAGAAGCTCACCGCCTCCTTCAAGATGCGCGACTTGGGTCCCGCCAAGTACCTCCTGGGCATCGAGATCATCCGGCACCCGGGCAAGTGCACAATCTCCCTCTCCCAGAGGAAGTACATCGACACCGTGCTTGAGCGGTATGGCATGTCGGACTGCACGGGCGTCAGCACCCCCATGTCCACAAGTACTCGCATCTCCGCTGATGACCCTAACGACAACGAGGTGTGCACTCATATGGCCTTGGTCCCCGGAGGTCCCGTCGTCTCCTACCAGAGCGTAGTGGGCTCGCTCATGTACGGGATGATGGGCACCCGACCGGATACGGCCTATGTGGTGGGGGTTCTTGGCTGCTATAGCGCCGCCCCCAAGGCCTGCCATTGGGAACTGGCCAAGCGCGTCCTCCGGTACCTCAAGAAGACGCGCGACTGGTGCCTAGTCTACAACAGCGCTGACGCTGGCATGGACCTCGACTTCCATGGCTACACCGACGCTGACTGGGGCGGATGCAATGACACGTCCAAGTCTACCTCCGGCTTTGTGTTCATCTCAAGTCGGGGTGCCATTGGTTGGTCAAGCAAGCGACAGTCCATGGTCTCTCTCTCATCTACCAAGTCGGAGTACATTGGTCTAGCTAATGCTGGCCAGCACTTGGCGTGGCTCCGCTCATTCTTTGAGGAGTTGGGACGTCCGCAGGCCGGTGCCACCGAGCTTAGGTGCGACAACCGTGCGGCCATCATCCTCAGCCAGGATGCTCAGTTCCGGGCTTGGACCAAGCACATCCAGCGGAAGTACCACTACATCCGCGATGGGCTGGTTGCCACCGGCGAGTGCGTTGTCCTCTGGTACCCCACGGACGAGATGGTTGCAGACATCTTTACCAAGGCACTACCTCATGAGAAGCATCTCAAGTTCTGCCAAGGTATGGGTTTACGGCCAGACTCGAGTGGGAGTGTCAAAAGTAGGGTATAGAGGGGCGAGTCTGCCTCCTCCCATGGGTGGACGGTTTGCCTCGCGTCCACGCTTTTGGTCCGCCTTCCTATTCGGGAAGAACTTTCCCACGCCGCTCCGGGGGCGTCCGTATTTATCCTTATCGTACATCTCTTTTCCCTCAGTCACTATTCCACTAGCAGGAAGACTGAGGGTATGTTATCTCACTTACTATACTCATACTATTTACTGACTGTACTTTAGTCTTGCGCGTCCTGCGCTTCTTTAGCTCGTGAAATCCTCCTCCTCCGCAGTCCACAAGGCATTCTTCAACTCCTTGTCTTCTCCACGGCGCTCTGCCGCGTGCTTATCTCGAGTGAGCTGCGCCTTCCCAGGCATTGGATACGGAAGAAAGACGAAAAGCACGAATTCGGACTTGCCTCGAGGCAGGGCATAGACGCTGCATTTGACAGATTGGTGTCTCGAGTTTGTGGCAACTTGAAAAATCAGCAGCAAAAGAGAACACCTATATACTAGCATAGCATGGAATTTAAATACAGCTGGTAACAGTTTTATGTACTGTTGAGCTGACAGGAGAGGGCTGCTGGTCAGCGTTCGCCTTGCCCGCGCAGCGATTGTCGCTCGGGATCCGGAGGGATCACGTGGCGGCGTGATCGCCGGAACCACGTGCCCCTTGGCCGGCGTATCGGTGTGGTTTCGCAAGGTACGCCGTTTCGCATCAGTTTTGCATGCGGAACGGCGGTCACTGTACAGGCTCTAAGGATAAATACGGACACCCCTGGAGCGGCGTGGGAAAGTTCTCCAGAATAGGAAGGCGGACAAAAAGCGGGGACACGAGACAAACCATCCACCCATGGGAGGAGGCAGACTCACCCCTCTATACCCTACTTCTGACAAGAACTGACGAGGTGAACTCCCCCGAATTTGATGATTAGGATGAATAAATATCAGCTCTTATGCGTAACGACCAAGTCTTGTACAGCGGAAGGTTGTAATATGCACGTATAGTCCACAGTGCACGACCACCCAAGATACGCATGGATGCAATCACCCGTACAAAACAGGTGCAAATCTGCAGGTTGTCGTCGGGTAGCTACCACCCAAAAAGCACCCGGCTGACTTGGCATCCACAATTTCACTTGGTAAGCGGGTTGTCCCAGGATTACTTTAACCCGACTTTGGGTGCACAGTGATAGCTCCCAAGGTCCCCAGCTGCAGGGGCAAATACCTTGTGCTTTTTGGTCAGAAATGATGGTCCCACCCACAGAGGCAGTCGAGAAGTGGTGTTGCACTGTACACACAAGTCTGGTCACAGCTACGCACATGTCTCTGAAGTCATGATCATTACGAAACTGACACGTGAAAGTAAATGTTCGTTCTATGAACCAGGTAACGTGAATAGGCAAGGATAGGTACGCATGAAGTGAAAACGGCGAACAAGACACAAGTACATGACCAACGATCTCCTTAACAGGGCTTGAGTGAGATTCCACGTGTGATGACCAAACCCCTAAGCTACCCGTCGTATATCCTCGTCGGTCCGCACCTACACGCCAGCTATTTACTCAGCGGCAGCCGAGGTGGTCTCGGGCGACGTCGGGGCAACGACGCGAGAGGAGCTGATCTGCGCGAGCAGAGGCTTGAGGAACGTGATGTAGGTGGTCTGGGCACCCTGCAAATCACACAAAATCAGCATGGTGCAGTGGGCATAGGGAGAGCCTGAATAGCGGGAAGAAAGAGATACGTACCCGGAAGTAGGGAAGCTGAAGCCAGATGATGAAGAGGGTCTTGAAGGCGAAGTACCACGGGAAGTAGTAGAGGACGACGCGCAGAGCGAAGCTCTCGGTGAACGTGAAGAAGCCGAACACGACCCAGTACGTCAGCCACTGGATGTCGTCCTGCGCGCTCGGGCTCTCGATCGCCTTGAAGGAGAGGTACGCGGGGAGGGCCCAGCCGACCAGGTTCGATACCGGCGCCGCAAGGCTGTTGATGAGGTGCAGAGCGGCGAGGAGGGTAACGCTGCCGATGACGATATACGTTTTTGGAACTTGGGAACGCGCCTCAAGCGAGTTCAAGACGGGATACTTCGTCAACTGCAACACGAGTCAGAAAAAGAGCGCCTTCCGCGTGCCGGATGACGAGGCGCGCAGCACGCGATAGCGAGAAAAAATGCTATGCGGCGCGCCTCGCGCATCCCACGTCGCCAAAAACAGCGATACGCACCTCCTTGTCGAGCTGGCCAAGGTAGTACTGAGCCTTGACCTGCGCCTGCTGGACGGCGGGGTGCTGCTGGAGCTTGTCGGTGGCAGACATCTGCATATGGGAAAAAAGAGATATCAGCGAACGTTGAGCCTCTGGGACGGTAGGGGAAGGAGACCGCAAGCACCGACACTCACGATGATTGGCGTCGGGAAAGGTCGTGGATGGAAAATGGGCTGGTGGTCGTCGAGAGCAAGGAGGACGGGTTGCGTCGTGGCCTTGATATGACAAGGAATTTCCCACGATGTCGTTACGTCAGCGGCAACGCACGACGACGGCCTACGTAGCAGCGCCACAAAGTCGCGTTCCGTCCTGCTGCCATGGGGGAGTACGAATCCATACAGGTACGCCTCCGTCATCTTGGTGTCAGCTACTTCCTCTGACGATCCTCCCTAGGCTCTTCATAGGAACCTCCCGGCTTTTCAGCCATCCATTCCGGTCTCTCTGCTCCCGTACCTGGCATTCATTCTCTTGGGCTCAACGTTCGCTCTGACATTCTGGTTTTCTACGTGCGTGCCCAGCTCTGACAACATACACATGCGCTAACCACCACGGCAGTATGCCAAAGAATGTACCGCTGGAAATGACTGCGGCGTCCCTGGCAAGCGTGCTGGGCGGGTTTGGCGTCGTCGCCCTCTTCTGCACTGTTGGAGTATATGTGTAATCCGACCAGAGAATCGACCTTGGTCCAGTTCTAGTTGTTGACCCGCCACCCGTGCTTGCAAGACGCGCACTTTGCAACGGATTAATTCGGCGACCGAACGCGCACGTCGCTTTACGCACCGTATAGAAAATCGTGGACCCCTCGTCCGCGCTTCGGAGCTTCGATCTGGGTTGAGCAAACTCCCTTTTCCCAAAGTCACGATACATGCCTGCATCTCCTTCGAGTACGCTTGCATATGAGCGCAATTTGGACATTTCTCCGCGACCTGAGTGTACGTAGGTTAGACCAACCGCCCTATACGAGTTGTCCATATACGCACCAGAGTACCCTGATCCCCGGTTTCATGATGTTTTGTCTGTGTTTTCCGCTTCTGTCTGAGCGCGGACGGGAATGCGTCTGGATGTGACCTTGTCGTAATTTCGATGTCTTCATACGCTGGAAACCCAGTCAATTTGAGCAAGTACGATCGAGGTGGGTCATTCACAAGTTGCAGGCTCTTCATGTCCGCACTGCTCGCATTCGACTACGCGTTCGCCATCTCGAGGAATGTTGAGAAGCGTCCCGCAGAAGGGGCAGAATAGTAGGGAACCTGCCAATACTCAGTAGAGTACACACATACAGCATGTTGCCCGCGCACCGATCTTCTCTGCCTTGATCATTTTAGCGTATTCAATCTGAAGGCAAGGGGATATGTGAGGGAAGGAGGTGGATATACGAGAGGCCAAGCGGGCTAGGGGTGATCATAAGTGCTCGAGCACGATCGAACTTCGGACATACGGGCCGGATAACGAGGGTGCGCTGGCCGGTGACGCGAGCCTTCGGTCTGACTGCTTCCCCGCTCATGCGGAACACAATAGCCAGCTCGGATCTCATCGTTGTCTAATCGAAGTTCCATGAATCATGAGTAGTCTGCGCTCTTGTTCTCTGCCACATAAGGTAAGCTTTCCAAATTGCCCTTGTTTGCCAATCCTTCCATCAGCCGCTAGCCGATCGTATATAAGCGCCGGCGCTGCCTCTCACACCTGCTTCCCTTCCCACCAGACCTTCCACATACTTCTTCGTTCCCCTGCTTTTACGACCGGCCAGCGCTGCGCGCCAGCTTTCCTAGACATCTCTGTACCCTTGTATTCACGTTCATTGACGTACACCTACTCTCCCCTTTCACATCTCTTTGACGCCCGCGCCGCAAATCCTCGCATCGGAACCTGGCATCATGACTTCCCCCCTCTCACCCGCTCAATTCAACACCGTCTTCGACACCATCCGCATCGCAAACCTTCGGACGCGCCGCTCTGCCCATAGCACGCGCGCCGCCTACTCCCCCACGCACCATGCCCACGCCCGCGCGCGCACGCTCCGACTCTCCGTCGACATTACCAAGGCCGCCAACTGCCCGCAGAGCCAGATTTCTATCAACCCGCTCCCCATCATCGACACCTCCGCCTCGCCCTCATCGTCCACCTCCGCTCAATTGCAAGCACCTCCCCCTGCCTGCTCTGCCGTTGCCCAGCCGCAGATCACATCCCCTCCCCTTTTGCGGCGCCGCCCCGCGCTCAAATGCGTGATCCCTGCGAGCGGTTTACCCCTTGACGACGAGTTCGTCACTGTGCTACTGTCCACTGGCTCCCCAGGGCGCCGCCATATGTGGCGTACGCACAAGAAGTCAGCTACGATCTCCGACTTCCGTCGCGAAGATGAGGCGCCATACAACAGGCAGCCTGTAGCGCTTCGAGGTGAAGCGGTGGTGCCGATTGGCAGCAGGAGCGCAGCGCCACGATTGTCCGTCGACATATCGCCGTCGTTCAGCGTTGAGGAAATCGTCTCGTGCGTGAGCGATCCTGGCGAGCGATCCACGGCGCCCTTGTCGCACGCAACGATACGTGCGCCTCCAGCCACGGACCGTCCGCGTGCGGATGTGCCTGTCGATGTGGTTGAGGACGCTTGGGAGGGCGCTTCCTTGTTCGCGGGGTACTCGATCAACTCTGCACAAGATTACAAGTCGGAGACAGACTATCCGTCCCCAACGTCAGCGCTCACTTCCGTGATGACGCTGTCTTCAACAACATCGTCTTTTGGAGACCTGATCTGCTCGCCAAGGGGGACGACATGGTATAGCAGTTACGGCGTGGCCCCTGCTTCCGCGGCTTCGGAAGCGGGCTCACTTTCGAGCTCGCAAAGTTCGGAACAGTCGGCAAACGATTTGGTGACTCCCGTCAGTGTACCTCTGCTACATCCTGCTGTCGAACCAGCTCACGCAGAGCGTAGGAAAATACGAACGACCACATTCTCAAGCGCAAGTCTTTTCAGGTGTTTGAGTGTCGGAGACTGTCGAAAGTGAGCGTCATCATTTACGCTAGTCGTTCCGTATCTGACCTATCTCTCAGTGTGCACGTTTAACCTACTAGACGCCAGGACGCCAGACGCTTCCTCCTTAATATCGGACATTCCGCGGCATGCTGCTCGCCCCACTTTCCTTCTCTGCTTCTCGATGACGCTGCTGAGCAGGTCCCTGACTTGTCATATCTATGGCCACTCGCGCCTAGCTGGATCTTATCCATCCGAGGGCAGTGGACACCCCTTCTAACCCTCCTTTTACGTATCAAATTTATCGGGAGCAAGCCCGCTGCGCGAATGGACTTTTCCCCCTTTACTACTTCCTCTTTTTGCCAACGCGTCTATTCACGACCCTTACTCGACGCTCTTCCTAATCAGTGTAGCATAGTGCCTGTCATTATTTATTGTCCGGGCGTGTATCTCTCTGCTGGTGGCAATGGGTATTGCTTCATGACCGCCTATCCGTGAACCGTGCCACTGTCTTGGCCTGGCGGCAGATAAACTTTATTAGAAGACCAGTCTTGACCACATATGGTCCAGCCAAGGCAAGTTACCGACGCGCGGGTTCTATAGAGTACCAGCGCATGTAATACTGACGACAGCACATCGGAATCGGGCTAGCCAGGAAGGGGGTCGCAATGCGTGGGTTTGGCGGGCTATCCTCGTACGTAAAACGAACGTTTGTGGGGGAGGCTGAGCGTGCCCCAGCAACATGCCAGGGTGCGCGTCTAGCGTAGCATCAAGGAGCAAGCTACGATGCACGTTCGCGGCGTCCAGAGTGAGTTCATGTCCTGAGCGACCCCGGAAGAAGGACGGTCGGAGGCTGCGCGGTAGTTCCCGTGATCGGGTCTAAGCTACGGAACGCACGTGGAGGAATGAAATCACTCTTTTATCCAAAGCGGTCATTGTCATTCACAAGAGAGCGTTCGCCGCCGCCGCTCTCTCCTTGACCGCCAGTTGCGCAGGACATTCTTGCCACAATTACCGACCCCAAGCCTACCGCTCACCACACCCCGCCCCCATTCATGGCGTCGGCCATCGACGTCAGAAGCCACAAGCAACCATATCGCTTCCCCCTCTCTCCACCCAGCTCAGGCACTGTCACCGCTCTCTCCTCCCCAAGCCTTGCAGACATCAGTCCGACCAAGGGCAATGCCTTCGACAAGCATCTTGCAGCTGCTTGGCCCGTCACCCCGCGCCGCACTGGACGGCGCGCTACCGACAGCACCGGTGAATCCGACGGGTACATCACTGAGCGCACGACGCCCAGGGGTGGCGCGCGCCCCACCATGTCGCGCACGCATTCGGGTAGAGCACTCACTCTGCCCCCCTCCGCGAGTACGCCCGCACTCGGCCACAAGAAATTCACCATAGGCGCCCCCTCCAGCGGCTCGCGCATCCCGTTCCACAGATCGCCGTCTGCCAGCTCCGCAAGCTCTTCGTCTGCGGAGAAGGACACATCTCAGCCCCCGCACCCCTCGTCCGGCATTGGGCGCAAGGTTGCCGCCAATCTCAGTCTCTTTCGTGAGACCGATGGCGCGCAGGCGGACGTTCAGGCCGAGGCTACGGCCGAAGCGACCGCCTTCCATCGTCGCACCCCGTCGTCGAGCAAGACAGACGTCGCCAAGTTCCAATTCGTCAAGCGTTCGGACTGGCCCGAGCGCGAGGCCGCAGCGGTTCGTCGCGAGAAGAGCTACAACGGGCTTCAGCGAACTCGCACACGGGAGAGTACTCGGGAGGAGGATGACCACGAGGAGCGGAAGGAGCGCACGAGCGGCCACCGTAACAGCAGCAGCCAGGACGTTGCGCAGTGGCGTGAGGACGTCCTCGTCTCCACCAGAGGACGCCCGCGAGAACGAGGTGATGGCAGTTTCGACATCTGGGAAGGGCCGAAGGATGACAAGAGCCATTCTTCGCCTCTTCCATGGTCGCATGCTTACCCTCTGTCTCCAGCACCCTCGCGCTCTCCGCCTCGAGAACACAAGCACAAGGCCCCATCCCCCGAGTTCAGTCGTGAACGACGGCCGCGCCTACCTTCCGCACGCCCCGCATTGCAGCGACAGTCGAGGTCGATCACTCTACCCGAGCAGCCGTCCTCCCCCACCGACTCGCCAACAGTGCAGTCGCCGTTCGATTCGGATGACGACTCGGCATGGGGCTCGTCCCAGTCCGTTACCTCCGCGTCCATTACCTCTGGTCCCGACATATCACCAGCCCATGATGCTCCCTCCCCCCTCCTGCCCGCCTCCGAACTCCATGGTTTCTCGACTTTCCAGTCTCACACCGACGGACCAAGTCCACGTCATGGCGATCATGGCGAAGACGATGTCTTCGATGTCGAGCTCGATCTCTCACAGGAGAACCTCCCGCACATCCCCTTGCGGCCCTTTCGGAACCAGGTCGGTGGTCATAGCGCCATCTACAAGTTCACGAAGCGTGCTGTCTGCAAGGTCCGTCCTTTGGGCCGTTTACGTTGATTGATGCTGACTCGTGACTTTCCCTTTCAGCCTCTTGTGTCCCGCGAAAACTTATTCTACGAATCGGTCGAGCGCGAGGCTCCACCTTTATTGGACTTCATCCCGCGATATCTTGGCGTTATGCTCGTCTCGTATAGGCGTGTACCCAAGCAGCACCAATCTCCATCACCGGACTCCCCGAAGTCACCACCTACATCGGCGGCGGCACGTCCGTCATTACTCAAAGCTGCCACCGAAGTGCCTCGATCATCCCCGCGATTCTCATCAGTTGCCTCACAAGACGAGGACGACGGGAACGAGTCGGACACAGAGGAGACGGAGATGCCTGAGGTGATGCTAGATCACAACCGACACATCATCCCGGAATGGATGCTACGCGGCGGACGGACTCGATCACTATCTCAATCCAACGCGAACGCGCCGCCGCGGATCTTCGACCGGCGGTTTAAGCGTGCGCACTTGAGCGTCGGTACTGCCTCCAGTCCCGACCTTAACGGTCCCTCCTGCAATGCCCTCCCTCGCTCGAGTCCCTTATCACGGTACCCGCCCTTTGTCTCTGCTGAGATGGAGGCTCCTACCCCCGCCAACTCGCCCAGCACGCAAGTTCGCTCCCTGCCTGGGCGATACACGGACGATGCGAGCGCCAAACATCGCATGGCCATCTCAGATGAGGATGCTCCCATCCGCCCCCAGTTCCGTCCATTCAACTCAGCTGCGCCTACTCCGTTCAACGGCACCGGCTCGACCATGGTGAACACCCGGCTGAAAGACCACGTCTTCAGTACCATCTTCCGTCGAATGCGGCGACGGACAGGCGGTCGCCTGGCGTTGGGTACCCGCACCGAGGACGAATATGTGCACGGTGGCGACGACAGTGACGCATCTGGCGGGAGGGCGAGGCGCGGGAAGGTGCTCAGTCACGCCGAACCTCCTCGTCCTATGGACGAGCAGACACAGGACGTGCCTATCCGTCGGGTGCAGAGCGAATCTGTCATCGCCACCCCTGCGAAGATGGAGGCATTGGCGCGCGAGCATCGGGACAACGAACCCGTGATGGACGTCTTCGACATGGAGTACGACCCCGAGCAGCCCGCGTCCAACAGCTTTGCGCTGTCGCCGTCTTTGGGAAGGAAGAGGAGTCGATCTCGCTCACTCGACGTCTCACCCTCTCGCCTCCTGCAGCAGACTCAGTGTCACCGTCCCCAACCGTCTTCGCGGTCCTTGCCAGAAGCCCACATCCCGGAGTCAGGCGAAAGCGCATCGGTTACTCGCCAAAACCACTTCATCCTTATGGAGGATTTGACGGGACGGTTAAAGCACCCTTGCGTGATGGACCTCAAGATGGGCACCCGCCAGTACGGCATGGATGCCACCATCGCCAAGAAGAAGTCGCAGCGCAAGAAGTGCGAGCGCACGACGAGCAAAACGCTGGGCGTACGTGTATGTGGCATGCAGGTGAGCGCTTCATATACTTCTTTAAAGGCTTCAACCAAACTTCACTTCTTTCCAGGTGTGGAACCACAAGACGCAGTCGTACGTCACGCAAGACAAATATCGTGGCCGCGAGCTCAAGGCGGAGGACTTCCGCCCTGTTCTCGCCTCCTTTCTGTGGGACGGCGAACGCTTGCTTGCACACCAAATTCCGACGCTGCTGCAGAAGGTATATAACCTTGCGCGGATCATCAGTCGGCTGAAGGGTTATCGCTTCTACGGATGCAGCCTGCTGCTCATCTACGATGGCGATCGCGAGTCGCAAGAGGTCTTCCGCGCCTCCGCTCTTGAAAATCCCTCTTCGCGTAGCAAGCGTGGCGAGTCTCTGGAGCGGCAATCGCGGGTGCGCACGGACCGGCAAAAGGAAGAGAAGCCCTTACTGCGACGGTCACACAGTGAGGACTTACTTGTCGGGCCCGTCGCGGCGCGGTCGAATCGCCGGCGCAAGCGTGGCGAGATCAACGTGAGAATCGTCGACTTCGCGCATACAACAACAGGTCACGACTGGCTGCCACATCCCAATGACAACCACAAGTGCGTGCCGTTGGAGGTGACCTCGAGTAGCAGTGGGTATCAGGCAGAGATCGACCCTCAAACGGGGCTTATCTATGCCCGTTTCCCGCCACACTACCCCGACCAGCCTGACAGAGGGTTCCTTTTCGGGCTGAAGAGCATTGCGGAGTCGCTGGAGCAGATATACTATGACGAGCGTATTCATCGTATCAAGGTATCTCGCGACGATCCGATGGCAGTCTCACGCCAGCTCCCGCCTTTGGCTACGGATGGGAAGGAGATCTTCGAGGAGTTGTTTGGGAGCCCGGAAGGGGGCGAGGATCTGGGATGCATCTCGACGTAGTGGATCGTCTTTGCGGACTGCTTTTTCTGTGTTCTGTGCTGTAGTGCTTTCCTGTCTCGGTTTCTGTCGAAGCTTGCATCTATTCATTTCTATCTATCGCTCGCATCCGCATAGTTTAGACAGGCATGTAATGACCATTGAATGCAAGGGGAACATTAGGGAATTCTCACCCGCCAGAAGTGAGAAACGAAACGGTGTGGCGAGGGTGCACGTGAGAAATAGTTCGACTTCGCGTCAAGCGCGTATATTACACTGATCTCGATTCATCTGCCACCATCTCTACACCGCCATCCGCCATGGCAGCGGGTGCTCCCGCGCGCGAGGCCACCAAGCCGAAAGCGATCTCCGGCCTGCCGCCCAACTCTGACTTGTACCGCGACATACACATGGACACGGCCAAAGACCTCACGAAACGCATGAAAGACATGGATATACGGATGGAGACTGCTCGTGGCTTTCCCAGTGTAGACGACGTACACATGGAGACTGCGCGGGGTGCACCGACGTCGAAGGCACCTGGCTTTAAGCTATGGGAGCGCGAGCTACTCCAAAGCCCGGAGGTCAAACGGAAGGCCACGGTCGCCCAGCTTTGTGCGTCGCGTTGCGTGTTGTATGCCTATCTGTACTGATCCATGCCAGATTTCTTGGACTACTACTTCCAAAACCTGGGCTACCTCGCCGCGCGCAAGGAGCGCCGCGCCAAGTTCGATGCCGATACCGCGGAGCGCGGCGTGAAGGGCGCCGAGTACACGAAAGAGTTCAAATCGTATTGCGGGAGAGAGCGCGTGCTGCTTCGCCGACGACGCACAAAACTCAAGCTCGACCAGTTCCACATCATTGCACAGATCGGGCAGGGTGGGTATGGAGAGGTGTACATTGCCAGACGGCGAGAGACATCCGAGGTGTGCGCGCTCAAGAAGATGCGCAAGAGCACGCTCTTCAAGATGGACGAGGTGCGTCAGCCTACAGGCTCTCCGCCTTGAAGATACTGATCATCGCTCAGGTTCGCCACGTCCTCGTCGAACGCGATATCCTCACCGCCACAAAGACTCCGTGGCTAGTACGACTTCTCTACGCCTTCCAAGATCCGCAGTTTGTTTACCTCGCCATGGAATACGTCCCCGGTGGTGACTTTCGCACACTCCTCAACAACTCCGGTGTACTGAAGGAGGAGCACGCCCGCTTCTACATTAGCGAGATGTTCATGGGAGTGAACGAACTGCACAAGCTCGGTTACCTTCATCGCGACTTGAAGCCAGAGGTACGCTTGTCATGCAGGCATGTGGTGCCTCTTCTCACGCCACCTACGCGTAGAACTTCCTTGTCGACGCGACAGGCCATGTAAAGCTCACTGACTTCGGTTTGGCGACGGGCGCGCTCAACCCGAAGCGCATTGAGTCTATGAAAGTCAAGGTACGTGAACAGACCTCGCTCTATGATATTCCTACTGATCATGAGATAGCTCGATCAAGTGAAGGACAACAAACTCGTCCAGCGCTCAACGATGGAAAGGCGATCTATCTATCGCTCCATCCGGCAGGCTGAGCCCCGGTACGCGGACTCCATCGTCGGCTCGCCGGACTATATGGTATGCAGACTGCGTTCATTCTGACCACTTGATGTTGACGCGATGCCAGGCGCCCGAAGTCCTTCGGGGAAAGCCCTACTCGTATTCCGTCGATTACTGGTCCCTCGGCTGCATCCTCTTCGAGTTCCTCGCGGGCTTCCCGCCCTTCAGCGGCAGCACTCCCGAAGAGACCTGGACCAACCTCAAGAACTGGACCAAGGTCCTCCGCCGCCCCGAGTACGATAAGCCCGAGGACCTCATCTTCAACCTCTCCGACATCGCCTGGGACGCTGTCACGCGCCTCATATCGCACGCCTCCGTGCGCTACTCGCAACTCTCGCAGGTCACCGAGCATCCCTTCTTCGCTGGCGTGTACTGGGAGGACCTGCGCGCGGTCGAGGCGCCATTCGTGCCCGCGCTGGACTCGGAGATCGACACGGGCTACTACGACGACTTCACGAACTTGGACGATATGGCGAAGTACGCGGAGGTGAAGGAGAAGCAGCGGAATGTGGATGCAGTAAAGGAGCGAGAAGAGTCCGCACCGCGCGGTGTCTGGGTCGGCTTCACGTTCGGGAAGAATGGACCCGGAGCCAACTTTACTGGAGGAAGGGAGGAGGGTACGCTTTCGACGATCTTCTAAGGTCACCATGTTGTTCGTGAGATGGACTTGTCGTTTTGTGGAGTGCAAGTTGCTTTCGTATGCATATCGCTGTGTACACGCAGCCGTGATCGTGTTTTTCGTACCGTAAATTCTAGTTCTCTTGGAGCAGCGACTGGGATGTTGTCTGAACAAGCGTTGTATAATATGCCGGATAATTGATACAGTTCAGTGTTAAAATGGACAAAGCACATCGTGAGTCGAGAGAGAGCAAGTAAAGGCGGTCAATGGTTCCTGTCTGACGCGTTTGCCGCGGAGGATATTTAGACTTGACGAAAGTACCCTTGTCGAGCTCGAGAGCCCGCCGTCTGCGGTCATCGACGCTAGAATCATGATTCGATACGATTCAACATTCCTTCGTCGAAGAGTAAGAGGGAGAGCATCAGCCTTCCTGCGCTGTGAATTTCCTGGACATGAACATAGATGCATGACGGTCAAGGTCGAGAATCACACTAACGGATACACATCGCGTCGCGTCTCGACCATACGCATAACACCAATGACTCGGTCATCAGTAAAAATGGGGGGAAGAGTTGTGGGAGGATCGACCACTGGCTATTGGATTCGCGCGAGGATCATATTTCACTGAGTTGGCCCATATTCATCCCTTCGTAAACGGTTCAGTCGGTCATTACCTGGATGATAGTGATACTCTACTTCCAACCTCGAAGGAGACGGCGATAGACATATGGGAATGCCGGCAATGGCTGACATGAACGACACAGATCAAGGTGTACAACAGATAGTTGTGTGTGCACAGAAGGATAGGGAATACAATCCCATCTACTTGAAGCTACCCCATAGATCACCGAACGCATCGTCCTTCTTGGGCTGCGCAGAAGACGCCGTCGAGCCACCAAATGCGCCGAAGGGGTCAGCGGCCGCTGGAGCAGCAGGCGCGGCACTTCCCCAAACAGACGCGCTGTTGTCCAGTAGCCCAGGAGCGGGCTGCTGCTGTACCGGCGAAGGTGCTCCCCAGACGTTAGGCTGAGCCGCCGGCGCCGCGCCCCACGCCGGCTGAGCAGGAGCTGCCGGAGCACCCCACGGCGCACCCATCCCGCCACTCGGCGCTGCGCCCCATATCCCTGCCCCGCCTTGTTGCATTCCAGCGCTCGGTGCAACCTGTGGAGCAGGAGCGCCCCAGGGGTTTGCCGCCACTGGTGCAGCGCTAGCACCCGGCGCCGCGAATTGGTTGTAGAGGGGCTGAACAGGGACTGGTTGTGCAGGAGCGGCAGAGAAGAGCGACAGGATGTCCTGCTTAACATCCTTCTTCGGCGCCTGCGCCTGCGCTGCGTCAGGTGGTGGGCTCTGCGCAGGGCTCGGGTTGTGGAAGTCGAGGGAGAAGAGGTCGTCAGCAGGCTTCGGGGCCGCAGGGGCCGCTGCGGGTGCGGCAGCAGCAGTAGCTGGCGGTGGTGTCGCTCTGGCTCTAGGCGTATTGGTGTGGGCGGCGGATAGCAATTGGTGGGCTTGGGGTTGACGCGTGACGGATGCACGAGGTGCGCCAGCAGCGGGAATGCGAGGAGTGGCCGCGGAGGCAGCGGGCGGAGGGGAAGCGGCGGGTACGGGCGCAGGAGATGAGGATTGCGCTGGGGCGTCGCCGTCAAAGACAGAGGGATCGGCAGGCGGCGGGCCATCCATCGCCCAACGACGAGACTCGTACTTTGAGCGGATGAAGGATTCCATTTTGCTTGAGATACGTCAGAACGCATACCAAAACAGAGCATGAACACATACTGCTCAGGCGGAACGTGCCCCTGCTTGAGATGGGCTTCCCAGTATGCATTCGCTCTCCGATTTCCCCACTTCTGGATTGAAGCCATCTGCTCCGGCGTCCATATGTCGAGGTCGACCGACTTCACTTTGCTGATATGAGTCCCCATCGCACGGTGGATTCCCGAGCAGCGGATGCAGAGAAAGACGCCCACGTTCCACGACGCCCAACGAGGATCTGCATCATCAGTACATGCACCTCTCGACTCAGCGCGACATGCACTCACCATTTCGTTTACAATCCGCGCAGACTTTATTCTCCGGGCGCTTCACGAGCTCCCGCAACATCCGCGCATGGCGCTCCGTCGTCGCCTTGTCCTGTCGCGACATCGTGGTTTACGACAACGATGTGCACACATCGTGCCTCTGCCCACGTCGCCGTCCCAGTAAGGAAGGCATTGTATTTCCCACGTGATGTTTCTTCCTTCTCTCTGACCGCCGTGCTCAAAATGCGCCATCCGTCGTGTCTTCAAAATATCAGTCTATAGCCGTATTCTCCATATCTGAACGCCATATACCATCTCTTTCCCGCCTTACCCAGGCACGAATTCAGACTGCATCCAGATGAATGCCGGTCAGCTGGACGCGTCCCCACGAGACGAAGGACCGATGGGCGGAGAAACTGGCGGGAGATATCATTTCACGAAGCTCTCCTGGGCACCTTCCGAAGCTGTGGACGCGTTCGATATGTCCTATAGCCCGCGACGACCTTCAAATCCAGGAAGCCGGCCCGCCTTGGCCCTGACGTAGGCTCGTCCTTTCGCGTTCAGCTGACCCTTCTCCTCGACCATGATCGGCATTCGCGACGCGTTCCGGTGAGTATAAGACGATGCCATGCTCTTCTCTGCCCGAGTCCGAGTTCGGGACTCACGGACGCGACCATGTTGCTCCCTTGGCTCCTTCTCTTGCCAGCGGTCCTTGCACTCCACCTCCCATCCGCGCGCGTCCTCTCCCCGCGCACTGACGATGGCTATACCTCTCAGATCTCATGGGACGGGTACTCCTTCTCCGTCCAGGCTGGCTCGCAAGATGCGCCGCAGCGCGTGTTCATCCAGTCCGGGGAGGTGCACACCTGGCGCCTGCCTGTGCCCGGACTCTGGAAAGACATCGTTCAGAAGGCGAAGGCGGCGGGGCTGAACTGCATCTCGATTTACTTTCACTGGGCACTCACGAATCCGAAGAAGGGCGTCATCGACTTCACGGGCATCAATGACATACAGCCGCTATTCGACTACGCGAAGGAGGCAGGACTTTGGGTCATTGCGCGTCCAGGGCCGTACATCAAGTGAGTCAGCCCCTCATCAACTACTAAGCGAGCTTCTGACGAGGGTATAGTGCAGAGACCTCTGGCGGTGGTATACCGGGTTGGGTCACCACCCTCCCCGGAGATCCCGAATGGAACGCGTACAACGGCGAACTACGAAGCAATGATACCTACTTTCACGATGCCTGGCAGGATTATGTACGTCTCAAGTTTGCAACCGCGGCATTGAATTCGACCGGCTCGCTCAGATTCGCGCGTCCGCGCAGCTCATTGCGAAGGATCAAATCACCGAGGGAGGTCCCATCATCCTAGCGCAAGTCGAGAACGAGTTTTACAATGGCCGTAAGTGAATATGGTGCAACCGAGTGTTCAAGCATAGATCGTCCTTGCAGCTGGCCAGAATGAATACGTGCTCGAGCTTCAAGATGTCTACCGCGAAGAGGGTATCGTTAGTCCTTCCCCCTCTCACTCTTCACCGTCGAACAAACGTCTTTTCAGCTCATTCCCACCATGGTTAACGACCCCGGCATGTACAAGAACATCGTCAATGAAACTAACATCTACGGCATCGACGCCTACCCCAATGGTGCTCTTGCCACCGGTACTTCTGCCCCTTGCCCTCTAACCGAGACCTCCCCCTTCACACAGGCTGGACGTGCGTAGGAGACCCTTCGTGGCCGGCAGCTGCGGCTGGCTGGGCTAAGGGCCCCGCGGCATGGCGAACGTACCATGAAGATGTGATGCCGGATACGCCGTTCATGTTCCCGGAATTCCAGGGCGGGTGCGTGCCGGGTTCCTATGCGCTGCGTGGGAGAAACGACTGAAGCTGACTCTATCCGAAGGCAATACGATAAGTGGGGATCGGGCATCGGCTACGCGAAGTGCAGAGAAGTTATCGGGCCTGAGTACGTGGGCAATTTCGCCCTGTAGTACTGCCTCGCTGACACTTCTGAAGATACGAGCGCGTTCTGTACCACCAGCTCTGGGCAAGCGGCGTCACAGCAGAGAACTTCTACATGTTCTACGTACGTCTCGAGCGAACGAATGTTTGTGTCACTGACTTGAACCGTTCATTTACAGGGTGGAACAAATTGGGGACAGCTTGCATACCCTGGTACATTTACAGTCTCCTCATGCAAGTCATTTTGATGACGCCTTCCCCAGCTACTTACACCAGCTACGACGTCGGCGCCGCCGTCACCGAGAGCCGACAGCTAACCGACAAGTACTCCGAACTCAAGCTACAGTCTCTCTTCCTGCGCTCCATGCCCGACCTCTACAAGACTTACTTCGTCAGTGAGCGCGCGAGCATACTGCTCGCGACGTAGTATCTTATCTTTGTGCAGCGAACGACACCGCTTTGACGACAAACCCGGCGGGCGTTTTCGCCACCTGGCTAAAGAACCCTGACACGGGCGCCAGCTTCTTCATTACGCGACAGGCAAATGTGACGTGGACGTGAGTCTCGTGCGAAGAACGGTCAATCAACGCGCATACTGACCCTCATCTCCTACAGCGATCTCCAGAGCTACAAGCTCTACGCAGAGGACCTCACGCTACCTCAGCTTGACGGAAAGCTGACGCTCAATGGGCAGGACTCACGTATCATAGTGTAAGTCTGTCTTAAACCCTTGGATGCGGATCAGCTAATGTGTTTGACCAGCAAGGATCTCATTATCGGTGGTGCAGCTCTCTCGTACTCGACAGCGCATATCTTGACCAGCACGGTCATCGACGAGACTGACATCCTAGTGGTGTATGCGGATGTAGGAGAGACCGTCGAACTGGCTTTCGCGACGACGGAAACAGTATCTTTGGACACCGAGCTTGATGCAACGACGAAGATTACCTCGGTAAGTTACTTATATGATCATCGGCAGCGTTTATATCGACATCCGTTCCAGAGCGCAGCCATTGTCAACTTCCAGACGCCGAGCGGCATCACTCCCGTCCGCCTCATAGGCGATCGCACGTCCATCTTGGTCGTCGTCGCAGACTACGAGCATGCGAAGAGCTTCTGGCAGCCAACTGTTGCTGGCGAAGGCGACTACGCGTCGTACGTCCACTTTGGAGCAAGTACGCCGGCTCTTGTTGCAGGCCCCTACCTTGTCCGCACCGCGGCACTTCAAGACGATGGCGCCACACTCACGCTCGTTGGGGACCTCGAGAGCGAGACGCCCCTCACCGTTATTGCCCCAGCCAACGTTCAGGCCGTGACATGGAACGGAGAGACCGTCCAATCCACCCGCACCGCCTGGGGTGCTCTGACCGCCACACTCTCCGGGCCTACTATGACACCTCAAATCCCCGACCTCAACACCCTCACCTGGAAGCACGCCGACTCACTCCCCGAGATTCAAGCCACCTACGACGACAGCCAATGGACCGCCGCCGACCACACCGAAACCACCAGCACGTTCCCGCAGTACTACGGTGGTCCGTGGAAGCTCGGCGTCGCTTCCGATTACGGCTTCCACCTGGGCAACATTCTGTGGCGCGGACATTTCAATAACAGCGGGCAGGCGGCGGTGAACCTGTCCATCTCAGGCGGTTTCAACTTCGCAGCGGCGGGGTGGGTGAACGACGTGTTTTTGGGCGCGACGGAAGGCAATGGCACGATCGCGACGACGAACGTTTCGTGGGCGTTCCCGGAAGGTGCACTTAGAGACGGCGACAACGTTATCACAGTCCTTCAAGAGTGCGCGTTTCTGTGTGTAGGCATGAGTACATGCGACTGACCGGGCCCTTCGATACAGCCACATGGGTTTCTATCTCGCCGGCGAGGTCGTTTGCTGCACCCCCGGTGGCCGCCAGCGCGACATACAATCGCCGCGAGGCATTGAAGTACGCGACTGTCGTACCGGCTTGGACTTTGCTAAGCTCTCTTAGGGCTACTATCTCCTTGGAAGCGACGACGACTCAAGTGTGGATCAATTCACGCATTGGAAGGTGCAAGGTAACTTCGGCGGCGAAGACTACCCCGACAAGACGAGGAGGATCTTCAATGAGGGTGCGCGCATCATCCAACTCGTGTATCAACCTCACTTTTACGGATGATATGTAGGTGGCCTTTATGGCGAGCGCGTGGGCTTCCACCTCCCTGGATATGACGACTCAGAATGGGAAGCGAGAAGCCCGTGGGATGGCGTCGGGCAGCCCGGAGTGATCCGCTTTCTTTCAAATCCTCTCATGTACTGATCTTTTTGAAGGTATCCTGGTTCCGCACCTCCTTCGACCTCAGCATCCCGGAGGGACACGACCTTCCCTTATCCTTCGTCTTCCCGAACGTGACCGGTAATTACAGAGGTAAGTGTATCATCCAAGCTGTATAGCTCACCTGCTCAACTTCCATGTCCTTTCCGTAGCCCAACTATACGTCAACGGCTGGCAAATGGGCAAGCGCGTGGCGAATATGGGTCCTCAAACAGCCTTCCCCGTCCATGAGGGCATCCTCAACTACCGTGGTTCAAACACTTTGGCCGTATCGCTCTGGAGCCTTGGTGGCGAGCCCGAAGACCTCCGCATACCCTCACTTGCTCTGCAGCAGACCGGTATATACGAAGGGGGCGTTGGAAGTGTGGACGTGAACAACCCCAAGGGGGAGGATCGGCAGGCTTGGTAGATGATGGATGATACCTCTTACACTGTTCTGCCTATATCCAGTTATTGCCGTGTTCCTAAGACTGAATCAGAAGTAGGTATTGAATGAAATTTTCATGAAGTTACATCCACGCAAAGGGCGAAGGACCCTGTAGTTCTGCCATTGTGGGTCCATGTGTGCTCCGGGCATGGCTTCATTTCGACATCCTTCCATCTTGGGACTTCAGTCAAGCTTCCATCACAAGTTGAGTCGTGTTACTTATGGCCATCGGGCCTGCAACTCCCTGCGATGTCGCCACAAAGCCCATCACTGTCTCCTCTCCAGACTCAGGTCGACATTGTGTTCCAGATCACAGATCTCTTGTCGCCAAAGGATTCGTTGTCCCTCTCCTCAACATGCCGTCAACTGCGCTGGCTACTTCGCCCAATTCTGTTCTGTACATGTCCTTGGAAGAATGACTTGCCCATTCACGAGCCCCCTGAGTCAGTTTGGGACACAATCCGGTGCGACTCCAATACCAAAAAAGGAACTGTTTCTCATAAAACTCTATCGAAGGCACCTATATGTCCAGATCGACGACGATGATTGCGACCTCTACAAGTACCTCACCCACCACAATCTCAGCAACATAGAATCTGTCCACTTTTGCGCCACCTTCATCAGCACCTGCATTAGCTACATCGTCAACAACACACCGCGTCTTCATACGCTTGACCTCAGATTTCTATGCTCCACAATGTACCAAAGGGCGGACCCCATCAACTTCGAAGAACTGGACGCGTTCCCCCCTCTTGTCACTCATCCGCGCGTCCTCCACTTCTGCTCGCAAACTGAAGGTGCAGGTAGCGGGTTTGCGCCCGACGAATGTACATCCAGGATGCGGGGCACGCGCTTCCCCTTCGCGACTCTCCTCCACCAACTCGATGTCGGGCAGATTGAGCACCTTGAAGTTGGCGCCGAAGCGCTCAGTTTGCCCTTCGCGGTCGCCTATACCTGGTCGTCGCTCCGCGAGTTGGTCATAACCAGAATCCGAATGCATGACCCGCAGACCCCGCTCAACGACCCACGACTCAAAACACCCGCGTCAGCGCACGAAGCAGTACACCTAGGTACGCTGGTCTGTGCTGCCCCGCAGCTCCGCGTCTTGCGTGTTCGCTGTCAACGCTCGGATCTATATCCTCACGTCCAATGGACCATCTGGCCACCGGACGACCCGCCCCTCCCTTCTAGATCATCCATGCCCGCCATTGAGGAGTTCGAGCTGTACAATCCTTTCGCGACCGATGGGGTGTATAAATACTTGCCATCCACGTTACGGACGCTCTCTCTCCTTAATTATCCCCACGTCCAATGCGCTACCCTCGCAACCGAGGGCTGGGAGATTCAGCCTCCACCATATCCTATGGATGGTGTATTGAGGCCCGCAGGTCTCATGCACGCACTATCGGCCGTATCAGCGCCAGAGCTCCGAACTCTGCGCATCTCCTTCCGCGATGTGGACGATACGCGCCTCTGGACCCGCATCGCAGACTTATTTCCCCTTCTGGAGGTTCTCGAGCTTCACGACGAGATTGGCCCCGGAAGTATCTGGGATACGACCAAATTGGTATGTTGTTGGCTGGCTCACCCTCGCGTCCACTCACGAACGTCAAGGCTTTGTGTGCCCGCGCCCTGAGCTCGCTCTCGTACCTACGGTCCCTGCGTTTGAGCACTTTCCGAAGAGTGCTTGATGCAGAAGACTGGAAGGGGTACCCGGGCGAAAGGGAAGTCTACGAAACGCCGGATCAGAAGGCACGGGCGGGAATACTCATGGGAGATGTCAAATCAGCGCTCTTTGGAGATGATGTCGGCAGCCAAAGTAAGCATGTCGATACGAGACCACCAACTGACCTTACCTCTCGGTGGCCTGAGCTACGCGACGTGTGGCTACCCACATCTGTGTATCAGTTTCCCTACCGCTCCCGCGTTCCCAGACTTTTCCGACACTGGAAAGTGTACGGTGTATACAGGGATGACTGTGGCCAGAGATACATGCGTCCCAGGTCTAGACACGCCATACCGTGAGCAATTTCCTGCGCGTCATGCAGCATAGGACTGATTACAGGCATAGCATTCATCATGCAGACTCTTGATCATGAAATCTACCTATCAGACCGTCGTTGTATGCTCGACTTCTTTGTTCCCTTGTCGTCTATACCTAGTCATAGGCACCTTTCAATATTGCTCTATCTACCCTTCCTCTCCCGCGCAAAGTACACGCAGCCTCGCAGTGGCCCGAGCTGCGCGACGTATGGCTACCCACATCTATGTATTAGCTGCCTTACCGCCGCGGCGTTCCTAGACTTTTCCGTCATTGGAAAATGTACAATGTTTACCGGGACGACAGTGGCCAGCAATATCTTCGGGCCCACGTTGAGGCAGCATACTGATCGGATGCTAGAATCTCCCAATGAGGACAGTTCCTACATACAGTAGCTCTACTCTACAACCTATGTTCACTAGGCTGCCAATGTACGTACTAATCGGTTGACCCGTACTGCACAAGGATAGCCTGGCATGAGAAGTTGGAATGCGACCTCTTGCAACATGATACGCCTGACGGCTGAAAAACGCGGAAATCACATATAAATGCGTAATAAGCACGTATCAGTCTAGCCTAGATGGGCGGATCCATATATACCGCACCGACGTCGTGACTGTACAACAGGCGCGTTGGGGGTATTTTATGACTACAAAGGCGGGAGATTACGCTTCCCAACCTTACAATCAGATGATCGAGCGGTCTCATCCATCTGCACCGACTGTCCAGGGATAGCGGCGAGCTCCTCAGCGCCTGACGACCAATCTGCGCGTTGAGGATGACATCCTGCGAGTCCTTTGGCGGGCATCATCCTTGTGGTAGGTGTACTAGCGTGCCACAGCCTTCAGTCGGATTGCCTCTACTGCAATTCATATCGTCGTCTATTGTTTGGGGCTCGGACAGGTCGCCCTTACCCTACATTGTCATGCGGAGACACGCAGAGACTCGCCACAGCGGGACTCGAACCATGGGCGTGACATTCACGTGACTTCGGCCCGCGATCACATGATCGGGCCGCACCGAACATGACTCGAACCGATTGTCGTCGCCGATACGCTGTGCACGCCTCGGCAAGGGCATCGTTCACTGCGTATCATCAGTCCAGAACGCGTGCTCCTCACCGCGCAGGCCTCTGAGCCGCATCGAGCTCGAGGAGAGCGGTGGAACCCAAGAAGGCACTGCCCCTCTTGGTACTCATCTACAAGCATGGAAATGCGCTCGGCATCGCAGCGCAGCAGGACACCCTACAAGTCAGCCGCTCTACCGCCAGGAACCGCAGCAGGAAGCGTCAAGGATAAGGAGGAAATGCATGTGGAAACCTCTAAAGTTGGACTTTGACTCATAGATAGGATTTGTGGCATGCCGATCGGTCTGGATTGCCGAGGCGATCTCGCCGCCTCATATACCGAGCTGTACATACGATTCGGGGACTCCCCCTGGCTGCCCCCATGCCCCCAGGCAGGAGATCCAACCATACCACCTACCATACCACACATCAATGACATGTTCCGCGTTTGCAGCGCGTTAATTGTCATGGAATCTGGATCTTTGAGACGCTGCTAAGGAGCAGTAGAAGATCGGCATCCACGCTCTTGAAGTGCCCTAAGAAGCCCTTGTAGCGCTGGATCAACATTATAAACCTATCTGAGCTCTTGAAGTGCCCTAAGAGGCCCTTGTAGCATCAGATAAAAACCTGAGAATAACTTGTGGAGTTCTGAGCGTCACCTGCTCGTCTGCGTTTTCTCGCATCGATCTAGATCGTCTGAGGCTCTCCGCGGACCGCGAACAAGCCCAACAGCAACGTTCGAAGTCGTAGCACTATCCCCAAGCAATAAAAATACATCGAACTCGGTCACTCTCTGGAAACGCTTTCAGTTGTATATTGTGTGGTTGTGTTGTGGGTGGTGTGGTTCAGCTAGCCTGCTAGCAGCGCTGTTCTTTCAGAGAGTGTACGAGCCCATCAAACGCGAGACAGAAATGTGATGCGAACGCCGACTCGTATGGGTTAGAAGCTTCGCCTATGAATGACTGGCCCTTTGGAAACACGAGGTCATCATGTGATTGTGGGATCCCGATGCTCGGACCCGCACGCGATGAATCACGGTCACGCTGTGCTTGAATGTTGCGGTTGTGTTGTCGTCCTGTGCTCTGTCAGAACCGTCATCTAGATCAGTCTTCATCCCCTCTATTCTATCAAATCCCCTTCGACGGGCCTACTTTCGACTCATCCTCGACTGCGATGGCTGCCAATAAGCGAACACGCAGGCAGAAGAGACGCGCTTCGGATGCTACACCACCCGACCCATCACCTAAGAAGCGCGTCAAAAGGCGGAGGATCGTTGGCGGGAATCTAGAGCAACAAGGCAACTTGAATGGAATGCCCTATGACCTGCTGTACGAGGTGCGTGTTCGTTGGTGGGGTAGTAACTCTAAGGTACTATCTCACCGTTTGTTGGGATGTGTTTCCCGCCGGGTTTTCAGAACGACTTTCGGGTGAGCCGGACTTTGATCCGAATTCCTTCGGCCGACTCCCCTGGTTCGCGTCATCGTTGTCATCGACATCCCCCTTCTTTCCCACGCTTGCGCTATGGTCCCAAATCACCTAAGAACACATATACCCAAGCTTTCTTGCCTCTTTCCCTGCCCCCCTCTTCCAAGCGGCTTTAACACAACTTTGGGATCCTTCCAAGAACACCTTTCTTATACATTTCTTTTGGTATGCACTCTTCCGAGCGACGCACGCGCCGCCGGAAGATCATGACACATTCGTCACACCGATCGCGACCATGTCACACCTTCACTCCCACTCCCACCACCACTCCCACTCGATGGCGCCCAGCGCCAAACGGCTGCCCCCTCAATCGCGGAGGACGACGGAGAGGGCCGGGGACTCGTACGAGCTCCCAAGGTATGTCCTAATAGCTCAATATCTATCGGTCATACTAAAGAAAATTTGAGTGTCGCTCGCTACGCGCGAGCGTCCGCGGCCCTTCAACGACCCCCCACCCCCAGCCCCCCATTCCCAATCATCGACGACCCCCGACCCCTACGTCGTCGCCGCAAGCGCGCCACGAGTTAGCGAGGCACGTGGAATCCGCGCGACGACGACATCCACCCCCCTCCCCCCGGCGTGCACCCAACACCGTCGAGCTCGACGACGACGATGCTCCGACGCCAGGCCGGGCATCCGGCCCGTCCATCTGGCGCGTTCGGCCGCACGACGTTGTGTCCTCAACCACCACCACCCCACCACCCTTGTCCCCCCGCCGCCTCCGGACTCCCCTCCCCCACTCCCTCTCCTTTGTTATACCTCGACTTTCGGCGTTTACCGCTTGACGCGACGACGAGGCCACACAAGACGACAAAAAGCGCCGCATGACGACGATCCACCAGGCGTGCGAGGAGAGGGACCGCGGGTGCGTGTATATGCCCCGCTAGTCGACGTTTACTAACATTCCACTTTAATGACGCTTGGGGATGCGCGAGAACAGGCGCGCGACCTGCGCGACGATGGGCAAACACTGCCCCTCCCCGCCATCCGCCCCTCAGACCGCCCATGAGGGCGCGGGAGCTTCGCCTAGGGCCTATCACGCGCCCTAGGATGCCCCCTATGGCTTCTTTAGCCGCTACGCCCCCACCTGCGCGCTTAACGTGCGCAGGTACGGTAGTAAATTACACCCTCCCACCACCCTCTACCCCTTGCTCGTGTAGAATCGCCTTCGTGGCGATTCTACGCGCCGCTGGCGGCGCATATTGCGCTACCAAACTCGCTTTTGGTGCGCCGCGTCCGAGCGCAGTCGCGATCGGCTAAGCCGACTGCGCGGGGCGGCTGGCAGCGGCGGGGTTTGCCCCCTCGACGTGCTGGATGGGTATGCGCTGCCCACTCTTTCAATAGAGAGGGCTTATTGCGTGTACCGCTGCCCCCTCGCTCCGCATCTGCGCCTCTCGAAGGTGCAGGGGCAGCGGGAATGCGCAGCCATATCCCCTCTCCTCCCCCCCCCGTGTGCTACGTGCCGCCGCGGACGCGTCACTAGACGCGGAAGGGCGCCCGTAGCTCGGGAGGACACCCTCCTACTCTTCCTTTCCTTGACGAGCGCGTCGATCGCGGGCGAAAATTTGCAGGATGCCACTCGGCGTACGTTGAACTGCAGGACGCTGCTCGGCGGACGATGATCCATTGCTTCACGACTTGATTCGGGCGCGACGGATGAGTGGGATCGTCGGTGATGCATTGCGTCGCGAGTTGGCTGGGGGATGCTGAGGGTGACGGGCGACCTCGACGTCACGAAGCGCGTTGTCGGCGACGCGAAGCACGACGTTCGCGAAACGAAGCCGGCTCTACAACGGCAGGTCAGCTTCCTCGGGTTCGTAACTAACCCCCCTCAGCTCACCTATCGCCCCGCCCGCCGGACGACGATCTATTGCTTCGCGGGCTGGATCCCGAAGTGTCGCGTGTACACCGGGAAGGAGGCGAATGTAGCGCGTCGAGCGGGATCTTCGTGGTCCTTAAGACGTCGAACATGGTCCTTAAGAAGCCGTACGTGGTCTCGAAGACGTCGTACGTGACCCTGTGAGAATGAAGTCAGCACAGAGCAAGGAGAGCGAGGGTCACGAGCTCACCTGAATGGATCATAGCATCTGCATACAAACACAGTCGACGGAGGGTGACGAGGTGCTGAAAGCTCCGCCCGCGACTTGGAGACCGTGCGAGACGAAGCGTCGGCCAAGCCAGGACCCGCGAGGACTTGCATGCTGAGCTAGAACCGCCACGACATCGTCAGGAGAATGCTGCGGGACAACAATGAGTATAAAATTGAACTCCCAAATCAATGAGACTCACCGAGCGTGCTCGTCGAGCTGACTGCCTTGCTCGTCGAACTATGCCGGTACGCGGCACGGTCAGTCTCTGACCCTAAACCCGATCTCGTGCATTCTAACACACTATCTTCATATAGAATGATGAGATACACGTTGAAAGTGATATATCCAAGCTCTTACCCCTCCTCCCTCGCCAAGGAGGAAGCGAATTGAGGTGTGTTTGGTTGATTACTTGACCCCTTCATCTCGATTGCTCATCCACTCGCAGCCCTTCTCGTATTGCATTCCTCAAGTCATCGATAACGACGTCCTTCGAGCGTTCTTTGCGGCGCTTACCTTGCGCTTCCAGCCGCCCAAGCACATCAGCCAAGATGTGCTCCGTCAAGAGATTCAGAATTGACTCCTTGTAGCGCTCTCAAGCAGCACTTGTAAGTCACCCTTCTCATCGCTTCTTCCAACCACTTACCTCTGTGTTGTAGGTGTCGAAGAGACGAGTCGGAAAGGCTCTGACCTACGCTCCAACCCCAAGGCCGATGTCTTGCGTCCTGAAGCGAGGATACGAATTTCTCAGTGAGTCCTCGCCCCGACCTTCGTTGCCCTTCCCTTCCCTCCCCCTCCTTCCATCGCCTCCCGCTTGCACATCTCTCCTCCATACAGCTAACTGACTTGTATCCTACAGATGCCTGACTGCCTGAAGCGCCCGAGCCCGACAAAGAAGCGCTTGAGGGTCAACAGGTGCGCATTTCGCTTACGCTCGTGCTCATTTCCTCCCCCTCGTCCCACTTCCTTTCCCTTCGTTCCCACCCCTCCCCCCTCGCTCCACCCCCTTCCTCCCCCTCGCTCCACTCCCCCTCCCTGCCCTTCGCCCTTTACCCCTTCTCCCCCTCGTTCTCTCGCATCCCACCACATTCTCGCGCTGACGACGCACAGAGCACGACCACGCGACGCGAATTGCCACGCTTTGAGAGCGAGGACGCTCACCGCGCTTCAAGAGCGAGGATGCCTCCCGCGCTTCAAGGACGCGCTCAGAGAGCAAAGGGGGAGGGAGCCAAAGGTGAGCACCCACCTTCCCTTCGCCTCTGACCCCATACTCATCTATCCCGGGATCATTCGCCTCGGAGCGCTTCGGCAAGGTCATGAAGAACGAGCTTGAGGAGGGGAGGGGAGGGAGGGGAGAAGGGTCTTCCCCCTTCGTCTCTTCCCCCTTCTCCCCTTCTTTTTCCCCTTCTCCCCTCCTTCTTTCTCCCTTTCTCTTGTATCTCGCTTGCTACGCTGCTCTGATTGTCCACAGATCACGACAACGTGAAGGCGACAGGAGGCGAAGGGGGAGGGAGTTCGGTATAGGTAAGCCCCCAGCCCCACCCTTCACCCTCGCCCCGTACTAATCTGTCTCCTCAGATCCAGCCGCTCGAGCTCGAATGGGAGCGCTTCCGCTAGAGATGAACGCACTCGAGCGCTCCGACGAGGGAATCAAGATGGGATGGGGGGAGGAGGGGAAGGGTGAGGGAGACATCTCGCCTCGGCGCTTACAGTGCCCTTTCAACTCAAATCGCTCGGAGGAAGCGGCAGGAAAGCCGATAGGTAGCTTTTAGTAGATACAGTAGTTGTGTACTAGACCAACGTAAACAATGAGAAATCATTGAGCTTACGAAAGGACGAGAGAAGGGGCTCACCCTGCGACAACACCATAGCCCGGGGCCGATACACTGTGTGAACGGGTAGCAGGACCAAGGACCTTGCTGCCAAGGTTGATGCATCAACCCCAACCTTGCGACACACCGACGCCGCGCGAAGCGCGGCGTGTCGGGGTGTCGCTGTAGAACAGATGATCGGGTGTCTGTTAGCCAGATCGGGCCTACCTATTACCCGATCAGGTTAAGTTCAAATACCGATTGAATGCCCGATCAGGTTAAGTTCAAATACCGATCGAATGCCCGATCATATCCCTGGCTTTGTCAGGATACCTGTGTATGGTGTATGCCTGCTTGGTGGGGGTGGCTTCTTGATGTCTGTGATGCTTTGAAGGATCAATAGTGACCTTGCAATACACCGACGCCGCGCGAAGCGCGGCGTGTCGGTGTGTTGCTGTAGAACTGTAGGACTGTAGGACTGTAGGACTATTGAGTACATGTTTCAACTGTTCAGTCAATATGTTCTAGTTTAATTGGGCATGTATTGTAGATGAGCTGTCCATACTGCATGTTGAGCAGCCTTCACACGTGGATAGAGAACAAACATGTCAATATGAGCCTAACATATGGCAACTTGCACATATCAGGAAGAACCCCCCTGGTTAGACTACCCCACCGTACGCCACGCGAAGCGCTGGCCCTCTCTAGACCTAGTCTATGAGGAAAGCGCTTGTTCGAACTAATCAAGCGCTCTGCAGATCTTCGAGTATCTGCATCCCGCCAATCTCCTCGGCATTGCGCAGACATCGAAGCCCCTCCGCTCCCTCGTCATGGATAGATCTTTTGCCCCCGTCTGGAGGGCATGCATGCAAAGAATCCCAGAACTACCTCCCAAGCCCGAGCATCTCGACGAGCCCGACTACGTCAACAAGGTCTATGGGGATCACTGCAGCGTATGTCTTCTGGTCATCCGTGCCCTCTCGATCCCCTTTCTCATGGACTATGAACCAGTTCTGCTCTTCGCCCAATTGGTCAACGGTAGCATGGTCTCTGATGCTGCGCTTCTGCAAGCAATGTCTCCTTGAGAAGTGAGTGATCGTACTCAAGTCCCGACTTTCAATCTGATGTTTTGAACTCAGATTCACGGAGGTGAACCTCTTCTCGCAGAACCACAAGACGCCGGCTCTGCTTCTGGAGAAGCATGTGAATGACTTTGTCCCCATGATATACATTGGCTGTAAGGGCCCGAATCTACGGCCTTCCCGCATCTCTGCTAACATCCCGTCGCCCATAGCTCGCCTGTATATCCTCACTGACGATCTCAAGAAGTTCAACAAGGAGTACATGGCCGTTCGCTCACAACAGGACAAGTTCCAGCAGTGGGTGAACCAGCGAGTGACCGCAGTGAAGAGCAATATCGCCGTAAGCGTACCCCTCCACGAGCCGTCATCTAGTGCTAATGCGGAGCGTGCAGTTCGGCGAACAGTGCGGAGCGGCGCGCAAGCATCACGACACCGCCGAAGACCGCAAGCTTCAAGCCATTCGCGACGCGCGCTACAACCAGTTCGTTGTTCTGCCCCTCATGCAAAATTCGCTCACATCTTCACAGAATCGTTGCTGAGATCAAGAAGTCAGAGATCAAGGACGAGCTCAAGTACGCTCAGAGTGCGCTGGAAGAGCACCCGCTCGTCAACAAGGCGCAGCCCCTTACGGACGATCGTCAGTCCATATGCTTCTTATTCATTCATGTGTAAGAACTAACTCGCCCTCTAGAGCTTCCCATCGTCGTCGCAGAGCTCATTGAGCTCCTCGAAGAGCACAAGAAGGAGCGTCTCGAGAAAGTCCGCTTGCAGAATCTCACCGGCCTCTGCTCCAATGTCTACCGCGACTACACGTACCACATCAGCAAGATCCGGCCCGACAGCATATGTATACCCATCTGCGACCTCCTCCTCACGCCTCCGTACCAGGCGTACATCCACTACACACCCGACAAGCCCCTCGGCCGCCGCCCGGAGCACAAGGAAATGACCGAGCTGTCGAAGAAGTGGCGCGAGGCAAAAGACGCCGAGCTAGCGAACATCGTGGCGAAAGCGCTCAAGAAGAAGCACGCAGACGTCCAACTCGTCAATCTGGCCACGACGTTCTTCGAGTGCAAGATGGACTCGGATCCGAAGAGGTCAGACGATACGCACACGATCGGCTACCCGCATATCTTGGTTACCGAGTACGCGACGCGTCCGCACTACGGGGACGACAAGCGCGATGAGCTTGTCTACGTTATGGACGAGACGCCATGGAACTTTCAAGGCGAACGCGTCGTGTTTGACGCTGTTGCCCACAAGCTTGCGCGGGATGTTGTCAAGCTCGCTGGTCTCGACCCCGACAAGGCTACCAGAGTGGACATGGACGCACGCGACGCCTGGTTCGTCTGCACTGGCTGCAGCAAGCGGGGTTACCGCCGCGTGATGCAGTGGTACCAAGCGGTGAGTTGTGCTTGCTATTGCGCCTAAGGTAACTGATTGAATGTCGTCCCAGATCCGCCACATTCGTCCGGCCGCAGACCACTGGAAGGGCCTTTGCGAGAGCGGCAAACCCGCTCTTCAAGTTCTTGACGAGAAGGATGCTGTACGAGCCGCTGTCGTCAAGGCCGACCAGTGGAACGTGCCGGGTTTGGCTCGCAAAGACCGTCGGCGTGGACGCGCTGCAGAGGATGCTCCAAAGTCTACCTCGGTACGCATGATGTGCAACCATTGCCGCCATATCGTGCACTCAGAGGCTGCGCTCGAGCATATGGTAGAGAAGTCAGTCTAGCGTTCGCCGCCTGCTTCTGCCGAAAACTGATCTGTGTCGCCCTAGGCACAAAATCGCTCAGGTCAGCGCCAAAGACCTTGTGATTCCTCTGGACAAGCCCGACGTTTGGGAATATGTCCTCACGAAGTAAAGACTCGAGGATCGGCCGGCGCTCGCACAAGTGTGCCGCCCTTTGGCATGTTTGAGTCGCTTGCGATGGCTCTTCCTCTCGACACGTTTTCTCTTCTATCTGCGCGTGATGTTTTATCGGCGTGACTCTCAGAAGGTGCTGGCCTGTGGTCCTGTAGTATGCGATGTATCGTCGTCTATCGAACACTGGCTCCTCCCACATGTATGCTCTACTTCTACGCAATACTCAGTATAGAAAGCCTGATTGTCCAAGTGAATAAATGCTGGCAACGGCCCGGATCACGTTCTGGTTGGTCACTGTGGATCCCCTTGCCGGGGCCCATTTGATCCCGTTCGGACGTTGCCGACTTGATTGTGGCGAGTGACGCGTGCCTGCGTCCTGCGTTCATCTTTGGTGAAGTAGCATCTACGCCTCGTGTGCTTTTCTGCATCTGCCTTGGGCGCACTAAGGTCGCTTTCTTATCGCTTGAACCTACATATCACGAATCCTTTGCGGGCATCCACGTCAGCCTCGGGTACTATGGCACAGTCAACAGCCCGCACGCCTGAATCTCAACCAGTCGTGGGCTCTAGCGCCCGACGAAAGCGAGACGCCGATACGAACGAAGGACTCATAGACGAGGAGGAAGGATCTATACCGCGAAGAACCAAGCGGAGGAGAAAAACGCGTGAAGCGGACGTGTCGGAGGCCGTGTCCTTTGACGAGATGGGAGGAGCGTCAACCAGCGCGGATGGGAATGCAACCTCAATTCCTGCAAAGAAAAGAAAGGCGCCAGACAGTACGAAGAAGGGCAAGGCCTCTGCCAACTCGCAGCCGCAGCGCCGACGTGTCAAGGGTAGTCTCGAACGTCTTACCGACATGCCCTTTGACATACTACTTGAGGTTGGTAATCTCTGATTCTAATCTTCACCCCCCGGCCTACCAGATCTCGCCTTGAACCCACTACACTCCCTCAGATGTATGCGTACTAACCTCAATCCAGATCTTCTCTCACCTCGACCCCGCCTCCTTGCTCAGCATCACGCGGACCACAAAGGTCCTGCGCGCCCTCCTGCTCGACAGATCTACGATCCAAATCTGGCGAGACAGCCTTAGCAGAGTCGAAGGTGAGCGCATGCCCCCCGTTTTGTCACTCTCTGGCCACTCTCGCCAATACATACCTCGCACTCACCCCGCCGCCCAGGCGCCCCCGGTACCCTAATCCCCGAAACCCCAGGATCAGGACCGCCCGGCTCCTCTATTAAGCTCCCCGACGACCTCTCTGAGCCCGCCTTCACCGCGCTCGCCTTCGGCCACCACTGCCAGTTCTGCGCCTCTCCGCATGGGTCGCAAGTCCTCTGGACAGCGCGGTTGCGCTATTGCAAGAAGTGTATTCCGGAGAAGTGAGTCATCCTCCTCGTCTGAGCCTTTTCTCCCGTTCGTTTGCAAGCGAGAAATACCCGCATGCAAAAATATTCAACTACCTTCAGCTTCATCCACGCCCCCGCCTCCGGCGACATGAACAAGTTCGCATTCAAGTACCCCATCCTGCGCAAGCCCATGGAAGCAAGAGAAATGATTCCCAGTATCGAGTGGAAGAGTACTTTTTCATCCTATTTGTCATCGCACCCCGACTAACCTCGTCCTCCAGAAAGCCCCTTCTACTTCCCCAAACCCCACGTCGAGCGCCTGAACGCCGAGTACATGTCACTTACGGGCGACCCCGATGCGCTTGCGAAGTGGAAGAAGGAGAAGAAGGCGGAGTATGGGGAGGCAGAGGAGGTAAGTTGGGCGTTCTTGACCACGCTAGTGTCTCTCGACACCGCTACTGTCTCTCGACATCGCCAGTGTCTCTAGACCCCGCTAGCGTTTCTCGACCCCGCTAGTGACTCTCAGCCCAGACCTCCTAGGCATATGTATCGGTGTCGTATATTCACTCACATCCGTCCAGTTCTCCAACTGCTGCGAGCTCATGGAGGCCATACTCTCTGACCAACGCATCAGGAAGCAGGGGGAGATGCGCAAGGATAGGCAGGCGAGGTCAGCATCTTCTTCCCGCGCCTTTCTTCCTCGGCGTGTGCATTACCACATACGACTTCAGCCGTTCACCGCCCTAACCCTTCCCCTCAGCATCGAGTCCCGCCTCCGCGCCCTCGGCTTAGGCGCCGACTTCGACTACGCGAAGAGTCGCGTTATGCTCGAGGGAATGCCCCATTGGAAGAAGACGCAGCCGGAGATGACGGACAAAGGTGCGTGCTGGCGAGCTCAATGCTTTTTGTCGTCTATCTGCCCGACTTGTTCCACGCATTGGCATCGCTTGCCTGACCATCATCACCGCTTGCCTGACCACCCATCGCTTGCCCGCACCACCCCACCGCGCGGTAGATTTCTGACTTTGGCCTTACAGCCTGGTCCCAAATACAGCCCTCCATCCTTGCATTCTTGCAGCAGGTCAAGACGGACAGACTTGAGCGCGCGCGCTTGGACGAGGAGCTGGAACGGAGGTTGGAGTATCAGGCAAAGTATCCGATCTGGGAGTGAGGGGGGAGGGGGTAAAGTGGGGAGGAGGACGGGGGTGAGATTTAGGGACGGGAGGCGAGGCGAGAGAATGGGATGGGTGGGGGATGAGGCCGAAGAGGTCGTGGGGTGCGACCGGAAGGGTCGTTAGGAGCTGGGCGGGGAAGGATAGGAAGTAAGAAGAGACCAGGATCGCTGGGAGCAGGAGAGACCAGGATTGCTGGGAGAAGGAGAATGGAAAGTCGACCTTCATCACACCCGCCCGTCCACGCAAGACCTCTTCCGCAACGCTCCAGCACACCCTCAACCTCTTTTTCCCTTGGACCCAACGCTCCCGGAACACACTCAAGCTCACCGTCTCCGACTCGAGATGTACGTGGATTCATCATCTCCGGACCCGTGTGGGAGCGCGGCGCCCGACGTCGACGGCGAGCCTCAGGACGCCTTCGTCTTTTTTGTACCTGACAAGCGACACGGTCTGTACATTGTTCATATTGTGCTGTCGGCCCCTTCGCGATGCGGCATGCACTCGCCCATATTGCGACGTCCGCTCTGCGTGCGTTCCCCTTGTCTCGACTCGCACCCACATAGCATGCCAACACGCACTCACGCCGCGTTCCTTACGGCTGGACCCACTATAAGCCCTTTCCTGTTGATCGTCTATACACTCGGCCTAACTCACGTTGTTTACAGCCGACCCCCCGCAGGACCCATGTCGTCCTCAAACAGGTCTCCCTCAAGACCGACCACAGGCCCTTCATTCGCCGGACGCAGTTTGCTCGTCCAGGTACATCCCGGCAGCCGCGTTGGTCGTATATAAGAGCGATTCACCCTCGAGGAAGACGTCCCAGCCCTCTTCAACGAGTATCCATCCGCTACCTCATCCACGCCCTTCGAACATGTTCGCTACCCTCCTCCCCCTCACCCTCCTCGCCACCTCCCTCACCCGCGCCTCCCCCCTCGAGGACCGTAGCGCCTCCCCCCTCGAGGATCGAAGCACCTCCCCCCTCGAGGATCGAAGCGCCTCCCCCCTCCAAAAGCGCGCCGGCATCTGCGACTCGGCGCCCCTCGACGCGCCCGCCGTGGAGATCTCGCAGCACGGGGATTGTGAGTGGGTCCTCGAAATTGTATTTTTTCTCGTCGTGTGGCAGTATTCCTTTCGTGTTGCTTCAGCTTTCCTCTCCGTGGTCCATCCTTCCTCTCCCCTTCTTGTCGCAGCTTTCCCCTCTCCTTTCTGTCGCAGCTTTCCCCTCCCCTTTCTGTCGCAGCTCTCCTCTCCTGACCGCCCGAACGGTCAATTCTTTCGCATGTCGACGGCTCGGTTGTATGCACGATGTCCGACGGATTACTCTTTCGACTGGAGATCCCCCTCCCGACGACTGACTGACATACCCTGCAGCAAGCAAGGTCTGGTGGGTGCGCGACACCAGCGACTACTTCTTCGACTACGTTGATCTGGAGGTGCGTTTAAGTTTTGCTCCTTCCTCTGCCGCGCGCGAGGAATCCTCGACCACGCGCCTGCCCTTCCACCGCATGTACAATGAAAACCTAACGCTGATGCTACTTTGTTCATCTCCAGCCCGAATCCACCAACGCCACCCAGCACATCTACCACACCTGGTACCTCCAGCGCGTCAACACGCAGTACGACTTTGTGCGGTACGATGACCAGTTTGCGTTGGTGGTGAGTGATTTTGCTTGCTTGCCCCTCCATATCCTCCCTCCGCCCCCATATTCACTCCTCCCCTATATTCACTCCTCCCCCACATTCGCTCCTCCCCTATATTCGCTCCTCCCCCACATTCGTTCCTCCCCTATATTCGCTCCTCCCCCATATTCGCTCTTCCCCCATATGTCCTTCCTCTTGACAAAGTGTCCCTCTCCCCCTCCCCCTTTCTTATCGCCCTCTTCCTCTCTCTCCCCTTCCCCCACCCTTTCCATCCCCCTTCCCCCACCCTCCCTCCACTGACCTTGCTCATTCCCACCCCCAAGTCCGCCATCGCCATAAAAACCAAAGCCATCTCCACCAACGGCGCCAACTCGCTCTACGGCCGCCAATACACGACCCTCCCGGACGACACCGAGGGCGAGATCCTCGCGAACAAGGGGTTCGCGTGGACGATGTCATGCGCGACGTGTGCGGACGAGTTGTGCTTGAGCTGTGGTACGGGCTCAAGTGAAGGAAGCAAGCTCGAGTCGTGCACCTTCAAAGAGCCCTTCGCCGGCAACTGCATCACGACGCAGGCGAACGGGACGCTGACGGCGCTGCCGTGCGACGGGTCGGCGGAGCAGCTGTACGATGTGCATGTGGTGGAGGCGTGAAGCTTGAGGGCTTGTATGACAGCGAGAGGAAGGTTGCCTGATGCAGCTGGCTAGCGCTGTATGTGCCGTAGCTAAAAAGATGTACCGTGGCTAAAAAGATGTACCGTGGTCTAAAAAGTTGGGAGACATGCGCAATCGATGTATAGCTGTGAAAGTCTCGCTGAACGGGATAAGTACCATCGCAAAGAAAGACCAGAAGCATGCAAGGGACGGACCCCAACTCCAAAACCTGTCGAATATGCATCGCGGGCGACCGAGACCCTCGCGGAACGTGGATCCAGATGAGGGACCGCCGGCGACTTGCTGCGAAGGGTCAAGCAACTTGCGTCTCCTCGGAGCCTCCCGTACCGCGCGCCCCCCGCTACAGCCCTCCCTTGCACGTCCACCTTTGCGCGCTCGTGGGCATGATTCAAGCACAAGACGCCATCGTCGTGACCTATTGCTTCATCTCGCAGGCTCGCGTGCGGAAATTCCCTCCATCCCTCCCTGGCTTCGCTTGTTATCAGGAAGGTCTCGCCCTCTTTCTCACCTCCTCCCCACCATGCTGCGAGCGCGTCAGAAAAGCGCCAGAGCAAAGAAAAGCGCTAGAGCAAAGAAAAGCGCTAGAGCAGAGAAAGTCGATGGGGGGAGACGGTCAAGACGAAGTCGATGGGGGGAGACGGTCAAGACAAAGATGCACGCTCCCAAAAGCTTCACGAACGGAACGTGAGGAAGGGGGAAATTGTGTGGCGAAGGGCAGGGGAGAGCGAGTCCAAAGTAGACGAAAGAGCTCACTGACGAAAGAGCTCACTGACGAAGGCCGTGGGGGAGCCGAGAAGGGGTAGGGGTTTTAGAGAAAGGAAAAGCTTGAACGAGAGGACGGAAACACGCACCACGGCGGCGAGAATGCTTCATGAAGAAGGGGAGAACACCACACCCGCTCCTCACGTCGCTGAGCGCCTTCCCCCGCTGTCGCCCCAGTCGCGCTCACGGTCCCGGCCCCGGTCGGATTAAACTGAAAAAAATGAGCGAAGGTGAAAGTTATGTGGTGAATAAAATTGCAAGGGGAGGAGGATTGGCCAAATCATCGCGCTTCCGCATGGAATAACGAAAATATGGGAGAATGAAGTGGTGTGAGAATCAGCGGTGCGGTAGGAAAGAGAATAGGAATAGGTGACGCGATCCTGTTTCCCCACCCTCATGCTGCGCTGACAGCCACGGAGGAGAGAGGAGAAGGAGACGGGCAAGACTAGTAGGATACTGAAAGGGGGGCGTGCGGCGAGGGAACGCGGAAAAGGGAGGTCGAGGGCGAATGTAGAAAAGGGGAAGGGAAAGTAAAAGGGAGAGAAAAGGGGAGAGAAGGAGCGCGGACAAAGCACGGGAGAGGGGGGAAATGTAAGCGGCGAAAACAATACGAGGGAAAGGCGGCCGTGGAGAAGCGAGCGGTTCAAGTGTAGCTGCGAAAGCTTGACGCACATACCGACTTATCGTAGCGTTTTTAGCGACCTTCCAGGTAACGAGATACGCATGGCGTTGGTCATTGACGGTCATTCCCGATAAGGCGAAGAGGTATGGGATCTAAGGCTCGCTGGTTGTGGCTTGTTCGCGTTCGAACGGGGTCGGGGACTGGCAGCGGTGGCGCTCGCGAGGAGGTTCATTAGCGTTTGCATTGGAGATAACATCCGAGGGAGATTGCGTGGTACAGTCAACACGAGCATAGGAAGCAGAAGCCCCCGACCGAGTGACCGTCCATCGCAGGTCGCGGCGAGCGCGCCCGCGCCCGTCGATCACCAACGCCACATTGACAAACGCCGACCCACCGGTCCGACTTTCCGATCCAAACATCACTTCTCACCACCTCAACTCCACTCACAGCCACCTCTACTAATCGCACACCCATGATCGGGCCCGAACTGCCCCCGCACCTGCAGCGGCCCAAGAAGGACGAGGAAGAGGAGTCGAGCGATGACGAGGACGCGTTCCTGCCAGAGCTCCCGCCCGATCTCAAGGCGGGCCCGAAGGCTCTCTCTTCTACCCCTGGTCCGTCACCATCCGGGCCGTCGGCGTCTGCATCAAACCCTTCCGCGCCCGCGTCTACCTCCAGGCCCTCCGCATCCACACGCCCACCACCTGCCCCGGCACCCTACGACGATGACGACTCGGACGACGATGTGGGACCGAAGCCGCTCGGCGCGCCTGCCGTGCGGCACGACGAGAATGAAGGTATTCGCCGATTCTTGGAAGTCGAGCAGAGGAGGAGGGAAGAGGCGGAGGTGAGTGTCACACGCGCCTGCTACATTGTCCTACGCGCCCACTTTTCCTCTACCACTACACGCACCGCTGACCGCCTTCCGCACAGAACGCCTCCAAACCCAAGACCCTCCAGCGCGAATCTTGGATGCTCACCCCGCCCTCGGCATCCGAGCTGCTATCCAGTGCGTGTTCATCCATCTTCCCTCCACATTCCCCTTCACCTCTTCACCCCCTTCCCTTTCCCTCACTCCCCTCCCTTTCCCTCACCCCTTCCTCACCCCTCCTCCCTCGCTCGCTCACTCCCTTCCCCTCGCCCTCTACCCTCCTTCCTCTCTTCGCCCTTCTCTTCCCCCACCCTCACAACGTACTAACCCCCCCAGACATCGACCCCACCAAAAAGCGCACCTTCTCCACCTCCACCCTCGCCCCCGCGTCCTCCCGCAAGAAGAACGAGCCGAACCTGTGGACGGAGACGCCGCAGGAACGACTCCAACGACTCAAGGACGAGGTTATGGGTCGCACGAAAGGAGAGACAGAGGGGAGGCGGAAACGCGCTGTGAACCCTACGGGGGACGATGGGAACGACGAGGAGGGTGCGGGGGATAGGGAGAGGGCTAAGCGAAGGAAAGTGGAGGAAGAGCATCAACGCAATGTAGGGGAAGGCGTGGAGGAGTATACGGTGAGTCGCCGTCTTCGACGTGTTCCTTCATCATCTTTCGATGTGTTTCTTCATCATCTTTCAATGTGTTCCTCCATCATCTTCGCTCGTGTATCCCCTTCTTCGCTCTTCCTCCCGCCGCCCACCTTCACCCCCCTTCCCCTCCCGCCGCCCACCTTCACCCCCTTCTCCTCCCGTCGCTCTTCTCCCTCTCCCTCTCTTCGCTCCTCCTTTCCCCCTCCTACCCTTCTCGCTGATGCGTGTTGATGGGCGCGGGCATGGGGTGGTCGATCTATCCTCCCTCACCTCCCTTCCCCACTCCCCCCTCCTCCCCACCCCCTACCTCCCCATACTTTTCCTACACCCCTACCTCCCCATCACCCTCCCCACTCCACCATGCACCCTCCCCACTCCACCATGCACCCTCCCCACTCCACCATGCACCCTCCCCACTCCACCATGCACCCTCCCCACACACAAAATACAATAACCCCCACACACAAAATACAATAACCCCCACACACAAAATACAATAACCCCCACACACCCCCTTTCCCCCTATCTCCCCATTACCCCATCACCCTCCTTTCACCACATTACCCTCCTTTCACCCCATTATCCTCCTTCCCTCCCCTCCCTTACTACCATACTGACCCCCCTCCCCCCCTCCTAGCGCAAAATCCGCGGCCCCTCCCTCACCGAGGCCCACCTCGAGCGCGAGCGGCAGAAGGCGGCGAGCAAGGCGAAGCGGGATGAGTCGGCGAGCAAGGCGAAGCGGGATGAGTCTGGTGAGCCAGGTACACCCCTCTCCCCCTCCCCACCCCACCTCCCAACACACCCCATCTCCCCACCCCACTAACCCCCCCCCCCAGACCCCGACCCCATCTGGGACCGCGACCGCGACCTCGGCGTCGGCGGGCGCATCTTCAGCGACGGCGAGCGCAAAAAAGCACTTCACGACGCGCGGAGCGGGCTGGGCGAGCGGTTTGGCGCGGGGGGTGGGGGAAGGTTTATGTGAGGGGGGTGGGGGAAGGTTTATGTGAGGGGGGGAGGGGGGCGGTTTATGTGAGGTTATGGCTGTTTTTCTTATTGGGATACAAAGGGGGGCAGAGAGGGGAGGACTCAGAGGGTGGGAATGAGGTGGGAGGGCTATGTGAGGTTATGGCTGTTTTTTTATTGGGATACAAAGGAGGGCAGAGAGGGGAGGGTGAAGGGAGATGGCGGACGGGACTCGGAGGGAGGGAATGAGGTGCGGGTGGTGGGGAAGGGGCATGGAGGGAATGAGGTGGGGGTGGTGGGGAAGGGGGATGGTGAGGAAGGGGGATGGTGGGTTTGTACGCTTCGTGCTCCATCTCAATGATATCACTCCGACCTCGCGAATTCTCACTCCGACCTCGCGAATTCTCACTCCGACCTCGCGAATTCTCACTCCGACCTCGCGAATTCTCACTCCGACCTCGCGAAATTCTCGCTTGTTTGTGGAGCTTGCTATCGGCTGTCGGTATAGATGCGCCCTCTCGCTGTCGGTATAGGTGCGCGCTACCGGCTATCGGTATAGGTGCGCGCTGGCGGTATAGGTGCGCCTCCTCCTTCCCCGCACCTTCCCTCCATCCTTCCCCCCTTGCCCTCCATCCTTCCCCCCTTGCCCTCCTCTTCGCGTGCCCTCTCCTCCTCTCCCCTCCCATTCTCCCTCCGCTCCCCTCCCATTCTCCCTCCTCTCCTTCCCCTTCCCCCCGCCCTCGCCCCTTCCCCTCGCCCTCGCCCCTTCCCCTCGCCCTCGCCCCTTCCCATTCTCCCTCCTCTCCTTCCCCTTCCCCCCTTCCCCTCGCCCTCACCCCCCCTCGCCCTCGCCCTCCCCCCCTCGCCCTCGCACCCCCCCCCCCTCGCGCACGCACGACCGAAGGGAAACGTGTGGTGGAGAGGGGAACGTGTGGTGAAGAGGGGAACGTGTGGTGGGGAGGGGAACGTGTGGTGGAGAGGCGAAGGGGTGGCACGACCGAGGGATCGGCGAGGGGGTGGCGCGAGGAAACTGGCGGGGTGGCGCGAGGAAACCGGCAAGCTGCCAGCGTCAACGGGCAAGGTGCCAGCGTCAACGGGCAGGAGGCGAGAAGGGAGAATGGGGCGGACGGAAGGGAGAATGGGGCGGACGGAAGGGAGAATGTTGCGAACGGAAGGGAGAATGTGGCGAACGGAAGGGGGAATGTTGCGAACGGGAGAGAGAATGTGGCGAACGGAAGGGAGAATGTGGCGAACGGAAGCCGCGCGCCCGGCGCCGCGCGGAGTCGTCTCGAGTTACGCGCAGGTTGTCTCGAGTTATGCGCAGGTCGTCTCGAGTTACGCGCAGGTCGTCTCGAGTTACGCGGGGAGTCGTCTCGAGTTACGCGAAGTCGTCTCGAGTTACGCACAGGTCGTCTCGATTTACGCGCAGGTCGTCTCGAGTTACGCACAGGTCGTCTCGAGTTACGCGCAGGTCGTCTCGAGTTACGCGCAGGTCGTCTCCTTCTCCCTTGGCGCCCTTCGAAGTTCGGAGATGCCAGCAAAAGAACACATTCGTTGGTGGGTCATGCAGCAGATACATTCACTACATTCACTACATTTACTACATTCACTGCATTCACTACATTCACTACATTCACTACCGACTGTAAAGTCTACGCCTCCCCGCTCGACATCCTACCGTGATCGTCCAGACCGTAGTGATGATCGTTCTTACCGTAGTAATGATCGTTCAGACCGTAGTGATGATCGTCCAGACCGTAGTGATAATCCAGAACCCCTGCGAAGCTACTCACCACTCCTGCGAAGCTACTCACCACTCCCTAGACTCATCCTCAAGGCGGATATCCACCCGTCCTCAAGGCGGATATCCACCCGCCCGGCGGGGCTATCCCGCTCCACAACATACACCTCCCACATTCTCCGAATCAACGAGAGAACATTTCGGATGACCAGAATACTATCTGATAACCACAACTCGCAAAAGGCCGGAAAACGCGCTGGTCCATCTGCCGCTGAGGTCAGATCCAGTAGTAGGTCCACCGAGAGCTTAGGTCCACCGAGAGCTTAGGTCCACCGAGAGCTGTGGCGAGAGCACTAGCTCTCTACGCACCGGTGGTATCGCCAAACAGAGCGGCAGCGATCTCTCTTTGAGAAAGCACACCCCGAATTGTGCTCGTCAACGACTGGTCGGATCGGTTTTACACAACGAAAGGTGTTCACGCGCAGCACGCGTAGCATCGTATGAGGCACCAAGATGTCAGCACACGCCCTCTGGTGGAGACGAAAACATGAGAGGGAGCAAGAAGAGAGCGCGTGCCACGTACCAGGTCGCTCGCTGACCAGAGGTATCCAGGGCTGCGTTCGGCGTGGGATTCGAGGACTTCCAGTCGCGGGAAGCTGGCCGCTATGTACTCGAAGAGGCGTGTGTCCATCGGACCGCAAAACGAAAAGTGCAATGCGCGCAGGTCGGGGCAACGGTACCGCCGAGAGGATATCCAGCAGAGCGGACGGTGTCATTGCTGGACCGTAGTGATAATTTGGGTTGTCCAAATCACCATCCTGCCTCAGATCCTCTCTCTCCGGGGCGAGTTTCTCTCAATAATTGCAGAGGACCCTTGAGTTCCCGCGAACGCAAGCGATGCTCCTTACGCCACGGGAAATCATGACACCTCACATTCGATGGTCAAGACTCATACGCACCGTACATTGGTCCCCGAACACCCTCGCCGCGTACTCCAAGCAGTCATACTCGGGCGGCACGGGCGGAAGGTCTGGCACGTTCGCCAGACACGCTTGCCACACCGAAGTCGCACGCCTGGTCGCCAGCGCGTCGCGAAATGCACTCGATGTGCGCTTCAGATTGAAGAGGTCGGAAGGGTGGAGGTGCGAGAAAATCTGAGTGGCTGATTCAGCACGTACGAGATTATCTGGAACCTGAAGGACATGGGAAGGGCATACGTACCTCATATACCATGTCCATCGGCAACGCAGAAAACGTCGGGGCAATCTCGTTGACGTCTGAACGCATAGTTGCAGCCTAAAACTATGGTGTTCTTGTATCAAGAGAAACAGCACTTTAGAGAAGTTGGCATACAGAACCTTGAGAGTAGCAATTACCTGAGAACTCCGAGAGGGCAAGCTGTGCGCTGCGGACGCCTGACGTCCCGCATTCTGCGGGTATTGCCGAAAGAAGTTGCACGATCACGTGCACAAGTTCAACTTCCGAGTTTGATCCCTAACGACCGCGGTCAGGCAGTACTTCAGCCGTCAGCACTCCTTGGGTCGATATAGGAGCAGCGAAGAAACCTTCTGCATAGTACTAAATATTATCTGCGTGCGTCATTCGCAGTCATTGCACAAATACATCTCATTCGAGCCTACATACATACACGTGCAAGAGCCCGGGGTTCAGACTGTAACGAAAGGTGAAGGTCCATACAGCAATATCAGCTGGAGGGTCGGGTAAATAGACGCTCTCCACCAGAGCATCGTTCCCATACATCTAGATGCTCAACGCTCCGTCGGGCTCGGTGTCATGGACTCTGTATACTTCGCATCAACGCCTTTACACACGTAGGGACATCAGAATGCTTACGGAATGAGCGGCCTTGAGCTCACACAAAGGTCTGGCCGCCCATCGCGACCACGTTCCACGTCAAATATTTGCCAAATCCTACATAGATAGTCCATATCGCCGTACGCCTGAGGTAGCCATACATCCTGCAGTCGAGGCCAACGGGAATAGCTAGGTTTGGCATCGCCGCTGCCTTCTTCGCCAAATAGGGCGGCGACGACTTCGGCGCGGAGGATGCCAAATCGTGCTTTCTGCTCAAGGGTTTCGTGGAAGTACATGCGCTCTTGACATTGCATCCACTGCTCTTGCGATAGCACCCGCCGAAAAGTATTCAGTCTCAGCGACCGCAATCGTGAAAGCGGGGACAGAGCTCGGGCGCACGCAGTCTGATGAAGCGGGTCCAGGTCAGCTTATCGCGAAGGGGAACATATGAAAGGCATACCAATTGAGGCGTTTGCCAGATGCATCCCGGGCCGGTTTCTGCATGCAGCTCCAAAATCTCAAGAAGGGGAAAAGTCTCCGCAATGAAGTTGAAGAGACGAGTACCCTCCTGGCCCCGGAATGAGAGTCGCAGGTCGTGTAGACAGGGCAGCTCCGTTAAGGTCAAGATGCGCTCGATATCCAGGGGTCTGAGAACCGCGATGTATGGATTCGCGATGTTGACCTCGTGCAGCTCGTACTCCTTGAGCATGTTGGTCCCATGTGTACCGTGCGGATGCGTAAGTAGAGAGAGCGAACGCAACGTTTGGGGCAGTCGCGTGTACACACCATCCAATACAGAAGGGTTATAGAGCTCGAACACCTCCAATGCGCCGCCGAAGGTTTTTAGATGCGAAACATCGCTAGGAGGCCATACCGTCCGCCGCGGTTCAGGAAGGAAGATGTACCGCCAGCGAATGCGCAGGATGCGGAGGTTGGGCGTCGCATTGATCAGAGTTCCCAGGTGTACATGCTCGTATATGGATGCCGGCGTCTTCAACCGAGCGTCATCGAGCGGTGTCTCGGAATCGTTGGATATCCAAAACCCAGTGATGACGAGAACTCGGAGCGACGACCATGTATATGCCACAGCGCACGGCAGGGCTAGCGATTCCGCGCTGATTTCGAGCTGCTCAACCTGCGAGATGTCGAGCTCATGCAGCAATGTCGCGAAAGGGTAGCGTGTAGCGCGCGCCTTCTCGATCCAATCCACGTCCGTGGCTATTTCGTGTACAAGATCGAGGCGTGAGCAATAGCGCACGACACGGGGCCGTGACACTAGCTGAGGAAATCGAGGAAGCGGCTGCAGTGGGTAGTTCATTGAGACCGCTATGTTCTTGGGAAATGTCCTGAAGTACAGGTACGCGAGATCGAGTGTGTGGATGCGCGGAGTGCTGCGCAAGATGAGCGCAAGGCTCGAGGTGATCCTCGTTGCGCGAACGTGCAGGGACTCTATGCGACTCAAATCGTGCGTCACTAGAAAGTTCTGCATGTCGGCTTCGTCAGTTTGCACGTATAGATGGCTGGTCCATGTGAGCGACAACTCGAATACGCATTTTCGCATACACGTACCGTATATCGCCCCAGGCCGATTCAGGAGGCGCATTTATGGCTTGTCTGAGGTTCCATGGCCAGGGACAGGTAGCGAAGAGAGAAGGTCGCAATAAGTGGCGCAGTCGTGAGCATGTTGTGGAGAGGGACAACGCGTCCTTGTGCAATAAGAATTCCGTGAGATAGTATAGTATGTCCTCGTCCACAGCCAGAAGGAGCATCCTGGCGAGAGTTGCCGTCGAAGTATAACCACGAATTTAGGGCTTATCGAAGGATCGTGATGAGAGGGAGGAGCAAGCGCCTTACATCACCCACGGAGACGTTGGATGGATCGGACAATGCCGAGGTACTCACCGTCACGGGGAACGCTAGTGACGGTTCGCCACCCTGTCAGATAACTCAGAAGGGCCGTTGCACGGCAGGGCCCGCTACCATTCAGACTACAGTTAATGATCTGCAGTACATTGTCCCTAGTTTGATGTTGACAGCCTCTGCATTGCAAGCCAAAGCGAGCGAGCAGTGATAGACGCGTGTTCCTCAGGTGAATGTCGTTTGAGGTAGCGAGCGATATTACTACACCTGTTTGTCATCACGTCAGAATAACCCTCATCAAGAAAACGCACGGATACGTGAGGCCGTCCATAAAGGGATTTACAATGAGTTCAAGGCAGCGAAACCGCGGCGAGCCGTCCTTACGATCCCACACTGTAACTCGGGCATGCCATCGCGCACCATTGCTGTGCTAATAGAGAGCTTCGCATGTCTGTTCTCAACGCGCCGCTTCAGTTCCGGTCTCACACTCGCTGGTCTTCATCATGGTCTTCCGGCGTCGTTCAGCAGCGAGAAGCACGGCCTCCAAAGGGCTCCCGTGTCGACGCGAGGCCGAAGCGCATCTCCTAATTTTCCGGTGTGCGCTGTTCAGTGCACTAGTAGACCTTCGACCTGAAAGACTAATAAGCGTTTGCATTGCGGGCGCTCAGGCCTCGGGCATTGTCGGTGCCCATTGACGGTTGATGTCCTTGAGATGACGTGTACTCCGCTTGATCACTAGACAGATACCAGCAGATGTCGATGACTCTGAGCATTCCTTTGCGCGGCTCTGAAGATGGGAGATGGCGTGAAAAGCCAATAGAAAGTCATCGAGAACCGAGGTGAGTGCAGGAGGGAAGCCGCGTACGGCGAATATCGAGCGGTCGAGACCTTCGAGGCCCAAGCATGTGCATTGCACGTGACAGTCCTCAGAATCCGTCAGTCTCCGCTAAGAGCGGTTTTGCGTTCCGTCCCCATAACCCACTACCATAAATGGTAGCGGGAATTCGTGGCTGCCGGTAGCCTTTGGTATACACAATCGCATCGCATCTTCATAATCTCTTCGCGAGCCCAATCATGATAATAGAAATACTTAGGACACATGAAAGCAGACAGAAAAGAGATGGAAACAGGGAGCGATGCTGCTGCTGCAGGGGATGCGTATGTGCAGGCCGAGGACGACCGATGAGTTGTTGTGTTGAGTGCGTACGTAGGGTCTGGTATGAGTGGTGCAGTCCGCATGCGGGATACTAGATACAGGCGCTATGAACCAGCGATGGTATGACTCCGGTACACCGTCCGACCGCGCCCCACACGTCGCACGAAACCAAACGGGGCGCCCCGCGCCCGACAGTATAGTATAGAAACGAGCGTGCAGAGCGGTGCGAATATGCTGCTGATAATTATGCTTGAAAACGAATGAGCGGGTATCCTTCACGAAGAAAGAGGGAACAGGTGAGAGTCCGTGCGGGTACTTGTGGGGAACGTTGGCGAGGGAAGAGTGGATACCGATGCATATATAACTGGCGGACCTGGCGCCTGAGTCTGTAATTCTGCCCGAGGGGCTGAATACAGGCGGCGTATGGGAATAAACAGAGATATAGTGGACGTATAGATAGGTTTTGGCCGGTGCGTCAAGATGCATCGAATCAGACAAAGAACTGCGTGCTGGAATGCATGTCAGTCAAGGTCGCTCGTCGTCAATAAAGACTATACGTACTGGATACGGCTGGCCGCGTGGACCTCCATCTCCTCCATTTTGTACGAGTTCAGCTCCTCCTTGATGGACTGCGCCAGCGCGGGGGTCAACCGACTCCAGGTCGCAGGCTCGCTTCGCCGGTCGTACACGAACTTCGGAAACGTCTCCCACAATGACAACGCGTTCGAGAACGCGGGCGACTTGGCTGGCGTAGTCGCCGAACGATGCGTCAATGACGGCGCCTTCGCGATCGTTGACAGCGCCGGTGCGGACGAGTTCGGGTGGATGAAGATCGCCGACGTCCGGTCACCGCCACCACCGGTAGGCGACGGTGAGACGATGTGGTCGGTCTGCTCCTTATGCGTCGCCTCGCCAACAGCGATAGTCGAGTCGAAGGAGAGGGGAGGCAACGTTGGCGCGGCCGCGTTCGTTGGCGTGGAGTGGTGCGAAGAGTGCGAACCGTGTCGATGAAGCCCGTCGATATGGTCAGGGTCTGGCGACGGCATACGGGCCAGCGGGCCCGGCTCAACCTGCGCCGGATGGGCATTGTACGAGTTGGACCGTGTCCGCATCGCAGGCGTCGAACCGTCCGCCAAGTAGCTGTGCTGGTTGTAGGTGCCGGCATCTGTGACACAGGTTAGCCGGGATTGAGTCGCGCTTAGCGTAGGCCACGTACTCTTCAGGATACCCTTCTTCGGCTTCTTCTCGCGCTCTGGGTCGCGGGGCTGGTGAATCTGCGGCTCGAATTGTACGAACTGAAATACGCCGCCGTCGCTATCCAAGCTGAGACGCTGGATCGCCGTCATGCCGTTGATGTTCACCGGCTGCGTGATCGTCACGTCCTCCTCGAAGTCGTCGCCGGTGTCCTCATCCCGACCGTCCCAATCCTCATCGTCATTCCAACCCTCGTGCGTCGTGCCATACGTGGTCCCGTAGTGCGCGTCGTCGCTCCGATCATCGTCGTCCTCATCTTCTTCTACAATCACGCGCGTGCCATCCTCGTTGACACGCACGATGCCTCCACCCTTCACTGGCGAAGCGGAGCCCTGCCGTGTATGCGTGTTGCGATCCCACGTCGCAACCCCAGCCGCGCTTCCTCCTGCTGCCGATGCTGCCGCCGCCTCAGCTTCCGCCTTCGCCTTCGCTGCTGCCTCGGCGTTGGTCTTCAACGTGTGTTGTCGTGCCAGCTTCGCCGCCGGGCTCAGCCCAGCCATCTCCGGAGCATTCCAATCCGAACCCAACCTATCCATCTCGGCAGTGACGTGCGACACGCTAGCCTCGCTCGTCTCGCCCTTCCCCTTTTTCTTCTTCGACTTCTTTCCGTCGCCCTCTTTGTCCTTCTCCTTGTCCTTGAAGAGCGACGTGATGCCGGCGAGCGAGTTACGTCGTGCGAGCTTGCCCATTGAGCCGAGCTTGCGGATCATGACACTCGCGCTGCTGACAGTGGAGGACAGCGAGATGTTGTCCGTACTGGCGTTGAAGCGGCGGTTGAAGAGCGAGCGACTCTTCTTCGTCTGCACCGTCGCGGTCGACGCGCCATCGTCCTGACCATGGTCCGGCCCCATAGGCGCCTTCCCTGCAGACGTAGCCTCCTTCTTGCCGTTGGTGGCAGCATACGTAGAAGCCTTGATCGACGCGTCGTCGTCCTCGTTCTCCTCCTGCAGGGTCTGCGAAGCGTTGAGCGATAAGGCACGTCGTAATCGTCCCTTGAGACCGCTGCGGTGCACATCCTTGCCCCCTGGAGTCATGTCCGACGGCGCGGAAGACATGAATTGAGCGAGATCGCTGTCATCGCGGGACATGCGCTTCTCCGAGGTGGAGGTGACACCCTGTGAGAGCGGCGACGGGCGCGCGACGCGCGCCTGGGAAGTCGATGTCGCGGTGGAAGGCGTAGATGTCGCCGACGTGCCTGAGGACACTGAGGGCGATCGACCCTGCCTCAGGCTAGCCGTGGCAGTCGAAGATGATGATCCCGAGCCAGTACGGTGATGTGGCGTGCGCGATGGCTGCCCTTGCGGGGACGGTGAATTGCTCGGCGACATCCTCCGGCCGCCAGGTCCGACAGGCGACGGGACGTTCTGGCCGCTGTGGTTGCTGTTCGTCCGTTGGCGCTGGCCGCCGCTGCCGTTGGAGTTCAGCGAGGACGACGAGCCGGAAGCCTCGGGACGAGCGTAGGGCGCTTGAGCTGGCGGCGGGCGCCACTCGTTATTGTCCGAAGAGGAATGTGACGCTTGGCGATTCGGCCTGCGATAGGGATGGAAGCCGGCAAACTGCGGTCCTGCTGGGACGTCTGTCGAGCTCCCGGTGCGCGGGTTGGGGGGCGGGGTGCCAGATGGGAAGGGGTTGAACGTATTTTGGGAGAAAAAGTCGCCGGGGGCGCCCTGGGGTGAACCGCGCTGGCCTGGGTGCTGCATTTGAGGCGGCATCGTGTAACCTTGCTGCACCATCATCTGGTGGTAGGCCCACTGCGCGATCTGGGCGTTGGCGGGGTCGAGGTAGGCCTGCGGAGGGTAGGGCTGCTGCTGTTGTTGAGGCTGCTGCGGCTGCTGCTGATTTTGATAGAAGGACGGATAAAAGGGTTGGGCAGCGATGGAGGGCGTCCAGGAGCCTTGGGGTTGTTGTTGGAAGACGAAGGGTGGTCCTGCAGGCGGCTGCTGGGCTTGGGATTGCTGGCGCTGAGGGTGGGGCGGCTGGAAGGTCGGCTGGGACGGATCGGCGGACTGAGACCGCTGCTTGGGCGCGTCCATGGTGTTATCTCTGGGCGAATTCCAGTCTACAGGCGCAAGAACAGCCATAAGGCGCACGGATAGCTTGTCGTCGACGTCCGGCGCGCGCGCGACGCTGTCGAATTAATCGGCTCGTGGGCGTTCCGGACAACGAGACTGTGCCAAACATGAGTAAAGCGGGTGGAAAGAGGGCGCGCGTCGACCACGCACTGCTACAGAGGCTGCGCGCCGATAACGAACGAACGGAGAGCAGGTAGAGAACAGAACAGGCGGCCGCTGTGGTCGGCGTCGAGAAACCCGCCCGAGGATGGTAACCAGCCCGATTTCAAATTCTCGCCGCTTAGTCAGCCCAATCCGCGCTTGTCCCCCCAACTGCCCGCTTTTCGCCTCGTTTTCGTTCTTCTTCTGCCGCGGCTGCCGTAAATCCGCGGCTTCAAGGTGGACAATAGCAGACTGGCGGTCGTGGACTTGGTCGATTGTATGCTTGAACTGCGGGCTCTACAGCGGTACGGGCGCAGACGCACGACAGTCGCGCCCGCCCAGTCACAGCTATCGCGCCAGGTCCCTCCATCACGGTATCGCCCGCGCCATATCACTGTTCAGGTATAGACTAGTCCCAACTCTAGTTCGCCTCGTTCCGGCGGATGCGCAGCTCCATTTTCCGCACGAATTCCCTTGATCATTTCCCGAGCCCGGATGGCTACTACTCTGCCCTCCTCCCCGCCTGCAGGCTTGGAGCTCATCGCGTACGGCGTGCCCGCAGCCTCCCGCGAACAGAGAACCACAGATTCTCCCTCCCATCAGAGATGGTGCGTCTCTTCCCCATATCCGCCATCACGCTCATATGTACGTCTCCCCTGTGATTTCTGTCGCGATTCCCATCCCATGCGCTGCGTGGATCCACGTCAGCCCTGCTAGCCGCGTCGCTCAATCAGTGCGACCGCCAGGACTGCGAATACGCGACGTCAAGGCCGTGTACAAAGTTACCGCCAGATGACCGACCGCCGACGGAACCGATGGCCACGATTACTCGAGAACCAGCGCAGTGCGATACATACGCTCGACAATCTTCCATGCCTCTCGAAATCTGTCGACGTGTATTGATCCGAAGGCGCAAGAACAACATCGCACGCGTGCCACTGCTATCGCCATACAACAAGGCTATCTTCGCGAAGACATTGCGCCTTCAGCAGACTGCTCACATGTTCGTCGATGTCGCGACGATCATTCCGCGTTCTGCAGCGCCCACAGCGACAGCATCTTCAACGCGTCCCGCGTCCTTCTCTCCTGCAGTCTCCTGCTCAGGCACCACCATGTCGTCCAGCTTCAGGCCTCTGCAGGCCCGGAGTCGGACACAGGCACCCGCCGCGCAGCTCGGCACCCCCGGTACAAAGGGCTCGCGTCTCTGCCTCCTCACCTCGGCGAAGGCTGTCTATGTGCTGATCCTCACCAGCTGACACGGTGCGGCCCGCGCCTCAGTCGAGCCGTATCCTCGCTCGCCTCAGCCGAGCCGTATCCTCATTCTAGACCAGTGCAACGCCCCTCTCAATTCAATCGCACCTACTTTCGCCGGCAGACTATGCCCTCCATCGCAAGGCGCGCAGTAGGGGGTGTCCAACTCTGGGGAACTGACGTTAATCATTGCCAGCTATCTTCCTCATCGTATCTATAGCAAAGATATACAGTGTGTTCAATGCAGCTGCTTTTACGTATCTTGTTCCCCTTAGCGTCTTCACATCCAAGCTCTCCAAACCCAACGGCTTCACGATTGCTTCAACCTACGCTACGTCACTATCTTACCCCGTACTTCCCAATGAGGAAGGCCTTGTTCCCATTTCGAATTCGTCTCGTCCTCCTCCCCATCCCCACATACCCCATCATACCCGTTCCGAGACGGAAACCTCCACCGCGGGCGCGCTAGCAACTCCTAGCGCTCACACATCCTTCTAGCAGCGCTCAAGTACCTATCGCGCTCATATACCGGTCACGCTTATACACACAGGGCTTCGCGCTGATACACCCTCCTTCGTCGCGCTTATAGACCAGGTCACGCTCTCGATGCGTCCAACAATACTCTCGCGCAGCGCTCACAACGGCCTCGGCCACCTGCACGTCGCGTCATGCGCTGAAGTCGCGAGTCATGATTCCCCCGAGCATGACGGACGCGATGGCTGCTTGTGAAGGTCAATGCATATAAAAGCCAGCGCGTCGAGTAGCTGAGCTATTGTCCATCTCTCTTACCTCGTACTCTGTTTCCGCCACCTTGTCGCCTCCTTACACATGACCACTCCGTCCGACCCCATCACGTTCTACGGCTTCACCGCCGTTCCCCGCGACCCGGAAGTCCTCTTCAAGGACCATCCCACAGCTAGCGGCGCGAACCCTAAGCAGGAGCTCTTCACCGCCGCCGACTTTCCTGCGCCAGAATCCCCCGTTGTAGACGCAGTGGAAGCGTTCGTCAAGGTTTGTTTGTGCACCTCTCATCCTTCATTTCCTAATTGCTTCTCGGTCACAGAAAGAACTCGATCAGAACACCTACAACCACAGCCGGCGCGTCTACATTTACGGTACGCCGCCATCCTCTCACTCTCACACATCCTCCAAGCACTCACCAACTCCACCCCTGCTCTAGGCTCCGCCCTCGTCCGCACCCACTTCCCCTCCTGGTCCTACGACCCCGCCACCTACTACATCACCTGCCTCCTCCACGACATCGGCACCGCCGAGCGCTTCCTCTCCACCACCAAGCTCTCCTTCGAGTTCGCCGGCGCCATCGTCGCGCGCGACCACCTCCTCGCGCACGGCGCGCCCGCGGACCAGGCGGATAGCGTTGCGGACGCGATTATACGACATCAGGATATCTTCGTGAAGGGGTCGGTGGTCTTACTTTCGTCGAGCGATGAGTAAACTGACTTATACTTCTAAGCGGGAACATCACCACCATCGGCCAGGTCCTCCAGCTCGCCACCATCCTCGACAACGTCGGCCTGTAAGTCGAAGTCCCCACCACTGTTACCCCTGTCCTAAGTCGAACTCATCTGCTCCTCAGCCGCGCCAACCTCATCCACCCACAGCTCATCGAGAGCACCACCACCGCCTTCCCGCGCAACGGCTGGTCAGAGCACTTCGCCCACACCATCGAGACCGAGCTCGCCCTCAAGCCCTGGTGCCACACCTCCACCTTCGAGGTTCCCGGCTGGAAGCAAGGCGTCCCAAGCAACTTCGCCCGCGACGTACGCAGCAACGAAGCCATGAAGCCGTACGACGCATGATACTATGATAGTCATAATGGTATCCATTGTAGCGACAGTCGGGTATAGTGACAATGTACAATCAAGCTGTCCAGACACTTGGCGAGCCAGCCTCCCTCTTGCTCCCCGTCCCCTACTCCGACAACTCAGTCACCCTCAAATGACTCAACGCCCGCAACGCCAGCGGAATATGCGAGCCCTCCTCCGCCAGAAAGTCTAGCAGCGCACCGCGCATCTGCACCGCCAAATCGATGAAAATCCTCAGCTCCGCGAGCTTCTCCTGCATGTCGAACTCACGCATCTCCCCTCTCAGCCGCGCCTTGATGCGCGCGATCTGCGCCGGGGAGAGCGACGGGTAGCGCACGGTCGTGTCCGCGGGATTCCCGAGCCAGCTTGTGCGCGCGTCGCCCAGCCAGACCTTGCGCGCGGTGTCAACCACGCCCATCTGGAGCGGCGGTGAGCCTGGGGTAGTCGGAGTGGCCGGCGGGTCCGCTTCGGGCGCTTGGCTAGGCGCGCGAGAGCCGCAGTCCTTCTCCGTCGAGGTCGAGGAGCACGGGGAGCAGTCTGGGGGTATTGTCGCATCGCATGGAGGAATAACGACTGTCAAGTTGCCAGGCATCGTCCGGGCGCTGCTCGCACGAGATGAGCACGGTCCGCCAAAGTTTTCTCCAAAAAGTGTGGTAACGTCCGCACTGGTCGTCGCGATCTTGCCGCGCTGGATGAGGTCCGCGGCCTGAGCTGCCAGCTCGGAAGCCCTCCAAGACGAAGAAGCGGGCAGCTTCTCCTTGTTCGCATGTAGAACACGGATCTGCCGCAACATCAAGAACTTGACTGATGTCTACGGTCTATGTCAGCCACATGAAGAGAGAAGTAGGGCAGATCTGCCACGCACCGAGAACGACGCCATCGCCGCATCAAGCTGACGCGTGTACTGCTGGATGTCCACCGCCAAGTCCGAGCTTCCTTTGAGCCGAGTGAAGTATGCACTGTCGTTCTTCTTCGTCAAGAACATCTGAATCTCCAGCATCTTCCTGTGGACATGACTAAGCGAACCGCCCGCGGGTGAGAGGCGAAGACGTACCGCGTCACCCTCGCTACCGCATCGCTTAATTCCTCCGCCAGGTCGTCGCCAAGTTGATCAAGGCAGGAGCGCACGTCGATGAGCAGCAGCGCGCAGCGCTGTGTGAGGTGCATGCACTCGCTGCGGTTCTTCCTCACTTTCTTCGTCTCCCGGAGGATGATGAGCAAGGTCTTCGCCGCCGTCCCGAGTCCTGGCACGGGTACCAAGCCCAGGAGCTCGCCTGAGTGCTCAAGGACATCTTGCAAGATATCCGGTCCATAGTCGACGAGAGTATCGACCGCGGTGGCGACGCAGTGCTTGACAGAGTCGAACAAGTCCCCGAGCTCTGACTCCGCTTCTTCCTCGAGGCAATCCGCTTCGTCGGGTGTCCTCCCGTCTGTGGGCGTTGTCGATGTCTCCGACGCGTCAGACGTTGCTTGCCCCTGATCAGAATCCGAAGGGGTGGGCGCAGACGGCGAATCGGAATCGGATTCGTTGAGGTGGGAAGGCAGCGAAAGGGAGGGAGGAATCATATCGGTCCAACGTATGGGTGAGTCTGGACGTCGTTCCTCAGGTTTCTTGCTAGCCTTGTCTTGGGTCGTGCTTTCCTGGGAGTCGAGAAGGTGCGAGGAAGTCATGGTAAGCGACGGCATGGCGGGTGAAGCGTCACCGCGTGCGCGCCCATGCTTGCGGTAGCTAGCGCTCCGTGAAATGGATGGAAGCATGGCCTGAATGCGGGAGTTGCGCTGGCCGTCGATGGGTGCCATGACGTCCGCGGGTCTTGAAGGCGATAGGATGTACGAGGATAGGCTGAGCGAGATGGGAACAAAGCGAGCGATGAGGAGGGAGCCCGAAGCTTGAGCTCCCAGATAAAGGACCCCAGGACGCGCGAGGACGATCGGTGGCTGAGTCTGTCATGACAGGTTCCGCGCTTCCTCATGAGGCTACAGCCTGAGGCTCGACGACCTCATGATGAGAGTTATTGTTGTGATTGTTCTCTGAGACATGTCTATCGCTTCTTCGAATGTCCGGATATGCAGCGCATCTGTGCAGTGCCCTCAATGTCCCAAGGAGACCGTGGAGGAAGGAAGGGAGGAGAAAGCTGATCAGTGATGGCTGTTGCGGCGTGTGCCGAGTAAGTACGGCACCAAATAAAGCGCACGTGCCATGGTTTGACTTTCTGCCTCCGTCCACCATCAAGGCTCCCGTCATCGATTTTGCCGTTTTCTGCAAGCCAGCGAGCTTGGAGGACTCTGGGGTAAAATTGCATATAGGGGGGATGTAAGAGTACTAAGGTTCGGATTTTTCAGAACCAACACAGAACAATAACCTTGGGCTCGTCGATCCGCGCAAGCTCTGAGCACTTCGAATCATGTCCGAGCTTCCTCCAGAGTTGTGGGAGATCATATTCGAGTATCTATTCGAGGACATCAATACGCTCCTTTCCTGCTCGTTGGTCTGCACCGTGCTCGTACCCATCTGTCAGCGACACCTCTTCGCCACCATCAGCCTCCCAGGATCCGGTCTACGTATAGACCGCTTCTGTACCCTACTCAAAGGGTCTCCACATATCGGCGACTACGTGCGATCGCTCACCTTGCAAGCCCCGACGCGTCACTCTCGCGCCGCTGCCATATACATTCTTCGCAATGGTACTCAGCGACTTACCCGTCTTGGCCTCCGAGGCTTCGACTGGCCATCATGTCCGGAGAGCCTGCAGCGCGCCTTGCTGGAGGTTATCAGCCGCCCGACGATCACGACAATAGGGCTCATGTTTGTCGATCGTTTCCCCGCGGGCGCGCTCTGCGGGACGACAGTGCGCCATCTTGTCCTCGATGCGTCCGATACAGCACCGCCGGATGATGCGCTGGACCATGATGCCTGTCCGCCACCTGCGCTGGAAAGCCTCCAGATGCTCTCGCTCGGGTGGAGTCCGGATGCCACCGCGCACGTTGACCGCTGGCTGCAGAGCGCGCAGCTCGACCTGAGCGGGCTGCAAACCGTCGTCGTCGACTGCGAGACTTACCAGATTTACACGCTGTCGCCTTTTGTCGAAGGCGACGCTTCGCGCGTGAGCCGCCTCGTCATCAGCTATTCCTTCTCGGACCTACACGGTGAGCGCACTACCGAACCCTTGTATAGACCCTGAACTCACTGACCGTCCTAAGGCGTAGCTAGCTTGATACACCGCCTCTCAGAGGCACTCAATGCAGCGGGTTCCGCGCTTGTCAACCTTCGCGACATCGACATCCTGTGGTACCGACCGCACGCCGACGTCGCCGTTGGCGAAGCACTCGATGCGCACCTCGCAGACCGGGAGCGCTTTCCTGCGCTCAAGCGCGTCACCTGGCGATTCGCGACCATCGGGCCCGCGCGCGCTCAGCCGCTCGGCTACGACCACACTTTCCCCGGGTTCGACTTGGAAAAGGTGGTTGCAGGAGATGAGGCCAAGGTTCGCCCGGATATAGAGGCGAAGTTGAAGGAGGGTATGCCGCAGTGTTCTGCGCTTGGATTACTGTATTTCTAGGTTGCTCGAATATCATATGTTGAGCTACACGTATCAAACCAGCTACTATCATTCCTCGACGCATCGCATGGGTCATCAGATTAGACGGGGACAGGGATACAGTATCTGTCGACCTCAAGACATGAAGACGTACGCCACGGCGTTTGGTCCGAGCGTCGTATGTAGTGAAGGATACGAGTCACACGTTGAATTGAAGACAGTGTGCTATACAGCTGGGAGACGCATAGGAAGGCTGCGCGCCATCAATCTGTATCATGAGTATGCATTCTGGAAACAGGTTAGAGAAACGCTTTCAGTAGAAGGTCAGCGGCTTACTTAGCTATCAGATCCAGTTCAGTCAAGCGCGGACGTTTCCCTCTGCCTCGATTCACGCTGAAGACGCGCCATTCCCTGCTGTAGTATTCGCGGGTACGACCGCGGTTTGTCATTGTGACGCGCATATCCGGAAGCCACAGCATCTCCACTGTCTTCAACGGCCCGAACAGTGCCTTGACGACGTCCTGACGGGGTATGCCTTCGCAGGCTGGGGCCCTCCCGACCATTCCTCGGAGTCGTTTTGGCCATCTACCCACGTCGTCTACGATTCCGGCAAACGTATCCATGTGCAGCTCACGAAGATGAGCTAGCGGGGACAGTGCGCGTGCGCACTGGGACTGTGTCGATGTAAATGAAAGGTTAACTTTTTGTACAACTGGCACCTACCAGGTCTCGCGCCGACCATAGACAGCCCGGTCCTATCTCTGCGTGGAACTCCAACAATTCGAGTCGCGGGAAGAGCGTCGCGATCGTTTCGAAGAGTCGCATGTCCGTAGGTCCGCGAAAGGAGAAGCGTAGCTGCCGTAGATCTGGCAACGGCGCGGACGACAGGACATTTATCAGAGCGGAAGGAAGGAGAGCGTTATGAGCTACAGACGCATCGGTGACGCTGAGCGCCGCCTCCATGTCTATGCTCGTATTCTTGATGAGATGCGGTAGGAGAAGCAGCGAAAGTTGACGCAGGGAAGGCGGGAGCTGGGAGAAGATCCCATCTCGAGCGGCTGGATTGTAGAGTTCAAACTCCTCGAGCAAAGGTACGCATGAACCATACGCAGGATCACCGTGCGGCCAGACTACGCACTGTGGGTACCGTAGCCAATCTGCATATTGGCAGCGTATGATGAGGACCCGGATATTGGGGGCCGCAACCAGAAGTGTGCCGAGGTGGACGTACTTATATATCCATGCCGGAGTCTCCGTATTCGGGTCATCGAGTACTTCAAGGCGCTCCAGTGGATCCGGCCAAAATCCAGTGATAACGAGGCGTCGAAGGGAGGACCATATATATGAAGTGGCCAGAGGTAGACAAAGCGCTTCGGCGCTGGTTTCCAGTACCTCAATTTGCTCAACGCCGATTTCGTGCAGAAGAGTAGCAAGTGGATAACGTAGAGCGCGTATCCGGCTCTCGTACATTCGGATGTCATCGGCGTTGTTGAGGTACTGCTGTCCCAATCGCGAACAGAACTTCAGCACACGTGGATGGCATTTCAGCGAGCAGAAGCCCGGAAATTCCTCGTAGTGCAAAGCATAGCCGCAGTTTCTGGGACGGTAGCACATGTAGGACAGGTCGAGCACGTCAATTCGTGACGCTGCATCAAGGAGATTGAGCATATTCGCCGATACCCCCTGCGCGTGTATGGCGAGGGACTGCAGCTGGCGGAGATCGTGGAAGAATTCAGAATGCAGGTATGTATGGTCTGTATCGATCTGAAGGCGTCTAATCATATGTATCAGCTCACTACAGGTATTTATACGTTCAACAGACCTGATGAAGGGCCACAAAGCTCGTGGCGGCTCTCTATGATTGCGCCATCGACAGGATGCGAAGACGAAAGGATATAGCATCCCGCGCATCCACACGCATATCGAAGCAAGAGATACGGTGTCGGTAAGTGTCAGAAGATCGTAGATGCAACGAAGCACATCGGCGTTCAAGTGCAGCAGAGGTGCTGACATGAGGGGAGGACGATCGCTAGCCAGTTCTGTGACATCACCCCTTTTAAAAGGAAGGTGTCACGGTTTCCTCGGGCCGGCCCGAGAGAGGCTTCGCCACTCTTATGTAACAGGCCCTCTTTGCTGAAAGCCTATTAATTTGCGCTGCATCGACATCCTGTGGTACCGGCCGCTTGACGACGTCGCTGTGGGAGAAACCCTCGATGCGCACCTCGCAGAACGGGAGGGCTTTCCCGAGCTCAAGCGCATTACCTGGCGGTTCGCAACCGTCGGGCCCGCGCGCGCTCAGCCTCTCGGCGACGACCTCACTTTCCCTGGGTTCGATTTGGAAAAGGTGGGGACGATGTGTGAGCTGCCTGCTGTGCGTTGAACTCAAGTACTTGCTCGACGTGTGACCCAGGGCCAGGACGTAGACATCGTCGTCCATCGTGACCCCAAACATTTCAGGCTCTCCGCCTGTGGATTGACCGCTTCAGCCCTCTGTCGATCACATGCGGCAGCCAAACGCCGAGAAGGACTGGACTGGAAGTGGGGAAGCGCCTGTATCGTACGGTAAAACAGGATACATACGCTCAAGATCTTGATTGCCCAAGACGAGATCCATATGTATGCAGCAGCACCGTCTTCGGAGAGCGTCTCGCGGAATTTGCAAGCAGTACACAGATTCTCCATATCGTCGACCTGATTTCAACTCACGGAAACTTCCTCCGGTCATTTCGCCGTTGGCGGCCCAGTCTATGCGACGTCAATCGGCGCAGTCTGAAATTCTACATGAGCGACTTACGAAGTTCCAGATTACGCTCCCTTGGGCACCTGTGCCTCAATAATCGTCACTCTCCATTCTGTCGAAGCTCCATCAGAAGATGGGAGACAAGAAAAAGTTTGCAAGTGCTTACTCGATTATACCTGGCTCGGCACGAATCTGCACCATACCGTCGTCCCTGAGAAGGCGATATGCCTGCCAGACACGTCTGTAGCGCTGCGTTCGGGCGCGTCTCCTGACGAGAGGGATGCTTTTCGGCAACCAAAGTTCGGAGACCGATGTCAACTGGGCGAAGGCGCGAACGACGTCTTTCTCGCTGATGTTTCCGCTATAAGGCATCGAGAGACTCTGTAAGTCGGCGTAGGATAACCAGGATGGCAGCGGCGGCGGGAGTTCTTCGGCAAACACGTCGTTGAACGTATTGACGTGCAGACATCGCAGATTGGTGAGCGGAATGAGCGCTTCAGCAAATTGATACTAATAGAATGATGAGATGCGACTGCGCCACTGCGCCACTACGCCACTCACCAGCTGCTCCGCCGTCCAAAGACAGCCTGGCCCAATTTCCCCATGCACTTCCAGTAGCTCAAGCTTCGGACAGCGCGTCGCGATGCATTGGAAGAGTGCCATATCCCTGAGCATCCGAAACGATAGTCGTAGCATCCTCAACTCTGGCAGTGCCACTGCGTCCAGGAAAGAAATCCATTCCTCCGGAGTGCGGGTCCCACAGAGAGGAGCCGTTTCTGCTAGCGCCCAGTCTTGCGGGGGGTTGAGGCTATTGGTGAGGTGAGGGTATGTCATGAGCGTCAGGGCTCGGAGCGTCCGCGGCAACTGGATCAGCAACCCTTCATCAGGAGCGGGGTTGCGCAAATCGAGTTCTTCGAGCGCGGGTACAGCGCTACCGGTCGGCGGCCGCGCCTCCTCCGCGGGCCATGCAACGCAGTGTGGATGTGCAAGCCAGTCCGCAAAACGGCAGAGGATGCGTAGGACACGTAGATGAGGCGCAGATATCAATAGCGTCCCTAGATGTACGTGGAGGTCCGCAAGGTTTGTTAAGGTGTCTGATGGGCGTAGCCAGAAGCCAGTCACGGTGAGCCTTTGCAGTGAGTTCCATGTATACGTTGCGACGCATGGAATACTCAGGGCCTCTGTGCCGACCTCGAGCTCCTCGACGTAGGAGATGTCTGCCTCATGTAGCAAAGTCATGAATGCCCAGCGAGTCGCGTACGACTTCTTCTCGCAGATTGACTGATGGCTGAACTTGAGGTAAGAAGGCCCATGAGAGGAACAGAACTTGATGACGCGGGGTTGGCAGCATAGCATAGGAAATTCTGGCAGCGTCTCCCAAGCAAGTGCGGCGTCTCCGCTGCGCCTGCCGAGAGAAGAGAGATCAAGACACACAAGCTGAGGTGTAGAAGCGAGGATGAAAGCTATCTCGTCTGTGATTGTTTCGCCACAAACGCAGACGGAAGTGATGTTGCTCAGATCCCGGAAGAACGCCGAGTAGTGGACGCCATTGATAGCTTCGCTGCAGACACGCAACTCCCTGTTGAATAGTCTGAGGATTCAAATCTTCTTGACCGCGAGACAAATTTGTACCTTATGAGCGGCCATATACTTTTTGGAGGTTCCCTATCATCTATCCAGCGGCAGGAGGCAAAGATGGTGATGCGCAGGAGGGCTCTGAGCGCCCGGCATGTGGATGATAATATTACCAGGTCTCGTCGGCTCAACCAGCTTTGGATCAAGGCAAGTACTGCGAGGTCCAGATCCAGAATATGTGGCATAGGAGAAGATGATGAGAGCAGGAGCGAAAGCAGCCTTCCGCGCCTTCGCTTGATCGGGCTGTTGATGTCACATAATGATGCCATCATCGCGGCTCGGCCGTGGACCTCTCGCATGGTTCCTCTACGCCGCCATTCGACATCGCAAGCAGACTTCGACTGGCCCCGGAGCACGCCATGAAGTCACATCTCCCCTGCAGCGCGCCTTGCTGGAGGTGATCAGGCGCCCGAAGATCACGACGATAGGGCTCATGTTTGTCGACCGCTTCCCCGCGGGCGCGCTCTGCGGTACGACAGTGCGCCATCTTGTCCTCGATGCGTCCGATACAGCACCGCCGGATGATGCGCCGGACCATGATGTCTGTCCGCCACCTGCGCTGGAAAGCCTCCAGATGCTCTCGCTCGGATGGAGTCCAGATGCCACCGCGCACGTCGACCGCTGGCTGCAGAGCGCGCAGCTCGATCTGAGCGGGTTGCAAACCATCGTCGTCGACTGCGAGACGTACCAGATTTACACGCTGTCGCGTTTCGTCGAGGGCGACGCGTCGCGCGTAAGCCGCCTCGTCATCAGCTATTCCTTCTCGGACCTACACGGTGAGCGCATGACCAAGCCCTTGTATAGACCCTGAACTCACTGACCGTCCTAAGGTGTAGCTAGCTTGATACAACGCCTCTCAGAGGCACTCACTGCAGCGGGTTCCGCGCTTGTCAACCTTCGCGACATCGACATCCTGTGGTACCGACCGCACGCCGATGTCGCCGTTGGAGAAGCACTCGATGCGCACCTCGCAGACCGGGAGCGCTTTCCTGCGCTCAAGCGCGTCACCTGGCGGCTCGCGACTATCGGGCCTGCGCGCGCTCATCCGCTCGGCTACGATCACACTTTCCCCGGGTTCGACTTGGCAAAGGTGGTCGCGGGAGATGAGGCGAAGGTACGACCGGATATAGAGGCGAAGTTCAAGGACGGTAGGCCGCAGTGTTCTGCGCTTGGATTACTGTATTTCTAGGTTGCTCGAATATCGTGTGTCGGGCTACACTCCATTATACCCGCTACTATCATTCCTCGACGCATCGCATGGGTCACCAGATTGGACGGGACAGTGATACAGTATCTGTCGACCTTAAAACATGAAGGTGCATGTCACGGTGCTTGGTCCGAGCGTCGTATGTACTGAAGAATACGAGTCACACGTTTTGAAGACAGTGTCCTATCTGCGCGCCATCAATCTGTGTCATGTGTATGCATTCTGGAAACGGGTTAGAGAAACGCTTTCAGGAGAGGGTCAGCGGCTTACTTAGCTATCAGATCCAGTTCAGTCAAGCGCGGACGTTTCCCTCTGCCTCGAACCACGCTGAAGACGCGCCATTCCCTGCTGTAGTAGTTGCGGGTACGACTGCGATTTGTCATCGTAACGCGCATATCCGGAAGCCATAGCATCTCCACTGCCTTCAACGGCCCGAATAGTGCCTTGACGACGTCCTGGCGAAGTATGCCGTCGCAAGCTGGAACCCTTCCGACTATTCCTCGGAGCCGTTTGGGCCATCTACCCATGCCGTCTACGATCCCGGAAAAAGTGTTCAAATGCAGCTCACGAAGATGAGCCAGCGGGGAGAGTGCGCGCGCGCATTGAGCCTGCGTTAATCTAAACAAAAGGGTATGTTTCGTGGAAAAAGCACCTACCAGGTCATGCGCCGACCATAAACATCCTGGCCCTATTTCCGCGTGCAACTCCAACAATTCGAGTCGCGGGAAAAGCGTCGCAACAACCTCGAAGAGTCGCATGTCCGTAGGGCCGCGAAAGGAGAAGCGTAGCTGCCGTAGATCGGGCAACGGCGCGGCAGACAGGACATCTATCAGAGCGGAAGGAAGGAGAGCATTCTGAGCTACAGACGCATCAATGACGCTGAGTTCCCACTCCATGTCCATCTCCGTATTTTGGATTAGGTGCGGCAGAAGAAGCAGCGAAAGCTGGCGCAGAGAAGGCGGTAGCTGGGCGAAGATCCCATCCCGAGCAGCTGGATTGCAGAGTTCAAACTCCTCAAGCAAAGGTACGCACGAAACATATGCAGGGTCATCGCGCGGCCAGACTACGCACTGTGGGTACTGTAGCCAACCTGCATACTGGCAGTGAATGATGAGGGCCCGAAGGTTGGGAGCGGCAACCAAGAGTGTGCCGAGATGGACGTGCTGATATATCCATGCTGGAGTTTCCAGGTTCGGGTCATCAAGCACTTCGAGGCGCTCGAGGGGATCCGGCCAGAATCCAGTGATGACGAGGCGCCGAAGTGAAGACCAGGTATATGAAGTGGCCATAGGCAGACAAAGCGCTTCTGCGCTGGTTTCGAACACCTCTATCTGTTCGACGCTGATTTCGTGCAGGAGGGTAGCAAGTGGATAGCGCAGAGCGCGTATACGGCTCTCGTACATCTGCATATTGTCGGCGTGGCTGAGATACTGCTGTCCCAGTCGCGAACAGTACTTCAGCACACGTGGATGACAATCCAACGAGAAAAATCCCGGAAAATCCCCGTAGTGCAAAGCGTAGCCGCAGTTTCTGGGTCGGTAGCACATGTAAGATAGGTCGAGCACATCGATTCGTGAGGCGGCACTGAGTAAATTGATCATATTGGCCGATACCCCCTGCGCGTGGATAGAAACGGACCGCAGCTGACGGAGATCGTGGAAGAAGTCAGGATGCAGGTACGATTGGTCTGTATCGATGTGAAGGTGTCTATTCAAGCGAGTCAGATGACCGGAGAGGCATTTTCGTGGGCAGCAAACCTAATGAAGGGCCATAAAGTCCGGGGTGGCACCCTATTGTGGCGCCATCGGCACGATGCAAAAAGCAGAGGACGTAGCAAAAGTCGCATGTGAGCACAGGTGGAAGCGAGTGATAGGCTGTCACTGAAGCTGAGATTGTCGTAGATGCAGCGAAGGACATCGTGGTTCAAATGTAGCAGCGTAGACATGAGGGTAGGACGAGCGATTGCCGTTTTGTGACATCACAGCAATCACGGTCACTTCTCCTCACGTGATTGCACCCGTCCTGGTTAGTATTCTCGTCCAACTTCTGTCCAACTTGAAGGGCGCGCAACCCACGTAAATGACCGGCCCCCTTCAGCTTCGGATACAAACTGTGCTCCCACAAAATCTGTCGGGCTAATTTTTGTGAGGTGCGTTGCTTGCATTCCTTTCGGTAATATTGCGTTGAGATTGACAACGGCAAGGCGACGGATCGCAGGCGCCTTCCCCTGCTATAGCATGTCGTATCAATAGCAGGCCTCAACTGCTGCTGTAGTAGAAGTACCGTGGCATTGCCTATCGAACCTTATCGAACTCCCGGAGATGCTTGCGCGGCTGCGCCATCATGCACGCACTTAAGGCTAGACGCTGAGGGTGTCTTCTCGTGCCCTTCATCAGGCTGACTGCCCCAGGTATGCTCCGCCCGAGTTCAAAGCCGCTCCCAGCGTCTATCTGATTACAGGTGTATCCTACTCTTTGCACGCCACAATATTGGCTCATCCTGGGCGCTCGCCACACTGTTTCGCCTGCGCCTTACCGTCTAGCGCCAAGGAATTCCCAGCGCTTACCACTGATTGGGGTATCCCGTCGTAAGTACTGGAGATAGCAAGCTCAGGTGGAGTCAAATAGACGCGCTGATGGTCTTCGTATAGCTTCGGCAGCGCTTAGGGCGGCCCTTATGCGGGACAAAGGTACGCCGTGGCGCTTGTCATAGGCGCCCACAGCAGCTAGCTGATTGCTTCGGCGCCATGGGTGGCGTGCGTATATATATGCTACATGTTGTGCCAACGCTACCACTACCTCCATCTCACTCAGTTGCTTGATCAACTACGATCATGCAGGGACAGTCGAACATAGCAGGACAATCTTTCCTGCTCACAACCAATAATAATTGGGTCAAGTATACGGCGGCTGACCTTCTGCGCGCGGTGTGTGCCATCCTCTATCTGCCAGGTTGACACACCGATATGTTCATCAGTTCAATGCGACGTATGCTCGTCAAGCACGCCGTATGGGTGTTCAACCACCCACTCCATACGTCGACTGGGCGGAGTCTTCGGATGATCGTCCTCAACCTTCCAGTCGCCCCTCGATGAAAACACAACATCCTTTCTCGATGTCCATCCCTTCCTTTCCAGCTACCGTTGGCGGCCCATCTGGCTCACGTATGCGTGATCCAAAACTACAAGATATCCGCTTCAGTGCCCCATTGACTACGCAAGAAAGCGTTTGGGATCTCGGCACGATGGGCCCGGGTACGTACTCCCTGTCCGAGTCGGGTAGCTGTTCAAGCCACTCACCCGCTTCTATAGGTTCTCCGACGCGACTCATTCTTATGATGGTACGTGGACTCGACCTCCGGAGCATGGTCTACTCATCTCGTTTCATATAGGCCTTTGATATCCCTTCACCCGAGCGACGTCCGCCATTTTTGAGGCTAGCATTGGACCTTGGTACGCTAGACCATTATAGTGTTTCCCACATCATTGATCCACATCGTCGCTGGCGCTAGGGTCTGATGGACTGTGAGCTTCTGCCTGATACAGACACATATGCAGCTGACGAGGCGGACAACAGATGGTCGCTTCATCCTGGGTACACCGTTGGGCCCAAGAATTGGAAAGGCATACTGAAGCATTCGAGACACAAGCCCACTGGAGCACACAGAGTAAACGTCTGGGGGGGCCGATACGATCCCCGTAGGGTACCGATGTTCGATATGGAATACATTGACGGGTCGAACTACGGTGCGTTCATACTCTCGGGATCTGGCAATTTCCTTTTACTCAAGGCAGGCTAGATTATATTCAGATCGACTCCCCGCTCATAATCGACGTGCAAATGAGAACTCAATCTCGAGATATATTCTTGCCCAACGTTCGCTCGCAAGCAGCGACACGGATCAGCAAAGAACTTGATAAGGAGGAAGATGTCGATGGATTCATCGGCTTAGAGCCACAGGCCAAGCATGTCGCACTCGTCATGACGTATCATGCACGCTCATACAGAAATCCAGCGACTTCGAGAGTCACATCAACCCTGCGACAAGGGGCGGTGCCCGTCCGGTCAGTCTCTACTCTCAGCGCGTCACTGCTTGCACATACCAAATTGCGTTTGCGTCTACAGACCCTCATGAATCAGCTCTACCGCTTGAACAAAATTACTCGATTAGTTAGTGAGCGATGCGACAACCAGGTATATGACTGACATATCCTCAAGCGAAAGTCTTTTGCTCTGAGCCCTTCATATCGGCGGTGAGTAAAGTCATATATCTGTTGATTTGCCGTTGCTATTGACCTTATCACCAGCACCGTCTGTCCTAGGATGTGGATACTCGACAACGAGATTTGGCCCCCTGCCGCCTTTTCCACGCAAGATCCGAGTGAATACCGTCTGCATTCTGGCGAAGACACCCCGCCAATCCCTGTCCGTCTTGGTTCGAGTGGTGCGCCTGGCTGGACTGTGCGGCTAAGCGAGATATGCCTTTGGGACATTGTTACGCAGAGATTTATATTGCGGGAGAAGCTTGACGACTTCGTTACCCTTGACAATGGTGAAAACTTTCACGCAATCCAGGTTATTCGCACTCAATTTTCTCACAGGCAGCGAGACGACAATACTCCCGCCAACGGCCTTTGCATGGATTGCCGCCCGTAAACATCCTGCACACGTGTATCATCCTCGCAGAAGATTCCGGCTCAGCAAGGACAAGGACACATTTTGTGTTCGACCCGACACCATCGACAAAAGGTATCATCTGGCAATGGCTTTCAGAGCGAGCGATGGAGCGGATTACAGAGTAACCATCGCTCCCCTGAATGAAATTGTCACGTACCGCGAAGCCGAGGACAACGGTGATTATCTGCTCGCCTTCTCTCCTGTAGTGCAAGGCCTGAAGCCGCTGATTGGGCTGGTATGTCTCTACACCAGTCGCATGCATGCCGATTGATGAATTTTCATCGTAGAACGTTCTTCGTTATCTTTGGCAGTCATACCATGACTGTCTTCCCACTTCGGCGTATGTTCATTTGGCCTACGGCTACTGTGGTCGGGATCAAGGCCGCGACGTCTATTGATCCACTGTCGCCGTATGAAGTCCAGTGTAGCTTTGCTGGCATGGTCTTTTTTGGTTGCGGAGATCCTTGACCCTTTATATGGCCCATTATTATCAGAGATTGGCGCAGAGCGAGACGTGTCAGAATGTAATTACATCGGTCGGTAATGCCCTAACAAGTGATGCTCTACTGTATCCTCCTCAGGATTGAACGGACACCGTCAGCCGCACTAAAAGTTTCGATGAGCATGTTACGAAAGACGCTTGACTCCCAGGCGACGGACTGCCAGAGCCTTGCTTTCCAGCCTGCTGGCCCCAATAGATTGTACGTTCTGACTGAATTTTTAAAGAGCCCGTGCAAAGGAGTCGTGTGCGTTAGTCCGCTTTCGAGATGCTCGATATGTCATGCACACGCAAGGACAGCGGTCAAGTCAGAGCGGATTGTCGTGTGAGTAAACCTGGGCGAGCTCTGACTTGAGTGATGAGGAGAGCATCCACATAAGGGAGAAAAGACAGTAGTCGTCCCAGGCGAAAGCAAGGGCAGTGAATCGGGATACTACAGCAACGATACAAGAAGATATGGGTGAGTACACGTACGCAGGACGCGGTCCATATATACAGCAGTCGGTACGCGAGGCCGACGAGACGTTGTATGCGCGGCGCAGAGACACAATATCTGTACATGCTGGAGAGCGTGGCGGCGCTGAGGGCCGTTGGGTATTGAGTTATCTAATGTCCGGTGAGTGTGATCAGCAGCGATACATGGCGGGTGCGAGAGCGATCCGCTGAACTCCTAGAGCGACTCGCTGGAGGCCTGAGCCGACGCTGTGCCGAAGGCGCGAGGAGGAGCGCAAAGACCGGCTATGCGCTCCCGCCCTCATCCCCGTCGGCGCGGACGAGCTCGAGGTAGCTCTCGGGTACGAGTGCGTGCTCGCCGTCCTTCCCCTCCTTGTCGACGTCTTCCTTCCCCAAGTCTTCCGCCCCTTCCTCCGCCTCCTCTTCGTCGGTATCGGCGAGACCGAGTTCCTGCACTCGCCGCTGCAGCTTCTCTTTTTCCGACCCCCGTGGATGCCAGCCACGCACAGCGATAGCCCATCCAGCATCGCCGCCTCCGATCACGCGCACGAGCTGGCCAGTGCGCACGGACATCTCGGCGGGACCTTCAGCGGCGAAAGAGTATGCAGCGCGGTAGACGCCTGGCGCAGGTACCGACGATTCCTCGTCGGTCCCGTCGACGCGGCTGTCGTCGTACGCCTGCGAGTCCTCGTCGAATTCTGGCGCGTGGGGCGAATGAGAGCCGAAGCGAGCGGGAGAGTCGACGTCGGGCTCTGTAGCCACGTCGTCATCGAGTGCAGCAGCCCGGTCGAGGTCGATGCGGCCATCGGAGTCCGTGTAGCGGGCAGGGCCCTGGCTACCTCCGCCACCACCGCCGCCTGAGCCTTCGCCTCCACCTGCGGCGCCGGCACCCCCGTTGGCGTTCTTGAACTGCCAGCTCAGGCGGCCCATCCAGCCAAGGCCAGCCCAGCCTTCATCGCCACCCCAAGGTCCTTTATTGTCTCCGTCGCCCGTACTATGATCGCTACTCCAGCCGCTGCCGCGCTTGCGCTCCCGTTCGCCCTCGCCGGAGAGGCGGACGTAACCCTCGGCAAGGTCATTTGGCGCGGAGGACGTAGGGGGCGCGAGACCGGTGCCCACATGGCGCGGGTCGTCGTGCGGATAGGCATAATCTCGAATACGTGGGGGTGCGGGGGATGAGGAGCGGTGGATGCCTGGTGTGAGGGGTGCAGGGGCAGCGGAGCGAGAAGCACGGCTGGCGGTACCGCTAGACCGTCTGTCGGTGGTGCTGCCGCGACGCGAAAGACGCGGGGATGGTGGGGCAGGGCGGCTGGCGGAAAGGGAGGACTGATGTGCGCGTTGCAGCGCAGGCGAAGATGGCTGTGAGGCTGCGGACACGCCGGACAGCTGGCTGGCGCGCTTGCTTGGCCGGTCGTCCGCGGTCGACTCGGACGCGCGCTTGCCAGGCAAAGAGAGTCGGTTCGGGTCGTCGGCAGCTTCTGTACGTGGGGTATTGTCTGCGAGCGCGACTGGGGTTTTCTCAGGGTCATCGGAGACCGTGGGGGTTGTAAGGGGGGAGAGGCGCGGTTTGCTGCCAGGTGCGTCGATATCCATTGCTTGTGGTCTCGTGAAGACGACTTCGCTCGCGGCGGCCATCGCGGTGCAGGATAGGGGTGGGTCTGCGGCGGACAGGCTGCGCGGCGCAGTCAGTATTTCGCTTGTCCGCGTCGCGGTGCACAGCGACAAAGGGGGATTTGCTCACTGTCGAGGACGACGAACAAAGGCAGTCTGTACTTGCACGATCAGCGTTCGAACGCGAGATCGCCCCGGACGCAAGCACCGCGGTGCCTGTCGCCACAAATTGCGCGGCAACGCCGGCAATCACCGGTTGTCGCCCACACAGCCCCGCTCGCCGTCACGTTTAATTATCCCTTTCAAATTCTTCTGTCACTAATTGTCCCTCTCGTAGTCTCACACGAGCTACTCCGCCTCAGTTTCTGAAGAATAACCCGGTAATAGACATGTACACGACTGGTAGTATCTAAATTCTTCAGACTACCACGGCCCGAAAGGGCTGTATGTCAGCTTGCACGCCCACGGTCACTCTTAACCAGACTGACGACGTTTCAACGTGCGTTTTTGCCTCTGACCACGATCGCAACGACTCACTCGCGATGAGCTCGACGTTCGGGGTCTTTCCTGGGCTTGCTGATTTGAGCCAGGACATACTGCTCTACTTCTCAAAGCAATACCTGTCTCGGCAGGATCTGATCGCGTTATCGTCAGCGTGCACTGCGCTCAGAGCAATTCTTCGCCCCCTCGTTTTCGCCTCGTGCCGTTGGGACGACGACTTGCAACCTCCCAAAAGTGTATGGTCTCTAATCAAGTACGTGTCCCTACAAGTCTACCCGCTCATCATCCACTGACCACATTGGTCCCAGACATCTCTACGTTCACGCTGAGCGTCTTCAGGCAGCTTACGCGTCAAGGTTCTTTCTTGACCTTGACGGCCTAACCTCACTTCATGTCGAGGGCGATTATATCTCAGACGAGCTGGTGAAGATTCTCACTTCCGCGCACAGCTTGACGACGCTGGACTTCTCCGCATTGTGCTGCGGTATCGGAGGCGACATTCGCGCCCTAACACTACCCCCGCTATCCTACTTTCCACCATTATCCTGCAAACCGCGGGTGGTCAAATTCTGCTCGCGCCACCATCCTGATTACCTTTCTCCTCTCCGCCTCCTCGACAGATGCATACGCAGGACATCCCAAGTGCGCCGCTCATTCTCGAGTCTCCTCCATCAGATCGATGTCTCTAAAGTCGAAACCCTCGAGGTCGGCATGGAGGCTTTGAGCCTTCCCTTCGCCTCTGCGTACACCTGGATGTCGCTGACCACACTCGTGGTCACTGGGATCAGTCTTCATCCCGACGACGCCTATGAAGACTTCAAAACCGAGCTAGAGATGCGCGCTCACGCGTACGTCCATCTCGGAACGATGCTCGTGACTGCGCCTCGCCTGCGCGTCCTGCGCATGCTCTGTCGATGCCATAGAGGACAGCATCCGCATTGTACCGCATGGCCCGCGGACGAGCCTCCGCCGCCGTCTGGTACAGCCATACCAGAGCTCGAAGAGCTTGACATCTGCAACCCCGCTTTCGAAGAAGGACTGTTGCGCCAGCTGCCATCATCCTTGCGCAAGTTATCCCTCATGGCCTACCCACATATCCTGCACAACACATTGCCATTGGCCTATTATCTACTGGCCGAGACACGCCAAATCCGCGGCATACGCACGGCCGAGGAGCTAATCGACATCCTGGAGGCGAGGCCAATGCCTGAGTTGCGCCAGCTCCGCCTCTCGTTCCGCCTGCACGCCGACATGATACTCTTCGAGCGTATCGCGACGCTCTTCCCGCTTCTTGAGGAGCTCGAGATACACGCAGAGATTGGCCCCGGCTGTCTCTGGACGCCTGACGAATTGGTGAGCATGCCTTCAGTTCCCATCCCCTCTCATTCTCATCGCCCGCCCCAGATCGACTTCGCCCGCACACTCGCCCCTCTCGCCAACCTCCGCGTCCTCAAGGTCAGCACCTTCAACAAAGTCCTCTCCGGACCGCCCGAAGACGACGAAGACTGGTCCATCTGCTGCGTGGGCGAGCCCGACGAGGGCGAGGACCCGGAGGAATTCATGGAAATGCGCATGCACGAAGTCCGCTACCATCGCTGGATGAACGGCCTCCGCACCGACGACATCGTGCGCGCGTTCGGCCCGCTGGAGAGTGTATCCGAGTTTTGGCTGCCGACGATGGTGAGGACCGATTTGCGGAGATGGAGACGCGTATGGCAGGTGTACAGAATCGCGCGGGAGAATAGCCTAGCGCGCCTTTGTTTGCAACCCGGCTTAACTGAGTGCGTACCTGGCTTTCGAATGCAAGGCTCATACTAAGACCCTTACTGCAGAATGGTCGAAGACGGCTACTGATGCTATGCTTCAGCTTCGGGTCGTGTCGCCCTCGTGGGGTAATTCGACCTGTTCCATGTGTTAACGACTTGAGTGGCGTCAACCGCGATGATGGGGAGGCATTCGACACGCATTGTATACGAGGCCCGATTTCCCTGTAAAAAGACAGTAGGGTATAGTATGTATTTTTTCGCGCAGTATCCATTCCTTCAAGTCCAGAAACCAGACGGCCGTGAAGCCATTCGCTCGAACGCCGCTGTGCGTCCCATCCCCGCCTACAGCAACTGCAACGCTCTCAGCGCACCCGGAATCTGCGACCCCTCCTCCTCCAGCAACGCCAACAGCCTGCCCTGAATATTCCCCGCCCTCGACATAAACAACCTCAACTCCGCCAGCTCCCGACAGATCTGCTCCTCGTTATAACCCGCCCCGCCCACCTCCACCGGCGCGCGCAGCCGGGTAAGTACGCGCTCGATCTGGTTGGGCGACAGCGTCATGGATGTGTACGTCTGCTTCGCGTCCGTGACGCGCGTCGGGAGCGCGCCGTCGGACCAGCCGGCGGCGGCGAAGGAGATGTTCAGGGCTGGCTGCTTGTTGGGTGCGGCGTCGCCGACCGAGTCGCTCGACGGCGACGGCGTCATGCCCATGCCGCGGAGGCACGAGTCGGACTGGCTGAGGCCCTTGTCGAGCTCGCTACGCACAGACTGCGCAGATCTGGAAGTCGACATGGGTACGATGCCGCATGCCGTGGTCAGGCCCTGAATGTGCGATATCATGGAGACTTGCACGGTGTTCTGCATAAACGTCAGGGGGGATAAGATATCAGTGACACTGTCGTGCGTACGTTGAATCCCAAATTGGCCTGATGCAGATCATTTCTCAGCTCGTTGATGCGACGCGCGATTCTATCGCGTTCAGCGAAGGCCCTGAAGCTTGAGTAGTTATTGATCTCGATGAGGTATGCTTGGATGGCGTCGAATTTTCTATGGATAGAAAGTCAGCGAAGACCTAGGATTGAGGGATTGCACCGCACTTTATGATCTCCTGGACAGCACCATCGAGGATGGCAGCGCCTCTCGGGTCCGATATTTGGTCGACCTGCTGGCGTATAGTCGTGAGGAAGCCGGCGCAACCCACGACGAGGTTATAGCACGCGTCGCGGTTGATCTGAGGAATGTAAGAAGGATCCAAAGATGAAAGTAGTAGATCGACTGACATCAAGGCGCTGTGTTTCCTGCCAGATGCTAACGAGCGTGCGCGCCATCTCTGCGACGCCCGGTACCGGGACAACCTTCAGAAGCTCCGGAGACAAGACGAGGGCAGTTTTGGCAAAGCCGGGGCCGTACTCGAGCAGTCTGTCCAGTGCTCGCTCAACGCTGGCCTGCGTCGAACGGAAGAATGGGCTTTTCTTCTTGGGCGGGAGGGTCTCCAAGTCCTTGGGACAATCGGAGAGCGAGGCCTCGCTTTCGGACGGGCACAGAGCGCTGGGCGTGGGCGGCGCGGTGGTCTTCGGCGAGGACGGAGGGGTGTCGCGTTTGGATTTTGCGAACGGACTACTGAGGCGGTTCATGAAGGATGGGGACTTGTTGAGACTAGGCGGGGTGGGTGCTGACGCGCCGCGCGGGCGTCCGGTGTCGACTTCGAGTAAGGCGGGGACGCCCTCGGGCACGACGGATGTTGTCTGGCCGCGCAGACGACCGGCACTAGTGCTTTCAGGAATGTCGGACATGGCGAGATGTAGAGATAGCCTGTGGAGGATTGAGTAGAAAACGAGACGAAGGATGGTGATGACGCGACGCTGAGCTATATAGCTTGAAAGGCGATCGGCGGACATGATAGCCTCTCATCGGCAAATAAAAGAAAGCATGCCTCCTAGGGCATAATTGAGTGACCAGGCTATGCGTGTCTTGTCAGGAGGACCCATATGATCCTTCTTCCTGCGGACAATGTCGTGCAGTCAGACATCGATGTCCGAGATGTATAATGCCCGGGGCAGCATGAGGAATAAGAAGCAGCTCAATTCATTGGCAATCAGCAGAGTGCATAGGATGGGGAACGGAGACGTGCTTCTCCCGCGCACCGTCTGCCAGCTGATGAAGCGGAGGCAATCATACCGCCGGAATTCGCGACAAGGGCCTTTCTCCGCCGTATGCCAGATTGAAGCAGAGCCATGCTTGATTGTCAGGCATGTTCGTAGTAGTCCTCGTGAATTTCAAGATCCGAGCGCTGGGAGGAGCCTCAATACTGTCGAACGTGAGGACGACTGGGTAGATGGCAGCAGCTCAAGATACCAAAGTCAAAGTACGGAGAGCAGAAGCAGGGTTCGGTATTCATGGCAGTATATTTTCCAGTCTCGCTGGAATCCGAATCCAGCACCGAGGACATGGACGTCGAAGACAAGCGGCGTTGCCACACGATCGGTATTGCGATCGCCAACGCGTCGTGCACGTGGCGTTCTTTACCGACGCGTGTCCGCCTCCCCATTCCCTTGTTCTCTTCTTGACCGGACACGTCTACGTTCAAGGTCGTCCTGGGTTCTCCAACGCAAGCGAGTACATACGACATTTCCTCGGCGACTAGCCCCCGCATCATCTTTATCGCGACAAACAATGGCCTCCTCCCCAAGCGCCGCAGAGCGCGCCGAAGCCAGGCGGCGCGCTATCCTCTCTCGCGGCAGTGACCGTCTCTCAAAACTTAAGACAACCGCTCACGGAGAGGGCGCTGCGTATCTCAAAGAAGGTACGTCCCTCAAAATGCTCTCGCCACAACCTCGTACCCTTTACATACTGCCTCCTTTCAAAGTACGCATGCCTCGACGGTCAGCTAATCAAAGTCTCTAGACCGTCCCCTCCACCCTATGCGGTCCCAATTTATGGGCGAAGACAGCTCTATGCCGCCCCCATCCCGCGGAACCACCCCTTTCCGTGACTCCTCACCGAGCCCCTTCACCTCACCCTCCCCAGCCCCTGCGGCTGCCGCGTCCCCAGCGCCCCCAGACCCCAATGTTTGGTCCCAAGAAGAGCAATCCCGCTTCATGCAGGCCCTCATGGCCGGTGCCGGCGGCCCCGGCCTCGGCCCGCCCCCAGCCTCGACCAACTCGACAAGCGCGCGCTCCGCCTCGGACAGCGCCAATGCCAATCCTCGAGCGCACTCTGCGCGCTCCCCGTCCGCCCCGCCGCAGGACAATCCCCTCGCGGCGCTCATGAGCATGGCTGGCGGTGGTGCGCCCGGCGCGGGCATGGAGGGTCTGGCGGACAACCCCCTCCTGGCGATGATGTCGCAAATGGGCTTCGACCCGTCCGCCGCCGCTGCAGCTGCGGGCCCTCAGCTCGGCCAGCAGCAGCAAACGCCGCGCAAGCCTCCTACGCGTCTCCAGCGCGCGCTGCCCCTCATCCACGCAGTTGCCGTGTGGGCACTCCTCGCGTACTTCGTGTTCTTGAGGCCGACGGGTGTAGTGGCCGATGATGCGCCATTTGGTGGCGGGGGCTTCGGCGGCCTCTCCGACGGCTGGTCAAGCTGGGCTGACCCGAGTACGTGGGCGAACACGGGCGCGTGGATTGCTTGGGACCCGTCGAAGTGGCGACGCGGCGGCATCGGGTGGTGGCCGTGGGCTCAGCTCGCGCGCCGTGCGCCGGAAGTAGGTGTCTGGGAAGCGACTGTCGGCGTGCAGCCCTTCATATACGCGTTCCTCGTACTGGAGATGCTCTTGCACTCATTCAGAATCTTGAGCCGTACTGTGAGTGGTTTCATCTCTGTCCACCTGCGAATCGCGGCTGACTCGACTTCCAGGACGACGTGCGCCCACCTGCGCTGCTACAATTAGCGCTGCCCCATCTACCACCCGCGCTCTCAAGCACCATCGTGCACGGGATGAAGTACCTGCAAATGGGCGGACTAGTACTAGACGACGTAGCCTTCCTAGTCATGGGGCTCGCGTTCTTGGTCGTCCTCGCTGGGTGGATGGCATGAGTGTAGGCTACTAGTGCTTCCAGGGACATATCTTGTGTGTAATAATAGTGATGCTGCCTACACCCTATATCTCTTCAGACTTCCTTTGCGGTAGCGCTCATACCGAGCAAATGCCTCTGGAGATGGAACGTGCCAACTACGGAGCACGTGGCAGAAGGTAAAATATTAACCGTGACACGCCCGGCAGTTGCCGGTAAATATACATCAGATCCTTACGCACGCTGCAAGCGACCACTGTGTCTTCCGTCGCTTGTATGTATGGCCGCATGCACGAGAGATAGTAGAGAGAAGCTACGGACCTCTGTCGAAGGTGGGAACATGGACAAAGCGGTGTATAACAATGTCGAAGCCTCAGAGCAGATGTGCCGCTTCGGAGCGTACCGCGCAGGCCACATGCATTCTACCCGTCTGTAAGCTCAAATATAGCAACTTTGGATGTCAGAGAGCATGTAGAGCTCTACTACAACCTCAACCAAGATGAAAATCTGCGAGAATATGCCATTGCACCCCACCCCTCCTCCTCGTACCTCTTCCCCGATCTTCCATCGATCCCCTCACCCGAATGAGCTGCAAATTGGGCCAAAAAGAGCCGACACCAGCAGGATTCGAACCTGCGCCCTCGAAGAGGAAGAGATTTCTAATCTCTCGCGTTAACCACTCCGCCATAGTGCCTTGAAGAAGCACTCTGGAGGAGCTCGGTCGGCGCCGAGGGAGGACTGTGACCTCTGATCAACGGCCTCCATTCAAGGCAAGGCATTCCTTATCACCGATGAAATGATGTAGAGAGCTCTTTCATACAGCAGAATTAGGCTTAGATGTATTTGAGGCATTCCTTTCACTCTCTCCAAGTTTCCCAGCCCTACTCGTCGTCATCTTCCTCCAACCTAGGACCGAGCTCAGTCAATCTCAATAGCAATACAAACAAGGATTTACTGACCTAGGATCTTCTGTAGAGCCCACCATCGGCTCGAGCCATACACCCCCTTTCTCATCGCGCCGAACGCTCAAGGGATCTTCCCATCCTCGTCTGGCGGAGTGAAACTTGATACCCTTGGTGAAAGAATAGGGTAGCCATAGCTCTCTGACCGAGTGAAGAGGTCCAAATAAGGCTGAGATAATATCTTCCCCCGAAATTCCTGCGTCTGGGTTCCTAGGAGGTGGGTCGTCCTCGACCACATCCCGAAACGCATTGATACGGAGGATGCGTAGATGGCTCAAGGGCGCCAGCGCTTTCGCAAAGGCCGCCTGTTCAACATAGTCCAAGTCAGCTGGAGGCCTTTCATATGAGCTGCTGAGCTTACCAGGCGCTCCTTTCTCCATAGACAGTCTTTGCTTGTCTCTGCGTGAATCTCGAGCACGCGCAGCCGCGGGAATGCAGTTGCAATATGGTCAAAAAGTCGCATATCTTCCAGTCCATAGAACGAAATACGTAGCTCGCGTAGGCGGGGCAGAGGGACAATGGCAAGAACTTTCATCAGCCTTCTTCCAGTCATGATGATACTCGGAGGATCATCGAGAGAGTCCTCATCGAAGTCATACGTCTCGAAGTGCCACAGCCCACGGGCACTAGTGGCAAAGCCAGAGTGTGGCCATTCTAACAGCGACAAAGTGCGCAGGTTCGGGGGCAGACGCCGGAAGATGCCATCCGCTGGGGCCGCATTATGCAGAGTCAGCTCCCTGAGCGACATCAAGGGTACGTCGGGTTCCTCGTCTGCAGGCCACAACAGAGCAGGGCGTGGCCAGTCATCACTCTCTGAGCACCAATCGTCTGCTCGGCGCCACTGCACGCGTAGGACGCGCAAGCGGGGTGCTGAAGCGATCAGCGTTCCCAGATGGATGTGTTCGTATATCCACGGAGGCGTACGCACTCTTCTGTCCTCAAGCGCTACGGGGTCTTGGATCCAGAACCCCGTGAGCACGAGCGTGCGCAGGGACGACCACGTATACGCAACAGCGCACGGCAGGCAGAGCGCCTCCAAGCCAACTTCGAGGTATTCGACGCGCGAAACGTCGAGCTGGTGCAATAATGTCGCGAAGGTCAATCGCTGCGCAAGCATCCGCGGTTGATAGAAATCCCGTCCGTGTGGACGTCTGTAGTCAGGTCCGAGCTTCGAGCAAAATATGACTTTGGTTGGACGAGATGATAATTCAGGAAAGGCGGGAATGAGCTTATGGTCAGGCCAAATGTTCCGATTTCCACATCCGATAGGGGACGAGGGTCCACGCCAAGACATACACGAAAGATCGAGAGTGTCGAGGTTGGAGGCAGCGGTCAAGATAGAGGCAAGGCCGGACGTGATGGTCTCGCCGGATACGTGCAAAGATGTGACCTGACTGAGATCACGGAGGAATTCGCGACGAGGTTCAAGCCTTTCAGCATGAACGTGAAGATGCCTATCGTGTAGTCAGAAGGGGAATAGGAAATGTACGATGGCGTATCGGACCTACCTGATGAAGGGCCATAAGTTGCTGGGAGGCCCCCTTCGCTTCTTCCACCAGCAGTGGGAGAAAAGAACGGGAACGACGGCGAAACGAAGGCCTTTGCAAGTTGACGATAGTGCGGCGATATCGCTCGCGGTCAGAAAATAGGTAATGCGTAAGATGAAAAACGTCGGGATAGTCGATATTATATCGACGTGACGAGCTTTCCTTCGGGTACGATGGACAAGGTCTTTCAACTTGGCAGATTTGCTGCTCATGTTAAGGGACAGATGATGGTAGGAGGACGAGAGATACGCACTGGATCGATTGTGACGTGGCCCTTGCCACGAGGCTCGCACCCACAAAGTGGTCACGCAAACTTGAGGTGATTCCACCGTCAGCCAACATCATGCATAGAACGAACCTACATAGATAGCGAGCCCTTAAGACAAAAGAGATCATACAATACCCTTAATAATGTCCGCCGCAGCCTCTCCAATCCCGACCACCGTCGCCTGCATATGCGCCGCAATATGAATCGGAACGACCGACGCATCCGCGACCCGCAAATTCGTCGTCCCATATACCTTCAGCTGCGCATCCACGACGCCACCCTTGTCCTTCGGGAGCATGCTGGCCGTGCCGATGGGGTGGTACTCAGTCATCAGCGTCGTCTTCGAGAATTCGCGCAGGTCGCTGACGTTCGGGGCGGGCACCACTTGCGCCCCGGCGTAGTCTGCGTAAGGGCCTGCGCGCGCGACCTCGATCATCTTCTCGGTACCGGCGGTCTGGACATCGAGGTCGAAGTCCACATCGAAGTAGTTGGCCTCGATAGTGGGGTACGTGCTCGCGTCATTGCTAGAGATGTGGATGGAGCCTGCAGTCACCAAGTCAGCACTCAAGACCCGACACCACGCTCAGAATGCACGCACCTCGGCTGAACGCATGCTGGTTAGCCGCAAGGTAGGTGATGTACTCCTTTCCTGCCTCCGGCGCACCGCTAGCAGCGTAAAACCCATCGATGGCGATGAGCTCCATCTGCCCAACCGTATCGTCCACCAAGAGATCCAGCTGCGCCTGCATGATCGGGTAGTAGACCGAGTCCGTCTGCGTCGCCACATATGCCTGCACATCCGCGAGCAGTTCAGCCGCCTTTGCGTCGCCAACGAGCTGCGAGAGGGTCACGTAGCCAAGGGATGGCACGGCCTGATCGTATACACTCGGCGCGCCGCTGCGCCAGTTCGCCAGCTGCTCAGCCTGCCACGCGGGATCGTTGCGCACTCGGTCAAGCGTGTCGGTGCCATTGGGTACCTCAAAGGCGATAGAGGTATACGCTGCGGGCTGGCATTAGCACAGAAAGCCTAACAATGGAACCCCGCGCAGCCGCGCTATTGCTCACTGTGTTCCTGGAGGTTCTCCCCGACTGGCAGGTCAAGCAGCTGGGGCACGCCGGCGCTGAAGGGATGGTCTCATAAGCCTGATTGACCGACTGAATGCAAAGCTTCGGACTCACGCGGATAGCACGTCGGCCTTGCCTATCCCGGAAAGCTCGAGGATCTGCGGCGTGCTAAAGACAACTCATGAGTAAAAGTAGAACGGCACCGTGACCTGGAAAACACGCACTTGACCGTCCCCGCGCTGAGCACGAGCTCTTTGGCGACGGTAACGTTGTATGAGGAGCCGCCTTTCTGGAATGAAATGCTCTTCGCAGTGAGGCTGTCGCCAGTCGTGTCGAAGTTGATACCCGTGACCAGAGCGTCCGGGAGCAGAACAAGGTTCTCGCGCGCCTCGTTGGGGTAGTAATAGGCAGCGGCAGAGTAGGCGCGCGAGCTGTTGGATGGGCGAATGTCCGATGGAGACTGGTTTCCGCCGATGTTGTTTCCGCTCAAGGGGTTGTCATTGCGCGGGATGCCCAGCGCCTCGAGAGCAGGGATCCAGGACTGCGTCGCCTTTGAGATGTGGCTGCCGAAGGAGACGTGGATGGGCCCGTCCGTGCCGAAGTACGAGGGATCAGGATTTGCGTGCAGCGCGGCCTCCTCGTCCGCAGTGGGTTCTGTCCATGTCTCCGCCTTCTTGATGTACTTCACCACCCTGTCCCAGTTCCATCCCTCGTTCCCCAGTTTCTCCCACACATCGTAGTCCGCCTGCGACGCGCGGTCCCAAACCAGAAAGTTCAGCGCGGAACTGCCTGTTATCCTCGTTAGCTAAACTCGCCCATCAATCACGACGCCCTGGACTTACCACCGACGACCCGCCCCCTAGGCCAGGGGCGGCTTGGGACGCCATTTTGCTGTGCCTTAGTCGTATAGTTCCAGTCATACACGGTATTCAGGCCGGCGCCAAACTGTAGATGGTATCATGAGGATTTGCGCGCTAGCGGTGATGGGTGACGTGTCTGGCGCTCACCATGCCGGGAACGTCAATTCTGTCGTCGCCTAGCGCGGTGCCACCAGCCTCGATGACGCCCACTTTTACTGATGGATCTTCGCTGAGGCGTGCGGCGACCTGGACGCGCGTCTTTGGTCAGTTGAAGAGGGGAAGAGAGGCGGGTGAACGTACAGTCATCCCAGCAGAGCCAGCGCCCACGACAACATAGTCGAAGGTCTCTGCAGCGAAGGCGGCGGGATCCGTGATCGTCACCGCAGACGCGGACGTGATCAACGCCGCGAGCGCAATCTGCACGAGAAGCATCGTGGAACGAGCTAAGGACGGGCGAAAGGTGTGCAAGACCGTTGGGCCTTGTATAAGACGGCCTTTCCGCTGCTTATATACGAGATATGTCCCGTACAACCGCTTGAATCATCTTGATGAGCGGGAGCGCCGCGGGGTGGGTCGCGCACATCTGGAGGCACCGGAAGGTGCAGTAAGGGTGTGTCGTTTGTTGGATATTCATCTGATTCGTCTTCAGCAAGGTCCCGCTACAACCGCCGGAGCGAACGGTGCCCGAGCATTGGTGGTACCAAGAATGGCAAGCCGATATTAAATATCGGGGAGAGCGAGTAGAGGACTCCCGACGGTATCGTGTTCGGAAAAGCATGTCGTGCCTGTTGCCCTCGTCGACAAAAATCTATGTTGAGAGCATGCAATAAACTGGCCCGGATGCCAACGGTATCCTGCAGAATGACTGTCCGTTCGCTCTTGGGAGGTGCAAGCAAAACACTCACTATCAGTGTTCCCAAGATCTCAGCTTGGTAGAATGCCCTCAATTCACGGGTTTACTGTAACATGATTGAGGGCAAGCTTGAGCTTCGCTGGCCGAAGTTAGCAATCAAGAAAGGTCAAGGAAAAGTCAATATGCACGATTGGTGTTATACTTCGGACCTTTGAGACAGGGCTCGATACGGTGCGCATAGCTGCCCTTCCCGCGTACGAAGTAGTTAAAGGTTAGATAGGTATGTTGCTGACGCACCCTGACCTCAGTCCATCGACGTCAACACGCGAATGAACATGTGCAACATAACCAGATTTTCAAGCAGAGGTCGCATATCTGGACACTCCTCCGTGCGCCGTGATTGGTCGTACGCGAGTGGCACTTCAGCATTATTTGATTTCTCTAAGAGCATGATGCAGTATAGTAGCTGTACTGGGTTGTAATTTTGCGGCTGGGGTCGTGAGTGAACTACGCGCTGAGGACGTCGCCCGAGGCAGCGTGTTCTTGGCGGTCCCTCTTGAGGCGCGTCACGTATGTCGAAGCCACGATGTTGACTGCAACGGGAGGACACGGGAGCGCGTCAGAACCTCGCAACGGACATAGAAAGTTAACCACGCACAGGCATCCATATACCGCCCAAGGCAGCGGTCAAGGCAGGTCTCCTCGCTGCTGCTGAGGCTTCCTCCAGGCTTCGTAATGCACTTCTGAAAGCAAGCCTTGTTCGCCGAGTTCATGAGCTCCTGCGCGTTGGCGAGGGCGAGCTCGGAGCGAACGGACTGCATGACCTGCTCCTTGCGGGAGGCCATGTCTATTTCAGAGTTAGCCTAGCCCACCCAGACTGATTGCTTCACTCACCAGAGGGGGACGAGGAGGAGCCGCCGAAAAGAGAAGTCATGACGGTGGGTGCAGAGAAGCGCGCGGTGCAACGCCACAAACTCCCGCCCCCGATCACTCCTCTCGTCTGGCAGTCATGGCGCGCGGCAAGCTGCCCACCGGCCCGTCCAAGCTCTCCAAGGTGCTCGAGCACCTCAAAGCGGCCCCGCGCCTCCAGCTGTCTGGTGTCTCCCGTATCTCGCTCGTGCATGCCTACCGGAACGATCACTGGGGCGCCCGCCTCTTCACCGAGCGCGACCTCCCCCGCATCCGGTATGCGAACGACGCGCTCCGCATCGAGGTCGAGCGCCATGGGAAGGCGAAGAACGAGTTCTGGCGCCCGCAAATGACGGTCGAGCTTGGTGTGTGACCTATCGTCGGGGAAGTCTTCGTCCGCTTACCGTCAGCAGAAAACGGCACGACACAGACGCTCGAGCTTTCGAAAAAGTCTGCTAGCGACATTCTTTCCGAGCTCATGTCCCTTGCCGGTGGGCCTGCGTGGACTAAGGTGCGTCCTAATCACCTCCTTCGCTAGTTCTCGTGCTAACCCCCTCTCAGTGGGTAGAGGAATGCCAGGAAGCCGGCCGGGAACCCATACAACCCGACACTGCGGACGAGAAGGCCATTACCTGGTCCTCTCGCTCGTCCAGCGAGTCCACCTCCGTCCCTCCTTACGACGTCTTCTCCAAGCAGCACGAAGCAGACTCCGCCCGCCGCGCCGAGGAGGCGAAGCGCCAGAAGGAGGAGGCTACGCGAAACGCTGCTTTGAATGCAGCGCCAACCCCTGCTGCTTCCGCACCTCCACCGGCATAGTTGCTCAACGGCTTCATGTCCTCCCCCACTTATATACACTCTAATTGCATTGCATGTCCATCACGTCTCCATCTTCGACGGACCGCTCGTCTGAATTACTTCAAGACTTAACATCCTGCGTTTGACTCAATATGTCCAGCCATACATATGAGAGGTCCTCATCTCATTCGTCTCGACCAGCCTGAGGTTCCAAGCGCCGCTGTGGCGTAGCCGCCTTCACGGACCTTTTTCGATGAGGGAATCACGGCGTGGGGTGACAGTTACCTGACCGGTACTTCCATATCATCATACACAATGTTAAGGAAGGTAAGGACTGTAGGGCAGGAGTAAGTAGGCCATCTCGAATACAAAGGTTCGGATGCTCGCACCGTAAGTGCGCTCGCCTGATTGGGGAGTGAATGAGTGAGACCACAACTTGCCATATCACTTAAGCTCGATGCCTTGCCGCAACCCTTGCCGCTTGACGGCACGTCTCGAGTCTACGACATACCGAGCGCTGACAACGATGTCGATCGCGCCGAAATCAACCAGATGAACCATTATATTCGACCACGGACCACCCTCCTCTGTTTGAAGTGCCCCTGCTATGGTCGCGTGCATGGCTAGCACAGTCGAGGGCTATGAGCCTTTGTCAGAGGCCATACAGGCCATCCTTCGCTACTGCTCAGTGCTCACCGCCAACAACGAGGCCGCCCAGTTCGGGGCACGCCGTGACGGTTCGTCCCGCAGAAAATCACGCTCCACGCACGCTACCATCACGTGAGTGCCTCGAGGTCAACAACTGTTGACACCACGTTCCTCGGATTTTGATGTGACGGCCCGTGACCGTTCGATAGCACCCCAGGACCCCCTCCCATTTTCGTCTCTTGAACCCTCATCATCCGCCACTAACATGAGCTCCCCTCCCCACCACTCGCGCGCCCCCACGCCGCCCTCGACGCCGGAGGAGTTCCTCGCCCTCGAGACCGTCATGGCCGTCATCTTCCCCAACAGTAGCCCGCGCCCCGCTGAGCAGTACAAATCCTACGCCCCGCTGCGCCGCTCCGTCCGCGAGAGCGAGCTCCGGCGCATCCGCCGCGCCCTCGACCTCCGCCCCTACCATCTCTCCGCCTACGACGTCCAGCGCCTCCGCGACGGCGTCGAGACCCGCAGGCAGTTCCTCCTCGCTCTCCAGGCCGCCGAACAGATGGAGGATCGCCTCGTCGAGCTCAAGTGTATCGGGCCTGAGGCCGCGCGCCTCACCATCGCCGAAAAGATCATCCTCGCGCGCACGACGCGCACGCGGCAGGGCCTGCGCGACGAGATGACAGTCTGGGGACGGTTCCTTGAGGACCTCCTGCACCAGGACCGCGTCCTCGCACGCGACATGCTTGGCGAGGGCGAGTTCTGTATGAGCCAGTTGCATATATCAGACTTCGCGGTCTGCCAGCGTAAGCAGGTCTACAACATGGCGAGGGGAATGGGCAGGGAGAACGACCTGTTCGCGCATCGGACACACAAGATGGAGCCGGCGCTGCGGCCTGCCAAGGGTGCGTAAGACCTGTTGATGTTATGGGCGAGGACTCATGGGTTTGCAGACCTCCGTTACGAGTCTGAAGAGGTCAAAAAGCTAGAGAAGGAGAAGCGGCGCTGGCTCTGGGCGATGCTCAAGGCATACGACCAAATCGAGTGCAAGCTCACGGGAGTCGATGGCCCGGACCATGTCTGAGCATTGTCAGCCCATGACCCAAGTGCGCCGCCAATTTTTTCCTACGAGAAGACCGAACTTACATACAGCTTAGCGCTCCCCCTCGTGCATCCTCGAGGCAGGCCATAAGTCACTCATGATTCTCAATTATGACCCGTTCAACATTCCACGCTATCTTCTCATAAACGCACACGCCACTACAAGCCATCAACGCACTTGTTTATCACTATGTATATGTTTCCCTGCTGTTCGTCTACTCTACTTGCCGTTCTCGTTGTCCATATTTCAAGCTACTTACCGGATCTTCATGCATCTTTTCCTTTTCGTTCTGGGACTGTATCGCTATCTATATACCAAGTCGCTTTCGCCACTCTTCGATCGCGACTATTGCTGTCCTTACTAGTGTCACCTATGCACGTCTCTGCTATGTCTATCTGTCGTCTCCGTCTCACTTTTGTTAAAGGACGAACCTTTACAGTGCTCTGTGCTCTTAGTTTTTCCTGTTGGTTGTGCGTGCCTGCAGTGCCTCCCAAAACCTTCGAACGGGAAGTTTGCTATGTACGCCGGTTACTATGAGCGTTGGAGTAGGGATCCCGAGCCTTCGGCACGATCCAATGCTTAAGCCACCGCGTAGACACGAGTGTAGACCAGCCGCTATCCCGAGCCATCACCAGACGGGTCCCCTCACTGGGCTAGCTAGATGCCAGCGTTGCTATTGATTGAATAATACATGCGGGACACGGAGTCAAGCCTGAATTACATCCTTAACCTTTGAGTGTACGAGATGATATCAAAAGCTGGAAGGGGTGAATGGGGGCGCTCACACCACGGGCACGCCCTCCTTTGACGGCCGAAAATTAGGTTGTCGTATGAATTGAGATGATTTTCGAGTTCCTGGGAGCGTAAATATACTGTGACTGTCACCAAATCAACCCTTTGACGAAGGACAAAGGGGATTGTATGTCTGAGGGCGTGAATTATCTATGACCAGCAGAAAACAGAACGGGCGGTGACAGGCCGGAAATCACCCAGACACTGCCCGGTCATGGGCGTGAGCACGTTCCGTGGCGTATATCTTACGATCTGGGGCGGATTTCAATCGGATTTTTCCCTGAGTGTGAAGCCCTGGCTTGGTACTATCGTTCTGTCCCAAGCAGAAGGCCAGGAACTCATTCAGTCTCGAGATATAAGGCGCGGAAGGTGCTCGCACCCATGACCGGGCAGTGTCTGGGTGATTTCCGGCCTGTCACCGCCCGTTCTGTTTTCTGCTGGTCATAGATAATTCACGCCCCCAGACATACAATCCCCTTTGTCCTTCGTCAAAGGGTTGATTTGGTGACAGTCACAGTATATTTACGCTCCCAGGAACTCGAAATCCATCTCAATTAATACGACAACCTAATTTTCGGCCGTCAAAGGAGGGCGTGCCCGTGGTGTCAGGTGATTTCATAGTGACTTGTGATGTGATCTTACAAGTTGAAGCTGTTGAATATCTGCATCAATTCCCGTAAAAGGCAATAGATGCTCCCCAGCCGTTGGACGTACGACATGGCCGCCTCCCTCCTTGTTATCAACCCGAATTCCTCGAAGTCGGTCACCGATGGCCTCGCAGAGACCCTCGTTTCTCCGCCTGGCGTTGGCCTCGCGTTCTATACCGCGCCAGCGCACGCGCCGCCCTCAATAAATGACGCGACGACCGCGGCCTTGACGACTTCAGCCTGTTGGGAGGATATCAGCGCGCAGGGTCTACTGGACAAGCATGATGGCTTCCTTGTATGCTGCTGTATGTCTCAGACCAATATTACTGGACTAGTTAACTGACGACAACCCCCCGATCGCCTTTCAATATTCACGCCATTGTCCCCTTACTTCCTCGTCCTCGCACCAGTCTCGGACCATCCCCTCGTCCATGTCCTCCGCGAAAATACCCTCAAACCCGTCGTAGGAATTATGGAAGCTGCCGTGGCCCACGCCCTCTTCTCCGGGAAGCGCTTCGGCATCGTCTCAACAGGCTCGGGCTACAAGTACGACCGCCACAAGGACGTCCACTCCTTCCTCGGCGCAGTCTCGCCACGATTCGCCGGGCTCGTGACGACCGGACTGGGCGTCGTGGAGCTCCGTGAGGGCGACCGCGCAAAGGTTGAGAGCAATATGAAGCGTGGGGCAGCCGAGGTTGTGTCCCTGGGCGCGGAGGTCATCATATTGGGATGTGCGTACCTCAAGCAACTCATGTCGACGAAGCGCATGAGGAAAGCTAATTTGAATGATAGGCGCTGGCATGGCCGGGATGGAACCGCTCATCAAGCAAGGCGCGCGCGAGGCCCATGGGGAAAATACCTCCGTCAAGGTGATTGACGGCGCGCGAGCCGGCGTGGAGGTGCTCGCAGGTCTTGTCAGACTGAAATATTGAATATATATTGTGAGCACCGTGGATCCGTCTTCGCCGCGCGCGCTAACGTACCGCAAGAGAATGTAAATATACTAGGCAACTTGCTGTATCAACAAATCGACCTTTGCAGACATCTGTACATCAGAGGCACGCGTGGCTCCTCTTAAAGTCCAACTCATGTCTGCAACATGCTGTAATCATTGGTGAGAGCAGATGATACGGGTATGTCTGCCATTGCTTTGTTTGTTGTTGACGGACCGAAGCAGGCGAAGGCACAGACAAAGCATCCTCTGTGAGACTCTGGTATTCGCCTTTGTTCTTCCAGGTCATCCATCTTTTCCTCATCCTCCTCTGACCCCGTCGAAGGTCGTCGTGGCTTACAGCAGCGATGTCGTCGAAGAGGACGATGCAGTTGGCCGTGAGCAGCCGTGCGAAAAGTCACGTGGATGCGCCAGTCACGGGATGTTGCGTCGCGTCGTCTTTTGCCACTCCGCATTCCAGCTTTGCATTCCCCTGCATCGCACACCCATCTCACAGCCTTGTTCTCTCGCAAAACAACATTCTCAGACAAAGCCACGACATGCCGTCCCTCGATGCCGTTCTTGCCGGGTTCCAGCCCTTCGTCAAGAGTTCCACGACCGCCGCCGCGTACTCGTCGATGCAGGACGAGCGTGTGCATGTTCGCGCCGGAGAGATAGAGAGACTGAACGCCCTTATCTCAGTCATTGAGACGGCGGAAGTCCCGGTGGACCACAGCAGCGACCTCTCCGCGAGGCTCTCAGCGAGCAGCGAGCATCGCCAGGCGTTCGTCAACCTGGTCGAGAAGATCGCCGCCCGCGAGCAGTCGCTCATTGAGGACGGCGCCCTCCACCAGTGCTTCACCCACTTCTCCCTGGCGCAGAAGGTCCTCCTCCTCTATGCCCTCGAGAAAAACCGCTCCATCCCCGAGGAGTTCGTCGCCGACATGAACGAGCTGCGCGGCCTGCTGTCCAGCGCGATCGAGCTGGACTACCAAGTCGGCGCCGATGGCCTAGGAGACCCCGCCCAGCATGGCGTTGTCGTGGACGCCGCCGACTTCGTCTTCCTCACGCGCCGCGCGTGCGAGCTGCTCGCGCCCGAGGTGGGCCTGCGCCCGATCGAGGTTCTCGAGGAGGACGGCTACACGTTCCGCCTCGACTCGACGGATCGCGATACCCCGAACGTCAAGGTCGTCGTCCCCGCGCCCGCCCACCAGCTGCGCTTTATGCGCCCCGTCGGCACGGTGCAGACCGCGGAGGAGGTGCAGGATACCCATGCTCTTTTGGAGGCCCTGAAAGGCTGGCGCGCCATGTTCCAGGCTGCCTACGAGCCTATCCTCGTCACCTACTGCGACGCCGTTGGGCCCCTCTTCATCTACGACACCGATGACTACTGGAGCGACGACTCGGACAGCGAGTCTGACTACTTTGCCTGCGAGTCCGACACTTCAGACAGCGACAGCGAGTCCGACGCGGACACCTGGTAAAACTGGACAGCTACGATAATAATGGTGCGTTGGCAGACACATTATCTAGCCGTCATGGTGCTAACGACAGCCTCGCAGATGTTTGCCGCCTCTGGACCTATCCCGAACTACCCATACCGTCGCATATCATCCTTCACCTTCCTCGACACCCTTTTTTTCCATCACTACGCTCCCCGTACCCGCATTTACCTTGTAGAATAAAATACTGTACTGATCACGGTAACATTCCGGACTACATATCGCTCACCTTACTCACAATCGGCTGGAGATACAAGCACTGTAACATAGATCTGACTGAAGCATCACAAATATTATTTATGGAAACAGGAAGACAGCGGGTACGAGTTGGCAAGGAGCTGACATTCTCTACTTAGAAGGTAATCTCGCACCGCGGCACGCGCTGCTGAGGCGATACATCCACCATCTGACAGTACGCCCTGCTCGGGGCGACACATGCGAATCCGATGAGGAGGGTGATGAGTACCGCGAGCAAGTAGAACAGTATCTGGAAGACAAGTCAGCTACCATTGTCCGCCAGTGCATCCAAAGGATGATCCACTCACATAACACATGACGGTCCAGAGTCTGCTACTGCGTTGAGCGCCAGCGGTGGCCTGGACGGCCCGCTCCTTCGACTCCGCCTTGAGCAGCTCGCCACTCTCAGACACGAGCTCCCATTCACCCTCGGGGGCCCGCTCGCGCTCGACGTAGATCACGGAGATGTTGTGCAGCAAGCCCGCCCAGGTAGCCATGGTCAACGTCGCGCCGGCTGCATCGTCATAGTCGCCCACGAAGCGCGCACGGATGAACTTCTCCCAGAGCACCTCCGGAGCTAGCGAGGGCGACTTCCACGAAAGATCGCGACAGATCAGGTCGATGAGCTCCTAGGATGCATGTTGGGACCATTGACGCGAGTGCCAGTGAAAGAGCTGAAAAGAGACTTACTGCACCGGACAAGTCCTGAAGCTCATCCTTACGATACGCTTTTCTATGCGTGTCGTGCTGCAGGATAATTTGCGCGTGAAGCTGAGGATAGCGGTCGCGTTGAGGAGTGCTGGGCACGGTCGTCGGTGCGCCGCAATTGGGACACTTGAGAGTCGAGGTCGTGGACGACATGAGGTTGAGAGCGAGGCACGCGGGATCGCTATGTGCTCTAGTTGACGCAACGTGCAGTCGACGTCGTCGTCGATGCAAAGAGAGCCACCTGCCTGGCCACTTATAAGACACAGCGCCTAGAAAGGCGTGCTCGATGCGAAGACTGTCTTTGACGCTGGTCAAAGGCCTCGGCTATCATTGATCTCATGAATGGAAGGATGCCATGCTGCAGTAGTAGCCATTCCTATTAGCTGCGAGAGGAGACATGTAGGGGACTTGTCAACGACGAGCAAAAGCACAGGAAGCAGGAGTCAACCGCTGTGAGGGTCGGCTGATGCCGAATCGCCCATTAGTGCGCATTTATTGAGGTCCGGCAATCCCGCCCAGACGATCGTGCAGCTTAGTAATCATGCAACTGCCATTTTGGGCGAATATACCTCCGAAGCGCGTACTTCAAGTCTACATGCTTACCGGTGCCCTGAATGGGCCTATAAAAGCGTGCAATGAGTACTTTAGGGATGGGAGAACAGTTCGTATTGAACAAAATTGCTGTCACTGTCCTGGAACATTGACTTTTGGACTGATGATGCCAGCGGTGCGCATATCTGCTCAATACGAACTGTAGATACTCAGATATAACGCGTATCCGTGCAGTAATTTTGGGCATAGCCGGACGCCGTCGCGTGCAAAACGTGAACTGGATGCAGCGCCAGATCAGAAGGAATCGATCACGTGATCGCGCCTCATCCGCCTTTTCCGTCTTCTACGCGCTCTTCCGGTCTACTCAGGGAAAGATAGCATGTCAGAAATATTCCATAGTGGTATAGACATATGTATGTGACTCGCATGAGTAGCTTGAAGCGCGATGCAGGGTGCATATACAAGGTACTCGACTTTAGGAGCTTGGATGAGGATAAGATGCCTTCAACGGCAATGCGAGCGCTCAAATCGTGCCATACAATCCTCCATTGTGTACCTCAGGTGCTGGGATGATGCACCTTGTGCTACGGCCTCCCTGAAAGACACCCCTACCGCACCAGAGACTCACCCCAACCGTATGTACGAGTTTAGTTAGGGTTCAGGTGCCAAAAAAATCAGAATTCGTAGTATATGACCTGTCAAGGTCCATCTGCACCCGGTGATATGGCTCTGTAGGCCATTAGCGAGTACACCATCGCATGCAGTCGAACTTCTGTTGAGTGTCGTCTTTCGCGGTCAAAGCGGTGGCGGTGTGATTACTAAGCTGCACGATCGTCTGGGCGGGATTGCCGGACCTCACATTTATGGCCATGATCAACTTTTGTTCCCACCATCATGATCACCGCCAGAACGATGGCAGCCTCGGCTTGCCGGCCTACAGCAATGCATCCTTCTCCATCACCAACTGAGCCACGTCCGCTGTAGAAGTCCCCTACAACTCTGGAGTGTCACGAGATAAGAAGAAAAGACGGGCAAAGCCAAATTCAAGGATCAGCCTTGGATCAGCCTCAGCCCCGACCTCGATTCACGTTCATCAGATGCGTCTGGTGGATCTCCTGACACCGCTCCGCCATTGTATACATTGCAATACAATCTGGACTCCATCGTCCTCTCTGCTGCCGCCCGCATCATCGTCCAGTGCCTGCAACAGGTTCGATGATGCCAGTGCCTCTGAGCAAAGGCGCACTCCGCTGCGCGAGCTTGTCTAGTGCTTCCATCATCCTTGCCTTCTCCCTCTTCCGCCTGCTCTTTTCTCCCTTATGTTCCCGATTACAACGACGATTGACTCCTCCAGCCCTCTCATCGACTATCAGCCGAATACGCAGGTGTGGCGACGGGGCGGGTGGGAGGGAGACAAGTTTGCGTCCAAGTGAGTCCTTTCGACCTTTTTGAAGCATCGGGATCGCCTTGTCGCTCTCGAATCCGTCTCGACTCGCGTTTGCTGATGAGTCTTTACTCCATGTAGGTATCAGGATGGCACCTTCATGTACTGCATCAATGCCACCGGGGCAACGGCAACCTTCAACTTTACAGGTACCGAAGTACATATCTACGGCGCCTATAGGTACAACTCTGGTCCCTACACGCGAGTATCCTTTCGTTCGTCGACGAGGGCACAGATAACATCTGACAGTGTAACCATCGACGGTGTCAAGTCCGACTACTTTCGCGCCAATGGTAGTGCTCCCGCTGCGAATGACGATCAGCAGCTCTTCCAGGTCGAGCTCTATGGCATAGACGACTTGGAGCCGGGGACGCACGAGGTCATCGTCACGAATGAATGGGCGAATGCGCCGATGCGGAAGGCAGGACTGGACCACGTCGACATTGACTACGTATGTCTCTTCTCAAATTTCAGCCTCAATTCTCCTTTCGCTGACGTTCGATAGGTCACCTTTTCCTCGTCCGTAGAATCGAACTTAAGCTCGACAGTTCAAACGGAGGACGCTGGGTACTTCTCGTTCGCCCCGCAGGACGCATGGATGAATGTCCTTGGAGATGAGTTCAATGAAGGCGGCGAACAGTGGGCTCGTCTCATACTCGCCCAACTTCTCGATATTGACCATTCAACAAGCCTGGCGATGAGTACTAGTGCCACTGTATCCCTCAAGTTCAAAGGCGATCGCGTCGCCCTTTACGGTGCCTACGGCCAAGGCTACTCGCCTTACAGCGCTCAACTCGACGACGGACCCACATACACGCTCAACGCCAGCCGCACAGACGAGCCCATGTATCAGCAGTTGCTCTTCAAGGCCGATTCACTGGATGCGAATACCGAGCACAACCTCACTTTGGCCTCGCTGTCGGATCTCAAGTTCTCTGTGGACTACGCCGAAGTGGACACGGACAGCAATCCAGTGACTGCGTCGTCGTCTTTCTCGTAGGTCGCTTAAATGGACTAATTCTCATCATAATTTACTCTGCTTACAGGTCAATCCCCACGTCGACCAGCTTGTCTCCTGGATCCGCAAGCATAGTCAATCACAAGACGGCTCAAAAGAGCGGATCCACTTCGACAGTATCGACATCAACTTCGGCCACCAGCGACTCGGACACGCCGACAGCAATTTCCACGCCCAGTCATGCGCATGTGTCACGACCTCTCACCGACGAGGACTGTCTTGCTAACATGCCGCCAGACTGAGCTCCGCGCAAGCAGGCGGAATCGCAGCTGGCTCCGTTCTGGGCGCCGCTGCCCTCCTGCTCATCGGCTTCCTCCTCTGGCGCCAGGCCAGGAAGCACAAGAAATCCTCCACCCCACCTCCTAGCCCCGCACCCGAACGCCCCGACCCTCAGTTCATCCCCTATGCGCCGCCTGCATCTTCAACGGACCACTTCATGCTTGCCCCGCCCCCTTCTGCGGGCCCTACGATTTCATCCCTGTCGTCACGGTTTCTTCCGGGGTCTAGCGTCTCGGTGAGCGCTGATAGAAACACCAATTATTCTGCGATGAGGACTGACCGCTGTCTTCACAGTACTCTCAAAGCGCGTACGCCCAGAGATCGCGTGGCCTTCCGTCTGAGCCTGAGCCTCTCCATTACACGCGCATTTGAACCCGGTCGGCGTCGCTCACCTCCGTTCGCCGAAGAATTGCCCAATATGGCTACCCTCGCTAGGAGACTCGCCATGTCTGAATCTATGTATGTTGGCCCGCTGTACCTGTCCTTACTCTCTTGTCGAGTGAAATTTATTTGATGCCACTCTTTCCCGGTATCCGTCCGCAAGAGAGAAAATCATGATCACAACATGCAGCAAATAAGAGTAGTAAACACATTGACAGACGGTCCACCCTACATCGTTCTCTTCATCCACAACCTGACCCTCACCACCTCACCTCACCTCTCTCTACACACGCACCAACTATCGTCCGATGTTCATCTTCAGCATCGCACCCACGACATCCACCTCCGCCCATCGTGGGTCCGCGCCGGCCTCGTTCTCCGCGACCGCGTTCTTGCGCCGCTGGATGTGCACGAGCGTGTTCTTGAAGTGCCGCGCGATCATCTCTGGCGTCTGCACGCCCTCGAGTAAGCCGGGTGGCGGACGCTGTGACGGGTGCGCCTCGGCAATGCTGTCGATGTTGGACGTGATGAGCTCGACGAGGTTGCTAATAAACTTGGGCTGGACCTAGAGAAGAGAAACAAGGGTCAATACCGCAGACGCAAGAGGTAAGCAATACCCTTACAGCCGCTGCTCCACGGTCCAAGTAGTACACGTATTGGTCCAACGTATCGCACTGCATCTGCACCGTGATGATCTCCTCGATCGCCGAGTGCGCGATGCGCAACGATTTCTGCAAGCACTCAAGCACGCGCTTGCTGTCTTGGTGAGGGTACTGTAGGAATCATCAACAACTGACAAGAAACGACTGCTTCGCCAGCACTTACAGCCTTCGCAGTGCTCTCGCTACCCTCCTTCGGCGACTCCTTCTTCTCCGGCACCTCAGCTGCAGGCTCCGCCTCGCCATCCGCATCCGCCGCAGGCGCCACCGGTAGCTCCTGCCACCAAAGATGACTCGCCAGCCCAACTGCCGTCGCCTGGTGGCTCTTCTTCAATAGCTTCGCCCCGTGCAGCGCCGCCTTTGTGATCAACGTGTCGTAGTTATCGAACCCAAAGACGCGGGCATTTGCGAGAGTGCCGATGATAAGGGTTATCGCCTGCAGCTGCGCGCGCGACTCGTTGATGCTCTCCTCGTAGACCGTGAACGCCTGCACGTAGAGGTCGTACGTGAGATCCTCGAACCCGCACTCGTCCGCAACTTGCGCGGCGAGTAGGAAGAGACGGAGGGCGATGGTGGGTGCGTCGCCTTGTGTTGATAGGATGGACGTGAGTTGTCGCAAGAACTTGAATATGGAGTTGACTTTGTCTTCCCAGCCCTCCTCCTACCGGGTATTGTCAGTACCTTGGACATGATGAGACAAGCGACATGACCAACCATATGTTCCCGCGTCTTGTATCGCCTGCAGAGCTTAATCGCGGCGGTGATGAGCGCCGGGAAGGTATAGCGTATCCGCTCGCCTCCCAAGTCGAAATGTCGCCTTGCTGTTTGTAGCAACTAACACGCCATCAGCACCAATTCACCACGACGGGTGCATCGCTCACCTCAAACTGCGTGTCCAGATTATCAGACCGGAACAAATGCACCATCCTCGCTATCCAGCCCTGCTCCTCCGCCAACTCCTCCCTTTCGACCGAATACGTCCCCTGTCTCCTCAAGTCGCGCGCGACGCCATTTATCGGCGCCGCCGCGCCCTCGGACTGGTCCTTGATAAGAACATGGCACAATTCGAGGACACCGTCGACATCCTCGGGCGTCTCGACGATAGTCTCGTTCTTCAGCACGCTCGAGATGATGGACTGTGCGATCGACCGCCGTGTGGAGAAGAGTTGGCCGCCCAGCATGGGTACATAGTTCGGGATGGCGAGGAGGGTGAGGACGGATTGGTACGAGTTAATGGGTGCGATGAGCAGGGCGGCGAGGTTCTGGGTGGTTTGGGGTGCATGGAGGTCGGGGCTATTGGTTGGAATGAGCAACGAGTCTGATCAGTGAATGGAGCAACCGACCTGTCAGAGTACTCCTTGATCTTCTCTGCCGCATATCCCAAGACCTGGTCGACATATTCGAGCCGGTCGGGGTAGCAACTCAACGAGAGGTTCGTCAGGGAGACAAAGAGGGCTGTGATGTCCTGGATAGACAGATCTGACCGTGCCTACCATTTCGTCAGTCAAATAATTGTGTCAAGCTTCGTCAGTGCTCACCCTGATCAGCTGCACGACCTGCTGCCAGAACACCTCAAAGAGCTGCACATCCTCGGGAACACCGCGGAACTTGCGTACAGGCGTACCCTCCTTGCCCTTGCCCTTCGGCTCAGGTGACTTGTACTCCGTCGCAGGCGTGCCATTCGGCGCCGGAGTCGTAGGCGATGAGGGCTTCTCCGACGGCTCGACCGCAGTGGTATCATCGCCGATCGTCGGGCTCGTCGGCGGCTCCTCGCCCCACGCATCCGCCTCAGCAGACCTGGGCGCCTCCGCCGCCTGCGCGCGCAAGTTCTGCTCGCGGACCTTCGCCTTCTGCGCCTGCACCTTCTCCGCCAGCCGCTTCGCAGCCGCCTCCTCCTGCCGCTTCGTCTCCTCCGGGTCCTCGTTCTCCGCCTCGCGCGCCGCATACGCCGCGAGCCGGTCGATGAGCGAGATCACGATATTCTTGATGTTCACCTTCGGATGCAGCTGCGCGGTCGCGGAGAGGAAAGGCCCGAGGGTGTGCAGGTGGAACTCGTCCGTGAAGACCTGGATGACGACCTCCATGAGGTACTCCTGCGCGATCACGTCCTTGCAGCTGACGACCTGCTCGAGCACGCTGGGGAGGATGATGCGCTGGTACATGTCGAGGTCGACGCCGTCGAGCTGGCTGAGGCGGACGAGGTTGGTCCCGACGAGGATGCGCAGCTCGCGCCGTTCCATCTCGCGCTTCTCGCGGTCGCGGGAGTGGCCCTGATGCTGCAGGCGCACCCAGAGCTTGTTCATCTCGATGAAGTTGGTAAGGACGAAGGATATGGAGTCCTGAAGACTGCCTGCTGGCCTGGAATCTATGATCAGAGGGATTCGGACGCGTCTGCACAGCTACGCACCCAGGCTCCAGCGATACGGGAAGGTGGTCGCGCGTCTGGCCACTGAGGTAGTGTCGAAGGAACAGACCACGGATGGGATGAAGTACACCGCGCGACATCTCCATCATGTCCTTCATAATTTCGCGGATGGGGGCCTCTGGGATCGACATGTACACGGAGCCGACGGTGATCATGAGGTACAGTCGGGGGACGATGTTCTCCGCATACTGCACGAGCTCGTACAGGTCGGCGAGGTGGTGCTTGCCCTGGGTGTGCGCCTCGTACAGATAATTCGATAAATATCGCAGCGCGTCGAACACGGCCATGTCTGCGCTCGTCGGTCAGAAGCCGATAACTGCGCTTGCGAGGCGATACGCACACAGCTCGTAATACTGCTTGGGGGACAGCGACGACGTGCGCAGCTCAGCCAGCATCGTGCTCGCGCTCTTCAACGCGTCCATGAGCTGGTCCAATTCCTGTGATAATTTGGACCCCTCAGTACCAGAATCACTACGCGCGGCGGGGGACATACCAGGTTGCGCTTCATCTGTTGCACCTGGATTTTGACGACGTTGAGCGCCTCGCTGAGCAGCTTGCCCTCCTCCACATTTGGGATCGCCATGGTCGCCGGCGCCACGGTGAACGGTGACAAGAGGAGATTTCAAGAACAGAAGCTCGGTCGACGATGACGGAACGCCCTTCCCGGACCGTTGTTTGCTGTTTGGCAAGATCTTCGGCATGCCCCGAAAGGCAACCTTTATGTTGAACTCCACAAGTCATGCTTGACCTCGTACTTTTCAACTTTAGTGGTCACATCTTGACGGACAGGCGGCACCCAAAGGTTACAGAACATCAACAGAGTCATCAATTCGTGAACTATATGCAGTCGTCTCCTCGTGAACCTCGTCGTCCCCCTCGTGAAGTGGTGGTAGCTAAGAGTGGTACAGTACAAGCGGAATGATCACGCTATAACAATGGGTCGAATGATATACGAAAGTAGCATCCAAGCACCGCGAAGAAGGTCGAAGGCGGCGGTGCGGGAAGGAATGACGTGGCGGATACGGTAGAACAGTGGCCTAAATCCTGATATGGTAAAGCAAGAGTAAATCCTCGACGCCCAGTGAGCAGCGGCGTTACCACTGGTCGGGGGCGGAGCGCATACGAGTAAGGTAAGCATAGGAGAGCATAGTCGAAAGCGGCGGCACGTAGGCGTGCGGCCTCGAATTTTGCGGCAGTGCGCTGCGCGGGGTGGCATCAACGCGCGATAGAGTAAGTTGAGAGAGGCTAATACGAGAGTCAGCTATGCAAACTAGGAAGCAGAGATGGAAAGACGTACCTCATAGGCCTGTGAATGTCGAAGGTGGGGCGGCGGGGATGTCTGCGGTCATGCGACAACGCAGTACATGCCCGTCCCGCTGGACCCATTGTTCCCAGTCGTCGAGTTGCCCTCGTAGTCGGCAGGGAATTCCAAGTCCCAGTCCTCCTCCTGGGACGTCCCCGTAAGGTTCAAGACAGAGAGAATCGTGTAGAAGGCGTCCATCGTCGCAGTCGTGATAGTCGTGCAGCAGCGTAAAGGAGGAGCAGAGGGAGGTTGCTCGTCAGTAGAGGCGCTGGCGGACTGCGACGGGGTCGTTGAAGCCTCGGATGGAAGCTGAGGAAGTACAACGCCGACCGCGCGTCCTTATATGTGCGCCCGCTCCTCGTCGCGGAGCCGGGCCCCGGGCTGATTCGAGCTGCATACGCGCCTTATTGTCCTAGATTACGCGTGCCAACGCGCTATTGTATTCGCGTCACATATTCCCGGAAAGAATGCAGGATAGCCGGGTCCCACGCGACGGTGCCCGGACGTAACGCGACGTGGGCGTATGGGACGCGACGCGGCTCAGATGGAACGCAAGGTCGCCGGGCGAAGACAATAAGCCGGCGCGGACGCGTAGATTACGATGGTGATAGCCACGCGCGTGCCTATCGACCGGCGCGTCGCGAGCTCAGGGAAGTAGGAAATGTGACTGAGAGATTGTTTGTGACTCACCGAAGAATGCAGTACGATGGGAAGGATGCTACATTGTCTCCCGATGCGGGGAGCGTGCCAGTGATATCGGCTCTACATTGTGCTTCCTGCATACCAGGAAGTATGCCTTTGGAGAGCTCTAACAACGGCGCCTGGGCAGCTCTCCACCCTCGAGCCTCCTGTACATTCCGTCGCGCCCTCGGGTCCGCCAGGGAGAACATGGGTGATCGACGTTCGAGTTGAATATTCCGGGCACGGTCCCGAGATCCAAGCCCACCGGCCGGCCACCGCCGACTCATCTCTCACGGCTCCGGTCTCCTTGTACGTCGAAATGTGGCTGTTGTGCTTGCGTTGATCGCCGGGACCCTGGCTACCCGTTGCATTGTATTCAAATCAGGCAGTTATGACTCGCATTGTCTCGCAGTCATAAATTACGGGAGCGCGTTGTCGCGTTTCGACACGTGTAGTCATGTGACCGCGTCAGCCGTACTTCCCGTCGTCAGGTCGAGGCTGGGTCCATTGTCCGGTGGCAGAGGCACTGTCAGACTACAATGGGCGTACCGAGGCTCTAAAAACGTATTCAAGAACACCATGGAGACCACATATCGCTTCAGTCATTGTACACGTCTCCTTTACAGGTTACAGGTTCACTGCCTCAACTCTCCTCTACTCGCGCCATCCCTCCAGGTTGACCAGAAGCTCGTATACATACTGCGTGATGCCGAACAATGCATCGTCCGTAATTCTCTCGTTGACCGTATGCACGTTCTGGCCCTCATCCAGAGGAACTGCACGGAACCTAAAGATGTTTTTGCTGAGTGGCTTCATGTAGTTCGTGTCCGTTCCAGCTATTGTCCTCGTTAGCCACCGTCCTTCCTCCTTCCAGCTCGTTAAACACGCACCTATCATCCCCTTCGGCGCCACAATGACATCCTCGCCCCAAACATGGCGCACCGTCCCCGCAATAAGCTCCCAAATCGGCCCCTCACTCGGCGTAATCGGTGCATGCTCCCTCCCCGCACTCGGCACGCTCAACCCCAGCGTCACCTTCCCCCTCCCCTCCGCCCCCTCCTTCACCGTTTCCCCAAATGCCTCCAGCGTCAGATTCAACCTCTCCACCACCGGCCCAATCACCGCCGCATACCGCGCCTGCACCGCGGCGACCGTGTCGTCCCACCCGACGCGCGAGTCGATGATCGCCTCGGAGTGCTCCGGGAGCGCGTTGATCTTCTCGCCCGCCCGCGCGACGTTCGCGGCCATCGTGGTCGCGAGGTGCGCGCGGAGTTCGTCGTCCTGGGCGAGGTCGTCGGCGAGGGCGGGCCAGGCGGTGGGATCGAGGACGCGGGAGCGGAGGCCGGAGGGCATGGAGGGCGCGTGCTGCGCGAGGCAGGTGAGGTAGCGGAGGTAGAGGGAATCGGCATTCAGGGTGTGCGGATTCGAGTGCGCCTCGAGCTCGGCGATGAGCAGGGAGAGGATGCCCACTACAGGTCGATGAGTGAAGGCGGAGAGGAAATAGAGGGAATGCACATACGTCCGGTATGGCGGGGTGGCTTGCTAGCGTGGCCGCCGGGAACGTCGATTTGGAGCTTGGCCCCAAGGGAACCCTTCTCGGAGAGGCCAAGGCTTGCAACTCGAAGGCCATACTCCGTCTCGATACCAGTCGACCCCTCGTCGATGACGAACGCGAATGAGTCCTGCCCGTAGCGCTCCTGCAGAACACGAGAGTTGTTACCAGCACCCTTGATCCCCTTAAAGTCTTCTCAGCACCCAGTGACCACTGATGTTGTTCTTCCACTCACCATAATCTCCTCATCAAACCCAATACTCATCACAACCGTCCTCTCGCCCCTAATATCCATCCCCGCCGCCAACCGCTCCTTCACAATCCTCTCCAACGCATTCAACTCCGAAGTCACCAGCCCCTTACAATCCAGCGCGCCCCTCCCATAGATCCACCGCTTGCCGCGCGGATCGTCCTTCGGGTCCGTCACGCGCCCCTCGAAGGGCGGGTGGTGCCACTCGCCGATGGTCGCGGTCTGCACGGGCACAGTGTCCTGGTGCGACATGAGCAGGACGGGCGGTAGGGAGGGGTTCGTGCCGGGGAGGGTGAGGAGGGTCGAGTACTTTGTGACGTATTCGACTTCGAGGTGTTCGTAGCTGGAGTGGATGTGAGCTTGGGGAGCCGGGCAAGGGGAGAGGATGTACGCACACAAGGGGCCATTCGGACCGCACCCAGGCATTGAAGCGCGCGTGCTTCAGCCAGCGCTCATCGCCACCGTCTTCGGGCGCTTGCAAAGGATCCGTGGGGTACATGTCGTCGTACGAGACGGTCTCCATCTGGATGGCCTTCGACAACCTCTGAACGTAGAGCTCCTTGTCCGCCGCGGACAGTCCTTCCACGGGCTGTAGAGGTTCAACATACGGTCAACAGAGATGGGCTCGTAACTCACCCACTGCGACATCACCGACCGATACCCAATGGGCTGAACCGGGCATTGCGCCGCCTCCAGCATCGCGGAGACTTGCTCCTGCCTCGCATGCCCAACCTGATACTTGTAGAACGTCGCCCCAAGGTAGAGCGGAATCAGGATCGCGGCCAAGAGGTACCGACTCCTCCTCGACGTCTTCTTCGCAGGTCGGACATCGAAAGGACTTTGAGTCTGCCTGCCATCAAGGGGGCCTTCCTTGCCGTCGACTTTACTGTCTCCCCCCATGGTCGCAGAGGATGAGACACCACGGGCACCCCCACCTTTGACGGCGGAAAATTAGGTTGTCGTAGGAATAGCCGCGTATTTTGTATTTCTGAGAACATAAGTAGACTGTGACAGCCGCCAAATATAACCTTTGACGATGGACAAAGGGATTGTATGTCTGAGGGCGAAAATTATTAATGACCAGCAGGAAACAAAACGGGCGGTCACAGGCCGGACATTACCCGGAGACCGCCCTGGCATGTCCCGTTCCATGCCCGGTCAAGGGCGTGACACCGGTGAGCACGTTTCGCGGCCCATATCTTGCGATCCAGCGCATGGTATGAGTAGGTCCTACCCTGAATGTGAAGCCCTACATCGGCACTGTCGCTCTGTTGCAGCAAGGAGGCCAAGAAGTCGCTCAGTCAAGAGATATCGGCCGCGAAACGTGCTCACCGGTGTCACGCCCTTGACCGGGCATGGAACGGGACATGCCAGGGCGGTCTCCGGGTAATGTCCGGCCTGTGACCGCCCGTTTTGTTTCCTGCTGGTCATTAATAATTTTCGCCCTCAGACATACAATCCCTTTGTCCATCGTCAAAGGTTATATTTGGCGGCTGTCACAGTCTACTTATGTTCTCAGAAATACAAAATACGCGGCTATTCCTACGACAACCTAATTTTCCGCCGTCAAAGGTGGGGGTGCCCGTGGTGAATCCCTTTGTCCATCGTCAAAGGTTATATTTGGCGGCTGTCACAGTCTACTTATGTTCTCAGAAATACAAAATACGCGGCTATTCCTACGACAACCTAATTTTCCGCCGTCAAAGGTGGGGGTGCCCGTGGTGAGAGCTCTTCTCATAGCGGCCGGTCTCTCTTTTCAACCCATCGGTCCCTCCCACCGACGCAGGCCTTCCATCCGCACAACTCTCGCGATCATGCGCCTATCATGGGCCCGCCGATACCGACGATGCCGAGGCGAACCTGCGCATTATCGAGGTGAGTTTGCGAGATATCGCCTTCGATTGGGAAGGGTGAGATGCGGGAGATGGGGTTTGCTGAGAGTAGGGTACGCGTATGAGCGACGGGCGATATGGAGGCCGCGGCGAGGATATGAAGGTGAAGAGATTGCTGGGGATTTCCAAACAGCCGGGTTTTTGACCGGGCGGCCGGACCGGCGCCACCGCCCGCTGGAGAACCCTCGCAGTTGAACCTGAGTTCGAACGCGAGCCTGAACTGAGGCGACTTTCCTGTACAGCGGTTTAGTCTCCCAAGACAGCGGTTGGGCATAAGACGATTGCTATCTTAGCAGTCTCACGCTCACCCGTGAATCCATGTTACCCATGAGCTGTATTCCAGAGTATAGTGAGCATGTAAACGAGCGATTAGATGAGGCTCTTATGGTACATTCTGCCACTCATAGTAAATACTGTGTATGCAACACTGTCCATCGTCCGTATGTACCGTCCAATAAGCATAGGGTATCCGCTCAAGCACCTACTCACGCGACAGTCTGCACCTTATGCGACGCCCTTGATAATATCCGCACCATACTCCGCGATGCCGACCACCGTCGACTGGATGTGCGCGGAAATATGGATCGGGATAACCGACGCGTCAATAACGCGCAGGTTCGAGGTGCCGTAGACCTTGAGCTGCGGGTCGACGACGCCGCCCTTGTCCTTCGGGAGCAGCGACGCCGTGCCGATGGGGTGGTACTCGGTAGACAGCGTCGTCTTTGAGTAGTCGCGCAGGTCGGCGACGTCGGGCGAGGGCACGGCGCGCGCGCCGACGTACTCGCCGTACGGGCCCGACTTGGCGATCTCGAGGAGCTTCTCGGTACCGGCGGTCTGGAGGTCGAGGTCAAAGTCGACATCGAAGTAGTTCGCGTTGATCTTGGGGTAGTCGGTCGCGTTGGCGCTCGCGATGTGGATGGAGCCTGGAAAGAAAGTCAGAAAGAACCCTTTTGCGGAAAGTGACTAGACATACCTCGGCTAAGAGCGTGCTGGTTCGCAGCAAGGAACGTGATGTACTCCTTGCCCTCCTCCGGCGCGCCATTCGTCGCAAAGAACCCGTCGATGGCAATAAGCTCCATCTGGCCGACCGTGTCATCAGCAAGCAGCGCAACTTGCGCCTGCAAGATGGGGTAGTAGACCGAGCCGATCTGCGAGAGTGCGTAGCCCTGGGCCTTGGCAATCAACGAAGAGGCGTTCGAGTCGCCGACAAGCTGCTGGAGGGTGACATAGCCGAGCGAGGGCACGGCCTGGTCGTAGATGCTCGGGGCGCCGCTCTTCCAGTTGGCAAGCTGCTCCTCCTGGAAGGAGGGATCGTTGCGGAGCGTGTCGAGGGTAGTTGTGCCATTCGCGACCTCAAAGGCCACCGAGGTGTAGGCTGGAAATAATTTAGCACACTGTACTACCAACGATTGTAAATTACGCACTGTGCTCCTGGAGGTTCTCCCCGACAGGCAATTCAAGGAGTTGGGAAATCCCGAAGCTAGCCAAAGTGAGACCAATGAAAAGCATTGAGTACATGAACTTACGCAGACAGCACGTCAGCCTTCCCAATACCCGACAGCTCGAGAATCTGAGGAGTGCTGCGGGTAACATGTAAACTCGTAACGCTATACACAAAGGCCGGGGCAACTCACTTGACGGTACCCGCGCTCAGGATGACCTCCTTGCTGGCAGTAGCGTTGTATGGCGAGCCACCATTCACAAACGTCACGCCCGTCGCCGTCAACGCATCACCAGACGCATCGAAGTTGACGCGCGTAACCTGCGCGCCCGTGAGCAGCACCAAGTTCTCCCTCGCCTCATTCGGGTAGTAGTACGCAGGCGCCGCATACGACCGCGTGCTGTTCGCGGGATTGATATCGCTCGGGCTCTGGTTCGCGCCGATCACATTGCCCCCCAGCGGGTTGTCGTTGCGCGCGATGCCGAGCGCCTCGAGCGCGGGGATCCACGACTTGGCCGCCTTGGAGATATAGTTGCCGAAGGAGACGCTGATGGGGCCGCTCGAGCCAATGTTCGAGGGGTCGGGGCTCGCCTGCAGCGAGCTCTGCTCATCGGAGGTGGGCCCGGTCCAGGACTCGGCCTTCTTCATGTAGTTGAAGAGCTTGTCCCAGTTCCATCCGGGGTTTCCGAGCTTTTCGATAACGTCATAGTCGGCCTTGGACGCGCGGTCCCAGACGAGGAAGTTGAGGGCGGAGGAACCTGAGCGAGATGTAGATTATTGACACGGCTGGGTCATTCGCTTATGGCGTACGCACCTCCGACAACCTTTCCTCTGGGCCATGGGCGGCTAGGGACACCGTTCTGCTCTTCTGTCGTGTAGGCCCAGTCGTAAGTCGTGCCAAGGTCCGCGCCAAACTTCAGAGACAATTGAGCATAATGCAGATACTCTCAAACGGCGGACGCACCATGCCCGGAACGTCGACGATATCATCACCCAATGCAGTCGTACCCGCCTCGATAAGTCCGACCTTGACCGAAGGATCCTCGCTGAGCCTAGCAGCGACCTGGGTAGCTCACGGTTAGATACGAGGCGGGGGAGGGGGATAGATAATGGGGGACGTACGGTCAAGCCTGCAGAGCCGGAGCCCACGACGATGTAGTCGAACGTATCCGCAGCAAAAGCCGCGCCGTCCGTAAGCGTCACCGCATACGAGCGAGATACAAAGAGGGCAAGCGCGACGAGAGCACCGAGAGCCATGATGCAACCGCCGCGAGTCTAACGAGCGAAGAGAAATCTAGAGGAATGAATGGAAGACCTCGGAGAGACCTGTCCATCCCGCACTCCCCTCGCTTATAAAGTCCACGACCACGCGCACCATCCCCCCGCCGCACACGGTATTTGCGATGGGTGAGATCGGCAAAGATGCAAGAAGGGGCCGGCGGGGGTGGGCTTCTGGCGTGCTCTGTCAAAATGCGTATCCAGGGTCGCGCGCTCGCCAAAATGGTTCCCCTGCCGCAAATCTTCCTGGGAAGATGAGCCTCACCTGCCTCTTTGACCGCTCTCTGCATCATCAAGTTTCTGATGGAAGCGCAGGTGAACCACTTGAACTGGCTGCCGTCCGCGCGCATCGCGCGGGGCGCCCACCATGGCAGTCCGAAGGTCCGCAGCGGGTCGAGCAGAGCGGTCCGGGTGCCTTTTCCTTGTACTTTTTACTATATGGCCAGCTGAACATGACAACGAGGGACAAGACAAGAACTTCCTGAACCGGATGCAATTTATCCAAGCGGGGGTGGGGATGTTCATGTGATGAGTTTATTCCACGTGGCCGAGATCACATTGCTGCCGGCATGCCGTCCTGCCGCTGACGTACGCGGGTTGGCCAATTCCATCTTGATCTCGACTATCACAACGCCGCAGCCTTCTCGATTTTCTGTGGGACAACTGTTTACGCTCAAAAGGTGGCCTCTCCTGCCCGTCTACCCTCCTCTCTCCGCGAGCTCGATCAACGGCAGGCGCGTCAACAAACAAGGATTTCCGGCCTAAATTGCGGCATCTATCAAACGTTTGCGCCACCTTCCTCCTTTCCCGACCGCTGTCAATCAACTTCTAACCCCTACGCCCCTGACATGTTAACCGATGTTTTAACCTTGAACCAACCCTGAAGGTGAGCCGACAACACCTCGGGCGGACGCCCGATGACGAACCAGCCATTTGGGTCAAGAACTCGAGAGCGCCCAGATGCCTGGCAATTCAGCCTTCGAGGTCGAGCTATATCTTCCTGCGGTGACTCCTCTACTTGCTCCCCAGGCTGGGCTTCATCTCCTTGAATTGCGAAGTCTCCCCGAACATTGCAGTGCCCGCAAATATCCTTGCTTACCAGATGACTCGCTACGCTTTGCCACCCGCGGGCCGATCTCTGCCGATGCTAGCCCATCCTTTCTTTGATAACCGTCAAGCCGGATACCCAGCAATGTGGAAGGTTGAACCTCGAGAGCCCGTGGACCTACAAGCTTACCGGTCCATTCAATGAATACTCTACCCTCACCTTGTGCGAACTGAGCCGTCGCTTTTCTAATACCTTGAAGAGGCCTTACCAACATGTTCAAGCCCGCGGGCCAATTCGTGCGCTTGTCCTCCCCAAGTAAGTCATCTTCGAAGCCTGCTCCTCGGTGCCTCAATCGCACGAGTCGAAGATTCTCTTCGCACAGTCCAGAATGTCCAGATAAGCACCGCCTCGCACGTTTTCACAACTCGATAGCACGTTGTAGCAACATGTAACAGTGCGCAGTTTGCGCCATCCCTTGCGCCTGTTCCTTCCGCCTTTCAGAATATTCCTTTGCACGTACTTACAGAGAAGATTTGCACCTTCACGCGAATGGCTATCGCGCTCTCGACCTGAATACCTTGTGTATCCTGCGTAAACCGTCTATGCGGCTCGTAATCTGAACTGTTACGGTCACTCTCAGTCCGCGAATGGAACCTTCCTTGTTCTGGTTGATGTTGATGCCCGAGGTCATCTGACGACGACAAGGAACAGAGCCATCGACCCAAGGAACATCTCCAACTCTAACAAGGGCGCCAGCGGGACGCCATCGCGCAGGCATCCATCCCGCATGAGATCGGGTCGCAATACAGTACGCCCTGCAGGGTACCCAGTAGAATTGCCCCTGACTAGCCACGAAATCCTATACCCGATCCAACATCTCATGCCGGGACGTCACCAACCTGCGCATCCTTCCCCTTCTTCTTCCCCCTCCGCGAGCTCCCCGCCGCCTTCTCCTTCGGCTGAGGCACGTATTGCGCGCCAGCACCCAGCAGATTCTTCCACGGCCTCTGCGCGTCCACTTTCCTCTTCGCATGATGCGGCTCGGATAGCGGGGGCGGCACGCGCACGACCTCCGGCTCAGCCTCCTCTTCCAAGCCTTGCTTCGCTGCCGGCGGTGGTGACGGTGCCGGCGTGAACGTCGTCACCGTCGCCTTCTTCGTCCGCGAGTTCAGCGAAAGCACCTTGTGTGCTTGATTCTGCGCAGGAGAGGGCGTTCGTAGCGGAGGAGTAGAGCCAGATAGTGTGGGGAACGCTCCGGCGCGTGCGCGGGCATCTGCCTCGGCGCGGACGAGGGCGGCTTCCTCCCTCGCGAGGGTTGCGTTGACCTCATTTTCGAGGCGCTCGATGAGGCGTGCAGCGGCGTCTGGGGAGAGGAGAGGGGACTCGCAGTGGGGACAGACATATTCAGGGCCGTTGATCGCGCAGAGTATGAGTCCACAATGAGTGCAAGCAGGGGCGTAGGAGGATAAGGCGTGTTCGCGGGCTAGATGGAACGTGTTAATGTTAGACTCGAGTACTTGCAAAGAATGAGATGAACGTACCCATGCAATAGCAGCCGCCCAAGGGATCCTTTACACCTCTCGCCGACCGTAATGCGTCGATCTGCTTCTCGAGTTTGCGCACCGCACGACTCCTTGGTGGTCCGGCTGGCTCCTTGCCCTTCGGTGAACCCCTACCGCCCACTTGGTGCTTATTATTGTTGTACCGCGGCTTGATACGGTCGGAGGGGAGTGAGCCTTTAGTCCAAGGGGTGTGCTGCATGTCGATTGGGGCGATATTAGGCGAAAAGGCAATGAGTGCGCTTTGAGCGTGCAGATTAGGCGCTCGAGCCTCGTCTCCAATCTTCGGATGACCGGCCCGCTACCAAGTCATTGACCGTCACACAAATTCACTCTGATTCTTGCGTCGATGCGAACAGTCCGCTGAAAACGCAGGACCGCTGTTGTGAATCTGTGGCGCTCACTAGATTCTTCTAATTACTCTGACGAGAATGGGCTGGGGATGCGCGGGGAATGGGCGCCTTCCTGCCCACCAACATGGTCCAGAATAGAGCGCCAGCTGGCGCTCTGACATGCGTTAGCGACCTCCTTCGCAAAACAGGAACACCAAGACTTCTTCCAGCTTCCCTCGTAGCCTCATTCCCAAACTATCTTACGCCTACTCTCCCCAATGAAACGCCCACCCCTCGTTGGACGCTAGCCTCGCGGGCGCCTATTTAACGGTCAGCTGCCCCCGCCGGCCTGCACGCCCCGCACCCCCAGGGCCAGACCCTCCTGCCGACGTCGCCTCCCTGCTGATCCTTATCGCCCGCTCGCCCTCCTCGCGCCAAGATCCGCTTCGCAAGGCCTCGGGACAACGCGAAAGGCACGTCGCCACTGGAATTCAATTGAACAGCGGACAGCCATGCCCAGGTCCAGCACGGCGCCGTCCAGTGGTCTATATAGCGCCGGCGCGCATCGAGGGGACGCGCTGGGTTTAGGATCCTCACCTCCCCCCTCGCCTCTGCAAGCGGAGTCGGAGCCCCTCCTGATACCAGCGTCACCGCGAATGAGGCCCGCTTCGTTTCGGCGCGTGTCCTCGCCGCTAAATCCGGATACGCCGCCAGCCTCGCTTTCTGCGTCACTTGCTTCGTCCTCGACGCCGCCCACACCATATTCGCCGCCCTCGACATCTCCCCCACCGCCAGGCTCGCCATTCCGCTCGCGGCCGTCGCTCTCAAATTTCTCCTATGTCCCCTCCGAGGAGGCAAGGGTGCTTTCCGGGCAGGGCTCGGCCACGGGTACACCGCGCACGTCGATGATACTGTATCACTTCGCCCTCCCTGATGGAGAAGCCAGCAGGAAAGGAGATGCCGCGACGATGCCACCCCCGCTCATAGCCCCAACCTCCCCACGAGACTCCCTCGCATCCCTGACCCGACCTATATCCGGGATCGCCTTCCCTCGACCAGAGTCAGGGACCGGCAGTGACCCCTCCACGACCTCACGCTCCTCTATGATATCCTACTCCTCCGACTCGAAATACCCCATGTTATCCCACTCGTCGGACTCGAAATACCTCACCATGACGGGTGGGCTCGTGCCGTACGCCTATGACCCAGACGACGATCTGCTTAGCCCGCTCGAGGAAGGCGCCGTGTCGTCGAAGGAAGATGGCGCCCCTATACCCACCCGGCGCTTCACCATCTTCTCTTGGCGCGGCCTCGCTAATGCCTTCGCCCTCGCGATCCTAATGATGGCCCTCATCGCGCTCTTTGTCCTATACCCCGTGCTTGCGTTTAGCCACGATGGCGAGCGCTCGTGGCGCATCGCGCATAATACGGCGATCAACGGGACAGGGCAGGCGGCCTAGCCATCCGCGAGGTCTATCAGGAGGTACAGGCGAGCCCATTGATATGGCGGTGGCTCGAGATGGATGACGTTATCAAGGAGTGGTGAAAGGGAGACATCGTGGCAGGGGTTGAGAATATAACTTGTGAGTGGCTATCCCTCCTTCTAGCACGCCAGTGTCAGTGGCAGAATTGGATGCTAACGAAAGGTGCAGACTCGGTCTCAGGATGACGCGGACAATTGTGTATACCCTACTGTAATATGGCGACTGATTCTTCTGCAAGGGAAGGCGAAAGGCCTTTGCGCTCTTCATCCCCATCACATCCTGCATTTCGGTACCGCTGCCACGATGCCATCACGTGAAGGACATGCGGTTCAGATGTAACGGTGGCCACTTCGCTGTGACTGCGCTCATTGCTGGACTTGTCCCTTCCCACGTCGTACCGTCGACGAAGCGATCACCTATATTCCTTCCCAACTACTGACCATGGCTGAAACATGGTCTTCCTCTTTAGCCAAAGCGATGAATGAGGCGGCAGTCCTGCCAGCAGCATTTGCTCGCAGGGTGAGGCTGACAGCCGCGGCCGAAGCCCTAGTAGCGCAAGAGGCCCTCGCACCCAAGCGGCCCAGACGTACGCCCGATACCTCTGCGAACGACAACCACTCCCGGGCTCGCAAGAAGCCCCGCAGGGACCGGCCGAAGGCTGGGAAGCTCGAAGGTATCGCAAACCTGCCACTCGATATCCTCTTCGAGATCTTCGGACACCTCAATCCCGCCGACCTCCTCCACCTTGCGCGCGTGAACAAATACCTGCGCGCGACGCTCCTCCGCAAGGACTGGAAGCCGCTCTGGGAAATCTCGGTTCGGGGATATCGCACGCCGATTCCTCCCTGCCTCGACGAACGGCTGGAGTTGCCACAATACGTGAACCTGCTATTTGGGCAGCATTGTTTCGTGCGTCTTCATGGTATGGACCTGGCCTTCTCAACGACTGACATAAGTTTGCAGGGCTGTGCCACCTGCAAACGCGGCATCCACACTATGCAGACACTCTGGTGTTTTCTTGAGCGCATATGCGTTGCTTGCCTGCAGAAGAAGTTCGTCTCATGAGCCTCTCCAGCAGCCCGCGTAACTGACTGAGTATTGTCTCTACTTACAGATACACCATCTTGAAGAGCCCCGAGACATACTGTGGTGTCCAGTGCATGCAAAATCCACACAGTAGCTGTACGTCGTGAATTATTTGCTACACGTTACTGGCGTATACATGTACCCACTACCCAACAGGTAACTCCGCGCGAATAGCCAACAGAAAGTAATATCTCTGGATCTGCTCAGAGCTCGCGAAGTGCCCAGATGCTGCTGCACGACGCAAGCGGGAAGCAGAGATACGCGAGCAGACGTCTAGGGTCCTGAAGGTAAGCTCGTGGCACGCGACTCGTCGTCTGGCCATTTGATTCAGGACAATCCGTCGCAGTTTGTCGAGGAGGTGACGAAGTTCCTGGCCGCGGAAGCAGAGTATGACCGCCGGGGTCGGAAGCGCGTGCTCGACCAGCAATGTAACTTGTACGCGCTAGACCTTTGCGTCGCAGAGACGTATGGACTAAAGGCCCAACACAGCATCCGCGACCAACTACAGAAAATGGGATACGGTGAAGAACTTGAGAAGTTGGGGAAGAACTCGCTGTCTCTCGAAAAATTCGTGAAGCGAGCAACCCACGAGCTCAATGATCAAAGTACGGCCTTTACACTGTTTTCTGTCGAGCTGATGCGAAACTCACATAGCATGGCCGCGCATCAAACCAAAGGTCGTGGAGGAGCTCAAGAGGCTGATTCTTGACCGCAAGAAGCACACCGCCGTCGATACATTCAAAAGGCGCGTCAAGGCTCTGGAACAGCGGCTCTTCGGCGCCTGGGGGCACGCGGAGCTCGTTTGGCCCGCACCTCGATGGTCAGAGATTGCGATCAAAGAGCCTGTGCGCACGCTGCTCATGCAGGACCTCGAATCCGAGGAGGTCGACTTGCTGCCGATGATCACAGACAAGGAACTCGTCCGGCTCGGCCAGGAATGCGTAGCAGCGAAGATCGCGTTCTTCGGCTCTCTGTTGCCCGTGAGTGCCCGAAGGAGGTGTGAAAGCACTGCGAGCGCGCAAGAGGTGGTCTTGGACGACCGGTTCTTCCTCGCCACAACCTGGTTCCGATGTACCAGCCCCCGCTGCACGGAGCCCATGCCCTTCGCGCGCGCCGTGACGCACAACTGCCTCTTCGTTGAGGAGGCAGGGCTCGAGGAAGGAAACACCCACATCAACCTTTCAGCTATGTTCGCCACCTACAAGGCTCGCACCGAACTCTTTTACCATCCCGGGTTCGTAGGTCAGCCGATATACGTTGACGAGGGCGCGCGCCACCACGCAAAGGTTCTCATCGCGGCTTGCGGTCTGAGCCCGGACACGGCGACGTTCGGGGATATGGAGGCGACGAGAATCACCCTCGTGTGCACCACTTGCGGGCACGAGCACAGCGCGGGGATGGATTGGCGGGATGCGGTAGGAGCAACCACGTATTTCAGTCTCGGTGCAGCATTGATTCCTCGACTACAGTTCCTGCACTCAGTCCACCGCCACCCTGCCACATACGAGCTCACCGACATCCGTGTTCAATGGTTGGTCATCAGAGATTCCGAGCGTTTGGAGGCGATCCGTCGCAAGCAAATCGAAGCCATCGAAGGGGGCCACCGCGAAGTTACTCAGTGTCCTGTGTCGGGATGTAGGATAAAAATAGTCTACTCTAAGTTCTGTGCTACACAGGCATGGGCTTTGCATATAGCTATAGCGTGCGTACGAATATCCAGTCCAACGACCTTTGTTGCTAAATTCCGCTTTCAGCCACAAGGACCTGCGGCGCGCAGCAGATTTCTCGCTGCTTGATCATTACACCTCTGGGGCATTGCTATAATAAGTAGTGCGGATACTTCGCTCTTCGCTCTCTTTAGACCTCCGAAGGGTCTGTCGAGTGCAGGAACTCAAATACGTGTCTTGGATTGATCCTGATGACTCGGAAACTCTCCCAGTATTTGTACAATTACCGAGAATTCCTCCCGCCAGATTCTGACAGTCAGCGCGTCCTGCAATTCGTATGAGGACTACGCCTCCTTGAGCGGCACAACGAGCAAGCGCAAGAGTACAAGTGCGCTCAAAGTCATTTGGTCAATGTTATATCAATGCTAATGTACATGGGGTAGATGGAAGCAGTATCAGTACGTGTGAAGGAGATCCAGTAAACATAGCAAACGTCCGTCAGCGAGCGTAAGGAAAGTCAGTCCGATATGCAACAATGTCAGTATAAATGCGCCACTCCTCCCCACTCATACTTCATGCTCGACCTGGCCCTCCATCGGATTGTGCTTGAACGCGCCCTTGATCTTCTGGCCCGCCGTATCAAACTTGTCCTCGATGTTGTGCCCCACCCAGTGCATCTTCCGCATCCCGCTCCACTGCATCAGCCCCCGGTGCCGGCGATTCAGCTGGCTCTGCCGGTCGCGCGCGTCCTTCAGCGTCGCCTTCCCCTTGTCCGCCGCCTCGCCGGCCTTCTGCTCCACCTCGTTATCATCGTCACTCATCGACGAAGACGAGGAGTCGCCGGTCTCCGCTTCAAGCTCCTCGCCCTCTTCCCGCTCACCCTCCGCGCAGTCCAGCGCCTGCATCACATCGTCCATCCCCGTATCCTTCCCCGCCAGCTTCTCGTGATACCCACTCAAGCCAGGCCAAAAGCGGAGCTTCATGAAGATGGTCCCGACGCGCTCCCCAATCGGCTCCTCGTCCGCGTTCTTGGCGTTCTGCCTAGCTTTATGGAACTCATCCTCCTCTTGCTTCCACACCGGCAGCTCCACCTCGCGCTCCTCGCCGTCGATCAGGTCCTTCAGCCACAGCGACGATACCGCGACCGTCTGGTCCGGCCCGATCGAGTGCTTGCGGAACTGCACGAGCAGGCACGACGCGTACCGCTTGCGCACCGGCAGCCGTACCGGGCGCTGCCCGCGGTGCTCCCAGCCGCCCTCGTGGCGCGGCGTGAGCTTCGCAGACCCGTACGGCGTGCGCAGGATGACGCGCGAGGTCGTAAGGTCGGGCGGGAAGTGCGCGTCAGCGCGGACGTGCCAGTCGATGTCGAGCGTACCGACGTCCCAGCCGGACAGCTCGCGAGGCAGCTGGACCTGCACGGAGCGGAACACCATTTGAACGCGCATGCGGCCATGCCCGATGCCGCCGACGAGGGGGTAGATGTCGGTGACTTGTGAGCGGCTGTGGAAAATCTTGCGCAGGGGCAAGGAGACGACGCCGATGATCGGGTCGACTTCGTGGTTGCGCGAGTCGCGGACGCAGATGAGCAGCTGCGCTGTCCGCCAGTCGCGGATGAAGCGCTCAGTGCCAGCATTGAACTGCAGAAAAGGTCAGCGATCAGTCGAAACAGGTGTGGATGTACGCACGTAGGGCTTGTTGCTCTTCAGCTTCGTCCTCGTCTTGTAGATGCGCTCATGGTTGAGCATCACCGTGCAGTATCCCGACGGCAGATTATCACTCTCCTCCTCCTCAGCCCCCTCACCCGGATGCCCCTTCCTCGTATCCGGAATCTCCAACCCAATAATCTGCTCAATATTGAACGACAAAATCCCACTCGGGAACTCCTCCGGCGGGCTCGTCGCCGCGATGATCTCCTCAATATTATCCTTCAGCGCCAGCTTCACCTGGTGGTCCATCTCCGCCTGCTCCGGGTCCGGCGTACCGTCGCGCTGCCGCGTGCGCTTGATGCACTTGATCGCCTTCTCCTTGATCTCGCGCTCGAGCGCGACGGCGTCCTTCCCGCTGTGCGCGATGGACTGCTCGAAGGTGGTCTTGGCGAACCAGCCGACTTCCCATTGGAGGCGGCCGAAGAGCTCGACGCCGTGCGAGTCGTGGAAGGCGTCGTCGCGGCTGCTCATGCGGTTGACGGTCTCGTCTGAGGACATGAGCTCCTTGACGGGTGCCTCGACGATGCCGAGGTAGTCGTCGGCGGTGAAGCGGTCTGCGGTGGTCGTCAAGATATGGTCATGTTGGTTCAATGATTGAGCTTACCTGAGTCGACAAGTGCCAACTTGATTCTCTCTTCCGCGTTTATGTCGGTGTTGCCAACAAGGACCATCGTCGTCTCTTCCCAGACAGGGTTCGTCTCGTCCTCAATGATCCTGCGAGAGATGAGGGTCCGGACCTGCTTGGTCACGATCACAACTCACCTCGTCGACCATAATGGCTTGCCCCACTTCGACCACGAAAGAGTGACATACAGATCCCCCTTCTGGTCGCCTTGCCTCTGCCAGAACTTGACCTTGTCGCCATTCTGGAAGCCGTGCGCCCGCTTGACCGTCACAATGAGCACGCCCACCGCGTCCGTGTCCATCTTCTCCCGCCCGCTCAGCAGCGTCTTCAGGTCCAGCGTCAAGCTCCTCGGCGCCACATACATCTCCGCAACGCTATTGATTGCGTCCGAGAGCAGCTTGCTGAGACCGGGAACGTCCATGACATCAAAGAAGTTCTTGGCCAACGGCGTACACGACACTGTCACCTTCGGCTGTCCCAACAGCGTCAAGACCATCTCCGCAAGGAACGGCGGGTCCGGCGTGACGAGCAGCCGCACGCGCGCTGTCGCCAGAATGCCCGTCACATCGACCCAGACGGGCACAACGATGCCCATCGGAAGCCAAAACTGCATGAGCATGTGCAGGTTCTGCGCCTTCGACTTGAGCGAGCCGCTCGTCGCGCGTGCGCGGTACGCGACGCCGACCTCGAGGTTCACGTAGTCGCCCTCCTCCTGCGTGTCGAGCGCACGCATGCCGAGGAGGCGCAGGGGCACGCTCCCCTGCTGCAGGTCCGCGATGCGCACTCCCTTGATGGCGCTGGGCATGGACGCCTGGATGGAGTCCTCGATCATGTCACAGAGGGAGGTGAACAGGGAGGGATTGATCATAGGCCATAGGGTGCTGAGGAATTTGTTGAGCCAGTCAGCGGTCTCTGGCCGTTCGGCCTCCATGCTGCGCGGAGGCGAGTGTTCGGTCTGCAATGCGTTAGCCACGAAGCGAGGGGCTATACAAGGGGCACACTCACCGGCACATGCTCCCTATCCCGCGCGCGCTCCTTGTCTTGCAGCTTGCGATCGAGCACGAGCACGCAGGCTATGGCCGCGACTGGCGAGAGACATGAAGTGACGACGGAGAGCAGGAATCCAAGCCAGCCAGAGTTCGTGAGCCGTCGGACGACCGTGTATGTGAGCAAGCTGCTGGCACCGCCGGCCGCGCTCGCCGCAGCAGCAACCAGCGCCAGCCGTATGCGCTGCTTGCTCTTCCGCTTCTCAGGATCCTCCCACCACCCCTTGTTGATCTCGTCGCGTATGAGATCCTCCATAGCCATATGCCGGCCCGCCGAGGCCTGTGCCAGGACCTCCCGGAGGTTCTTCTGATCATATTGCGAGAGGTCATCGACGGGAGGGGGGATGCGCTCGAGCTGCACCCGCGTCTGATCGTGGATGTTGAGGGGGAGGTGGGTGACGGGGTCCGTGACTTCGCGCTCGTTGCCGGACGAGCTCGTCGATGCCTCCGACTCGTGCTGCGCAGGCTCTGGGCGTTTAGACATGATGGAGAGAGTGAGGAGGTATGCGTCGTGTGCACGCGAATGAGATGCGGTCTCCACCGCTCCTGACGTCAAGTCTGGGGTTGCTAGTAGTCATGTTGGCAAGGTGACATCGTCGCAGCGGGAGCAGAGCAAGGAAACGGACCTCGACTCACATAGCTATGATTGCGCTCTCTCGCCTTCGTCAAAGTCTTGGTGTGCACTAAATAACCACAACTTGGATCCCTGTGAGGAATCAGAGGAGTTCGTAAGGATAGGCAGAAATGTAAGGTGACTGGGGGCGCATAAAGGCAAAAAGGCCTAAGACATTTCAGCAGCATGGCGCAGTGGAAGCGCGCGGGGCTCATAACCCCGAGGTCACTTGATCGAAACAAGTTGCTGCTATGTAGAAGCGTGCTGTGTTTTGTCCTTTTTTCTTTCGGGATTCTGGGTGACCTTGAGAAACACGCACGGAGCAAGGCCGACGATTCTTTGACTGTCATTATATCTGCCTGTTGGCCGCAAACGGCGAGAGTAACCTATGTACATGGCCCATACAGGTGCTAATGAGCTGTCAATATAAATGGCCGAGTTCACCCATCGCCGCTTTCCACCTCGGCACCTGTATTTCGCCAACCCCGCCCTTCCCCTCAGGATCATAATAAACCTCGCCGCAGCTGGGTAAGTTCAGCTTCTCCCACATCGTCATGACGGCCTTCTTGCGCTACTGGGTGCAATCAGTAAGTGGGGGATGATATGGGAGGCAAGACATGTAGCACCGAATTGAACGACAGGATCCAACGATGAAGACAACGAATACACGAAGCAATGAGAGAGAAATGCGCAAGTGAGGATAGAAAAGAATACGCACGGAACGCAACCTAGCCTTCAGCGCCGGGAATCGCAGTCGCACGCCTTCAAGGTCGATATTAGCGAGCATTGAGTCGTCAGCGTCGTCGTAGTCGTCGTAATGGTGAGCATGAGCATCGTGGCCGCGAGCTTGAGCGCCATAGTAATGAGTATGAGCATCTGGACGAGCATCGTCGTAGCAAGTAGCGCCATCGGAGGGATGACCAGCACCGGCGTAGAGAAGAGCGTTATCGGCGCGGAGAGGAAAGTTGTCGTCGTAGCCAGGACGGATAGCGTCGTGCATCGTAACAGAACCATCGTCGTAGGGAGCATACTGGTCGTAGGCAGAGTACGGTGCGTCCTTGTAGACCGGTGTCCTCGGGTTCGCGCCCACAAGCGTCGGACTAGACGAGCGCGCATACAAAGGAGACGAGGAGCGAAGACGGCCTACATCGTCGACCGAGAATTGGAATCTCGGCTCATCCGCGTCGTTCACGGACGGAAGCACATCGGAGTCGTCTCTCTCCTCCGCGTTGGGAGCACTCGGGCGGGACACCGGTTTGCTAGCGACAGAACTCGGTAGAGGCGGCGGCAAGAACGTGATGACCCGCCGACTCGAGCCAGGACTGACGCCGCTCTTGCGAACAGTGTCGCGAGCTCGGGAGTCGCCAGGCGGGCGCGTACCGCCTCTCGATATGATACCCGTGCCCGTACGCGCCTTCGCGGCCAATCCTTTCCTCGCCTTCGCCTCTCCCCCACCCGTGCCAGCCTTGCTCAATAGCGCCGGAATCGAGAACGGCGCGCTCAGAGACACGCCGTTCACCTTCTGTCGCTTTCCGGGGCGCAGTGGCGCAGAGAGCGTGCTCCACTCCTCGTCCGCGTCGCCGAAGGAGGTAGCGTACGCGGAGGGCAGGCGTGAAGGCGAGCGAGAAGCAGGACCGCGAGCTGAATGGCTGATAGGTCGCTTGCGTGACACGGAAGACGATGGCGACGAAGCTTTGAGAGACGGTGACGAGCGCCCGGGAGTATAACCTCTCATGGTGGTAATTGAAGGGGGCCTCGGAGACGATGGCTTGTTGGCGGGTCGCATTTGCAGGATCTGGGGTTGGTCGTCGAAGGCGGTGGGATGCACTGAGCGAGCTGATGTAGCTTGCCGTCGAGAAGCCTGGGCTTGCAAGCGCCGGAAGTCCAATTTGGCAGGAGAGCTTCGAGAATGAGGGTCGCCAGCTGCGCGACGCGTCAGACTTGTTCGTGTAGTTAGAGATACAGCGACAGACCATACATGCCGGGCGACCTTTTCGGTTGTGAATGCGTAGTGGAGCCTTGAGGGACAGCAGGTCGGGAGGAAGCACGAGGAGCAGCAGTCGACGAAGTAGTAGAGCATTGCGTATGGTACGCACGAGGTTGAGCAGGAGACGAAAGCGGAGCATGTCGAGCGGCTTGACTACGAGGCAGCTGGGAGCGCAGCGGGGACGATTGGACGTTATATTGCAAACGGGGGATGCGGGGGCGAGGTCGGAAGGTCGGTATATGAGCTGATTGACGTTGCGGAGAAGTCGGGTTCAAGATTGGTGCCTCCTGGGCTAAGTCGGTAGAGGCCGTTAGTGAAGTGAGTATATGCGCGTCAGATGCAGCAGTTTCCTTCGTAGAGGCTGTGGTCGGAGCAAAAGCGGCAGCGTCCACTGTTGTGAGTGGATTGGTGGCAGCATTCGTGGTGGCGAGGATAATCGGTGGGGATGGTGCCTGCGCGGGAGGAGGGGGAGTAGGACGATCGATGCGGGGATCCTGGAACGGCCGGCTTCGTGGCGCCTGCTTCGCAGCCGGTTCCTTCACCGCCTTGTTCCTCGGTCGTGCAGCCTGCATCTTGAAGGCATGCTCGATCGTCCCTCCACCAGCCTTCTTCGCCTGGGGCTTCCCTCGACCCTGCGCCTTCCCCGACTTCCCTCCTCCCTGCTTCGCCGTGGGTTCTCCTCTCGCCGCCGCATTAATCTTGGCAATACTGAACGGATTCGGCTTATACTTTACGCCGCCCTCGTCGCGCGAACCCAGGTCGAAGTCCCTGATCAGGTCCGTCTCCGTCTTCGGCGCCGCATCGTCGTCGGACGAATCCGAGTCACAAGCGTAGCCGTTGCGGAAGTTAAAGCCCCAGTCAGAGGCCATGAGAGGCGGCTGGAGGAAGAAAAGAAAAGCCAAGCGACACGTCGGAACGGTGGTGGTCGGGACCAAGAAAGACACGAATCAGGCTCCGCGTTTCCCGATCGGGACGTCCCTTGTTCTCAATCCGGTAATCATTGTTCTCACCACAACCCCACGCACACAGGAACCCCGACGGTTCTCCGAAAGGCTTTCGCAGTAGGGCACAAACTTTGGGACTTTCGAACCTGCGACGGTGCTAATCATTGAGAGGATTCTGGGAAGGGATTTTGAGCATGTCCGTGCAAAGCCCTTAGGCGAAGTCCTCATCTCCTCACTGGCATGTCGTGTGCAAATCTACACGATACTGTTCATTCAAAATGCCAAATAATCTACACATGATGCTCGTTGTGGTGTATGGAATGTGATTGTTGGTGTGCGACATAGCTAAACTAATCCTAGAATATATAACGCAAGCGGAGGACGATGAAGAAGTAGACAAGATCCAAACCGACTGGAGGCTAATCCCACGAAGGCGACGCCTGGTAGTGGTTGTTCGTCGACGAGCTGCCATTCTGGTTCTGACCGTTGGCGTTCTGCGACGGGCTAGACGGCGACCACGTTGGCGAGGAGGGGCTGTATGCGGGGGAGGTGGGGGCTGGAGATGAAAGAGGTTAAGTAAAAACAACCTTCCAAGAGTCAGGCTACTCACAGTAAGCAGGAGACGCCGGCGAGTATGCGGGTGATGTGGGGGCTGTGCTGTGTGAGCAAGGCGAACAGGAAATCGCAAGTTTGGGCTTACAGTATCTGGGGGAAGCCGGCGAGGCCATTGGTGAGGTGGGGGAGTACTTCGGCGACGTGGGAGAAGCCATTTGAGGAGCTGAATGCATGATGAGTATTGATCTATGCGGGAGGAGAAATTGAGACTTACAAGCTGCAGGAAAGAGAAGGGAAAGAGAAGAACAGGTAAGCACATATACATGACCAAGCGAACAGACAACGTACTGGGAGAGTCTGAAGAATAGAAGTCAGTATAGTTCCTGTAATACTGATAACAGAGAACTTACAACGAGGCGAAGCCGGACTGAACGACGGACTCGTAGGCGAGTATCTCGGCGAAGACGGGCTGAACGACGGCGACTGCGGGCTGTACCTCGGTGACGTTGGCGAAAACGATGGAGACGTCGGCGAATACCGCGGGCTCGTCGGCGAGTACGACGGCGACGTGAGGTTCAACGCAGGCGAAGTCGGCGAGTACGTCGGGGACGTCGCGCCACCGATGAACGGCGATGTTGCATACGGAGATGCGCCGAACGGCGATGCACCGCCGATGAACGGCGACTGTGCGCTTGCGAAGCTCGGCGACGCAGGCGAGTAGCTCGGCGAGGTCGGGCTGTACCCCGGACGTCCAGGCGAGAAGCTGCCCGCGCCGTATGGGCTCTGGCCGTAGCCAGTGAGCCCGCCATACGCGCCGCTCGGCTCCTCGCTGCCGTTGACCGCTAGCGGCGAGAACGCCGCCTGCTCGCCCTTGAACATTCCCTGGTCCCACATTGGCGAGTTGCTATCGTACGGCGTCATCGCAACCTGCCCCGGGGTCATGCCGCCATCGCCCGCCAGCGTCGGCATATGGTGCGTGTCGACAATCGCGTCCTTGAGCATGTTGATGTCGAGGGCGACGTCGAAAGCACCGGTACCCATGGGCGCCATCTGCCCGAACATGACGTTCTCGGCGACACCGTGGCAGTCGTCCTTCTCGCCGACCGCAGCGGCCTCCATGAGAATCTCGACGGTCTCCTCGAACGAACAACGCATGAGTGCGCCAGTGTCCGAGCGATTGATACCGTGTCGAGTGATAGCCATGAGAGTGCCGCGCTGGGTCATCAGGTCGCAAAGAAGGGCGATATGACGGTAGTTGACGTAGGAACCGTCGAACTCGATACACGACTTCAGCTCCTTCAGCACGGACTGGCGGCCGGCCTCGATACCCAACGTATTGAACACCTCCACGCAGTTGTTCGACGACGTGCGCGTGTAGTCGACACCATCCACGCACATGACGGCCTTCAAGTTCGTACCGTTCGTCTCGAGCACCCACTCCTTCTCCTGGCCGACAGTACCATCGTCGTTGATGTGGGTCTTGTCCTTCTCGCTCAGGAAGACACGGTCAATGCCCTTCACACCGCGCAAGACGATGGAGTTGAGCATCGTGTTCTCCAGCTGACGCAGGAACACATCCTCCTCGATGTCCTCAAGCCCGTCCTCCGTCTTCTCCTCGCCGCTCACGACACGACACCGGATGATCATCGTGTCCTCTGAGGCATCCTGACTCCACATGACGACGAGATCGGTCTTGAAGTTGTTGATGATCTGGTTGGCGACGTAGTCGACGTCGACCTTGCGGTCGATCATAGCCCTACGGTCGAGGACGAGACGGAGAAGCCACGACGACTGGCGCTGATACTTCTCGTACTCAGGGGAGCCTGGGTCGGCATCGGCAATGTCCCAGAAGGACCCAATCATCTCTTGATCCTCTTCAATGACTGTGTTGCGCGTGTCCGGGTCGTACCAGATCTCCACAGCAGCGGTGACAGTGCGTAACGTCGTGAACGCGAGCTGCTCCTGCACGGCCTTCGCACCAAGCCTACTCTGCGCCTTCTCGGGCACGAGGTAGATAGTGTGCGCTGGCGTCTTGATGTTCGCGGCAACGTTGATGATCTCCTTCAGCCGAGGAACACCGAGCGTGACGTTCTTACTGGACACACCGGCGTAGTGGAAGGTGTTGAGCGTCATCTGCGTCGCCGGTTCGCCGATAGACTGCGCCGCTAGGGTCCCGCACATCTCGCCCGGGTTCGCCAACGACTGGTTGAACTTCGTCTCCACTTCCCCGATGGCCCAGTCGAACGCCTGCTGCGTAAAGTGCCAGACAGTGAGCACCTTCCGCGCAGCGAAGTGCGCGCGCAGAAGCATGCGGAACAGCCTGGCCGAGTTGTCCTGCGCCTCACGGCTGAACTCGTTGTCTTCGCGGAGCACACCGCTAACGCGCTCGCAGAGGCCGCGGACCTGGTCGACGATGTAGCCCGGGTGAAGATCGCTCGGCTTTCGCCTGTCAATATGGAAGATCTGCATGGCGTTCTGCGTGATGCGAGTGAGGTTGACCGGGAGGTACTGTGGCGCGTTGCGGTAGTCGTAGCCCCGAAAGACGTAGAGGCGAAGCTCGTCGCGGTCCGCACGCAGTTGCTCCCACTCCTGATTCAACTTCTCCTGCAAGTCCAACGCCTCCTGCTGGTTCAGGTTGTCGATGAGGCCGACCTGGAGGACACCAGCCGGAAGCCTGCTCTCGCCGTAGTCCGTGATGTCGATCTTGTACTTCTTCTCCATCTCCCGGTCGCCCATGAGGAGCGTGTCAACACCCTGCCGCTCAATGAAGGCGCCATCCATGCCGTCCTCGCCATAGATGAATTGGACAAGATCGCCGAGTGAGTTGCGCACAGTACCGTCGTAGCAGACCATGACATCTTCCAGCGCCTTGACGAGACGACGCTGGATGTAACCGGTCTCGGCGGTCTTGACGGCCGTGTCGATGAGACCTTCACGACCCGACATTGCGTGGAAGAAAAACTCCTGCGGTGTGAGGCCACGCAAGTACGAGTTCTCGACGAAGCCGCGGGATTCTGGACTGTAGTCGTCCTTGGTGAAGTGCGGCAAAGTGCGATGACGGAAGCCGAAGGGGATACGCTTGCCCTCCACACTCTGCTGCCCGACGCACACAGACATCTGCGAGATGTTGATGAAGGAACCCTTGGAACCTGCCACCACCATCTGCTTGACGTTGTTGTCGTCCTTCAGGCCGTCCTGCGCGTCCTTTCCGGCGTCGTCACGAGCCTTGTTCAGCTCGTGGTTGACCTTGCTCTCGAACGTCTCGCGGATGGTCATACCCGGCATGGGCTTGAGCAAGTCCCAGTAGGCGTCGGCGGTGAGCTCCTTCACCTTCTCCTTCTGCTGGTCGATCGTCTTCGTGATCTTCGCCATGACGTCCGGGCCCGCGATGGTGTCGCCGATGCCAATGCTGAAGCCGTTATGGAAGAGCCAGTAGTTGACGACCTGCTGCAACCCAGTGAAGAGGGTGCGCGTGGCCTCCGGACCCTTCTCTCGGAATACGACGTGGATGAGACCACCCTGCGAAGCGCCGACAGTCTTCTTGTCGACGACACCATACATGATGTCGCCGTTCTCAATGAACATGCCGTCGTCTGCAGGTGGCGCAGAGCCACCCTTTTCCGACTTCCGCGCGATGTTGATACCACGGGGGATGACCATACTGAGAATCTGCTTCCCCGTCCACAAGGGCTTCGGCTTCAAGATAGCGGGTATGGGTACGCTGCCATCCCAGCTGGGTACCCAGAGCAAGATGTTCTGCACCTGGTTCCAATCCATGAAGCAGTCGCGCAAGGTAAACTTGCGGATACCACACAACGTGTCTTGCACGATACCCATGACGGGCTTGTTGGACTGAGGCGTAACAATCTATAAATCATGTCAGTGTCATATCCCGAGCGGCGAAAGCGTGTCGACGCACCTGACGCGGCACCCATGCGATCTGGCTGAGCTCTGCTCTTGTCTCCTCGCTCTGGGGTATACTGAGTAGCAATGAGTGAATGAACTTGGGCCAGACGAAGACCGTATACATACTGCATGTTCATCTCATCACCGTCGAAATCGGCGTTGTAAGGAGGCGTCACGGACAGGTTCAGACGGAAGGCTATACGACGAATCAGTACCTCAGACATGCGTAGGCGACCAAGAAACTTACTGGAGTACGGCATGAGCTTCACCCGATGGCTCATCATACTCATCTTGTGCAGACTAGGCTGACGGTTGAAGAGCACATAACTGAACAACAGATTAGCGTGTTGTCATGCCGGGACCATTGCGAACACTCACTCTCCGTCCTTCAGATGCCGCTCCACGATCCACCCAAACTGCAAGAACGCGTCCGCACGCTTGTTGTACCGCAGATCTATACGTTCTCCTGTATCACGGACGACGTAGCGAGCACCAGGGTAAGTTGTAGGCCCATTCCGTACTAGCGTCTGCAGGTAGTCGATGTTGTACGGTGTGACTGGGCGGTATGAGTCTATGCGGTGAGTGGTATAGTCGTATTGCTCACCTCGCTCAGGGAAGGTCAGGTTCATCGCGATACTCCTCGGTACACCAACTTGGTCGAGCTCGAGGTTCGGATCACCGGTGATGACAGTACGCGCCGAGAAGTCCACACGTTTGCCCATCAAGTTACCACGCAGACGACCCTCCTTGCCCTTTAGGCGCGCGCGAATCGCCTTGATCGGACGACCGGACTTCTGCATCGCCTGCGGGATACCAGCAATGTCGTTGTCCATGTACGTCGCAACATGGAACTTCGGCAGGTGAGCATGGTGCACGAACGGAATATCAACCTATACCAACCTGCAACAACTGCTCGAACTCGTTCACGACGTGTGCGGGTGCGCCCTCCTGCTCACACCGCCGTACGTTCCCGGACGCCTTGATGATCTCGATGAGCTTGTACGTCAAGTCATCCTCGCTCTTCTGGGCACCACCGTCCATCGCGATACTGGGACGGACTGGGGGTGGCGGGACGGGCAAGACAGTCAAGATCATCCACTCGGGCCTTGCGTACTCCTCGGACAAACCGAGCAAGCGCAAATCGTCCTCAGACATCTTCTTGAACGTCGTGTAAACCTCGGACGGCATGATGAGGCGCTTCTCAGACTGCACCGACTTGCCCTCCTACGATGGGGTCAGGAAAGTTACGGGTGAAGAGGAATTTGCCTACATCGTCGTCGTCCTTGGCCTTCTTGTACTGGACGAACATTTTCAAGCCCTCCTTCCTGATCACAGGCTGAATATGGCCGCAACCGCCGTGGCCTTTCTTCTCTTCGTGATCTTCCTGGCCCTCTTCCTTGGGGTCATCCGTCTCGCACATCATTTTGCCCTTGCAGTACGCCCAAACGGCCGCCAGGCGATGCTTCGGATCCCGAACGTGTCGGATCCTGTCCGCGAAAGAGGGGTCGGACTATCTCACACAAACAAGCCAGCATCGTATGCAACAGCGGGCACGAGGGATAAGGTGCAAAAGCAGACATGGAAATGGAGGTGTTAGCGAGCCGTCTACATACAGAGAATGTGTTTCGTAACAGCAGCGTTCAATAATGTGCTTGCACATGCTCACAAGCTCCGTCTGCTTTACAGACATCGCAAGGAGGAACCACACGCGCAGGATCGGACGGTCCTTGAGACCATGCGACTCGCTCGTATACTGCCGTTCGGCCCCCCATTTCACCACGCAGGAGCATGCCCAGCAGCGCAGAACGTGTGCAGTGGGTCTCGCGGCGATCAAGCGACCGAGGACGCGCGAGACCCCGTTCAGGCCGGCCGAGCACAACACGCCGCGGGCTCGGGGTTTCCCGTGGTATACAGGAAGAGCCCCCAGAAAATTGGGATGGTGGGGGTGCAAACGGACACGAGGAGAGCGAGCACTCACGATGTCGGCTTTCAGCTTTCCACAGTTCACGCAGATGCACTCCAGGATCTTCTTCACTTTGACGATGAAACCTGAGCACGGGATAGGTGAGTTTCACATGTGCGAGATCCGGTAGGTGTGCCACGCACCAGGGTGAAAGACTGGTCGCGCCAGTTCGATGTGACCGAAATGGCCCGGGCACTCGGACATGCCTTCACCACAGGTCTGGCACTTGAAGTTGCGGTCGATGGTGCCCATGCGAGGGTCGTTGACGCCACCCGTTTTGAGACGGTGAGTGCCTTCGTCATTGATCTCGGGAAACTCAATTTTCGCCACAGAGTTGGCTTTCTAAACAGATAGTCAGCAAAGAAAACAGCTCATGATGCAATGCCACGCACGATTTCCTCCGGAGACAGGATACCGAACTGAACCTCCTTGACCTTGCGCACAGGCGCGGCCGAGTACGCGAACTGGTGTCCAAGCATGCTGGGTAGGGGTCGTGTAGCACAGTCTAAAGCTCAAGTTCCTCTTCCTCGTCGCGTAGCGAGGCAGAATTAGTCGTAGATGTGTAAGGTGGTGGTGTTGCGCGAGGGGGGCGGGTGTTTTGCGCGCGGCTTCCGGGAGGACTCCTAGGCCGATAAACGCGTGGAAAACGCTCAGCAGACGCGGTCAAGCGTCTCCTGGAGCTCCGTCGGGGCACTGGCTACGAAGATACTCGAGGGACCGAAGCGGAACTCGAGACTCGTCGCGGCGGCGGTGACGGTTGGGAACAAGAATGAGCGAAAACGGAAAACCTGACTAAGCCGAGTATCACGTTGAGTCACATTGTGTGTGATGCGTGACCGGGGCCGCTATTGTTCTTTTCTTGGAACTTTATCTGTCTGCCTTGTTTTCCGGCGCTTATACTTCTCGGAATGTCCGAAGGCAGTGACCAGAAGCCCTTCGACAACAAGTCGGCTGTGCCTGCATCGCTCTATGAAGGCCTCATGCCGAAATTGGCCAATGTGCTCGAGCTGAGCCAGCGACCTGAGGGTATCACAACCAATGACGCGAAAGGTGCCATCTTGGACGCGGTTAGTGACCAGTCTATTACTTAAGAGGACACCTGAATGCTAACGATGCGTCAGACTAACGACTTCAAGCTCACCCTCGCGCGGGCCAAGGAGTTTGCTGTAGCCATGCCTGGTGGCGAGTCTGTAGTCGAAGATCAAGATCAAGTCCTGAAGATGCTCACGCAGCTGCGTGACAAAAAACGGTAAGCTTTGAGATGACAAACTCGGATGTCGCTCATATTTCTACCTCCAGGGAGCAACTTGCACAATTCTCGACCAGGTCATTAGCAAGCCATTACACTAAAACGGACGTGGATTCTACTGCGTCTTCTCCTGGTGCATGAACCGCTATGACATCGTAGTCTACGATCACGACCACGAATGCGGCAACAAGGGCACGCTCTGGTCTCTTGCTGTCAATCTGCTTGCCGGAATACTGTCTGACAGCTCAACCCCTCCGCGTCAGCCTCCGGCGCACGCGACGCCAGAACTCCTAGCACCCGTTGCCTCCCTCCTCCTCCTCCTACCACCTCCATAATAACGACACGCCGGCGTGCTCGTCTTCTGCTTCATATATTGCCTTGACGGCACCCGCGCTGGTCCCGCCTTTACCTCTTTGCTGATATCCAACTACCATCTCATCAACCAAGATGCCCTCCCCCAATCGCAGAGGCCGGACCCTGCACAATTATCCTCGCAGAACCGTCCAAACTGCCCTCCTCACCCTCCTCCTCGCCCACCCCGCCCTTGCCGACGTAACCTGGCTCAGCCCCTCGGCGGGCGACATCTACGGCCCCGCAGACACGCTCGTCGCCAAATGGACCGCAGACAAGGATATCACTTCCCCGTCCTTCCGCCTCTGTTTGGCCAAAGGCGGACATGGTGACGATAATGGCGGCGACGGTGATTCAGAGAACGACGGAATTGAGTCGCGCTCCGACGATGGACTCGAATCGCGTGGCTCTGATATCGGCGGGTGCGGATCGCAGACGTGGCCGGACGTAACGCGTAGTGGGGGCGCGTCGATGATGTCTATGTGCGTGTTATTGGGATGAACGAGGCTGAATTGGGTGCTAATTGGGTGTTACAGGGCTGTCCCGAGCGTCACCGCGGACCACCCGTACTATTTGAGCATGGAGGACGACTATGGGACGAGATCGCGGTCGCCTACTTTCTCGCTGAGCAGTGAGTGTTCCCATATTTCATTCTCTCGGCGACAGATACTGAAGCAGCCTACAGAATCCGCTCCTGCCAGCCCCAATCCACCTCCGGCCGCCCCCGCTGCCCTGAACAACGCCGAGGACCCCGCTCAGGCTCAAGCTCCTTTCGCCGCCACCAGCACGCCCTCGCTCGTCGCTGCCAGCAGCGCACCAGTCGCGTCGCTTGCTCCTCCCCCTCCCAGCTCTCCTGAGGTTCTCTCCTCCCGCACACCCGTCCCCACCGCCGCCTTCGCCGTGCCCATCTCTATCGTCGGCGCCATCCTCCTCATTGCCATCTACCTCGGCTTCCGCCAACGCAGCGCCCTTCGCAAAGCGCGCCAGCGTGACGCGGAGAAACTCTCTCGTCAGACCAGTGCCAGCAGCTTTGGCTCCTCAACAACCCTTCCAGGCGACCTGGCCACGGCGCTTGCCGCGCTTAAGCAGGCGTCGCCCGCGAGCTCGTGCCATGGGCACCCGCAGGTGGCCGTCCCGCATAGCTATGGGTGTGGGATGCCTGTGCCGCTGTATGCGGCGCCGGTCGAGGTGATGCGCGAGCCGCGTCGTCCGACGCGGCAGGAGTATCGGCCTCCGTCTTTGAACCGGGAGTACTCGAGAAGAGACGAATACGCCGCATCATGGTTGGGCTCCCAGTCATTGTCCAGATCGTCGACGAGGGATTCGTACCATCCCTCGTCTAGGCAAGTCTATGGCGGATATCGCTCCTCATCGTCTCGCGAGCCTCACTATCAACCCTCGCACGCACCTCGCTCGTCCCGCTCGTCCGAGCATCGCGAGCATCGTCCTTCCAGCAGGTCCTCGCGAGACTATTACCCGTCCATGGACCACATGCTGCACCCTCAATACACTCGCACCTCGCCATCGCGCAGCTCGACCCGCGCCAGCGAGCTGCCTGCGGAACACCGCCGGCATCACCCTCCCTCGCGCCGCTCGACAATACGGAGTGACGCGAGCGGCGAGACAGCCGTCACGGAATCGGTGCTGGCGGACTATGCGGACTTTGAGGAAGTCGACCGCGATGAGTATCGACGCGAACGTCGTCAGCGGGAGGACCGCCACCACCGTTCTCGCACGCCGTCTTGTCTGCTTCCTGCGCCTCAGAGACTTCACATACGCACTGAAGGCCCTGATCTCGCGACGTCTCCAGGCATCGAGAGGTACTTGTTCTTGGAGAAGGACTTGCCTGGTTGACCTATCGATTAGAATAACCCTCCTTGTACATCTTTAGGACTGTCGTCTGGTCGATGCCAAGGGGTGAATGCAGAGCTTCACAACAACTTTCTGATGGAAAGGACTCGCACCGGCTAACAACTTGAACTTCGCCGAGATCACCGACCGCCATGATCAATTCGGATTGGTGCTGGCAGTTCGATGCTGCGTGCCAAGCACAGAGAACATGTTTTACGCCGTCCATCGTGTGTTCTGGCTCCCTGGGCGCTCAAAAGTCGGCTGCAGCATCGATGGGGTGAGGCAGACGCCTGCGCCAAGCTCATACCAGAATCCCGGTGCATGTTGGCGTCATGCGCGGGTGCCACTGGGTTGGCTCGGCACGGTTCGGCAGCCGCGATTAGTTCCGATTACCGCTGACTCGGGTCCCTTTGTCCGAGCGGCATGTGGAGCCGATATCCAATCTTACAAACGTGCGTGTGCCTTTTAACAGCTTGTTTTCCTCCCACCAGCATCCCGCGCCCGCGTCCCCCATCCCCCAGCGCGCGATGTCCTCCACCGGCGTTGAGAACGGAAAACCTGTGAGCACCTGGCTGCTGACTTTGAGGCAACGCCATGACCGCTGACCGCCGCGTTCTGGACCCGCAGACAACCTTGTTTGCTTCGGGCGCGCGTCCCGCTGTTCTGGGTCCCAGAGACCTGGAGAGCAGCCCGGAGATGCCATACGACGATCCTCTTTCGTTCAGCAAGAGCCGCAAGTCCGAGGACGAGCTCTCAGAGCTGCGCAAGCGCTCGCGCAAGGGTCGCCGGATAGCAGAGTACCAAAAGCGCCAGAATGAGGTGCGTAAGCGCCGCAAGGAACAGGCTGGACGCTGATGCCACATATAGCTCATCGACGCCATGCTCATGCCGATGGAGGCTCACTCTGAGCAGGCTCGTCAGGCGGAGGCAGCGAACCGCTTGCCTGTAAGCTCAACGCCCCTTCACGAAAACATGTGTTGACACAGCCTCAGGTCCATATAGCAATATACGCAAGTTTAGTGTCAAACATTGTCCTTTCGGGATTGCAGTGTAAGTTTCCTCGTCTTTTCTCCGAGCTGTCCCCTCACCGACGTCTATAGTGTACGCTGCGATCACATCAGGATCTTTGTCTTTCCTCGCCACCGCTATCGACTCTGTCTTCGACCCGGCGAGCAACTTCGTGCTTGACTGGTTACACCGCAAGTCGCAAAAGCTCGACGCCAACCGATGGCCTGTAGGTGGCTCGAGGCTAGAGACAACGGGGAACATTGTTTACGGTCAGTGTACTTTCATGATTTGCGGCGCCTATCTGATGTTGGTTTTTCACCTTAGGTTTCCTGTGCGTCATCTCCCTGTTGCCTTTTGTGTCGCTCTGACCATCATCAGCATGGCCTCCGTCAACCTCGTCGTCGTGACCGAGGCAGCTCGCACGCTCATCACGCACAAGGGCAATGACCTGAACGACTTCCACCTTCCATCCGTCATCGCGGTCTCCGTCGCGCTCGGCGTGAAGATCTTCCTCTTCCTCTACTGCTTCACCATCCGCCAGCACTCGAGCCAGGTGCAGGTCCTGTGGGAGGATCATAGGAACGACTTGTTCGTCAATGGATTCGGTGCGAGTGTTTGTACCATGCCCCTCGGATCATAGACTGACGTGCGTCTGCAGGTCTGCTCATGTCAGCAGGTGGTAGCAAGTGGGCGTGGTGTAGGTCCTCTTTATCTTACTGATGGGCTCCGCCTGACGATATCCCCAGTCCTTGACCCGATGGGCGGTCTGATCGTCAGTCTACCTTATCACCCACATCACTTCACACTTAACACTACTTCAGATCGCCCTTGGGACCATCCTCTCCTGGGCACGCACGATCTATCACGAATTCGAACTCTTGACGGGCAAGTCTGCCTCGCCCGAGTTCATACACCTCGTCATATATAAGGCCATGACCTTCACGCCGGACATCATCTCTGTGGATACGGTGCGGGCGTACCATGTACGTCGCCTGCCTCCTCCCTTTCCAAGCACTTCTTCCCTCCTTGTCTGTCTATGATTCTGACTATCCACCAATCGGACAGTCTGGCCCCGACATTATCGTCGAGGTCGACATCGTCATGGACGAGCACGCCACGCTTCGGCACACGCACGACGTGAGCCAGGTGCTGCAGGACAAGCTCGAGACGCTGCCGGGCGTCGAGCGCGCGTACGTGCATGTGGATTATGAATCGACGCATACGCCGGTTAGTGGATCGGGCATTCTCCTTTCGCGACTACCTGAGGCTGACTTGGTCCCCAGGAGCACCGGAAAGAGAAGTAATACGTCAAGGGGAGTTTCCTCTGAACAGTGTTGCTGCTGCCCCATAGAACGATCGGAACCTTAAGGGAATTGTAATACACGGGCAACCGTACGATATCGACTGTTTGCTGATACCCAGCGAGGACTTCAGTACCTATACTAATCGATAGTGCTAGTAGCCAGTCCGATGAAGGTGTTCGTGATATAAATTGTAAGGAGACATCGTCGTGGTTGACGTCGTGAAGTTTAGATGCAGAGAGAATAGAGTGTATTCGCTCGTTAATAATTCCGTTATGAACATGCCGATTCATTTTTGGATCTTCAAAGCACTTTCGTAGTAAGACTGACGAGATCCAGGATCTTTTCGCAGTGGCGCACGGCGAGCTGACCAGCGCAACCCTTCTTGGACCGGTTGTTCTCGCACTTCTTAAGGCGAGACTTGGCAGACGGGCCCCGACGACCGTCCAGCACCGCCCGCCGTCGTGAAACGACGTGTAGACAGGGTGACTGAAGGGCTGCCCGCACTTGTGAGTGTAGAGCCCACCAACGATTCTCGTAACTTACCGAAACAAATTCGTAGTATGAAGATGCTCGGTGCTCAATTAGTTTGGCATGTACCGGTTTTGGATCTTGAATTTTTAATGGGCGAATACACTCTAATACATAAGAGATACAGGAGCAGGGAAAGAAGTCCATAGCTCGGTCATCAAGCTACCACCCGCGAAGATCATATCCCACTCGACGAGCTCATCCCCATCCCACCGGAGCTATGTCCCATCCCCCCACCAGTCGAGTAATCATGCAACTGCATCCCGCCATGGTGGAAGGAGTCCATGCCACCGAACCCGCCAACGTGAGGATGATACGCGTCCGCCGGTTGCCCAACTGGTTCGTACGCGGAGGTCCCGAACCATGAGCGCGTCGTGGTGGGTGGGCTCATCATAGGTGTAGGTGGGCTCCCCATCGTGTGCAGACTCATTGCGGCATGATGGGTCGTGATCAAGGCAGGTTGGCCCGACATCATATGTATTTGGCCTGCCGTTCCTCCCGTGAATGCGGGTCCTCCAGCGTACGGTGGACCGTAGGCAGCGTTCTCGGCGCGTAGGCCTTCCTGCGCACGCCGTCTGTACTCTTCTTGGAACCTACGGATGCGGCGCCAGCGATAGAAAGCGAAGGTGCCCGCGGCAATGAAGAGGAGGAAGACTGCGAAGGGCGCTTTATAAGTACCGGAAGAGTCACAATAACGATATGGGAGAAGGAGCCCGCAAATGGTATAGTAGCATGGATGAAGGGGAGTCCAGTAAAAGGCTGTGACTCACAAACACCGACTACCACACCTATGATGATGGGTATCTTGTCGAAGCCGTCGCTGCTGAATGTCGGCCCACTATGGTCGCACGCGTTGGCGATTTGGCTGTAACAACAAACATGCCGTGAGCTAAGCTTACAAATGTGATCATGAACAACTTACCCGTCGCTGCAGACTTCGAAAGCTGCGGTTTTGGGAAGACTTGAAAGCTGTATGACAAGCGCGCATGCCACGGCGCTCAAAAGTGGCCTCGATTTGAGGGCAGAGGTACACAAGGTGTTCATGGCACTCGCAGAAGAGCGCATAGCGCGCGAAGAACCCGTAAGGCGCTCGGAGACAGACACAGCGCAGGAAGAGGTCATGATAGCAGAAGAAAAACATATCCCCACACACCTTCCCGACGCCCCTCTTATGTATCAATGGGCCTGTCTACACCTCCTTGCGCGTGGTGTATTGCAGTGCAAATGGTTGGAGCCCATCATACCAATATCCAGGAGAGGTAGCGAGCAGTGTTTCGACGATAGGCTCACGTGCGAGAGCGATTGTTGGTGGCGCTGCTGGATGTGACGCTCGCGATAATCGCCAGGGACAGCGCGAAGGTAGTAGACCACCGATGGGCATGAATAAATGGCATGTCCGATCGAAGACCTGCAATTCGGGGAATGGCTAGACGGCATTTGAGGACATCATCAACCGTTACGTGACTGTGTGACAGATCGCGTCGAAGGAGTCGAAGGGAGGCTGGAGTAACCTGTTCATTGCCGATGTCCGATGTTGGCGGCGAGCGCTTGAGCCCGTGGCTCTTGCAAGCACGATAGAAGCAACTGACAACCTGACCTTCCTTGTGCCAAACTTCATAGACGTCCGACACCGGTACGTGCTGCCAACCCCGTCCACCACTGCCGCAAATGAGTTCCAAAAGAACTCTTTCATATCATGATCCCGCTCATCCCTGCGTCTCAAAGTTGTACTTCTTCCTCGCCTGCCTTTCCACAAACGCCGGCCACAGCCAATATAACAAATGCCCCACCCGCATCGTCCAAGGCAAAAACACCGTCCGCTGCCTTTCATCGACCGCCCGAATACAGTGCTCCGCGACGTATTCGCGCTTGAGGCCGTGCTTGTTCGGATTCGCCTCGCGCACGGGGCCCGCGTCGACCGCAGACGCGCGGAAGTCGCCCTCGACGGTCGACGGCATGATGTGCGAGAAGGCGATGTTCGGGTGCTCGATGGCGAGGGATTGGTAGAGCAAGAGCGATGCGCCCTTGGTGGACGCGTAGATGGAGCGGGTGGGCGCTGGGATGACGGAGGCGAGTGAGGAGATCAGTAGGATGGATGGCGCTTTCGATGTTTCTGAGAGAAGAGGGATCTGCGAGGGTGTTGTGGGAAACTTGAGTAGGGGAGGTTTCTGATGGACTTACGAATGCCACAGCGGACATGAGAGGGCCTATATAGTTGCTGTGTATGGCAGCAGAGGCAACATCGGAGGCTTTCTGTATACCCTCTAGTGAAGCATGGTCAGGAGAGAAGCCAGACTTGGTGGTTTCGACTCCGGCGACCTCCATCAGTGGGCGCAGAGCGGACACGCCTGCAGCGACTACCAGGGTGTCCAGTCCTCCCCATTCTGAGCATTTCGAGTCAGATCTCCGGTTTATATGTAAGGGACACAGAATATTCACCAGCCTGAATTTGTTCTCTGATCTTGACGAGGTCCTCCGCATTCGCGAAGTCTGCAGCAATTCCGAGTATGGTATTATCCGTTCCCGTCGAAGACAAGCCCCTGCACAGCAGTATGACTTCATCCACTTGATCTTGCCGTCTTCCGACGATGCAGACGCGAGCGCCGCGCTTTGCATACTTTTCAGCTATAGCGCGCCCAATTCCACTGGAAGCACCGAGGATGAGGACACGCTCTTCATCATGGGTGACTTTGCGAAGTCTTGTCGGTCGCCTGAGTGTCTTGTGCAATATATAGAGTGCAGGAAGAGCGAGAAGCAGGGGGTGCGACCACAGTGACGATGTTCGCAGCGAGAACAAGAAATCCGACATGACTTTGCAGAGGCAAGAAGGAACGGCAATTGCCGACAATTGAACCCCACACGTGAAGTCCAATTTCCCCGCACCTTTGACCGACGCATCTCGCTCACTCTGCGATATAGATGTTATGCAGCAGTTTACCACGCCCGCCACTCTTGGGCGAGATAGTTGACGTCTCTGACATGGAGGAACTTCTTCGCCCGCAGGGCCCGCCAGCGCCATCATCTGACCCTCCGGATTTCCGCCATGTTCATCGGACCTTCTCTTGTTTACGTCCGCCATGTTCGCGCGTCGTCTCCGCCTCGCTGCTCGTCGTCCAGCGCTGAGGACCCATCTACACTCCTCCTCTGCCTTGTGGAAGAGCCTCCAGCGATTCAAGCTAGCAGACATCGGCGAGGGCATCACTGAATGCGAGGTCATCAAATGGTACCCATCCCCCTCCCCAAGTTCCGTCCGGCGGACTGAGCGCGCTCTTCCAGTCGCTGACGGACTCGCAGGAACGTGAAGCCCAAGTCGCAGATCGCGTCGTTCGACCCGCTGTGCGAGGTGCAGAGCGATAAAGCGTCGGTGGAGATCACAAGCCCGTTTGACGGCGTGGTCACGGAGTTGCTGGTGCAGGAGGGCGAAATTGCGAAGGTCGGAGAGGGCTTATGCCTCATAGAGGTCGATGATGAAGTCCTGGACAGCGCGGATCCCTCTGTGCTAGAAACGCCGGACGCGTCGAAGTCGCAGCCGCCACCAAAGGAAGAACGCGCAGGATCACCCCTTCCTCCCTCTACACCTTCCTCGCCAGCGCGCAAAAAGCACCCGCTAGACCCCACATACGATCCTGCCGTCGATGGCAAGCCCGTCAATGTCAACGTTCTCGCAAAACCTGCCGTGCGGTACTTTGCCCGCGAGAACGGCGTCGACCTGACGGAGATCGCGCCGGGCAGCGGCCGTGATGGGCGTGTCGAGAAGCGGGATGTGGAGGCGTACCTTGCTCGCATGACGGGTCAACCGTCTTCAAGTTCATCCGCGGCGCCAGTAGCGCAGGATGTAGTAGTAGAGCTTGGACGAACGCGCTATGGTATGTGGAAAGCAATGGTGAAGAGTCTTGAGATACCACACTTTGGGTACGTAGCTCCGAGCTTGCTAGCTTGACATAGACACTAACTCGTTGCAGATACTCATCCACGCTGGATCTTACGGCGCTGCATAACATGATGCCTGTCTTCAACAACCATATACCCCCTCACTACCTTCCTTCGTCTTCACAAGGTCCTGTCCTTGTCGATCCTGCGGCACTGGGCATACTCCCAGCGTCTACGGCACAACGCGTAGCTGAGCATCAACAATTCACCAAACTCACCTTCCTGCCCATCCTCCTGAAGACGCTGTCGCGAGCAATGCTCGAATGGCCAATTTTCCGCTCGACCATCACTCCGAACACTGCGCCAGAAGCGAAACCAACTCTGACCGTACGTCCCCACGCCGACATCTCCATTGCGCTGTCTACACCGACCGGGTTGTACACCCCCACGCTGCAAGGAGTGGACACCCAGTCCGTCTTCGGCCTCGCATCCACCCTCAAGCGCCTCTCGCATCTGGGACGCCAGGTGCCATGCGGCTTGACACCGAACGAAATGCCCAAGCGCGGAGGCACTCTGACCGTATCGAACGTCGGAGCCATCGGGCAGGGCGACTTCGCGCACCCAGTCCTTGTGCCAGGCGGCGGAGTCGCCATCGTCGCCATCGGGCGGGCGAAGTGGGTGTGGGACGTTGAGCGTGGGGATGGCAGTGGCGAGAGGCGGCTGAAGGTGGGCGTCAGCTGGAGCGCTGACCACCGTGTGGTGGAAGGGGCGGAGATGGCTGCGTTTGTTGAGTGTTGGCGTGGGTTCGTGGAGACGCCGGAGAGGCTCATCGTGGACAGCATTTAATGCGTAGGAACCGTTCAGATCATGACTCGCACTGTACAACTATCTCATTCATCGCAATTACAAGGGGTCATCGCACTCCTCTATGTTCTTCGCATAGAAAGGGATAAGAAGCGGATATTCGCGCCTTGATCGTTTCCCCTTTAGGCAAGCATTGTTCTCGTAACCACGTGGACAGCATTTTGCTAGCGCCGGACAAATAGTGTACAACGCGACGATCCTTAACTTCCTTCATCATGGCACCTCGTCTCATTGACTCCGACTCCAGCGACGACGACGCCCCTGAGGCGGTCACCCTTACCCAATCCAAAACCGCAGCTCGCGAGCGCTCGAAGGCGCTCACGCAGCATCATGCTGAGCTGAACGAGAAGAAGCGCGAGAAGAATAGGCGGCGCGATCAGCAGCTGAAGGAGCAGGCGAAGGATCGGAAACCCGGCAGGAAAGGGAAGGATGAGAGCGACGAGGATGAGGGGAGCGACGACGGCGCGGACTCGGCTGCCATAGCACGTATGGAGAAGGCGATGCGCGAGGCGGAGAGGGAGTCGGATGAGGAAGGGGACGAAGATGAAGAAGAGGACGAGGACGAGGAGATGCTAGGAGATAATGACTCTGAAGGGGGCAGCGACGATGATGGAGACATGGACGAAGACGACGAGGACGACAGCGAAGCCTCCGAAGACGAGGTCGTCTTCCCCTCAAATCCCAATCACCTCCCCGATCACTTCTTCACCTCCGCATTCGCCTCCTCCTACCGTCCCTCGAAAGGAGACGCAAAGAAGGACGCAGACAAGTCAGCGGGGAAGAAGCAGAAGAAGCGTCGGCGACCTAAGTCGGGCGCGAAGGACATCGTCTTGGGGTGCGTAGTCGATCGACCTTCGCATCGTCCTTTTGACTTATCGAGCCTTTCCCTCCAGCGCGCGCACATTCCGAGTCAACTCATCCGGTCCCAAGCATCCGTCTGCGGCTGCAACAATCCCTTCAGCGAAAGTACGGAAGTTTGTCGATCGCAGTCTCGCTCTCAAGGGAAGTGCTGCTCGCACGCGCGGATGGGAGAGAAGACCAGGTGCGCTTACCTCTACTGCCCATCCCTTACCTTGACTGAGTGTTCTTTTCCAGTACACCTGGGAGCCATGCGTCGCAATGGCGCACCCGCCAGCTTCGTTCGCAATCAGTACACATCATGAACCTGTACATCGCGCTTTCGAGATCATCTACTGCCTGCTTGCATCGGTCTGTCTTTGTTCTTTTCTTGTCACGGAATAATCCCAGGTAAGTCACAAGCAGTATCAAGGGCTTGGCGCTTTGCTAGCAATTGGCGGGCGCGCACCAACCGAAGTACGGTCAACGGACACCCGCAGGAATCCTTGGGCCAGAGCAACAGGCACGGCCCTTCAATTGAACCCAAAGCAGACGGCCTGCGACCTTACAGCTCTCGGGCTCCACTTCGACACCTCTGGCGACGGCCGCGGTGCGCGAGGTTCTACTTGCCCGCAGATGCGGACGGAAGTTGCCGATTCGCCAAGATGCCTGCTGAGTATCCCCTCACCGGGGCCTCCAACTCTCGAGAGCATCTGCGTCCTCTCGCATACAAAACGATGCTGTATGATCCTCTTCGTGATGATGTTCATTGAATGAATTTCTATTATACAGGTACATTGGATCGTCCATAGCATTTTACCTCAGTTCCTGAATACCTCCATCTTCGAAGGTGTTCGCGCGCAAATATCTCTATCCTCTTCGCGGAGGATAGCCAACACGAAGCAGCTTTTGAACTAGGCTCCAGAGGCTCTCCATCTTGCATCTTGCGATTCAGCACTGCTCGTATGTATGTCCGCGACGCCCGCTGCTATAGCTGGCGGTCCGCATGCGTCTCCCGCTCTCACCGTCATTCTCGATCCGGCCTTCGAAGCCTTTTGTATTGTTGCCATTCACCTCAAACGCGGGTGGGCAAAGTGCATATAAGAGTGAGCTGCACCATGCACCCATAATCACTTACAGCAGATTCGGAAAACCTTGTCCACAGCAACTTTTTTTCTGTGAGAGAGCGCAAGGCACAACTAAGAATAGATGTCGACTTCTTTCCCGCCAAGGCGTCGATGTCGCGTTTCTCAACCTCCGCTTCGTCCGTTGTGCCCGAGTGTACTGGGAGCGACAGCTACGGGCTGCGGACCTCGCAGCGGCATGGTCAGGCTTCGAGGGTGTACATGCATAGGATATCAGGCTATTTCGTCCCCAAAAGCTGCGGACAAGGCTTCCGCGCGCAAGTCGCCACCGGCGACGACCAAGAGAGTGCATTCGCTGCGAAGGCGGGCTTGGGGCTCGAAGGGCACCCATCGCTGCCTCTGCACAGGGCGATGCGGCGACGCAACGTCGAGGGCTTGGCGAGCGTGCTCAAAGCGCCATCTGCGCAAGTATTCTTAGGTTCGTGCCTCAACCTGCTTCACGAAAAAAAAAGTTCAAGATGACAAGGTTTTCCGAAAGCGCTGTACCCCTTTCCCTTCCCCCTTCCTTCGTCATGTTGTCCTTCCTTACCCTCGCTGTCCTCGCGCGCTTCGCCATCGCCACGCCCAGCGTGAGCGTCAGCCTTGCCCCGGGCGACTCCGCGACTTCGGTCGTCGCCACTGTCACGAACACGGGCAGCGAGGACGTTTCCTTGCTCAAGTGGGGATCCATTCTTTCCGACCTCTCCATCAAGCAGTTCGATCTCTACGATGTTGACAGTGGCATGTGTCCCATCTACCATCAACTAGATGCACACACTCATTGAACCCCAGGCAACTCGACCCTCTTCAACGGCATGACCGGCGTACTCTACGACCTATCCCGCGTCACCGCCGACGCCTGGCAGTTCCTCCCCGCCGGCCAGTCGACCACCAAGTCCATCGACTTCGCCGGCACGCACAAGCTCGACGCGCCCGGCGACTACCTCGCCATCACCGACAACGTCTTTGAGTACGTCGAGGGCGAGTGGGACGGGCAGACCGCGCCCGCGAGTGTGCTCCCGTACTTTGCGAACGCGACGATCACGGTGTCGGATGAGGGCGTGAAGGCCTCGAAGGCGAAGTTCGCGGCGCGCGCCGTTGAGATGTCGAAGCGCGTGAAGGTTGAGGGATGCGATGATGCGGGGCAGAAGGATACGCTGACGAAGGCATACAACCGCGCGCATGAGCTTTCGTCGAATGCGGCGAATGTTGCGAAAACGGGCACGGGTGATATGTAGGTGCTTTGACGCCTGAAAGATACTTGCCTCTGACTCTTCGTCAGCTTCAATAAGTGGTTCAAGTCCAACTCGCAGGACGACCGCAACACCGTCGGCGGCGTCTTCGGCAACATCGCCGCCACCCAGGTGATTGAGGACCCCTCCACCTTCTCCACCAACTGCCAGGGTGACTGCTCTGAGGGGTATGTCCTACTCACCTTTCCTTCCCCCAATCCCTTTCAACATCGCCCTACCCAGCGTCGTCGCCTATGCCGCCATCGCCCAAACCGGCGACGGCACCATCGTCGGCGGCACCGTCTACATGTGCGCGCCCTTCTGGACGTTCCCGCTCGACACGCCCGAGTGCCCGGGCGGCAACGGCCAGGCGGACGTCCTCGTCCACGAGGTCTCGCATCTCTTCGGCAAGCTCGACACGGCGTACGGCGTCGACCCGGCGCTTGCGCTCGGCCACGACCAAGCCATGCAGAACGCGGACAACTTCCGCTACTACGCGCGTAGTGAGTATTCCTTTGAGAGTGGACATAAAAACATGCTGCTGACGGGCTGCTCAAGACATCGTCTGCTAAGCTTGATGTTTTCTCTAATTTATGGGGGTGTATTTATTGGCAAGATTTGGGTTGACGGGGATGTATTGTTATCACGAATATATCACAGAAAGCTCCTTCGGATGAGCGGCAGAGTCAATGCAGATGTGCTTGGGACAGCAAGATCCTCGCAGCGATGAAAGCAAGCAAGAACGCAAGACGGCTTTGCCACCGTCTGTCATGCGAGGGTCCTCGCAACCTCATGCGCCCGGTCTTCCTCCCTCCTACGGAACTCATGAAAACTAGACACCCAATATATAGGCTCGCTCATAAGTTACAAAGGTATCTAAGTTATTCAGAAGGCCCAATAATCTACTCGAATAGATAGATCTTGCCAAGGTCGTTGGCAGCGCCGTTGGCGTCGAGGAGGTCCATGAACTGGCCGTCGTTGGGGACGCGCTGGGGGAGAGAATTGTGAGCAAGTGTGAAGGAGGATACATCGGGTGGGGAAGAAGAACTGTGTTCAAGAATATAGTACTCACGCCATATGCAAACCACGCATAGCGCTCGACAAAGTCGAAGTCGGCGCCATCGAGCGCGTTCACAGTGGTGGTGAGGAAGTCGGAGACCGCTCCGGCATCCGTCGACGTCGAGGCGAACTCTACATCACATGCAACATGATCAGCGACCCATTTCATCTGCATCCACAAAAACAATCAAGACACACCAGTCACCCACAACGGCTTGTTCACCCAGCCGTGGAACTCCTTCACGTAATCCAGGAAGTACTGCGCGCCGTCGCCGTACCAGTGCAGGGGGACGAAGTCGATACCGCAGCCATCACCGCACTGGCTCATGAAGTCCTTAATCCATTGCTGGCCTGCGATGAATGGCGGTGATCAATGCGAGTGTCGAAGGAGTGATGCAAAAGTGAATGGACGCACCCTCGGGTGCGGCGCTGACAGCGGGCGCACCAACGCGGACGCCAGAGTCGTGCAGGGAGACAAAGTTGTCCTTGTAGTACTGGACGGCTTCAGCAACGGGGATGTTCGCCTGGTCGCCGCGCTCTGGCTCGTTGAAGCCCTGATAAACCTCGTCAGCCTGTCTGCTCCTGCTTCATCAGTTTGAAGGGGACGCACCAACACGATCTTCGCCCCCAAGCCATTGAGGTTCGCCGACAGGTCCGCAAGCCCATTGCGGTCGTGCTGCATCGGGACAAACTCAAGACCAGAGTTCTTGATCTGGTCCGCAGGCAGCGTCTGCCATGTGTACACCCACGACGCCGCGCCATTGTCGACCGTCGCAGCCTTGATATCGTCCAGCGGGGTCTTGTCGGAGTACGCGAGGCCGCGCTTGTTGTTCTTCGCGAGCGCCGGAGCAACGAAGGCGAGCAGGGGAAGAAGAGCGGCGGCGGGGACCATGCTGGGCAAGACGGGCGAATGAACAGGAAAGAGTGGGAAGATGTGTACGGGGAATTGGAAGATGGGTTGACGAGCGAAGGACGCGTTGGATATATAGCGAGCAGTTGCACGACGGCGATGAACACGGCATTAGCGACGGGGGACCCACAGTCATAATGGGAGGTGCGGCGCCCCACTGCGGGCGCCAAGTCCGCGACGAGGCTGCGTCGGGCATTCATCGAGAGGCTGACAAGGGCGGAGTAGTTGTTGGGTTTCAAGGTGCTGCGCAGACTTGTCTCCCGAGGGCCGGAGGCGGAAGAAGGGTCGAAGACAGTGCCCGATGCGCGAGGTAGTCGAGTGAGACTGCCGATAGGGTACTTGAAGACGATCTACGTGCCGACAGGTGATCCTCAGGCAGCGACCCATGCCATACATGAGATTAAGAAAAAAGTCGGAAGATCATCTGCAAAAGTTACAACTTGTTGCGCCTCGAGGTAGCCTTTGGACCATTGCCAGTGGACGTGATCTGTGATCATGATGAAAGCGAGCCAAAGAGCCGCGTTTCCTTGTAGAGAGTCTGACATCTTCTTTAGACCTACAACTGTTCCTTTACTTCGATGTTGGTAGCGGACTGACCATGGCAGTTGAAGTCAAGATGGTCGTCGAAAGTTGAACTTGCTGAACGGCAAACTCCGTGCATCCGTGTGCGGTCAAACAAGCGCACACAAGCCAGAGTGCTCGCAAAGTCATGCAAGCCTTGCCGGCTATCTTTCTATTCCCATGCCCGCATGACGCTTGGTCGTCCCTTCCTTTTTTCTCTTCCCCTCAGAATTTCCTGAACTTGCAATTGACGACGCAACCTGCCGAATTTGAGCTAGCTGAACTGGCCCCAATTAAATGGCGCGAATAGTCAAAGTCGCGATCATTGGCAGCGGTCTGGCCGGTCTAACCGCCGCCCATCTTCTCGCGCGTCCCGCGGAGAATGAGGGGGATGTACGCTTCGAGGTGCATATCATCGAGAAGGTGCGCTATCACCTCAAGTGCCTAAAGAGTGGGGCCTAACCCCGATCGGCAGGCAAACGCGCTAGGGATGGACGCGTCCTCCGTGTCCGTACGCGTTCCAGGCACCAAGGAGGAGAAAGACATACGCGTCAATGTACCGATGCGATCCTTCCAGGGAGGTGTGTGATGAGCATTCCCCCTATTCGTGTCGTCGTTAACCAGGCGCGCGCAGGTCATTACCCCCAGCTGATCGCAATGTACAAGAAGCTGGGCATTCGCGTCCGCGTCGCGAACTTCACCTACTCCTTCTCTCGCCTACTCAATCTCGGGTCGAAGCATGGGCTCCCCGAGATGTCCACCTACCTGCTCTACAACGGGGCGTCAGGTCGGAAGGGTGTTAACCTCCCGTCCGAGAAATACCCCATGTCCTCTAAGGGAGCCTTCAAGTGCGCCGAGAGTACAGAAACGCACCTGGGGAACATGTTCCGAGCATACATGCGACACTACGTTTACACCTTCCACTTACTTCTATGCTACCTCTGGCTTGTCGTCCAGGCAGTGCCCTGGCTCCGGATCCAGGGGGTCGAAGACATGGTTTTCGAGGACTGGGCTTTTCATGTACGCCCACGCCACTGGATTACTAGGATTATCGGTCTTGAAGACTTTTGGCTGCAATATGTGTTCCTCACCCTCGTGCCCTTATTTTCTGCCGTATGCACGGCCCCGGAAAGGAGAATACTAAGCCATCCTGTGGAAGACCTACTTGGTATGTGCTCTGCCTCGTCTTCCTACGTTGGCGCTCACCGAGTCTACAGATTACATCTGGCTGACACTAGGCACGGATCACTTCGTCCACGTCGATGGCGTCCGCGAGGTCGTGTCCAAATTGTCTGAAGGCCTGGAGAATGTGCATTTATCAGCGACAACGACCGCCATACAGCCTGATCCTACACATCCCGACCTAGCCTCCATTGTGTACACCACGCCCACCGGACAAGAATGTATCACTGGCGTTCACCACATCATATTCGCGACACAAGCGTCTCAGGCGGTGCCTCTCCTACAATCCTACGCAGACTCCGTGCCCCAATCCTCTGCGAAGCGCCAAGCCGTCACCGCCCAGATCGCCTGCCTCCAAACGTTCACCTACGAGCGCAACATCGTCATCAACCACACCGACGACAATCTGCAGCCCCCCGCTCCCGCCGACCGCCGCGACCTCAACCTCATCGTGCCCGGCTCCGCATTCCCCACCCACGAGACATGGGAACGGCTGGCCAGCCAGAGGAACCCGCCCCTCATCGTTGAACCGTACTTCGCGATGGCCACGCAGGTTCTCCCGCTGCCTGCGGATTACCCGCCGGACGCACCGCGGATATACCAGACGACGAACCCACTGTTCCCGCCTCGCGAGGACAGCATCATCAGCGTAGCACGGCTGGAGCGCTCGGTGCTCACGCGGAAGGCAAAGGCCGCGCTACGGGGACTGCACAACTCGGACGGTAGACGATGGTGGCAAGGGCAGGGGAAGCTGGGGCCGCTCCAGGGTGGCGGGCGGAGGGAAGGAGGGGTAGAAGGGCCCGGCATCTGGCTCTGCGGCTCGTACGCGTACCCAGGGATCCCACTCCTCGAGGGCTGCGTCGCGAGCGCGCGCAACGTCGTCGAGCAGGGTGTGTACGCGGCCGAGGGCGTCTCGCCGGGCGCCGCGCCCTGGTAAGCGCGGGAACATGCTACGACGTGGAGCGCGGGAAAACGCCAGGATTTGGCCACGGAGCGGGGGAAAGTGCTACGAGCGGGGGAAACACGACACGAGGGGCGCCTTCTCAGTCCTGCGGCGGAGCGTGTGAAGTGGTGAAGGGACGGGGAGACGAACCAGAGTGGCCCGTCACATCGATCGCCGGCGCACCTGTGGCAATTCCCGGTTCCCCGTCGCACGAGCGGCCACTCTCGCCCTGCAACGAGGCCTGATGGGAACCAGTCAAAGCCAGTCGCGAGCTCCGTCGCACCTCATGTTGGAGAACGAGCAGCCCCGTGTCCCACTACATCGTCACTACATCACATCGAATTGAAAGAAGGGCCGCCTGCTCTCGGCGGCCTGGAATAAATGTGCTGGCGAAACACGGCCCTGAGGCCAGGTGAACATAAGGCGGTTGTGGCGGTGAACCTGCGCACCATCTCAGCGAATGATAAGGCAGGATAAGGCGTGCCGATCGTGAGGCGATCCGCCATCGGGGACGGAAGCTGCCGGCGCGTGCCGTACCGCGCCATTGTCGAACAATAGGCAACTCGGGTCAGGATCTATGACCCGTCTCACGCTGGTTCTCATCAAGACGCGCCGTAGCCGAGGATCGGTATGCAGAACGTGCCTCTGGCCACCCACCATGTCTATGACCAAGTAAAATGAACCAGGGCCGCCTGTTGCGAAACTCAGCGCGCCTGCCCGTGGGCTGTCTTTGACGGAATTACTCCCGCCACACTGTGTGATAGAAGCAGAGAATGTGATTACAGAGCGACTGATGTGCCCGGGGGCAGCCCACGCGGGGATAGATGATGAAATGGGATCTGAAAGAGCGTCCAACCGTATTCCGGGAACTCTGTTATAAAGCCCTTTATCCCTTGCCTCGCGCTGTCTTCATCCCCCCAGCCTGCCCAGCATGTACCCGGTCCCCGGCCTCTCCCAGAGTTCGCAGAGTTATCAGCACTCGAACGAAGATTATCTATGCGCGCCCGCGCCTATTGGAGGTACGCCGCCGATCTGCGCGCGCGCGTCGTACAGGTCGCTCACGTCCGTTTCTAGCCCCCGGAGTATGCCCCCCGCAGAGATGGGTCCCTCAACTACCTTCCAACGTCGGTTTTCCGGAGCCTCCCTTTGACGGATTGCCTTGCCGGACCTCCGCAATGTCTGAGGTGCCCGTGCGCGCGCCAGCCCCGACTCGTCGTGTGCCGCCCCCCGTCCACATCGAAATCCCGTCGTCGACGTCGGACGCGTCCCCCTCACCTGCTCCCTCATCCTCGGCCTCCGCGCCCCGCAAGACGACCTCCAGACGCCATAAGGACGACCCCAACTACGTGCCCCGCCCGCCCAACGCCTACATCCTCTTCCGCAAAGACTATGCGGCCAAGATCCACAAGTCGACGGAGAGCGACCAGCGCAAGATCAGCGAGATCGTGACTGCGGCGTGGAAGGCGGCGTCCGAGGCCACCAAGGCGTACTACAAGCAGCGGCAGCTCGAGGAGAAGGAGGCGCACCTCGCCGCGTACCCGGACTACAAGTACAAGCCGCGCCCGCGCGGCCCTGTGCAGCGCCGGAAGACGAACAGGAACAACACGTACGAGGAGGCGCGCTGCAAGCTCCTCGCGGAGCTCGTCGAGCAGAAGTACGAGGGCGAGGAGCTGGAGGCGGAGTTGGCGAAGTACGAGCCGGAGCTGAGGAAGATGTACCCGGTCGAGGAGCCGGCGGCGGGCAAGAAAAAGAGGAAGGCCCGTGCTGTGCGTGGTGTCGAGCGTCAGGCGCCGTTCGCGAGGACGGTGCCATCGTCGAGCGATGCGCATGCGTCTCAGCCCCAGCCCATGGCCTCCACACCTACCTGCCATTACCAGACGGCGCCCCAGTACGCCGACCCATCATTCCGCTGGGCACCCAGCGGACCGCAGCCCTACCTGCCCCCTCCGCCGGCTGCCTATGAGTGGGTGAGTGGCAGCTAATCTGGCTGAATTCCTCGATTTTGTCTGACCGCATCACAGCAGGCGCGCACCCCGCCTGTCGATATCAGCGCTCGCGATCAGTCCGATCCCGGCAGCCTCTCCTCGCCCGCGACCTCGGCGTACTCCACCCCCTCCACCCCGCCGGACTCAGCGATCGCCTATCCGCCCTACGGGCATGCGTTTCCCGTCTCCCCCTTGTCGCTGCCACACACAGTGCATCCATCTGTCGATCAGACGTACGCCTGCCAACAAACGGAGTGCTCCAACGAGTTCCAGCACGCCAACGAAGGCCGCGATCCCGGGCATATTCAACACTACTGGCAAGTGAGCTTGTACCCGCGCGACGTCCTCTTGTGCGAAAGCGATGTGCCAGAAGTCCCGCCCTGGTACACCTGGTCAGCGAATGTGCCCCAGCCCGAGCCCCAGCACACGGAGAAGACGTACCACGGCGGATACCAGTAGGAGATGGGACGATTGCCTTGCGTGAAGACTGGAGGACCCCATATGCTGCTTACCTTCTAACTAATACTGATTCGGCTTCTTGCTTTTGTACTGTTATCCTGTTTTCTTCATGTGGGTCCTGGACCACTGCGGTGCCGCGCCGTTTATTTTATCCATAATATCGTACATATTAACATCGAATGGTTGCTGGACTTGCACGCTGGCGCGAAGACAGACGGACGCCTTCAGGCGCCCATCTCGTCGTCCGAATCCGACGTGTCGCTGCCGGACCCCATCGCGACGTCGCCGCCCGACTTGACGCCGGAGAGCGGCTTCATAAGCGCGCGGGAGCCCATATTGCGGCAGCAGACTTTTATTGCGGCGAGGATGATGTGCGCGGAGTTCCTGGCGAACTCGCGGATGGAAGGGATATCGTTTTCGAGGGAGGCGCCGGACGCGTTGCGCCAGTGCATCCAGACGCAGTCGGTAGTGGCGGCGGAGAAGAGGAAGGCGAAGCAGCCGGTGCCACGGGCGCGGGAGAGCTCGTCTGTGTCGGGATCGACGACGAGAATGGTCGAGTCACCGCTGGGGATGCGCGCGACCGGTACGGCGCAGACGACACCCCGCATCGCGGCTGAGCCGGCGTTTAAAAGGGCGAGGGAGCCGGCGTTGATCATAGCGGCAAGGAGGCTGTCGTCACTTTTTGCCCGTGCTGGGCTGAGGGCCTGGAGCATGAGTTGTATCAATGTGCGAGGGTACTGCTGGAGGAAGATGGAGGGGGAGAGGGCCGCGCGGACGGAGGCGGCTATGGATTTGGCTTCTGTCGCTGGTACATTGGAGATCGGTCGCATGTTGACTTCAAATGTTGCGCGTGCTGGCTGCTCTGCTGCTAGCCTGACCTCAATAGGCCCCGAGACAGACGCGAGCGCAGTGGTATCGCCTAGCTGAGTGTGAATTTGCGAAAGAGGATGCATGTGCTGCGCTTACCGAAAGAGAACCTCGCGGAACCATCTACCCTTGCAAGTCCGTCAAAAGACACCGAGATCTCCCGCGGATCACTCTCTTGTCTTGCTCCTGACCGCGACATTGTGTCGAAAGGAGAACAATGGTTAAAGACAATGGGCGTTCGTGTGATCGCGCATCCGACGGATTTCTGAGCGCCGTGATCCGTCCCACGTGACATCTCAAAGAATGCCCATTTCGGACACCTTCTGGCCGGAATTCAACTTGCTTCCTGCATTCACCATGTTCAGGTACCATACCACGGCTCTATGACCTGCATATCCGACTCCGAATATACCACTGTGATCATGTTCGCCAGCTCACAATCAACGTTGTCTTACAGCACTTTGTGTCGTCATCGTCACCCGGTAAGCGCTTCCCCACATCTTCACCCTTGATCAAAGCAGAAGCTGCGCTTGATGAGCGAGCTCCATGGCCGTCAACCTCGCAACCCTTCCTTGTTCATAACCTTTACGAACACACCTCCCCTTCAAAGGCTTTTCGCGCTCCATTCTCCGACCTAACGCGTCCTATAATTGCACCTACTGCGTCTCACGTGTTCGCGTCCGCGCTGCGGAGGATCAGGCTGAGGCTGCTGCGCTCGCGAAGAAATAGCTCACAGCCTTCCCACCTCCCCCCACCACTCCTTCAAGTTCCACCATGTTCGCCCTCCCAGCTTCCTCGCGGAAGTACTTTGTACTGCTAGTTGTCCTGGTGCGTCTTCCCCTCCCCCGCATTTAGGGGCGATCACTTACGCGCTTACCCTCGCAGACATCGGCGATCTACACAATACATCTCGTCCTCGAGGGCCACCATGGATATATTCCCTCAGGATTCTTTGGGGACGTAGACACGCCATTCCTAGAGGAAGAGCTCGCGACGATACCCCCTGCCCGCGTGTACCACGCCGGCGTCGCGCCCGTGGGCAAGGAGAACGCCACCCTGGTCTTCCTCGCGCGCAACAGCGACCTCGACGAGGTCAAGACGAGCGTCGAGCGGATGGAGAGGCGGTACAACAACCATAACCGATACCCCTGGGTCTTCCTCAACGAGCAGCCGTTTACGGAGGAGTTTATGGAGTGCGTGTGGTCGGCTGCGCGTTCATTGTCGTGGAGCTGACAGTGGTTCGCAGGACGGTCTCGAATCTGACTGAGGCGAAGATCTCTTTTGGCCTGATTCCGCCAGAGCACTGGTACCAGCCCGAGTGGATAGACGAGGACCGGGCTGCGCAGGGGCGGCAGAAGATGCACGAGCAGAACATCATCTACGCGGGTACGTGATTGATTCCTGGGCTCTATCCGCGTCGAGTGCTATTCGTGGCACGATGGTCTATTCGTATCGCAAAGTGCTATTCGCGTCGTACTATATGCTATTCGCGAAGCGCTATCTGTCTCAAGGTGCTATGCAAGATGCTAACCAGGGCCTATAGAAAGTGTTCCCTATCGCAATATGTGCCGGTTCAACTCTGGGGTGCGTACTGCCTTCAAATACACTGAACATCACGAGGCTGACATCTGTCCTAGTTCTTCTTCAAGCATGAGCTTCTGCAGCAGTACAAGTACTACTGGAGAGTCGAGTGAGTCCGCCTACATTCAGCTAGATCATATAAGTAATGTACTAACCACCCTATTACTCGCCCTTCAGACCCAACGTCGACTACTTCTGCGACCTTGCCTACGATCCGTTCACCTACATGCGCGAGAACGACAAGATCTACGGCTGGACGATATCCTTCTATGAGTGGGAGCCCACGATTCCGACGTTGTGGAAGACGACGAAGGGTGGGTATCTGTATTTTGGTTTTTTGGAGCTCGATTTCCCTGCTTGCACCTCGCTTGAGCCATATTCGTGCACGAAGCACAATGTCGTTTGCTCGTGAATCGCAATCACATCACTTCATGAACCGCAATCACTGTTCCCTCTACCACCTCGCAGCCTCTTCTACATCTTTCACCTCGCGCGACCCCGCTAACGCCCCTTCCAGAATTCATGAAGGAGCACCCCGAATACGTCCACCCCGACAACGCCATGCGCTACCTCTCCGACGACGGCGGCAAGACCTACAACCTCTGCCACTGTGCGTACTGCGCCGTCTTCTTCTCTTATTTAATATCAAACACCCACTAACGCCCCCTCCCAGTCTGGTCCAACTTCGAAATCGCCGACATGGACTTTTGGCGCTCGCCCGCCTATCAAGCCTACTTCGCCTTCCTCGAGTCCCGCGGCGGCTTCTACTACGAGCGCTGGGGCGACGCGCCCGTGCACTCCATCGCCGTCGCGCTCTTCGCGCCCAAGACCGCGATACACTTCTTCAGGGATATCGGGTACAGGCACGAGCCGTTCCAGCACTGCCCGCAGGGGAACTTGTACAAGGAGGGCAGCTGCTCGTGCAAGCGGTATGATAATATTGGTGAGTGGGCGGGAGGCTTTGTGGTGTTGAGTTGAATGGGTGGCTGACGGTCCCCCAGACTACCGCAGCAACTCGTGCACACCCCGCTTCGAGAGGCTCTTCTACGACTAGAGTAGACAGCCCCACCTGCCCGCACTTCGCTAGAGGTCTCGCTCGCCTGCATCCTACCCCATGCACCATACCACCCGGACATTCAGCACTACCCAGACAGCACGTTCACTAATTGTAGTCGCGCGCCGAGCGCCCGACTCCATAAATGTACTACTAGAATATTATTACAGCCCATGTACTGCTTTGCTCTCCATCGCCAACTAGCTAAAGACATTACCGCCTCCTCATCGGTACTCGAAGCGCCGACATTGTCCTCTCAACATCTACGAAGACGCACGCACATGATTACAACGCCACATTCCCACCCCTCTTCCCCATCAACCGCGGCACCAACTGCCAATTTGCGGGCATTGGGCCCAATTCCTGCGCCGCATCCCCCGCTCCGTCCCCCTCCACAGAGATCGTCGCGCTCGCCGAGAAGCCCAGGCGGACAACCCCGCCCGTATCGGTGGGCATGGTGCTCTCCAGCCCGCGCAGTGCCCCTTTCGTCCCGACGTCTTCCGCTCCTCTCAGCGTGCGCACCAGCACCTCCATCGCCGCGAGCATCTCTGCGCGCTGCTGGGCATCGTCCGGCAGGTGGAACTCGACCTGCTGGACCTCAGACGTGAAGAGCGCCTTCGTGGGCCGGTGCGCACGCCGCAAAAGGAGGCGGCAGATATCGTGCGCGCTATGTAGGGAGAGGAGGTGAGGCTATATATGTGAATGGGTGGTCAGAAAGTATCTCATAGAAAGGAACGGATAAGCACGCACCGTATCAAGCGCAACCTGGAACGGCGTGCACTGCCGACAGACCTCGCAAGGATACGGCGGAGGCCCCGTCTCCGACGCATCCGAATCCGTCGTCGATCGCGACGCGTACGTAGACGTCGACTCCGCGCTCCCCGTCGACGTCGAGCGCGAGTCGCTGCAGAGCACGCCGGGGTACACAATCGCATCGTCGTCGAAGAGCTTCTTTGAGAAACTGCCGAACGCGCCGCCAAAAAGCGATCCAGTCCACGAGGACTTGCGGGGCGTCTCTTGAGGCGCGAGGTGCAGCTCTTTGAGCGGCGGTGAAGATGAGGTCTTCCGGGGCTTGTCGTCCTCGATGATGATGCCGACGTTGTCAGACATGAGCCCTGCGGAGATCCTTGTCCAGTTCTCGAGCAGCCATCGGAGAACGACTTCGCCCTTGCGTTGATCGCGCTCCACGCCGCCCAGCATGCAGCGCCCGAAAGTGATGCAAGTCTGGTTCATAGCAGCGTCTTTCGCCAGACCGAAGTCGAGGAGAGATTCCAGGAGATACGAGAGCAGCGCGATGTTGGCAGAGGGGAGGAGGCGCAGGAGAACCTGAGCGACGGATATAGTGGCCTTGCGATCATTGCCCAAAGAGTCGTCAAAACACCAGACGAGGAGGCCATCAGCGATGCCGGGGAAGAGTAAGGGTTCTGGAAGCGCGTCGAGGTAGGTCAGGAGAAGTGAGAGGACGGCGTCGGTGGGTTGCTGCGAGAGAGCACCGAAGGCCTGGTTGCCAAAGTCTGTGCTAGAAGAGTTGAAGATTGCTATTAGGGTAGGATCGCAGGCGATAGAAATATCGGGGAGTACGATGGAGCTTTCGACCTGACGTATCTTGAGGTCTTCCATGCACGAGACGACGACAGAGGGGAGGGTGCGGGCACCATCGCGAGTGAAGGCGAATAGGCAGACTCGAGTAAGGCTTTCACCAAAGACCGCTATGGGAAGGATTAGATAGGCGTCAGGTCGTAAGCTGGCATGCATACCTAGACTGTTGCTGCCCTCCTCCAGTGTCTGAATGATGGCCTCGCGGGAGAACCGTTCCATTTCCTCTTTGTCGTGAAGCGCTTGCAGGACATCGAACTGGACTAGATTGTGTACACGAGCACTGGGCGGGAGGAGACCCTCGAGGCGGCGAACGAGAACATTCGGGTCTGGCTTTGCGATAGTTTGCTGGCGAGTGTGTGCGTTCTTCCGAGCATAGGAGCGAGGGGTTCCTGGCTGCGCCAGCGCAGACGGAGGGACAGAGCTCGGAGAAGGATTCGAGGCATCGGAGGGAGGAGCGTTCTCGGGTTTCGGTAGCGCCTCGGAGCCGACAGCTATAGAGGGGACAGGGCGAGGAAGGCTAGAGGGCGAGAGCGCGGACCTGCGTTGCGGAGACCGCCCTGGGCTGAGAAGCTCGCTCTGCGTCTGCCTTCCGCGCGGTGGTTGCGGGCGATCGGGACCGAGGCTGGAGGGGAGGGATGGCTTGCGCAGGTGTTGAGTAGTAGCCGGAGATTCAGTCTGGTTGCTCGCCCTTGGCGGGATTCGAGGCCGCGTCGAGCTCGAGTAGGTTGCAGCGCGCGGTCTGACGGTGGACGCAGGCGGCTTGAGCTTGGAGTTGTACTGAACTGAGAACCGCCGACCAGCGGGGAGCTGAGTGTAGGTATCGACGGCCAAGGGCATCGGCGGGTATAGGACTAGACTGTGCGGGGTCGCTCGAAAAGAAAGCCAGCAGACTGAATGTGGTTGATGTTTAGGGTGCTCGGCAAACGCCGGTGGTGGGAACAGCGGGATCAAAGTCAACATTCGCACGGATCGTCTCGTACCATCATGTCCGCTCTGCTGCAAGGTGAGGCCTCGCCTCGGCCGCTGCAACCTGAGGAAAAACTTGACAAATAGCTCGATCTTTGCTTGAATCTCGCTGTCGCTGCCCCGTTCTGTCGGCGTGCGTAGAACGTCCAGGCTTCGTGCCTCAGTCAGGTGGAACACCCTGAATAAATTAGCACCTGGGCGACGCGCGGGCCCTTGAATTCACGCTGTCCTTCTCTACTTGTCACGGTGCTGTCCCCGCCACCGAGGAAGGCTCCGAACTTCTTGAGCCGTGCACGGCAAGGATCACCAGACACCCTCTCAATGCCTCTTTTCTTGTGCCACCTGAATGGGCCAGCCAAGGCCTATGTAAAGCCTGCTCTTCCTTAAACGAAATACGGTGCGTTCTCGGTAGTGGGGCACCTGTTTATGTCTTACGAGACTCCCAGAGCACGGCGTCTCGTCGGCGCTCTGCACTGGACATGGCGAGCAGGCGTTCTCGGTGTCGCTCCTCCTGCTCCCATTTTGCAGATTACCCGACAGACAGCCCCGCTCACAGGGTCCTACTTTGAAGATCATGTCCCGTCGCGCTTCCCATAATTTATCCGCGGGTCGTATATAAGGGCAGCCCGTCTAGCAGCTCTGCTCCATCGGCTCAGCAACAGCGGTTTCGAGCATGTTCTCACTCACAGCCCTGACCGCGCTTTCTCTCTTCGCCGGCGCGCACGCCCAGCAAGTGGGCACGCTGCAGTCGGAGACGCACCCGTCTCTGACGTACCAGACGTGCACCAGCAGCGGCTGCACCTCGCACAACGGCAAGGTCGTCCTCGACTCTAACTGGCGCTGGACACACATCACGAACGGCTCCGACAATTGCTACGATGGGAACGAGTGGGACACCTCTGTCTGCTCCGACCCTACGGAGTGTGCGTCCAACTGCGCTATAGACGGTAAGCAAGCTTCGTCTGTCCCTTCAGCAGCCCGAGTACTCACATGTGCATCAAGGCGCTGACTACCCGGGCACCTACGGCATTCAGTCTTCGGGCGATGCGCTCACGCTCAAGTTCGTCACGAACGGCCAGTACTCGACCAACATCGGTTCGCGCGTCTACCTGATGGACACGGACTCGTCCTACGCCATCTGGAAGCTCAAGAACCAGGAGTTCACCTTCGACGTCGACGTATCAAACCTTCCTTGTGGGCTGAACGGCGCCGTCTACTTCGCTGAGGTACTTTCCTCATACTCGTACATCTTCTGGAGCTGATAACCTGTTTTGAAGATGGAAGCCGATGGCGGCATGTCTAAGTTCTCTGGCAACAAGGCTGGCGCGAAGTACGGGACTGGGTATTGCGACGCCCAGTGTCCGCACGACATCAAGTTCATCAACGGAGAGGTACGTCTTCGCAGTCCTTCTCGATGTCTCCGGTTGCTTATCATCTCGCAGGCCAACATTGTCGATTGGCAGCCCTCGCCCAACGACACTAACGCGGGATCCGGCAAATACGGCACCTGCTGCAATGAGATGGATATCTGGGAGGCGAACTCGCAGGCAACTGCCGTCACGCCGCACACGTGCACGAGCGTTGGCCAGGTTCGTACTCCCTCAGCCTTACTCAGATTTCGGTCCTAACAATCGGGATAGACTCGCTGCGAGGGCACCGACTGCGGTGACGGCGACCAGCGCTACGATGGTGTCTGCGACAAGGACGGATGCGACTTCAACTCCTGGCGCATGGGTGACCAGACCTTCTTCGGTGCGCTTCTACCCCCCCTAAAAACCGTCGCTGACTCGTTCACTCTTTCTTCCTCTCCCTCAGGCGAGGGCAAGACCGTCGACACCACCCAGGTCATGACCGTCGTCACCCAGTTCATCACCTCCGACGGCACCGCCAGCGGCGACCTCACCGAGATCCGGCGCATCTACGTCCAGAACGGGCAGGTCATCCAGAACTCCAAGACCGCCATCGAGGGCATGGACGAGTTCGACTCGATCACGGACGAGTTCTGCGCGCAGCAGAAGGCCGCGTTCAACGACAATACGTCCTTCGCGGACCGCGGGGGCATGTCGCGCATGGGCGAGACGTTCGACAACGGGATGGTGCTCGTGCTCTCGCTGTGGGACGACCATGCGGCGAACATGCTCTGGCTCGACTCGGAGTACCCGCTCGACCGCGATGCGTCCGAGCCGGGCACGTCGCGTGGCCCATGCAGCAGGGATAGCGGTACGTGTAGTGGTTTTGGCTAGGAAAAGTCGCGCTGACGCTTCCTATAGGCAAGCCCACCGACGTTGAGTCGCAGTCTCCGGACGCGTCCGTCGTCTACTCCAACCTCCGCTTCGGCGACCTCGACAGCACGTACTCGTAAAGTGCGAGCGTACACTGGCAAAAAGGTCTTTCATTCTGGGAAATAGGATTTCTATCGCATGTAGTCTCTCTCTGTATCCGGTGTATGGTATCTAAAATGTGACTTGTGTACTTACGCGACATACCTGCCCGAGCGCACGCATCGGTGCTCCTCGACAAGCAAGGATTCGAACTTCCATCCTTCCTCAACACGCTTTTGATCGCCGGCCCGCACGCATACCGCCGCACCTGGTCCGTGCGTCCTCCCTTTCCTATATATCCCTTCCTCCGACATCTTCCCTCCCCATCTTTGTGCTCGGGCATGTACGCTCACCAGTGAAGTTCCGACTGAGGTAGCGTCTTTTGCTGATTGCAAATTAATTTCCGACTCGTTTGGTTGCTTCGGCTTCCAGCAATTTTTGGAAACCCCCTTCCACCTCCCCCTCTTTCGTATCTGAGGTTTCCGACTTGCTTTTGCGAGGAGGGAACTTTGGGCTCGATGACAGCACTGGCTGGAGAGCGGTAGCAGTAGCGTAGTAGTTTTGAAATGCAATTGCTTTGCTCCTCATCTTTCTTGTGATCTTCAAGCCGTTGAGATAATCATTTGTTCTACGGTCTCTCGAGTGTGCACAGCAGAGCTCCGGGCATTTGGGGTGGAAGATTGCTACGGAATCCGTCGAGCAACATTGGCGAGGTGGTCTCCTCAATAACCCAACCTGGCACCTTGGACTTCCTTATCACCACTGTCAATGCCCTCGATGGCACCAACTTCGATCCTTGGATCCCTTGGGTGGTCATTGATGGTCTTTGAAGGACTCCATCGAAGGAAAGCGGACCTTCCCTCAAGTCTCACACTCCCACTCATTGTCAAACGTGGTATACTCTTAAGACATACATATTGACTGCACACGACTAGTAATACTATATAAGATGCGGGTAAGTAATAACTACAACGAAGAGTGTATGAACGGACGATATGCGAGGCGGAAAACAACAACACAGCACAAGAAGGGGTGGGCGGGCGACGTGCGGACGAGTGCGGGGGCGTACTCCAGTGCGAGAACTGTCAATGGTATCGAAGGCACTGTCACATCCACCGCAGGGTCACGGCCACCACAAACGAGAGGCTGAGGGCGCAAGAGTGTCGGGTCGAGGTCAAGCAAGCGGCACCAGTCAAATCGGTGACCGTCAGCTTGCACTCCCCAGGACATCGGCCTAGATCCCCGCATCCCTCAGCACCTGCGAGGCGACCTGGCGCGCATTCACGTGCATGTGCCCCTCGTTCCCCTCGCCCTTCTCCCAGCAGACCTCGATCGACTTCACCCACTCGTGCTCGAAGACGGCCTCGATCGTCGCGCGCTTCGCCGGGTTCGGCTCGAGCATCTTGCGCATGAGCGTGCTAGAAGGGGGGGTGTCAAGCGGGTTCAGATAGGCAGATGGAACGAGGGAGGGGAAAGCGACGAAGGACGGAATGAAGGAAAAGTGAAGGAGGAAAGCAGGAAAGGAGGACTCACCGGCACGCGCGGGGGCTGAGATTGCTGATCGTCTGGGGCGTCTGGTTGCCCGAGTTGCAAGCGTTGGCATACGCGGCGTAGAGCGCATCCGACGGCTGCGCCGCACGCCACGGCAACTCCTGGAAGTGCAGGCAGTAGTACACCACCGCGACAGCCCAGATGTCGACCAGGCGGGCGTCGTAGGCTAGATATCGAAAGACATCCATGTCAGCACCTCATCGCTCGCCACATCTATTGCCACGCACGCTTCCCAAGGAACTGCTCCGGCGCGATGTACGGTTCCGACCCGCACAGGCCAGTCGACATGTGGATCGTCGCCTCCCACGGGAGACGATACACCGTAGAGGCGCCGTAATCGCCGATCTAACACAGTCAGCCCTCCGCGGACGAAGATGAAGGCACATGAAGGGATCTACCTTGACATGGCCCTTGCGATCAAAGAAGATGTTCTCGGGCTTAATGTCCCTGTGCGCAACGCCTTGCGAGTGCAGGTACTGCACGCCGTACAGAATTTGCTTGAAGCAGCACTCGACCTCGGACGGGGACATGCCGCCCTGTGGGTGTGAAGGACCGCAGGTTATGAACCATGCGCGGAGGGGTGGGGGACGATACTCGCCTTCTTGATCGCCCCGTACAGATCGCCCCCGGGGCAAAACTCCATGACCTCGCACCAATTGTGGTTCTCGTCCTGGATGAGATCGACGGTCTCGACGACGTTGATGTGGTGCAAAGTGCTCGAGATGCAGAACTCGGCCGTCAGTTTCTTGACGTATTCCTTTTCCGACTCGGTTCGCCTGCGTTTGCGGAACTCCTGTTCCACGTCAGGATCGTGATACGGTTGCGAGGGGTTGGACACGCACCTTTACGGCGTAGAGCTTCTCGCCATCGCTGCGATCCCACTTGTGCGCAAGGCGGACAACGCTCGTGGCACCTTTGCCGATCGCGACTTTCTGGCAGACGCCATACTTCTGCGATAGGCTGGTCGTGCTCTCGCCCGCCTCACTACCAGCGCGGCTGCCGGCTTTGCTCTTCTTCCCGCTCTTGCCCTCCTTATGGCTGTCCGGGGAGTCCGATCTGCGTGAGGACGCCGTCGATCGCTGGCTGGAGCGCCGGCCAATCTTCTGGGGGCCGCTGGCAAGCAGATCTTTCAAGTTGAACTTGTGCTTGTTGCCATCGCCGTTCTCGGACGGCGGGCGGCTGACGGCGGGCCGGGTCGAAGGCGGTTGGGCATAATCGTGCGCAGCGACGCCGGACTTGGAGAGCGAAGCCGCTTTCGTCAGCGGGGCCTCCTGCTTGTGCGTCGAGCCGTTCATGCTGGGTATGCGAGAGGGCGCACGGGACGGGGCGCGGCTAGCGTTGGTGGAGGAGACGCCGGACGTGCTCTCGGTGTCGTCGTTGCTGACCATGCTGGACTGCGTGGAGAGCGCTCCGGCGGCGTGCGCGGCCGAAGGCGCGGATGGAGCCTTCGCGTTCGCCTTGGTGGGGCGATCGCCCGGCAGCTCGGGTGCCTTCTGGTGCGCGTGCGCGTTGCGTGGCGGGAGGGGGATGTGCTTGTGGGCTCCATTGACGCCGTTATTCACTGGAGGTTTGTCTGGACTGCCGCCGCCCTCGTCGGCCGCGGTGCCCTCTTCTGTGCTGGAGTGGTCTGTTGTTGCGTTGTTGGCCATGATATCGTCTGGAAGGAGAATGATGTGTGTTTGTGCGTGTGCGTGCCAATTTGCGACCGATTCGAGTCGGTGGGTGGGGTGGAGCAGAGAAAGAGATTAAAGGTTGGATATATGACACATAGCGAGTTGCCGGCAGAAGAAGTAAGGGTCAGATCAACAAACGGTCAAGCGGCAGAGGGACGGACCCTCGACGCTGAGCGCGAGACGTTTATCTCTCTGGGCAGCGACGATGGTGGTGGTGAAGGACAAGAACAAAATCCGACTTTATTTGCCTTAATCGATTATTTGCCATCCGACCACACGTGATGCCCGTGTCCGATGGAGCAGGCCGCGTGTATGTTTGTTTTCCGTCCCTTTTCTGCACTCCCTTTGCTGCCAGCCCTCGAGCGCCCCTTTCCCCCATTCAACCCCATACAATGCGCAGCGCATCCAATGAGGAAGCCCACAATTCCTGCTTTCTTCCCGGTTTCCCTCCCCCTTCGGAAGCCATGTGCCGACCGGCCGTCGGCAACCGTCATAGCCCCCCGCTCCCCCCTCTCCCCGATTTCGCGAAATTTCTTGGGTACACAGCTACAGCGCTTCCTTCCTCGCCCCCGCCCCAGACGACGCGCAGGCGACGTCGCAGGCAGCTGACGCAGGGGGAGGCTGAGCAGACGACAGACATACGCCACCAGCGTCAGGCGAAAATAGCGCGTCTGGAACGGGCGCTGGTGAACGATCTCGCTGCGAGGCGTCCCCGGGCCAGCGCGCCGACGCCATCGCGGGCAACGCGGGCAACTCTCTCTGCCTCTCAGGCAACTCTCTATGCCATCGCAGGCAACTCCCTGCCGACGCAGCAGGGAGACTCCCGGTATGGCATCTCAGTCGCCTTCCTCTCCGGCCCCCGGCGCCGCTGCTTTGGGACGGCTCTACGCTCTTGTGCGGCTGGGACTCAATGGACCGCTGAATGGATTACTGGGCCCAGCAATGGATGGCGCTTCTTCGTTCTCAGCGTACTTGGCCCGACTTCTGCCCTGAAACTCGCGCGTTAACGAGTGCAACTCCTATGGCGGCCCTCGTTACCACTCGAACGGAGTCACACCCAGGCCATGCACTCCTAGCCCTTTCCGGCTCATACTTGTCCAATAGGGCGTCCACAGGTGCAGTAGCGGCTCGGAATCGTCGGCTACACGGGCCCCAGGCGCCTACCAAATTTTACGACTGGTAATCCTCTTTCGGCATCTGACCTCTCGCAGTAAGCCTCGTAACTAGCTCAGATGAGCGGTCGTACTAGCCGCGGACGCAAGGAGCGATAGTTGCCGTTCTCAACGAAGTCTTCCACGGCTTATCTGCGCGCATCTACACTCCAACACGTCTTCACGTCAACGCATGCGATTCCGTATCCTCCAATCGTATTCCTGCTCTCAGGCTCGCTCCAGCCTCATTCACGCACGACCCGTACGCGGTAGGCTACCTCGGCTCTTACGGCCTCAGAGTTCGCCGGGTGCCAGTGACGACTACGACTACGCTCGCCGACTGCCAACAAAACGAGGTCTCGCTAACTTACGGCTTGACCGCACTGATTCAGAGGGAAGTCTACTTGACGCTTATTGACGCAACACCCGTACGAGCCGTGTGGTCTCTGTATGGGCACCGGGTGGTCATTGTATGAGCGCCGAGTGGACTGCGTTACTCGTACTCAGTACGAGTGCGTTCACGACAGGAGATCTTCAGTAGAATTAGATAACCCCCAGCGAATCCTATGTTTTGATACCAGCAGCGGCAGTGTTGAGCTTCCGTGATGATACTAGGGAAGGTTCGGCGCTACTTCCCAGGATCCCTTACAATCCCACAGTGGTAGTCAGCATACGGCTTTTTGAATAAAATCTAAAGCCCCCGAGCGACGATCCCCGCCCCGATAGGCTCACATGAGGCCTCGTGTCACGGTTCCTGCCTTTCTTTCACTTGACTATAGATATGATGTCTGTGCAAGCAGTGCGCAAGAGAAACAACAATAGGAAGGAGAAAGCACAAGGGCACAAAGCAGCGTGGCAGGCAGAGTACCCTGTACAGTCACAGGCCGTCACAGAAGTTCAACATATCATGTGACGCCTTGAATATCCCAAAGGGGATATGTCTGCTAGTGGCAGCGCAGTGAACTCTCTCATGTGGGGCTGGATGGGTATCTCTTTCAAGCTCAGCGGCACCGGAGGAACGTGTGATAGATAGAGAACGTGCGACTGTGCTTGCGGTATCGCTGGGGGATGGGCACTTGTATGAGAGCTTGAGCATCGTGAGACCCGGTGGGTACGGTGACCATGTCAGGAGCGATCTTGACTGCGAGTTGGTGGGCATGAGACTAAGCGAGGGAGAACATAGACCAGCGATCTCTGTATATAGCAGCGGTGGAAAGGACAGAGTGTATGGAGAACCTTCGCGGGAGAAGGCCTGGTACCGTAGGCCCTGATCGCTGGGATCAGCTGCTGAGTCGTCTAATCTCTAGGTTGGCTATCTCTGTCCACTGGCCGATGGTGAGTCGGCGGGCCTGAATGAACGTGGGTCGTCGCACGAGATGCATGGTGGGAGAGAGCACTTGGTAGGACTGAGCGACATATGCTAGCCTGGGCACATCCTCAATTTGGCGGGGACATCGCTGGCCGACCGGAGGGAGCCTGCACTGATCATGGCTTGTCGTGGTCGTCGTCTATGTCCCTGCCCAGGTATTTCGCCTCTAGCCAGTTCCCCCAGCACGCAAAGTCATTGGCAAGGCCGCTGCCGTGCTCGACCTCGAGCGCGGTCTTCACGAGCGGGCCCACCGGAGGTTCCGTGTACAGGCGCTCCAGGATCGCCTCCGTCGACACTCCTGTTAACAACAGCAGCTTCGCCCCCGGTGCAAGCAGCAGCTGAAGCGCTTCGATCGCCTTCGCGTTCGTGTCCTGCCGTTCAGTGTTAGCGCCCCCGATCACCCCGATCACCCCCTCGTACTCTACTCAAAAGGCCATACGCACCTCATTCAAGAACGGCGGATCCACAACCGCTACGTCCACCTTCCCCCTTATGCTCGACGGCAGCTTCTCCGGCTCGTTCAGGTCGTACCGCACATACTGCTCGCGCCCCAGCAGCTCAAACCGCGGGTCGAATTCCAGCAAGCGCGCCCCCTCGTGCGCATACTCGTGCTGGAAGCCCACGTACGCGGTCGGGCAGCACATGAACGCAATCGTCGACGAGGGCTGGACGAGTCCATGGATCGCCTGCGCGAGCCGGCGGGCGAAGCGCGCGCTGTACCTGGAGGAAGGGGTGATCGGGCGCGTTAGCACCCCGCAAGGCCGCATGCGGAACAAGGCGCACCAAAACTGGCTCAGCTGCCAATCCTCGCCGAATGCGGCCTGGTACTCGTCCACGGACATCATTTTGGGTCTGGGCGGGGTGGCGGGGGTGGAGTCGTCTTCACCCTCGGCGTCCTCGTCGTCGCTAGTGGTGAGACTAGCGGTGGCGAGCGCGAGCTCGTTGAGGCGGGCCTCCTCCTGCGCTTTGGTGGAGAGGAAGTCATCGAGGAGGGCGAGGGTGCTCGTGTCGAGGGTCGGCGGGGAGCTGGAGCAGGTTGTGGTGGGGGATGGGGGATCTCTGAGCTCAGGGAACTCGGCGAACATGATGACGGAAAAGAAATAGAATAGGGGACCGGTGCCAAATGCACAAATCAGGCTGAAAACTGATCATCATGATCACCCCGCCAAGTCTCAAAGCGCAAGCGCCCACTCCAGCAGTCAGCTAGCCATAAAGCGAGCACCAGCACCGCACTCGTCAAGAATCGTTCCATGAGACTCGCATTAGAAGTCGTTAGAGGAATATAACATGAAGTGGTACATGGATATGCTGTAAGCCGGTATGCAAACGACGTGAGAGTTGAAGTGGTCAAGGAAAGGGATATATAAACAACAGGCTGAGCGAGCGACCAACAGCAACCGAGAAACATATTATGTAGAGCGAAGAGAAAGTGGGTAGCAAAAGAAGCAGGGCAGCAACGCGAACCAGTACGCGGTCTTCAGGCTCCAGACGGCGCACCTCAGAACCTCCGCGGCGCCCCAACTAAGCCCTCGATCGACTGGTGCTCGAGGTCGTTGCGCGCCTTCAGGATTGCCGCGTGCATCTCCTTCATCGCATTTCCGAGCTTGACGCCGAAGCGACTCAGGATGTCCCGCTGCCACGCGTCGTACTTCGCGTTCACGCGCGCCTGCACCTGCTCGTAGTCGATCACGCACACGCCGAACGACTTCTGCGTGTCCGACGTGTCGAACGTCGAGCGCGCCTTCTTGATCTCGGTGAGCAGCTGCTGCCAGTTCGCGAGCGAGTCGCCGAGGCGGTTGAAGACGTATTCGGCTTCGAGGTCCCAGAGGGACTGGAACTGGAGCCACTTGGCGACGTAGTCGCGCAGCTGCTGCACCTTCTGCTCAATGAGCGCGAAGGGGCGTTCCAGGACGCCGTTGTCCGGGAAGCGCGTTAGCTACAGCGATGTCAGAGTGTACATCATCAACAACATTTCAAGCACGTACAAGTGACGTGTATGTCGTCTCTGTTGCATTCGCGCCAGCGATCTGCAACCCAATCTCGTATCGAGAGCTCTGTATACGCCGTAACCTACAGACGACGCCTGGTAAAAGGTTAGAATCATCAAAGATTTACGAGGCACCGCTCAACACTTACCGAGCCACTCGTGCAGCTGCGCTATCCAGCTTGCGCGCGCGTATTCTATTGGTGGGTCCAAGAAAATGACTTGGTTCTGTATCCTTATCTCATGGACAATAGGCTTGATCGTCATGTTGCCCTCGAGGAACTGAATAGAAGATCGCCGTCAGTTTGATGCTTCGACAGGCACATGAACCCTACATACCTTCTCTTCCTTGAACCCTCGCCGATCTCTCCGCTTGTTCGTAATGTCCCGCAAGGGAGGTAGGGCGCGCTCCGTGTCGTCCTGCCGGTCGAATTCGGAGCACCATACCTGAATGATCTGCGTGAGCCGTTGCAAGAGGATGCTTTCTATCCGCTTGTCGAGCTCGGCGACCCAGTGCTCGAGGTTTGCGTAGCCCTCGAGGTTCAGGCGATCAATCTGCGCACGTAGAGGTCAGACATTGAGGAGACGATAAAGTAGATCATAGCACGCACAGCAGCCTGGACCTTGCTGAGCAATTCTGAGAAGGCCTCAGTGGTATATGGACATGTCCCAAGATCCTCAACCGCGCGCAGCATATCCTTGTACAAGTCGATTACACTGTTCGTCTTGTCCTGCAACATCGACACCACACTTGCGAACTCCCGCACGAACTGGATGTGCCGGTTGTCGCGCGCGTCCGGGCCCGACATGTAGCGTGAGGTGTCGTACTGGTTCACGAAATGGTCCCAGCGGATGTTCATGCCTGCCAATGATCAGCACGTTGTTGTCGACCCCTCAGCGCATCTTGCTCACCCTTCGAAATCATGCGCTGAGATTCATTCCTATACTCTGCCACCAGCCACTCGATCCCCTTGTTGTTCTCCACCAAGTCCAACGTCTGCCCATACGTCCTCACCGTCTCCATCAAGCTCACCGCATGCGGGTACACCCGCTTCGCGTCCTTCGCCATGTTCGTGATCGCGTGCGGCACCTGGAAGCCCAGCCACAGGATGTTCCGCACCTCCTTGAACAACGTGATGATCTGCGGGTCGAAGTTCACCGCGAGCTGGAAGCCGCCGCCACGCAGTTTGAGGATCTCGAACAGCCGCCCGTCGACGCCCATGTTGCGCCGGTTGATGTCGTGCAGCCAGGCGTCGTAGACGGGGCGCGTGTCGAGCTTCTTGCGGAAGGCGTTGGACTCAGCTTGCAGCTTTTGGCCCTCGGCGTATAGCTCCCAGCCTTTGCCGAGGACGTCTTCGACACGCTTCATGTAGGTGAGAAGCTGCCGCTCGATTTGGCGTGCCCAGATGATGGCGCCTGCGATGGGTGGCAAGTCGCGCATTTGGGACATGTGGTAGGCTTCTGAGTTCCGGTATTGGGTTTTGAACTGAGGCTAAGGTCAGTAGCAAATCCTAGCGGGGAACAAGTTCACTAGCCTTGTCATGGAGATGCTTGATATCCTCCTTCACGGAATCAATGAGCTGCGTCTGATACTCTTGGATAGCACCACGAATCTGATGTGAGGGTCAGCACAAAGCGACATTTCGTGAATAATATAACGTACCTTCGGGCGAACGAACAGAGCATTGAACTTTGAGAACACGCGGAACATCTCGTTGGCGTTTCTTGCAGTCCCTAGCCTGTCTCGCAATCGCGCAATGATTTGGTTCTCCACACGAGAGACGCGTTCATTGTACGCGTTCTCGGCGGCTACCCAAATTTCGGTCCCCTCTGTACAAAGAGTCAGTCAATATTCTCGTGAATGGTTGCGGTCAATAAACGCACCAACAGACACATCCAGGACGTCTATCCGCTTGATCACCTCATACGCTTCCTTCACTTCCTCCTCCATGTCCATACCGCCCGCGCCGCCGACCTCCGCGCCAAGGCCCTTTGTCGGCCCCGTCATCACGGCCAGCTGCTCGTGCTGCTTACGCCAATCGCGAAGATAGCGCACACGCTCCTGCAGCTTCCCATGCGCCGGAACGACCTTGATTGGAATGAAGCGCTCCGACCGCTTGCGCGTCACCTCACGCGCGACGTTAGTGAACTCCTTGATGTGCTCGTCCCACGTGCGGAAGATGTCCATCGTCTGCCCGAGGAGGCGGTCGAACGTCTCGTACGGCGTATACGCGAGGCGGTGCGAGGTGAGGATGCGCAGCAGCTGGTCGTTGAAGTCGCGCGAGATGGCCTCGACGAGCGGAAGCGCGCGGCGAATGGGGTAGGGGGACAGTTTCAGCTTGCGGTTGATGTGGTTGAAGATGAGGTTGAGCGACTCCTGGATCTTGTCGAGGTCGGTGGCGGAGAGGAGCTCGTTCAGGGGGAAGTCCTTCATCAGCTGGTTGTACTTGTGCACCAGGTCCGTCGCGTCTTTGAGGCCGGTGTCGGCGATGAAGGAGACGGTGGCGTGGAAGCGCTTGGCGTTGCGCAAGCAGTCCATGACCATGTTGACGGCCTCGCTGCGTAGTTGCGCCTCGATACCCTCCAAGGCGCGCTCAAGCGACAGCCAAAAGTTGATCTCCTGCGACGCGGTGCCGGATGCGACGTCCCGATTAAGCTTCGTGACGCCTTGGATCGCCTTGATCCACGAGTTGACATTGGCGTGTAGCGAGTTGAGGAAGGAACTGTCGTTGAGCAGCTTGGGTGGGATGAAGGAGATATTTGGACGCGCGCCCGCTGCCTCGGCCTGCTCAACCGCGCGCTGGATGACCGGGTGGATGACGAGGTGCGTCTCGGGAATCTCGACGTTCTGCTGAAGATGCAGCAGCGATAGCTCGAGCTCGGCAAACTTCTTCTTCGTCATCGGGATGCCCATCTTTGCGTCGCCACCCTCCTTGTTCGCGCCGCGCGCGCCGACGAAGGCGTCGAAGTACGGCTTGACTGCATGACTGACAACGGCGTGTAGACTCTCGTATGGTGTTTCCTCGCCGCCAAAGAGGTTTAGAATGTGCAGCTGGGTGACAAGCGGCGCGGTTGGATCGAGCGTTTGACTGCGCTTGATGATGGCGAGGGTGAGGACATGGCTCGGATGGTAGGAGAGATGGGGCGTCAGCTCATATGTGAAGTTGTTGTAGGCCTCCGCTGGACGTAGGTGAGCATCTGAGCTTGCTGGTTGGCTGCATACGCACTGTCGACCGGTCCTTCCCTCGCCTTCACGACGTATATCACGTTCGCGCCCTCGGCTGCAAACTTTGATACCTTCTCCTCATACTCGCTATCGAACAGAATGTCGAGCTCCGCCGGATCCGCGCCGGTCAATGGGGGAAGCAGCGCGAGCAGGTACCCGCGGAAGAGCTCAGGGTCGAAATTAGATGGCGGCGGTGGCGGGGCGGAGGGATCGGGCGTTGGGGGAGAGTCGTGGATGCCATTCGAGTGCCCGTTCAGCCCGTCGCGCTGGGGCGATTCCATAGCAAAGGACAAGGGATTTTCGCGGGAGTCGTCGCGTGCTCGTCGTGCTCGTGTTCACTGCCGCGTAAGTTGGCGCCAGCGCGTCCGGGTCGCGGCCGAAGGAGGAAGAAAACCTGTCGCCGCCGGGTTTGCGCGACTTTACCAGGCGGACCTGGGCTTCGTGAGTGATGGAGAATGTCAAGGAGACCCTTGCTAGAAGATACAGACAGTGGGCGCGTAAAGCAAGATGAAATATGCGAACCATCACACGCAATGCGCGTTCGGCGTTTGCCGGCCATTGTTGAACGGCCTTTCGTAAACAATTTGTGGCACCGGAAAGGTACTTCCTTATGCATGTGTATATGCAGCGAGTAGGAGGGCAGATACATCGCACATCAAGGGGATACCAATAGCCACCTTGGTTCAAACGTAACTTAACATACTTCCTCACTCAATCGCGCTCGTTTGACCACGAACAATGGGAAGCATGGCATTCCTACTGTACAGACGATGGTCCACATAAACGTGAGTATGATTCCGAGAACTAGAGTAGCAAAGATGTATGATACAGTGATGAGAAGATAGCGGTAACTTACTATGCTTGGATAGAATATATATCGTGGTTGACTAAACGTATGTATGGCCCACCGAAAGCAAGGAGCAGTGCTCTGCTCCATTGTCCCAACTCCTCCTTCAACGACGAAGGAACTACTCCCCCGATTGGAGCCCCAAGTGGTGCACTCGTCGCAGCCTCGTCCTCCTCCATCTCCTACAGCATCCCCTTCGCATCCATCTCGGCGGCGGCTCCGTCCCAATCGAACGAGGTGTCCGCCTCCACGGGCGGAGAAGAGTCCCGCTTGGGTGCACGCTTCTTCGCAAGAGGCTTGTCATCCTCCTCCTCCTCGCTGTCGGGTACTTCCTCCAAAGTCAAGGGCGGTCGGCCCGAGCGACACTTCGCGGCTGGAACCTTGGTGGGGGAGGAGTTCTTCCTAGCAGAAGATGGGGTCGCCTTGGACGATGCCGTCGGTGCTCCGTTTGCTGAAAACCCACCAGACGCCGGCTTCCCAGCCTTCCCCTGCGGATGCGCTGTGGGCGGTACGCGATTCGCATCCGCGTTGGGGGTCTGCGACGCCATGAGGGGTGGGCGGAAGGGTCGCGGGTGCGCCCTGTCTTTGTCCTTATCCGACGCAGGCTTCTCCAGCTGCGTTCGTCGTGCGGGCCGCATACCGAGCTGTTTGCGTTGCGAGAGCAGCGGGGTTTGCGAGGAGAAGGCTGATCCTTGAGAGGTGAAGGCAGGCGTATGCGCGAGGATCGTAGGGGAAGGTTGGTAGCCGATATTCTCATCGGGCTCGACGCGTCGGCGTTTGGCTTGGGGTTCGGCACCCTTCTGCGGAGATGGTGGGGAATGGCTCAGCGCAGCGTTCTGGGGATTGGGTGCTGCGAATGGGGGAGGTTGCGGCGCAGCGTGCGGAGGATGTTGGAACACAGCGGGCGACGAGGACTTGTGCGCAGCTGGTGGGGGAGGGAGGGGCAGAGCTCCTTCTACGCCATTATTGAGAGAGGTCGTTCGCGAAGGTGCCGGTGTTGGAAGGCTGGACGCGTTCAATCGTGAATCCTTCCTCGCCAACGCATTAACCCTTCCCGCAACTTGTGGACACGGCACGGGAGGAGGCAGGTCGACCTCCATCGGCGCATCTCCCTGCGCTACCTTCTCCACCGCCTTCCCCTTCCCCCTCTTCCCCATCGGCCTCCCATACTTGTCCACCGCGAACCCTATGTCGATCGCGCGTGCCTTCATCGACGTGAGGGGCCGCCCACTCTCCTGCGCATGTCGGATGATGCGCGAGTCGATGGCGAGCATCGTCGACGCGGCGTTCGTATTCACCCGCTGCACGAGATCGTCGAGCGCGGCGGGTGGCGGGCGGGGTTGGTCATTGTGCGGGGTGGCCGTGGATGTTGAGGTCACGGATGAGCGGGAGGTGGATCGGCTGAGGTTGCGGGAAGTAGGGGGTCGGGTCGTGATTGGTGCGGGAGCGTTGCTTGTGGAGGCCAACGCCTGCGTGGAGGGCGGAGACGCGTTCCATAGCGCGTTCGCTTTGCCCTTCGAGGCTTTGGACGAGCCGCGTCCAGCTGCAAAGAGAGGCTCAGTACGTCTCCGTGTTCGCGTGCATCGTGTACGCACCATCTACCTCCTTCCCAAACAAAGTCTGCATCGTCGGCATCTGCGAGCTCATCCAGGCCGGCTCGCACATGATCTCGACGGGTTCTCCCATATCCATGGGCACGTCCGGAGGGTCCATCTCCATACGTCTCGAGGACCCTGTACTCCTCGAGCACTCCTTACTCCCTGAAGACTTGCTACTCCTCGAAACCTCCTTGCCCTTCGACGACGCCCCGCCCATCGTCGGTGGCGGCATTGCTAGGTTCGCGGCCGCGGCCTGCGCCGGCGGCGGCTTCTTGAGGCGCGACATGCATAGATAGCGCGCTGGTTGGGCAGCGAGCAGTGAGCGTCGGTGCGACGCGAACGCAGGTCGAAGAGAAGGAATGCGTAGAAAACCCAGGTCGAGCAGAGTGCATCACATGATCGCGAATCGGCAAATGCCGTTTGATGTTCGAGGAACGGAACCTCCTCATTGAGAAGGGCGCGAGCAAGCGAATTTGCTTCGTTCACGATAGCGCAGGCAAGTCCTCTTTCTAACTGTCTGTAAGACGGAATTACTGAAACCTGCCCTGCAGCTCTTTATCGTGCCAGGGGTACGGGAAGCAGCTCCCGAAAAGGCGGTTGTCGGTGCGCAAGCGACGGAAAGGTGCAGCTATTTTGCCGTCCATATCGTCGCTCAGCTGCAGCTTGCCGTAAGCCATGGGGTCCTCCTATTATCAGAAGCACGCTAAGTCACCAGAGAACAATAAGGAAGTACCAGAACTGATCGGTGACCACTGTCCATTGACGGCCGTAAAGGATAACTCCTTTTAGGGAAACAATGGGATCACTGACATATAAGCGCGCGGTCAGGCGCTTCTTTCCCTCCCACATCTCTTCGTGAACGCTCAGGACGCATTATCGCCCAACGCGAATTCCTCATACTCAACCTATTCCTCTACTTCGAAGCCCAAAGATGCTCTTTGAATTGTTCCTCCTCGCACTCCGCGCCGCGAACGTCGCCACATTTGTGTACGACGCGTACCATTGGTATTACGACTACATTCCTGTCGTCAGGAAGGTATGGGGATACTATGGCATTGACGCCATCGTCGCCATTGTCTGCCTCGTAGTCAGTCGCCTTGCGCTTTGGTGGCGATACCTGCTCATGACTTCCCATACTAGATGGTGTTCAAGCACTGTACTGCCCGAGGCCGAAACGTCTGCCGCTTTGCGTATCATTACTACGTGCGCGATCAACTCATGCCTTCGAGAATCTGTCGCTGAACACTTACTCCCAGGCCGCCCGACACTTCCCCAAGGCCGCTCGGACGGAGGTCCTCCAACGCCTAGCCGTCAGCGCCTCCGCCGTCTCCCTCGCACACACCCAGTTCTTTGCATGCACCGTCGCCTTCCAAGCCGTCGTCCTCATTGTATGTGATGCATGCTGCTCGTCTTCGCAAATTGAAACGCCTTGAATGTCCTGACCTCCTCCCCAGTTGGACTCCAACTCCGCCTTCTACGACCTCGGCTACATCTGCGGCGCCTTCGCCTGCTTCACCTGGGGCTTCACCTCCACGCTCGTCGAGTTCCTCTACAAGTTCGTCTACGAGTTCTTCCGCCTCCTCTTCACGCGTCCAACCGCGTTGTTCACTCGCGGCGACCTTATCGCGTTGGCCGCTGGGTGCAGCTTCTGGGTAAGTGGCTTCTCGATGGGAAAAACAGCACGAGTGATGGGGTTGATGCGTTCTCTAGGCTTTTGCCGTCCACGTCAGCACGGGCCCTCAGCGCCAATGAAGACCCAACTACTACGAGTATACTGCATGACGACCTTGGGCCTTTCCCAATACCCACCCCCTCATCATTGCCTCGTCACGCCAACCTACCGGTACGCCAGTCTTGCTTTCCAGCCTCCATTCTCATCACTGACAGTGACGGCAGCTCTAACCTCATCGGTTCAAACTTCAGGAAGACACCCTGCCTCTTCAACCTTTTCGTCGCGAGCGACGGTTGTGGCTTCACGTTGCTCGTGATGAGTTGACGGCCCACCTTTGGCCGTCGTACAGCTCCCATGCACCAAGACCGAATAAGTGCCAATTTCTCTCGCTCCTCGGCGCGCCGACATCAACAGCCTGCGCTTCGCACCTCACGGTGCAAGCTCAATGTCGGGCGTAAACCCGGTGCAGACGCCTCTACACCCACCACCCTCCATGGTGGCCTGCGGGGCCAATGTGATCAGTGAGTACCCTTCACCAGCTTTCAGCGGCTCGTGACTGGCCCCGGTAGAGAAGCACTCAGATCCATTGAAATCCCAGTGCGACTATCCTCGTCTCTACGCCAGTTGGCAAATGGAGCTCGCCGGTCAGGCAGCTCTATCCGACGTCTCGAACTCCCGACGTCCCTCCCAAACGAACCGCGCGTCTCGCGCTGCACCTGCGGCAATTCTGCTGCAGTGGAGGCTGTTTCCAATTCCCTTCATCGTCGCCCCGTTCCAGCATATTTCGCCGTTCTGTAGCTCGGATCTTTTGTTCCTTGCTTTATATAATAGTGTAGTACTTGTACGTCCGAATCGTCGATAATACCCTCTTGCCTCTGGGCTAGCGTGCTAGCCACCAAGCCCCCCCATCCTCGACAACCAAACCTGCTCCGGCATAATGGATCATGCCACCTCAGGCATAGTGGAACATGCCTCCTCCGGCGTAAGCGCCACCGCCGTCCCCAGCGTCGCCTCCTGCTGCTTCACCTTCTCCCGCGCCAGCCTGCCCTTCCCCCTCGCTCGGTCGACCTCCAACCATCGCGCCCGCGCCTCCTCGAAGATCGTCAAATCCCCATCGTACTCGGCCTCGAAGCGGTCGACCTGGCGGGCAAAGGAGTCGGTGTCCAAGGAACTACTCCCCTCACCACTCAGCACCCGCCGCACGCCAGCAAAGAACGCATCCAGGACAGCGAGGTTATGCACCACAAGCAAGGAATGCGCGCTCATCTCGTGCGTGTGCAAAAGGTGATGCAGATATGCGCGCGTATACGACGGAAGACGGGCACCCGCGTTAGGCGCCGGCTCGTCCATCCCGCTGTGCACAATGCGCGTGGTGGGGACGTGGGGAGCGCAGGCGATACATGGGCAACTCAGCAGGTCGGAGAAGGCGGAGAAGTCATGCGCGTAGGCCTCGTCGTAGAGGTTGTGGCCTATCGCTCGCTGTCCGCGGCCGCCATCTGTAGGCCGTTCGGGACCCTCCGGAGAAAGACGTCCCTCGGGCGCAGGGAAGGTGAAGTCGAGCGCGATGCCCACATCTGCGGCACGCTGGGCCCAGTGTGCGTCGAAGAGGTCGATGCCGACGCGCTGGATGAGCCGGAGCATCTCTTGAGGAGACAGCGACGAGTGGGCTATGCGAGGTTTGCTTGACGGTAGCCTCTCCAGGGATGCGCTCAGTAATGGCGCGAGATCCGGGCGTAAGGCAGAGGCGGCTTGTATCGGTGCTGCTGAAGCGTCAAAGGGTGCCGCTAGTGCATCAGGCCCACGTCCCTTCCCATGCTTCTCGTCCTCCGCTGCCACAGCAAGCCGCAAAGGCTCCAAGTCGAAGACATATCCCAACAACCCATCGTCGATGCACTTATGTGGTGCAATCGCCTCCGCCTCCTTGTCATAAAGCTCCTCCCTCAGGTTATCCGCAAACGCCCTCCTCGCAGCCGTGCTCGCCCCGCCCGCCATCTGCACCAGCACATTCATCCTGGCCAGGTCAGGCGCGAGCAGCTGCGCCGCCCACTGCGCAGTTCTCGCGATGCTCTTCTCCTGGCGCTTCTGCGAGTGCGGCGGGGCTGTGAAGGGGATATCCGGCAGCGCGAGTACGATGTCCGGTGAACAGGTGGTTACATATCCTTTCCACTGCGCTGGAGTCACCTGGTGGGGTACATGGTAGGGAACGTCGGTGGGGGGTGCAGGGCGAGGCGGGTGGGCAGAGCACGCACCCTGCGCACACCGCGGACACAGCGGGCGGTCACGTATTCGGCCGTGTTTGGCGGCATTTCGCGCGCGTCGTGGGGGTCCCTGAGGGCCATAGAGACGATATGCCTTTCGGAGGGGAAGCCGAGAAAGGCATGAAGGGGATCGGCGCCTTTCTGCAGCGTTGGGACTGGAGGTACATGCTCTAAGCTGCGAACTGTTCAGCCTCAATTATATATCAGCAGTCAATAGGTACTCACAAGCTCTCAAAGGGTACGTGAACCCATCGAACTGCCTCCGACCCGCGCGCATGATCCCTCGAAAGATGGGGAACGACACCGCGGCTGGTCATGGCGATGAGTCCAGGAGTTGCGATTTCGACTGCATTGTTATCTAGGTTGCTCTTGCTTCTTTTCACGTAAATGCCGAGCCGTGGTCCTAAAATTTCCCCTCGCTTGAGCAATGTGAACTCAACAGCTGCGGGGGCCGCCATGATGGTGGTGGTGATCGAGGACAAGCGCCGTTTTGATAAGCGCCGGTGCATCACGTGGAAAGTTCGACTTTGTGACAGTCACACAGATTCAAAGGCGAGTGTCGAGGACTTGCTGTCTGCTCGCTGAAGGAGGTATGCAACGAAGAGAATGGGACATATCATACAACATAAAACATAGAAGCTACAAACTACCATTGTCCGCATCCCACGTCGCCCTGTTACTCACAAACTCCTCCCCTCCGCCCCTCCTCATCTCAACCGCAGTCACGCTCCTCGACATCCCCTTGCTGGCCACGATTGGCAACGGCGGTGCCCCTCCATCCAGAGGCCGTGACCGCTTGTGCGCCGCCCCCGCCCCCTCGCCCCTCAGCGCCTCCGCTCGTCGATGATGCCTCCCAAGCGATGCGGACGCCGTCTTCGCCTGCACCCGGTTCGTACTTGCGCTCTTCACCATCCGCGGCGCGCTCGCCTCCATCCTCATCGGCGCCCTCCCAGGCGACTGATTACCCCGCAGCACCCTTTCCGCACTCGCCTTCTCCCTCAACCGCGCCACTCCAGCCGCCGTCTGCAGCGCCGCCGGGCCCGAGATATCCTCCTTCGATATCACGCGTACCCGCCCCCTCTCGCTTGCACCACTCCCTAGCCTCATGCGTAACCGAGGCAAACGAGACGGCGAGGTCGTCAAGCTGGTCGACGATTGCGTCGTAGGGAAAGCGCTTGACTTTCCAGGCAACGAGCTCGGCGCCCACGCCTCCGACAGCGACGAGTCCATGGTCATCGAGTGCCCGATTGGCCGCCGCCAAGGCAGCTCCGACACCGTCCCAGCCGTCGTCGCCGCAGATAGCCCCGACTTCGTCGCCGTCATCCTCGACCGCAGGGGCGCGAAGTGCGCCGCATTCGACGACAGCACACCAAACTCTCCTTCATAATCATTCTGCACCTCCGACCGCGACGGCGGCAGCCTCGACACCGGACGCGATGACAAGCCAGACGCCTCTGAGTGCGAGAGCTTTATCCCCGACACCCTGGAGAACTTAGTCCCTGGCGCCTTCGAGTGCGACGCCGGTGGTGTGCGCTCGCTCAACGACTGCCCACTAGCCAGCGAGACCAACGACCTCGCACTCGATAGCGTCGACATCGTCTTCGCGCTGAGCGACGCCACGAAGCGCTCCAGCGACTTTAGCGCGCGCACCGTCTTCGCGCGGGAGGCCTCTTCATGATCTTTCCGAGACGTCTCTTCCTGATCTTCACGAGGCGATCCTTCCTGACCTCTACGAGGCACCTCTTCGTATTCGCCTCGCGGCAGTTCAGGTTCCCGAGGCGAGTCCGCTTCCGTCGGGTCGTACATGTTCTTTGAATTGGCTGCAGGCGCCGAAGCCGATGACGCTAGCCCAGGCCCTGGCGGCGCTGAGGCGGCGAGGAAGTTCGGGTCCCGAGGGAAGGCGGTAGGGTCCCGAGGAAAGGCAGGGTCTAGGGGACTGCTAGCCGGCGTCGTCCTCGTCGAGTTCGTCTGCAGCATCGAGTCGTGCGCCGCTCGAATGTCCACCCGCATTGAGGACGCGTCGCGTATGGTTGAGACATCGCGCGTCGTGCCGTACGACTTCTCCGGCAACGCAGATGCCTGGGAAGAAGGTGATTGGTGCCTCCGTCGCGTGGGACTCGCCAGAGGTTTCGGCTTCCCAATTGAAGGCGTATCCTGCGTAACGAGGGTCAGCGACTATACGGAAGCGGAGGGCCCGTAGCGCACAGAGACTGTAACATCAATCCGGGAGAGGAGGCGCATGATGATGAGTAGGGCAACGAGGATGACGGTCAAAAACAAGGAGCCAAAAGCGCGAAAAGCGCCAAACACTAGCAGCAGTTGAAAGCGGTGCTAAGATAGATGGAAAGCAACTAGTGATGCCAGACCGATCTGGATGAGGGTTTTGTGCGGACAGCCAAGTCTAAGCACAGTGGACAGCCCAGCCCAAGGACCGGACCAACGACGACAGGACGTCAAGCGAGATGAACGGTGAGGACAAGGACGGCGCTAAAGGGACAGGAGCATGCGAAGGTTGACATGGCACGTGGGAAAGAGAAGGGTGCAAGGCTGAATGGCAAGAATTCAAGGTTGGACGGCGAGAACGCAAGATTGAAGAGAAAAAGAGTGGAAACGAAGATGAGACGAAAGAGACATACAATGGGTATTGGTCGTTGGTCAACCAGTGAAGCGCTGCGCTTATGAGTGACCGAGCGATATGGCGTCCCGGCAGGGTTCAAAGCTTGTCGCCCCTCCTTCGCCCTATCGACGCCCTCCTTTGCGCCATCCGTGGGCACAGCGACACCCTCCTCGCCCCGTGCCCTCTTCCGGCCCACCTCATCGACACCCGCGTGCCTAGACGCACTGCGGGCCCGCCGACCCTTGGACCACGACCTTGATACGCTGAGCGGTCTCCTGGCGCTCGTGCCGTCCGGCTGCCTCTCTCCCGCCGACACGCCGCGCCCTACGCCAGTCGAAGAGACCCGTGCTACTCCTGCGGAGGTGCTCCGCCTCTTCCTAGTCCGCGACTGACTCTGGCTTCGACTGCGAGTGCTGGGGAAGGTCATGCGCTCTCGGTTTGCTGCAGAGCCCAAAGCCCTCTCCCGACTCCTCGACGCCGATGCGCCCATACGCTCCCGGCTCCTAGCAGACGAGAGACTGCCGAGCGAGATACGTTCGCGCGACCTGCTTGCACGCATCTCCTCATGGAAGACCTGACTTGCGAGCGGCGGGAGCGTGGGCTTGGTGGCAGATACATCGGATTTCGCAGAAGGTATGGCGGGGTTGAAAGAAGCTACACCGGGCTTGGTCGAAGGTTGGCCGGGCTTGCGGGTCAAGAGGGCGGGAGTAGCAGTCGAGACGGCAGACCTAGGTAAAGGCGGAACGGGAGGTCGAGACTCGAGTGACGGGTCGATACGTCCTCGGGATGACGAAGGTGTAGGTATACGGGTCGATGAGGCGGCTTCGTTAGATGGCGATGATCGCAACACCGAAATAGAGGACGTCGATGCTGAGAGGACAACCCTCCCCGAAGGGCTGACGGGAAGCGGCAAACGACTTGGTGCCAGTGGCTTCCCCCGCTCGACATCGACGACCTTCGCGACCTGCAATTCGGTCACCTCCACAACTACCCCTGCTTTCACCTCGTCAGCTTCAGCCACTGCATCCCCCCCAACCTCCTCTATCTCATCTTCCCCCCTCCTTCCAAGCCCCCAGCTCGGCGCATCGAACCTAAAAGGATCGTCTGCCACACTCGCCATCGTACTCGTCGAAGGCCCCGCCGTCACCGCCCCTTCCTCCATTTCTCCGTCACCTCCCTTCACACCCCCACTCTCTCCCATCCACCCCTCACCCGCCGACACGGCGCTCAACGACGGCATCACCGCCCCCTCCACATCTACGCCGCACGCCTCCGCCCTCTGCTTCCAATACTTCGTCATTCTCCTTGCCTGCCGCGCCGCCCGCCGGATTCTCAGCGCCTCCTCGAGCTCGCGCGTATACGCCGCCTCCGTCGGCTCTCCGTGCACAATGGGAAGGATCTCCGCCCACGGAGATGTGGGGTTCGCCGCTGCAGTGCGAGCGTTCGAAGCCAGGACGGCGACGAGGTCTGCATGTGTGGCAGCTTCGTAGATAGGTGCGGCGCGCGGGTTGCTGCGCGCCTTATCGAGGTCGAGGTCGCGGAGGGCTTGCGCAAAGGTTCGAAGGCGAGCGAGGCGCGAGACGACAGTGTGCTTGCGGCGTTGGATATCTTCATCAAGTTCGCGAAGGTTTTGCTGGGTGTCGAGGTGTTCGGTCCGTTGCGCAGAGAGCTCGAAAGTGGTGTCCTTGATAGCTTGCTCGAGGTCCAGGTTCGTAGTACGCAGAGCGGTGTTGCGAGACTCGAGTGCTTCAATTTGTGAGCGTACTTCGGAGATGGCTTCCGGAGTGGGCGAAGGCGGTTGTTCGGGTTCTGGCGGGCTCGTAGGTGTACCAAGAGTGAAGTTGTGTAAAAGGGCGGCAAAGTCCGGCGAGACGGGAGGATCGGCTAAGACAATTGGAGGCGCAAGAATTTGAGCTTCGGGCGGAGACAGAGTCGACGACGGAGGTGGTCGGCTTTCCGGCAGAGGCGAGGGCGCAGTCAGCGTGATCGTGGGCGGCGCATGTAGTGGTGCAGGCGGCGAGAGCGTGATAGCAGGTACAGAGACGAGCGGAGGAAGCGCAGTGGGTCCAGGGAGGTACGGCACTCGGTCGGACACCGCATAAGGCGCGCCTATCTGCGCTCGAAGCGCGTCAGCGGACAAAGACGGCGGGAGATGCTGCTCGCCGGCAGGCAGCGCGGCAGACTCGCTCTTCGCGCGACGGTGCAGAAAGCCGAATTTCTTGAAGAACTTGATCTTCATGCCGACTGAACAAAGCTGTAAAGAGCGACGATAGCGATAACAACGAAAACACGAGAACACAAAGGAGTGACGATGATGGGAGTCGGGAGCAAGTTGAAGATGTGAAAGGCGCCGAGGACGCGCGATCGGGATATGAGCGCGTCGTTCGCACGCTTCCCCACCATGACTTTGTTCGCGCCGGACGTCGCGCTCGACGCACTCCTGCTCGCGACGAGCTACGCGCACGTCCTTCTCGCGCCCTACACGAAGGTTGAAGAGAGCTTCAACCTGCATGCCATTCACGACGTCTTCTTCTTTGGCGCCGATATCAATGCCTATGACCACGTCGTCCATCCCGGCCCCGTTCCCCGCACCTTCATCGCCGCCGCCGGGCTAGGTGCTGTCCTTCGCCCCGTCACTCGCATACTCGGAGATGCAGGCTACCTCACGCGCAAGTCTGACGTGCAGATCGTCGCGCGACTGCTACTAGCGACTCTCGCCTGCGCGCCACTCATGTACCTCCGTCGCACCGTACAACGCGAGTTCGGGCGACTGACGTCCCTGTTCTTCGCCCTTGTATGCATAACCCAGTTCCACATGATGTTTTGGATGTCTCGTACAGTGCCCAACACATATGCCTTTGTACTTGGTGCGTTCCCCCATGCCTTCAGGATGTATGCGCTAACGCGAAGCTGCAGCTACGATGTCTATCGCACTACTCCTCGGAAGACCATCTCCCAAGCGCACTCGACGCGCTATCAATTTACTCACTGTTGGCGGTGTCCTCTTCCGCGCTGAGCTCGCGCTCTTGCTTGCCCCCATCACCCTACATGCTCTTCTATCCGGACGCATATCCTTCCGAACGGCCATATCTACCGGTATACATGCTACAACTGCGAGCCTAGGTATTCTCTACATATTCGTATCGTGCATATACTCACCTGTACCCAGCTCTCACCGTCGCTATAGACACTGCTTTCTGGCAGCCTATCCTCAGCAGCAAAGCCAGCCCCTTCGACTGGTGGACTTCGATATCCCCTATTCAATTTGAGTTACTTTCCTCTTAGATTAATACGGCCGAGCTCATCCCCTCGCAGTCTGCCTCCGCTACCTTGGCGCTGCCCCCGTCTGGCCCGAGCTCGCCAGCATGTACTACAACGTCGTCCTAGGCCGCAGCGCTGACTGGGGTGTACGTCCCCACATACTCCCTCTCACACGCTCACCCTCTCTAACCTTCGACCTTCTTCCTCCTCACAGACCTCCCCCGCCACGCACTACCTCACCGCCCTCCTGCCCAAACTCCTCACCGCCTACCCCCTCGCCTTCATCTCTCTCGGCGACTACCGCGTCCGCGCCCTCCTCCTCCCCCACCTCGCCTTCGTCGCCCTCATGTCCCTGCTCGCGCACAAGGAGTGGCGCTTCGTCATCTACGTATTCCCAGCCGTGAACGTCGGCGCGGCGCGCGCGCTGCGAGGAATGTGAGTGTTCGAGACGCGTGACGTCATGCAAATATTGTGCATGATTTTCACGTGCATGTTGGACTTCGCGCCTTGCTAATGCTTTTCGCAGGGTTTCCTGGCCGAAGAACCCTGCGTTCGGGCGGCTGATGTACCTTATCGCACTCGGTGCTCTTGGTGAGCACTCTAGCGGGAGAAATGTGGGTATCAATCAACTTACGCGTACTTCAGGTCTGAACGCGGCAGCAACAATCTTCGTCTTCGTGCCTTCCTCGATACACAATTATCCAGGCGGAGAAGCGCTTGCACGGCTGCACGAGCTTGTTGACCCCGAAGGTGAGGCTTTTTGACGGATCCTCCTCTGCGCCATTTTATGTACTCACTATGCCACTCAGTTCCAGTCCACGTCCACATCTCCAACTACGCTGCGCAAACCGGCGCGACGCTCTTCCAGCACGAGCGAGCGCCGCCGTACCCGGAATGGGTGGATGACGAAGGTACGTCTACTCAGCTAATGCCATTGACTTCGAGGAACTGTCTGACGAACGACCCTGCCAGATCTCCCCGCCCGCCCCTGGACCTACGACAAGACCGAAGGCGTCACCCTCGCCGCCCTCACGCGCGACGCCCGCATAACGCACGCTATCTCGGAGGAACCGCCTTCGAAGTCCTCAAATATAGTCACGGCAACCTGGGGCGCCGTCGACCCCATCGCCGCCTCTTGGGAAATCCTCGCCGTCATTGAGGCCTTCGACGGATGGGAGTTCGAGAGGCAGATGAGCGCAGAGCTGCTGAGGAAGCCGTGGACAATCTTGCGGATGCGCACGGCGCCCAAGTTGTGGGTATTGCAGAGGCGGTAGGTAGCGAGGATGGAAGGTTTTTTGATTGTTCGCGTACAAGGTAGTGTCCTTGGGTAGCCTGTGTGCATGGCATGACATATAGTGAAAGAGATGTAAGGTAAATGTCCAACTTGGCATATTATAATTGGCCCCGCCTGAATGCCCGCAGAACGTCTTCGTGTGACCATTGACGGTTCTCGCCGTCCTCCTCCTCGTCATCAGAGGCCTCCCACTCGCTGTCCGAGCTATGCACGGAAGATGCACTGTCCTCTTCCACTACTTGCCCATCGTCTTCGTCCCTTGTAGCACCCTCATCGCCACCTTCCTCCGAATGCTCTGAGTCCGATGGGTAGTAGAAGATACTGTCCATGAACTCCTCTTCTTCGTTCTTGTTGGCTAGTCCGTCCTCATCGTCACCTACTCCTCCCTCGTCGCAGTCGTGCTTACCCCGACCCGAACCCTCTTCCAATTCTTCCTGGCATTCCTCAGACTCCTCGCTGGCGCACTGAGACCACGACTCGCCATCCTCGCCTTCAAGCTCATCATCCGTATCCCCGTAATCATCACTATACTCCACGGAATCCGCCCACCACACCCCCTCCGCGTCGTGCCGCACGTGCATACCAGGATACTCGAAGGCCGCACTTGCGCCTGTCCACGCCTCAGGCTTCAAGATCCTCGCCAAATCTCGCGGCAAGCTCCCCACCTCCAGCCACTTCCCCAGCGTACGCATACCGCGGAAATTTGGGAACGCCGCGCGTACCTCCTCCCACTCCCTCGACCCCTCCGGCGCAGCGAAGGTGGGCGCGAAGGCCTCCCAAATACCGGGCTTGCGGATCCCATTCTCATCCAGCATGTAATTCGGGCATCGCCGCCCCGCCGCCCAAACGTCGACCCAGCGCAATGAGGGGTGCGCGCGCGGCACCTGCACATGCCAGGGGACGACGAGATGCACAAGGCGCGGGCAGCCGCCGAGCACGTCCTCAAGCGACCAACTCCTGCCGCTTTCGTCCGCGTCCCGATGTGTTTGGAAGTGCAGGTAGCGCAGCTCGCTGCCGTTGGCCCTAACAAAGGCACTTATCCGCTCCATCGAGCGGTGCGCGTCGAGCCGGATGGTCAGGTTTCTGAGCACGGGCATGCGCCAGTGGCGGATCACTGCATCGAATGCGTCGTCCTTGCCGTAGCCCATGTAGTCGACGCAGGTGAACGTGGCGAGAGCGCAGAACACTACCTCGCTGACCAGTAGCTCTGCCATGGCAGGATGGAGAGTCAGGTTGAGCTCGACGAGGCTGGGTGCGAGATCCGCAACCGTGCGCGTACCTGGACGCAGGGGCGCGTACAGCGGCGCCGTCTTCCAGTATTCCTCCACCAGCCAGGGTTCGCCCTCGGGAACATCAACCTCCTCGCCAGAATACAGGTCCAGGCAGATCTGAACGTCAGATCTCGGCTCGGGGCCCTCCTGCTGCAAAATAGGTAGCAGAACCCCAAAGTTTCCATCGCAGTGCTGCACAAAAGACGCGCGGCGCAGAGAGCAGCACGCGCGCATAATGGCACGCGCCGCATGTGCGTACGCCGCTTCGTGGAATGGGGATACATAGCACGCGAAGGTGAGCTCTCTCACCAGCGCAGCCAGGGACGGCGTCCGCTCGAGCGTCTGGTGCAAGGCGGCGGCCTGGCCGACGGTGCGGAGGGTGATGTTGCCGTAGAAGTACTCGATAGAGGGCCCATACCAAGCGCGGCAGACGAGAGGTAGCGTTGTCTTCATCTTCATGGCAAAAACACGTGCGTCCTCGCGGACCGCATAACCAGGGGAGATCAGGGAGCACGGCGGCACGGCGCGATCGAAGACGAGCTGCAGGATCTCTGGCGAGAGCTTCGAGATGCTGCTTCTGTCTACAAAGCCCAAGAACTCGGCATTCTGGGAGATATGGATGCTTTGTCAGAAGGAGAATAAACCCGATGAAGGATCTCACCGCTCTTTGAGCCATTGTGTGCAGCAAGCGGGGCGCAACGATATCGGATGAAACACCTTTGTGCTCTTGTCCAATGGGTACGTGGGCGATTATTCTTGCACTGACGGTTGTAGACATCACAGCGATACCGCTCGCGAGTCTCAAACTTCGGTCGCAGAAAGCACAAAGGAGAGTGGAAAGGCATCAACGGCAGGCGCCGAGTTGAACAAAGGAAACACCACGTGGCGAGTCACGTTATCACAGCCAAACCTCCGCACCGTCAGAATTCTGGGCTGCCAGCTCATTGCCCGTAGGACTTACAGTACCAGGCCTCACCGGCAGTGCTCAAAAAACTTTTGGGGGTCAGACATGTAGACTGACGGAGATATAAGTCCAAATGCATCAGTACATCGTTGCAGTCGCGTAGAATACAAGGGTAGGTGTGATAGAACGGAACACGAGCGTCCCTCAGCGGCTGACAGGGTATCATACACTGTAGTAAATAAAAAAAGAGGTTAGCGAAAGGAGTTCCCGGGTCAAGTAGAGTAACGCACTTGTCGTCTGTAAATCGCACGAGGGATCAGTGAGCCGACAAATTACCTGAAAGCACAAGAACATACCGTGGTACATGAAGCGAGTCTGACAGATAGGTAAGCGAGGAGACAGGTAGGGCTGCAGGGGATCTGTAGTACCTTCTTCGGGTTATCAGGTGCGTGGCGGACGTATCTGTCGTTGTCTTCGGGTCTAGCGCGCACGATCAGTATCGAGATCATTGGTGGCAAATACGGCTACGTACAGCTCGAGTGACTGCGAATGGATGGTCAGGCATCTTCGTGCAGCCAAAGCCAGGCTTGTGGCGCACCTTGCAGGATGCCAGCATGCTCTGCATGGTCACACAGACTGCCGTAACGCTCAGCACGGGCGACCACTCGTTGCCCAATATCGAGGCACAGATCTGGGAGAGGTAGATGAGCCATTGAGCGCGTCGAGGTAAGGCGGCTGCACGTACATGACCGTTGCTGTAGATGTGCTATGCAGCGAGTGAGCTTAGCGGACAGGGAGGGGAGTGTGGTGGCGCATACCGGGTGCACGGGGGCTTTCCTCGTGTTGTCCACGACGAACTGCACAGCGGGGGCGGAGATCGGGTATTGGCTATCGAAGCGGAACTGGAGGAGGAAAGATTGGTCCTGATGATGATGTTCAGCATTGAGACGCTAGCCACCGCATGAGATGAGGCGCACCTTGTACAGTGATTCACCCATCACCTCGATGCTGAAGATCCACTTCTCAAAGTCATCCGCCTGGACGAGTTTGATTCCTACAACCACGTAGCACAAGGACCATAAAGAGGTGCAGGGGTTGAGCTTCCGTGAGTCCTGCGCTCGGATCGGTATACACAGCATCTCACACTCACCGACAGGGCAGCCACTCATGTGGATCTCGCGGAGCTCCTTCGCCAACCGCTTCGCCGCTATGCTCGACATCCTGGTCTTTATTAAGCTGCACGAGTTCTATGCGCGACCGACAACCAGCGAAGAACTGAAAACGAAACACAGTCGAGATGAGAGAACCAAACAGAGAACAAGGCCCTCGCGCACGCGAACTGCACAAGCCGAGCTTCGACCCGGCCCGGAACACCGCGCGGGGGCCAGCGCCAAGCACGCGTAACTGATGGCAAGCACGCACAAACACAGGCGAGCAAAACTTCGCGTCGATCGCGGACGCGTCTCTTCTTCAACAATGTCATTTTTCCCCTCTCCGCCTTAGAGTCACTTGTGCTCCCGTATCACAGAAGGGTTCTGCAGGCGCTCGTGGAGAGGCAGAGCGACGTAACTGGTCGCGCAAGATTCAGTTGCGTGAGTCGCTCCCCAGCGTCTCGCGCGCGATGGCGGCGCGATACATCTCCTCTACCCTCTATCGACCTCTTTATCTCAGTGTTTCCTCAATGCATGCATCTTTGAACATCCCCCATTGCAGCCCCGGGTCAATCGGATTATCTCAGCAAGCAGAAAATGCCAATCTAGATATTCTGTCTAAACGCCGCCAATATCTCCTCGTGCATCCATTGTACGAGCTCACCGTCACTCGTCCGCTGCGGCCCATCGTCTCTACCTTCTCCAATGCTTGGCTCCGAGTCCGAGTCCACCCATGAGCCGTCCGAGTCCGAGCTGTGTATAGCCGATGTACGATCCTCTTCGTCCTCATCCTCTGATGGATAGTATCTCCCAAGAACGTCGCCTTCGTCATCGAACTTGGAATACTTCAGCGTATCCGAGATCCCCGGGCTGCGATCCCTGTGCCAAACAGGTTGAAGAGGCACAGGTGGTGGGGATTCCCTTGCAAATCTCGACCAGACTTCATCCCTACTATCTTCATCATTACCCACGAACCGTGCGTGCAGATCGCCTCGCCAGACGCGTATGCAAGAGGACAAGAGCATGACTCCAGGGAATTCAAAGACACCGGCGTCCCGAGCGCAAGGTTGCAGAATGCTCTGTATGTCGCGCAGGCAACATAGGGCACAGTCGATGGTACGCATACCTCGGAATGCGGGCAGGCCTGCGGTGGCTTCGTTGACCTCGTCGGCGTCCCCTTCCTCGCGCAGAAATTCGAATCTGCGTCCCCAAATAGACTCGCGCCTTACTTTTGAGGACATCTGGCAGAATTCTGACGGCTCCCAAGTATCGATCCAGCGCAAGGAGAGATGTCCTTGGGGGACCTTAGCATGCGGTGGCAAAACGATATGCTCGAGAAGCGGACAGACGTCAAGGATGGGCTGAATGTCGAACGTGAAGTCGCAACTGTGGTAGTCGTAGTCCGTGCGGATGTGCAAGTAGCGCAGATGTGGACCATTCTCAGCAATGAACGGCTGCATCCAGTTTCCGTCACCAAGCAAGAATGGGACGTTCCTCCACGCCTGCCCCCTCGTGATGCAGCTGATCGTCAGGTTCTCCAGCACCGGCATCCGCCACCCGCGCGCGAGATAGGTGAACGATGACCTGCCCCACTTGTTCACCTCGCAGCTGAACGTGCGAAGGACGGGGAAGTGCAGCTCAACCTGCTGTGCGCTCTCTTCGATGAGCGGCAGCCTCAGCTCGACGAGCTGCGCGGCGAGGTCGACGATCGTGCGCGGATCCACGCGCAGGGTTGCGAAGAGCGGCGCGTTGTGCATCTCGAGGTTTCCGTTGATGAAGACCTCGCACCCCGGGTGGATATCGACGTCCAGATGGGTGATGTGCGCATTATCTGGGACGTCCGGATGCAGGAGGGGGAGCAGCAGCCCAAGGTCGAGATTATTGTACGCGATGAAGGATACGCGCCATAAGTTCTTGCACATCTGCAAGAGCAGGCCCGCATCGTGCGTGTACGCCGCTTCGTGGTGCTTCGCGACATAGCAGGCGAAGGCGAGCGACTTGATCAGCGGTGCGAGAGTCGGCGCCTTTTCTATCGTATCGGCCAGCGCGGCCACTTGCCCGACGCTGCGCAAACCGATGTCGGCGTAGAGTATTCCAATGGAGGCATTGTACCAGGAGTGGCAGACAAGAGGTAGGGTTGTCTTCATCTCCATGGCTTTGAGCCATGGATCCTCGCAGATGGCGTAGCGCGGGCTGATCAAGAACGATGGCGCGACAGCCCGGTCGAAGATGAGTTGTAGGACTTCCGCTGAGAGGTCATTCAACAAGGAGCTCGTTCCTATGTATAGATTGTTGATATATCGGGGAGCACCAAAATCACTCTGGATGTAGGATTGAGACATGCATTCTGGTCAATGAACATAGGCGTCTACCTCGACGTCGCTCGAAGAGGAGCTATGATCCAACATCCTACGGTTATGATGGTGCACTCAAATTACCTTTGCGACTGGCAGTGGAGCTGAGAGCAATTGTACGGGCAAGCCTTTCAGTAGCGATGGTTGCGTCTAACTTGTAAACCTCAACATCCCGTCCATCAAAGGTGCACGTGAACGTTTGACGCGGGAACCACAATTGAGCGCATTCAGCTATGCGGTGGAGCACCATGTGCTCGAGATGTACTGCAGTATAGACTAGGCCGCGTGTTCCTGTAATTCTTCGCTAGTAGACGAGCACAGTAAGTACGAGCTGGAGATCAGCGGTTCGTATAATACCCCAGGGCACGTGATCGGTTAATGAGTGGCGCGCGATAATTATGGGCATCCAACACAACTTGTCTCCCACTTCCATCTGCGTGGCGGTCGATGTCATGCCCGCTCGTACTCTATCTCGAAATGACTCGCAACTAATAACAGGACGAACCTTTCCCGAACGGCTGAAAGGAACGTTGGACGCTATATTTTCTCAGGTGCAGGACAATGTACAGAATCATCAAAAGAACCAAGTCGCATTGTACAAGCTGCACTTCGAAGCGCAAGGCACTGCGAAACTATGTGAAGGGACGAAGAAGCCGCAAAATGGAGAGGATTTCTTTTGCGACGTGTTCATCGAGCGGTTGAGCTACATCCTCGACTATCCTCGAAAGCCACTGTACAACAAGGTCGATCGCCTCGTGCAGTTCATTGGGTCCTACGTGAAGTACATGAACGAGAAAGGTGCGTGGCTGGACACGTCCTCTATCGCAGCAACTGACTGAGGTCGACAGTCAGCGAAGACGCGGAAGCAGACGACGACGACGACACATTCGCCTCCCGCTTCACCGCCGCCTTCATCCGCTACATCCTCCAAGGCTACAAAGCCACCAACAAGGCCGTCCGCGTGCGCGTCGTGCAGATCACCTCCCACGTCATCTCCCATCTCGGCCAGATCGAGCTCGACCTGTACAACGACCTCAAGACGGCCCTCAAGGATCGCGTTCAGGACAAGGACGCGTCCGTGCGCGCGCTCGCCGTCACCTCCCTCTGCAAGATCGTCGACACGGCGACCGAGGACGAAGACTATGACACGGAGGTCGAGGAGCTGTTACTCGACGCGTTAGCCGGCGATCCAGCGGCTGAGGTCCGACGCGCCGTGCTCGTCAACCTTCCCCTCGATGAGCGGCGTCTGGAATTCATTCTTCCACGCTTGCGAGAGCAGGATGCCATTGCAAGGCGTCTGATGTTCACCAAGATTCTCGCATTGGATAGCAAGCCAGACGAGGAGCTTCCCTCGGCACACCCCAGCAAGCTGAGGCCAGAGCAAATCACAGAGATTGTGAAGGCCGGCCTGGAGGATCGGGATGAAACCATACGCGCTGCGGCTGCCCACCTTATGGCCAGTTGGTACGATGAGATGGCCGTCACCAAAGGCAGGGTGAAGGATGAGGACGACGAGAAGCCTATCGCAGCAGTTATCGAAGAGCAACTCGTTACGTTCTTGTCCCTCTTCGACCTCGAGATCGGAGGAGGTGAATTGGCTCGCAGGGCAGTGGAAGCGGTGTTCAAGGCGCGGCCAGAGACGGTCGGCAACCTGCAATTCGACAGTGAGTGCAGTATTGGCCACAATCCTTTGACGTGCTGACATCGTATCAGCTCGAACGTCCGAAGAAGACTTCACTCCCGAGTCTACTCTCCTCATGCGCATCTTCGTCGACTACTGCAAAGTACACGATAGCAGCCGCATCGACGCCGTCATGCCCGAGATCCAAACCCTCGCGACCGTCGTGCAGAAGACTTTCAACTCCCTGATAGAAGATATCGACAACGAGGAGCGGGAGGTGTTCAACGAGGGGCTTGGCACTGCGAAGTACTCCAAGATGCTCATCATCGACCAAGTCCTGCACACAATCACGCTCATGTCGATTGATCACTACGGCGGGCTTAGGACCTCGGCTCTCATGAGTGCGTCGTTATATTTGTTGTGCGTCTCGTGGATAAGTATTGACGATGCGCGCAGGACGAATGTTGGAACATCCATTACTACCTAGCGAACTGATACCGCGGTGCCTCGACGTGTTGAGGGAGGTCATTCAGAACGAGCGAGATCTGATCATGATGGTCGTCGAAATCATGGACGAACTGCGTGACCCGGCCGCCAAGCGCGCTGCAGATGGGGAAGACGGCGAAGCGCCAGACGTACGTGCACTTTATCTGAACTGAACTTCGAAGCCTCAGGGTAACATCGAACCAGCCCGACCGATCCCAGGACATCGACAGTCCCGAGGCGACACCGATCGCGAAGCGGCCGTACAACGAGATGTTCAAGAAGCCCGTGGCGGAACTGACCGAGGACGAACGGGAGCAAGTGGACGAGATCGACTTGAAGTGCCTGACACTCTTGCAGTGCGTGCTTGAGCGGGTGGAAGAGGTACGTCAGGCCGCCATCTGGACGTCGAGGCGACATGCGAACTGAGATATTTTGCAGCCTCTGGAGAACAACGCGATGCTCATGGGGCCGACGGCGAATGTTGTTCAGCCCGCTATCCAACGCGACGAGCTCGAGTTCAAAGAGAAGGGTTTGACCTGTCTTGGGCTGTTGTGTACCATCTCGCTGGTGCGTTCATTTCGAGCTAAGATGTGCATGAAGCGCGAAGATGGGAATCACAACTGACGCATCGACAGCCCGTTGCGCAAAACTCGATGGTTCAGATCCTGCAGCTCCTCCGTGATAAGAACTGCCCTCCAACGCTCCGCGTCAGGCTAGCGGAAATCGTCTTCGACACCCTGCTCTCGCATAGGCACTTCTATGTTGTGACGAATGAGGGGAAGATCGTGAGTCGCCTTCATTCACTTGCGCATCGTGGCCTCCCTACCAGATGGCCTTCCTCCATCCTTTCACGAGGCGCTCACTGCCTTCGCATCCCTTGCAGGTGAAGGTCGTGGTTGAGATCTTCTTCCAGTTGATGGTCGACAGCGACGACGACAAGCTGCTCGCGGTTGCAGCCCATGGGTTGGCGAAGCTCGTGCTTGCGGGTATGATCAGCGCAGCGAGGACGGATGGGTGCGATGAGGAATCAAAGGGAGAGGATGATACGAACGAGCGGTCGATGCTCGAGTTGGTGCGTTCAGCTGCTTTGAGTGATCTGCTGTCGAATTTTGCTGAACCCTTACCCTTCGCAGACGATCCGCAACCTCATCATCGCCTACACGCATCCGGACAACTTGTCTAATCAGCCGCTCATTCAATGCTTGCACCATGCCCTCAGCGTCTTCGCGCACACAGCGGCAATGAACAAGGATATCATGCGAAGTGTATGTGTGCTTCTTTACATCCCTGAATCAGTGAGCTTACACGCCTCGCACTTGCAGTCCTTCCGCCCGCTCTACGAACAACTATGCGCAGTGTACCGGGAGCAGAGAGACGAGGGCGCACTCGAGCCGAGTCGGGTGATCGCCATGTTCTTAGAGTGGACGGACCCAGAACGTGCTGCGTGAGTGGCTGAGCCAGATCTACCAAGCGACAAGTGACTAACTCGTCCTCAGCGTGCACGTCCAGGAAAAGATGACGGTCAAGGAGTGGAGTGTGCAGCTCGACCTGGCGAAGGACGTGCTGAGGATGTTGTTGAAGGACGAATTGGACAGTGCGTCGAATTCTTTCACCGGCAAGTGAGCGAACATTGATGGTGTGCATTTCCAGAGGACGAACGGAAGCCCTTATGTTCCATGCTGCCGGCGCTTCGACTACCGGACGGCGAGGACGTGGACGCGTTGAAGGTGCAGAAGGTCAAGCTCCTGACGGAGACGCTATTGAAAGGGGTAAGCACGAACCATATTTCACCCTGCCCTCAAGGCGCTCGTTTCTAACCTCTCAGCGCCACCCACCACCCGGCAAAGGCCCACGCGACCTCGTCGAGAAGTTTGATAAGCAGCTCGAGAAGCGATACACAAGCCAGCTAGAGGGCTTCAGTCGGGAGGAGGCGAGGGAAAGAGACGAGTTCAAGGCGTTGTTCGATTTTGTGGACGACATGTTGGCGAGCGGTGGGGAAGAGGATGTGAAGCCGAGTACGAGGGGGTCGTCGAGGTGAGCTATACTTCCTTTTTGTTCTCGTTACGGGATCAGTAAGCGGGACGATTGTACTCATGCATCATTACAGGCGCTCGACGAGCGTTGCGACCGCCACGACAAATACGAGCTTTGCACCGGAGGAGGATGAGGACGTGAAGCCAACTATCAGGAAGCCAAAGCCGAGGAAGCGGTATGTTCCAACTTGCGCGGGCTTTTTTGGTGTGCTCATTCGCCCTTGTAGGCGCGCGGACAGCGTGGCGAGCAGTGCAACCGAGGCAGAGCAGCCTCAGCGACCGAAGGCGACGAGGAAGGGAAAGGCACCAGCGAAGTGAGTTTTCTGTTCAGGTGGAACGAGAGCGTAGCCGACGTGAATCTATAGGCGTCGTCGGACCTCAACGTCGGACGATGATGACACGGAGCTGGAGGGTACGCCAGAGCCTACATTGAGGGCGCCGAGGCGGGCACAGCCCAAGCGGAATGCGTGCGTGCTCATGTTTTCTCATTCTATACGATGCTAATGGCTTGCTTCGCAGCGCGAAGAAGCCCAAGGTCATCAATCTCATTACCGACGAGGAGGATGCGGCGAACGAGGCTGGATCTGGGGAAGACGACGACGACTTCGTGCTACCTGTCGAGGAGACCCCACGAGCGAAGCCTCCGCCATTGCCATCGCGCAAGAAGCCGCCGGCGTCGCTTCCTTGTCGCAACAGGCGCAAGCCTGCCATGAAGGTAGAGGGCGACGTCGACGCGGACATCAGCGCACTGCTGAAGGGAACTGCCGAGGCGCCGCTGAGCGTCGCGGACTCCGACGAGGAGGAGGCGGAGGTCAGTAATCTGTTGATGGAGTAATTTATCCTGTGGCTGGATGTCTGTTGTAATCTTGATTGATACCCTGTGCAACATCGAATATCTCTAGTATATACCCTCTTGGATCCTGCAAAGTACCCACCTGCTCACGATACGCTACGCCAGCAGTACACGAACTGTGACGAAATGTGACGGTCGAGACTCGGATGTAGAACTAAATCTAAAAATAGCAACAGTCCGCTCTTTCCTTCCCCCCTCCATCCTGCAGTCCGATTTCTCTGCTTCTCGTACCCTATCTAAAGTCCTACGAGGTCATGCGCAATAACTTATAACTTACACCGCCATGAAGAGAAAATTCGGACACTCTGCTCCTACGCTTTACTTTCGCGATGGCATACTCTCGATCCCTGGCTATACGCTCGAGAAGGTGCAAAAGGATATTCAGCAAGCGGTTCGCTGGAAGCTGACAACACATAGGCGCTACCATGGAAGGATACTGGGAGTCTCACTCTGCTTGCCGAGGGAAGCAGCTTGAAGGATGGATCCAGCGTGCTTGCAAAGATCGCCCCAGCCCAGTCAAACGGCTCGATGTGCTTGGAACGCGAGGCCCACATGTGCGTGACTTGTCAGACATGCTGGACGTATACTAACTACGCGCCAGACTCGCGAAGATGGCGACGTTCCCGGAGGGGAACACGACTACACTACGCATGATCGACTTCTTCACAATCCCGAAGGACGCGGGCGACGTGGTCGTGCTACTGCTCGCGCATCCTGGGCTCAATCTGCTCAGTCGTCATCTACCATCAAGCAAGATTAACGACCTACTACTATCGGAGGTCATGCCAGCGACGACGGCGTTCGGAGACGTGTACATGATGGGGATAGAAGAGCCCGACCTGGAGGAGATTGAGTCCCTCGAGATCATCGACCTTGCATCTTTCCTAGAGTGCGCACACCGATCCCCCCTCCTCCTCAGCCCGGATACTCACGCCAACGCTATTCAGATTCGCCGTGCAGTCCACCCACTGCTTAGAGGTTGCCCACAAGTGCGTATGCTCTACCACGTCATAAGCTACCGCATCTCACGCCCGCTCCAGAGCCGGCGTATTCCATCGCGAAGTTCGCGCGAACGCGTTCCACCTCAACTCCCACTCCGGTCTCGTGCGCCTCGTCCACTTCGGCAACCGGGCCGTGTCCCTCGAGAACTTTGGCTCCCCATCCGCCCTCGTCATCAATGCCTTCCATGAACACGAGAAGCTGAGGGTGAAGGAGGCGCTCTGCTATCTTGCGCCGGAGCAGACGGGCAGCTATGAGACGATGACCCAGGATCACCGCACGGATCTCTACTCCCTCGGAATCCTCTTCTGGACTTTGCTGGTTGGCAGAGGACAGATGCCTTTCGAAGGCGATCCCCTCGAGCTCCTTCACGCAATCGTGCAGAAGACGCCCATGCCGGTACACGAGGTCCGCCGAGACGTCCCTCAAGTTCTAGCCGCGATCGTAGCCAAACTCCTCGAGAAGCACCCTGATGACCGCTACCAGAGCGCCTACGGGTTGAAGGAGGACCTCATCGAATGCCAGCGCCGCCTCCTCGCCGCCGTCGCGTCCGCCACGAACGAGAACGCGGAGCTGATTCCCTTCTTCGAGATCGCCAAACAGGACCGCTTCATGGAGTTCTCGCTTCCCATCGCGCTCTTCGGCCGCGAGAAGGAGCTGTCGACGATCAGCGGCGTCGTCAAGTCGCTCACGTCGTCCCAGCCGATGTCGGCCTCCGGCGGGAGCGTCGTGCACCACTCGTCGTCCGGTAGCCACGAGATCAGCCACACAAATCCGGGCGCGACGGACGAGCGCGTGAGTGAGGATATGTCGTCGACGGGGAGCTCGTCGCCGAGAGGGCGGAGCGTAGACAGGATGGACCGCAGCGTAGAGCATAGCCCGAAGATGTCGAGTACGAGCGCGAGCAGGACGAGTCCCTCGCATGATGTGACGACGTCGGCCAGCGGGCATGCTCCTACTGCTACGTCGGCGACGCCAAGCGATCTGCGAAGGACGGCGTTGAGGACGAAGGCGAGGTCGGTGCGAACGCATACGATTGTAATTGTTGGGCCGCCGGGAGTGGGGAAGAGCTCGATGGTACTGGCGAACCAGGCGGAATGGAGACGTGAGTGGCGCAGTCGACATACTTCGTCGCCTGCTGACTTTTTGCAGGGTACGGCGTATGGGGGCAAGCCAAATTTCAGAACATCGACGCTGCTCCCTTCTCCGCCTTGGTGGGTTCGCTCTCGAACTCTGCGTCGCTCTTGCTGACCCCCTGCCCAGCTTTCATGCCTATCCTCCGTCCTTCGTCAGCTTCGCGTCTTCTCTACCGATCTTCACCGCTTTGTCACCGCTCTACGTCAACGCCTTGGCCCCCAGCTCAATAACATTCCTCTCCTTTACCAAGGCGCGCCAGAGCTCCGCGACATCCTTGCGATGTTCAACATCGTGCTAGAGCTGCCGCACGAGGCGCGCGACTCGAACGAGCTACGTGTCCGATTCCAGAGCTTGGTGGTGAACGTGTTGGCGGTGGTTGCAGAGACGAGGCTGTTTGCGCTTTTCCTCGACGACGTGCATGAAGCAGACGACTCGGCGCTGGACCTTATCTCGACGATAGTAAATTCGAAGAACAGGATGGTGGGTCTAGTCCTTCACCTTTATTCCAAAATATTGACGTTCCCATGCCTTCAGCTCGTCTTCATGACCATGCGCTCGGACCGACCGTGAGTCCTATTCTCTCGTATCATGTGCAGTGGATCGTTGTTGACGTACTTTGCTTACAGGGATGCCATCGACCGTGTTCGCCAGATGTTCTCTTCCCGAAGTCGCCCGACGTGGCTTAACGTCGAACCACTGTCGTTTTCCGCGGTGTCGATCCTCATCGCCCGGACGCTGCGCCGGCCCCGCGACGACGTCGCCGCCCTGTCGAGGTTTATCTACAACGCATCGTCAGGGAATGCTTTTTCGGCGAGGAGTTTGTTGACGGCCTTGCAGAGGCGGGGGCATGTAAGTGTGGTCGTCTTGGGGTACGGGGCATACTGGCTGGCTGACGGATGGCGCGCAGATCAAGTTCGACTGGGATAGGAATTATTGGATTTATGACATGGCGTCGATCGAGGGCACTTTGTCGTCGCAGGGGTCGGCGAACCCGACCGACTTGAGCTTCCTGACGACGCAGCTACGCTCTCTGCCCTCCGAGGCGCGGCGATACCTGCTCTGGGCTGCCCTGCTTGGCGAGACGTGCGTTTTGGCCTCGCGGCTCCTCGTAGTCTTGTAGCTGACGTGCCTCCGGTATACACAGGTTCAAGGTCACGGATGTCGCGTCGATGATGGATAAGGAGGAGTCGAGTAGCAGCGGGAGCGAGGAGGACACGGACGACGTCTGGAGCGCTCACAAGGCCGCACCAGTCACTGCGCCCGGCGCTGGGCGTGGGTCGATGCGTGGCTTGCAGACGGCGTTGACGGAGGGCTGGCTGATCCAGCGCGCGAGGGACATGTGTAGCTTCGCGCATGATCGATACAGGCTAGCGGCGCAGGCAGAGCTGGATTCGTTGAGGCCAGAGGCGCTGGCCAAGATGTCGTTCAGGGTGAGTGGAAAAGAAATATCTGGATCCAGGGAACTGGTACTGACTACCGGCGGTTCGTTTTTGTAGATCATACTACAGATGATGCAGCAGCCGTCCCCGGATTTGTATAGGATCGCGGAGTATTCGAAGCGGTGCCTGCCACTGCTCACGAACCATCCGAAGCGCGACGAGCTGCTGGTATTGCTGGTAGATGCCGGGGAAGACGCCTGGGCTCGCGGGGCGCATGAGGTGGGTTACAGAGGCCGCACGTAATTGGGGTTCTGCGAGCTGACTGCGCCGCAAACAGCTGGCGATCCGATCCTTCGAGAGTGCCAGGACCTTACTTGGCGACGACCCTTGGAAGACCAAAGAGGACAAGAAGGCATTTGGCGTGATGCTTCGTCTGGCTGCGTATGTTTATCACTTTCATGCATTTCATGAACGCTGATGATGTGTAGGCTGTATAATTGGAAAGGTTCGTCTGCCTGCTTTAATTATCTTCTGTCGCTTACGCCGCGACCTAGGTGACTACACCGCTTCCGACGGCATCATTCGCGACACCCTTGCACACCTGGACGAGCCTGAGGACAAAGCGAACATGATTCGCATTCAGGCGCGGAATCAGTTCCTCCGCGGCAACTTCGCCGCCGCTCTCGACGATACGCTTGAGGCTCTTCGTCTATTGAACGTGCCTCTACAGGCCGCGCCGACGGAGAAGGAGGCAACGGACATGTTTGAGCGGGTCAAGAACGAGATTCTGGCCGTGGGCTACGACCAGATCCTGGCCATTCCGCATACGAGCGAGTCAAGATCAGAGCTGACCGTCACGTTGCTCAACGATGCGGGTAATTCGATTATACAGACATGTTGAGCAGTCATGCTAACTGCTTGCCCAGGATTGAACGCCTACTGGAGCCCTTCACATGATACGTTCTCCGAGGTCATTGGTTTGACCGTAAGCGTGGTTCAACTACAAATCTTAGTGACCTTCCTGACGCGGATCTGTAGACGATGCAGCTTGCACTGCGCAACGGAATTGCCACGGGCACTGCCTTGGGCTTCCTGTGGGCTCTGGGAGGTGCTGCGGAGCGTCGTGGACAGTACCGGCTCTCCGTGGCGCTCGGTAACGTCGCCTTGCGCCTTGCAGAACGCTATGGAGGGAGCGCCGAGAAGTGGTATGCACGGGTCTTCTCATGGTGTCCGTGTTTCTGACCTTTGTCGCAGTACGGCGCAAGTTCTGTACACGGCGCTTGTGTCCGGCTTCGCCAATGTGCACCTTCGTGTCAACATCGCGAAGTTGGAGGAAGCCATCAAGTACGGCTACAGCGCCGGCGATCGGTGCGTTGGTCGTATCAGCTCGGTAGAAATTCGCTGACATTGCGGCAGCCTCTTCACTGGATATGCCTTGATATACACAGTCCAGAACAAGCTGTATGTTTGCGAGCACAGTAGGTGTCCAGGTACCATCTTGACGTCAGCTCACTCACAGTTTTCAGTCTCGGAGCTGATCACAACCGCGGAAGACGTAAGGTTGTATCATCTTCTTATGCGGGATCATGCTAACTTGACTGTTCAGTGCGTGGCAGACCTCAAACTCTGGGCCTCGTCAGGATCAGGCGATCAGATCGTCCTCGGCAAAGGGATTCTCAACCTCATACGGGCCCTTGGTGGATATACGTACGCCCACAGTGCTGAGACGGCGTTTGACACGGAGGACTTCAATGAGCATGAGTATATCACCGAGATTACCCGGACGTCGGGCAACATCGAGATGGTCATGAACTGGTGGGTTGCGACGCCGTATAAATCTTAATAAACTAATCTCTGTCAGGTACAACGCCTTCAAGCTCGTGGGCTACTTCTGCCTGGGCTTTATCAAGGAGGCCTGTGATTTAGGCTTTTCTATCTACGAGACAAGAGAAATGCATCCCAAGTGCGTTTTCGCCGCTGTTTTACTCCGATTATTGACTCACAAATTTTCAGTCATCGCCACGTACGATATGCGCTGTTCTTCCATACGCTCGCTATGATCTCTCGATTGCGGGACAACAACCTTTCGGAAGCTGAGGTCATTGTCTACAAGAAGCAGATCCAGACCAACAAGTCCTTTATCCTGAGGTTCGCACGGAGGCTTCTCGTGCTTAAGATTTACCCATTAAAATGGCGCTGTTAGATGGGCTTCTCCCAGCCCCGTCAACACAACCACGTGGATTGCTCTGATTGTGAGGCGTACCCTCGTTTTCGCTTGCTTCGAACGCTCATCATCCTTAAGGACGCGGAGTTGTCCTCCCTGGAGAATAGCCCGGATGCCTTCCGCAAGTACGACAAGGCCGTCAAGTAAGTACCCATATGTCCGCCGTATTTTGCATCCGTTTTGATTGTGGCAGGCTCGCCGTTGACTACGACTGGCTGCTTGAAGAGGGGTGGGCTCTGTACATGGTGAGGCGTTGCGTCGACGTCCTTCGCAGATCACTGACTCGCAACAGCAAGGATCGCACTTCGTGCGCTGCGGCGTTGAGGGTTTGGGGACGGAGCTGCAGCGCCGAGGCATAGCTCGCCACCGCCAGTGGGGAGCACGTGGGATCGTGTGAGTATCAGTAGCTTCGAGCAGCTGAGGCGTGCTCATATAGTGGCCCAGGAACTACCTCACTTTGACCTCCACCTTCTCTTCGCAGTATTCCATGAAGCGGTCAATCTTCACCGCTAGCGTCGCTGTACAGACCGAAAGCGTCGTCGTCGGTCATGGGTCGCACTCACAACCTATATACGGGCCACCTACGCAAATGGACACGGGCGAGGACCATGCGGCCAACTTGAGCGCAGGCGATTTGGCAGCCATCCTGCAATGGAGCAAGGACTTATCCCGCGACATCAACCTATCTTCTGGTGAGAAAGCCCTATCGATCTATCCGCCATCAGCTCGCTTACATGTGTGCAGCGCTCCAGCGACTTACGGAGATCTCGACGGAGACGTCAGGATCATTGAACACTTGTGGTACGAAGGCTCTTAGGATGTTGAATGTGTGTTTAAGATGTGTTCAGTGGTCATCACTAGGGAAGTCGGTGACTATACAGTTGCTACGAGCATGAAAGCAGGTGGACCATGCCTGGTACACGAGTAGGTGCTTCGTCAGTGTATGTTGTTCATTCGTCCTAACGCGCCTGCAGGAACGCGATTTCGTTGCGAGAACTCGATGACCCATTGCAAGTTGCAATCCTCCAACACAGTAAGTGCTCTCCATATTTTTGTGTGGTCGGCGGCTTACCGGTGATAGCGCTGAACTCGAAGGAACGCGTGTACTACGAAGACGCATCAACAGATCCCAGATTCGCTTCGGAAGCCACGCAAACGGCGCTTCGGTCCGTTATCTGCCTTCCGATATTCAGTAATCGCGGCCAAACATTCGGCGCCGTATACCTGGCGAACTCATCTCCGTTCTCCAAGAATACGCTGTCTATCATGACATTGTTATGTCAGCAGGCCAGCATTAGCATCGCGAACGCCCTTTTGTTCCGTTCGGTGCAGACGGCAACTCGGGAGAACTTGAAGATGATCGCTGCGCAGAGGGATGCCCTGGAGGCCGCACGAAGGAGTCGTGAAGACGCGCTGAAAGCGACGAAGGTGGGCACGACGCGGCGTCGAACGTGGACACAATTGACACCCTTGGCAGATCAAGAGTAACTTCTTGGCTTCGATGAGCCATGAGTTGCGGACGCCGTTCAGCTCGTTTTACGGCCTTCTCGATCTACTCAGCGGCACGAACTTGGACAGTGGTCAACGCGAAATCGTCCAGACTGCGAAACAGTCGTGCGAGCTGCTGCTCAAGGCCAGTTCAATGTGTCTTCAATCATTGCGCATACTCAAGGTCGAAACCCTGCAGATCATCGACTCCATCTTGGACTACAGCAAGCTGGAAGCATCTGGTAAGCCCACTATACGTACTTCAAGGACGACTTTCGACTGACTCCGCCCTAGCTCTCAAGCTGGAGCCTAGTGGGTTCCTTGTCGAGGTATTTTGTTCTCCCTAGTCGTTTGCATCTTACTGACGCTACTGGCGCTGCAGAACATCATCGCCGTACGTCGTCACTCTTTCCATACTCTTACTGCCGCTAATGTCATGACTACAGGACTGCATGGAGCTGCTCCTTCCGATGGCCGTACAGAAGCTTGATCTGTCCTTCAACATCGAGCCCGACGTACCATCATGGGTATTTGCTGACTACGCTCGCATACGACAAGGTATGCGCCAGGTTTATCGCTTTCGAATGCGACCTACTGAAGCACCTCGTAGTCTTGATGAACCTCATCGGCAACGCTGTCAAGTTTACTGCGGGTGGCTACGTTCGGGTGTTCTGCTCCGTCGACACATCTGCTACGGTTGCGGCGGGCGAAGTGCAGCTGAAGTTCGTCATACAAGACACGGGCATCGGGCTGTCATCCAGCGATGTCGACCAACTGTTCGTTCCATTCCAGCAGGCGGATAACTCCTCGACTCGCAAATTCGGTGGAACGGGCCTGGGGTTGTCGATCTCTCGGCAGCTAGTCACGCTCATGGGAGGGGCCATCGGTGTCCAGTCAGAGATCAACGTTGGGTCGAAGTTCTGGTTCACAATACCTGTCAAGCTTCACAAAGACGACGTATCGCAGAAGGTATGCTTAACGGCTCATCCTTCCGGTCGACCCTCATCATCTTCAGGCCATTGCCGAACTCAATGAGCTTCGTGCGGCGCTACGCAAGGGCGCCTTCCACGTGCTTGTCATATCGCCTTCCGAGGTCACTCTCGCTCTCTTAAACAACATGCTCTCGTCGGCCGGATGCAACGTCACGCTCATATCTTCGCTACGCGAGGCCAAGGCACGGTTACCCATCATCGGTTCAGCACCCGTCAAGCTCGACTTCGTCCTCCTCGACGATCAATCAGAAAGACACGTCGACGAGTTCACGGGCTTCATGGTCGACCTCAATCTACCGGGCCTGTCGGCAACGAAGCTTATCCACCTTTACACGCCGACGGCCAACCGCACATCCTCGTCTGTCTTCAGCGCGAGCTCCGATCGTGTTATACGGATGACCAAGCCACCACGAACGGCACGACTACTGCAGTTGCTCGCGGAACTGAAGAACCTGCAGCCAGCGGCCTCCACGCAGCCACGATCGGATGTTTCAAAGGCACTAGATGATCTTAGCGCAGCGCAGCGAACGTTGTTCGGGAATGTCCTCGTTGCAGAAGGTGTGTCGATCGGCTGTGCGTTGTAGTGACGAGACTCACCGTATGCCAGACAACATCGTCTCGCAGAATCTTTTGGTCAAGCAGCTGGAGAAGTATCAACTCAAGGTCACTGCGACTTCGAACGGCGAAGAAGCCATCGCGGGTGAGTGTTTACGATGTACTATTGAGTCCAGCATTGACATCTCTCGCAGAATGGGAATCCCACGAACCTGGCTACTTCAGCGTTGCGCTCTTCGATCATCGTAAGCCTGTCTGTTTCCGTCTTCGAGTTCACGCGAGCTGACTTGCGCTATAGACATGCCTATCTGTGACGGTGTAGAAGCTACGAAACGACTTCGCATACTAGAGAACAAGCGCAAATCCCCGGTCGTTCTACCTATCGTCGCGCTCAGTGCAGACTGCCAAGAATCCACGAAGAAGCTCTGCATGAGCGCGGGCATGAACGGCTTTTTCAGCAAGCCGCTCAAGAAACGTGCGTTCTCTTTTCTCATCGTCATCCTGCACTACTAACCCTTCTTCCAGCCGACCTCGCTGCGTTGTTGTCCATGTTCGGCCATCCACCATACACCTTATAATGAGCCGCGCCGTTCCATATACTAGGGCTTTTTAGTAGATATGTACGAACATTGATATGTATTACCCGCCTCACTGCAACACGCGCTATCCGTCTCGTCAGTACTAGTTCATGCTTGCTTTGTACCTTTGTATCCTTATTTAACATCTGGATCACCTTTGCGTTGCGGTTGGCTATCCTCGCGCAAGCGTAGAAATTGCTTGAGTCCTCGGACATCCACTCTTTGGTAGCTATCATTGGACCCCTTTTACTATGCGACGAAGGTCTCGAACATTCAAGATTGGACAAGGGAGTTACCAGTGGTGGCGGAGGTATAATATTTACGAGGCTGGATTATGATGGATGGCTGTAAAGTAAGGCATGACGGAAACAGTGAAAGGGGATGACGAGGGCGAAATGCATGAAGGAATGACGTTCAAATCGTATATCGGACAATTAGGGTCATCGTATGTAGTACTCAATTGGACTGATAATCAGGAAAACCAGAAGTGTTGTACACCGGGTCCATCATATCTTCGTCCATAAGAAAAGTTGGGTCGCCCATGCTCATGCCCGCTGCATTGTCCTGGAGGGAGTTCGCGTTGCCCGACAGGCTCTGGCCGTCTTGACAAGGCATTTCGGCGAACTCGGGGAGGAATGTGGATGGGGGGTTTGGTTCCGGGGCGGGGAGCGCGAGGTTGGGACTTGACGCCGGCATGCCTTCTGACCACGGGTGCCAGTTAGGATTGTTCGCTGTGTCAGCGAGAGCAGCGGCATGCCCATCTGCCTGAACGGTGCCTTCGGTCGTTTGAGGGCACTCCAGCATCGCCGACGGTGGTGACGGTAGCAGCGAGAAGCCTTGCCACTCCTGAGGTAACTCAGATGAATCAGCACTCATCACCGTGATGCCCAAGTTTTGCGCCTGATCCTGCTGAGGCGCATGCCCTTGCGACGAGTCGGTCCCGGCGTCGCTTCGTTCAAACGAGCCCCCGGGATGCGCAGGCGCGCTCTCCGACGGTGCCGAGCCAAACGCCATCTGTCGCATCGCAATATTCAGGTCCGTAGCCCCGACTTCAGACGCAGGATCGCCTCTGCATGGCTCACCATACGCTGGTGCTGTCGGACGGTCGTGGGACGCCACATCGTGTTGCACGGGAGCCGTATCGACGAGCCAGCCATTCAGCTCAGGATCAGAACCCGGAGCAGAGGCCTGGTGAGATGATGGGTCGGATGCATACAGCGAGCTGTCCGATGCCGAGGGAGGGGTACTCGCCCCGCTAGCATTTCGACTATGCCATGGTGAGGAGCTGGCAGACGAGTCCCTGGGAGCAGGTGTGCGAGGCTCCGAAGGATGTCTAAACGGTGAGCCCAGGGGACGCGCAGACGCACTCCTAGTTTGCTCTGCAGCGGATAACGCTGCTGCGACTGCTATCCGCTGAATTACTGCCTGCACTTCCGGACGCTGCAGCAGCTGAACCGAGAATTCCGCGTCCTTCATCGATTCACCGGAAGTTGCCGTGGCGCCCTCGGAGACGCTTCGAGCGTGGTGTGCAGGCGGGGCGGCGGGCCATCCGTTCGAGTCGACATAGTACGAGCTCGGAGCGGAGTCCTGTCGAGATGGCGGGGCAGACGTGTGTGACGGCGAAGGGGCCAGAGACGAAGAAACGCTCGCCCAGCCAGGGGACTCCCGGTGGAGAGCGGATGCGCGTGACGACGGTGGTGGACCACTTGCCTCCGCAGCATGAGTCGCCTTGACGAAGTCGTGAGTGCTCCGAGTAGGCGCGTACGGCGAAGGAGCGAACACATCCGATGAGGGGTGCGACGACGTGGGAGTACTCGGAAAATCACTGCTCGAGCCGTAACCCGCGGATGCAGGTGCAGAGCCTCGCCATGGTGAGACAGGCCCGGAGCCTCGACGAGTGTGGGTGCGTGGCGTCGAAGGCCGCGTGGAGGACTTCGGCATCGGAGAGCGCCTGGACGAGCTAGGCATCGACGAACGCCTGGACGTGTTAGAGATCGACGGCACCGGCGAGGGTCGCGCCTTCTTCGCGGGTCGACTCCTAGGTTCCGAAGGCGGCGAGTGGCTGACGCTGTCGGACGGATCGTCGGAGCTGTCAGTCTGAGGCGGGTGGCTCACAGGCAAGCTGTTCTGCGGGTGGTCGAAGCTCGGGTATGACGGATGGTCGAAGCCTTTTGGCTGGTGGTTCAAGCCGTTGGGCTGTTGGACGCCTTCGGCAGCAGCGAAAGGATGCCGCGCAGAAACGACATGATACTGAGGTGGAGGAGCAGGATGGTAGGCAGGTTCGAGTTCAGGATACGCCGAAGACCTTTGCTGGTCCACAGGACCCCAGACAGGATGCTCGGGATCCCTACCGTGATGCGCAGAGCCTCTACCGCGATTCACCGAACTCAGGCTAGGCGAGGCCGGATAATTGCCATTCCACGTTGGGTGACCGCTATAGCCAGCTGCGATCGACGAGGTCATGGGTGACGTCGAGGGAGCCATTGCATCGCGAGACGTCGACGAGGATGTCGGTCCATGGCGAGACGTTCGGCGTCCCAATAGAGCGGGTGTCCCTCGAACATGCGATACAGGATGCGTGGCGTCGTGCATTGGATTCCCCTTGAAGGCGTTCGAGGGCGCATACGACAGGGGCAGCTGCGCTGGCTCTCCCCGTGGCTGCGCAGGTGGCCGTCCCCAGGAGCCACGCCGTCGAGGTGGTGCCCTCCCTTCCGACCGCGATGCACGACCAGAAGGGGTGTTATGGGAGGACGTGGACGCTGCAGGTGGACTGCAAGGCGGCAGATATGTAGGTGGTGTGCGTGCCGCGTGGCGGGCGTGTCTTCGCTGCCGGGAATCCTGCCGAGGAGACTCGGATACCTCGGGCTGAGCAGGATCGCAGGGCGCGTGTGCAGGGCGCGGCTCTGTCGCCGATGGCGCAGAGCTTCGTAATACTGCCCGATGAATCTCTGCCTCCCTTGCTCGAATAAACCAAGCGTCATAATCACACTTCATCTGATCCGTTGTCGTAGAGTAAAGCATCCCCAGACCGTGCACCTTCCTGCGATGTTTGTTGAGGTCTGGGCAGCCGTAGAATCTTTTGTCGCATATGATATTGTTTGCAAACACCGTGCAGATGTACGGCTTCCGGTGAACACTACAATAGCAGTCAGTCAGCTAGCTTTCAATCGAGAAGGAATGCCTACTGATAATTGTGGTGTTGATTGATCGCGGGTTCACCGTCATCAGTGACGAAGTCGCAGATGTCACAGAACTGTATTTTCTTAAAGTCATGGCTGCAGACTGTGAGATGCACGACTTCAGGCAAAACAAAAGAACTCACATAGCCTTTCGAAGGTCGTTGTCCCCGTGAATGGCGACTGCGTGTTGCATGAAGTTCGCGAAAGTCGTCCCGCGCGGACACACTGTACATTCTCGCATGTCAGGGAAGTAAATAGAGTCGCAGATTGCCTTGGCAAGATATAAGGCAGACTGACAGTGCGATGAATCATACGGTGCTCACCTCTATCTTCTCCATAATTCCGTCGATACGCGTTTGGACTGGCGGGGTGTGTGGCATTAGATGGACCGTGAGTGAGGCCAAGATGTAGAAAAAGTACGAGAAAGACAAGAGAAGGAAGTAAAGGGGCTGCCAGCAGCCGAAGTGAGCGTGGACGGGGAAAGGTAGGGAAACATTGTCCGAACTCATCGCTTTTCTATACCCAAACGTCCCATTGTTCCAAAAGGCGTAGGGTTGCTGATGGCGTACATAGTGCGCGTAGCTTACGACATACAGTGTCGCTCATACATTACGGCTTCGGTGGATGCCGGTTGCCAGCCTTCCTTCGGCAACCTTGACAGGGACAGGCCGAGGTGCGCTCGCAAGAGGGCAGCACATACTCTAGCACATAGAGTAGACACTCGTGCTACAAGCAGTAGATCCGCTGAGCGCTAGCTCCTCAGCGCACATTGCTGGACGCCCATCGCACATCTTGCTCTTGTCCAGTATTCAAGGTCCCACGCCTGTTCAGAGAAGGATCGCCCGCGTTTCACCTACCCATAGTACGACCCACGCTATCTTCGCACCTGAGCGAGGTGGGAGAGCGGCGTGCAGCACTGCGGCGTCGCTACGGAGGAAGAAGTAGATCATGATCACGGCGAAAAGCAACCCACGGAGCAAAGCAACGTGTTCGAACAAGGACTACCATATTGGGGTGATCACGCGGCAAATCTGCTCCCGGTTTACTCCCGATCTGATTTCTTTCTGGTTCCGTGGGCTGATCTGACTGGATTTTTGCTCTGGTCGAGAGGGAAACCGGCAAGGTACAGTTGTAACGACCAGCAGCTCGGTCAGAGTAAGGAAGACGCATGGACAGGGGGCCGAGGATGCGAGGGACATATGTTTGCGGTGGCGCTCTCCGCTTGATGCACTTGACAGCAGGTATACCATTTCGTGAGACAATTATAATGTCAATTTTTTATTGCATTATTGGCAATTACTGTAAAGAGCGAGCGTCTTGCGCCATTGGCGCATCCCTCAGAGGCCAGGGCGACCAGGCCAAAGGCGTAGTAAATTACGGTAACACTGAAGGGGAGGTGGAAGGAAGGCATGAAAGGAACGACGTAAGCGGGAAAGTAGTCCACGAATTAATGCGAGAATAGTCATGACTACGTGGAGTCCCAATTATTAGGATACTCAGAAAATCCACCATCGCGCACTGGGAACATCATCTCTTCGTCCATAGGAAAAATCTGGTTGTCCATGTCCGCGACCTCGTCGTTCGCGAAGTAGTTCGTATTGTCAAAGTGGTCCTGCTCGGGCATGTCCAAGGGTGTCGAAAAGTCAGCGGACACCGTGTATGGCTCCGTGGCGGGGAGCGCAGGGTTGGGGCTAGAGGCTGGCATGTCGCCTTCTGACCACGGGTGCCAGAAAGGATTGTTCGCTGTGGCAGAAAATACAGCGCGACGTCCATGTGGCCGAGCGGTGGGGTCGATCGCTTGAGGGCTCTCCGGCATCGGGGGCTGAGCTGATGGTGTGGAGGGCTCTGGTTGCTCGCGAAGGCCTTCGGATGGGATAGTCGAGCTCTGCGCCTGATTCTGCTGAGCTGCATATCCGTCCGACGACCCGGTCTCGCCACCTTTCTCGAACGAGCCCCCGGAATAAACAGGCGCGCTCTGCGACGACCCCGTACCAAAGCCCTCTGCGACCGCCATCTGACGGAGCCCTGCCTCTAGGTCCTCATTCCAGAATCCCGGAGGAAGATTCCCATACGCTGGCTCATCATACGCTAGCGCTGCCGGACTGTCGCTGGAGGCCCAATCGTTTTGCACAGCCACATCAACGAGCCAGCCGTTGGATTGTGGACGAGAGCCCTGAGCGGAGGCCTGGCGAGACAAGGTGACTGGTGCGTATGGCGAGGAATTCGACGACGGAGCCGAGTTGTCCACCGCCCCGTAACCAGAGCCGTACCATGGGGAAGCAGGAGAAGAGCTCAGAGGAGCGAGCGAGAGCGTCACTGAAGCATTCCCCGAGGACGAGCTCCGAGAATGGGCGGGCGCGCTCCCCGATGGCGCTGAAGCCGGTGCCTCTGCAATCGTCATCCGCCGAAGCTCTGCAAGCACGTCCGGGTGCTGAAGTAGCTGAGCGGAGACTTGCGTTACGATCTCGCTCGTGACCTCTTCACTTAACGTGTCTCCGGCGCCCTGGGAGGAGGTCCGGTCCTGCCTAGCAAACGTGGCGACCGGCCATCCCGATTCGGGATACGAACTCGGAGTCGAGGGCTGAAGCGGCGATGGAGCGGACAGATACGGCGAGGAGCCCGACGACACAGGAGTACTCGGCCAACCACCGCTCGAGCCTTGCCACGGAGAGGCAGACCCGGATCCATGCCGACTGTGCGTGCCCGCCATCGAAGAGCGCCGGGAGGTACTAGCGATCGACAGCACCGGCGATGGCCTCGTCTTCTTGGCAGGTCGACCCCTACGCTCCGGAGGGCGCGGATAGTTGAAGCGCTCACGCTGGGGGTCGCCTTGGGCACTAGCGACAGGATGGAAGGCGGGGTCGAGCGCAGGAGGAGCAAAGCCCGGTTCAGGCCACGCTGCGTGGTTGTCGGGTGCAGCGTCGTGCGATGGAGGAGCTTCCATGGCCTGCGCATCATTGTGGTATCCGAAGCCTGGGGCTGCATGCGGCGATGTCAGCTGGGCTGGCATTCCCCATTCCGGTTGAAGTGGCGCCCAATAGTCTGGCCGCGGAGGACAATCACGAAGTGCGGTGTGCGAGTGGGCCGGGTGCGCCGATGCATCTCTCGAGGATGGATATACAGGCGGCGCTTGCGATGCGTTCCCCAGCTGCCGAACGTCGTGCGACGGATGCGCGTTGGTGGCCTGTACATGATCGCCGTAAATCTGGGGTGCGTACGGCGGCGGCGGATGCACTGGTGCCCTCTGGTCTGGCCATGCAGCACGCGCGTCGTGGTAGGAGGGCTGCGAGGCGGATGTACCACTAGACGAAGGATATGCAGGCGGCGCGGGGGGCGCTTGCTCTGCGTACCTGTGCTGCCGGTTCTCGGGCGGTAGGTGTCTGCAGTCCGCAGTCTGAGGGGGATAGAAGGGCGGGGGCGCTTGAGGCGGCGCATTCGACGTAGGAGCAGAGCTACCTGAAGGCATCTGGCTGACCCTCGCCGCCTTCGCCCTGAGCTCAGCGTCATACTCGTCCATCATCTGGCGCATCTCCTTGGCGAGGGGCCTCGGCATACCCGGGTGCTTCCGCCTGACATGGGCGGAGAGCTCGCGCCGGCCCGTGAACCTCTTGTGGCAGGCCGGGCAGAAGTACGGTTTCCGGTTCTTGCTGACGATTCAATGAGCAGGCATGAAGGATGTTGGACAGGGGTACGCTTACTGAACGTTGCCATGCGATTCAAACGTGGGGTTATCCTCAGTGACATAGTCACAGGAGCGACAGAAATGAAGGTCTCTCTGACTACGGAGAGTGAGATGCAGAATTAAGGTGAAAAAAACGTTACGCACGCGGCTTCCTTGAGGTCTTTGGATCCATGAACCTCGACCGCATGCTGCCTCAAGTTAACGATCAACGTCCCGAGAGGGCATCGCAGACAGTCTCGGCTGTGAGGAATGTAGATATCGTCGCAGAGTGCCTGTAGAGGATATTAGACATGTTTTACCACGGTACGCTACACGATACTCACCTCTATGGCGTTCTCCAGTGCGTCCAGACGGTCCTGGACAGGCTGAGTGTGAGGCATTATGAGAGTCGTAAGTGTAGGTTGAGAGACAAGGATAGAGATTATGGAGAGAAGGGAATGAAGGGAAGTAGCTGCCAGCAGCGGAAGTGAAAAGAGATGAGGAAGGTGAGGAAACCGCGTCCGAGCTCACCGCTTTTTTAAACCCCACGTCCCATTGTGCCCAAAGGCGTTGTGTGGCTGACGGCGTACATAATGCGCAGAAGTTACGACATGTACAATGTCGTCCTTGATGCGGTGTATGCATTACGGCTCCCGCGCACACTAGTTACCGATCCTTGTACGCCAACGATAAGGGACGTACCCATATGCGCTTGCGCACTTCAGACGGTCGCACATAGCACGCACATAGTTCGCGCCGACCAAGACTCATTGCAGTACTTCCTCTTCCTCGCCTCTGCTTGAGCGCGTCTCACTGAAAGTTATTGGTGCTCTCTGCTCTCGGTCTCCGCACCACTTTACCTCTGGCAAGGATCACCGCGTTTCACCTCCTGCTGCTCACGACATTTGCGCACCTGGGCGCGGTGAGAGAGCGGCGTCTAGCCGTCTCCAGGCTACGGAGCGCCATCCTGCGGGGTCGTAAACCAGATCATGATCACGGAGTACAGCAACGTGTTCGCACAAGGACTGCCATATTGGGATTCACACGCGGCAAATTTGCTCCCGCTTTGCTTCCGATCTGATGTCATTCTGCTCCCGCGTGCCAGTGCCGATCTCGCCCGATTTTGCCCTGGATGGCTGGATCCGAGGGTATCGCCAGGTACTCTGTAACAGCATTGACAGCTCAAATGGTGTCGCAGGAGAGACACGAGATCGAGGGGAGGAAGAGGGGAGAGACGAGCCCCTCATGGCTGCGCCACCACCAGGGGCGTCCTAGCCTGCACTTGGCAGTACCTACAACATACAGTAAGATATACACCGATGAGCATTCACTCAACCGTCTGATTCAGCTTCTTCAAGTCGTCCGTCCGCTGCGCCTCCTCCATCCTTCGTTGCCGGTCGAGCGTGATGTCCTCCAATATCTTCTGCGCGCCGTTCTGCTTCAGCGTCTTCGCCATCCGCACGCCCAGTGCCTCCGCCTCCTCCACGCTCCGTACATGCTCCCGGATCTCGTGCTGGACGTGCTCCGTCCCGTCCACCGACGTCACGCCTGCCGTTAGCGAGAGCACGCCCGCGCGCCCCACTGCCTCTTCACCCTCGCCCTCGTTTTCTATCTCGATAGCGCTAACGACACCTACGGGCACACTGCAGCCGCCCTCGAGCTCCCGCAAGCATGCGCGTTCGGCACGGCAGCGCCACAGGGATGGCCAGTGGGTGATTCGCTTGCAGAGGGCGAGCGCCTCAGTGTCGTCGGCGCGAACCTCGATACCGAGCGCGCCTTGACCAACGGCGTAGGAGTATGTGGGTGGGGCGAGGTCGCAGGTGATGCGATGTTGGAGGTTGACGCGGACGAGGCCAGCCTTGGCGGCGATGAGGGCGGCGTAGGGGAGGGCAGGGTCATCGAGCTTTGCGAGGCGGGTAGCACTATAACGGGGATATTGTGAGTGTGTGCGATACGTTCGAGGAAGTGGAAACGTACATGTTGCCGCGCTGGAGGAGAAGGGGCGAAAGAAGGTGAGTATAGCTTAACGATCGGGCGGGCACACGACACGCACCACATCGAGGAACTTCAGATGCGGAAACCGCCTCTTCAGCATCGCGATCCTCCGCACGCTGCTCGTCCCCACCACGCTCCCCTCCGGCAGCTCCTCCGGCGTCCTCCACGGCATCCCCGCTTTCACGCACATCACATCCACCGGCTCGTCCCTCTCCGATATCCCCGCCAGCACGAACCCCTCCGGCAACACCGTCGGTACGTCCTTCAAGCTATGCACCAGCATATCCGCCGCGCGCTCCTTCAGCGCCACCTCAAGGTCCCCCGTCCACAGCTCCTTCCCGCCGAGGAAGTACAGCGCCTGCACCTGGTTCTTGTCGCCTGCGGTAGACATGAACGAGGTCTCGAATTTGGGGGCGGAGGGGGAGGTGTCGAGGGCGCGGAGCGCGGCTTGCACCTGGACGGTCTGCGCCTGCGCCATTGGCGACTTGCGCGACGCGAGCACGAAGGTGCGGGGCTGGGGGGAAGACATGGTGGAATGCGGGGTGCGCGATCGAGGACTCGGCTTTGGATCTTCTAGTAGGTCGGGCTTTTGAGGGGCGCTGGGTAGTGTCAGATGCAGTGTCTATATTGTGCGATGAGGCTCACTTCGAGGGGGGACGATGGCGGAGACGGACAAGCGTGTGTTCGCGCCCAGATTATCGATCGCGAAACATTCCGCCCAGCACCGGCTTATTCGGCCCGGTCCTTAACTCAACCAATCCGGCGGAAGATTGGCCTACAAATGTACTTTGTATAAGTCGTGAGGCATGATCTGGCAGAGCATCAGGAGAGCAGACAGTGATAACTTCCGGTAAACCGTCCGCGGAGAAGACCCGAAGATGAGCTAGGAAGATCGAAGAGGCTCATGTGCGCCACCACGGGCTCACAACGCTTACTTGCAGCGTACACGATAGGCGTCACCCCCTCAATCCCCCTCCCCGTCTTTGATCTTCCTTGAGTGGTACCGTCTCATTCCATATGACAGCAAGAGGTATAGCTAGAACAAAAGCTTCCTCTGACTAACGGCGTCAGGAGGAGAACATGTGCAATCGTTGTAAGATCAATGATCACTACGTAGGGTGGCTTCTGCAGAGGCATGATCAGGGCATGACAGACGGAGTCGAGACCTGCTAGCCGAGGTACAGACCCTGCGTCAATGTGGGGTACCGTATGTTTACGGGATCGCCTCGGATGGTCCTTTATGAAGCCAGGGTTTGCCTCACGCAGGATATTTCTCGATAGTTGTTTTTTTGATCACTGGAATATGGGAGGAGAGGCACGATCGGAGGGCGAAGGCGTGCGATTGGATTGGTACTAACAAGAGAGTCTATGACAAAACGAGCGGAACACAAAGGGCACTCCCCGACGGAGAAGTGTGACGTGGTACGTGACGCGCTTGGACTTTCCCACGGATTAGGATGGATTAGGACGGAATTGATTGGGACTTGCATTGCACCGTCGCTGCTCAGAGCCTCAAGGCATACGGGCGCGCGCAAACCTCTTTCAGGCCGTCAACCGGCTGGAACTCTCGCTAGCGATACCACCTCCGCCGACGACCACAGCCTCAGCCCGTGCTTCTATCGTGCACGCCTTGTGACCGACCTTCGTTCTGAATACAGCTAACCAGCTGATTACGACTTGCTGGCGACCTCATCGGTGTCGGCATATATACCACTCCCTCCCAGGCTATCTTGATCCTCAGACAAGTCTCGCTCCTCACCCTAGCCTTGCGCAAGCAATGGTGCGCCCCCTTCATCACATTCGCGCGATATCACACCTGACAACGATCCCCCAGCCATTCGTCAATAACAAGAAGTACGCCTGGTGCGTCGCATACCTCCTCCCCTTCCTCACCCTCCTAACCTTTATCCACCCCAGCGAATCCTGCATCAAAGGACACCGCTCGTCCAACTGTCACCACACCGATCGGCCGCTCTTCGAGGTCAAGAAGAAGGGCCGCCCCGTATCCCAATGCACCAACTGCCGCGAGCTGCGTAAGACGCGGAAGCTGCACTCAAAGTGCAACTGCTCCCCCGCAGATAACGCGCAGGAAGAGCGCACGTTGCTGGCACCGGCGAGCTCAAGGGGGAAACGTGAGTACCGCTCCGATCGTCGTGTGGGAAGAGGCTGATATGGTGCGTCCAATGTGCAGCGCGGTATATGCCCATTGCCCCGGCGCTTCCGAACGGGTTGAAGGATGTGATGCAAGGGAACTGGACAGCTGGATCGTTGGCGGCGGATTCGAGGCAAAGAGGTGTGTTACGGTATTTTACTCCTTTAATCGTACTAATCTCATCGTCAGTCGATGCGCTGCTCAATCCCTGCTGTTGCGGTGACGTACGCGGCTGTAGATGTAATGTCGCACAATCCTCGACGTCTGCGACCCCGGCGTCTACCTCGTCGACCGTGTTCCTTGCCCGCGCCAGCTCTCCAAGCTCCGGATTGAACGCACTAGCCGCTGCAGCTGCAGCTCTATCGCGTCAAATTCCGAAATCTCCCTCGCACCAAGTGCAGCTGATCACTACTCGCCAAATGCCTACCTCTCGTCAGTCACCCACTTCGGCCGCCTGCCAGTCACCGGAACCAGCTTCGAAACACGCCTCCTCCCGACCGCCCAGCCCCAAGCACAAACGCGCAAAGGTTGCTCAACGCGGTTCATGTTGCGCTCACAAGCAGGCCTCCAAGACCCCATCTACATCCCCAGGACCCACTCTTCCGCCCCTACTTCTGGATGGCCCCTCGCCATCACCTTTGGAAGGGTCTTCCCTCCTCGCGCCCTCAATCACTACAACCTCCCCCTTCCCCGACCTCCCACAGTTCACCCTCCCGCACTTCACCACGCTCACCTCGCTCGCGGGCTCCGGCTGCACTTGCGGCGTCGACTGCACCTGCCCGGGCTGCTCGGAGCATCGCGGGGCCGAGCACGTCACGCACACGCACGCGGACTGCAAGGAGGGGAACTGCATACACTGCGTGGATGGGGATATGGTCGGGCGGGCGGATGCTTTGGAGAACGAGGCGTTCGGATTTGGGGGCAGCAGTATGCTTGGGAGAGATGGCCCCCTTGGCTTCGGGAGCAACCACAGCGCTGGCCTCTTCGGCAACGCCGCCGCCACGAATGACGCACTGGCCAAGTTCTTCGCGCAGGCGGCGCTGCTGCCGTTGCCACCGAACCGCTCTGGTCAGCGCGTCGAGCTGCCGAAGTTGGAATGCTGCGGAGGAAATTGCGGGTGCCCGGATGGGCGGTGTGGTTGTGGGCAGACGTGCGATGGATGTGAGGAGCATGCGTTGTTGGGACATGGGCATGAGAAGGCGCACGGGGATGGGAAGGAGAAGGGACCGGGCAATGATCAGGAGGAAGTGCGTGGATCGGCGAAGGGGCCTACGGAACAGGCAGAGAAGGAACCTACTCCGTCGACGTTGGCTTCAGACGTGGCGCCTTCGTCTCCGGTGCAGGTTCCTCGGAGCTGCTGTGCAGGGAAGAATACTTTATGACACGAGAGTGGAAGTGATCTATCAGTACGAATGGACGCCTTTCCGTGGGCGATTTGGAACCAGTCCCAAATCCTAGACGCGCATCAAAGCCTTGAAAAGGCAGGCTGCCGGGCTGCCGAGACGCCACCATCGCTTGTTGATGTCGATCACCCTCGTCCTAGATGCACATCTGGGAGGGGGGTAGCTACCCTCATCCCAGATCCAAATGCTCGTCCCAAACGCTCTTTTGCCAATAATTAGTGATGGCACGTCAGAACGACCGCATGGAATCTCCTTACAAGGCAAAAGATGAGACATGCGGCGCTTTCCCAGTGCTCGACAGCACCGTCCGTCCCAAATCCTAGATGATGTCGACGGTTTGGTACACCCCTCCTAAACCGCTGTGAAATGTGCTTGCTGATTCCATCAAATCGTTTGGGTCTGGGATTTAGGCCACGGAAGGGCTTCCAATATCAGCTTATTTCATCGTCGGGTCCTCGTCCTCTGAATTGGGACCCATTTACGTGACCGTGACGTGTCCCGGTGATTGAGAGATGGAAAGTTCTGTATCGCGCCTTGTCTGCGACCGTCGGTCACTTCAGGCCTGTTCAAGTCAGTCGACTTTTACTGTAATGGCGGAATCCATGCACGCAAATCAGGACAGGGTAAGTTGAAGCTAGCCGGCTAAGTAGCAGCATTTTAAATCTCAGGTCCAGGAGCATGGTACATCTCTCCCAAGGCGCAGATCGTTGGCATCCGATCTCTCCGCGGAAATCTTGCAGCTCATCTTCGATCGAACCATCACGCCGTCGTGCTTCATCGGTCCGGGTTATTCTGTCTGCGAGTATCCATGGCTCGCTGCGATGGCTACGAAGAGAAACCTGCCGCTTGTCTGTCGCTCGTGGTACCACGCTTCTATCGAGCTGCTTTACCGCGACATCGGTATCCGCAGCGTCGGCCAGGTATGCGCACTGGCAAAGACGATAGAAGGGACGCCGTCGCTGGCTCCTTTGGTCAGGTCAATCACGTTCGCATGCTTCGTAGGCGAGCTTCACGAATTCGCATATACCTGGGACGCTGGAACAATCATGAAGTCATGCCAAAATCTGCACCGTGCGGCCTTCGTCGCGCGTAGTAACTATCACCTGGGTCTACTCCTTCCCGTGCTGCATCGGGACTATGCGTACCCCTCAAGGATCACGCATCTCGACCTCGATGTCCAACCCAGCTGCGAAGCCTTTCTAAGCGGATGCCTCCCGGACACGTGTCGTGACAGCCCGCCGCCCTTTGCGACTCTGAACGGAGAGAATCTATTCACAATCGAAGACTTCTCCCTTCGGCTCGTAGAGCTCAACCTGCCCCTTCTGACTGACATTACCCAATATGACGATCTGAGCTTTCCTGTTCTCACTACACTCAGTTTCGCCGCCAATACAGTGGATACCAGGCATAATGTCGAACAGCTCGCTCGACTATGGCCAACGCCAGCGCTGGAGTACCTAACTGTTACCTGCCCCACAGCCGGTCTATCACATTTTGACCTATTGGCATCGTTGGCCGAAGGGACATGGTTACAGCCATTGTTGTTGGCCGATGGTCAACATCTTCGCTACCTGCATATCCGCACGGACTATGATTGCTGCGTGTGCGACTTCACGCTCGACATTGAGCCCATGCTCAATGCATGTCCGCTCCTCGAACATGTCGTTCTCCCGCCCCATGCGACGGTGCCGCATAGTCATCCCTCTCTGCGTTGGATCGACGTATGGGAACCACCGCTACTGGGCCGGCTGTCTCTTGATTCGATGGACTGTATCTGGGGGCTCCGCTCTAGGTTGCAAACCTCAGCTAGACCAAGCGAAGCTAGCACGATCCAGGAAAACCTGCCCAGATTCCGGGGCATGCGCACCCTTGATTGCGCGCTCCTAGGTCTGCGCGACCTGCCTCAAATCCTGGACCCTGTCGCTTGGAGGAGCACGAATGCCGCCTTCGTATATCCAGGCGTCAATATTGTGCACTCTCCAACGCGCGTGTGGCGCGGGGACTGGGATCCACGACGCATGAGCGAGGAGGCAGCCGAAGCCACGTCGACGGAGAGGTCACCGCCTCTGGCTCATGTCGAAGAGGGTCATACGCATGACGGTATCGATACGGCCGGCATTGGGCGCCTGGTCAAGTGACGAAGAAGGGGAAACCTACCAACCCTCGGACGAAGACGAAGATGGTGGCTCCTCTGTACACAGCTCGGACAGTTCGCTCGTGGGCACAGAGCCGGACACGGATGGATACTACAAGTACGAGGAGCCCATGAATTGGCAGTGGACGAGTGAGGACATTCTGCGTGCCTTTAGACGAGAGGGACCCCCATAAGCACCTTCGATTGTTGGCGAGCTCGGTAGGGTACATGTGAAAGGGACCAATATGGACAAGCCCTGATACTGTTCGCCGCGCTGTATGGACGATAGCCACCCTCCGTTGGACTGATTGCCCTCCGTATGCTGACGCTTTCTGACTCTAAAACATTGATGTGCCGAGCTCCGACACCTTGACCTTCTTTCTTGCTCTCAACCCGGTAATTGAATTTACAAGTACGCACGACTTCACAAGAGCGCAATCACTTCCCTCAGATTCTGCAATAAATAGTTGGTTCCACTTTACGAAATATGGAAAATGTCAAGGAGCCAAAGGTAGGAAGACACCAAGTATGTACGCATCGGGATAGATAAAGAAGGGTGAAAAACATGTGGATGCGGAGGAGAGCAAGACGAGACAGGGATGTAAAGAGGCAGCGCTCGAAAGAGGAGAATTGAAAGTGATATATATACTATATATACGCGGATTGATGGCGAAGGCGGCGACTGATGGTCAAGGCTACCGTCTCTCCATCGTACCGGGCCCGGCGTGCCAATGCATCAGAGAGCGCGGGGGTTCGACCAAGGGGGTTGTGACAACCGTATACGCTGCGACGATGTCTGCAAGAAAAGATGAGATCGGCGTGTGAGACCTATACGACAGTGGACTCACCAAGTCGCAACGCGCACCTGCCTGCTATGAGTGCTTCGCTTAGTCGGAGGCTTCGTGGACGAGGCCACTGTGACGACGGCGCTTGCGTGGGCGCTGCACCTCCTCAGCATCGCTGGCTTCAGGACTGAAAGCCGACAAGGAGACCCTTCTGAGGACGTTTGGCTCGGGCTCGGGCCTCAGCGGCATTTTCTTGAGGAGACGACCCGCGTGCAGGTATCCCGGCTTCTCCTCCCACTGGGAGAGGTCAACATCGGGGCGACGGTCGAGCTGCACTTCCGCCGCGTCCATCTCCGAATAGGTGCGCTTGCGCCCAAGTGGGCGAGGAGTTGGGACCCTTTTGTAGCCGTACTCCGTAGAGCCCTGGCTGCCGGCATGGGGAGTTTCTCCCTCAACAGGGAAGTCAATGAGCGAATTTTCATCGGTGGGTAGGCTGTTGGCACGCGCATGGCCGGGTGCGTGCGACTGCGGGCTTCCGGCGATACCACCGCGCGGTCCCGTGACTGCCACGCGAGCCCGCCCGGCGTCGCCACTGAAAGTGAAAACGTCGTCGATGGGGACACTGGCAGCCGGGAAGGTCCGCCGGGCAGGTGGGGTCGAAGGAGGTTGGTAGGGCTGGGCTGTCTCCGCAGCATGGTCGAGTGCCGCAAGCCGGGCAGGGTTGAGTTTCGCAGCGCCAGCGTCAGCGACCGCGCGGTCTTCGAGTTCAGCTTGGTCGATGCGCTCAATACCCTTCTTCTCGTCCGCCAGAGAGATAGCGCTATCCGATTGCTGCTCGCCGTGCTGGGCCTTCGGAGCGAGGTTGCCGTCAATGTTAAACTTCATCGTCACCGCATCCTCAACGGTCTGAAAGACAAAGGTCAGAATCCGCAACCCGCGACGAGCTCACGACGTACCACGCCGGCCGGCAGCTCGACAAAGACCTTGCCCATCTCCATACCATCCTCCTCCGACTTGGCTCCATTCTTGAGGAGCACAAGCTCCTTCGTGACCTCGACGTGCTTGACGAGCTGGAATTCACCAGCGATGATCATGTACGCGACTTGAGCGGCCATTGTTGAATATGTTTGTTTGATGGGCTTGGAGCGATGAAGTTGGTTTGGGTGTGTGCGGTGAGCAAAGAGGACAAGCGTATGTCGTTTGGGAAGAGGAAGAAAATACGCGACGCGCCGAATTGGGGCGTGACCCTCGGGGAGTGCCGAAGTTCACCTTTATCGACCAAATGGGTAAACGGGCACGCGGTCGAACAAAGGGCTTGACGGATGCTAGTCTAGCTGCTGGGTCAATTCCCTACTCCTCGCTGTCGTCTCTTCTGATAGGCAGGCATGATTTGGAGGTAGCAGGCGTCTGGGAAGCGCTGTATCTGACGGCGTAGTTCAGTTGCCTTTATCCTTTTGAACTGACGACGATGCTGACCTCCGTTGATAACATAACCCGTCTCGCAGAAGAAGATGCAAAGTGCAGGAAGAATCTTCATGAAATGCAGTAAGCCAAGCAAGGCTTGATACCTGAGCTGAGCGCATTTCGATTTGGATATAGGCGACTTGAGCGTTGAAGACACCTGAGGCGTCTATTCTGCAGCATCAGCGATCGGCACACGAAAAACACGACGAACGCACACCATGGGAATTCAGCAAGCTGTCAAGGAACTTTCGCCAGAGCACGCGCCTGTCGATATCGAAGCATGCGAAGCGAAGTAGATGCCACAATCATTGTCACCTCCTTCATGTCTTCACGCGTAGCGTCGACTGCACCGCAGTCAGTTGGCCTCCACCTGCGGGATACTCAGAAAATCACTACTGTGCGCGCAAGGGAGTGTGCTCACCTGGGGATCCCGTCACTCGGACTGGAACGTTGCGAACAAAGACAGAAATGTCGCCTCATTTGTTCTCAACACGGTCCCGCGGAATCTGGTACGGCTCGCTCCCATAGGGCTCGTACTTGTGAAAAGGTCAAGGGAGCAGGACACCTCTGTTTGCATAAAGCTTGCTTTGGCTAGCGGGCCGCGAGAGGTAGGAGGGTGGCAGCGCGTGTCGCAATCTTCCTTGAACATTCCAAGGTCTTCCCATGCTAGCTTGCCTTGGTATTCATCAGTAGGCGCGAGTGCAAGGACCCCAAACTGTCTGTTGCGCTCTGGAGGGGACCACTACGTGCAGAGGAGGATCTCGACAAGGAGGGAAGACGCGCGCAGAGCGACGAACTCTCTGACCGGTACCGAGTTGAGCACACAAAGACGAAGTCTGGCATTCCAAGGACATTATCGCGAGGAGGAGGACCGTGCTTCAAGCTGGATTGGGAACGGCGCGGCAGTCGTCGTGGTGGACATCAAGCAAGGAGCGAGTTCTCTGGCCGATCTTTGTCGTTCCAAACCATCACGGCGGTCGCGCTATCGTCCGTCCTCCCTTACACTTCCCCCACCTCCAGCGAAGCTCCTTACAGCACTCCTCAATGAAGTTCTCCTCTGCTTTGTTCCTCCCGCCTGGATCGCGAAAACCTCGCGCTAGCGTGGACTTTAATTGTCTGCCCTCGGCACACTGCTTGCTTGCTTGCGCTTTACCCATGCAAGGTGTTATGTACTGACCTACCCAGGACCGGCAAAACTCTCGAAGCCCCGCTACCACCAGCAGTCGTCTCACTACCAAGTGCGTATCCTAACAAACTCATCTGGAACCGCCGAGCTGATCTCGCGTTCGACAGGCCAAATCGACGCTCAAGTCCCCTCAGCAAATTCCCTCGATAAATGCTCTTCATGAAAATATGTGACCGCTTCTCGCACCCACCACGTCTGTCTAACCGGAACACGCGTGCGCGCTGCACAGCAAACCCGCCGTTGCAAAGTGCAAGTTGACTGCCCTCCAGACTGCCCTCAGGAAAGCTCTCTCGCACCCTACTGTCCGTCCGCGCGCAGAACCATACTCCTTTCCCTTCGCTTCACACCTCTCGCTTGTCGTGCGCCTTCGCAGGCAAGCACATTATGAACCTACTGGCTCTGGCGTCTCTGCGGGCGAATTCCTTTTGGATCAGGTCATTGGCGATGTCTTTCGCATCAATGCTGTCACGCTGAGCCCGGTGTAGGCACCTCTCGTCGTGTCGACACCAGGCAGGTCGTCGTCCAATAACTGCCCAATACACAAAATCGTTCTCCCGTGATGTAAAGAATAAAACGATGACTCGTGCAGGCCCATATCTTGCCTCGCAGATCTGACGCGTATGATTACGGGTCTTGTACATCGGGTATTCAATTATGCAGTCGGGCCTGGCCTTATATTCCATTGCCCGGGCCATGCAAGAGTCGATGGAAATTCACGATGCAGACCTACTCTATCATTGCATGTACGAACCGACGCTATGCGATACAGCGAGGACTGCAGTGCGGGATATAAGATATATACGATAACAATAGTGCGTTAGGGAACTACCAGACTTCCGCAGACGATGCGCCGATCCTCCTGGTGCATAGTCATTCCTACGTAGAAAGCGAGCGAGCAAAGCACGCAACCACTTAGGGCAGTGGCGGCTGTGCACCGACGGTAGCAACTACTATGCAAGGCCGAAACTTAGATACTACTACTGACGCGTAACCGCTATGCAAGATCTCTAAATAGGTACTTGGCAGTCATAGTCTGTGCATCCCGATGGCGGTCTATCGATACATCTATGGGGAGACTGGGTCCGGGAGGGTCAGAGCGCGTGGAAGGCTCGCTCTACTCGACGAGTTTTCTCCAGCCGTTCTTGAGTTGCTATGGAGGGACGTCGGTGAGCACATTGCGAGGAGGACGCAGAGGACTGGGCGCCGCAGTGATGCAACGACAGGAAGGATACGCACCTCAAAGAACACGAAGAGCAGGACGGTGTTCGGGCCGAGGCGGATGAAGGCGGGCAGCCAGCCTTTGAATAAGAACCGTGCACCCTCTTCACGCAATGATTTTTGTAGGACGTGCACCAGGCTGTGGTCGGTAGACTGCAAGGGCAGTCAGCGTCAAGCAGTTTCTAGCAAAGTCGGCGGACGTACCGCCATAATACGTGAGCGGAGAACATCGGCAGGTGAGCATACGGCTAGGGGAGCATAAGCGACTTCGTAGCAGACTTGAGTGGTACGCACTCGTTGCGAAGGTCCCTGCAGCCAAGCTAGCAATCGAATGTGTAACGAGGTTGTCACCGAACTTGTATTCCGTCCCGGGCAAAGTCCATCCTAGTAATGATGTCTTGAAGAAGTCGTAGCTATCGAGAAACTGTCAAACGAGGGCATCGAAGAGGGAAGGAGGAGACGCACGAGCCTACTTGCGAAGCCTAGCAAACGACAGACGTAAGTACAGGGTACGCGGTCTTGTGACGAGCAGGACTTACGTTCATGAGGACCGCGCGTGTCTGTCGCGTCAAGGGTCAGTCTAGACTCTCGCTGCCACAGTTTGCAGACCACGCACGACGTTCGTTCCCAATCCTCTTCCCAACGCTTGGGCACCCTCCTCCTTGACAAGGCGTACCAGCCCACTTATCGCATTCGAGTAGTTGTATCTCTGCTCTATTGGTCGGACCGTATCACTCGTCATCCGCACCAAAAGCACATCTACAAATACGAGCGTGAGTCACTTTCGCCCTGGCACACAATCGCTACGCACCTGCCGGGTTGCCCGCCAGCCCACCCATCGCGCCCGCCACGCTCGCAGCGGCCAGGAGCGAAAGGTTCGAGGGCTTCTTGTCCTTGCCGAGCGCAGCCTTCATTTTCTCGTAGGAGCCTATGCGCACGAGGGAGTAGGACATCTGGCGCATGACGGAGGCGGAGAGGCCGGTATAGAGGCCGAAGAAGCCGCGCTCGGAGAGGGAGAGGCGTAACGTGGAGAGGAAGGAGGGGCGCGCGACGCCGGGATTGTGCTCGAGCGTCTGCATGCGTCTGGGGGAGGAAGGGGCAGTGTAAGCTGGCGCACGGGCGTCGGGGGACTACGCGACTTGCACTTTGAGGAGGTCCAGCGGATGCGTACAGCATGCCGCCACTGTGCGAAGCTCTGGTCAGCGCACGCCGCCACACGAGGCAAACAATACGTACTGCTCGCCGCGACACCTTACGCCCGCTGCCTCAGCACCAATGCGATAAGCGCCATTTCTGCTGACTTACCTCCCAACCTAAGCGCCCGTTAGCGCATGCTGTGGACGCGGACGGTCTGGGACTCACCAGAACGGGTACGTTACAGCCATCTCAGCCTCTCACTCTGCTGGCGGACGGGAAGGAAAGGGAGGGAAATGAAGGGGGGAGGGAAGAAACGCGCGCCGGGCGAGGTGGCGCATACAAATGGGATGCTCGCAATTACAGATCGCGTCGGCGAGAACTCAGATCTCCCGGCCCGGGCCTACCACCGACTAAACTTAGACGCCGTCGGACGCGACGACGACGGCACGGGTGGCAAGGGCGACGGACGCAGTGATGGAGGGAAGGACAAGGGGAAGGTCCTTCCCCAGATAGATCCATCGCATGCCCACTTCACAGATGCCAGATGGTAATTCACAACAAAACATCCGTAGCAAAGAAATAGTCTGCTCATAAGGATAGTGAACCGCAAAGCACGTCAACTCGAAGATACATCCACAACATGCCCATCCCCATTCTGCTGTATCGTACCCTCCGCCCCCTTCTCATTCCCTCGCAGCGTTCGCCTGTCATCCTCCACCTCCCCTTCCTCGCCTTCCTCAGCATCCTCCGCGGCATCGGCGGTACTAGAATCTCCCTCCTTCTTGGCGGAAGCGGAGGCCGACTCTCCGCTGCCCTTCGACGCCTCCCCGCTGCCGCTGTCCTTCGATGCGTCCCCGCCCTCCGCCTTCTTCGGCTGCGTCGCCGCGCGAAAGAAGCTGAGGCCGAAGCCACTGAACATGGACGGCTTGGGGAGTGTCGCGATCGACGCCAACGGTGCAGATTCGAGTACGGGCGTCGACGGCGTGGCGGTAGGTGTCTTCGACGCATCGTCCGTGGGGGTAGAGTCTCCACCAGCGTGTATTGGCTCAGGGGACTTGGGTCGTGGCGATTCTAAGCCCGAGAGGGACGAGCGGTGGGATGCTAGCGGCCGAGGTCTGCAGTGGGGTTAGCTGCTGCAAGAGAGCAGACTGATACGTGACTCACGGCATAGCAGCCTCGCCGCTGGTGAGCGTGAGCAACAGGTTCTTCAGATTGGGTAGTGTGTGCCGCATGTCCAGCGCGCGCAGATCCCGCTCGCTCATCAGCAGCTCGATGTCCTTGTTCAACAAGAACACCCCGTACTCAAAGCGGTACGTGTCGACCCCTCTCGAGAACAGCGGGAACCTGCATCGCTTCTCATCAGCCTTCTCACAAAACCAAGCCGCCGCACTCACATCCTCGGTCCTACCATAGCACTAATCCCATCCCTAATCAGACTCCTACTCCCCACACAAGTCACCGGATACATCAACCCCTGCCCCAAATATTCCGCAATCAACCTCACAACCTGCGCCGCATACCCCAGCGCCGCCGCCACCCCCTCCTCGCTCACATCCTGGTGCGTCGCCTCCGCCGGCTTCCGATAGTGCGGCAGCGTCAACGGCGGCGAGGCCGCACCGGGCAGCGTCGGTATAGGCAAGGGCACGTCGACGATGGTGTAGAGTAGGTCGGGCGGGGAGACGAGCTCGATGGGGAAGATGGATGAGAGGGTGAGGAGGTGGGTGGTCTGGAGGGGCGGGATCTGCGCGCGGAGGTCGGTGAGGAGGGTGCGTTCGGTGGCGACTTCGGCCTCGGCGGCGTCGCGGGCGCCGTCGACAAGGTTGAGGTCCTGCTCGTAGGCTTCCGAGAGCAACTGCCGCCGCTGTCGGAGCTCTTCTCGTCGAGCGTCGATCTCTTGTCGTACTGTTGGGTGCATCAGGATACATACCTATCAATCAAAGACATCCACTCACAATCATTACAATCCTTCCTCACATCCGCACACTGCACCCTCAACTCATCCACCCTACACTCCCTCTCCGAAATCTCCCTCTTCATCTCCGGCAGCCCGTCGTTCAACATCCCCGCGATACTCCCGCGGATCTCATCCAGCATCTCCTCATGATCATGTATCCCCGACTGCAGCGTCACCAGCTTGAAGAGGTCGTGCCAGGTGCCCGTCACCACCCCGTCATCGTCCTCCGCGCAAGATTTCTGGCGATCAGGGTGGTGGTGCCGTCGGCGGGAGACGATGCGCGGGGTTTGCGAGCCAGGTTGTTTGGGGGTGGGCGGTGGCGTGTCGAGTTGCAGGGTCGTTTGGCCTTCGGGATCGGAGGCGTAGCCGGGGTCGGGAGAGAGGGGTGCGGAGAGGGAGGTAGTGGCGTTATGGACGTCCTGCACTGGCACAGGGCCTGGAAGATAGTATAGCTTCCCCGGTGGGTCGAGCTTAAGCACCAGCGTATTTGGCGGAAGGTGTGCCAGCGTCCTGACCTGTCGCCACCAATTCAACGAAGGCCCTTCGCACATAACTCATTCACTGACCTGACTCTCCTCTGGTACGGGTACCAAGTCATCCAGCGAGATATCGTAGGCCTGCAGCACCTTCCACTCCGGCTGCTCACTCGCACGCCCCTTCCCCTTCGCATCCACCGGAGGCCGGAAGAACACTTCGATGCGACACCGCGCACTGCTCGTATCCGCCCATGGCGCGAACTCATACTTGGGATCTACCGCAAACGCCGGGTTTGTCGATGGTCGATGTGGGGGAGAGATATAGCAGGGTATCGTGGCGCTGGGTATCGGAGGTGGTGGGCTTGAGGATGGTGACGGAGGTGAGGGTGGAAAGCTAGTCTGTAGGTTGGGTGACTTCTTCGGGAAGGCCTTCGACCGTGCAGCGGAGCTGAGCGTCGAAGCAGACCGATTGTGGGTCTGCGCCTTGGGGGAGAGGGGTGATTCGCGGAGGGTATTGCGCCGCGGGGGCTCGAGATGCGCGACACTGGACGACTTGTTATGTCCGTTGGGTCGGCGATTGGGGGAAGCAGGTCGAGAGGGTTCCGACGGTTGCTCCGGTATGCTGAGCGCAATAAAGGTCTCCGTGAGCCTCGAACCAATGATCTTCGCCAGCACCGCCTGCGAGTGATCCGGCAGAAAGGGTGTATTCGAGTGCGCGCCGCGTCCAGCCTCCAACAAGCTAACCGCAGACGATATCGACCCCGTACGTGGTCGTGTATGCACCTGCACATTCTTCGGCAACGAGCTATTACTCTGAAAGCTCACCCGCGAGCCCGTGCGCCGCCTGCCGCGGCCGGGCGCGGGGTGCTCGCCGTCATCCGACTTGGGGCTCCGGGAGAGGGACGCGGCGGAGGTCTGCGAGATGCGGCGCTGGCGTATGCGCGACGCGGTGAGCTCGAGGTCGTCCGCGGTGTGCTGGGGCTGCTCCGCGGAGTGTGTGAGCGCAGATGCGAGGGCAGTATCGCGCACGGGAAAGGGCGTGAGGTGTCTGATCTGGATGCTCGAGATGTGGCGGACGCGGTGCTATGCGGGTCGATATGTCGTTCAGTATGCTTTGGTTGCAGCAACATACGTTAGTGGCGCACCTCATTGTAGAGCATGATAGACGAGAACAAAGAGAAATCCGGTTGTCCTTGTTTGGCAGGTATTGTTCTCCTCGATTGACTGCTTGTTTCTTGCGATCACCTTCGACATGGCGGACACCATGTTTCCCCGGCAGACGCCAGCCTATATCCTCAACTTTCAGTTCTCTTCCTGGTACCCGAGGTTCTCCAGCGTCAGCATCAAGTCGACGATCATAAAACCTCTGCCGGAGGACTTTGCGGACTACATGAACGAGGATAGCATATTCCTACCCGAAGGCAGCGAGGACATGTGCGTCTTAATCATACCTGCCAAATCTCCTCTTATTCGCCGTCCTAGATAGCGCTGCAAGCAGTTCACTCTCAGACGATGAAAAGGAGGACGCAGACGACGATTATGACTCGGACGAGCCCCGGCGAACGTATGCCTTCCCGGAGCTAGACGCCCAAATACGCAGCGCGATCAAGCGCTACGAGGGCTCCGTCTTCCCTAAGCTCAACTTTTCTTCCCCTCGGGTGCGTAGCATCTCAATTCCCCCACTCCAAGCGTAGCAACTGATCGCCCCGCAGGACGCAGCTTGGATGCTCCCCTCCTCGTCCCCCCTCAAATGCACGTCCCCAGCAGACGTGTACCTCCTGCTCAAATCCTCCGACTTCATATCCCACGACCTCAACCGTGATCTTGTCTTCGACGGGCAGACGCCGGGGCCGAACGAGCCCTACGAGCTGGAGCTGGTCCTGAGGAAGTGGTACGCTGTAGATCGCAGCCGGGAGATGCGCTGCTTTGTGCGCGCTGGACGCTTGATAGGTGCGAGATTTGCTCCTCACTGAAGTATGTACTCCAGCTAAATTACCCACCAGGCATATCCCAACGCGACACGAATCACTACCCCTACATGGCCACCGCCGAAGTCCAGCGCGACATCGTCGACGCCATCACGCGCTTCTGGACCGACAAAATCCAGTCCAACCCACAATGGGAAGTTGAGGATTGTACGTCTACCCCTCTTCATTGCACTCCTTACCACTCACTCACCCCCACCCCAAGACATCTTCGACATCCTCCTCACCCGCGACCTCTCCAAAGCCCACATCATCGACTTCAACCCCTACTCCCCGCGCACCGACTCACTCATGTTCTCTTACGAGGAGCTCGACGCGCTACATCGCGTGCACACCAACGCCATGTCTACGGGCAACCCGTCCTCTCCGCCACCGATCCCCCAATTCAAATACGTCGACTCTCCAACGCATCCGTTCGCGCGCTCGAACGCACCGGCGCACCAGCACAACATGGTCCCGATGGAGGCGATCAGTCTGAGCAGCGGACGGGATATCGCAGAGTTCGCTGAGGTGTGGCGGGAGGAGGTGAGGAGGGGGGCAAGGGCAGACGACGAGGACGGCGAGTAGATATATTGAATCAACCTGTGATGCGACCGCCAGCAGACTTCATCTCGTGTTCTTCGTCTCGCTAATGTCACTGGCGTCCAGCCATTCTCTCTCCGCGATCTGCCTGGCGCCACCAGCTGCGTTATGCTCGCCGCTACAGATGAGTGATTACATCTTGTTTGATTTCTCTTGCTGGAGGTAGTAACCGGCGCTATCCCCATTCGATGTATGTTCAGGTTGAACTTCTGTTTGGACACCTGTCAGACATACTTCTGCACCAAAGTTAACCAGCTTCTCGCGACCCGCTCCTGCTCCCGACGTCCATCATGCCCGTCGAAACCCAAGCCAGGCCGGCTCTCGCTCCCCGTTCGCCCAACAAGACCGCCGCGCCGGCTCACGATGACCGCGCGATGAAGAAAGCAGTTGCGGACCTTTTCGCTCGCGAAAGTTAGGTTTTCTTCGTTCAGTGCTTCACGAACATATATTCACCATATACAATTCCAACCATATCTTGCATACTCACACCTTCACCCAGCCGACGCCCGGATCCTCGAACACCGCCGACAACTTGACTTCCAGATCGAGGCCTTCAAGCAGCGCCAGGAGACGCTCATCACCGCGCTCCCGCGCACCGTACGCTCAATGACGATGCGCGAGTTCATGACGAAGTACGACGGGGACGTGAAGGCGGCGATCGCGGGCCAGAGTGGAAGAGTGGGTGCTGGAGGTCTGGGCGGCATCGCCAGCAACTGCAGCGGAAGGGTCGCGGGCCTCGTCGCGCAGGCGCAGATGCAGAAGGAGGAGCTCAACAAGAAGCGCAAGCGCGTGGAGGACGATTTGGACGCTCTACGCGCTGCGAAGCGCTCGCCGCAGAAGGCGATGGCTGTGATGAGGGAAGGAACGCCGGTGAGTGGGATGTATGCGCGCTGCGGATATGGCGTGAATGACTTGATCTGATTCTGACCTCCTCTTGCCTCTGAACATAGCTGAAAACCCATACGGACCGCTTTATCTCGCCGTCGCCATCTAAGAAACGCCTCATACAGACCCCGACGCGTCAGACGCCCTCGCGTATTCAGCCTTCTCGCATGCAGTCGCCATCTCGGGTTCATGATGCCACGCCTCGCGTACAAGTCACGACACCCTCTCGCGTCCGACCGCCCACCATCGCTACGTTCAGCCCTGCGCTCACGCTCTCGAAGACGCCCAAGTATCCTGGAAGTCACACCCTTGCAAGTGGATCCTCATATCAAACGATCTCAGGCTCTCCGAATCGTACTCTGGGTGGCTCTCCAACCCGCCTCCTCGCTGGCTCACCCTCTCGCATCCAAAACGACTCTCCGAATCGATTGAACGTCAGCGCTGCTACCAGTCCCGCCCGCCGAGTCCCCGTCAAAGGCCGCATCATCGTTCACAAACTCGACTCCCAGCCTTCCGCCTCGACCTCGTCCGCTACCGGCGCCAGTCTCGCGCTCTCCTCCATTTTCGCCAAAGCTCGCGACTCTCCTTCTGCCTTCGCCATGACGCCCCGGTCCGCCTCCAACCCTGCACCGCCGTCTACCTTACGACCCGTTGCTACGCCTCTCACCCCGCGTCGCGCGCACTCTACGCTCGCGCTTCGTACCTCGACTCTCGGCGTGCGCATTCCTACAATCGATGGGCATGTCCTAGAGCTCGATCCGCTGACAAACTCGCCGGGAGATTTGGATCGATTGCAGGGGATCTCGACGCGTGCGAAGCAGGAGGCGCGGAAGGAGATGGGGCGGCTGGTGGAGGGGGCGATGCGGAAGTGGAGGGTGGGGTAGTGGAAAGCAGAAGTTAGAGTGGAATAACCCGAAGTGGATAGGCTCACTGGGTTGTCATATCGATACTTGACAGTCTCGTCAAATCAAACTGCAATGTTATACGGACTCGAAGAGGGCATCTTCAGTCTCGAAAAAGTGACGAACTTTGCTGCAGACATCACAGGCGCGCGACGTGCACAGAAATTTAGGTCCCTGTTCGGAAGCTCGTCCTGTCCGTCACCTCTTATACTTCTGCTTAGTCTGACTAAACGTTGACATGAGACCGTATTTGCACCGGAATATATTGGCCGACTGCCCATAGAGAACAATGGGATTCGCGTGCAGCATGCGTCGGTATATATCGGTGCAAATGCGGTTTATTGCCGGTATGGAAATGTGTGAGCGGATTTCTCGAGGGAATTGCTACCAAACTCGGTATGGCGTTGGGCTCTATGGTAACTTTTGGCTTACTCTTTTGGGGGCTTCTGAAGCTTATGCTAGAGGCAGAAATCGTAGCGTCTACGTAAAGTATATATAGCAATATGCATATAGGTGTGGTCCGCGTATTGCCAGTGATATTCTGATTGAGTGTCTGGACGGCGAATCATCTGTCCCTTCGGAGCTACAAGGGCTAGTTGCCGCACGGAGTCCGATCCACGACCGTCCCCCACGCCTCAAGCTGCTTCTGCCATTCCCCCTTCGTAGCACAGCGGCAGACGCCACGTTCGCACTGATATACACTCGAGTGCAATGTCAACCGCGCGATTGGTCTCACGCCTCCTACGCAAGCAGCCTCCCACCGCGACTGGACGATCTGGCTAAGCAACACAGCATCATGGTTGGTGAAAGCAGTGAATCCCCCCAATGTCAGCACGAGATGATCCAGATTCGGCAACAGTGCTGTCGCATTCGGTTGCAGTATAAGTCCTTGCAGAACCGGTTCTAAGTCGCAAGCTTGGTCGCCATGGCTGTACACAAGCTCGAGGCGTGTCAGCGCGGGGTTGCAGGCGAGGATGAAAAAATATGAGGCATAATCGGGGATCGTATTAGTTCGGTCGATATGACGGCCACATGCGTTGATGACTAGGATCTCAAGCACCGGGGGTGACGAGCCTCGCAGCATGTCGAGAACATGGGATGCATGTATATCCGGCCTCGCCTTCACATGGTCGCCAGTCTTGAGGGCAAGGCTGACCAGACCAGGAGCACGGATATATTTGCACACGGCATGCCCGTAATCCACAACAGTAAGACTGCGCAAGTTGTCGAAACGAAGCTGTGGCGCCGCTGTCTCCATCTTCTGGCTCGCATATTTCGAGGAAAGATTCAATCCTAGGGTCTTGAGGCTGGCGCAGGACTCGAGGATGCGCATGTCGGGCTCGTCGAGAGAGATTGTCGCGATCTCCAGGTCCTGCAGTCTGCTCCAGCAGATCGCAACGCGAAATATGGGGCCACACCAGCGCAAGGCAAACCTCCGTAACTTAGGCGCGTCGAAGCTGAACCTGCGCGCAGAGAAGCGACCGCCGAAATGTGAGTCATAGAAGTCTTCATTGCCCATGATGCGAAGACTCTCCAGCAACGGAGCATCGAGGGCTATCTTGAAGCCGGACGAAGGGCACCATTCGATGCATCGGAAGCGGGCTAAGTGGGAAACCACCCACTGGTCGATGAGCGTGTCCCAAAATTGGATGTGGAAGCCTTCGGGTATCGTCAGGTCGATAGGTCGCTCGCGTGCGCGCGCCAGCAGGCAATCCGCGTAAGAAGTGAATTTCGCGGGAGCGCCCTCAGAGTGAAGTCTCCAGAAAAAGCTGATGTTGCACCACAGGTCGGACATGGCGAGTGTGATGGCGCGAAGACGGTGACAGGTCTGAGCAAGCGGAAATACAGCACGGCCACTGCCGTGAGTGAGCCACTTATCCGGCAGCGATGCGCGGACGATGAGCTCAAGGATCTCGGTGGGGAGCCGTCGCAGAGGGGAGAGCAGACTCCGCTTTGTTCGCCTGTCTTCGACAAGCTTGGTGCGGACGCGGCGAAGATCGGCTGCGCGTTCCATGATGATGGCAATCTCCTTGTCGATGGACGCGATGGAGAGGTTGATAGAGGTAAAGTCGTGCATGAGCACGGCTGTGTCTGGCGCTGAAGGTACATATGCAGAGCGGAGAGTTTCGAGACTCGGAGGGTCGGCGTAGGAACATGAGGCCACTGCGTGTCCGCATCTCGAACATAGTGGCGTTTTTGCAACAATCATGCCGTGATACCTGAAAGACATGCAATACGTTAGCCACTGCTTCATATTTTGGCAGGTACGCTCAGAAGCCGACGATACTGACCTTTAGGCGAAGTCGTGGTGACAGTGGAAGACAAGGGGCACGTGTGTTGACGCTTATTTATTCCGGTGATCAATTAATTTACATCGCCCTTTTTAAGTTGGTGAGTTAGGAATGTATATGAGTAACTCATCCTTTATCCCCAGATTCCCGCGACTTTTTAGGTACAAGACTAAACGCTGCAACCAATCATGATTACGTTGCTCAGGCACACCTGCCAAGCCGTGACCCCGCCGCCGTCGGCTTGCACTCAAAGATACTCTCAGTGTACGCACCTTCTCCGTAGCGTGTAAGCGGCAATTCTCTTTGGGCTTTCCTTCCTCGGCGCGGTCGACTGCGCCCTCCTTCGCATCGTCGTGCCCTTGAGTTGCGCAGGCATCGACGTTCGAACGCTTTACGATATTGTGATTACGAGCTAGTCATTGTTCCGACAAATATCCGCCGAGATCCCGTGCGCTTCGGATCCATCCGGGCTCGATCGAGCCCCGCTCGTGCGCAACGTCGACGCAGACTTTGAGTATAGGGAATTGTGCGCCATTGCCCTCCGTGTGTTCTGTCGCTCAGACACAAGCAGTCGTTCAGAAGTGTGACCCTTGTGGTGCAGCGTGAACGGGGTCGATTCATCGACGCCTGTTTTGTGTTATCAATAACGTATGGACATGGGTCCAGTCACGCGTCATTATGGGCTTGTTCGCTGCCCCGCTACAGATAGCCGACTCATACTGCCAAGTTGGACAGTACTCGCCCATACCACACCCCTAGCGCAGACAGCGGCACGACACCTCCACAGTGCCGTATACCTGTATTCTGGTGTAGCTGGAGGGAAGGGGCGAGCGCTGGGGATGCGACGGCGCCGTGTGCTTGGCGAGCAGCTCAAAACCTTCCGAATAGGGATCCAGCTTGATTGGGCACTTGTTCGACTTACACCTCTTCTCTGCGGCCCTCACGTCCCCCCTTCTTGTAACGTGTCACATCTGGTCGATAATTTGCTCTAGCACCCTCTACTGCGCTCTGCTGGTTGATGAACACGCCAAGGACGATGCGGAACGACGTAAACAGGCAGAGGGGCACCGTGCAAGGATCTCTGCACAGCACTCGTGCCCAACCTTCTGACGGTTCGTGTATGACTTACCTCGAAGCCACTCATCACCTAGCCCGCCACCCTGGAGCCCGAGCGACGATGACGACGGGGACGGAGACGGCAGCCTCATCCGCGAGTACCAAAGCAACCGCGCGCGTAGCATGGCCACTATTGATTCCAAGTTCGTGAGGAGGTCTTGAGTCGCACCCTCACCGAGACGCAGCGCAGCGCAAGATGCGGGAGGCGGGCGGGAGTGGCACGATGCGCGGGCGTCGTTCTAGCGCAAAAGCTTCGAGAATGAGTCGGACGTTGACGAGACATGCGTGCGGCCCTCGACAACGCCAGGAGAAGGAGCTGGGGGAGGTAAGCACCGCGCTGATGCTGACCTGCCACACAGCCGGACGCGCGCGGCAGCGCCGTCGCCGAGGAATGCGCAAGGGAGTGCACGCAGGAGGTGGGAGGCAACAGGGGGTAACGGAAGGGTGTCGGAGGGAGTGGGAGCACAAGCAGGAAGAGGGGGGAAGGAGGGACTAGCGCGTGTCGGTTGTACAAGTACCTTGCTTGTAGTAGATAGACCAATATAATGTTGTTTGCTCCTTAACGAGACGAGGTCGTGCGCGCGAAGACAAGACGAGGGACGTGAGCGGGGAGCAGAGGAGAAGGGAACAAGGGAGAGGGAGAAAAAAGAACGAGTAGGGAATGAGAACTCGAGGGAAGAGAGAGATTGACTTGGGAGGGGAAGGTGATTGAGGAGATGAAGGGGGGGATGGGGGCAGGAGCAGGAAGGAGGGGGGAAGGGGATAGAGAAAGGGAGCAGAAGGGAGAGAAGGTACGAGTTTATGGGACGGTTTGAAGCAAGGGGATGGCTAGAGGAGGGTACAGGCAAGGAGAGCGAAGGGAAGAAGTGGGAGGGGTGGAGGTAGGGGTAGTAAGCCCCATTTCAGCAAAATGCGAGGGAGAGGGCGCATTTTGACATTTGTAGCAACCGCGCCACCCAACTCATCCCAAACTTTAATCCTCTCGCGCGAAGGTGGAGAGGGGTTAAAATTAATCGCATTCGTAGTCTACATACATGCCTTGTAGTCGAAGGGTATTTACGACGAGGGCGGGGACCCTTCTCCTCGAAATCGAGGGCTTTCTCGTCAAAGTCGAGGTTGGTGGGGTAGTAACTCTAAGGTACTATCTCACCGTTTGTTGGGATGCGTTTCCCGCCGGGTTTTCAGAACGACTTTCGGGTGAGCCGGACTTTGATCCGATTCGGCCGACCTGTCCGTCCCACGTCATCGTCATTGTCCTACGCCACGCGTCTCCCGCCCACCTGCGCGCATGCCGCCAATTGACTTCTCGACCTCCCCATTCCACCTCAAGCGCGACCGATGGTGCGACCGACGATGACCTTGTGCGCCTGGGTCTGAACCGCCACGCAACGACGCGTGTAACGTCGCTCGGTAGTGCGGCCCGATCAGCGCTGAAAGACAGCGATCGGCCGTGACGCGATGACGACACGGGATCGTGTCCGGCAATCTATGGGACGACAAGCTTTGGCAGACGCGGGCAGATGCACGACAGGGCGTAGGGCACGTCAAGCGAGCGAGGCGACAAGTCGAAGGCTACCCTGCGCTGGCGAGGCGGTCATGGAGGCGGCGACAACACGCGGGAGCGAATAATGCATACTCTACGCGGTCACGCGCCACCCCATCGCGAGTATCCGCTCCCTTTTCCCCTGCCACCTGGTCGACCAGGGGACGCTCCTTACACTCTCATCGCGGCGGCCTCGATGGGGATCACCGGCTTTCTCCTCGTGCCCAAGTCGATTTAGACGACGAGGAAGCTATCCGACTTTGCGGGACAGACGATCGCGGTCTACGGATACGTATGGCTGCACCGGGGCATTTACAACTGCTCGGTTGAGCTCGCGACGGAGAAGAAGACACACATGTGCGTAGCTGACACGCTTTGTCTGCTCGTCACTAACACCGCGCACATACATCGACTACTTCATGCACCGAGTGCGGATGCTGAGGCACAACGGTGTCGAGCCGTACGTTGTCTTTGACGGGGGGCCACTTCCTGCGAAGAAGGGGATGGAGAACGAGCAAAGGCAGAAGCGCGAGGAGAGCATGGCGTGCGCAAACATGCTCGCAGCGCAGGGCAAGCACTCGCAGGCGAGGGACCACTACCTCATGTGCGTAGACGTCACCCCCGAGATGGCATACCAGGTCATCAAGGTGCGTGGCGCATAATGGTACCCAGAAACACTAGCTAATCCCCTCCTAGGCGCTTCGCGTCGAGAACGTCAAGTACGGCGTCGCGCCATACGAGGCCGACGCGCAAATGGCCTTCCTCGAGCGCACCGGCGCCGTCCACGCCATCATCACCGAAGACTCCGACCTCCTCGTTCTTGGCTGCAAGAACGTCCTCTTCAAGCTCGACCACGCCCACTGCACCGTCATCGCCATCTCTCGCGCTGACTTCGCCTTCGTCACTGCGTGCGACGTCGTCTCCCTCGTGCGCTAGACGGACGCACAGCTCCGCACCATGGCGATCCTGAGCGGGTGCGACTACCTGCCCAGCATAACCGGTGGGCTGCGTGCGGAAGCATAAGACGGTGGAGCAGTGCGTGAAGGCGGTCACAAGGGAGGGGAAGAAGAGGATCCCGATGGGATACGTATCCCAGTTCAAGCTGGCGGAGCAGTGCTTCCTGCACCAGCGCGTCTATGACCCAGCCCGTGAGGAGCTGGTGCACCTGACGGATGTCGGAGACGACTGGACGGAGGAGGCAGACTCATATGTTGGGCCGTAAGTGGGATGAACAAACTCTTGAGGTATTTGCTGAGCTCATTTACAGGCATATCACCCCGGACATCGCCAAGGGCATCGCTTATGGCGAGCTCGATCCGAAGACACATCTCCCCGTCAAGGACGTCTATCCGAAGTTTGTCCCACGACCGCTGAAGACACTCGACCTCAAGATCGGCATCGAGGGTGACGCCGTCGCGCCTCCAAAGAGTGCCACTCTGAATTCGGTGTCATTCTCAATTTCTTCAGTACGTTGGTCGACTTCTCAGGTGCACGCCCCCCTTCCCCCACGCAGCACACACCCTCCCTCTTCTCGCCTCCTTCTTGGCCCCCTGAACAGCATCAAGAGCGAGGGTGTTGTCGAAGCAGGAGTGCCTGTGCTCGTGCGGCGAAACGGGGGTGCCTGCGTTCGTGCGCCGGCGCTTGGTAGCGTGCGACAGAGGAGGGGGAGGGGGGGGGGGAGCGCGGAGGAGGAGAGGGGAGCGGAGGAGGAGGAGAGGGGAGCGGAGGAGGAGGAGGAGGTAGCTGTACGGCAGCAGTCATGTAGCTGTAGTGTGGGAGTCGTGTACCCGTAGCATAGCGGTGGTGTATCCGTAGCGTAGCAATCGTGTACCCATAGATAGTGAATACATTGGTTTATATTTGACTACGGAGTTGTGAGCTCGAGCGGGACTACATAGTCGTGAGCTGGCGCGAGACGGCGAAGGCACGAACGGGGGAGGGGGAAGGGAGCGCGGTGGGGGAGGAGGATGAGAACGAGGGCACGACAAGTAGGCGGGGGAGGGGGCTTGTGAGTGTGAGTCAACGAGGGGTGAGTGGGAGAAGAGAGAAAAAGGAGGGGCACGAAGGGAGGTGTGGGGAAGGGGTCTCGCGAAGGGGAAGGGCAAAGTAAGCGAAGAGGAAGGAAGGAAAGGGTAGGCGAGCGACTGCACAAGTCCTTCATAGTACGGACTCTTTCCACCCGTACTTCCTGAGCTCGACCCCGACGAGATTGGGGATGCTGCACCCAACCCCGTCGAATCCTTTTCCTCCACGCGCGACGGGGGCCAATTCTAATTTCTGAGAGACAAGGGGATGTATTCAGGGTATTCTACTACACATCATCTGTCTACAACATACGACTCCCCCCCCCCCCAATCCGACGGCGCAACAAATATACGCGAGGGAATAAAATCACCCTCGTGTGCAAGTCACTCATGCCCCCGCCCTCACCCTTTCGCGCTCCCTCCCAGCCCCTGACATGGACTTGGGGACACGAGATGCCCCCTCGTCTCGTTTGTCGTATCAACATGCGAGGGTGAGGGTCTTGACCATCTCCGAGTCCTCGACCCTGCTCGCGTCGCGCCGACCACCCGACCACCACACCACCTCCATCCCTGTTGCCAGCTACGAGCACACGCTACCAGGAGGCGAGGGGAGCGACGGCGAGAAACCTGCAACCTACATCAGCCTTCAAGATAGAGATAGACAGCAAAAACATGAGAAGGTAAAAGGGGACCGCGTACTCGATCTCAACGCCTCGCTACCTCCTACTTCTAGCACAAAGGGCCCCTTCAAACGTCTGCCTAACCCAAAGCGCTCGTCGGCTCACTGACTCACCCTCGATTTTCAGCGTCGTGCGAGCAGAGCTCCGACCAGGAGTGCCGATTCTGGGAAAGCTCAACTCCTGATGAGCTTCAAGCCCACCTCGAAGCACGCATCATGGCAGGCGCGCCCTCCGCACAGGACTAGTACTATAAGGATGTCAGGACATCGTATTTCACAAAAGGGCGCAGATTCTCACCTTGTGGCAGCCGGAATTAGCGCAGGAGCGCAGGAGTGTTAGCTCTTGCGTAAACAAACTTGCCAAGCGCTTAGAAACCGACCCTTCCGCATCACGCGCGCACCTTGCACGAGTTGACATGCGATAGAAGAGCGCAGACGCGGGACACCCGCACGCTCGAGAAGCTGGGGAGGAGGCGATGGGAAAACCCCCAACTCCTCATCACATACATGCACTCACCTTTGAGAACGCGCCGGCGCGTCCGAGCGCATATCGCAAACGTTTGGCAGTGTCACCAAGACGGGATTGACACCTGGGATACCGAAGGGTACGAGGTGAGTGTCTTAGACGGGGAAAATGAGCAAACTAACCTTGAGAGCGATGAGATTGCACTCAAAGCCCCTCCCCACGCTATCCTTGTCTTTGCCCTTCGACTCGCTCACTTCCTCTCAACTCGCCCCTTCCCTCCCCCTTCTTGTCGCGCACATCGCAGTAGTTGAAATCAATTGAATTGCAATTCTACCTACTACATGACTCGTACTACGGCGAGTGAATCATGCCCCTCCCCCCTCCCCTCCCCAGCTCGCGGGGGAGGAGGAGGGGAAAAAGGCGGCAAGAAAGGGGGAGAGACGAAGGGTGAAGACCCTTCTCCCCCTTCCTCTCCCCTCCCTCTCCTCCCCTTTCAAGCTCGTTCTTGATGACCTCGCTGAAGCGCTCCGAGGCAGATGATCCTGGGACAGATGAGTATGGGGTCACAGGTGAAGGGAAGGTGGGTGCTCACCTTTGGCTCCCTCCCCCTTTGCTGTCTGAGCGCGTCCTTGCTCTTGAAGCGCGGGAAGCGTTCTCGCTCTCGAAGCGCGGTAATCCGCGTCGCGTCGTCGTGCTATTTGCGTTGTCAGCGCGAGAATGTGGTTGGGACACGAGAGGACGAGGGGGAGAAGGGGTGGTGGGCAAAGGGAAGGGCGGGGGAGGTGGTGAAGCGAGGGGGGATGGAGTGATGCAAGGGGGATAGAAATGAGCGCGAGGGGGAGGGAATGAGCGCGAGGGGAGGGGATAAGCGCGAGGAGGAGGGAATGAGGGGAAGGGGGAGGGAGTGAGCGCGAGGGCAGGCGGAATGCGCACCTGCTGAATCCGAAGTGTTTCTTCGTCGTCCTCTGGCGCTTCAGACAGTCAGGCATCTGTAGGATAAGAGTCAGGCAGCTATATACAGGAGAGATGCGCAAGCGGGAGGTGACGGAAGGAGGGGGAGGAAAGGGAAGGGCGACAAAGCGCGGAGTGAGTACTCACCGGGAACTTCGTATCCTTGCTTCAGAATGCAAGACGTCGTCCTTGAGGTTGGAGCGTAGGTTGAAGCGCATTCGGGGTCGTCTCCCCTCGCCCACTTCGACACCTACAATGCAGAGGTGAGCAGTCGAGCGAAGCGTTAAGGAGGATGACTCACCAATGCTGCTTGAGAGCGCCTGAAGAGGTCAATTCTGAATCTCTTGACGGAGCACATATTTGCCGATCTGCATGGGCGGCTGGAAGCGCAAGGTAAGCGCGCTTGAAGGTCGTCGTTATCGATATCTTGAGGGATGCTATGGGCGAGGCGCTGCGAGTGGATGAGCAATCGTGATGAAGGGGGCGAGTAATCAACAAAACGTACCTTCATTCTCCTCCTTCTCGACGAGGGCGGAGGGGTGAGGGCTTGGGTACATCTGACTTCATCATCCTAGCCTATCAAAATTCTGCGTTAGAATGCGCGGGATGGGGTTTAGGGTCAGAAACTCACCGTGCCGCGTACCGGCATAGTTTCCCCCGCCGTGGATCGTGGGGACGGCATGCGTGGGGGTGGGCTCGCGTGGAGGTTCAGCGCGACGGCGGGCACGCAGAGGGTGCGGGAACATGAATTCTGACCGACAGGGTCAGCGTCGACGCACAAAATCGGTGGGGATGTCACTCACCTTCGTTCCCTCGCGCTGGCGGCGTTTCTCTGCCCGACAGCATCTACCCGTCTACTCCAGCCGTGCCGCGGAGCCGACGTCTGCTATCGCGTCCTGAGATTATCCACCTACGCTCTGTACTTCCCCGCATGTCTCGCTAAGTCGTCCTTGTGCTCATTTCTCGCGTCGCCTGATTTCACGCTGACAGCGGTTCGCCCTCTGTCATCGACGCGTTGACGGACGGGCGAAGACCTCTCGTCCGAAGATATCTTGCATGCCCGGTCCGTCGCGCGGCCGCGAGATCGCCCACCCTGCCGCCTCGCGCGCCGATGAAACTGCGAAAGTCAGCGAGATATTCAGAGCAAAAGAGCAATACGTACATGAGCCTTCGCAACACTCACTGGGTGACCCCGCGCATGCCTCCGGCGGTTGGGGGGTCGCGTAAAGTTGCTATAAAGCTAGTCAGTCGGCGCCTTCTGTGCGACGATGTGGTCGAGCGAGGGGGATTGAAGTCGACGGGTTCTACTCACCTCGGGGACCATGACGCCGTCGTTTGCGTTCAGCCGCGCCGCGCTGCGTATCGACATTTTTGCAGCATGCCCCACGTCTTGGGGGTCCACCACAGCCTGACGGCGGACTTTCAAAGTCAAAACACGGTCATCGGGCGGCACGAATAGTCAAGAGCGGCACTTACATTAACTTCGCCTCTATCGCCCAAGGGCCGCGCGCAGGCCTCTGGCGGTTCATCCGTCGCATGATGACGCTCTACAAAGGGTAAGTAAGCGTTTCCTCGTACTCACCTCGATGACCCCGAGAACCTGACCAAGACATGGCTTGGGGATCAAGCGCCGCTCGAGGACCTGACAGCGGCCACGTATACAGTCAGCACGGCCATCAGATAATAAGGTGGAGACGCAATACTCACCCTAGTATCCGCACGCAGGCCTCCGGCAGTTTGAGGGTCGCGCGAATTTGACGGGATGGGTCGTATCCCATCGCCCCATCGCACTTGCATGTCGAGGTCGTGATAACGGCGCGTGGCGTCGTCGTGTCCTCTACAGAGGGTGCCATATTGGGGGCTTGAGCTGGCGTGATGCGGGGGCAAGGAGACGGCCGCGGACTTGCGCTCTTGCTGGATCGAGCACATCGGTGTGACGGCGTAGATCTACAAAGGGATCAGGTCAGCAAACAGCGGTCTGTCGTAGATATCGGCGTCAACGCACCTCGGGTCATCAGATCCTTTGCCTGACAGCACTTCCGCGCCTGCGCAGCAATCGGCAAGGTGCTGATCGGTGTCCTAACCGACAGTCTCGGGCGTTCTGACAAAGGCAAAATTCGATAAGCGCGAAACGAGGGATAGTAAAGGCACCAAAACTCACCTGTACAAGTCGGCATACGTTGCGAGCTTTGTCGTCGGCGTCGTGAGGCGTGCTGACGGCGTCGCGGGCATGGTGGTGGGAAGCAAGATGATCAGTGACACGTTTCGTAACGAACTGAATTGACTTACGGGAAGTGACGGCGACGAGTTCATGGGCTGCGCATTATCTGGTCAGTCGATGAGACGAGGAGAGTAGGCTATGCGATGCGGTCAGTAGACGGCGGGCGAAAGCAGGAAAAGCTATGACGATCAGCATAATCCATTCGCGTCATCGGAGATGGGTAGTAGAGGAAAGTACTAATGAGCAATGAATATACTCACAGTGCTTCGAGGCGCACCAATTCTGGCGCTCGAGAGCGATAGCCCCATGTCGTAGGAAGGATCAGAAAAGCATTGCATAGCGATTGGAAAGACTTGTGACTTGCCACGAAGCGCCACGGACCCGAATAAAACGGCTGAAATACTCAAATCAGCACAGTGTTGTATGAGAGGGGTAATGCGACCTTACCTGTGCTATCGGCGACGCCTAGCAGAGCGTAGGATGAGTCAAACGAAAGGTAGAAGGCCTGTAATCGAGTATTCAGTAAAAGGAAGGCAGTTTGGACTGATAGCGAACCGAAAAGTGATGAAAGCAGACTTACTGAAGTCGAGATGCAGCGCGTTGTCAAGAGATTCAGAAGAAGGGCATGGAGCGAGGGTGTGTGGAGAGGGACAGGGAGCGAGGCGTACGAGGGAAGGACGGGAAGGATGGGCAGATGGATGTAGAAGAGAGGAGAGGGAGGTAGAGGAGAGAGGGGAAGTGAGGAAAGCAGCCAGCTCACCCCGCTCTTTATACGAATCCGAGGGGCGCACGGACTCTACAAACATCGCCGCGCCTTCCCCTTGATGCCCCACTACTGCCCTAAGCAAATTCCGCCCCATTGTCAGCCGGTTATTCCTTGCCACCTCGCCCTCCTCCTGCTAAGACAGAGCGGCGCATATTCCGCGCTTCTCTTCGAAATCCAGGAGTCCGCGCTCAGAAGTCGCCGTGTTTCGATCATTACAAATGATCAGACCCTGGATGATCGGTGTTGAGAAGTGGACTCCGCGCCGGTGGAAGTTTGTAGGCAAGGCGAGGCGGTAGGAGCGGAGGTAGCAGACCAAGGGACCAAGGAATCGGATGTCGGGGAGGAAAAGAATGACAGGGGGCAGACTACTTGGTCGAACGAACAGGGGCTGGGTAAATTCGAGCCCTCCAAGACCGAGGTGAAGGTCCAGCTGCCCAGCCAAGTCGGAAGAGCGCCACTGTGCAAATAACGCGATTTACGAGAGGAAAAGAGCGAGGGAGTGCGCCAGAACTCTTGAGGAGGGTCGCCACGTCGTCCCCACTCATTTCGTGTGTCCCGCTCGGGTCTTAGAGATGATGAGCAGAGACTTCAAAAGTCGCCGTGATGGTGGAAAGTGAGTTTGCCGCATAAGGCAGGCTTTCAGCCACCCGCAAGAACGAGCGCGGAAAGCCCGTCCGACTCCGCCTCGCGGAACCCTGCCATGACTGAAGTACCTGATCCGCTCGTTGACGCGCTGTGAACGTCGTGCCCGGTCCCGCATTGCAAGCATGGCGCAAAGTACGCTGATTTTTATTGGTAGCACAAATTCCAATGCCGCGCTGAGGGCCGCTTCCCTGCATCAAAGTTCCGCCGCTATGGCAGTCGCCGAAGCTCCGTGCTTCGTTGATCTGAAGCTCGAGTGGTGACGTCGAGCGGTGGAAGAATGCTGTCGGGGCGAAATCTGGATGTATGTCAATCAAGCGTACTTCCCATTGTCCTACGGCGCTCGGGAATGGCAGAGACGATGCTCGCATGATGGGGGAGTACTCGCCGTCAAATTGAACGCGCACGGCAAGGCGAGACCGCGAAGCTGTCTGCCGTGGGCTGAACGGGGAACTCGTGCGCTCTTGAGCTGATTTCCCTGTTGAAGCGCAGGACTTGCCCGGTTCTCATCACAGGCACAAAAGGGTAGACTCACGTTCCTTACAGGTCAGTCACACTCCTTCTCAGGCATTAGACGCGCGTTGGCACTTCCGACTCGCGCATCTCATTTCCGCCGGCTCGGTAGGCTGCCGCTGGATTCTATGAGAACGGGGCGGGGGAAGGTCTTTGGGACTTCTGTGATGGTGAGTTCCCGCTCGTACCTTCCTCCCTTTTGTAGTACACTTGTCTTTCTCCCCCGTCGAGGTCTTCGTGCCCTCGGCGGCTTATCTGATCTGATCTCGACACGGGGGACGGTACACGCAAGTCGGTGCATTTTGGTGTGTTTTCGGTGTATTGGGTACGGATGGGCGTCGATTGGTCGTAGGAGTGGTAGGTATGCGTATCTATGGTGTTGGTGTCGTAGGTGGCCGAGGGACGGTGGTGGGCGCGTGAAACAAGAGTCGTTTTGACGTCTCGCGCCGGATTTGAACGCGGCGGCTCATCGGCGCGCGGCTCCCGGTTGACTGCTGATCTCGCAGCCGACGCGATGAGCGTCTTGCTTCTGACCGTCGTGCTCGACACCGCACCTTCGGGAATGGGTTCAGGGTGTTCAGTACGTCGTCTGCTACGCTCCACTAACCACGAGCTCACAATTCACTCAGTCTCTGTCTTGCTATCTCTCTTTCTCAATGGCTCACGAGTTGCCCACGACTTAAGCTCATCCTTGCTCGGTTTCTCGTCGTTCGACAGGCTCAATGGACTCGCACCCTGCTCCCTAGTATGCTTCTTGATCCTGTAGACTATGGGTGGCTTTCTGTCTTACTACTGAGTGTTTGAATGATCTATACTCATGAGTTTCGAGTCTCGAGTCTTGATGAGCAGCTTGCCATCTTGAGCTCGCTGCAAGCAACCCCACCGCTGCCTCCTCGCTGCCACGAAGGGGACTTGGCCCACCTCGCCATCGCGATGGAAAGCTGGCTCACCGCATAATCGCGAAGGAGGGCTGCCTTCACCTTGCTTCCCATCTCCCCCTTCACCCCCTTCTCGTGCTCTGCGTCTTCTGGGTTCCCTTCTCTTCAAGTCCTCGCCCCCTTCCCTGCCTTGGAGGCGCTGTCTTTCCCTCCGCCCCCTCCTCGCCGCTCCCTCGCGCGGTCATGCCCCTCTCCCCCTCCCCCCTCCCGTCTTCGAAGCACCAGAGTGCGCACTTTACCCTCCCTTGTCCTGCCCCTCCCCTTCCTTTGTCTCGCCCCTCCCCTTCATTCTTCTCGCCCCTCCCCCTCCTTCGCGCTGTCTCCCCTTCCTCCTTCCCAGCTCCTGATCACCCCCCTTGTCCCCTCCCCCCTGATATCCGCGGCGTGTTGGTGTGTCGCTGTAGAACAGATGATCGGATATCTGTTAGCCAGATCGGGCCTACCTATTACCCGATCAGGTTAAGTTCGAATACCGATCGAATGCCCGATCATACCCCTAGCTTTGTCAGGATACCTGTGTATGGTGTATGCCTGCTTAGTGGAGGTGGCTTCTTGCTGGCTGTGATGCTCTGCAGGATCAATAGTGACCTTGCAATACACCGACGCTGTGCGAAGCGCGGCGTGTCGGTGTGTTGCTGTAGAACTGTAGGACTGTAGGACTGTAGGACTATTGAGTACATGTTTTGACTGTTCAGTCAATATGTTCTAGTTTAATTGGACATGTATTGTGGATGAGCTGTCCATACTGCATGTTGAGCAGCCATCACATGTGGATACAGAGCAAAGATGTCAATATGAGCCTGACAGATGGCAACTTGCACATATCAGGAAGAACCCCCCTGATTAGACTACCCCACCGTACGCCACGCGAAGCGCTGGCCCTCTCTAGACCTAGTCCTCCTCCTTGACATCGAAGACGAGGCTTCGTTACTCATAGCCCACGCCTTCGTAGACGTCGCGCATTGACTCCGCCGCGTGGTGGGCACCCTTCCCCCACCTCACTGTCGCTCCTTAACCCATTCTCGCCGAAATCTGACTGATTGACCCGAGCGGGTACGAGTGAGTAAACAGCTTCGTACCTTCAATCCCTTGAAGCCCCCACCTGTCCTTTGTCGTGCGGCTCTCGTTCGCGCTCCCCCTTGCCTCCGTCGGCCCTTCTCACTCGCATCTCTTGCCTTTCTCACTCGCATCTCCCGCCCTCGCTACGCGTCGAGGTAAAATGCAGCGGCCTCGCCGCAAGGTTTTCGAGCTCTGCACGATTCCCCTCGACGATCATAGTGGTGGAAACGAGAATGGAGGGGGTAGCGCAGATCCCCCCTTGCCCATCCATCCCCCCTCTCATAGGGTCCCTCTCCCTCTTGTGTGCTCTGCACCCGACTTCATCCGATTGCTACGTCGCGCGGATCGCATCTTGAGGCGTCAATTGGTGTCATAGAGAGCTGACTCGTCGGCGTTGAGCGCGACAATGTGGGTAGGAAGAAGGGGGAGGGGAGCTCTCGTCGAAGACGTCGGTCTCGGGGATCTTGAAGGCGTGGGCGTCGGCCTGAAGGGGTTGTATCGTGTCGTTCTCAACGAATAGACAGTCAGTGATACATCACGAACCACATAAATGACTTACCTCGCCGCATCGCATCCTACTCATACGTGTAGACCTGCCCCTTTGCTTGTAAGGACATGCAAAACCCTTGCTGGTTGACGCACCGTGACCCTTGTCAAGGGATGAGCAAAGAGCTCCCTTCGACGAAGGGAGCTGTTCCGCCGCTCTCCTGGGCTCGGCCAAGCGCACCGTGAGGGGTAAGGGGTACCCCACCCCTTTCGCATCCTTCACCTCGGGTGCGCGTGCATGCCTCCGGCGGTTGGGGGTCCGCAAAAATCACCTAAACAGAGGTTCAGCACATCATTGACGAGCTCGGGCGACGCAACTCACCAAGCCATGCGCGCATGGGAGCGCGGCACCCTTTTTCTGACCCCGCGCGAGGGGTAGGGGCAACATATCCCTTCCGCGTCATCCGCCGAGGGAGCCTGCGCTAGCCTCCGGCGGTTCGGGGTCAGTGAAAACTGCCACGAGTAAAGGGTCAGCATGTCGTCCTCAATTTCATTGAAGGAGTCGACTCACCGATACATGACGAGGGGGTAACGGATGCCCCACCCCTCTCGTATCCTTCACCTAGGGCGCCCGCGCATGCCTCCGGCGGTTTGGGTCCAGCACATGACTCCATGAACGAGGTTAGTACGCCATTTACAACTTGAACGAGACTACTCACGAAATCATGAACTCACGAGCACACAACACCTTTCTTTGAGCTCGTTCAAGGCTGGAGGTGCCCTAACTCCTCCGCAAACTTCGCCGTTAGAGCCGGCGCTCGCCTCCTGAGGCTCGGGGTTGGCAAAAATCTGTCAAAATGGACGGTCAGCGTGTCGTTCAAGAGTGCTTCACAACATGGGACCCACCAATTCATGATGACGAAGGGTGAGGATGACATGCCCCTTCCGCGTCCTTCGACAAGGGAGCGCGCGCATGCCTCCGGCGGTCGGGAGTCCGCGAAAAATGCCTGCAAACCAAGGGTTAGCAATTCATTGTAAGAGAAAACGTGGGGGATGCGTGTATAGCATCAAAACTGACCTGATTTAGCCCCGTAGCCGTCCGTAGCAGTCGGCTCGAGTGCAGTGAAGGGGCCCTGCACTTTCGCTCACCTCGCCTATGGACACCGCGCGTGCCTCCGGCGGCTCGGAGTCTACGAAAATATCTGAGCAAATGAGGTTAGCATTACATTATTGCAGCAGGGCGTGTATCGCAGCAATAACTCTCGGAAATTGGCCCAAGGCCTCCTGCGTGTGTTAGGATGGAGGGGGCCTTCACCTTCGCATCCTTCACTCGAAGGGGTCCGCACGCGTGCCTTTGGTTCAGATCAAGAGGTATTAGTGGCACGACGTACCGCGTATTCCGACGTCGGGGATGAGAGAGAATCGCTACAAAGGGGGTCAGCATGGTTCTCAAGGCGTAGCAACAGCGAAAACATCACTACTCGCCTTTGATAACCCCTCGCAGCGGGTTTGCAAAGGTTTGGGTACCTTGGTAAGGTCGTCGGAGGGGTCAGCGCATGACTTCGGTGGTTCAGAAATCACCGAAACTGACTGAACATGGGGTCAATACGACGAGTAGCAGGAACGGTGACGATCTCACCTGTGATATCTGTGCCCAGGCTCATTCGGCATCGCCAACGATAGCCCCGATTCCTCGCCCCACAACCTTGCCATCCTCGCTGTCGTGCAGAGCACGCTTCCCCCCGTCTCCCAGGCTTGTGAGTTGCGTGTAGGGCGCATGCGCGGCGCAACGGCGACGGTGTCAGACGACGAGCCAGGTGTCGCGTCGTAGCAGGGCGTAGGGGAGCATGGTGATGGAGGAAAGGAGTGCGTACCGTCATCATTCCTATTCATTCGAGACGCCGTGTCAGCTGTTGCACGCGGCGAGGAAGTTTGAAAAGCTTGCCTTGACGTCGTGCTCGGCGCTCTCACGGGCAATGCGCCGTCGTCAGTGTGAGCGTCGATAAGCGCAGCAGCGCGCTGCTTGACACGGCTATGGATAAGGTCAGTCGTCGGGCACATGCGAGTGGAACGGACTCACAGCATCGCATGTCGCCGTCTCAGATAAACATGTTCTCGTCGTCAATATTTGCTGCAATGTCACGTCGCGCGAAGGCAGGGTACTCTCCACTCAGGTCAACTTCTCTCGCCTCCTTCCCCTTGTCCTCTCACACAGCCTCGTCGTATCTGTACATTTATATGTGTCGCGAGCGACTCCTCCACAACATGCGGCTATGGGCGCACCGCCTCGCCTTCTCCCCCCCCCTCAGCGGGCACCCCAACCCCCATCCATCTCCCTCTCGCGCCGCACGTGCCGCGAGCTCATAGTACGCACGCGGTTCTTTTCATGTGCCATGCGCGGAGGGGACGTGCGGGTGCGGAGGTGAGAGCCGCGGCACGATCAGCAATGATGGCGGAAGGCGCGCCAGCCTTCCCCCTGGTATGTAGTCATCACAAGTCCCTTCATTCGTTTTTGGAGGACCTATATATCTTCAGTACTTCACCCATCTTGTGTTGGAACAAAAATCTGATTTTTCTTGCCTCGCTTCGGCCAGACAAAGATCACTGCACGGGGAAATACGCGATCGACTTTCAACAACCTGACTGATGACTATGTAAGTCGCGGGACATTCCTAACTCACCGTATGCCACGCGCAGCGTTGGCCCTCTAAAGACTAGTCCATAGATGTTCAAAGAAAACACGAATATACATATCCCTCCACAGTCTGGAGTCCCATGGTCAATCACCCCCCCCCCCCCCCCACAAGCTCGCATAGGATGGTGGTGGCAAGTGCGATGTATCAGGACCCGGGGCATGCATTCGGGGCGCAGGCCCCCTTCCCAAGTCGTACGAACTCGTTGCAGGAGAGTACTGAAAGAGGGTCAGAGGGATCGCGATGAAAAAGCAAAGGGAAAGTATATCTCGCCGCAGAAACCTCCTGACGCACTGCAAACTTCGACGACGAAGGAGAGCTAGACGGCATCGACCGCTGTGACTTCAACCACGGCGAAGTCGACCTTGCCACCTCCGAGTCTGAGTGCCTCCAAGTTTCTGTTGCGATGAAGTAGGGAGTGATTCCGGGCTGGGTGGTGGACCGCATGTCCGGCTGCCCGTTTGTTCGTCTCCGAGAACGCCTTCGGAGGAGCAGGACTGCTACGAGGAGGATCATGACGCCCGCTATCGAGCCTGCTACAATACCCGCCACCGAGCCTAGACTTAGCCTGGCTTTCGTCAGTCCCGCACCAGCGGACGGCGCGATGGATCTTACCGAGTCTCCGAACCAGCGGTCGCCGCCGACTCGCTCGCCGAACCGCCTGCCGTCCCCGACGTGTTCGCCGCCTTCCCCATCGCATTGCTCGCCCCATCCACCTCCGCATAATCCACCGCAAACTTCGCCCCGCCCTGCGACAGGCTATTCAACGTAAGATTGTGCGCCACTCCCTTCTCTAACCCAGTCGCCTGAAAGAGCAGATGCTGCGACAAGGGTGCGATGGGGCGACTGGCGTTCATGATATATGTGGGCCCGTCGTCCAATTGTGCACCATAAATCGCGTAGTCGCTGCCGTAGGTGCCATAGAGTGCGACGCGGTCGCCAGCGAAGGAGAGGGATATGGAGGTGTCGGATTGGACGGTGAGGCTGGAGGGCGGGTGAGGTTTGATACTGGAGGAGGAATGTGGGAAGGGTTTACGCACTGTTCAGAACCTCCGTTATAGTCACTACCTCGCACCTGTGCCCACGCAGACTCAGGTGCGAACGAGAAGAACTCGTCCTGCTCGCTCTGAATGGTCGCAGTATCGTCGGAGTCCACGGAAGATGTGAACGTGATCTGACAATAGCCATGATCAATTCTAAAAAATCGCGAAATTCCCAAAAGGGAAGGGCAGGTGCCGCGACGCACCTTCGGGCCCATGTCGTCTGCGCGAGGGCTCCTAAAATTCGGGAAAGCGCACGAGAATCGTCGACAAATCGTCTTACACGCTTGTACAAGAAAGTGAGGTCCCAGCGTGACTGCGCGCGTCGGAATTCAGCTCGAAGTGGTCGGGCGGACGCATGGCTCGCCCAAAATGGCAACAGCCATCTCCGAGCGCCGTCCTTGCCCTTCGCCTGCATGGTGGGGACGCCTGCCACCTCCAAAGATCTCGTGGAGGTCAAGAGAATATAGTTTTAGTGCATATTGAGGTGCTACAGTGCTGATGAGCGCGTGGAAGCCCTTCAAGACTTTGCATCTCCGCTCGGACCGCCTTTGCTACTGTAACGCGGTTTGAATAGCCCCTGCCATATGTTACGAGGCTCCGGTACCCAGTCCCCTTCATGAGATATCGACTTCAATACTTTGAAGTCAGACAGGAGCCTTTGTTTGCCTCCTTTCGGACAATACACTGCTCGAAAGCACGGTATGGATCTACAGTGACCTTCATCCGTGTCCCTACGCTTCTACCAAGGTTAGATGTCAGAAAGTGGTCTGTACTTATGTTCTCTTGACCTCCACGAGACCTTTGGAGGTGGCAGGCGTCCCCACCATGCGGGCGAAGGGCAAGGACGGCGCTCGGAGATGGCTGTTGCCATTTTGAGCGAGCCATGCGTCCGCCCGACCACTTCGAGCTGAATTCCGACGCGCGCAGTCACGCTGGGACCTCACTTTCTTGTACAAGCGTGTAAGACGATTTGTCGACGATTCTCGTGCGCTTTCCCGAATTTTAGGAGCCCTCGCGCAGACGACATGGGCCCGAAGGTGCGTCGCGGCACCTGCCCTTCCCTTTTGGGAATTTCGCGATTTTTTAGAATTGATCATGGCTAATGGCGTTCCCTCGGTGACCACGTACAGCTAAGGGAGCATCTGCAGCCCACGCACGAAGTCCACATCGAACGCCGACCCCGACTTGTTCGCCGGTACTCTACTCCACTCGTTGGTCAAGACGACCTGATGCACGCCCGGTGCAAGATCGGTCGCGGCGAACAGCTCGACTTTAAGGAGCTGGGAATCGACGTCTGATGGTGCGCTGCCATTCGTGCGCATGGGCTCAGACTTCGTCCCGTCAATCGTGACACTGGGAGGCGGGCTGAGCCCGTTTTCCCGACAGATATAGAGCACCACATACCTGTACGGCCCTGAGTTGCACCTATATGCGCCGTAGACGTGTACCTCTGTACCGGTGAAGTTGAACGTGGCAGTCGCGCCGGGGGCCTCGATGCTGAGCATGAAGGTCTTGTCTTCATACCTGAAAGAACGCGGATGAGCGAGTGTTCGAGAATGAGAATGGTCGCTGCAGCGCACCTGGATGCGTATGGATCGCCGTCCGCGCCCCCCTTCCGCCACATCCCCTGCGGCTGATAGTCGATAAAAGGACTGAAGGCGTCAATTGTGGTGCTGATCAGAGGCATTGCGGGGCGACAAGCTTAGAATTGATTGTGCTTGTGTTCAAAGAAGGTTGAGGAGTGCCCGAACAAAGCGGGATGGAAGGGGGGCGAGAGATGGAAGGCGAAGAGAAGAGAGGGAAACATAGAATGGCTCACAACCGGCATACACACTCATGATGCTGAGCATAGCATACGGCTATATACCCCCGTCGCGCATGATAACATCGTGGATGAGGGCCACGATGCTAATGCAGACGATGCGGAGGAAGCACCCAGGCGCACAAAGTGTATTGAGTACGCCGTGTCTGACCCGCTGGGGATCATCGACTTATCTTCCGCATCATGATAGAGGGGAAGAATTGTCAGCGGGCCTGAGTTGTGGGTCTCACCTGATGATTAAGGGTAATAAGAGCAGACTTTTGTGCGGAGCAATGTCGCGAGGCGCCTGTGAATAAAGATGGCCTCAAGAGAGCATGCGACGTAGATCTTGGGACCACGCAGCGTCCAGCCAGGCATGAGGCAGATGGAGTAACAAAACTGGTACTTTCACATAAAGAAATCACCGTCTCATCGGAAGAGTTTGCAATGACGGCTCTGCTCGCATTGCTCGAAGAGGCGGTAAGGACATGGTGGTCCAGGTTCAAGCTGTGGGCGCTTGCTTGTCCATCCACGTGATGGTTTTTCGTCACATCAGTCAACAAGCGCAATCCCGGGACACCGCCACCAAAGCGAGCTTCCCCCTCCTCCTTCACGGCTGCTGTGTTCTTTGTTCCTTCCCCTTAACTCTCCTCGCTTTTTCTGCTCTTCAACGCGACTTCCGACGCCGCCATGTCTGCCGAACACGAGGAACTCATCGACTACGAGGACGAGAACGACGTTATCCCCAACGGCGGAGCCGCGGCACCCGCCACGAACGGCGCAGCGAAGGCGGCGGCAGGCGCTGGGGAGGGCGGGGAGGAGAAGCCAGACTTCTCTGGCATCCACTCGACTGGATTCAGGTGAGTACGCTGCACGCTGCTGCAAAAATTTTGGGCGCTTACGTTGCTTTCGCTTGCAGGGACTTCTTGTTGAAGCCTGAACTGTTGCGCTCCATTAGTGACTTGGGTTTCGAGCACCCATCCGAGGGTGAGTGGCCAATTGTACCACGTCGCGTCCAAGCTAAACGGGCCGTGCAGTTCAGCAGGAATGTATTCCTCAAGCTGTCCTCGGCATGGATGTCCTGTGCCAGGCCAAGTCTGGTCACGGAAAGACCGCAGTCTTCGTCCTCGCCACGCTCCAGCAGCTGGAGCCTGTCGATGGCGAAGTAGCCGTCATTGTGCTCTGTCACACGCGTGAACTTGCGTTCCAAATTCGCAACGAGTACACTCGTTTCGCGAAGTACATGCCGCAGATTCGCGTGTCTACCTTCTACGGTGGTACACCGGTGTCCAAGGACGCCGAGATTCTCCGCGACAAGAACGCCTGCCCCCACATCATCGTCGCCACCCCCGGTCGCCTGAACGCCCTCGTACGCGACAAGGTCCTGGACGCCAAACACGTCAAGCATTTCGTTCTCGACGAATGTGACAAGATGCTTGAGCAGCTCGGTTAGTCCTTGTTCGGCCTGCGCACCACCCACCATCATATCCTACCGCATTCTGCGTCGTCTGGCCGCGCGTCCGGGTCACCCTACACGTCATATCGGTGTGCAAAGCATATGGGTCTTCGGGCTTGTTGGGATGCTGTCGCGTCTTCGGGGGGAAGGGGATACCGAAAGATGGAGGAACGGGGAGAAGAACGACCAACGCTACCCACGACTCGATCAAGCCGTGCAAGCTCCGTCCGACTGTAAACCGATCCGGAAGCGCGCTGACCTGGACACGTCACCCTTTTATTTTTCAAACTCTCCGCTGCACATCCATCTAATCACGCCACTGCCCATTAGACATGCGACGCGACGTACAGGAGATCTTCCGCGCGACACCCCACCACAAGCAAGTCATGATGTTCAGCGCCACACTCGCCAAGGAGATCCGCGCGACGTGCAAGAAGTTCATGGCCAACGTGGGCGATCTTGCTTTCCTTCTATCGCTCTGGCTGACGTCTTGCTCTAGCCTCTGGAAATCTTCGTGGATGACGAGACAAAGCTCACCCTCCACGGTTTACAACAGCACTACGTCAAGTTGGAGGAGGCGCAAAAGAACAGGAAGTTGAATGACCTGCTTGATACCCTCGAATTCAACCAGGTTTGCGGTCTTTATTTCATTGCAAAGTAGTCGATGCTGAGGCGCTTGCAGGTTGTCATCTTCGTCAAGTCCGTCGCACGAGCGATCGAATTGGACAAGCTTCTGGTCTCGTGCAACTTCCCGAGTATCAGCATCCACTCCGGCCTGCAGCAGGAAGAGCGGTATGCTGATATCAAACTTCCGTCTTTGCCTCGCTCACATCTCCACCAGTATCAACCGCTACCAGGCCTTCAAAAATTTCGAGAAGCGCATATTGGTAGCGACGGATATCTTCGGTCGTGGTATTGATGTCGAGCGCGTGAATATCGTCATAAACTACGACGCGCCGCCGGATGCGGACAGCTACCTGCACCGTGTCGGGTGCGTTCTCTTCTTCTCCTCCTTCTTGTCGCACGCTTACCCTCCTGTCAGTCGTGCCGGTCGCTTCGGAACGAAGGGTCTCGCGATCACCTTCGTGTCGTCGGACGCCGACCAGCAGGTCATGGCCGCCATCCAGTCCCGGTTCGAGGTCGCCGTGCCCGAGCTTCCGGACTTCATCGAGCCCAGCAGCTACAGTAAGTACTGATCTATCTGCCACCAGCGAGGACGATGGCTGATGCGTCTCGACAGTGACGGCGTAGAGGCTTTCGCGACGTTGGGACTCTTTTGTTGAGAATGTGTTGTGTTTTCTTGTGCCTTCGTGTAACCATATTCTAAATCGTCCGAATCGAGACTCTACTGTGATTTGTTGATGTTCGTTATGCAGTGTGTCTGTTGGTCCTCGCTATGCGGTCTCGAAAGTACGGTCCGCTTGTCCTTCGGTGAGGTGAGGTAGCTTGTTTGCTTCCGCCACCGTCAGATTGTGTCACGACGTGTCGCGTTGACGTGGAACGTGTCTTTTTCTGCTTGATTTTATACGTCGAAGATGGACGTCAGACACTAACGGAACGACGTCGTCGCACTTGCGACCGCAACTGCACTTGCAGTAGAACGTAGCAGCGTTTTGGGCTCATCCGCTCGGGCAAAGTACAACCAACTTGGCCTCGAAACTCGCCGAAAGTGAGTGCCCACACTTTCACCGATTGTCTGACGCCTCATGCTGGCTTTGCTCATTAGACACCGCCCTCAAATGGCGGACGATCCGTTGCCATTCTTCTCGCCAGGGATGGTCGTCACTCTTGAGACCAACTCCGGTCAGCGCTATACTTTCACCGTTGAGCGGCTCTTCACGCCGCTCACGAAGAGTGTTGTCGTTCTCGCGCGTTGCGCAGACCTTTCGCCTGACCCCGTAGTGCTGAAGATCTATGATCCCCGCTTTTTCGACGAGCGCAACGGTGTGTCGCCCAACAAGCACTGGGAGGGTTTTCCCTCCCACCCATGGTCGCTTGCCGCCGAGCGCGCCGCGCCGGACACCATACCCTACGATCAATACGAGATTTTCTCTCCCGGGGACCCGCCCGCGGCGGACGACGCTGAGGGCCAGCTTGCTTACGCTGCGCTCCACGAGGCGCACTACCGCAAGCTCATGAACGACTCCTTCGCCGTCGAGCGCGCCGCATACGAGCATCTCCAACACCTCCAGGGCACCATCCTCCCACGCCTCCTCGCTTCCGGACTCATCATCCCTCCCGACGAGCGCGCCTTCATCCCGCCCGCCATCGCCATCGAGTACATCGAAGGCCCCCGCTTGCGCGACGCCCCCCTCGACGCGCTCACGCCCTCGGTCTGCACCGCCCTCGTCCGCGCCGTCGACAGCTTCGCCGCCCACGGCGTCATCCACGACGACTTCAGCGACAAGAACATACTCGTCGCGCCCAGCCGCGCCGTCGTCGTCGACTTCGGGAACGCGGGCGTGCGCGGGGTGGGGTATGATTGGACCGACGAGGAGTGGAAGGATTCTGTCTCTTGCTGCGACGATGATGGCGCGATACGGTATTGGTTGAAGCGCAAGGGGGTGGCTGGTATGGATGAGCTACTCAAGCATCCAAGGGAAGGATCGAGGGGCATTCCAGCAATAGAACCATAGAACCGTGATCTTGACTTCAACCGTGACTGCGTGATGCGTCACACATACCATGCTGCCACCGACGGGTTGGTTCTATGGCTTCAGATACCTCTACAGGCGTAACCCGACACTGTTGCATCATTTATCCAGACACTACAAGCCCCACCGTCCCTTCCGTACCATTCTCAAAAACCTCGTCAACACCGTCCCCAACCCTCCGGGCCAAATGAAAGTCCAAAATTCAGTCAATGACTTCGTGCGTACCCTCAACAATACCGCGGCAGCCAGTACCCAGCCTTTGCATTCCCAGAGAGTTTCCTGGATGAGGGGGAAAGCTGACCTGCGCCGAGATCTTCAACAGACAACACGACGTGATCATGAGAGAGCGGGTTTAAATTCCCCAAAGGACGCAAGTTGTCCTTTTTGTTGGGCGAGTCTATTTGGTCTCTTTTGCCATGTCCACGTCGACTATCTCTGAAGCCGAAGACGCGTTACAGTGAAATACATGTACAATTGGATGTTCAATGTTTATGCGGACTTCAACCGTTGACCATCGTCCCGCCGTTCGGATGCAGAGTCGAGCCGCTGATAAAGCTGCTGTCCTGGCTGGCCAGGAAGACGCAGCACGTCGCAATTTCGGTGGGCTGAAAACTCAGGTGAATCCCCTGTGGCAACACATTCCATTGGTTCGCACACCTGCCCAGGCCTCCCCATCGGCGTCGCATTGAACTGCTCGAGGTTCTCCTTGCCCATCGTCGACACGACAAGCGGTGTCCACACCGGTCCTGGCGCAATAGCGTTCACGCGGATGCCGTCGCCGACGACCTGGTTCGACAACGCGCGCGTGAAGGCGACGATGGCGCCCTTGGTGGAGGTGTAGTCGAGGAGGTCGGCACGGCCGATGTAGTGGTTGACCGAGGTCATATTGATGATGGTCGCGCCTTTGGTCTTGCGGAGGTGCGGAAGGGCGTACTTTGCCATGTAGTAGTACGCGTAGATGTTGGTCTTGAAGGTGAGATCCCATTGCTCTCTGTAGTGGCGTCAGTCCTGCTTATGAGAACCAAAGGCGAAGATGATACGCACTCGCTCAACTGATCAATCGAGTCCTGCACCATCTGGTACGCCGCATTGTTCACCAGAATCTCAATCCCACCCAGCTCCTTCACCGTCTCCTCCACCGCCTTCCTACACTCCTCCGCCCGCGTTAGATCCGCCTGTATACACACGCACTTCCGCCCCTTCCCCTCCACCTGTTTCCTTGTATCCTGCGCGTCGCGCTCCTCGTCCGCCAGATACACGATCGACACATCCGCGCCCTCCATCGCAAACAGCAGCGCGGTCGCGCGCCCGATGCCGCTGTCGCCGCCTGTAATCAAAGCGCGCTTGCCCTCGAGCTTGCCCGCGGCGCGGTAGGTCTGGTACCCGCCGTCCTCGGTGGGCAGCTGGGTGGAGGCGGGCGCAGGGTCCATCTTGTATTGGTGGCCCGGCGGCTTTTGCTCCTGGGAGGGGTCGGGGAGGTGGCCTTTCTGGTATTGGGAGGACATGGTGTGTAATGTGGTTGTGGATGGGATGGATGATTGGGTGCGGGGGAGGATGGGGAGGGCTTTTGTATTCGATTGGGGACGGTGCGGTGTCATCGCTGACGATGGCCGAGGTGACGTTGTGGCGCGCACTCTGACGACGACCTGTCCAAGTGAGTACTTGGAAGGATCGAGATCGGACTTAGCGCCAAAGTGACAGCTGCTTCCCGCTCGTTCTCTGAGCGATAGCGTTGTCGACGAACCCCGAGGTCAGCATACTCAAGAATCTCATGCGAGCACCTCTGCGAGATCGTTGAGGGCAGATAGCGCTTCTGTTGGCTTAGACTGAGCAAGCAGCGGCAGACACACTAGATGAGACGCAGGTGCTCTATAGATCGTCGCGCTCGACGAGATCTCAGGACGAGTCGGACATTGAGGACGGCGAACAAGCAGCAGCGCGGTCGGCCGCCCTTCTCGACGCCACATATTGAGGCGATCACGAGACATACCTCCGCATCATCAACTACACCAAACAAAAATAATCATCTTGTCCCGAGCTTCCATGTGCGTCGATGGGTCCCACAGTTCTTTGCGCTGGTCCCCCGATGCCGTGAATATCATACATACCACTTCCTACCTGAATACGTGTGTCAAGCCATCTCTGGTCTCAGTGGTCTGAGTCTGCGAGCATGTCAACGTACGTCTTTTCTCCCACGTTCACTGCACGCCCGATGCAAGAATGCTAATGAACGAGAGCGACGGTATGTAACAGGTCAATCCGGCGAACTATGAGCTACGATACTGACAGGGACCTTTTAGAACGTGGCGCGCGACTATAGACGCGCATATACCCGCTCACGGCACCCTTTAAAGCTTCGACTGTCCTCAGGGAAGGAACCATTTGAAAGCCTAACATCCTCCTCGCTTTGGGAAGTAAAGAACGCACAAGCTAAGGTCAGACTGCAGACAACGAGACACTCACCGCACGTGTCTGATACGCGATGACAATCCGATCAGCCATCGCAGAGCATCCCGCGACAGTCGACCACCATCGAGACGTCGTCCTCGTTTCCACGTACGCCGATGCTCATATACGCCTCTCCCACGGCCCTCGAGGCCACCACGCCGTTTACGCGGTACTTGCGCACGTCAAGTGACGCGCACTAGCCATTCCCGGCGGGCTACGCCCAACAGGCGCCATAACCTTCCCTTGTACTATGTCGGGCCCGAATGGGATCATATACAATGCGTCGAACAAGCAGCGCGTAAGACTACCGCTGGAGGAGGTCAGGGCGCGTGCGGTCGTGTTGGATGGTGCGTAGATGTCGTCATGATCGTGGCGTGTCTTGCTGAACGACTTGCAGTCTCGGCACGAGTGACGGTGAAGCAGATCTACAGCAATCCGTCAGAGCACCCAACTGCGAGAGCGAAGTACTGCTTCCCCGTACCTGCAGGCGCGGCTGTATGCGCGTTCGAGATGATAAGGGCGTCCGATGGACGGAAGATCCAGGCGGTGGCGCGCGAACGAGAGCAGGCTCGCGTAGATTTTGAGCGCGCAGTATCAGCAGGCGAAGACGCTGGTTTATTGGAGTATGTGACGGACGATAGTGAGTGCGATGCTTCCATGCATGTAACGCCGTTACTGACAGAATCGTAGTCTTCACCATTTCCGTAGGCTCTATACCTGCACGCGATCAGGTCGCAGTGCAGATAGTTGTAGGTGCCACTTCACCCATCCACTTCCCCCATACTCACCCTACCTCCAGTACGTGACCAGCCTCCTTCATGAAGAGTCCGCCTCCGACGTCCGCCTCCACCTCCCCATGCGCATCGCCGAGCGCTACGGCAAGCTCCCCGCCGGCATGTCCGACGCCACCCACCCCTCCACCGACGTCCGCGTCCGCATCAGCGTCGACGTCCTCTCCCGCGGCAAGCTCATCTCCGTCCGCTCCCCCAGCCACCCCGCCGACCTCCGCCTCCGGCCCTACGAGACCGACCGCGGGCGCGCCTCGCGCCGGCGCATCACCGCCAAATATCGCTCCGCCGACTTCCTCGACCGCGACTTCGTGCTCGTGGTGCGCGCGGAGGGCCTCGGGGAGTCGCGCTGCTTTGCGGAGCTGGGGCGGCATCCGACGGACCGACACCTGCGGACGCTGGCGCTGCAGCTGGTGCTGGTGCCAAGGGTGCCGCTGACGCCGGGGCCGGGGTCGAGGCGGGAGTTTATTTTTCTAGTGGATCGCAGTGGGAGCATGGGCGAGGATGGAAACAAGCCGATCGAGACGGCGAAGAAGACGCTGGAGGTGCTGTTGTTGATGCTGCCGGCGCAGGGGACATACTTCAACATCTTCAGCTTCGGGGGGCATTCAGATTCACTGTGGTTGAGGAGTCGGCCGTATGATGAGGGGACGCTGGACGAGGCAGTGAGTGTTCAGTTTAGGAAGGAATCGGGTGCACTGCTGATCGTTCTCCGTAGATGGAACACGTCCGATCGATGCGCGCAAATTATGGCGGCACGCAAATACGAGAAGCACTGGAGAACGTTTTCGCCTCCCGCCAAGAATCACACCCCACATCCGTCTTTGTCCTAACCGACGGTTCCGTGAGTCCTTCATCTCCCCCCCCTACCCCCCTACCCCCTTCCTCTTACTCACCACCTCCAGGCCTACGACAAAGACGCCTCCATCGAGGTCGTCCGCGCCGCCGTCTCCTCCGCGCCCTCCTACGCCCGCCTCAACGTCTACTGCCTCGGCATCAGCAAGAGCGTCTCCACCGACATGTGCGAGGGCATCGCAAGAGCAGGCGATGGTATCTTTTTGTACGCGCAGCACGTCGAGGGTATTATGGCCAAGTGCGCACGGCTGTTTCGTGCGGGAAGGGCGCCGAGGGTGGAGGAGGTGTCGATTGATTGGGGCGTGCCGGCGGAGTACCTGGCGCCGAACGGGGAGGACTTCGATAGACCGACGACGGCGAGAGGGATGACGTCGATGGATCAGACAGCGACGACGATCATACACCAACCCTGGCCAACGGTCCAGCAATCGCCGAGCGTCATTCGGACGGTACACGCAGGAAACAGGATGCACGTCTTCGCCATCATCGCCCTTCGCAGATCGTTCGCGCCCCGAGAAGTCGTGCTCCGAATGACGCTGCACCAGGGCTCGAACGGCGCGCGCGAGACGGTGAACATCGCCGTGCCGGTGAAGGAGGTGCAGATTAAGGAGTACGCGGGGCTGCCGGTGGTGCACACGCTCGGGGCGTGGCGGCTGATCCAGGATCTGCAGGAGGGGCGACCGGTAACGATGGGTCCGAGTGCGGTGGGAATGGGTCCAAATGCAAGTTGGGGAGACGCGAAGGAGGATATCATCCGGCTGGGCGAGACGTACCAGCTGGCGTCGAGGCATACATCGTTTGTGGCGGTGAGGGCAAATGAGGGACTGGCTGGGGAAGAGTATGAGGAGGAGTCAGTTACGGAGACTGGGTCGTCGGTGTCGGGGGTCACGTCCCCTGGGTACGAGCCGAGCTCGCCTCCACTTGGCCAGTCCCCTGAGTCTGACCAGGACGCAGCGTCCACCCGCTCAGGGCTGCGCTCATTACTTGGATCGATCTTCCCTTGGCTTCGTAGGCGCCACCTCTCGGATACGACAGAACCTACCTGGGACGTCGACCCGACACTCGTAGCGCCTGGAGCTTACCCTCCATCCGCCGATGGAGCGGCTGAGGATGCTCCCATAGACGACGCAGCATCTCAAACCTCGGGCACCCGAACCTTCACCACCCTCAGCAGCCTCGAGAGCTACTACAGCTGGAGCAGCTGGTCCGAGCACACCAGCACCCCACGGCGCTCGCGAAGGAGACCCGCACTCTCCTCCGACGACCGCACCCTCGCCCGCGCGCCCTCCCCCCAACTCCGCTTCCGCCCCTCACCCCCCGCGGCCCCACCCCGGCCCCGCACCCCACCGCCCGTCGACAACCTCATCCTCCAGCTCGTCCTGCAGCAGGCCTTCGACGGCTCCTTCACGCCCGACCGCACGTTCCGCGACATCGTCGGCGGGGCCGCGGTGGACGCGGCGGAAGGCAGAGGGATAGACCGCACGGTGTGGGCGACGGCGCTGGCGGTGGCGTGGCTGGAGGTGCAGATGGAGGATCAGGGGGAGCTGAGGGATGACTTCTTGGCGAAGCCGATGGAGGTGCTGATGCGGAGAGAGAGGAATTGGCGGAAGGTGTTGGAGAAGGCGCGGGCGGTGATCGCGAAGAGGGAGGTGATCGTACTTTAGGCAACATCATCCGGACGGTTCGGTGTGTGGCAGCATATCCATTTTGTTTTGAAGCTCTTTTCGGGGAGTACGATGGACATCTGGAATTATACATGGTTACAGTGTTTTGATAGACGAGACGAGCAGCTACGCTCATGCGCTTATTTTGCAATATCCTCACGCCTGCGGCTCACCGTGCAGCTGCCCGAGATCTGTAGCAACTCGTCCATATCGGTAACGCCCTTTTCCCTCAGATATATCCGCATCCTCCTCCCATCACTCCCATACCGCACATTGTGGCTCCAGCTCTCATCGTACTGATCAGGCCGACGCAACGCAGCGCAGCCAAAGTCGATGAAGACCACCCGTCCGGGGCCGATGAGCACGTTGTTGACGTTGACGTCGTTGTGCGAGACGCCGAGCGTGGCGAAGCTGTCCGCGGTGTGCACGAGCTTAGTGCAGACGTCGGGAGTGAAGGCTTCCAAAGGTGTGTCGTCGAATATAGTCCCCTCCACGTACTCCAGCACGAGCGCGGGAGGACGAAAAGCGCGCTCGTCTGGTGGGTCAACCTGCCCAATCGCTAGGAGGCGCGGAAGCGTGTCGCCTTGCAAACCTTGTAGTCGGGCGTATGCATCGCGCTCGGATGCGAAGCATTCTGTCGAGAGGCGTCTGAAATGCGCCTCAAAAAGCGCCGCGCGTGCTGCTTGCCCCTCGACGTCGTCCTCCGCTGGCTCTTCCTCCCACACCTCATTCTCATCGTAGGCATGAATGTCCAGCGCTGCACGCTCGGCTTCTAGCGACCACGGACGTGCACGCCGATACTTCATCGGAAGGCGTTCGTCGAGAAAGCGCGGGTCGAAGATCTTGACTACCACTGGCGTGGATGAAAGCTCGGCGCAGCGTGCAAGAACTGCGACGCTCTTCGTAAAAGGCGTGAACGGGCGCTCGATGGTGAAGACAAGCCGCTGCCCATTGTCGGTGGCGAGGGTAACTTGCTCCCCCGCGGCAAACATGCGCATTGCAGGATCATCCATGCGCATTGCAGTATCGTCCATGCGCGTCTCTTCGAAGAGCAGGAGACGTCGGCGAAGTGAGTGGTTGAAGGTGAGGAAAAAGCAAGCGTAATAGGGGATCGTCACAGTTGGTCCGGAAGATACCGGTCACACTTTGTGATCAACTCCAGCAGCGTGCAAAAGCTCCTCCCTGTACTCGTTTCTTCTCTTTCCATGCAGGCTTATCTCGCATAGGTAAGGAGGGCCAACAAACATCAAAACCAGTTTACCCAACAAAAAGGACAAGTCGCGTCCTTTAGCGAATTGAAACACGCTCTCTCTCACGTCGTCTAGTCCATTGAGGATCTTGGCGCAGGTCAACCGTCCCCCTCATCCAGGAAGCTCCCCGGGCATACCAAGGCGGGGTACTCGCTGCCGTGATAATGGTAATCGCAACGCAGGAGGTCATCGACTTCATTTGTGAGAAGGAAATTGGTCTGGAGTACGGTCTGAGCTTGCCTCACACTTTCGTAGCTGAGCCCAAACCCATAACGACCAGCTGCGTGTCGATGGTTCCTGTAAATCTGCCTACCCAAGGTTGACTTACAGTCGAAAACGTCGGGATGCAGCTTTCCAACCATCGCGGGGTAGACATTGACAGTCATGAGTGCGTAGTATGTCCCCTGCGTTCGCGCCCAGCGTCACCAAGCATTGGACTTGTGCGTCGCCTTTTCCTAGGCCGAGGTGGTTGCAGATACCCCAGGTGGTCGCAAATGCCTCAAATTCGACAGGAGCATGGATTAAGCATAACTAGGCGTGGGTAAGAGTAGTGGTACATGTTGGCGAGTAGGATGAGAGCGTCATGTCGACATGTATTGCGCCATGCTGCAACCATAGGTCAGACACGGTTCGATGAACGTATAGGGAGTGCCAGGAAGGAAAGTGGATATGATGGAAAGGAAAGTGGTAACGATGGGAAGGAGAGTGGAGATAATGGGAAGGAAAGTACAGATGATGGGAAGGCGTAGAGCATGCGTATACGCGACGGTGTGATGATGAACAAAGCGAGGATGGAACGAAGATGACAAGGGAGACTCACTCTGGTTGCTTCGCCTCTTCTGGGTGTAGCTTCTTCTCGAGTTTGTTAAACTCCTCGAGTGCGATCTCTTCCTCTTCGTCGAGGACCTGGAAGGCGGATGAGAAGGGATTGCACATGGCGAGAAGAAGACTGGCATACCTGCTCCACACCCTTGACTTCGGGAATGTAGTGCATCAACATGTTCTCGATGCCAGTCTTCAGAGTGACCGTGCTCGACGAGCACCCGCGGCAGCTCCCCTTCAACTTGACCTGCACGACGCCGCTCTCCTCATCAAAACCTCTATACTCAATATCCCCACCATCCTCCATGATCGCCGGCCTTACGCGCGTCTCCAGCAGCTCCTTGATCATCGCCACCACATCACTGTCCGTGTCCAGGATCCGCGTATCCTGCGGGCCCGCATTCTCCCTGTCCTCCTTTGAGCGGAAGAGCGGCTGGTTGTTCGAGGTGAAGAACTCCATGAGGACGGAGTAGATCTCGGGCTTGATGACGGACCACGGGTGCTCGGAGCTCTTGCTCACGGTGACGAAGTCGGGCCCGTAGAAGACGGCGCGGACGCCCTCGATGCCCATGAGGCGCACGGCGAGGGGGGAGGTGAGGGCGGAGCGGGTGTCGAGGAACTCGGCGGTGCCGGACTCGCCCATGACGGGCACGCCGGGGATGAATTTTATGGAGTCTTCGTTGGGGGTGCTTTCGGTCTGGATGAACATGGAGCGAGCTGCGGGGGGGTAGTAAGAGGTTGTTAAGATGCAGAGATAGTACGCACTAAGTGGGGGATGCGTCCGCCCTGTACGCCTGGCATCGCGGTGGGGAGACGAGGTGGCGATCGTTGGGCCGCGGTGCACCAGCCGCGCCGCCCGCGCCGCCGTTGTGGACAACGCCCGCACCGTGCTAGACGTCGCGCGCGGCTGCAGCGCGCGCACGGCAGCGCTCCTTGTCGCAGTCCGTGCAGAGTTCGTCAATGTCGAGGACAACATGATTGGTGAGGAAGAGAGAAGTACGTGAGGTCCGGCAATCCCGCCCAGACGATCGTGCAGCTTAGTAATCACACCGCCACCGCTTTGACCGCGAAAGACGACACTCAACAGAAGTTCGACTGCATGCGATGGTGTACTCGCTAATGGCCTACAGAGCCATATCACCGGGTGCAGATGGACCTTGACAGGTCATATACTACGAATTCTGATTTTTTTGGCACCTGAACCCTAACTAAACTCGTACATACGGTTGGGGTGAGTCTCTGGTGCGGTAGGGGTGTCTTTCAGGGAGGCCGTAGCACAAGGTGCATCATCCCAGCACCTGAGGTACACAATGGAGGATTGTATGGCACGATTTGAGCGCTCGCATCGCCGTTGAAGGCATCTTATCCTCATCCAAGCTCCTAAAGTCGAGTACCTTGTATATGCACCCTGCATCGCGCTTCAAGCTACTCATGCGAGTCACATACATATGTCTATACCACTATGGAATATTTCTGACATGCTATCTTTCCCTGAGTAGACCGGAAGAGCGCGTAGAAGACGGAAAAGGCGGATGAGGCGCGATCACGTGATTGATTCCTTCTGATCTGGCGCTGCATCCAGTTCACGTTTTGCACGCGACGGCGTCCGGCTATGCCCAAAATTACTGCACGGATACGCGTTATATCTGAGTATCTACAGTTCGTATTGAGCAGATATGCGCACCGCTGGCATCATCAGTCCAAAAGTCAATGTTCCAGGACAGTGACAGCAATTTTGTTCAATACGAACTGTTCTCCCATCCCTAAAGTACTCATTGCACGCTTTTATAGGCCCATTCAGGGCACCGGTAAGCATGTAGACTTGAAGTACGCGCTTCGGAGGTATATTCGCCCAAAATGGCAGTTGCATGATTACTAAGCTGCACGATCGTCTGGGCGGGATTGCCGGACCTCAAAGTACGCCTGCTGAGTCGAGCAGCCGCCGGAGGATGCGCGCATTTGTCATGACATCAGCCCCGGCAGTTTCCGGTGCTGAAGTGTCGGCAGCCCGGACCGGCTACTTACTGACAACGATCTGCTTGACATGCACGACAGACCTCCACCGGCGGACGAGGACTATGTCGCGCCTGCAGCGGGGCTGGCGATCCTTCTGCTCATTATCACATACCTCGCATGGAAGACGGTTGCGTTCTTGAGGCCGAGGAATCAGCATTCCTTGCGCTCGGTCGCGATACTCGTTCTAGGGGACATTGGACGCAGTCCGCGCATGATGTACCATGCTCAGAGCTTCGCAGAGTGCGACTTTGTTACAGATGTGATAGGGTACAACGGTATGATCCTCCCAAGCATCTTGACAGCACTACTGACTTGCTACTCGAGGCTCTAAAGTGATCCCCTCACTCGAGAGGCTGCCGAAGGTCCAGCTCCATCATCTAGCTGAGCCCCCAAGCTGGCTGCGGCACTTCCCCTTCATTATCACTGCGCCCTTCAAGATCTTCCACCAAATTCTGACCATACTCGTCGTCCTCATCGTCGACATCGAAGAAGCCCCCGAATTCCTTCTGGTACAGGTAAGTGAGGTCATGATGTCGCAACACGGTCTACTTCTTCCCTGCGCTCTCCGGAATGTATCGCCAACACATATGCGGTCAGGACACCCCGCACCCTTGCCTCCGCGTAGATGAGCTGGGGAAGGGGAGGGGGCAAGCGACGCACGATGCGCGGGGGGAGTGGACGTGGCGGATCGCGATCACGTGAATTCGACGTCGAATTCGCTGCAATCCATATAAACGCGACACGCGCATGCCTTCTCTTCCACTTCGAGCTCCCACACCTATACTCGCAGACTCAGCTTATCTCACCTCCCAGAACCCGCCCAGTATACCGACCTTGGCTCTGGCATGGCTCGTCGGCCGCATCCGAGGCAGCAAGGTCATCATCGACTGGCATAACCTGGGGTGCAGTATCCTTGCGCTCAAGCTGGGCGAAAATCACGTCTATGTGCGCATATCGAAATGGTAGGTAGTCTTTCTAGCGAGAAGTGCTCTTCGATGGTCTGCGTGCTCATGCAGATACAGGTTCGAGCGCTACTTCGGGCGCACCGCCTATGCACACCTCTTCGTGACCCAAGCTATGCGAGACTACCTCGTCAGGGAGTGGGAGTTGCAGTAAGCATCGCCGTCTCACATCATCCTATTTTGCTCATCCACTTGCCCTTCAGAGGCCACAAAATCGTCCTCCACGACATGCCTCATGGCCAGTTTCACCGCGCCACGCCGCAGGAGATACACGACGTGCGCTTGCCTTCCCGCTGTCCATTTTTTCGACCGCAACTGACCCTCTCCAGCTCTTCATCAAACTCCAACCCGCCTTCGTCGCGCAGCCCTCCCTCCGCGACTTCCTCCCCAAGTCCTCCGTCCCATATTCCACGCCGTTCACATCCACCGACGGCTCCGACGCCGCAACCGCTGACATCCTGCCTCCACCTATTGCAGACACCGTCGCGCAGCCGACCTTCACCGAGATCGCGCCGCCGCACCTGCGCCGCGACCGCCCCGCGCTGGTCGTGAGCAGCACGAGCTGGACCGCGGACGAGGACTTTGGCGTGCTGATCGAGGCGCTGGGGGCGTATGAGGGGATGGCGAGGGCGGCGAGTGAGGGGATGACGAGGAAGGCGAGTGATGGGAAGGCGAGTCCGCTACCCAAAATCCTCTGCATCGTCACCGGCAAGGGCCCCCTGAAGACGGAGTACATGCGGCGGGTGGGCAAGCTGCAAGCCAACTGGCAGTGGGTGCGGTGCGTGAGCTTGTGGCTGGAGGCGGAGGATTATCCGTTGTTGTTGGGTGCGTATGCGATGTTTTTTGGCGCCATTTGCTATGTCTTTCGGCGCCATTTGTGCCGTTGTTTCGCTGACCCTGCACCAAGCCCCACAATTAGTTTCAACAAGGCTAACACTCATCTCTCCCCGCAGGCGCCGCCGACCTGGGCGTATCCCTCCACACGAGCTCCTCCGCGCTCGATCTGCCGATGAAAGTCGTGGACATGTTCGGCGCGGGGACGCCGGTGTGTGCGTTGGATTTTGCGTGGTGAGTTGATGGGTCGTTTGTAGCGAAGACGATGTGCAGTCTTCTGTAGCGGGAACGATGTGCAGTCGTCTGTGACGAGGTCGATTCACAGTCGTTTGTAGCGGTGACGATGCACAACAAGCCATCTCGATGATGCGTGTCTAACCCGTTATATCCAGCATCAGCGAACTGGTCAAGCACGGCAAGAATGGGCTCGTGTTCAAAACGAGCGAGGAGCTGGCCGAGCAGATGAAGGTGTGTTCGCACGTTCGATTTCCTCGGCCTGCCTAGTTAACACCCCCCCCCCCCCTTCTTCCTCTCCCCCTCCACTAGTCCCTCCTCACCGGCTTTCCGTCCAACACGCCCCAACTCGATGCCCTGCGCGCGACGCTGCAGGCCAAGAACGAGGGCCTCCACGACGATGACGCACACCCTGGGGGCCACGCCCACCCGCGCTCGCCGACGCGGAGGGTGTCAAGGTTACCGAGTCAGGCTGGATTGGTGGGCAGGGCGCAAGGGGCGTCTATGTCACGGGCAGAGTCGACCATCGACGAGCAGGTCGAGGACGAATGGGAGTGGTCCTCCTGGGACGTGAACTGGGCGAAGAAAGTGCGGCCGTTGCTGTTGTGGGACGCGCTCGGGCCGAAGGTAAAGTAGGAAGCCACCTTGGTAGCCACATATTTTTCTACCCGACTATGAAGTCGTATCATGTATGTGAGTGACGCGGAAGTTCTACAGTGTACTATAGACGCGGCGGCCAGAGCGTTGTAGCAAAGCGTCTCGCCGCGCAGATCATGTGTTTTCGGCAACAAAAATCCCCAACAAGAAAGCCTCATTTTTTCACGAGGGCTCATAAATTGCTCGCGCTTCGCTAAAGTCCAGCTTTCCAAGCTTCGGGGGAAATGGGCGACGGTAGGTCCCTAGCACGTGTAAGCTACATGCATGCTGCGTGACAGGAGCTATGACACGTTCTCGTCCTGAACGGCCATTCGTTGCGAGTTACTGCTTGTAAAGTAAGGTATGGCAGTCCCCTGGCATCACACAGCTAACTGACGTCCTCGGCAGCTGCCTCGAACTCATGGTCACGGTCATCCCCTCAGTGTCTCTTTGCGCGAAATGCGAACACACGGCCATCGCGTGTTCCTATCCCGATGCCCCCAGTTCGAAAACCCTTCGCTCGCGATACGCACCCTCTGAGACCGAAAAAGCAGCGCTCGTCTCCGATATCTTCACAATTGATTCTTGGCTAACGAACCTCGACCTAGATATTAACGCGATCGAGGAGCGTCTTGCTGCTGTCCGCAAAGTTCGCGCCCAGGTCGCAGTCGACAGGGACAAGAAATACAGCTTGCTTGCGCCTATCCGCCGCTTGCCCAACGAGGTCTTTACCCTCATCATCCGCGCCGCGTTTCCGAACAAGTGGCGCTCAGAGGGCAGCTGCACCAGCCCCTTTCCCCTCATCGACTCATGCTACTACCGCCTGCGCTCTCTTGCGCACTCCATGCCCGAGCTGTGGGTACGACTGCTGTGGCCTACCAAATTGCGCAGCCAGCAAACCCAAGGTACCTTCCTTGCCCGCGCGCAACTATGCAACGAGCGTGCGCGCAACGAGGGCTTGGACCTTGTTGTGCCGAACTTCAGACTGTGGTTGTCCGACCAACAAGATTGCCCTGAAGGAAATCGTGCTATGCATTGGATCTCCACTCATGTGGACCGCTTTCGGACCCTTGACTTGTATGTGCAGTACAACAGCCAGCCGACAGATGCTGTCAGCGCACCGTTGCTGGAGTATGCGCGTCTGTGCACTACGGACCATATCATTCTTGGCCGCGAAGACCGCTCGTTCGGAATCAAACTCGATGCACCTTATCTGCGGAAGCTCGAGCTGTACCATCTTCTAGCCCCGTCGCGCGTTCACATACCGTGGGCGCTGCTGGAAGACCTGACGCTCGAGATCAAGTGCTTCGGCCTTGCCGATCTGAATCCGTTGCAGCTCTGCACCAGCCTCAAAGACCTGCGCTTCGGCAAGGGATCATACTGGCCCGAGGACGAGCACAACGATCAAGGCTTCATGATAACGCTGGGCGCCTTGCGCACCCTTTCGCTCGGCGAATGCGGTCTTCGTTTCTGCAAATTCCTCGTCGTGCCGCGGCTGGAAGAGCTGGTCTTGCAGCCAGGGCACGAGTGTGACATGCCCGCTGTGCGGACGATGCTCTGGAACTCTGGCCATCCGGGAGAGAACACCCTGCAGTCCATCGCCCTCGCCACGCACTGGTGCACAGGCGAGGGCGAGGGCGAGGACGCCCACTCTCTGAACGGGCAGGAATATCTGTCCGTTCTGCGCTGCACGCCCGCGGTCCGGCACTTGAAGTTATCGTATTATTGGAAGGAAGGTCTCGACCTCAATGTCGTACTCCGCGCCCTCATCGTTGCGCCTGGCGAGAGGCCAACGCTTCTTCCCTTGCTGGAACGGGTTTCGATCCAGCTCAAAAGGGGCTTCACGACCTTTGACGAAGAGTGTGTGGCGCTCCTGAAGGAAGTCGCCCTATCGCGCTGGGCGACCGATGACGGCACGCACGTACTGCGACTGGTGTTGTCCAGTCCGAACTGTGGTCGGTACTTGAGTGGGGTGCATGGCCGGAGGAGCTAAAAGAACGGGGCATTCTCGTCGACCAAGTCCCTTGCAAAAGCGTAGCGTCCGAATGGTATGATTGAGGAACGACTGAAATATTAGCGCCGTGTCTTTTGCGAACCTTCGGAACCTACAATACTCGCGCAGATTCACACAGCTTGCGTCAAGTGAATATACGAATTAGTCCAGTCATTCTTCGACGGCCATATAGGTCATCCATGGTTTGTACGAAGAGCAGATAAATACGTGAAGCAGTGTCTGCATAGAGAGAGCAAGCGCGACAGAGCGAGCGATGCATATACAGAGCAAAGATGGGCGATAGATACGATATGGATACAGCTATGCACAATTAGGGGTGTGGGGATATGGGGCGAAGAATCGATCTTCGAGAGGGGTAAGAATAAGTTAGGATATGCTACAGTGTAGGAAAGACCGAACACTGGATGTTGGTGGTGGTGGTGGAACCTCCACCTTCATACCAGGCCCGACCTGCTATATTGTTCTGGTGCTGGCGACGCCGACGCTCTGTTGCGGGATGGCCTGCTTCTTGGTCGCTATACGTTAAGAGGGCCTGAGATCAGTTTATCAGTGAAGATGTACTTCAATATGAAGTTGGAAAACAGACCGATGCAACCCACTAGTACGCAACACACACTCAGAGCATACTCCGGCGGATGCTCAGTGGCCGGTCTCGCTTCGCGCATCGAACTTCAACCCAAAGGGCACCCGGGGCGGCCCACGGGGCCCATTGGCACGAGCAGGCTGCGCAGGCCCATTAGCACGGACAGACTGCGCAGGCCCATGGGCACGAGCAGGCTGCGTAGCCTCACCCGGACTGGGCGGTGGCGTCGACGACTCGATCGCGCCTGCGAAGTCGAGGGGTCCGTCGAGAATCGGGAACATCGTCGACTCCATCGCCCCCACCGCGCGATTGGCCTTCGCATCCGCGGGAGCCTTGGTGGCGGGTGCACCCACAGGAGCCTTCGTGGCGGGCGCATTCACGGTGGCCTTCGCTTTGGGCTCATTCGCGCTGGCCCACGCGATATTCGCCTGCGCGACCGCCTCCTTGCGCTTCGCCTCCTTACGCCTCGCCTCAGCCTCGAGCGTTTGCCTGCGAGCCTCGGCCTCGCGGGCTTGCTGGCGGGCCTCCGCGGCGCGAGCCTCCGCCTCGCGTGCCTGCCTGGCAACCTCTCGCTGACGAGCCTCCTCCGCCTCGCGCGCCTCTAGTCGGCGATTATTCTGCTCGATCAGGGCGCAGTATTCCTGGCGATTACCGAAGACAAAAACGTCTTCACCAGGTAGCTCGCGCGGGAGGTCGAAGGAATTGGTACTGCGTTCGAAATCGTAGAACATGCTGACGCCGTATTCAAAATCGGAGGAGGTGATGGCGGCGCGGGGCACGTAGGCAGAGTCGTTGGCGTCCTGAGGCGGAGCGTCCTCGGCGGGGGTGACCTCTTCGGCAGGCGATCCCATTGGCTCTTCGGCGGAGGACGCCTTGTCGTGCGTGGTCTGACCCTCGTCCTCCTCGTAGATGGTCGACAGACCGCCCGCGATCCCGTCGTCCATGACATTGTCGTCCTCGCGCGGAGGCCCATCGATGAATGGATTCTCGTCCATGTCCATCGACATGCCAGTGTCCGCGGCCTCGTTCGTCGTCCAGTGGCCCGCCAGCGGACTCGGATGGATCGGCAACCCCTTCAGCTTGCGGACTCCACCTTCGGGAAGGTGCGATGGCCCAGCAGCTTCCTCTCCATTCCTGACAGGACTCGGGAAGAACCGATTGTTGAGATACTTCGCATAGCCGGGCGAGATGCCCTCGCAAAAGTCCTTGGCGCGCTCATCCTGGTAGCCCACGAACTCGTTTTCTTCTTCTTCGTCATCGTCGAGGCCATCGAAGGTCCGAAGGCTCAACTCGACTTCGTCTTCGGAACAGGTGCTGGGCGCGTCGTCCGGCTTTTCCGATGGCGGTTGGTCCTCTGGGGTCGGGCGCGTCGGCGGTGCGTTCTCGTCGTTTTGTTTGTGTCGAGTCGTCGGACGCGTCGGGCGCGTCGGGCGCGTGGAAGACGTCCCTTCAGCTTGGTGGATGCTATTTCGCGCTATCGGGGCTGGGGGATCACAGAAGACGCCACGAAAGGTACGGTAGGGGACCCCGTCCTGCGGCGCCTCAGGTGTCTGGGACTCGGGCAGTTCCACCTCGTCTTCCTCATCGACCACTGGGGGTTCCGCTTCTACCGTGACTTGAGCCTCGTGGGTGCAATTTCTTGTCTTCAACGAACAATCAGGATACAAGACCGAAGAACAAAACCTGACACGCACCCCGTTGCCATGAACATCAACGTTCATACTTATCGGCTCCAGAGCTTCATCGCCAGCGACCCGCGAGCGCGGCTGTATCTTGAGCGTACCCGAGACCTCCGTGACGAAGTAGACTTTGATGCCCATGGGCGTGGTAATTTCGAACACACGTCGAGTTGCCATAGTGAAGGGACACAACGAGAAGTAAAAGGTGGATGCAAGAGGAAGGATAGAGAAGCAAGGATGGAAAGCGCGAACAATGCACGTCGTGGTCAGAAACAAGAGTCGCGAGGCGCCAGGCCCCCGTCATGTGACCATCGGTAATTGCCGAAGTTCCTTTATTGTCCAAACGGAGATAAGTAGCCACTGAAAGCGCCGTGCCCTGCTTCGTTGCATCTGTGACTATAAGTCGAGATGGCCTCGATACACGAAAAATGATAGTACAACGTATCTGAAGAGTCTCCTGTAAGCAAAGCGCGAGTGACGAGGAGATAGACGGGCTGACCAACCTCATCCGGGCTTCAAAGTTTCCGAGACGCGTTGCAATATAACAAGACATTCGCTTGCGACGGCTCCCCTACTGAGCATAGAAGGTCAAGATTAGCGCTTCTCGTTGATGAAAAATGCGAGATTGCATATCAAAAGTCTTGAATGCACTCGCACCTTCCCTTCGAAGCGATAATCTGGTCAACGCAAGCGTACACCCGGTATCGCACCGGACCAAGACATGGTGCTTTCATTGTGAGTGGCTGTCAGGCATTCGAAACCAACGAATCTTCTGCTCCGACCTCTGTCGAATACCGGGCAGGTGTTCTCCGTCATCGACCAGGGTGGACGTGGCAGACGCGTATGTCATGATTACCTTCGCTGGAGCTTCTGCGAAGGAATATCCTGACTTTCTACTTCAGATGGAGGAGAGTTATGCCCAGAGATGACTTTGGCATCCGGCGGGTGGATAAAGTGCAATCTTGGCTGAGGGGACGAGTTGGCTTGGACAGTAACGATGTGCCGAGTGCAATGGTCACGGTTTTCGCACATGGGGCCGACTGAAATTCGCTCTTTCTTCCTGCCCGTTCGAGCTATCCTCGGTGTCAGCGCTGGACGTATAGACAGGAATTGCGGACGCACCAAGAATGGCCGATCATGGCTCAGTGTACCGGCTCACGGCCCTAGGTACGGTTGGGTCCGTGGGGGCCTCAATAGCACGCCGTCGGAAGACCGTATCGTGATGGAATGGATGCACATAGTGGTGGCCATAAAGCCTGAGCTCACCTGCTCAGTCTTGTTGCGGGTCTCCGCGTTAGCCGTTCGCGTAGCTGACCAGTACGTCTTCAGTTGCGCCCGCTAAAACCTGTTCCAAAGGATAGCCTGCTTGTATCATGACGAGACTTCACTGCCAGAGCCTTCCTGGGTCTGTGGGCGCCCGCGCGGGGACGTACAAAGACAAGATCATGAAAGAAAATACGGACAAACAGATGTTCGACGCTGCTTGCTCCGAACTTCCACCCCCGTGCCTTCCAGGACAGTTTATCTGAACCCACTAAACTCAGAGGTAAGATACTTCAGAAAGACCCACAGGAACTACCCTTCGCTGACCACAATACGGAAAGGAAGGCATCATGACCATGCTGACCACGCCTAAACTCTGTACCCAGTGCGGACGCACCTTTTCTTGCTCGTATACAGACGCACCCACTCGTGATATCTTACGCTCTTCGTATGCTCCTGTCCTGAACGAGCAGGACACTCTTCGTGCCGAGGTCACTGCGATAGACGCGTCCACAAAGGCAATAGACGCCTAGCTCGCCGCTATTCAGGCGCGTCAAGTGGCACTGCAAGCGATGCGCCAGCAGCTCGCGCTCGACAGGCAGCTAAAGGAAAGCCTACTGTCCCCCATACGGCACCTCCCTTTCGAGCTCCTGGAACTCATCATCCTTCATGCGTTGCCCGAGAACTGGTACACTGCCGTCTGTGGTACCGTCCGCTTCCCCCTCATACAGGCGTCTCGTCAATTCCGCGCGACCGCCTTCGCCATGTCCGCGCTCTGGTCGACCATCCGCACCCCCATCCTCCGCCACCCGCCCAAAGTCAAAGCCCACTTCCTCGACGCCGCCACGGCGTACGTCGACCGCGCCGGCGACCACCCCGTGAACATCGTAAAGTTTCAGGCCAATCCGAGCATTATGCCGCCCAGCCACGACGCCGATATGTGGCTGTCCGCGCACATGCATCGTATCCGCACCCTGAACTGGCAGCTGAGGGGGGGTCGTTTCATCGTGCCCACCCTGTCCGCCCCGGTGCTGGAGAGCCTGTGCTTGCGCTGGATGCCGGTTCGGGGTCAGCAGCAACTCGAGAAACAGACGATCACTGACACGCCCCGCCTGCGGCGTCTCGGGCTTGAGGGTCAACTCTTGCCATCGCAGTTGCGCTTGCCCTGGGTACGCCTGGAGGAACTGGAGATGGATGTCGAGGGGTGCGGGCCAAAGGATCTGCGCGCGTTGGAACACTGTCATGCTCTGACGACGCTGGCCATCAAGATGCGCTCTTTGTCTGCTTGTCTGCTTGACGAGGACACGCAGATTCCCATCGCTCAACTCGGTAGCCTGCGCAAGCTCTCTTTGCGCGCCCAGGGCATCGCCTACGCCCGATTCCTCGCTTGCCCGACCCTGCGCGAGTTGGAGATCGATGTAAACTCTACAACGTATCATGGCGAGCTCGTGCCACTGGTCAGATCAATGCTACAGCGCACATCCTCCAATTCCGCCCCGCACCCCCTCAAAAAGCTGACCATCACCACATTCTACCCCAACGTCGACCGGCATTTCATAGACTTGCTTGCATGCACGCCCGAGCTCCGGAAACTGCACATCGTCGCCGACGAGGACCGCGCCTTCAGCGACGAGTTGTTAGTAGGGCTGACCGGCACCCAGCTTGTGCCATCTCTCGAGCACCTTGCTATCACGCTCGAATGTCAGTGCTTCAGCATGGCGGCCGGGCAGCAGCTGGAGGCACTCGCGATGTCGAGGTGGGCCGATGGCAATGGGCCGCCCACGACCCGTCTGACCATGGCTGTAAACGTTTGCGCCCAAACCCGCGGCTGCGAGTGCGAGCTTCGTCTTGATTGGTCGCGGGGACTGGAGGCAAGGGGCATCCTTGTCGACCGATCGTCATGTATACGAGACCAGATTGAAGCTGGCGGTTAGGCCCTCCTCGGTATCGATCTATGCACGCGTATCCGTGTCTGTAGGCAAGATGTTGTGAATGGTGATGCTTCGCAATGATGTGAGCGTTGTGAATGTTGACTGCGACGCGCCTTGTACCATCGCGGCACCAAATGCACCCAAAAGCAGCATTCACCGAACCAGAGAGGCTCTCGAGCGTCAAGGCTGCCTGCGCCAACACACAAGAGCCCAACTTGCCGCTTACTGCATGATTGAAGCGCTCGAAGAAGGAATATGGGGGTGTAGAGGCAGATGATGAAGACAAATCTTTGGTCTTCAGTTCTGGCAGTCCCTTATGAAGCTCAGAACTGTCGATCGATTGACCTGCGCGTAGTACTAACACAATAGGGCGACGTCTTGCAGATAAATGGCGGGAGAACGGGATGCAGTGGGCCCTGGCTCAGGGAAGTCTCTTGTTGGGTGCATGGCATATGGGCATACAAGAGCGATACAGCAACATGATAGCGGATGAGAGAGAGATGCAAAGCGGACGCGGGCATAGAAATGCGCTAGAACCACTCTATCGGTTCTGCAAGACTCGTTAGCACGAACATCGCAAGCCAGCTGGTATGAGGACGCACCTTGGTGAAGCCGATCGCCTGCGACTTCTCGCGGAAGCACTGACGGCAGAGGTCGAGGCCGTACTTGCGGATGAGACCAGCCTGATGGCAGCACAGGCGGCTATAACGCATGCGATTGAGCGAGGAGCGCGAGAGGAGTCTGCTCGTGGTACTGACCATTGGCGGGAGCCCTTACCGAACTTGCGTGGGCGGGAGAACCAGACAGCGTCGTGCGTCATTTTGAGTACCTGGCTGGTGGACGATGAAATCGCGTAGAACGGCAGCAACGGCGACACCGACCTTGCTGAGGGCTTGGGGGCGACGGCGGGCGCGACGGTGAAGCGCCAGTCGCCAGGCGATCGCGAACTGTACAGTTTACCGGCAAACGCCGATTCGGCCGATCCGGCACCAGTGTCTTATGGCCAGCCCCCGCCCACGCCTCGTAACAAATCATTGAGCTGTTGTATCGGTTGACCACTGTATCCAGCGCTCCTCTCTATCGTCCCCAGCCGAGCTTGATACCTCCCCTTTTCCCTTACAAGAGATGGAAGAGCTTGGTGGTGTAGTGTCACTGTGTCGCACTTGCTATCCTTCTAAGTCAATGGATATCTATGTTGCCTGAGCTTACAAAGGATACCCTGTATTTCTTCTTGTGCATCTTCTCCTAACGGTGCTAGAGCAACTGACTCTGCGTCTCTCATCCATGATCTAAACTTTAGCCTAAAGCATCCTGGTTCGAACTTCCTGATCAAGAGGCACGTGCGTAAGTCCGGATATCTCAATTCCCTCGTGCATGGTTGCTACCTTCAACCGCACACTAACAGTGACCTTCGCGACCGCCTGTCGGCGCTCAAAGCAGCGCTATCGTGCATTGAAACTCATAACAACCAGCAGCTTAGGTTTGTTGAGCTGACAACCAGGTATGGGTTATACTCCTCTGTGCGTGCGGTAACTCCTAAGCGCAGCAACAGGGTCAACATGACGGTATTGAAGTCTTCGAGTCTCTGCACGAAATGCGACCATGGCTTCATGTGCTCCTACATGGATCCACCTACTCTGAATCTCCTGCGATCTGATTATGCGCCCTCGTCGAGAGAGCGAACAGCTTTAGGCGCCGAGATCGACACCATGGATACGTACACGGACGCGCTCGACGCGGAGATCGCGACTACTCGGGCGCGCTTGGAAGATCTGCAACGAATCCGGCAGCAGCTTGTTGAGGACAAGCAGCTGAAGGCAGGCCTCGTAGCCCCTATTCGACGCCTGCCGTTCGAGCTCGTCGCAGCTATCATCCTTCTTGCGCTGCCGGACAACTGGACCACCTCTGTGTGCGGCACGGTCCACCTCCCCCTCCTGCACGTGAACCATCGGCTCCGCGCCATCGCCCTGGCCACGCCGAGAGTCTGGCATGTTGTGTGCGTGCCGATAATTGGCTGCAGCGACAAGTACATCCAGCGCTTCCTCCAGACCGCGACGTGCCACTTGGACCGCGCTGGTGGACTCCCCATCGACCTCGTCAGGGGAACCCACTTCACGCAGGATGCGCCCGCTGGCCGTGAGGCCGACAAGTGGATGTTCCAGCATTCTCATCGAATTCGCCGCCTCGACTGGCACCTCTCCCCGGGACACCTTCCCTCGTCCACCTTCTCCGCGCCGATGTTAGAGGATGCGGCCCTCCGCTGGACCCCAGACAATCATAATCAACGGCTCGGACAGACGCTGGCGATCACCGACGCCGTCCGCATGCGGTCCCTCCACTTGAAAGGCTATCTATCACCTTCACATATACACGTGCCCTGGTCGCGCCTGCAGCGCTTGGTCCTCCATCTCGAACAATGTGGACTGGAGGGCGTGCTCGCTTTGGAATATTGCCATTCCCTCGAGACACTCGTTGTCTCCGTGCGGCGCTTCTCTTCGTGGGTGACCGACGAAGAAGCGAGCCTGCCATCGGTTACCTTGCACAGTCTCCGCACGCTCTCGCTGCACAACTATGGCATCCCCTGGGCGCGAACCATCACCTGTCCAAACTTGCGCGAAATGAATCTGGACTTCATGGCCGTACCCAGTGCGCAGCTGCTCTTCGCGTCGTTCGTCAAAAGCATGCTACACCGCTCCCTCGCGCACTCAAGCACGCACCCTCTCGAGGAGTTGACCCTACGCATCGTCCGCCGAATGAACCACGACGCAATCCTAGGTATCCTCGACCGCGCATCCGGAGTAAGGAAGCTCACCCTTTCCGTCGATTGCGCTGCGACCATCGAGGATGAGCTCTTGTCGAGGATGGAGACTATGCCTCGTAGCTTACCGTTGCTGGAGCATCTCACGATCTGCACCGAGGCAGAGGGCGTGTGGCTGCTGGACGGGCCCGGAGATAGCCTGAAGAGGTTCGCGTTGTCCCGGTGGTCCTCAACCGATGGACCTGCGGTGGCGCGCCTCACGCTGGAGTCCAAAATTTGCCCCAGGGCGGAGTTTTGCGAATGTGCAGTCCCGAGCGAATGGCGACGCGAGTTGGAGGCGAATGGTATCCTTGTCAACCTGGCGTCGTGCGAGCACAGGCAGGACAGAATATTCACAGAGGATATGGAGTAGAAGGCCTGACAACATGATCTGTCGCAGGTGGGCAGTATCGCTGCCGCACGCGCACTCTTTTACTAATCTGACTGTCTTCAGGTTTGGTCACAGCGAAGGAATGAACATTTGACCACTGCCTACAAACAATTGATACAAAATAAATTCATACATCCCGAATGCCAGTGCATTCTCTTAGAAGTCGAGGGTCTGGCCAGCGTCGGCGGCGACCGTAGAAGCAACATCCGACGTCGCGAGAAGAGAGTACTCGTACGGCGCCTCAGTGAAGGTGCCTGCGCAAAAGTGAGCGTCAGCAAAGAATTACGTCGTTTTGCGCTGCCACGTACCCTCCGGCGCCGTGTTCTCCCCACCGCCAAAGTCGTTGTCGCGCGCGACGGCGAAGCCCTCGTCGGTCGCGTAGAGCGGGTCGCTGCCGCCGCTCCAGACGTTGCCCTCGACGAGGAGCTGCGCGCCGTCGCGCGTGTTGATCCCGTCGTTGTTGTTCACGAAGTAGTTGTTGTAGATGTGGCCCGTGCCGAAGCGGAAGGAGGGCGTGCGCGAGTTAAGCGTGTCCCAGTGGTTGAGCGCGTAGGTGACTGGGGGGAAGTTGCAATGACTTAGTCTGCGAGGTGCGGCTGGGTGAAATGGGGATACTCACCCGTGATAGCCTTGTCCTCGTCGCCGTTGCTGTCGGAGTGGCCGACGAGCGAGGCCTTCCAGTGGTCGTGGAGGTACGAGCTGGTCACTGTGACGTAGTTTGAGCCGTGCGTGATGTCGAGCAGGCCGTCGTAGTAGTCCTTGTCGTGGTCGCGGTCGGACGAGAGGTCGACGTGGTCGACCCAGACGTTCGACGCCTCCTGGATGCCGATGGCGTCGCCCGCGTCGGCGAGGACCTTGGAGATCTTGAGGTTGCGCAGGATCACGTTGTCCTCCTTGTAGACGCGCAGGCCGACGCCCTCGAGCGCTGGGTGAAAAGTAAGCATAAGCAATGGGGCTCGCTGACGCAGAGGGAGAGCGCACAGGAGCCGGCAGCGCCGAGCACGGACGTGTTCGAGCCGACGCGGATGACCTCGTTGCCGGTGATGGTACCGGAGATGATGACGATCTTTGCCTCGCTACCCTCGACAGCGGCCGCCAGCTCGTCCAGGGAAGTGACGGTGGTGGTAGAGCCGCCAGAGCCGCCAGTGGTGCTGCATCAGGGTTAAATTCCGTCCTGACTTGCTAGACGAATGACAACGTACCCGCCGACAGCAGCGTAGCCAACAGCCGGGGTCTCGTTGACATCCGCGCGCCTCAGGATCTTGTTAGAGGGCGCAGCCTACAGTGAAAACGTTCGTCAACGAGCTCCAGCGTGACCTCTTCGAATTATGACGTACCGCCGCGACGATGGCAAACAGGAAGACGGAGAGGAGCTTCATTTTGAAGAGATGTACCGGTTGAGCTGGCGACTTGCAGAGGAGAGCTGGAGCCTGCCGTTCACCTCACCTACCCTGGGCTTATATACACGTTCGCGCAGCCCTAAAAACGCAGACTCGGATAACCGTCGGGGCGCACGACGGAGAAATCGCCCACGCCCATGGCGACGACGCTCACCATCCGCCACCAGCGTACGCCTGGCTCATGAAAGCGCGGCGTTCTCGCCATAGATGTTGCTACAGGCGTAAGGGAAGGGTTGAATGGGGTGAATAGAGAACGGTTCTATGTCGTGCGATCAATTGCGCTGCGACTCACGCGATGTTGGGCGAGGCACGATAATTCAGCCATAGGGTTCCATGCTTAATGAAGGCACTTGAGCGTATTTATTCTGCAGAAGGAAGAACGCGACTTCAGACAGTATCATTGAAGTAGACAACTGGCGGGAGGATTAGCCCGGTAACAATTGGGTCGCGAGCAGGGAACTTACGAAAGTAAAAGAGGCATAGAGCGCATGAGAGCAGACGAAAGGGATGAAAGTCCAGACGGGCCGCAGGAGCACGCTGCTCGAGTACGCGATGCCCAACACTGCATGAGAAAAGGAAGCCCAAAGAGTCAGATGCTCAACGCAGCAGGGCCAGTCCACGCGTGCTCCCACACTTCATCCTCACATCCGCGCACTCGGACGACGGAAAAAGCTATCAAAGTGTCGATCCGCGGAGGAAGAGCTTAAGACACATGGAGTCGCAGAGAATAGGCTGAAGAGAGCAGCGGGCCGCCGAAGAGAGCTTGTTTACGGTCCGCGGTGGGGTACGCGGGCCGCTGATGCTTTCTTCCCTTGATGAGGAGTCTTGAGGGGAGACAGGCGTGAGTTCGCCATATACTGTGCGCCACCAGAGTCGGAAGAGAGCTGTCAAGCAGGAGTCACCTTGCTTGCAAGGTCTCTCCCTTGGTCAATTGCTCGCATGCACTTGCGTACACATGTGCAAACATCGCTACCCCTCTCCCTTCGTTCGAACCCCGCTATGCCCTCTCGCCTCCAGTCCGGTCTACCTGTGCTCTATATATACTTCTTCGTGTTCTTCGCACCTGGACTCCTGTATATATCTCTCTGTTCTGGACTGTCAATGCATTTTGCGTACTTGGCTCATACCCCGCCGATGCCGTTGCGGTCATCAGCTTCGTCTTATTACAACGTCGCGGGCGACGTCTTATCCCAGACTCACTGTCCGGCTTATCCGGTCCTTCTGCCCGATGCTTACGTAAGCCCCCTTTCGTCCTTCCGCCCACGTCTCTGCCTCAATCTTGCACTCGCCCTTGCGCTTGCGTACTGGCAGTGGTGTTCGAATTCCCCCGCGTCGGATCCATGCCCCTGTGCCTAATAACCTGGCGCCTGCTTGGCACATCGCAAACACTCCGCTGCTCGTAACGACTTACGCCTTCAAAATCTGGGTGCTCACGTGACAAGAGCACCCAGATTTCGTCGCTCTGTTTCCCCTCGAACCTGGTCACAACGGTCTTTCATTGCCTCCGTCGTGCGCTCGCCTGTGTGGGGGTCGTCCTTCACTGCCGCGCAATGGGTGCGTGCTACTCTTATTTAGTTCTGCACCATCGCTGACCATGCCCTTGCTCTTGCTTACACTGATCTCGGCGTCAACCTCCGCTGCTTGTTGGATCATTCCTGCTGATTGTCGAACTTGTGTCTGGGGTCCTTTGGTGCGTCCTCTTACCTATGCTGCCCTGCGCTGTACTCATTATCACGCTAGCTGGCTCCCTGGGCACCCGCGGCATTGGCGAGTCACGGCTCCATCGCTTCCGGCAGTGCATCGACCACGGCAAGGGGTTGGCCATGCTGTTCGCCCTCCGCGGGCGCTGTATCGGCCTCCCCGTCATTATCTTTGCAGCACATCCTCGACGGGACCACTCGTCGCATCGATCGACGTAGGCTGCTCGTGCCCGCGTCGGCTTATCCACGTCCCAACATGGACAATGTTTACATCCCGAAGCAGCCCTGGCGCGATCCTGCTTGGCGTGCGCACCCGTGGACATCCTACAACTTGCCGCGACGCTAGCGCGTCGCCGATACCTCGTCGACCGCGTTGGCGCCCACATCGCGGCGGTTGCGGAGGAGCCGGCGACGCGCCAGGACTCCACCACACCCGTTTGGAATGTCAGACTGAGGTCGTCAGACATCATTCCGTCCTCAGCGCCTTACGCGTCCGGAGACTGCAATGTCCGAGGCGCGGCCCGCATCTTGTCGGTCGGGTCTTCGTGCGCCACCATGACGATGCACCGTCATCTCATCCAACGTCGACTGCGTAACCGCCCCCCCCGTCGTCGCACGCGCTCGCCACACATGCCCCTAGACCCTCCCAACAACGCAGACGTCATAGTGCGTCGTTGCGAGGCCTATGGAAAGTGCACGTGGTAATTGTACACGCTTGGCTCTATGACAATGTGAATACATTCCTCCGTCCCCATCATCTCCTCCCAGCTGGCGCTCCGTGTGCTCTTAGTGTATTCCACCACAACAATGTCTTCCGGTCCAAGGCCTCCAACCTCTCGTCCTCCAATAACAGCTCCGGTTCGTGCCGCGTCTTCGTTGGGTCAAACACGCTCCTATCGTACGCTCTCAACAGCCGGATGGTGCTCCTGCCCGAGCTTCTCGAAAGCGCCACGTACACGTTGAACAGGTTGAGTTTGCCACTCGGCACTTTGGCAATGTCTACGATCACTGACGGTAGTGTTTGGCCTTGAGCGCGATAATCTGTGAATGCGTAGGCGGGTGTTATGGGGAGTTGGCGTCGATGGATCGTGTACATGCGTGGCTGGCCTCCTGGCGCGCTTTTTATGCTCACGCGGAAGGGAGGCTGCGATATCGGGGTAATCGGCACGACACCGGTCGGTAGGTCTTCCAGTGTCCCTGCTCGGGTTCGCTCCATCCTGACGAGTACGTACAGAGGCTGCTTTTGCAAGCGGACCACCGTTGCAGTGCCAAAGTCCGGCTCGTCCTCTGCCACGACAATGCCTACTATCTCGCCCCGCGCCCCGTTGGTGATGTCAAGATCTGTTTCAACGTTGCGGGTCACCAGCACCTGCGCACCAACGGCAATCTCCACCTCGAGGGGCAGTTCGCCTCGCCTCTTGCGGCTCCCTCGCCCGCTGTGACTCGCAAGCTCGTGCCTCTCCCAGAGATTGAGTGCCCGACCACCGGGCACCGTCTGCTCGGCAGGACATATGAAGAGCCGTCTGCCCGTCCTCGCACAATGCTCCCGCAAAGATGCCTCGTTCCACTGGCGCCTGACAGCGTGCCGAGGCGTCACAAGGTATGGACGCTTCCACGCCTCTCCCTCCAATGGTTGACATGCTGGGCTGCCCAGGACAAGCGTGTCAAGCATCTCCATGTCGCCGTGAGTATTCCGACCATAACGCAGGCGGTGCAGGAAGTCCTTCCACCCGGCGTCCGTCACCCGCATCTGCTCCTTCAAAACCACAACCGTATCGAACTCCTCGTAGATCTGGCGCCCAGCCTGCATCAGAGGCGTGTCCTTTGGGCTTGAGGGGTGGTACAATCGATCGGATGGGCTGCTTCCTACAGGTGGGAATTGATGCTGATCGCCTGCCAATACGACGCTAATGCCTCCAAATGAACCTTCCCCAGGACGCTGCCCCTTGGCAATCGTTATGTTGCGGGATAGCAGGGCAAGGAACGCTTTCGCTATCATGGAGTACTCGTCCACGATGAGATAGCGCAACCACTTCCAGAACCGTATTAGGTCCACCTTCGCCTGTTCCCCCATGACGACGTTTCCTTGGTCATTGATAGACAGCTTCGCAATGACATGAAGCGTCTTCCCGTCTATCAATGACGCCGCAACTCCCGTATACGACGACTTGAGCAGGTAATGTGTGAGCCCCTTCGCCCGGAAGAGGGCCGTCACAGTCTGGATGACTCTGGACTTCCCTGTGCCCCCTTCGCCGTATAGCAGCATGCGCAGGGGCTTCGGCGGCGCGCCTGCCAATGTCTCCTCTAGATGCCATCGTACAATGTCGTACGCTCGACGTTGGTCCTCCTTTAGCTCGTCCACGTTGAGGCCATCCAGCGCATCCGTCAAAGGATCCACATCTTCGAGAAGCATGGCCGCGCTTTCTCCTGAGCCATGGCTAGCGCCCAATGGCTCAACAGATGGCATGGCTGCCTCCCTGTGGGCGGTTGGTGCGCTCTCCAGTCGGTCATCCATGGGATGCGCGACGGCCTGCAATAACTGTAAGTGGATGTTTGAATGTGTCCTTTGATGTTACGTACAGCATTCATGAGCTTGAACTGCCTCATTTCTTCCTGCCAGCCATGCAGCCTCGCCTCCTCCCCACCTTCCGCTCGACTGACGCCTGGCGATACACCCACAAGGTGAGATACTTTCCAATGGTCTCCTAGCGACTGCTTTATAATGCCCCGCGCAGCACCAATGTAGACCGCTTCCAATGCGTGCAGCTCTTCCCTTGCGCCGCCCTTCGCTACGTCCTTCTCCAAGGCCTGCACCGTCGCTTCGGTTACGCTGGTCTCCTGAACAAGGTTCGTCATATCAACGTCCTCTGCTTCTTCCATTGCGTCGTCGCCCTCGTCGCCCGCCAGTCGATGCGGCGCTTGTCTTTCTTCTCGCTCGACAGCATCTGTGCGGTCCTGATCTGCGGCATGCTGACATTCGTGAAAGTACTGCGCGCCAGCGAGGAATCTCCGCTGTTTCGCGGTAGCAGTGTCGCAGAACTCCGCGAAGGCTTCCTTCCACGTCTGTGCTTCGCCCTTCAACTGCCGTATGTCGCGCCACGGTTTCAACAAGGTCAACATTGATGCGCAGTAGAAGTCGTACTGGTCCGGATCGTCGTTTCGAGGAAGTGGTCCACCAACAAAATTTGGCAAGTTGTTGTGGCCCTCGCTGCGCATAACTCTGGCGCGGATACCAGCGCACGCGTGCGGTTCCTGGTAGGGACTACGCTCCTGCGCCGCTCGCCCTCCCCGCGGCGTTGTACGCTCTGCGTGGGGTACATCATCGGATGTGTCCATTGCTTCATCGACGTTCGCCTCGTTGGTATCCTTCCCTGACCGCTTGCTGATGTGTGTCTCCCAGGTATCAACAAACAGGTCGACAAGACTCATCCTCTCAAGCAGTGCGCCTCGATACGCGTAGTCTGCGATCTGCGACACTGCGTAAACGTGGCCAGCGGGACTTCTGGCCAGAAGAATACTATCACCATCCTCTGTCGTCTGGGTGAATACGCTGGTTAGCTCTATTCTGCCCATTATCACTACTGCAATGAACTCACGTCCTCGCTCACAAGTGTTTGTGTTTGCACCTGTCCTGCATCGCTCCTGTTGTTTCCCTCGTGTGTTACATCGCCTTCGCCCTCTGTGCTTGTGGCCGCCGAGCGATCACTATGCATGTCATTGCGGCCAACTCGTCCTGTACTGCTTGGTGCGTTGATGAACAGTCTGAACCTTCGTCATGGCGGGTTCTTACCAGTGGAACTCAGGAAATTCTCGTCGTATGAGTCCCGCAAAGGAGCCCCAGAAGATCGTCGTATACTTGTGGGACGCGTATACGTCGCCCCATCCCATGAGGTACGACATGACCATCGGTGCTGACAGTTCTTGTTCGCTGTTGACGCTGTGAACCAGTCGAAAGAGCAAGAGTCTGTTCCGCTCCTGGATACTGTCTGTATAGTCGTCCGTGCCCGAGTGAAATGCGTGCGCTCGGGCCATGACAGCTGACATCGAATGCGTCTTTTGCTGCTTCTTCCCGGCGTATGTCGTGCAGTAGTAAGTGATGTTCCTCGTCTCCGCCCCATTTGTCAGCATTTTGATGTCATTATTGCAGCGCATGAGCACCGTGATGTCCGGGTTCCAGCCGTTCATGTACTGGAAAAGCCTCTTCATCGCCCATTTCCCTGATTCCTGAACGTAGTCCTCCTCGGCCCTCTCAAACGGTGCTCGTCGCTTGCACCGCAGGACTCCTTCCCTGTTGACCTGCAAACACCGCCTCAGCCGGCAGGTGTGCACTTGCTCCATACGGGCCACCTTCAGCTCGAACACTTCGCAGGCTTCCAGCCATTGCTCGCTCTGTGGATCAGGTGGCCGCGAATACGAAATCTCTGGCTCTCGGGGTATGGCCTTCACCGACTCGGCATCCTCCAAGCCTGGAAGGTACGCCCGGATGCATTGCTGGATGTACTTCACAACGTGCTGACGGAAGTCTAGCGAGCGAAGATGCTTTTGGAGGTCATTTGGGTTAGGAGATGCGCAAAGAAAGACGAGCATGTGAAGGTGCAGAGTCCCTCTTCCCTGCGACTCAACTGTCCCAAAGTAAGCAGCCACGTTGCCTAGTATGCCCATATTGCTCGTCGTCTTGAAGGGCGTGACGGTCACCCCAAAGAGGTCGCGAAGAATGACGCGAATGATGTAGTGAAAGAACTTGGCTGATGCGTACGGGTCCCTAGCGACGTTGACCGCCCTTGCATCTTTGTCAGGTCCCATAGTGGAGACAAAGGCGTCCATGTCGATACTGGAGTCGCCGGCGAAGAGTTGCGCAATTGGATCGTGGAGATCGCTGGGGTTAATGGTGATCCACAGGCTTGGAGGTCCCATCACCAAAGATGTTGACCATATCTGGCTTCGCAGCCTGATACGTGCCGCGTCTGTTCCCGTCACCCGTCCTGATGTTGCGTGAACATACGAGCGTAACAAGCGCACTGCAGGATCTGAGAAGCGTTCCCCCCGTCCCTCCTCTGAAACGGCCTGCTGTAACTGCTCCGAGGTGATAGACATGATGGTGCGTGCGTCGCGTTCGAATTGTTTGCGGCGCATCTGCAGCCTTGCTGACCCCAATGCTTCCCTCTTTTGAAGGATCCCGAATATTGCGAAGCTGAATGTCTCTTGACGCGCGAATCTCCGGTCGTGGTACCGCAAACACCACCGCACATGCTCACGCAATGTGACGGGGACGGGCCGCTTCTTCTCCAGGCCTCCGATCCCATGCGGAAACAAGAAGGGGTATGCCCTCTCCCAGAGATTGGCGAGTGGTTCGTCTCCCTCGGTGTTCCCCGCGCTTCCAAACTCGTTGACCGGCTGGCCGCCATGTCTCACAATGTAGCCCCCCTCCTTGCCTAGTCGCCAGAGATTGCTAAGGGCGGACATCATCGTCTCCGACGGCTTCACATGCATCATCTCCACGTCCAGTGCGCCTGAAATGTCGAAGGGGATCACCTCTAAAACACGTATATAGTGAGTGCTCCTCTATGTCAACGCCTGTTTGCTTACCGGGTTCTTGGTGCCTTCGCTCGTCTTCTCCCACACTGGTGCATCCACCGGCCCCCACTTTCGAAAGATGGTCCATGAGCTGCGTATCCTCATCTTCATCCGATCCGCTTACCATGTTTGTGTGCAGAAGCAGCCTCGCTATCAACCCCATTGTGGTCCGCGCTTGGAACATATCCACCGTGCTCCTCGTCCAATGCCCCGACGTCCATGTTCTGGAGTACGCAGGCCATAATCTCGTCCGGTACGTCATCTTCGGGTAGCAACGCTAGTCTGTCTTCGCAAAGGGTGATATCTCCAAAGTAGTTCGGATTGGTGCCCTTCAGCCGCAGAAAAGCACGACGGACTAGTTCACGACGGACACGGAACGTGCGATAAATCCAGTTCGGAGGTAGCTTGCCAGGTCCAACATATGTGACGCTCAGCACCGATGGTAGATGGCTGACTGGTCGGGGAAGCATGTCGCCGGCAACCATAGCGACAATGCCTTCCTGGTCCAACTCATAGGAGCTGACGTTCCCTCTCATCCCTCTCTGCAGCATGTCCGGATCCGATGGTGACCATAGCTTCGGCCGCAACTTGAAGACGAAGACGCGGGGGACGACGAGGGCCAGCAGTAGCTGCTCGGGAATGGTGAGCTCTTCCACCTCGTGTGGTATAGGTCCGATCCACATGTCGTTTGCCAGTGAAAACTTGGGTGGTTTGTCCCCGTCCTCTATGAGCGACCGATGGCACTCGTGACAGACGACAACACGCATATCATCTCCCGACCCGAGTACCCCCGTAGGTTCCAGAAGAGCGCCCCTGTACAGAGTGTGCTGCTCGTGCGGGATGCGCGGCTCAAGCCGATGGAGGTTGGGTACGTCGTCCAGCGGAAGCAGTGTCATCCCACAGAGTGGGTCAACGTGATCTCGCTCCCGAGCGCATACACCACACACCCACGTCTTCAATGCAGCCTGACTTGTAGCGGCATGGAATGCGATGTGGCAAGATCGGCGTTCCTCCTCCGTCGGTACGTTTAGAAAGGCACGCCAGTCCTCCTCGTCCGGGAGAGTCCTTGTTGACATTCCACTCCAGGTTGTTCCATTCCTTGATCGCTTTGGCGTGGGTGCAGCTGGGTGATTCGCGTCATTTGGTGGCCGCTTGCGTTTGTGTGCTGCCTCAGCATTCCGCCCAATACCCTTGTCCATCGCATGCTTTACCAAGGCTTCTTTGGCTTCTTCCGGCGCGTGCGCTAGCAGGTGAGCAATGAATGCATCTTTCCCAGCTTGTCGTATGAGAACCGGCGTCTTGATATGATAATTGACGGCAGCGTCTCGCAGCTCCTTGACAGTGAGCGCTCGCAGCACATTACAGGGGTCGGCCATGGTCGTCGATGGGAAGGGGGAGGTGAAGGAATCAAGATAGCTCAACCTTTGTGGTGCGACGATCACCGATCAGGATATTCACACATTTGTCCTTCCCAGTCATCATTCTCGTTGTGCGCATGATCTCTGCAATCACTGTCTTCCGCCGCTTCGTCACGCTAACTATTTACTATCCACGTAGGGTGCGTACAACAACTACAAGATAATTTACAGGGATGATCTACGCGCCACGTTGTTCTCTGGGATACGTGAGATTGAAAGGCAAACAACAACGACCTAAATGCACTCACGTAAGTCTCTCAGCTATGGGCTTCATGAAGGGGGGACGTAGGCGGCGCGAGGATTTTTGGGGTGGAACCAGGACATTGAGTCGAACGATGTCGGCGTTGAACGAATGATCATCAAGGTCTGAAAAATGGCAGTGCTTCAGGGTGAAGAAAAGCTCGACAAAAGCGCCGGGGAGGGCAGTGTGATAGTCGCGAGGGAGTATGGGTACATTGCCCGCAGAGAATGCGGGCAATGGAATGATGAGCAGACGGTGCTCATTCTCCACAAAACGATCGCACGTTTGGCGGTGGCGGAAGGTGTACTCGTCCAACGTCTTCTGCTCCTCCGAAGTTGGTGCTGTGTATTCACCATCATCCCCCACACGAAGCCTGCGCTGATAACTATAAACATCCCGCAGGAACACAACGCGGCAGTGTCACTCACCTCAAATAGCTGATGCCGAAAGCGAACGCGCCGCGAGGATGCTGCCCAGCTCCCTTTTGGACGGGTTCCTCCTGTGCTCTTAGGATCGAATCCGGGTGCCTTCATCTGCAGCTTCCGCACACATTTGCCTGCATTCCCTGTGTCGAGAGCAAAGGGCTCATACGTGGGGTGGTAGCAAGGGCGCAGCTCGCCCGTCAACTCCAGGGAGTCAAACCAGGGCCCATCCGGCAGGTCTTCGGTGGTGTGGCCGCCATCTGCATCCAGACGCGCCGTCTTGATGTCGATATACCCAAGGGCAACCAGGACAACGGGTGGCACATCCCGTCCTGGACCAAGGAGACTTGTTAGCAGAAGGTTCCCTTGATCATGCGTACGCACACACACCTGCACCAGCTTGCTCCCCATCTTTCAGTGCGACGTAGTTCATGCCTGCTGATGTTTTCCAACAGAGATGACGAAGCACTTCTCCATCGCCCAAAAAAGTGCCTGAAGGGCCATAGGGGGTAGTGCGCCACATATCATGACATTTTGTCAGGAAGTCAATGGTGCACTCGTCGGGGTGAATTGCACGAAGGGGTGCACGGCTTCGTTGTGGCAGAGGGGCCGGTGTACGTGCATATCTTGGCATCGTCGTGGGGGTGGCAGACGAGAATGGTGGTAAGCACCCCATTTCCAATAAATGATCGAGATTGAGGCTTGACTGTACAGTCCACTGCCCGTAAAATGACACATTGTCTAGACAGGACGAGGGCCGCCACCGAGCGCGACGTGAGCACGTGCACGGACCGTCACACAGATCATGGCAGTCAAGTATACGGCGTTTTATACAAGACTCTACACGGCTGCCTGACATGCTTATACCACAATTACAACCCCTTCAAGCGCTGGGCGATTGAGTAAGAAGAGCGGAGAGGGGGAAGGAGACGCCGCCGTGAGGACGCGGGGGGATCAATGATGTTGATCTGAACAATGTCCGCATTGAAGGTAGAGAAGTCGTCCGTGGTAGAGAACCGGCGGTGCTTGAGCGTGAAGGTGGCCTCAACGAATGCGCCGCACAGTGCAGCAGAATATTCTTGGGGATAAATGAGACGGCCTGCAGGCGTGTAGGCGGGAAGGGGGATGACTTGATTGGAGTGTTGCGTCTCATCCTCTAGCTCATTGGCGGCCGCGCGGTACTTCATCGGCCATCTCGAAGTGGTGAACCTCTCAAATCCGGGTGCCGAATCGCCTTCTGGAATGATGGGGCCATCACCATCCTGACGAGAAAGCGGCTGTCTAAGCGTGAGCGAAGGCGCACGTATACACAGGAAACCCCGGAAGGGCACACCTCGAACAGCTGATGACGAAGGCGGAGACTTGATCCCACACCCATCCATGACCCATACCGGAAGTTCTCATCGACATTGGGAGCGCGTTCCATCAGCTCGAAGACGTTATGTGTGGCATCGCTGGTACCGCCCATGAAGCGCTCGTGATCAGGGTGCATCGACATACGCAATTCTGCGGTCAATTGAACATCCTCCAGACAAGGTAGCTCTCCGGTGGGACCCTTGTACCCGCCATCAGGTGTGAGGTTGAATGTTGACATGGATATCAGTCCATAAGCGGTAAGGATGGCAGGTTCTTCGCCTGCTGGCGTGAAAGTTAGATCATACTGGAAGCCGGTATGATGAGCAGGCACTCACCAGGGGACTCTGCATCGTCCTTATGAACTATGTAATCAACGCAACCGTTAGACCTCCAACATAACTTTTCCTTTGCGTCTGCCGCGCCTACGTATACCACACGTCGTCCCCTAGGCAGCACAGGCGGGGTATTTATGGTGGTATGAACCTCCAAGAGATAGTCACGACGACACTGAGTGTCGCTCGCAGCCATGCCTGGGCATGGGGGAAGGACCATGGTGCGAGGACGGGTGAGGAGCAGTCGATCACTTCCTAATTTTTCGGCACGGTGGCTGCTGATCGGAAAGGACCCCATGGCTGTACATGCGTTGTCCGCGCTTGAGGGTGACCCCCAACGCCATATTCAAGAGGATAATGTATTTTCGGGGGAGCGGGCCGCCCGGACAAGTTGAACTAAGCAGCACGTGGAAGTCATCACACTCGTCACCATGTTGCGCTTCCGACTCATCACACTTCGCTTGTGTGATACCTTCCCATCCCTCATCATGACCAGGTCCCTTCCCCTGCCGTCAGCAAACTTTTGTTCGGCGAGAATGCTGTATCTCTTGGCCACTATCATCGCGGAACCTCGGCTGGTGCCCCCTTCCCGCGGCCCGTAAATTGGTTCCACGGATGTCCTTGCCGGAGAATCTGGGGCATGGTGGGCAATAAAGCAGTCTCTGCAGCGATCGGTATGTGGCATCTCAAGGGGGCGCCCTTCGCAGGATATAAAGCTGAGCGCAGCACATCTCATGATTGATCGTCACCCAACCCACCATGCCGACCATCATTGACACCGTCAAGTTGCTCAAGTCCCTATCGGACAACGCAGAGAAGGAAGCTGAGGCGAGGAACGAGGTGTACCTTGGCGTTGCCGGCCTTGCACTGAAGTACGGACAATGGCGGGACTTTGGCGCCAAGAAAATTTTCGTCTTCAAGAAAACAGGTGCGTGTCGTGCATGACATCGCGAGCTGTGACTGACTGATTTTCGGCAGTGACGGAGCTCGAGGACGGTCAAGTAGGTGAAGGTGCGTGGTCTCTACATGGTCCCTTGCTCGTGTGCTGACAAAGCGTCTCATAGGAGGCAGCAACGATGAGCCCGATCCCGTCGTTTGTGTCTGCGTCGCCCGCATCGGCGCTCAGGATACTTGGCTTGGGTCCGATGCGAACTGGACCGGGCCTTCGCAGTACACGAAGACATTCGCCCATGTCACCCTCGCGACGGGGCTGGAAAATCCGGCATCTATGCCTGAGGGCGAACCGTTTGGACCGCACTGGGGACCGGTCTGCGCGCAAGTCACCGCCATCATGCAGAGCGCTTGCGATGGGAAACCCATCACCTCGGGTGGTCCGGAGGACAGACGTCTTGTTGCCCGCCATGCGCTGTTCCAGGTCTGTTTCCAATCAGGTCTCCCAACAAGATCACTGCTGACGCTCGCCCAGGTCCTGCCCGAGGACGAAACAGAACGTCAGCAAGTGCTCACGGACATAGCCCGTACGTCCTCACATCCTCAAATCTGACTCGCGTTGCTCATGGCCTGCTCAGAGAAGCCCGCCTTCTTTGACATCAAGAACTGGCCCGTGTTCACAGACCAAGCGAAAGCCGACATCCGGGCCATATACGAGTCGCACATGATTATGCCGCTCCCCGCCTTCGACAGCGAGGAGAAGATCATTGAACCCTTGCAGTACCGCGCGGCCCTCACCGGCTCCCTCGCCATCGTCTCTTTCCGCATCGTGGGCTGGGTCTTGAAGAGGACGCGGCGTTTTCGGTGCGAGATCGTCAACATTGACGTCCTCAAGCCTTCAGATGTGGAACGCCCTAAGCGCACCACCCCTGCGTCATCGTCTCGGTCGCCTTCGAAGCGCCTGCGTGCGTAGATACACTTCCAGTATTGTTTTCTTAGCAGAGTCATAACACCGTATCTTGATCAATGACTGTTGTCATTTTATCTGTACATGTAGCATGCTCAACGATAGATGGCTGTATTCTACATGCGACGTCCTGCCTGCTTCCACGAACTTGAAGTTAATGCTCCTTCCAAAGGTGGTGGTACATCTATAGCTCATGTTGAGTACTGTGTCAATGGCGAAGGAGTACCAACTTGCCGTCATCATCTTCTTGAAAAATTTCGGTCCAGGTCGATCGCTCTGAATCTGCCAGAGGAGGGCGCAAGCGCCCAACCAAGGTAGGTGCGTCTCCGCTCGACAGCGCAAGTAGGATCGGCAGCCACGGATTGCTCAGGCTCTGACAATGTGAGGCGCACTGACAGCTTGATTTGGTACAGTCCGTACGGCTGGAGTCCGAAGGATTCGCCATGGCGGTTAGCAAGAGGTGGGCGTACAGCCACCATTGGGGACAAGTCACGGTTGGGAAATGGTGCACGTGATGTGCGTCGCAGTGGGTCCAAAGCCGTCAACAGCGCGCCGTTCTGAAACGCATCAAGGACGAAGTGCCCTTCGAATCCCACCTACACGCACCGCAGGACGCGTAGTGCAAGCAAGGTCAAGGCCGAGCGCAGCCGGCGCTTCCTCTAGTAATGGTGGTGATTCGAAACCACGAGGTAGTTCTCGAACCGTGGGCACGTGCAATGAGTCACGCATCGGAAAATCGGACCGCGTTTCCATTATTCTGCTGCAGCGTTCCCCTCGCGTAACACATCGTCTTTCGCTTGTACCACCATGTCGAAGCATCATCCGGGTATGTTGACGCGCTTTTCTTTGCTCTATGTGAGGGCTAAGCTGACCTTTCACTTTAGATCTCATTATGTGCCGCAGGCAGCCAGGCATCGGTAAGCGCGCGCTCCCTCATTTCTACAAATCAGCCATCTGGAAGCAATGACTTACACCGTCTCCTCAGCTATTGGCCGTCTCTGTGAGAAGTGTGACGGGAAGTGGTGCGTAGCTCACTGCTTCATCTAGTGCATGATCTGACTACGACTTTCATCTGCGTTTGCATGGCCATTATTCAAACGGATCAACCTACTTCTCCCTCCTACAACTTGTCTTCCCTACTCCCTTGTTCACGCGACCGCTTTTGCTTCCCCCACCTGCAGCCCCGTATGCGACTCCTACGTCCGCCCCGAGACACTCGTCCGGATATGCGACGAATGCAACTTCGGTACTTACGGAGGGCGGTGCATCATCTGTGGCTCGCCAGGTGCGTACTTTTCCCTTCCTCCTCGTATTAAAGTGACACTGACGGTCGTCCTTCCTTTTCCTCCCTAACCACCTCCCTGATACCCGTCCCGTACACGATCAACGACGCCACGACTGTGAATGTTCTCATCTCACATCCTCCTGCCATCCTCGGCCGCTCTTCCCCTACAACCTCAATACCCATACTCGCACCTCCCCTCCGCAGGTATCTCCGATGCGTACTACTGCGCCGAGTGCACAAGACTAGAAAAGGACCGCGATGGCTGCCCAAAGATCGTCAACCTAGGAGCAAGTCGTACGGATCTGTTCTACGAACGGCGCAGATTGGGTGAGTCAGCATCGTGTATTCCCCTTGAACGTCGTGTCGTCTTGCTAACGCGTCGTGCAGGGTTCAAGAAAGGCTAGTTGCGCTCGTTGGGCGCTTATGCCGGTTTTCCATGATCCCTTCTTGTACTTCTATCTGTCGTCTAATAGACTCCTTGGCGAACGCAGAGTTAGCGAGAGTCGGGTGAGCTGTGTTATCGCCAGCGTTGCGTCGCGGTCATGCGAGGAAGGTTCGCACACAGGCTGAGGTGTACCCAGGGTGTTCATTGAGAGGAAGCGCGTAGCAGGTGATCCCCTCGCGAGGTGGCAGGTGAATAGCTGAGCGAGTTCTCGGATCTGTGCATGCGTCATTGCGTGCAGACGCTGCCGTGTCCTCGCACTTCGTTGGTGCAGCTGTGAGATCGTAGTGTAAGCGCAGTGCACAGCACGCCAAGCGATGTTCGTAGCCACTGCGTCCAGTCAGTCGACCGGAAAGGTTCTTCCAGCCCTTGTCGAGACAGTCGCGTCGCGTAGTAAGGTCGCCAAAAGTCGTGCCATAGCCCTATCATAGAGGGGATTCAGATGCCACTGGGGCTGACTCCCATTGACTCCCTCCATTCTCCCGAACACTGGGGGCACAACAAAGGCTCTCCGCCGAGTCCCGCGGTCGGGCGAAGAACGCGCCCAGGCTCGGGCAGTTCAACATTCGGCAGAACCCGTTGTGACTCCCACGATCCCCACAGTCGCGAGATCGCCCTTGCGGTCGGTCTAAGCGGCCTTGTCAGCGGCCCAAGCGCCCAGTCAGCCAACCACATCCCTCGCATTCCACGCGGCCCAGGCCTCCCCAATAGACCCAAACAAGGGTGTATAAGCGTCATCCCCGGCTCAAGCGCCCCACTTTCGTGCAGCTGCTGGTCTGTACCTTGTTAGCCGCCGCCATCGGGTGCTCATGCTCGCTGTTGCTCCTCTCCCCCTTCTTGACCTCTGCGCGGCGCTGTAGTCGACGCCAGCACACCCACACCGATACTTGTTTACCCGAAGCAATCGAACGCGCTTAGTCATACGCCGGACTCCATCGTATCCGGACACTTGCATAGTCGACCGAGCCTCTAGCACACTCGAACACCAGTACCCCACCATGGCCTCCCTCGCCCGCCTCTCGCACGCCGCGCGCTTCTCGTCGCTGCCCTTCCTCTACCCGTGCTTCACGACCGCGCACGTACCGGTTAGGAGGGCGATGATGAGCGCGCTCCGCGACCTCCCGCAACACCCGCTACCGGAGACGCCAGGGAAGCAGTCGGGGAATGGTGAGTAGCTTGTTTATCGTCTCCTGGCGTGGATGCAGAGCCTCTCTTGAGGTCCCGTCTGCCCGAGTGACGCCGATCGGTGAAGTATGCAGTCGGTGCAGCACATTGTACGATCGGCAGACTTGAGCGAGGGTTACACATCCATTAGCAAGCGTACGAGTAATTAGATGCTGACCTCTTTCCTAGGCCCCGCGCGCACGACAGAGATCCGTGACCCAGAGCCTGCGGCGTCATTGTCGCCCGACGCTGGTGCGCCGCAAACCGCCGCGCCTCCCCCACCAGCACCCAGGGCCGAGCGCCCCCGGCCGCAATTGCGAGCGAAGAAGGCGGCGTTGACGATCGTGAGTGTCACTCCCCTGCCCAACACATCCCCTCCTTCTGTCTGCGCATATTATCCACCCTCGACTAACGTCATTCCACGCCAGTCCCCCACCGCCGTCGAGCGCCTCCGCACGCTCTCCAAGTCGCCCACGCCGCAGCTCATCCGCATCGGCGTGCGCAACAAGGGCTGCGCGGGCATGAGCTACCACCTCGAGTACGTCGACAAGCCGGGCCGGTTCGACGAGGTGGTGGAGCAGGACGGGGTGAGGGTGCTGATCGACAGCAAGGCGCTGTTCAGCATCATCGGGAGTGAGATGGACTGGAAGGAGGATGCGCTGAGGTGAGTGGGGGTTGTTTTTTTTGTGATGGGGGAAGGAAGTGGTGGTGGTGATGGATAAGGAGTACTGACACGATGTCCGCAGCTCGAAGTTCACGTTCAAGAACCCGAACGTGGTAGACGCCTGCGGGTGCGGCGATTCCTTCTCCGTCGGCTCATAGACCATACCCCCGGCTCTGCCGCCTCGTATAGCGGGATGTCGAGAAACGTACGTTCGCGTATCTTGGGTGCACGACGAATGCTCGTACTCTTGGCTTGCTCGAGGTTGGCAGCGCGTAGAAGTCAAGTACCTATACTCGTTTTGTAATGAGGCTCCTCAGCTCAGTTCATGTTGTATCTACTAGTACACGATATATCCTATATGCCTACAGTCGTTCGTGGACATTGAGCCAGATATTTGGGAATGTCTGCTGGGTGTGGGTGATGTGGGTGACCGTTTGACATTCCCCTCTCTTGCCAGATGCCTGGAGAGCATCGCCGTACGACTTCCGTCGCGTTGGCCTCATGCCTTCCAGTAATGCGCTCATGCCTACCAGTAATGTGCTCACCTCAGGGCTCGACGGGCGTCTTCAGACTTGTGCAGGGTCTAACGGGCGCCTACCTCAGGGTCCAGCTCGACATGAGTCGCCCGGTGTCGGGGTCCGACATGAGTCGACCGGCGGCAGGGTCCGATGTAGCGTTGCGGATGATACCTCCTGGGACCTTTGTGACCGGTACCATACCGCGGGCGACGCGGGACCCCTCCCTGACGAGGTTTCAAACCAGTTTCTTACCGGTTTTGTGGCGTTACGCGGCCTTATCACGTGATTTTTTGCTCGCGCGCCAGGCGCGCGCTCTTTGCGGTGACTTTGGTGTGGATCTCCGTGAGCACTCCCTTCGCCCTGATCGCATAGTACAGTAACATGATTCACGTATGTGATCTGACCCTCTACGCCAGCTTGTGCGCCAGGAGGTATCCAAGTAGAGAGGAATTTGCCGAGCTTTTCATGCGCGAGCAGCTCAAAGACATCACGCGCCTGGACTCGAATTGGTGGGGTAGTAACTCTAAGGTACTATCTCACCGTTTGTTGGGATGTGTTTCCCGCCGGGTTTTCAGAACGACTTTCGGGTGAGCCGGACTTTGATCCGAATTCCTTCGGCCGACTCCCCTGGTTCGCGTCATCGTTGTCATCGACATCCCCCTTCTTTCCCACGCTTGCGCTATGGTCCCAAATCACCTAAGAACACATATACCCAAGCTTTCTTGCCTCTTTCCCTGCCCCCCTCTTCCAAGCGGCTTTAACACAACTTTGGGATCCTTCCAAGAACACCTTTCTTATACATTTCTTTTGGTATGCACTCTTCCGAGCGACGCACGCGCCGCCGGAAGATCATGACACATTCGTCACACCGATCGCGACCATGTCACACCTTCACACTCCCACCACCACTCCCACTCGATGGCGCCCAGCGCCAAACGGCTGCCCCCTCAATCGCGGAGGACGATGGAGAGGGCCGGGGACTCGTACGAGCTCCCAAGGTATGTCCTAATAGCTCAATATCTATCGGTCATACTAAAGAAAATTTGAGTGTCGCTCGCTACGCGCGAGCGTCCGCGGCCCTTCAACGACCCCCCACCCCCAGCCCCCCATTCCCAATCATCGACGACCCCCGACCCCTACGTCGTCGCCGCAAGCACGCCACGAGTTAGCGAGGCACGTGGAATCCGCGCGACGACGACATCCACCCCCCTCCCCCCGGCGTGCACCCGACACCGTCGAGCTCGACGACGACGATGCTCCGACGCCAGGCCGGGCATCCGGCCCGTCCATCTGGCGCGTTCGGCCGCGCGACGTTGTGTCCTCAACCACCACCACCCCACCACCCTTGTCCCCCCGCCGCCTCCGGACTCCCCTCCCCCACTCCCTCTCCTTTGTTATACCTCGACTTTCGGCGTTTACCGCTTGACGCGACGACGAGGCCACACAAGACGACAAAAAACGCCGCATGACGACGATCCACCAGGCGTGCGAGGAGAGGGACCGCGGGTGCGTGTATACGCCCCGCTAGTCGACGTTTACTAACATTCCACTTTAATGACGCTTGGGGATGCGCGAGAACAGGCGCGCGACCTGCGCGACGATGGGCAAACACTGCCCCTCCCCGCCATCCGCCCCTCAGACCGCCCATGAGGGCGCGGGAGCTTCGCCTAGGGCCTATCACGCGCCCTAGGATGCCCCCTATGGCTTCTTTAGCCGCTACGCCCCCACCTGCGCGCTTAACGTGCGCAGGTACGGTAGTAAATTACACCCTCCCACCACCCTCTACCCCTTGCTCATGTAGAATCGCCTTCGTGGCGATTCTACGCGCCGCTGGCGGCGCATATTGCGCTACCAAACTCGCTTTTGGTGCGCCGCGTCCGAGCGCAGTCGCGATCGGCTAAGCCGACTGCGCGGGGCGGCTGGCAGCGGCGGGGTTTGCCCCCTCGACGTGCTGGATGGGTATGCGCTGCCCACTCTTTCAATAGAGAGGGCTTATTGCGTGTACCGCTGCCCCCTCGCTCCGCATCTGCGCCTCTCGAAGGTGCAGGGGCAGCGGGAATGCGCAGCCATATCCCCTCTCCTCCCCCCCCCCGTGTGCTACGTGCCGCCGCGGACGCGTCACTAGACGCGGAAGGGCGCCCGTAGCTCGGGAGGACACCCTCCTACTCTTCCTTTCCTTGACGAGCGCGTTGATCGCGGGCGAAAATTTGCAGGATGCCACTCGGCGTACGTTGAACTGCAGGACGCTGCTCGGCGGACGATGATCCATTGCTTCACGACTTGATTCGGGCGCGACGGATGAGTGGGATCGTCGGTGATGCATTGCGTCGCGAGTTGGCTGGGGGATGCTGAGGGTGACGGGCGACCTCGACGTCACGAAGCGCGTTGTCGGCGACGCGAAGCACGACGTTCGCGAAACGAAGCCGGCTCTACAACGGCAGGTCAGCTTCCTCGGGTTCGTAACTAACCCCCCTCAGCTCACCTATCGCCCCGCCCGCCGGACGACGATCTATTGCTTCGCGGGCTGGATCCCGAAGTGTCGCGTGTACACCGGGAAGGAGGCGAATGTAGCGCGTCGAGCGGGATCTTCGTGGTCCTTAAGACGTCGAACATGGTCCTTAAGAAGCCGTACGTGGTCTCGAAGACGTCGTACGTGACCCTGTGAGAATGAAGTCAGCACAGAGCAAGGAGAGCGAGGGTCACGAGCTCACCTGAATGGATCATAGCATCTGCATACAAACACAGTCGACGGAGGGTGACGAGGTGCTGAAAGCTCCGCCCGCGACTTGGAGACCGTGCGAGACGAAGCGTCGGCCAAGCCAGGACCCGCGAGGACTTGCATGCTGAGCTAGAACCGCCACGACATCGTCAGGAGAATGCTGCGGGACAACAATGAGTATAAAATTGAACTCCCAAATCAATGAGACTCACCGAGCGTGCTCGTCGAGCTGACTGCCTTGCTCGTCGAACTATGCCGGTACGCGGCACGGTCAGTCTCTGACCCTAAACCCGATCTCGTGCATTCTAACACACTATCTTCATATAGAATGATGAGATACACGTTGAAAGTGATATATCCAAGCTCTTACCCCTCCTCCCTCGCCAAGGAGGAAGCGAATTGAGGTGTGTTTGGTTGATTACTTGACCCCTTCATCTCGATTGCTCATCCACTCGCAGCCCTTCTCGTATTGCATTCCTCAAGTCATCGATAACGACGTCCTTCGAGCGTTCTTTGCGGCGCTTACCTTGCGCTTCCAGCCGCCCAAGCACATCAGCCAAGATGTGCTCCGTCAAGAGATTCAGAATTGACTCCTTGTAGCGCTCTCAAGCAGCACTTGTAAGTCACCCTTCTCATCGCTTCTTCCAACCACTTACCTCTGTGTTGTAGGTGTCGAAGAGACGAGTCGGAAAGGCTCTGACCTACGCTCCAACCCCAAGGCCGATGTCTTGCGTCCTGAAGCGAGGATACGAATTTCTCAGTGAGTCCTCGCCCCGACCTTCGTTGCCCTTCCCTTCCCTCCCCCTCCTTCCATCGCCTCCCGCTTGCACATCTCTCCTCCATACAGCTAACTGACTTGTATCCTACAGATGCCTGACTGCCTGAAGCGCCCGAGCCCGACAAAGAAGCGCTTGAGGGTCAACAGGTGCGCATTTCGCTTACGCTCGTGCTCATTTCCTCCCCCTCGTCCCACTTCCTTTCCCTTCGTTCCCACCCCTCCCCCCTCGCTCCACCCCCTTCCTCCCCCTCGCTCCACTCCCCCTCCCTGCCCTTTGCCCTTTACCCCTTCTCCCCCTCGTTCTCTCGCATCCCACCACATTCTCGCGCTGACGGCGCACAGAGCACGACCACGCGACGCGAATTGCCACGCTTTGAGAGCGAGGACGCTCACCGCGCTTCAAGAGCGAGGATGCCTCCCGCGCTTCAAGGACGCGCTCAGAGAGCAAAGGGGGAGGGAGCCAAAGGTGAGCACCCACCTTCCCTTCGCCTCTGACCCCATACTCATCTATCCCGGGATCATTCGCCTCGGAGCGCTTCGGCAAGGTCATGAAGAACGAGCTTGAGGAGGGGAGGGGAGGGAGGGGAGAAGGGTCTTCCCCCTTCGTCTCTTCCCCCTTCTCCCCTTCTTTTTCCCCTTCTCCCCTCCTTCTTTCTCCCTTTCTCTTGTATCTCGCTTGCTACGCTGCTCTGATTGTCCACAGATCACGACAACGTGAAGGCGACAGGAGGCGAAGGGGGAGGGAGTTCGGTATAGGTAAGCCCCCAGCCCCACCCTTCACCCTCGCCCCGTACTAATCTGTCTCCTCAGATCCAGCCGCTCGAGCTCGAATGGGAGCGCTTCCGCTAGAGATGAACGCACTCGAGCGCTCCGACGAGGGAATCAAGATGGGATGGGGGGAGGAGGGGAAGGGTGAGGGAGACATCTCGCCTCGGCGCTTACAGCGCCCTTTCAACTCAAATCGCTCGGAGGAAGCGGCAGGAAAGCCGATAGGTAGCTTTTAGTAGATACAGTAGTTGTGTACTAGACAAACGTAAACAATGAGAAATCATTGAGCTTACGAAAGGACGAGAGAAGGGGCTCACCCTGCGACAACACCATTGCCCGGGGCCGATACACTGTGTGAACGGGTAGCAAGACCAAGGACCTTGCTGCCAAGGTTGATGCATCAACCCCAACCTTGCGACACACCGACGCCGCGCGAAGCGCGGCGTGTCGGGGTGTCGCTGTAGAACAGATGATCGGGTGTCTGTTAGCCAGATCGGGCCTACCTATTACCCGATCAGGTTAAGTTCAAATACCGATCGAATGCCCGATCATATCCCTGGCTTTGTCAGGATACCTGTGTATGGTGTATGCCTGCTTGGTGGGGGTGGCTTCTTGATGTCTGTGATGCTTTGAAGGATCAATAGTGACCTTGCAATACACCGACGCCGCGCGAAGCGCGGCGTGTCGGTGTGTTGCTGTAGAACTGTAGGACTGTAGGACTGTAGGACTATTGAGTACATGTTTCAACTGTTCAGTCAATATGTTCTAGTTTAATTGGGCATGTATTGTAGATGAGCTGTCCATACTGCATGTTGAGCAGCCTTCACACGTGGATAGAGAACAAACATGTCAATATGAGCCTAACATATGGCAACTTGCACATATCAGGAAGAACCCCCCTGGTTAGACTACCCCACCGTACGCCACGCGAAGCGCTGGCCCTCTCTAGACCTAGTGATTGCCAAAGAATTACTCGCTGCAGGGAGCTCATCTATATCAGAGGTAAGCTACAAGAGACGACACAAACTGGAAGACCACGTCGCGGAAATACTTCCACGGCCCAACGAAGCCTGCCCGCCGCCTCAGCGCTGCGCTGCACATTGACGCCACATAATGGGTACGGTACCGTCGCCTCTCAGCCCCCTGGGGGGTCCGGTATGATACCGGTACGAAACCGGTTTCAAACCGGTAACAATGGGTGTCGGTAAGTTTCGTAAGGTATCATCCGCAACGCTAGTCCGATGCGCGGTCGGTGCCGGGCCGGCTGATCAAGGACGCGTCGCGTCGCGACGCGCCGTGTCGCAGGTTGTCTCCTGCTCTCATGTCGCCATTGGGCGCGTCCCCCTCTCATGCTCCCACTTGTGTCTGAATGAACCCTTACCGCTTCAACAAGGAGTGAGAATATCGGGGACGGTGATAATAGAGATTGCTATTTCCTATACTACCCCCGCCGATGCCACGGAGTAAACGACCTCAAGCTCAAACTCGAATACTCAAGCCCACAAGTATCCATCTCAAGGTTCTGTATCGGTCAATCTCAAGTGCTGCAAGAGGCTGCAAACGAAGGATGCGAAAGAGCTATCATCTCCCCTCGTTGTCACCTCCCGCCATGCTCACCTCTCCTTCCATTCAAGCTCAGTGCTTCTCCCTTCCCCTCTGAAGTCCGTCTACTCCTCGACGCATGCGAAGATCGATACGCAAGCATGCTCTGTCCAACTCAGAACGGAGCGCGCCCACATCACACACACAATTGTCTGCTTCAAGCTTCACAACAACCAGCCTCGCCAACTCAATGCCAACACGTCTATTCCACCGCCCTTCTATTGCTTATTGTCTCGCCGCAGGAAAGTCTTGTACTTCGTGTCTTCGACTGCTCACAGTGGGTGAGGCACCGAGGACCTTGCGACCTTATTGTCTCTCCTGCAGCTTCGACGTCAATGTTGTATTATGCGCCCACTCCTGCGGCTCGCACTGCCCAAGGTGGGCGCCCTCCGAGCATGCCACCGCTTCTCAAGACCACACCGCCTCTAGAGATCCCACTGCCTTACAAGACCTCACTGCCTCCGCAGAGCTGTGGGTCCAGCGTCCGGGTGAACCTACCAAACGCAAAATTACCGTATGCGGAATATGAACCGGTCGGCGGTCTCGTGATCGTTTCCCACGTCACAAGGTATTTCGACGTTTAGGGCGCCTCCTCCTTGCCGGACGCGTTCACCACCCCACAACTTAGAACGGCATCTCAGCCTCCCCCCCTCCCTCGCGCTGCGTCATTGCACACGAGCGGACCACCTACTCTGGCCATCCTTCAACCGAACTCTGCCGCCACACGCGGTCAAAATAATGCGCATATATCCAGGTTTTAACAAAACTCGCGTACTCGTCTATCGACTCTTCGACTCCCCTATCCATATCATGACGGGGGTCCTTGCTTTGGAGGAGGCGTTATCTCCTTTTTTTGCGACAGTGATTTTCGCTGCTTGCGCAACTCTGGCTACGCTCTTTTAGACGACATGCTCCGGAAGCACCATTATAGGACCAGGGCAGAAATCGAGAAGCCGTCAAGCTACGCGTACCTCCGTCCATCTCAGACGAACTTTTGCCCCCACGCATCGCCCTACCTGTCGCCATTCGCAAACAAGCTCTTGTCGGGAACAGCAAGAAGAGGATCATTGAGCTGCCCTTCTCCGATGACCGACATTCCCAATTGCTGAAGACGCTCGCACGACGATCTTCGCAGCCGACGCCTGACTATCTCGACAAGGACGAGTACATGTACCGGCCGATCAAGATGCTCGCCCTGCAGGTGCTTGACGTGGACGCCCTTGGCTGAGCGATCGTTGATGCTCCCACTCATAGAGCTGTCAGCATATCTGAGAACTAGCATCCCTTCCCTGCTGCCCAGCACGGCGGACCTAACAACACGACGACCGTATATCGGATGACAACGCCGATATCGTCAATGACAGGGACAGCATCTGCGTCTCTTCACCGAAGAAACCTCATCTTGAGTAATATATCCGTGCAAGTCGTAACAGTGTCGACCAGGTGTCGACAGGCGCTCCAGATGAGGTTCAAGGATCAGGATTTTTCACTTCCACCAACTTTTGGTCAGAACATCCAGTCAAGACGCAAGATCATTCAATCGCACGGTCGTTCCATCTCCGTTCTCCTCTACATACCCTACTTCGCCTCTCGACGTAGCCTCGTCCTCATTCTCACACCCAGCGTGGTCGAGGTGTGGGTCCAGCTCCATACGCTCCCACGCCGCTCGGACGAACTGCCCAAAACGTTCGCAATTGCCATATACGGATTGTTGTGCGCACTGACACGAGGCGATCAACATCCCAGTCCCTTGGAAACGGGCTGCTTATTGCCTCCCCGGCATCAGCACCCCGCTTCATCGTTCCTTCTCCCAAACCCCCATCTCGCCTCCCATGCCGTCCGCGACCGCGCTACTCGCTATGCTCTCGAATACGCGCGCGCTCGACGTCGCGACCGTCGCGCTAAAGGGCGCGGCGGTCGTCGGCTCGCTGCTCTTTCTCCGCGGCGCTGCTTACCTGTTTAACATGCTGGTCCTCGCGCCGCCGTTTGACCCGTTGCGCAAACTCCCTGGCCCCAAGGGCACCGCCCTCCAGAACCACTTTCGCCAGGTGTTGGAGTGCGTGTGCTGCGCATGTTGTCGAAGGTGCTGATGCTGACCTCGCCCGCTACTTCCCCAACAGCCCGCAGATATCGGTGTTGACGCATAGGCAGTGGACGGGGAGGTACGGGAAGATGTTCAGGTTCCATGGGTTTGGGAAGGTGCGTTGCGTCCGCGGCGCTTGAATTTGCCCCCGGCTAACCGCGTCGTCGTCCGTCTAGCACGACTATCGCCTGATGACCTTCGACCTCCGCTCTGTTTCGCATATTCTCAACAGCCCGATCTACGAAAAGCCCTGGCAGACGCGCTCCCTTTTCACCATGTTCATGGGTCGAGGTGCGTCGCGCCACACTGGAAGTATCGCTGAGATCGAGCTGACACGTGCTGCGTAGGCGTGACATCCCTGGAGGGCGCCGAGCACAAACTGCAGCGCCGGGTCATGAGCCCGGCATTCTCGCTCGCGACGACGCGCGCCATGCGCCACATCTCGCTCTTCAAGGCCGCAGAGCTGCGTGACCGCCTCCTTGGGGAGGTGCACCCCGCCTCTGCGGAGAAGGCTAGCAGCGAGCCAATTGACATCGCTCATTGGATCTCGCGCGCCGCATTCGATGTTCTTGGCCTGGCTGCGTTCGACTACTCGTTTGACGCCCTCAAGGACGAGACGGAGCCCGTATACCGCGCGTATCGCAGGATGTTCAATTTGATGGACAACGGGACGCAGTTTGGGATGCTGAAGGACCTGTTCTTCCCGTGGATTGGGGATATCTTCGTGAGTCAACGATTATCATCCTGTTATGCGCAGCTCCCGCTGACATGGGCTACACAGCCCGACGAGCGCCGGCGAACATTGAACGAGTGTCAGCGCATCGTTCGGTCGGCAGGGCAGAAGGTCATCGACGCGAAGAAAGCCGCCATCCTCGAGGACAAGATGCCCTGCGAGGATGGCAAAGACCTACTCAGCCTGATGAGTGCGTATCACTGTCTACTCGTGACGATCCTACCTAACATGTCCGCAGTCAAATCCAACCTCTCCAATGACCCCTCGAAACGCATGTCGGACGCGGACCTGCTGGACCAGATCACCGCGTTCATCTTCGGCGGGTCCGACCCCACTTTCCTCGCCATCGCCTGGTGCCTCCACATGTTGTCGCATCACCCGCAAATCCAGGAGCGCCTGCGCCGCGAGCTTGAGGAGATGGTCCCCGCGTCGCCGGTGTGGACGGAGAAGAGCATGCGCAGCGACGACATCCCCGACTCAGGGTTCGAGGAGGTGTTCCCGGCGGGCGCGGCGCAGCCATCGGAAGGGGCGGTGCGCGCTACGTGCGATGCGATTGAGCGACTGCCCTACCTGGACGCTGTGGTCCAGGAAAGCCTGAGGTTATGCCCGCCGTTCCATGGGACGATCCGGGTGGCGACGCAGGATGATGTGATCCCGGTTTCGTCCCCGGTGGTGTTGAAAGACGGGACAATCATTTTGGAGGGCGAAGGCGTGGAGATAAGGTTAGTGTTGCAGCATTGCTTGCTGCTTCTCGGAGGCTGACAATGCTTGCAGGAAGGGCAGCTACATTCATATCCCCATTGAGGGTTTGAATCAACATGAATCTATCTGGGGGGTTGATGCGAGGGATTTCAAGTATGTATATCTACCCTTCATGCTACCAGCCCCGCCTAACCTCACCTCACAGCCCCGATCGCTGGTCAAATCTGCCCGAAACTGCACGCCGTCATCCAGGCCTCCAGAACCTAATGACATTCTCCTTTGGTCCCCATTCATGTCCCGGCTTCCGCTTTGCCATATCACAAGTACGTCATTTTCTTTCCCTCTCTGCTCTGCCTCTTGCTGACCCGCTGCCCGCAGATGAAGATCTTCCTCGCGACGCTCCTCCCCCACTTCACATTTAAGCCCGCCGACGGCGTGAAGATCGTCAAGTACAACTCGATCGTCACGAAGCCGTACGTGTCGGGGAAGTGGGAGCTCGGGATGAAGATGCCCATGGTGGTCGAGCCGAGGGAAAACAGAGAAGACGACGCGTGAACGACTGCTCACGCACATATACGATGAGGACCCCGGCGGGGCGGGGCTCCTGGATGCCCGCTCGCCGCGGCGCCGTCTGCCGGCAGGGCGACGGACCGCGGGGCGCGCGGGCGTGGACGATTGGCTGTATTTTACTACTAACAACAACAACAGCAACAGGAAAGCGGGCTGCGTACCCACATCACGCACCGCACACATAACAGACTCCCTACATTCCCGAGTCCTGATGAAGAAGACGACGCGCCACGCTGTAACGACTGACTTATTCTTGCACCTGTATTTGTACGGACACGGTTACTCTATGCCTCTTGTACTCGTTTACTGTCGCTCTGTTGCTTTTGCTCTCGTATTTTACCCCCATGTAACGCTGCATCTTAGGATAGATAGATATGCCCCTATGCCACACACACTCCAGCTTGTCAGACGACGCCCATTGCGGGAAATCGGAAGATTGGTGAGGATGAGAATGGAGGTAAGTCTGAGCGCGCTGACGGTTGTGCGGTTGAGGACGTCGTCGACTGGCCTTCTCCGGTGCGGACGGATGGCTAGCGCTCGAGGATTAGCGCCTCTACGCACCAGGTACGTGCTATGTTTGTGCGTCTATAGATGTTGGTCATGCTGATGTTTTGAATAGCAGGATACGGCTCAGGTGATAGCTGGTGGCAGATCCGGGCAGAGCGGCGCTGCGTAACGCAGCGCTCGCAGCTAGGTGGGGGCTATAAAGGTCGTTCGAGTCTAGCTATGGTCCGAGCACCTTTCCATCCCACCATGGCTGCCAATATCCCGACTGCTGGATCGTTGAAGCTGGGCGTGGCGATGAAGACGCTTGTGGTCTTGTAATAGCCAGATCCCATTCTCGGGAGTCCTTGATTAGCTGAAAGTTGCCTCTGTCAGCGGTGACTCCTTCAGCGCAACCGACAAGCGCGAACTTGATGCGACGTACTCTGCGGAGGATAGGACTTGGGTGAGTACAGAGTCCTCTGGATAGCTTACTTGACTGATACATCGTCGAAATCAGGTTGACTTCGTCAAGACGCACCCTCGTCTACGAAACCCCACAATCCGCAACTTCGCCTACCCACACGCGACAGCAGCAGTCGACCTCGGCAGGGAGCTAGATAAGTTCCTTGCGGTATACCCGCCGGGTTCGCAAGAGGAAGCGTTGAACCCAGACACGACCACCTACGGTGAGCGCGCGATCCTTCTGCGGGTGGACTTGCGTACTGATCACCCCACGCCGTATCCCAGCATTCTACTTTGGCATCAACGACTGCGACACGGTGCTGGCGGAGGATGTCGAGGCCCCCATTGACAAGGTCCTGGCTGCCGTGCGCAAGCTGCACGAAGAGTATGGTGCCAAGCATTTCGTTCTCATGGACGTCCCGCCGCTCGAGCGCGCGCCGGAGGGTATGCAACTGAAACCATCTTTCTCTGCCTTCCCTGAACTTGACGTCTTACCTCCAGCACTGAAGCGGACACCCGAGAACAAGACCCAGGTCATCGCGGCGATGGCTGCCTGGAACCGTATCCTCCCCGTCAAGGTGGCAGAGTTCCAGCGCGCGGCGCCTGGAGTGACGCTATCCATTTTCTCCGTCCGCGACGTCTTCACTGCCGTGCTTGACGACCCAAAGAAATACGGGTTCACGAAGAACGACTTGACGGAGGTGGGCGGGGGTATATGGGCGGATGAGGTGCATGCCACGCCCGCGGTGCAGGAGATTGTGGCGAAATGGTTGATCGAAGGCAAGGCGTGAGCGGAGGGGCTGATCGACTTGGGCAAACGTCCGAGTCAATCAAGGGTTGAGAGTTATATGTGCAAAGAATCACGAGAAGTGTACAGCTACGTATCATCACTTTTACACCGCACGCCCATCGGCTGCACCACCCACGACCGCCATTTGACGCATCGTCAAGGAGGAAGGCCAGCGCGCCGTTACAACGGTAGCAGCAATTTACACTTGTGGCCGTGGCTCGCATGCGGCCATAGCAAACAGCAGTTCGGAGGTGAAAGTGTGCCTTAAGCGCTCCGCAGAGATGCGTACAGCTTTGCGAGCGGACACTCGAGTCTCGAGATCGTGCATAGCATTCCAGACTTTGAGCCATCGAGAGCGAATAAATAGCGTGCACCAATAGATAAACATCATAAATACACGCCCCGCTGCCTTCGAGCTTCCTTTCTCCTATAGGCTATAGCCGTTACTTCCTAATCTAAGCAGGGTCGCAGGTCAAAACGTTGGTCTCAGTGAAGTGGCAGTCTGCCGAACGATGTGAGCGAAGGCGGCGCTGAGGGCGAGCAGAACTACTTACAGCCATCGACCTGGCCATCGGCGGACTTGTATGAGCATGAGTGACCCTCGCCGTAGTGGTTGCTGCCGTTGCAGGCGTCGACTGTGAGTACAAGATCAGCGGCTGCTTGAGGCATTACTGGACAACTCCTGGCATACCTGGGTTGTCCGCGAGCGCGTGAGCCTGACCCGCGAGAAGGAAGACAGCGCCGAATGCGGCGAGGGTGACGGTGGAGAGCTTGAACATCATCTTGTTGGTGTGGGTGGAAGAGAAGTGCGAGGGCGTTGAAGGGCTGTAGCTGATGAGGAAAGAGAACCTTCGCGCTGGCCTTTTATACGTCCACAGCAGGCTGAAAGGACATGTCCGTAGACGCCGCGAGCCACCCTGCTACTGGGCGCTACTATAGAGGTGGAGCGTCGAGAGTTGCGGGCAAGGCTCGTGGGTCCTCGAGAGAATAGGAAGCGTAGCGACCGAGGGATGCTCTTGCGGCGTACGAGTGTCGCATAGCATAGATTACCCGCCTCTTCTATTCAGAGGTGGAGAGCAATTTCTAGCGACGAGATGGGACGGGGGAGACGAGATCAAAGCCGCTTAATGGCCTGCGTTAGAGGGGTTTGTTTGGGCGATATAGGCGTCTGAGAGCGCTGATGTGGTTTTCGTCAACTTGAACAGTGTCACTCTCAGAGTCTCAGTACTTACTGTAGTGTCACTCTATTGATTTGGAGTGCACGTGGGAGATCGCGCTCACGCGACCAAATTGTGACGCGCCAGTGACGCGTCGCGTCTCGTGGGGAACCATCGCTCGCTTTCCCGGACGAATTTGTAGCTCTTCTACGACGGTCACAACCATGGCGAAGGCGAAGGCGAAGAAGAAGTACTACGCCGTTAGAATAGGTCTTGAAGGGCCGAATATCTACTACACTTGGGAAGAGGTTGGTGCGCAGCCGAGTGCAACGATATTGAATAACCTTACTGAGCTATACCGTAGTGTAGGAAAAGAGTAAGGACACGAATTTGGACCTCATTGTTAGTTTTAGTAGTGACAGTCATAGGTACATGGACACTCTGGGGCCGTATACAAGAGCCATCCGACGATGGAGAAGGCTGAAGAGTACATTGCTCGTGCGTAGATTCTAAGTTCGTGTCATGAAGGGCACTGACACGTTGTATTTGCAGCCTTTCTGAAAAGGAAAAGCTCAACGGAACAGCCCGCACTTGAAGTGCGACCCACGCCAGAGGTCACTATCCCGAAGCCCATTCGACCGCCCGCGCCTTTGCCACCGAGATACTTCACGCCCTCGGTGAAGCTCTCCAGAACGCAACGCCAGGTTTTCAACCGCGTCAAGAAAGGTCAAAATGTCATCTTTACCGGTTCTGCTGGTAAATACGCTTGCCTTTACACCACTGCCAGTCATGACTGCGAGTCCAGGTACCGGGAAGTCGCTCCTCATGAGCGAGATCATCAGCTACAAAGGCGGAAGGACATCGACTCGCCTGGCTGTCACCGCTGCCACTGGCATCGCTGCGTGCAATATCGGTGGGACGACGATACACTCTTGGAGTGGCTACAACAAGTTCGACAAGGATCTCGCTAACAAACTTATTGGGCAGAGAAAGAAACTCCGGCAGACGCTGGATCGGTGGGAGCAGGTCGACACGTTAATTATTGACGAGAGTGAGACCGTATTATAATCGAAGCGCTGGCATCCTCCTAAACCTTTTGTAGTCTCGATGATGGACGCGAAGATGTTTGACACGCTGGTACGTCGGGATGCTCTGCTGACTGAAGGTCCTGACCTGAAATGCGAACAGGAAGCTTGTGCTCGCCGCCTTCGTGACAAAGACAAACCGTTCGGCGGTATCCAGCTGGTATTCTGCGGCGACTTCTTCCAGTTGCCTCCAGTCCAGGACAAACCCAGCGAGCCAATCAAGTTCGCCTTCGAGGCGGCTTCGTGGAAAAGTTGCATGGGCCCGCCCATTGTGCTGGATGAGGTATTCAGGCAGAAGGAGCAGCGTGAGTGCACCCTTTTACCAAGCGCCTGACCATATTCATTCGTGTTATGTAGCCCTCGTCGACATGCTCAACGAGGCGCGCTTCGGGAAGCTGAAGCGAGAGACCATCCAGGCGTTCCGCCAACTCTCGCGCCCCGTGCAATATACGGACGACATCGAGCCGACGCGCTTGTACGTCTGTCTGTTCTGATCATGCGAGGAAGGCTCAGCTCATTTCCTTCCCAAGGTTTGCCACCAACGCGGAAGTCGACGCCGCCAACCTGATCCGCCTGCGAAAGCTACCAGGACCCGGCACAGTCTTCTCCTCGACGGACACGGCAGGCTTGGACGGCAATGGCGAGCCCCTTTCCGAGAAATTAATGCTCAGCTCGCTCAGGAGGAACACCATCGCCCCGAAGGATATCGAGCTACGCGTATGTGGCGGCGCCTTCCACGGCGCGACCGCCTCCTGACCCAGCCCAACAGACGGGCGCGCAAGTCATGCTCATCAGGAACCTCGTCCAGGGCATCCTCGTCAACGGCTCCGTGGGGCACGTCATCGCGTTCAAGACGCCCATAGACGCGCGGCTCGACCGCCTCGACATCGCCGGGCTCAGCATGCTGGCGCTCGACCTGCCGCAGGGCTCCCGAGATCAGGAGAGGTTCGAAAGTGTAAAGGAGCGCGTATGGCCTCTGGTGCGGTTTGGGAATGGGCGGGAATTGCTCTGTGTACCGCAGGACTTCACGGTGGAGAACGGGGGCGGGGAGGTAGAGGCGAGGAGGGTGCAGGTGAGTGTGAAGCAGGAGTGTTGCATTGTGAAGCTGGAGTGTCGCATTGTGAAGCTTATGACAACCAAGGTACCGCTCATCCATGCATGGGCGTTGAGCGTGCACAAGTCGCAGGGTCAGACGCTGGAGCGGGTGGTGGTCGACTTGAACAGGACTTTCGAGCATGGGCAGGGTACGTAAGCTTGCAGAGTATCGGGAGAAAGGAAGTTCATCAGAATAACAAGCTTATGTCGCTCTGTCGCGAGCGACGCGCATGGACCAGCTGCAAGTCTTGAACTTTGACCCTTCGAAGTGAGTCAGACGTACGCTGTGATTCATGTTTTTCCAGTATTGACGGCGCCTTCTCGCAGAGTTCACGCTCATCCCCGGGTCTTGAAGTGGTACAGCGAGCTGAAGGAGCCTCAAGAAGAGGAGGAGGAAGAAGGCGCGTCAGAGGAGGAGGTGGATGAGGTGCCCGATCTGCAGTTCATTGAATGATTTATCTCCCTGATGGTGCGCAACGACATCTACAACCTCTACATATACAATATAAGCCTTCCTACCCGTATACCCCCTGACAATACCTACGAATAACGTTCTGCTATCTTTTGAGCGCTTCCCCTCAGATGATACCAAACCACTTCAAATCCTCCTCGCCCTGCACCGGTACAGTATGCCCAACGCCCTCCGCGGAGATCCCCTGCAGCCGATCACCGTACACAAACTTCGTATACCCCTCCAACGGCGTATCCTCCAGCGTCTGCACCGGACTCTCCGCATCGTACCCAAACACGCCTGCCCACTGCTTCACCTCCTCCGCGAAGTTCGGGTACTCGAGCGCGTCGTCCGCGGTCCCGTGGTACTCCTGCATGCGCGGGTACTCGCCCGTGTAGTCCGGGTACATGTCGTAGACGACGTTCGCCCACTGCTCCGGCGTCGCGGTCGACGCGCCGGTCGAGCAGGTCGAGTTCCACGCGTCGACGCCACCGGTGGAGGACATGAAGCAGCCCGCGGCGACGCCCGAGTAGACGATGCCGGCCGCGAAGAGGTCGGGGTAGGCGGCGGCGAGGACGTTTGTCATCATCGCTATGGGGCGTCGGCGTAAGCACGTTGTTTCCTTGGGAGAGAGTGGCAGGCGGAGGGTGGACTGCCAACTTACCTCCCGACGAAGTCCCGGTGACGAAGACGCGCGCGGGGTCGACGCCCCAGTCGGTCTGTGCGTAGCCGACCATGTTGGCGATGCCGTAGCTGTCGCCGCCCGCGCCGTGCTTGAGCGTCTCGAAGGAACTGACGTCCCAGCAGGTGCCCTCGTTGGGCGAGCTGGGGTAGATGACGATGAACCCGTATTCGTCCGCCAGCTGCGCGTAGGGCGTACCCTCGAAGTACGCGGTGCCCGTTCCCGTGCAGTAGTGGATGGCGACGATGAGGGCGGGGTTCTCGGTCACGTTTTCTGGCTTGTAGTAGTACATGCCGACGTTGGTGGGGTTGTCGCCAAAGTCATCGACCTGCTCAAGCGTGGAGGATAATCCCAAGGCGAGCGGCGAGAACGCCAATAGAGCCGTTAAGGCAACACCGAGCAGAGTCATATCCTGAGAGTCCTTTTGAGGCGAGGAATAGAGCTTGGCAGAAATGCGAGCAGTCGCTCTTTATACTCTCGCGGATCTGAACACGTTCCCCTGCGTCCGCACGGAATTCTGCTCTTCCTCGGGGAAACATGATCGTCGCCATACTTTCTCGAGACAGGCGTTCTCAGGGGGCTCAGGCGAGAACAGCCTTGCCGCTATCTCGAGCCAGATCCAGCGAGGGTGAGAGGGAATTTTGCAGAGAAGAGTCGTCAGATTCGCACCACACATCGAAATTCGGTGATTTCGGGTCCAGTGCTTCTGGCTGAGGGGATCTATGAGGTCATTTTTCGGCAAAAAATACCATGAGCACGGAAGTACAAAGTGCGGTGTAAAAGTATCGCATAGAGCAGTAAGCAGAGAGTGGGGAAGTGTATAGCTCGACAAGTGTACTCATGAGTGTAGAGTGAGCACTTTTAAGTGTGATTTGAGTGCTTTAAATCGCGGCATGGCGGTCAGGAAGCTGCGCGAGCTGCGTTATGGGACGTCACAGTGATTATCCCCGTGACATATCGGCAAAAGCCGACGTGGGACCTCCTTTGAGGGTTTCCGCCCCTGCCTATCAGTAGCCGGACATTATGTCTTCTGAGAATATACAGGATTAGTGCTCATATGCCTGAGGAAAAGCAAGTATTCCAAATGGGAATGAATGAATACCATTGGACTTGTTTAGAACAGCGTGGGAGAATATCCCGGAGAAGGCCGTCGTCACACGAAGCCGTGACTGACCCCGCCAACCACCCACAACTTGGCGTCCGTGGAGAAACATTTCACTTCGTCGCATCATGCGAGCACTCCAAAGGTTGGAGGACTCACTACTGCTCGAAAACGAATGCACTGACGCGTACTGTACATCTCCTTCAGTGCTTTCTACAAGTGATCATGTGCTTTTTGAGAGTACTTCGCTGCTTTTGGTAAAGTGGATGCTTTTAGTACCCTCATCATGCTGTTTTTCATGCTTTTGGTACTCATGCGATGCTAGTATGTATGCTTTTGATATTTCTTGCCCAAATAAGGCCCCATAGGGATCACCTGCCCAGAATCGACTGAGAATCCTCTTATATATGGAATCCATGGGGTCACTGACCCGAGAACGCCAAGTACAAGGAGGAAAAGGGAGTACCTGCTTCGCTGATCATAAGCAACCCTTTGCGGTAGATCGTCCTAGGGATCGAAACAAAGGTTGCAGTAGCGCTTATTGAGCGAGCGTAGAGTTTCCAGTGGTTATGAGGCCAGCATGGGTCGCCTCTTTCCCTAGCTTGCTAGGGGAGCTGGTCCACGTACAATGTGGCAAAGGGGTAGTTGTGCTGAGACTCGTGTTGGATGTATGACTATGCTAGTCACTACATCAGTGAGATGAATCAGTGGGATATGCGCCAGGAGGCCGTACGGCGACGCACACGTCCGCTTACGATGGCTGCCCCGAGCCTGTCCTCGGCGTTCGGAGGAAAAGTACAATGGCCGGAAACCCGGACCGAGCTTTACTCGACGTCATCGCATTCATGTCATCCCGGCACACAGCCAACGGCAGAGAAAGTCATGCCGCGAGCGTCCGACGCTCTTGTCTCGAACACTCATGAAGTTCAATTCTCCTATACCTCAGTCTCTCCCTAAAGAATGCGCAAAGGCAGCGAAGATATGTGCGTGCCCCCGAATGCGGTTCAAGGAGCCCCGTACTGATCGACCCACTTGCGCGCAGTCCAGTCGTTCGTGGACAGCGCGAATAATGGCCTCGACGGTATCATACCCAGAGAGATCATCGAGCATGCGAAGGGCTTCGCAATATTTAGTGTCTTCAAAGCAGGCTTCCTGTTCTCAGCGCGAGCAGGTGCGTACCGGAGGTTCAGGCGAATGCGGGGTAGCTGACCGATTTGAATCAGGGAGTGGCGTGGTGATCGCGCGCCTCGACAATGGCAGTATGTGCACCGTCCTTCCCTCGACCTACATGCCTTCTGACATGTCCTCAGGCTGGTCCGCACCTAGCGCGATCGGTACCGCAGGAGTCGGCTTCGGCAGCCAGGCAGGCGCTGAAGTCACTGATTTCCTAATCGTCCTCAATACACGCTCGGTACGTGCATCGCTTCCTACCCCCTCGCTACTTGTACTGACTGCAGCGCTTTCAGGCTATCGTACGTGCTACGCTTTCCCGCCCCCTTCCCCTTTCCTCTCACGATGAATCCAGAAATCGTTCATGGCCGCGGGCTCTCTCACGCTCGGTGGCAACATGAGCATCGCGCTCGGTCCGCTCGGACGCAACGGCGAAGCACTTGGCTCTCTCAACACGAAGGGCAAGATGGCAGCAATGTACGTGCGTCTGTACACTGCCCTCCTCGCGCACACACAGCCTCCCACCAACTCGTTCCTAGCCCTTCTTTCGCCTCGCTCTTCCACTCACACCTCCCACAGGTACTCCTACTCCAAGACCCGCGGCCTCTTCGGTGGCCTCTCCCTCGAGGGCTCTGTCATCGTCGACCGCGAGGACGCGAACTACCAGGCCTACGGCACCTCCGTCTCCGCCAAGCAGCTCCTCTCCGGCGCGATTGAGCCCCCCGCGTGGGCGCGGCCGCTCATCCAGACGCTCGAGGCGCGCACGGGGCTCCCGGGCAACCGGCCCTGGGTGCACGACCGCAGCGTGAGCGACTTCGGCACGGGGACGGGGTACGCGTTCGGCGGGTTGGGGAGCGGGGGGAATACGCCGAGCACGCCGGCGCAGCTGAAGAAGAAGAGGAAGGATGGGGGGAAGATCCAGTTCCCGCCGGAGAGCTGGAATGAAACCGCGGACGACTACTTTGGGTCGACGAGTTCTCCGTCAGGGAGCACCGGGAGCGCGACCAGAGGGGACTTCGCGAACGGGAACGGCGCGGGGATCTACAGCAACGGAACGGGTATGAAGACCTCGCAGTCGATGCCAGTGTCGCGACGCTACGACGACACGGCGACAAACGCCACCGCGTCCTTCGGCACCAAGTTCGAGAGCGACTTTGTTCCCGAGGACGAGGGCAGGCGGCATCCGCATCTCACGAATAAGCCCGCGTCTAATGATCTGTACGGGAATGCGCCGAACGACTTGTTTGGCGACTACTCGCCCCCGCCGTCGCCGCCGATCGCGCTCAACGGAGGTGCCTTCGGGTCGGATAGCGGTTATGGAGGATCGACTGGGAACGGCTACGGCTCCTCCAACCAAGCGCACTTCCGCTCCAAGTCGTCGCCGAACCCATTCGCACGGAAGGAGGAATCGTTCGACGACCTATCCGACTTTGCGCCGCAATCTTCGGCGTGGACCGGGCCCAATACTTCTTCCGCCTCTGCCTGGAACACGGGCTCTGCAGCAGGGCGCAATACCGGCTCCGCGGGAGGGCGCAGTACAACATCTCCGAAGCCACACATCGCACCCAAGCCCGAGCTGACGCGCCCGTTGGGGCCGGGCGAGGGAGTTGCGCGCGCGATCGCGCTGTATAACTTCGATGCGGTGGAGGTGAGTAGCCGACGCTTTTCACGCTTTCCTACGCTTCTCAAAGACCTCTTGCATGGCTGACTTTGTCCTACAGCCCGGCGACCTGTCCTTCGCCAAGGGCGACGTGATCACGGTGACGAAGAAGAGCCAGAGTACGGACGATTGGTGAGTGCCTCGTTACAATCGTCAGTTGACGGGTGAACGAGACTGATACTCTGTACAGGTGGCGAGGCAAGGCGAACGGCAAAGAGGGCAACTTCCCCGCCAACTTCGTCGAGGTTGTATAACATTGTACATCCACTGGACGGCCTATTCATCCTAGACCTACCCACATGCACATGGACGGACTCCTACCATCCCACTCACAAAACATCGCTAAACCCACATATTTAATGGACTTCTAGGCGGAGGATCCTCCTCCAGGGGCGCACCCAGCCTCGGACGCGCCCGTGTATGTATCTGACTGCTTGTATAATGTATCGGTCTTGTAGTATATGCCGCTTGCTTGGTATAGATCTAGTTGTTTTGCTTTCAGGCCGATGAGTTGGGATTCCCAGGGAGAACTCCGAGAAGAAAAACTGGTCACTGGTGCGAGACTCAGTGACCCCTGACTTAGCAATGTGGCGTGGGAGAATCACGATCACGTGAACCTTACTCCAGACGCGGGCTCGGCATCGGATTTGCTTTTTGTCTACTTCCAGCGCGTTCGACTTGACTTGGTCGTGCAGAAGGCGCGGTTCTGAACTCTACGATACCCGACGCACACTATAAACTCTGCAAACTATGTCTGGGTCTCCGCGCAAGCCGCTGCGCAAGTCCTCGTCGTTGGTGCTCAATGAGCCCGACCCTGGCAAGCTCAAGGCGAAGGCGACGCGCGTGTTTCCGAGTCCGCTGGTGCCGAAGGGAGGCGGGGAGGAGGTACCGGATAGTGAGGAGGAAAGACTGAAGTGAGTATCAGGCAGGTTATATGCTCAATGGCATGGCTGACGAGGACGTAAAGCTATCGAAGCGAGACGGAGACGGAGGAGTCAGAGGCGGAGGTAGCCAGGACAATCAAGTATGTGTCGGACGTGATCGAGATATCCTCGGATGAGGACGAGGAAGAGGAGCCCAGGTGCGTTCGCGTACTCTGAAGGAGTCGATCGCCGCGCTGACATACCCAGGCCGACGCGGCCTCGAACCAAGGCTCCCAGTCCCCCAACACCGAGGAAGAAGTATCCCCTCGGTGGTCTCGGGAAGCCCAGCGTCCGCCAGGGATCTCCTACGAAGGGTCGCGAGGTCAGCATCACCTCGCATGGGTCCGACGAGGAGATAGTGGAGTCCGAGCCGGAGGAACAAGGCTCCAGCCGTATCAAGTTCCTCCCTTTGTTCCTCGACGACTCCGACGAGGAGCAGAGTGTCGCGCCGCGCGAGGAGACCGTTGAGTCCGACGATGAATGGGACGACTCGGAGGCGATTCTGCATGTGTGCGTACAGGTTATGGCGTTTCGCTGAGCGAGATTCTAACATCGTCAAATCTAGCGATACTCCCAAAGCGAAGCGCACGCTGAAACGCCCCGTCAGCATCAGTCCGACGCGTCCTTCACCTTCACCATTTCCCTCGGTTCGACCTATTGATCCCTTCGACCGTCTGCCTACGACCTCCCAACCTACTACTGCACCTTCCACTTCCAAAGCCAAGCCTCCTATACCTCATTTCAAGTGGCCCGTACTTCCTGATGAGCCCGCCGCGTCCTCGTCTACCAAGCGGCCCTCGTCCCCTTCTAAATCCCGCGCCACCTCCCCTTCCAAATCACGGTCCATTTCCCCCTCGAAGTCTAGCTCTACATCCCCTACCAAATCCTCTCCCGACAAAGCTGGTCCCTCTCGCCCCACCTCCCCCACGAAACGTCCGCCCTCCCCTCGCAAGCCCACCCAAAAGGCCCTGCGTGAAGCCGAGGCCGCGCGGCGCGCCGCCTACGCGCAAGACATATTCACCCAGCTCAACGCGCAGGTGTTCAAGGGTGGCTTACCACCGGAGACGCCGCTGGTGTGGAATGCGAAGATGACGAGCACGGCGGGGCGGGCGAGGTATCATAGGTGAGTTTGGGCTGTATTCTTGTGATTGGAAGAGGAATACTGACGAACCTTTGCAACCCAGGAACTCGGAAGGTCAAGTAGTCACCTGCATCGAGCTGGCGACGAAGATCTTGGACAGGGATGGTGCGTGTGCTTTCAATGTGGACTGACGCAAAATATTGGGGAGACACTAACGACCTCTCCCTCAGAACGCATCCGCTACACTCTCGCGCACGAAATGTGCCACCTCGCGACGTGGATCATCGACAAGGATCTGGCAAGCAATCATGACAAGTTGTTTTGGAAGTGGTGAGCTCCCCTGTCCCCCCTTCAAAGTATCGTAGAGCTCAAGTGCGCTGTCATCTCGTAGGGGCCGGCGGGTTATGGCAAAACGATCTGACATCGAAATCTCGACGACGCACAGCTACGAGATCAATCACAAGTATCGGTGGCGTACGTTTACTTTTGTTGCTGGGTACGCTCTGTAAAGCTAACCATCTCCCCCATATAGAATGCTGCAACACGTCCTGTGGGAAGATGTGCGTTTTTGTCCTCCCTCATTCATCCTACGTTGAGGAGACAAGCTTATACTCACCCTCCCGCAGCTTCGGCCGCTTCTCCAAGTCCATCAAGGTCGAGACGCAGTGTGAGTGTTGATTTGTCTCTCAGTCTTCGCTCCTCTGGGCCATCGTCGTCGTCCTTCTGATCGACTAACGTGTTTCCCCTAACAGTCTGCGGCTGTGGTGGCAAGCTCGAGCCGCTCTTCACCACCCGATCACATACGCCGCGCGACCCGGACACGCCCAAGTCGAGCAGGCAGGCGGTGGCGAGGGGGCAAGGTATGTATCGCACCTGTGTCGTTATTCTGGCCGTTACCGCTGGGTGCGAACGCTCATGCGCACTCAGGCGGCTCGGCGGTCAAGCGGACGGTCGAAACCATCCGGGTCAAAAAGACAACTTCGGTGTCCACCGCATCGAAGACCACGCCCACATCCACTTCGTCGAAGACCATGCCCGGCGGCGTCATCGACCTCTGCGACTCGGGCGACGAAGACAGCGACGACGGAGTCGAGATCGTGACGGAGTCGCTGGGGAAGACGACGATTGTTTGAGGAGATGAGTTTTGGTGGAAGGAGGTTTTAGATGCAAGGGGGTCATCTGGGGTCGCGCAGGAGGAGATGGAGACAGATTTGTATGAAGGTAATTCTGATCTAGTACAGCCCAATAGTCGCACATACCTTACTATCTAGTAATTGTGAACCTTTCTTGGTTATGTTGTTGGTCACTTGGCGTAATTCAGACGGACCTCAGATCAGCTTCAGTGGGCAGTGCGAACAATGGCGGTTGACTGCAGCAGCGGGGTAGTGGTACACGATTACGGATAACTTACTCCAAAGTACGTGATACAACAAACATGGGCAGAAGCAGCTCGGAAGACCTCTAACTGGTCGCCGTAGCGGCAAACGTTAGCGTTTCTATCCTTCCACGGCCCTTGCATTCCTTTTGCAAGATCTCGTTGATTACGCGGAATTGGCTCGGCTCGATGAGCATCGTCTGCAAGGAAAGGTGGGCGTTGAGAGCGATCGAGTCGAGCGGAGTACGACTCACGGCCTCCCACTCGTCTGCTGGCGACTCCTCAGTCTCAACCTTCTCTGCGCTTTCGACGATCTTGGCACGCAATTTATCAGCGTCAGCCTTCGGCAGAGCGACGCGAATGCGCATCCGTGCGCGCTGTATGGGGAGCTGCGACTCCGTTTGGAGTAGTCGGATGCATTCCGAAACCTGGACGGCCCGTCAGCAGAGCTCTAATAATCAACTATATTCCACCTTACCTGACTCTTCGCGCTCTTCCCCTGCTTCACACTGAAGCCAGCCTCCGTCATCGCCTTGTCAATGATCCCCACCGAGTACGGCCTCTGCGTCGCCGGATCCACACACTTCTCCGCCACCAACGTCGCGATCTCCTTCCGCAGGGACGCGAGATCGTGCTCGCGCTCCTTCTCGCCGACCTGCATTTCGCCCTTCTTCAGGATCTCTTTGACGATGGTGTCCTGGTCGGTGGTTCCGAAGGACTTCTTGAGGTCGGCGGCTTTTGCGAGTTCGCCCTTGGAGACGTTGATGAAGACATTGGAGATTTGGAGGACGTCGTCTAGGTCGGTTTCGCTGGGAGGGAAAATGAGATGGGTGTGATACAATTGAACGAGGGGGGGGACGTACACTCCATTCCGGTACTCTTGTACTTTATTCTTGTAGCAAGCGATCTGAGGGGGACAGTCAGTCGTTGGTATCTCCGTCATCATCGCGCGTACACACCTCAAAGCGCTTACCGCCCTTCTTCAGGCGGACAATCGAGACGTTCGTGAGCCTTTACTGGTTTAGTCATTATCTCTGCCTCTGCAATAGCATGCGCCTCACTTGATCTGATTCGAGGGCTGGTTAATTTTCGACATGGTGGCCCGCGAACGTCGAGAACAAGCGCCGGGCGATCAGTCAGGGATCGTCATGAGAATATGTGGCGTGGGAATCCAGGGACACGGCATTGCGGCACGCGGCGCGCTCGTCGATGATGTGCACAGGCGCGGCGAACGCTGGGCCAAGCCTTTCTGCTCTCACCGCCATCTCCGCCGTCGCCAGCAGCCATGAAGGGCTTTACCAAGGCCATCAAGCGGTGCGTAGCGCTTCAAGTGCTATAGAACCCATGTTGATACGTCCCCAGGACACCGCACATGCTGACCAGCAAGGTCGGCATGTCCAAGAGTGAGATTATGTCTGCCATTCGTCGATGGGACGATTTCTGAGGCGCTCACCTTCCCCACCCTCCGACTTGCATTGTCCCTCTAGAATCCAATGATCCGGAGTTTGAAGATTACCATCGCAGCTTCACGATCCTAGAGAAGGCCGCGGAGTCGATGTTGAAGGACATCAAGTCCTTCACGGACTCTGTCACTAGTATGTCCCCTAACACAGCATTCGACCGATTGCTTACATACTTCCCCACAGAGCTCTTTACCTCCGGCTCCGAGTTCGCGCAACACTTCGCCATCATCTTCAGTCCCATCTCGAGCGAGTTCGATTTGAACACCAAGCACCCCGAGGCTGCGCATACGCTCAACAATGTCCACAACTACGAGAACGCCATGGCTGAGCTGCAGCAGAGCGTAGCACCTGAGCTCGAACTCATCGAGAGCAGGATTGTCGGGCCGGTCAAGGAGCTGCAGGCCGTCATGAAGATGATCAGGAAGACTATCGTAAAGCGGGAGCATAAGGTATGTGATGGGTAGATCCACGTCTGAAATGAAAGCTGATGACTACGTTGATAGCTCATGGATTATGATCGTCATAATAACTCGTTGATGAAGCTGCGGGATAAGAAGGAGAAGTCTCTAAGCGACGAGAAGAACCTGTTCAAGGTACGTCCACCACTAGCTGCTCTGGTCATCGCTAATGACCCTTGCAGCTCGAGCAAGAGTTCGAGGTCGCGACGAACGAGTATGATTACATTAACACAGCCTTGAAGAACGACCTCCCACGCTTTATGACCCTCTCCACCCAATTCGTCGACCCGCTGTGGCACTCGTTCTTCTACATGCAGTGCGTACCTGACTTCATATCTCACAACATCCCCTAAGGACGCTCTTGTAGGTTGCAGATCTACTACCTCATCCTCGAGAAGATCACTTCCTTTGCCGAGGAGGCTAAGTACGACATTAGCAACGTCCCAGGCCAGCAGATCCAGGCAGAATACGAAGAGAAGCGCTCGAACGCATGGGAAGTCATCGAGGAGCTCGGCATCATCAAGCGCATCGTCTCAGTCTGTACGTCCCCGCTACTTCCCTACCGCCGATTGGTATAGCTCATCCTATCACCAGCCCGCCTCGTCCAACAAAGCCGCGGCGAGGGCGGCGTCAGCCGCACGGTTTCCGCCTCCTCTGGCGGCTCCAGCTTCTCCAAAGGCCCCCCACCCGGCCGCAGCGTCTCCGCCGGCGCCGCCTTCAAGAAAGCGCCCCCTCCCCCGCCAGGCACGAAGCCCGGCGCCGCCGCCCCGCCACCACCCTACTCGCCCTCCCCCGCCGCCGCGTCCTCCACGAGCGTCGCGTCGAAGAAAGCGCCCCCGCCCCCGCCGCCGCTCAAGCCGAAGCCGAAGCCCGCGGCGCCGGCGGTGCAGTACGTGACGGCGCTGTACGATTTCGATGCGCAGGCGGAGGGGGATCTGTCCTTCAAGGCCGGGGACCGAATAGAGGTGGTGGAGAGGACGGAGAATGCGGAGGATTGGTGGACGGGGAGGTTGAATGGACAGCAAGGGGTCTTCCCGGGTGAGTGGGGTGTGGAGCAGTGCTTGCGATGTTGGTGGCTGACGTTTTCAAAGGCAACTACGTACAGACGTCTTGAGGGATGAGAAGGTCAGTAGGGACGAGCGATTCTGGACGTCGCTCGTGAGGGTGGAAAGGGAAATCAGGAGGCATGTCGCGGGCGAGGGCATTGAAGCTCGCAAGTGGAAGGTATACATATATTGGCCGGTGTAGTCAGGATACCAGGACGCTCGCAAGAGTGCGCTGTGTAAGTTATATCGAAGGAGTGGTTCTGATTCCGAGAGGCGAGAGTACTAGTTGCGTGTGCCATATAGAATCTAACAGTAAGTGTGCGGACGACGAGCAGACGACCAGGCAAGGTCTCATGATCACGTACGTCGTTACTCCAGGTGTCGATGCTGTGTTGACCTCGACCCCATCAGTGTTTTCAGCACCTAAATCACTCAAACAAGCCCTCTAACGCAGGCTATTAGGCGGCTCTGATTTCGTCTCCCCCGTCTCATATCATCGTCAAATATTGCTCTCCACTTTCGTATAGCAGAGGCGGGTAATTCGTATAGCGAAGGCGGGTAATTCATACTTTGCGACGCTCACACGCACTGTGCGACACTCGTAGGCCCCAAGAGCATCCCTCAGTCGCTACGGTCTCTATTCCCTCGATGGTCCATGGACATTGCCCGCAGAGCTCGACGCTCCACCTGTATGGTAGCGCTCACTTTGAGGGTGGATCGTGCCATCTTCATACCTATCCTTTTTTTTTCCTACCACAGGCGTATAAAGGCCAGCGCGAAATTGCGCTTTCCTCATCAACGACAGCCCTCCAACGCCTTCGCACCTCACCACTACCCACTCACCACAACACGATGATGTTCAAGCTCTCCACCGTCGCCCTCGCCGCCTTCGGCGCTGTCTTCCTCCTTGCCGGGCAGGCCCGCGCGCTCGCCGACAACCCAGGTACACAGTACCAGGCTTGCTCATCCTCACCCAGTCACTAACCCGCACGTCGTAGTCGACGCCTGCAACGGCAGCAACCACTATGGCGAGGGCCACTCCTGCTCGTACAAGTCCGCGGACGGCCAGGTCGATGGCTGTAAGTAATTCTGGCCGTTCTAATCGTCGTTTCGCTCACGATTTATACAGACTGCCACTTCACTGAGACCAACGTCTTGACCTGCGACCCCGCATAATTCGGACGCTGGGTTCAACTCATAGGATGGGGGAAGCGGAGGCGTGTATTTATGTTGTTTATCTATTCGTGCACGCTATTATTCGCTCTTGACGAATTAACGCCTCATGTATGTTGAGACGCCATCTTGAATATGTGCTTGAAGAGCGACGCGTGGTTTAGTGTCATCCAATATGGTGTTCTATAAATCAAAGGAGCTTCGGTGCGTGATTGGTTCCAGGGGTATTGGGGTACGATGGACCATACTGCGAATGAATGAGAACTCGACGGGTCCATCATGCAAGGCCAGTGACCCAAATCAGTCTATGAATTGGAGATCGGGCACCTCGTCTTCGTCTTCCTCTGGCGCGCTCTCATCCTCGTCCTCGTCTTCTTCTTGGGATAGTTCCAACTCGCTATACCACTTCAGCACCCGAGGATGAGCGCGAACTCTGCGAAAGACCGTGAGTGCTAGCACTTACAAACCGCGACAGACGTGCTCACTTCGAAGGATCAAAATTCAAGACCTGCAACTGGTCCATCCGCGTCGCGCGCGAAAGGGCGACGTAAGCTGAAGGCGTCGTTCAATGGCGTCCTTCTCATTCCACAAAACAACACACCTTGTCCATACTCGAAAGTATTCTTGAGGTCCACCACCACCCGCTTCAGCGTTTGACCCTGCGACTTGTGCACGCTCAACGCCCACGCGTGAATGAGCGGGACCTGCCTTGCCATCAGCTTCTCGCCGCCAAAGCGCCCAATCCTTCACTCACCTGCACCCGCCTCGCCTCCATCCTCCCGTCCCCATTCTCCACCGTAAAGTCCTGCGGTATGCACAGTAACTCCCGCCCATTCTCAAATTGCACGAGCGGCCACACGCGCTCCTTCACGCTGTCAAAGCTTTCCCGGTCTCGAGCGCCTTGCGGCAGGTCGATCGCGGACATGTTAATGCCCGCGATGTCCAGTCGTTCGCGCCTGGCGTCGATCGGTGTCTTGAACGCAATGACGTGACCCACGGTGCCGTTGACTAGGACGCCTTGTACGAGGTTCTTGATGAGCATGACTTGCGCGCCAACCTAAAGAGGTGATTTCAGAGGAGGCTTTACCGACGCGGGCGTCACTTACTCGTAGCTCGATTTGCTTCGGGGCGATGGTGTTCCTGCTAAGGGAATCGAGCATCGCCTGCTCGGATAACGGCTGCCAATTCCCGTCAAAGCCCGCTGTGTCCGACGACTTGAAGGTCATGCCGGGCTCAGGTAGCTTTCGCAGGGGAATCCTGTTGGCGGCGTCCACTTCCGCGTTGGTGGGGTACCTTGTAAAGCGAGTGAGGCCGATCATCCCTACTTAAAGTGGGTAGACGTACAATCGTGTCGGCTCGATGTCGTCCGTATATTGCACGGGGCGCGAGAGCTTTCGAAACGCCTGAATAGTCTCTGCGCTCAACTTTCCGAAGCGCGCCTCGTTGAGCATGGTTACAAGAGCTGCAGTTTCCTGTCAGCACTGTCGGGTACATACATGAAGGGGAATGCACTCACGTTGCTCCTTCTGTCGGAATACCTCCTTCAGCATGATTGTCGAGCCCAGACAGCGATTCCATGACTCTGCCTCAAATGCGAACTTGATTGGTTCGCCTTGCTTATCTGGTACCGGAGGCAACTGGAAGAAATCGCCTGAGAGTACAAGCTGGATTCCACCGAATGGCTTATCATTGTCACGAAGCCGGCGCGCACAGGCTTCCTGTTCAAAGCTCAGAAGATATCATCGAGTGCAAGTCATATTGACGTACCAGCATGTCGAACATCCTTGCGTTCATCATCGAGACTGCCAAAGCGTCAGAAAGAACTCAGCACGCCAAAGGCAAGAAGACTTTACTTTCATCAACGATGAGCGTGTCGACCTCTCTCCACCGATCTATAGTTTGTTGGCGCTTCTTCCTCTGCCCAATGAGCTTGCCGCCGAGGTCCTTGTCAAATTTGGAGTAGCCACTCCAAGAATGCACCGTTATGCCACCTATGTTCACGGCGGCGATGCCAGTAGCGGCAGTGACGGCCAGGCGGGAGGACGTCCTTCCGCCTTTGTGGTTGATGATCTCGCGCATGAGAAGCGACTTGCCAGTACCTTCACTTATAGCGTCACAACTTGCCGCAACATAAGGTCGCAATGTGCAGCAAACTCACCAGCGGAGCCCGTAAAGAATACATTCTGTCCCTTCTTGACGCGGTTGAAAACCTGCTGTTGCGTCTTGGAAAGCTTTACCGATGGCGTGAAGTATCTCGGTGGCAGAGGCGCAGGCGGTCTGACGGGCTCCGGGATGGGGAGCTTGTGCTCAGGTGGCGCTGCTGCAGCAACATGCTCGCCCGGCTTCCCGACGAAGGCTGGGTGTACGGTCAGACAACCTCTTCCTATGCAATTCCGGAAAGCCGCATACGAGCGATGAAGTCTTCCGCTTCCTTCCTCGTCTGGAAGCCTTGATATAGGGCTCCAGGGCAACCTTTGACCTGGCGCGTCATCAGTAGGGATGCAATAGACAGCACTTTCATACGTGCTTGCTCCTCGCACTGCGATGCTGGTCAGTAAGGTCGCTCCTTGGACGACATGAGCGTGCTGACCTTGGTCCAAGACGTGAAAATGTCCGGCCCATGGAAGCCAACCCTGACAGCGTAGAATTTGGGCTTCGGTTTCTTCCCCTTCGCCATCGCCTTGACCACTCTGCGCGACCTAAAACAAAGTTTTCCAAAGGAGAGCGTGGAGGTTCTCCGAAAGGCGCGTCGCGTTGCCATCAGTCCCGTGAGCGCGACGTCCCACGCTACATCACTTACACGTGCACCTCGCCCTGCACCATGTGTACACGACAATCCGGAAAACATAGGGATGTAGAAAGTATTGTACAGGTATAGACAGAAATATATCCTAGATGACACGACGCACCGCTGGCGAAATAGATCAATTCATAGTAAATGCGATATCGAACTCTTCGTCCATCTCTTCATCGGACAGATACCCTTCCTGCTGAGGCGCCACTGAATGGATGTACCACTCTAGGACGCGCGGGTGCGCTCGAACCCTATGTTGAGTACTGTGTTAGAAGGCATTGCGTAGCTTGAAGGCGAAGACCTACTTCGATGGATGGAAGTTCAAAACCTGTAGTTGGTCCATGCGCGTCGCTCGAGACAGTGCAACATAAGCTGGCGCGATTGGCATCAGCAGGCACCCGGAAAGTGAGATCATAATCGCGCACCTTGCCCGTTCTCGAACGTCCTCCGCAAATCGACCAAGACGCGCTCGAGCGTCTGTCCTTGCGACTTATGCACACTGAGCGCCCACGCATGGATAAGCGGGATCTATCCCCTCGTCGTCAGCCCACCGCCCTCTGCTACATTCTCCTCCCCCGCAACTCACTTGTATCCGCATCGCCTCCATCTCCCCATCCGCGTTCTCAACCGTAAAATCCGACGGAATCACTAATAATTCCCTTCCATTCGCAAACTTCACCAGCGGCCACTCGAATTCCTTCGCGCGCTCGAGCTTCTCGCGGTCGTACTGGTTCTGCGGCACGCTCGGGTCGGAGTCGATGCCGGCGATGTCTTGCTGCTCATCCCTTGCCTGCCTGGGCGTCTTAAAGCCGATGACGTGCCCGACGGAGCCGTTGACCAAGACGCCTTGAATGATGTTCTTGATGAGCATGACCTGCGCGCCGATCTGGGGAATGGTCAGTGATGCTCTGAAGCGCGCTGGCGGTGAACAGCATGTACCCGCAGCTCAACTTCCGGCAAGGAGATGGTCCGCTTCTCGAGCAGCGACTTCATCTGCGCCTCTGAGACACGTTTGCCATTGCTGTCGCGACCCGCACGGTCCGTCGAGCGGAAGATCTTGCCCGGGCCCGGAAGTTCGCGCAGGCGCTTCATGTTGGCGCCCTCCACCTCGACACGAGTAGAATATCTACAAAAATCGTCAAGTTACTTCATGGTCAAGCATAACTAGCAGGGAGAACGTACAATCCCGTCGCCTCTATACCGTCGGTATACGTGACTGGTCGTGCCAACTGCCTGAACTTCTCGATAGTCTCAGGCTTCAAGTTCCCGAAGCGCATCTCATTGAGCATGTCAACGAAGGCTGCGCTTCATAAGACGGCGCTCTTGATACCACAAACAAGAACATACTTTGCTCCTTCTGACGGAAGATGTAAGGACGTTGGTCCTTTTGCTCGTTACCCTTAGACTCCCTCGTAGCTGAACCGAACCGCTTATACGCGATTAGCAAGATACGTAGGAGTACAGGGTAAGAAAAGAGCTGATCAAGATATGTGTCAAGAAGTAATATAAAGCCGGGCCACGTGCCCACGTGATGTCCATGCGCCCACGGGCGCCCACAAGTCCGTATAAGTCCATGCCCCATTACACCCTCCCCCTCGGAACGACAAAGACGTTCAGCACCACGACGCGGCCCCGTACCTGCCGGTGCACTCGACCGAGCACCTGCGGGTACGAGAACAAAGGTAAGAGAGCAGAACCCCACCCTTGTGCCACACTCGACCGAGTAGCCTAGGGGTTGGGGTCTTTCTGCTTCCCCTTCGCGCGATCGCTCTTGTCGGCGCTGTCCTGGTCCGTCTTGACGTCGTCGAGCTTGCGATCCTCCATCTCCACGTCCTCCAGGGCGGTAGGTGGCGCTTGCGACGGCCCGGGAGCTGAAAGCTCGACCTGGGCGGACGCGATTGAAGCCGCGCCTGTCTCGATGGAGGGACCGGGTACGGCCTCAGTTGGCGCATCGTTCGCCTCCGCCATCTCCGCGTCCTCGTCCTCGGCGGCCAATCCGACGCGCGGCCACGGCGCGATGGGAATGCCGTTGGGTTGGCCGAACTGTCGGTACTCGTCCAGCGTTGGCTGCCGGCTCGAGTAGAAGTTCGGGTCAGCTAAGAAGCTTCCCGTTCCCGTACTCGGACCGGTGTGGACGAGGAGGGGCTGCCCGTGCCCAGGCAGACGAGGCCATGCATACGACACACTGAGATCTCCAGGTACCTGCGAGAAGATGGTTGGTCCCGGTAGTCCAATAGGCCACCGACCATTGGCTGCCACGATCAGGTCGCGCAGCCTCTGGTACAGCGTCATGGAGTCGCCGGTGTCGTCTACGCCGTATACCACGTTGTCCCACAACAGCTGCACCACGAAGGGTAGCATGTCATTGAACTCGGCCGACGAGATGCCGACTGCCGTGAAGAACCTCACGACACGCTCAGGCGAGACGGGTCCATCCGCGCCCTCCAGGCGTTCCCAGCGTCGCAGGATACGAGGTGTCCGGTCCGCCTGCCCCGAAAGGCCTAGGTGGTCCTGGTACGACCTGTACCCCGGCGTGCCAGCACCCGGAGTGGGGGACTCCGTTACGATGCGCGCAATGGCCATAGCCATCTCGGTGATGAAGTTGAAGTGGTCGTCGGCGGCGGCGTTGGAGTACATGTCGCTGTGCAGCGGCAACATCCTTCGCAGGGTGATGCGCGTCCGCACTTGCGACACGGCGACTCCGCGGCGGTTGTTGTGGTCGGGGACGTTGAAGACTAAGATGCCGCGGGGCTGGACCATCGACTCTTGGAGGGCGTATGCAAGGTGCAGGCCAAGTCCATCGTCGTCGTCTGGCGCGCGGCGGTGGCCCTTCGAGCGCACGCCAGGAGCGCGGGGCAACACGACGAAGTCGGCAATGGCGCGCTGGTAGGGGGTCCTGTTCTTCTTCTTGATCATGTTCGCGTTCTCACCCCGGGCGGTGAGATCATTGAAGACCCACTGCACCGGGTTGACTCCGTTCGCATGAGGTTGGAAGCGCAGGAGGAGGCGCTCGATGAGGTGGATGCGGTCTCGAAGGAAGGAAGCCACATCATCAGCCACCGGTGCGTGCGGCGACCGAATCTGCGGCTCCCCCACTCCTCGACGAGCACGGGCTTGATGCATTGCCGCGAGGGCGGCGGCGTTCATGGGCGGCTCGTCAGAGGCGTTGCTGATGTCGGAGCCGTTATCGGACGCCTGATCATCGGGGACACCCTGAGTTGTGGGTCCGGGAGTAGCAGAGTACTCCCCCCATCCCAGGAAGTCCGCCGGTGCGGGCGGAAGGGTGACGGCGGAGGTTGATGCGACGGGCGTCGGCTCAGGTTCGACCTCGCGCTGCTTGCCCTTGGAGCTCGCAGCGCTGGTTGACGCCTGAACACTGGCGCTCGTGGAGGGGGCTGGATGGCGCTCAGGCCCTTGGCGCTGCGGCTCGCGTCGCTCCGATCGTGAGTGGTTGTCGCGGGGCTCCCGCCGACTGCCATCGTACCGATCGTCGCGGAGGAGTTGGCGCGGGGGCTCATATGGCGCGCTTGCCGCCCTCCATTCGTCGGAGAGACCGCGTTTGCGCGGCGGCGGTGATCGTCGTCGGGGAGGAGAACGGTCGCGGCGATCGCGGTCGCGATAGTCCCAGTAGGGCTCATCGCGATACCGCGCACCGCGACTGTACCCGAAGGACGGCGCTGGCGGTTGGTCGGGGACGGTGCGTACTCGGTCGAGTTCGCGCCGTGCCCTCTCCTCATTCCTGCGACTGTCCTCGAGCTGGCGTTGAAGATTGCGAACCTCCTCTTCTCGAGCTGATGCCCGTGCGTTCGCGGTGTCCAGTTGCCGTCGGAGAGCGTCGAGTTCTTGTTGGTCACGTCGGGCGGCCATTTGCTCGGCCAGTTCGCGCTTAGCCTTCTCGACCGACGGGTTATTGCGTAGTCCTTCGTCGACGACGTGATCTCTATGCCGACGGCATATCGAGCACTCGCATCCGATGGACCCTACAAAGCAGCGAGCGGTGAAGTCGTAGGAGCTGGGCCCGCGGCGCGAATCATCGCGTCGCGAGTTTCCTGCTTCTCTTCCTCTTCCGCCCACTCTCCCTCCCCCTCGCGACGCATTAGGGGGTGCGTCGCGCATGTCGACATCATCGTCCTCGTTTCGATACCCATCATCGTAGATGGGCACGTCGCGAGAACGTGAAGGAGGTCGGGAAGCGGTCATCTTGAGGGCGGCGGCGTGTGTCGGCGAAGCGAGTGAAGTGAGCGTAGCAATTAGGAGGGATGATGTAAGCGAAATGATGGTGAGGACGCCGAGGCCGGCAATTCCCGACAACTGTACAGCTGCCGGCGCGGGTCAGCGACGCGTGAATGCTCGTGACGACCGCGTGGCCGCGAAGTTGAACTACTCGCGTGCCAATCGTGGTCGACCCACGCGGCGGTTGGCCTTGCGTTGTCGGACAGGCCGATTCCCCGGCAAGTCCTCCCAACGCTCCACGCCTTGCAGCGTAAGATAGTCGTCGAGGGCCGTCAGGTCCTTGACGTTCTCGTACGGCTCCTCAGTCGTATCGCCCATCTCCCACTCGACGGTGAACAGGATTTGTCCAGCCTCCCATCGATGGGATTTGATGCGGTCGACCAAGAATTCGGCGTTGTTGGGCGCGCCGAAGTCGTAGTGTCGCACGAAGTCGCGTTGAGGGAATAGAGCGTCATTGTTGGCTTGGTGCGGTCGCAGTAGCGAGACGTGGAATACTGGGTGAATACGCCGAGCAGCGAGTGCGTCAGGTAATTCGACCTCGTACGTGGACGTCTCGGGGAAGGCGCGGACCACCTTGTAAGGGCCCACGAACCTTGGTAGTAGCTTGGTCGCCCTGCCCTTAGGCAAATTGAGGTTCTTCGTGGACAGGTAGACCAACGACCCTTCGTCGATGCTCGGTTCTTCACGGCGGCGTGCATTCGCATAGTGCCGCTGGAATACGCGAGCCTCGATGATGGCGTCGTGGGCGTCCGCGAGGTTCTGAAGGGCTTGGAGTGCGAAGTCGCGGAGACCTTTTGGCGGCTCCTCTTGTGCTCGGAGCTCGGCGATCATCGAGGGCATGTACCCATAGTTCAGCTCGAACGGCGCGAAGCCGGTGGCGCTGCTGACGCTCGCGTTGATAGCGAATTCCACCAGCGGCAGCCGCTGAACCCAGTCGCGCTGGTCCGGTCGCACGAAGGTACGCAGGATCTGCGCGACGGATCGATTCGCGCGCTCGGTCTGTCCATCGGTCTGGGGATGGAACGACGTCGACATCAAGAGCTTGGCTCCCAGTAATCGATGCAGTTCCCTCCACCAGGCCGAGGTGAACTTAGAGTCGCGATCGCTGATGAGCGACGAGGGCAATCCGTGTAGTCGAACGATGTCGCGAAGGTAGATCCAGGACAATTCAGACGCCCTTGTGTTGGTCCGTATGGGTATGAGGTGCACCATGGACGTCATACGGCAGATGACGACCCATAGGTAGTTGAAGCCTTGGCTCTCGGGGAACGGGCCTATGAAGTCCGATCCAACCGAGTCCCAGGGCTTCGTGGGTATCGGCAGGGAGTGCACCTTCCCAGAGGGTGCCGTATACACTCCTTTCGATGTATTGCATGGAACGCAGCTATCGCAGAACGCGTTCACGTCCTTGTAAATGCCGCTCCACCAATACCAGCGGCGAATGTATTCCCCCGTTCGTTGAGGTCCAAAGTGCCCGACAGTCTGATGCGCCTGCTCTATCACGACCTGGCGCAACGTCTTGTCGACAAAGGATCCTTTCGGAACGTAGGTCACCCATTCGCGGTTGGCATTGCGCGCCCAGATGACACCCGATTTCACCTGGAAGTCCTTGTGGTCTTCCGGGTGTTCGAGTATCTTCTTAGCGAGGCTGTCGGACGCGTACGAAACCTTGATTGTCTTGACAAACTCCGAAAAGGAGTCGTTGACTTGCGCGCGTAAGTCTGGCCCACGAAGTACGGAGTCGACCACAGTCGGGTCGTCAGTCGGCTCGACGTGGTGGAACTCCCCCTCGGGCACAGGTTCGGCCTCCCGCTGCAGCACCTCAGCCTCCTCGTCACGGGGCTCTACCCGCTCGCGAGTTGCGAAGAGGTGGATGCTAGCTAGGAGTTCATCGACCCGACCGGTGGGCAGGTCGTCGCCTTCGGGGTCCAGGCGAACATCGGCATTGGCGAAGTCGTAGGGTGGCGTCACGTCCTCCCAAGTATCATTGAGATGATACCGGGATAGCGCGTCCGCCACCTTGTTGTCGAGACCGGGGATGTAGGATATGTCGAAGTTGAAGCGCGCCAAGTATTCCATCCATCGCGTTTGTCGTCCGGACAGCCGACTCTGCGTCTGGAAGAATTCGAGGGCGCGGTGGTCTGTCACAATGTGGATTCGGTGCCCAATGAGCTTATCTTCCCATTTCAGGAGCGCCTCCAAGATCGCGAGCGTCTCTTGTTCGAACGTGCGGTAGTTGCGTTGAGAGGACGTGAACTTCCGTGACATGAATCCCGCAGGGCGGCAGGTCTGCCACGTAGGTCCTTGGCCGTACATCGCGCCAACCCCAGCGGGAGACGCGTCGCAAATCACCCATATGGGCTCATCGCGCCGTGCATCGACGGGTCTGAGCACCGGCGTCTTCGCACATAAGTGCTTGATACGCTCGAAGCATCGTTCATGGATGTCCCTCCAAAAGAACGTCTGCCCGTTGCGTACCATAGTACTCAATGGCGCGGTATAGAGCGCGACTTCCGGAAGGAATTGTGCTAGGTACTGGACCAATCCTAGGAAGCGTTGGACGTCGCCGAAGTCGCGGGGGGTACGCCAGTTGCGAATGGCCGCCATCTTGTCGCCGTCCGCATGAAGCCCGAGGTTGTCGATGATATGTCCGAGGCAATCGACCCGCTCAGCGTATATGTCGACCTTGGAAGCCTTCATGTACAGCTGTGCGTCGCGGAGCTTGCCAAATATGATACGTAGATGCTCTTCGTGTTCCTCGATTGAGTCGCTGAACACAAAGATATCATCCAGGTACACATGGACGAAGCGGCCGATGCAGTCACGGAATACGTGCGTCATGAGCCTCTGGAAGGTGGCTGGCGCGTTGCAGTCCCCTTGCTGCATCGTCTTGCTCACATACGTGCCGAACACCGTCGAGAACGCGGAATGAACCACGTCCCCTTCGACTATTCGTACCTGCTCGTATGCGTCGGACAAGTCAATCTTCGAGCGATATTTTGCGCGAGCGACGTCCTGTCTGATCTGGTCCTGGTCTGGCAGTGGGGTGACGTCCTTGACGGTGTTGTCGTTACGCTTCCGACAGTCGATGACGGTGCGCAGCGATCCGTCCTTCTTCGGTATGCACAGCATAGGCGCAGCTTGTCGGACGCTCTTGGGCTCCCACCAGCCAGCGCGCATGTAGCGGTCGATCTTGTCCAGCAGCGGGGTCTTTAGCGAGTCGGCGCACCGCGGCAAGTGGTACTTGTACTCGAGAGTCGGGTTGATCAGCGGGATGGTATGGTTGACCTCACGCCAAGGTGGCATGGTCTCCGGCACCCCGCTCATCAAGTCCCTCTCGCTCTCCATCCACTGCTGTCGGAGTCGCGGAATGTCGTCGTCGGTATAGCGAGACTCTTGTCCCACACCCTTCCCTTTGTTCGACGCATGCATGTCCCGAGCCGTGTGCAAGCGCTCGCTTGGAACAAACTTCATGCCGTCGCAAGGGTCAGGTACAGGAGCAGGGTCCTCGTAGCCCTCCGTCGAGAAATACGTAGCGAAGTCGTCGCAGAGATACACGAATTCTGGAGGCAACTGATCGCGGCGGGCTTGAAGGCTTTCCACGAATACGTCCTTGGGTTGCGTTGACCCACGAATTTGTTCGCGGCGCGCGAACTTGCGAGCCTTCTTCTGGAGGTAGTCCCACTTGCTAGGCGGGTCCGCTCGTCCTGGTTGAGGAGGACGGCCCCTCCACAGCCAGTCATCACTTCCCGCCGTTGCTGCATTGGAGGCCGGGATTCGGGTTGCTGTATCTGGCTGCTGTTGCGCGTCGGTTTCAGTCCGCCTCCTCGTCTCGCGGCGGTTATCAGATCGTGCGGTCCTGGGTCGGTCGAGCTCGTGGCGGTATTCCTCGAACTCGGCCTGGCTCATACACGCCGAATCTGACTCCCAGAGCTCCGGTGTGGCGTTGACTTGCTGCGGCGTGTCGTCTTCGAGGGTCTCTATCTTCGGTGTTCTCCTTCTTCTTGCTGAATCTTCTCGTTGTTTTCTGTTCATTTTTGTCTGCTTGGGCATGTCGCGCTCGCGGATATACTCCTCGAACGCTTCATTACTCATACAGGCCGAGTCCGTTTTCATTAATTCTGGCGTGGCATTGACTTGCTGGAGGGTATCGTCTTCGACCTCCTCGATGTGCGGCTTGCGGGCTCGCAGTCCTACGACCTTGATCCCGCAAAGCCGTTCACCAAGTCAATCTCCGCGCTTCCTCATTGCCGCTCGTCGTAAAATCACCTCCTTTTCCTCCCCCTCGGAAAGAACAGGGAGTTCCTTTCCTCGGTAGAGGACTCGGCGATGTGCGAGGTCGAGAGTGATTCCATTGGCGTGCATGAAGGGGACGCCGAGTATCGCGTCGTACCTGTCGATGTTGGCGACATCGACATACGTAGGTACAGTGTCGCCACCGATCCTGACCGTGGCCGTGGCGCCAAAGGACACGCGTGAACGCGACCCGGTGCACCCCAGCTGGAGGTCGACGGGGTTGTCGAGGTGATAGACCTTCGTGCCGGACGCGCGCGCGTACTCGGGCGAGAGCGAGTCGAGTGTGCCGCCGGCGTCCCACAAGGCGTACGCCCTCGCGCCGTTAATCTCGACCATAGATGCGAGGCCGGCGCGCTGGTTGTACGACCGCGTGGGTCGCTGTATCGTCTTGCTGCCGATTTTCACGGATGTGGCGGCCTTGGGTCCTCGTAGAGGCTGGGATACAGCGCCAAGCCTCTCTCGATCGTGAGCAAGGTCCTGGGGAACATCGTCGATGATGCGGAGGGCGTGTAGTCGGTCGTCGTCAGTGTCGTCCGAATAATACGCCCCTTCGAGATCGTACGTGTCGCCCTCAGACGTGTATTCGTCTGACGGCGGCTCCGCGCGGTCGTCGTCGTGAGAACGTTCGGTGTCGGCTGCGAGAGGCTGCCCTTCATCTTCCTCACGGTGCGCGAAGAGGCGAGGCGGTGCTGTACCCGTCGCGGCGTTGTTGTTGCGCAAGTCAGGGCAGTCAGGGCGCTTGTGCCCCTTCTTCCCGCACTCGTAGCAGGTGATGTCCTTGTCCGCGGTAGGTCTTTCCCGAGTCCGATGGTCGTCGGGCTTTTTCTCGCGCCGGTCCTCGTTACGAGGAGCATAGCGTTCGTTACTAACCCGATGGTCGATACGCCTGTTGTCTGTCCTTCGCGCGCGACGATCTTCACGATCTCGTCTACTACGGGATCGCCGTGGTGAGGATGTCCGTCGGTCCTTGGTGGTCGTGGATGAGGTCTTCGCCTTGTCTGTGTCATGGTGTCGTCCACCGAAGACTGCGCGAAGCTTCGTGTCGTAGTTCTTTGAGTTCCGCAAGGCGTTCTCTTGCGTTACAGCCTCACGATACAGCTCTCGAAGGCTGCTGCGCTCAGCAGTGAGGCCGTTGCGCATGACGCCGTCGCGGATGTCGGATGGCAACCCCGCGAGGAATCGGTTGCTCATGTTGTATTCGCCGGGATGCTCGACCATGCGCCGAGCGATTCGCCGTAAGGTGGTGTACCAGCCATCCACCCCACGCGATCCCCGGTACTCCACGGTCCAGAACCGCGTAGTCGCCTCCTGCAAGGACGCGTCGTGTACGAACTGGTCGAATAGCGCGTGAATGAATCGTTCGAACGTCCAGGAGGAATCAAAGTCCTCCTCGACATTCTCGCGATACCATTCTTCCGCGGCCCCCGACAGGTGCGCTCCCGCGAACAGGATGCGCATCGCGTCATGTTCGTCGTCAACGAGTTGATTGAGCTGTATTCGTCGGAGGAGTCCAGAGAACCAGGCGTCGAATAAGTCGGCACGGTCGTCGCCAGCGTAGGGAGTCAGCGAAGGAATCGAGAAGTCCTTGGGCTTCATGCCCTTGGGCAGCTCGACCCTCCTTCTTAGCCCCCGTCGTATCGCGCGCGTATACCGCCTCCGCATGGTGTGGTCGACGCGATGGTTATCCCTGTGTCGATGCCGCCTCTCCCTCCGCCCTGCCTCGGCACGAGATTCATGACTGCGCCAGTTGCGTGTCTGCATAGATCCCGTGCGATAGCGAGGGTGAAGGTCGAAAGGAGTCATCGAGCGCGAGGATTCCGAGGAGTACGATCGCCGACGCCTCTTCTTCTCTCGGCGCTTGTTCTCCTTGTGTCGACGATGCCCACGGCGGTCAGATTCCGACCCGGAAGAGGAGGAAGAGGGCGACGGTGACCTGCGAGGTCGACGTGGTGGGCCTCGGCCACCACCCCGGCCCTGTCCTTCGGTCGACGAGGAAGAATCACTCTCCGAAGGACTAGGAGGGCGGCGGTGCGGTGCTCTCGATCCAACGTTGCCGTACGTTCCTCGTCCCCGCATTCCCCGGCCATTACTAAGCGGATGGCGCGACTGTCGGTGTGACCCTTCTCGCCTTCGTCTGTCATCATCCCCGGACGATGACGAGTCCGACGATGAGGACGACGAGGGGGACGAAGGGTTTCGTCGACTGTCGTCATTCATGTGTGGTGGCATGTCGCGGTCCCTATTGTCTGGTGTCCTACTGTCACGTACATCGTGGCGCGTTCGACGGTTGAGGTCCCAAGGCTCGCGTCTGGTTGGTTGGTCGTCCCGTGGTGGAGGCGTCATCGTCGACGATCCTTGTACATGGGGTCGTCGCCGGCGGCTCTCCTCAGCGCGCTGGGCTTCCTCTTCCTGCCGTTTGAACAGCTCGAACATAGCATCCTCCGCCACGTCGACAGCTGGTCCACCTCGTCCTTCTGGGAACTCGATGAACTGGTCGGGAATGGTAGAGTGGCCAGTTGCTTCCAGGTCGGTGAGCCGCAGCTTCTGCAAGGTTTGTCGGGTCTCCAGGGATCCCCGACTTATCTCACGGACGGCGGCCCACTCGGCTGCGAAGTTCCTGTCCGCCGACCCTCGAGGCGCGAGGTAGTCTTCTTCACGAGCTCGCTGGAGATCAAGACGCTTGAGGTAGCTCTCATCGTCTTCAGATTGCATCCGAGGGCGATACAGAACTTTCAAGTGCTCGCGGAGCTGGTCAAGCTTATCCACCTCATCCTCGACTGGTGTCTCAGATATTCCGGGGCGTACCCGGTCGTGGATGACTTCCTGAAGGCCTTCCTCAATGATTTCCTCAATGTCGTCGGCGGTGAGGGGACGGCCTCGACGACGGTGCTCGTCACGAATCCTTAGACGGAGGCGCTGAGCGGCCTCCCTGGGGAAGTTCGTGTCGATGTAGGCACGCGTGACCGTGTCCAAGGACAACTCGCTCGGCACCGAAGGAGTCTCCTCTTGCGGTGCTGGGCGCTTGCCCTTCTTGCGGTGTTCACGCTCGGTAGGGCTCAGGACGTCATCAGTACTCATTGAAGATGTATTCGGTGTAGTATTAGATTGGTGCGGCCCTCCGGTTGACGGTGTCTCCCGCGTGCTTGAGGGCGTTGTGGTATTGGAGCTTGGCTCCTCTACCCTAGCGCCCTCCAGTCCGCGCGAGATCGTCGTATCTTGGGGCTGTGGTGAGGTCGCGTTAATGAACTCTTCGATGTCTGGAAGTTCATCGTCGAGTTCGGGGTCGTCATCGGCCCAGCGCCTCGGTGAAGGAGTTGAGTTGATCGGAGTGAGGAAGGACGAACGTGTCTCGTCCGATCCTCCGACGGCTTCGGTCGAGCGGCCCGACCGCACCGCTTCGGCGTACGTGGTCGTCGTCGGAGCGGTTGCCGGTGAGTCCCGATCGTCGCGGTCGATGTTTTTCCTCGAGCGCGTGTTGCGCGCGGGCGCGTCCGCGGCGGGCGGGGCCCTGGACGCCTTCTTCTTTCCCATCGTGTATATAGAGTTCTCGTTGCGGTGATGTCGACCCAATTCGAAGGTACTCCGCTAACGATCGATGCCGATCGTCCGCGATGCCCGTTTACGTTGTCGTCGACGATCTCCGTTGGGATGAATGGCGCGTGAGAGAAGAAGCTAGTGGCGTATGGCGATAGGTTCAAAAAAGTGTAAGGACGTTGGTCCTTTTGCTCGTTACCCTTAGACTCCCTCGTAGCTGAACCGAACCGCTTATACGCGATTAGCAAGATACGTAGGAGTACAGGGTAAGAAAAGAGCTGATCAAGATATGTGTCAAGAAGTAATATAAAGCCGGGCCACGTGCCCACGTGATGTCCATGCGCCCACGGGCGCCCACAAGTCCGTATAAGTCCATGCCCCATTACAGAAGACCTTCGTCAGAATGACTGGTGGTCCCATGCATGGGTACCATGACTCAGCGTCGAATGCGAACTTGACTGCCTTTCCGTCTAGCGGAACTGGCGGAAGCTGACAGAAGTCACCGGAGAGGATGAGCTGAATGCCGCCAAAGGGCTTCTCGCTGTTGCGTACGCGGCGAGCGCATATTTCCTAATTGAGGCAGAGCATGAAACAATACGGCTCTAGACAGCGAAGTATGTTGACGTACCAACGCATCGAAGAGATCGCCGTCCAGCATCGAGACTGTTGATCAGTCAGTCCTTCGAAGGCAGGACGTGCAGGAAAAAACTCTCACTCTCGTCGATGATGAGTGTGTCCACCATCCGCCACCTCTCCAGCACTTTCTTCATGACAGTTTGCCCCAATCCAAGCATCTTACCCGCAAAGTCCCAGCCATCCTTGATGCCCCGGCCGATACCCGCCCAGGAATGCAAGGTCGTGCCGCCGATGTTGCATGCAGCGATACCGGTCGCGGCAGTGATGGCTAGCCGAGTGGATATTCTCCCGCCTTTGTAGTTGATGATTTCGCGCATGAGGAGCGACTTTCCCGTTCCTAGTGGGCGCGCGAGCTGAGCAGGAATAGGAAGAAGAAACAACGTGGACGCACCCGCAGAACCGGTGAAGAAGACATTTTGCCCTTTCTTCACGCGGTTGAACACCTGCTGCTGTGTTTGCGAGAGCTTAACCGACGGCGTGTCTTTCAGTTGAGAAGGCGCTGGTGGCGCGACGTTTGCTTGCGGTCTAGGAGGCCGCGACGGTGCAGTCGGTGCGGGTGGTGGTGCATTGTTTACAAATGCTGAGGACTTCTGTCAGCGTTCCTTCAGTGCAGTCTCATGATTCTACGTACGAGCAATCCAATCCTCAGCTTCTTTCAAGGTCGCATACCCTTTGTAGGAGTTACCGGGGAAGCGGCTCGTCTAGAAAATCATGCAGTAAAGCTCAAAAAATCGGATAGCATACGGACATTCCTAAGGCACTGTATCCCGATTGAGCGGGTTGATTCAAGGGCAGGAAAGCGAGCAGATTGCTAACTTACATCTTCCCATGTCGTGTAGACTTTAGGACCTTCACGCCCGACCCTGACGGCGTAAAAGTTTTTCCTAGTGTACGACTTCGCTTTCGGCATGTCCTGTCCTCGTCACGGTCTGCAAGAGGAGGCGCGAGAGTGAGATGACCGAATCCGAGGTGAGGGTCGCTGGCAAGCCGCGTCGCGTCACAGTCACGATATGGCCGCGTGAGCGGGAATTCCCACGCCAATTAGGCGCCCATAACTTCAAAATACACGTGTGCGCCTCCTGCTCTTGACCTTCACGCCACGATACAAGCCCTCTTCACAGACTTCGTATCTAGATCTCTAGCGCCACTGCGTTACGGAGGGTGGGTCGCCTATAGACGATCATTACTGAAGTGGCTGACTGAACTATTCCGCCAGGCATGGATGTGTTGAAAACCACTCTCTGCGCGAAGTGCGACAACACGTTGTCCTGCTCCTATCCACCACCGCCAGATCTCGATCTGTTGCGCGAAGGCCATGTCCCCTCTCCAGTCGAAAATGCTGCTATCGACAATGATATAGCAATTCTAGACGACTCTCTAGCAGTCATCGACGCTGAAATTGCGACCATCGACACCCGTCTTGCGATCCTCCAGCGCCATCGCGCGCAGCTCGTCGAAAGCAAGCTCCGGAGGCAGGCCCTAGTTGCGCCCATCAGGCGTCTTCCATCAGAGCTGCTTGAGCTCGTCATCCGCGCTGCCTTACCGCCAAAATGGGCGACGGCCAGCAGCGGTACGACGCGTTTTCCGCTCCTGGAGACCTGCTCTCGGATCTGGCGTACAGCGCTCGCAATGCCTGACATATGGTGCAAGATAACCACAACGGAACTGCAGATTGATGAACGCTTCTATGCGATCGCACAGCGGTATATGGATCGCGCCGCGAGTCGTCCTGTGGACGTCTTGGACCTCTCACCGCACTTCCGGCAGGATAGCGCATTCGACCAGTGGATGATCGCCCACATGGGTCGTCTGCGGAACATTAAATGGGCCATCGACACCCGTGCCCTACCCGTGTCGCGCGTATCTGCGCCTTCTCTGAAGAGCGCGATCCTTTACGCCGATTGGCACAGGGATGCCACCTTCTATCCGGATCCCATTCTCACCTTCGTCGACGCCCCTCGCCTATCCACGATCACTATACGCAACTGCGTTTCCCCATCAATCTTTGATCTTCCTTGGACGCAACTTCAGAGCTTAACCATCGAGAGCGCTACGCTAAGCCCTAATGATCTGCGTACACTGCTGTCTTGCGTGTCCCTTACGGAGCTCGATGTCTGTGTCTCCAAGCGATTTGCGGCAGGGCACGACAATGCTTCGACTCATCCTCCCGTGGTCACGATGAATGCTTTGCGCGTTCTCAAGCTTAGCGGTTGCGGCCATCTCTTCAGTGCACTCATTAACGCTCCAAACCTGCATGAGCTCTTCATGTGGGTACTTCCCTTCCGCTTAGCTGATGCCTCGGACCTCTTTGCGCAGTTTGCAACGTCCGTGCGCACGATGCTCGAGCGAAGTGTACCTCCTCTGTGCTCTCTCACTATGCATGGCTTTCCGTCCTGCATAGAAGACGGCGAACTTGATAACATCCTCTCTATCTTGCACCTGGTACCTCAGCTCAAGCGCCTGAAGCTAGGGTACAGCCGCATGGACATAGGCAGCATACCGCTACTCCGGAAGCTGACTTTCCGCCAAGACCAGCCCCTCCTCCTCCCTGAGCTGGAGCACATCGCTCTCGAGTACAGCCGCACAAATTTACAGCCTTACCCTGGGTGTGTGGATGTGCTGAAGGAGCTGGTGCTTTCTCGCTGGAAGGAGCCGGCGACTTCCCGCGAGGGCACAGTTGTAAGCAAAGCAGAGCCCACGGAGCGTATGTCGATCAGCTCGGGCGCCTGCGAGCGCCCAGGGGGGTGTCGCTGCAATATTCCGAGGGATTGGATCGCTGAGGTAGAGAAGGAAGGGATTATCGTCAATACGTTGGCGTGCGGCACTTGATACATCACCTGCGGTCCGTTGCGTGTCCGAGTCAGTGCGCGAACCCACTTCACAGTTCACTCAGTCTTTTAGCTTTCAATGTATCTATGATGATCTTGGTTATTAAATCTCAATGTCATCCCTGTTTGTCCTCGCTTGCCGTCACTTTAGTTCCGCTTCGGAGGATGCCGAGAAACGTGCGCCTCCCGTGATGGTCTGTCACGTCACCCGCTCCAATTGTTCTCTGCCACCGCCATCTGCGAACCGTCACCGAGCAATTCCGTGACTACAGTGGAAAGACCATGTCACGTACGCGTCCCTCATGCGAATCTGCGGCAACTGATACAAGCTCTCAATTTGCACTGTGCAGGTCTACGCAAATCAGAATGTAATACAGAGCCTGAGCCGCGCGCTTGCTCCAGCCTCGGGGCGTCGCGCCTTGACCTCTTGCGAACCACTTCCGGGCCCTCTCTCGAAGATGCACAGCTCATTGAGGTCGACGATGAGATGCTGGACGCGTCTATAGCTACCATCAATGCTCAGATCGCAGTCCAGCTTGCCCACATCAAATCTCTCGAGCGCGATCGCGCGCGACTGGTGGAAGCCAAGCATCGCAAGCAGGCGCTCAGAGTTCCCATCTTGCGCCTCCCTACAGAGATTATTGAGCTCATCATCCGCGCCGCCCTCCCGCATGATTCGTCGACCGCTGCCAGCACGACACGTGTCCCGCTCTTCCAGTCCTGTCGTCGGATCCGCGCCGTTGCGCTCGGAATGTCCGACTTGTGGTGCAGGATGGTCATCCCCGCGGGTGACACTGTGCTCAAAGACGGCTTCTACGAGCTGGCACAGCTTTACTTGGACCGCGCCCGGGCCCTGGGAATACATATTGTCGACTCGAATCAGATTCCACAATACCGCCAGGACATGCGCTTCGACCAATGGATGATCGCGCACTTCGATCGTTTCCGTACCGCTGCGTGGTCCATGGACGTCGGCAACCTTCCATCGACCAGGGTGGCCGCGCCATGCTTGGTTTCCGCGACGTTCCTCGCCCGTTATCGCAGAGGCGCTTTTGATACGACACCATCCGGCCTTCTGACAATAGTCGACGCGCCACTATTGCGCAAAGTCTGTCTGGGTGTCTACGTACCCCCGCTCGCTATCAACCTCCCTTGGGCGCAGCTATCGGAGCTCGACCTGTGCATCTTCAAGTTTCGCCCCGAGTATCTGCGCGTCTTGGAGTCCTGCACCTCATTGTCCACGCTCAACATCTCCATTGGGTACAAGTTTGCAACACCTCTTTCACCCAACATCGTGCTGCACGGTCTGCGCACCCTTAAGCTCGAGGATTTCGCGGCGTTGCTTGCGCCCCGCATCACTGCCCCAAACTGTCCGACCTAACCATCTGCATGGATTCCCTGGGAGACTATGAGTTCGGCACTCACTGGCCGCTCTACATGTCCTCCATATCCGCATGGTTGCGACGATCACCTCCACCCCCCTCTCTGCGGACTCTGTCCCTCATGGGACTACGGTACTGCAGCCCCGACGATGTCTCTGAAACCAGAGATGTCATCCTTCTCCTTCCTGCAATCGAACGCCTCACCCTCAGTTGCTGCACCAGAGAGAATCTGGATAGGAACCACGCGTTCACATCACTCATCATGATCGCCAACACCGATACCATGCACTTCATCCTCCCTAATCTGGAGCACCTGACCATTCTGCTCGAGCACGGCAACTTCAACACCGGCTTTGGAGTCACTTTGACCAGCCTCGCTCTATCGCAATGGGCCAATGGAGGAGAACAACCCGTGGAGCGGCTGTCGTTGCGTTCACTAGACTGCGAGAGCAGCAGCATATGTGATTGTCGTATTGGAGCGAAGTGGATGAAGACGTTGGACAAGGAGGGCATACTTGTGGATCAATTGACGCGCAATCACTTGTTACGCTCGCTGGGTACAGCTCGCTGGAGGTAGGGTACGAGTCCAATGTACTGTACTTTCTGGCTGGTTATGTCGCTGGGACTTTATGAACGGACTGATCATCGGCGCGTACCTTCGTCGCTGTATTGCAATGCGCTTGCCCTCACACAGTCCGAAGCCGCCTCGGAAGGTGCCGAAGCGCATGTGATGATTTATCGCGCCACACGCTTCGGCTCTCTTCGCACCGTCATCTGAGAGTCTCACCGAGCGACGAACACGAGGCTGGGGCAGGATCATGTCCTGTACGTTTCTCTCGCGAACGCTTCGAGATGATTGTTCTTATGTTCCAAGGTACGGATGCTCATCAATCGGAGCGCGAAGGTGCGCCTGCGTGCTCCTGCCCCGAACCCTCAGGCCTGACCCGGGGACGTCTCGCTTGCATGTCCTCAGCTGAGGAAGAACAGCCTGCCGAGACATACACTTCCACGCTGGACGCATCCATAGCCGCCATCGATGCCCAAATAGCAGTCCACCGTGCCCACATCGCATCCCTCGAGCGCGATCGCGCGCAGTTGGTCGAAGTCAAGCGTCGCGAGCAACTCATAGAAGCCGAGCACTGCATGCAAGCGCTACAAGCCCCCATCCTCCGCCTCCCCAGAGAACTCCTCGAGCTCATCACCCACGCCGCTCTCCCGCCCCAATGGTCGACCGCCGTCAGCGGCACCATCTGCTTCCCTCTCCTTCAGTCCTGTCGCCGCATCCGCGTCGTCGCGCTCACCATGCCCGAGCTCTGGTGCACAATCGTCCTGCCGCCTAATCAATCTCTAATCGCAGACAAGTTCTACGACGTGGCGCAGCGATACCTGGTCCGTGCCCAGCCCCTGCCCATCCATCTCGTCGACCCAACCAAGCAATACCGCCGCCAGGACGCGCGCCTCGATCGGTGGATGGTCGAGCACATGGCCCGTTTCCGCACAGCTACGTGGTGTATGCATCTCGCCAATCTTGCGCCCACCAAGGTGGCCGCGCCGTCCTTGGAATCCGCGATGTTCCTCGCTACGTATCGCAAAGGCGCGGCGGACACGACGCCCTCCGGTCTTCTGACAATCGTCGACGCGCCGATGTTGCGGACAGTCACCATCGGCGTGTTCCTGCCTCTCGCGGCCCTCGAGCTTCCCTGGGCGCAGTTGACGGAGCTCAACGTGCGCATCTTCAGGTTTCGGCCCGAGAATCTGCACGTCTTCCAGTCCTGCGTTGCCCTGTCGACACTCAATGTCTCCGTCGAGTACGAATTCGCACTGCCCGAATGTCCTCCTATTGCACTGAACAGCCTGCGTACCCTCAAGGTGGGGGATTACGCGACGTTGCTGGCTCCCCGCATTGTTACTCCCGTTTTGACCGACCTATCCATCTACATAAGCACCCAACAACACTGGGACCCCGTCCTTGATTGGACGCCTCGAATGATTCCTATATCAACCTGGCTAAAGAACTCAACACCGCCCTCTTCTCTGCACGCTCTAACCGTCACGGGACTGTGGCGCGACAGCCACTTGGATGATCTGAAAGACGTCTTCCTTCTCCTCCCTACGATCGATCACCTTTCTCTGAGCTGTCGTGAGTCGGACGCTGCGGAGGACCACGATCTGCTCAAGGCGATCATCCTGTTAGACGATACCGCCATCCTCCCGAACCTGGAGCACCTGTCTCTTCAGATTGAGCACGGCGCTTTCGAAACCATGCTCGACTTTGGGACCGCGTTGAAGAAGTTCGCTCTCTGTCGATGGGCGAATGGCGGCGAACGGCCAACGGGTCGATTGACGTTTCGCTCGCTAGCCTGCGAGAAGCGCGAGTGCAGGTGTTACGTGGAGACGGAGTGGTTAGAAACGCTGAAGGCTGAGGGAATCCTCGTATATAGACCGACGTGCACTTGATCCTTAATTTACTGTTGTTAATGTGGTCACTTTGTATGTGCCACAATTGATCGAGGTTGTGGGAAATTGACTTAGCCACAAAAAACACACGCTGGCACTCGCTGCGATGAGCTGTCCTCGCCATCAACAACGACCAGCAGCCTACTGGCCAGAGCGCGGCCGAGACCAGCCAAGCCACACGAATGTCGCCAAGGAGGGAGATATTCTGCGACGAGGGCAGTGCGGCCGCGACGCCGCGTTTCTCCAATTCAGGAACAAATGGGGCCACGTGGCGGACTTAATGGCCATCGCAGCGTGCATGGGCCCGGCTTGACGACGACACGCAGCCTCGACCAGCACTCCATCTTAAATCCCACCGTAATTCTCACTGTCCTTGCTTGTGACCACCACCAACCACGTTCCTTCGCGCGCCCTCGTCTTTTCGCCTTCTCCCCCTCGTCTGTCTGATCAGCGCCAATCGCGCCACATGTCGTCCCCCAGCGTTCTTCCCCCGACGTTCAACGCGCTCGCCCCAGAGCAGCGCGGGCGTCTCATGCGCTCGACTCGCAAGCTCGGCGCGCTACTGGGCACCACCCCCCACCTGATCGAGGACGCCGGCTCGTCCTCCCCCTCCCAATCGCCGGTCAGACGCCCATCCACGAGCTCTGGAACCGTAGCACGCCTCCCCATCGGCACCCAACACTCGTCTCGCACGGAATCTCCCTCTCCTGCAGTCGTGTCGCGCTCCCGGCGCCGTGAAGTCAGCATCTATGGACACAGCCCATCCGATTCGACCACCTCCCGCGCGTCCTTCGAGCTCGCCCCCGAGCCCCCCACGACGGAAAAGGGTCACACGCGGCGCAAGCCCAGCCTGTCACTCGCGAGTGCGACAGCGCGGCAGAAGCAAGATGCCCCCGCGCCGCTGTTCCTGCGCCTACAGCCCGTGCCCGGCCCGAGCGCCCTCGCACCCGCCAGCCCCGGCCAATCCACCTCCGCCCCCGCGACACCCAACACCGCGACCTTTGACACGCCCCCCACGCCCATGACGCCCCTCACGCCCCTGCTCGCGCCGAACCTCCCGCCTCAGGAGTATCGCCGGAAGAAGATGGCCAAGCTCGCGCGCACCCTTGGCGAGAACGGTGCGTCGGGACAGGCTGTCACTTTCGCTTGTTCCGACTGACTGATCGACGGCTTGACAGTTCCCCCGTCCCTCGTGTTTGGCGACGACGCGCAGGACCCGTCGTTCATGCTGCGGCGGTCGCGCAGGCGGAGCCGCAGCGTGTCCGACCTGTCGGCGAGCTGGAACGCGTGGGCGCTGCCCAGCGAGCAACCGAAGTTGGGTGTGGGCAAGGAAAAGGAAAAGGACCAACCGGCGGCCGAGCCACAGCCTCAGCCTCACCTTCAGCCTCAGCCGCAACCCCCCTCGACCCCCTCGCCCGCTACTCCTCGTGCTACCTCAAAGCTGCAGCGCTCGCGATCCGCGGCGGCATCCAAGCCGCAGCGCCGCATCGTCACGCAGCGGAACGCGGCACCCATGTCCTGGGCAGTGAACACGTCCGCGAACGCGCCGATGCCGTGGGCGGACCCGGCACTCATGGCTGGGCACGGGAAGATGCCATTCGTAGACGACAGGAAGATGCCCTTCGTGGACGACCGGAAAATCCCCTCCCTAGACGGCCCCGTCTTCCAAAACGGCATCCCCATCGTCTCGCAGGCGCCCGTGCCGTTCCCTCGCCCGATTGGCGAGCAACTGGCGCCTCCCGTCGACGACCGCCGCCGGCGCGAGGATGGGTGGAGCGGGGAGTGGAACATGGACATCGACGACGTGCGCCGCCGCCTCCGTGGGCTGAAGTAGACGCGTCGGCGGGTGCTCAAGGGGCCCGTGCGCGGACGCTCGAGTACGCTCAGGCGAGCTCGCCAGCGGACGGTCCAGTGAGTCGCCGCCCGCGGTCTCGAGCGAGCCCGTCGGCGGACGCTGAATGGCTCCGTCAACGGACGCGCGATGGCTCCGTGAACGGACGCACAATGGCTCCCTCAACGAACGGACCGACATGATGTATAGACAGACGATCGCTGCAAGTGCAAGCTGGTCTTCACTCGCAGGTTCTTCATGGTCCCATAGTCTTGGTGCCTCTGATCCACGCAGATGCACCACGACCTTGGTGCAGGCTTGACTTATTGCTTGATGTATAGCTATAGCTACCACCCTACGGCATGGCCGCCGCTCGGCCCTCCTTGGACGCTCACCTTTTCGTGGGTTGTTTGCGAGCCCTCTTGCGGGTCTACCTACAAGCCGAACGTAGGTATCCTTGCAAGACTAACGCCACCCCGTAACGCTGAACGAGCGTCCGAGTAGTATGTACCAGTACTTATATGACTCACCTAACTAATAGCTGCTGAATGCTCACTGTGTTTTTGTGTTGTTCTTGTTGATGTGCTTCGAGGATATGGAAGTTTAGCTAGAAATATGCATACATCTAATGGATTGTGATCGTGTCGCTGTATATCGTTGCTGGATCTCATTGCGTCATGTCCTTTCCTTTCGGTGCGCTGCTATTCCCGCTACCATTTATGGTAGTGGGTCTTAGGGATGAAGCGCGAAATCGCAAATGCGCCGTCTTGCAAACTTTGGTGAGCCGTCACGTGCCGGCACATGACAGGGCCTTCTGCGGTCTCGACTCATCGGCGTCGGCCGAGCGCACCTTGGCTCATCCCTCCACCTCCGTTCCACTGTATAGCATCCTCTTCCGCAGGCAGAGAATGCTCTGACTGATCTGGACTGCTTGACAACCTCACTTGCTTTGCCGCGGTTTTATATTATCTCCTGTAGTCCTAGCTCTGTTTACGCATGTCAATGCTCGAAGAATTGACATCGCATCCAGCGTGACGGTGCTTGACCGGTCGTGATATGAGCGAGAACGCGTGCGCGGGAAAGGTGTGCGTGAGGGGGGGACGTCGCGCGAGGGATCGGATGCTCAGTAAACCCCGTCGGGGCCCGAGCGGAGGTTGCAGGCGTGAGTACGCACTGGCGGACTCACCGGATGCGACGTCTCGAGTGTGGGTCTTTGCATCGAGCTGTACGTTGACTTTGGGATAGACATGGTCGAGCGATATAGTGGCTTGGGTATGAGAGAACTTAGGATGCACACAAGCTACTCACTTGCAAGCCGGCTGAGTCTGCACACAACAATTTCCGCGGTGTAATTCAGATGTTGTATGGTAGCGGGCCCTGCCGTAAAACGGCCCTTCAGAGTTATCATTTCAAAAGCCTGACTATAGCTTACGGAGCTCTGCAACTTACAACGATTGCTGAATCAGATGTCAGCGCGACTTGAAAGTTCAACTTTGCAGCACGTGATATCACGTGAACTCCATCAGCCCCGTCGCGTGGGGTGACGTGCAGTGTCCATCGCTTGTCAGCGCCCTCATCGCGCTCAGCGGCGGCCATCCACCTTCTCAGGTTTTCGTGGTCTTTTGCTTACAAGCTGCTCATATGAGGGATTCATTGGAGTGACCGAGGTCCCAGACAGAGGCTTCAAGTTAGGCGGCGCCACCACCATCGATCCGGACGTCAGCCGCTAGCAAATACCGACGACGCCAGTGGATGCAGGGTCGCAACCGGTGACGGCCCTGAGGACCTACAATAGACCTGTCAAGTCTGTTTGTATCACTCGCAAGCGACGGCGCGCGCGTCAAGTGGCTCGTGAGCGCATCAGTCGTAGGCGATTAGGCCAAGATAAGGCTTACTTACGAGGGAGAGGCAAGGGAGAGATTGAAGAAGGACAATTCCCTCCCCCGTCCTCTCGACGCTAGAAGCACCCAGTTACGAGGACGTTTGCTAGCTGAGGACGGAACATTCGCCCGAGGGAAGATCGTGTCGTGCGTCGCGCCCATCGCTGGGCGCCGACAGCTCGCAGCCTTGAACTCCGGAGGAGGCGCATTGACATGGGGCTGGACCTCGCCGTCCATCTTCCCCTCACCCTGATTCTGTAGCCAGCGCGATAGGCCGCAACCTCGGGCTTCTGGAAAGCAACCTGTGGCGCCGTACGCAACTGTATCAGCGCAGCGTGTACGTATTCCTGATCCCTACATTCAGTCTGGAGCTGACGAACCCGCCAGCGCCTGGTGCTCCCCTCCGCACGCGGTCCTTTGTGGCTTGCCCGACTGCCGCGTCGTTGAGTAGCAACAACCGCCCGCCCTGGCGAAACTTCCTAATCAGGGAAAATCGCGATCGCCCGCGGATCTGCGGCGCCCCTATTACCCCATCGAGGAGCATAGCAAATGGGATTATGTTCCTGTCTCTAAATGAAAAGGGCGGGATCGGTGGATGCGCACATTTTCCCTCCTCCCGCCACGAACGCCCGCGACTCGGTTCAGTGTATATAGTGCAGCGCTCGGTCGACAGCGTGCACGACAGTTGAGGGCACGCTAGGTTCTATGTTGGCGACGATCCGCGCCGTGTCAATATGGATTGAAGTGCGTATGACGATCACTGGATTGAGTGCTGGAAGCTGATCAGCGGCTGAATAGACGCTCCTCTATGGTGAATAGCCCGCGCTATGGCCGCTGACTGCCCCCCTTACCCGTCCTAGGCGTACATGCCTGCCTCTTCTTTGAGTGCATGTACCTTCTCAAGAAAAGAGGGACGTTGAAGACCATGGCGGCGACGGTGCGTAGTAATCACTGCGACATGCGCATGCCCCTAACCCCTTCGCAGGTATTCACGTACGCGAGTATCGCATTGTTCATAGTCTCTACCATACATACTGGTGCGTTCGCACTCTTCGACGCGTCGGCCTCTGTGTATGACCTCCTGATGCAGGCTTGAACCTCGCTCGTTTCATCAAGACTTTCGTCCTGCTGCAGGGTACGCAGGAGCAGACCACGTATTGGACGAACTTCGCTTCGGGCGAAGTCCTCGCATATTATGTCCTCACCGCGATACAAACCTGGATTGGTGATCTTCTCATAGTGCGTGCGCGTTCTCTACCCTCTGTTCCTTGTCTCTGACCGTCATGAACTGCAGATATACCGCTGCTGGTTTGTATATAACAAGAACTACATGATCATAATTCTTCCCTTCGTTCTTGTCCTGTCAAGCTTTAGTACGTCGTCGAGTCCGCTCCTCCACCCCTTACTGACATCTGATATTCTTTCCAGTAATCAGCATACTCCTCTGGACGAACTCCGTTACGAACATGAGCGCGTTGACTGCGCTCTCGAATGCTATATTCCCCCTCAGTCTCTCGCAGAACGTACTCACGACGGGCGCCATTCTCTACAAGATTCTCAGACAACACCGTCGCATGAACTCGCTATCCGTCGACTCCGCTCACTCCTTCTCAAGCATGCTCACCGTCGCCCGGTTGATCATTGAGAGCGCGGCCCTTTATCTGGTGGCCATGCTCCTGCTCGTTATATTCTACTTTACTGGAGTACGTCCTTTCGTCTGCGTCTCGAGCTCTATATTGACATCTATCACAGAACGACGCTGCGTGAGTTCAGGCGTTTCTATAGCATCACATCGCCCTTGCTGACCTCATTTACAGCGAAGTCTTCCAAGCCTGCATCACTCCGACCATAGGTGCGTCCTCACTCGCTTTCTTCTCGTCCAACCCCTTCTCACACACCTTCTCCCTCCTTCACCAGGCATCAACTTCACCCTCCTCTCCCTCCGCCTCGCCACCATCACCGACAGCGACGCCTGGGGCTCGCGCCCCACGCCCCACGCCGCCCACTCCCGCAGCACTGTCGCGAACGTCCGCTTCCGTACCAGCGACTGGCGGACGCATGAGAGCGGCGACTGGCAGACGCCGGATAGCTGGGACACCGACGGCCGCACGCGCGGCGGGGAGACGGAGCTGCAGGTCAAGACTAGCGGGCGGGAGTTGGCGGGCGGGCTTGAGTTTGCGCCCGCGCCGTCGACAGTGAAGGGGTCGATGCTGCGCGATCCGGCGTTGAGGATCGATTGAGGGGTAGATGGTGGTGCTGCGCGCGCGGCGGCCCGGTCCCGCTGCACCGCGATCTCAGTCTTGAGTGCTCTCCTCAATAACGAGACGCGCCGAAGGAGGATTTCGGAGGAGGGTTTTGGAGGATGTAGTCTCGCAATGTTCGACGCGGGTATATATTGTACATCATCATTCAGTTACGGACGGCGCTGCAAGGACTTCCTGCGGTATCTAATGTAGACTAGCTGTGTCATTTGGGATGTTTGCGCGCGTCTATATCAGTACCCTCGCGGGGTTGGGAATCTGGTATCCTATGGCTTGTCAAAGTGATACAGCCAACTCCACGCCTATTCAGACGGTACTCAGTAAGCAGGTTGGAACCCGAAGCTTGTAGATATGAGCTATTTTCCAGAGATAGCTACCACGTCGAACGGAGCTACAGTAGTGGGGATTTGCACATTTTCGAATTGACGAAGACCCCCTTGCCCTTCACCCCCGCTATCCAATTGTGCAGCCCCAAACATTCGCAGTACTCATCCCCTCTGCAATTGCGCGAGCGGACTGACATGCACTCCCTGGACTCTGCGCCGTCCGCACCCCAGCGGGAAAGCACCAGTTCCTTTGAAACGTCGCCGAACTCGAATTCCGGGGCGATGTCGTCGTACTCGAGGGTAAGGTGCGCCAGATTAGGCAGGAGGGGATGCAGGCCCGAATGAGGGGTAACCAGCCTCTGCAGGAGGGGCAAATCGCACAAGGCGAAGAGCTCGTATGCGAGTCTGAGGCGCTCGAGCTGGGGCGCGAGGTGCAGGATGGAGACGAGGTCTTCCAGCTCGCCGTCCCGATGTGAACACAGAAATCCTTTGAGAGACAAATTGTGTAGAGAAGACAAGTCGCGCGTGAGCAGCGAACGCACGGACGATCTAAGAAGAGAGTGACGACATGGATCGGTTCCCATAAAGCTGGCTCTCGCCGACACGGTGATCTCGATGAGGTTGGGAGCATTGATGAACGCAGCGAGACGGTAACCACAGCGCGAGAGCTTGAGGACGCGCAATTTGAGGAAGGTCACTGCCGGGATATGCGTAGGAGTCACGCCATGCTATGGCACCGAATGACTGTGAAGAATGCAGACACGGAGTTCCCTCAGAGATGTACATAACTGGAGAGTGCGCAGGTCGTGGGGGCTAAATGCCATGTTAAGAATTGTCAAGCTCTCCAGTTGCGCCCAAGGGATGCCAAAGTACGAGGGGGCTGCAGCGTCCATATGCACATTCGTCAGTCGAGGTGCGTGGATGAAGGTGAGGATGCGGGAGTCTTGTGGATTACGGTAGGCTGAGAGGGTGGCGCTCTCAAGTGACGGCGCAGAGATGTGAGACCCATGTACCACATCAGCTTTGATATACCAATCAATGCTCCGTATGCGATCCATGTGAGCCATTACCCACAGATTGTACTGGGAGTCGAACAGCACGCATTTAGCAATGATGTCCACCGGGTGAGGCTTGAACCGGTCCACGTACAGCTGCGCGACTACGTAGAAGCGGTCAACCTTCTTGGCATTGAGACTCTTCATGACAATTTTGCACCACAATTCAGGCATGGCCAGTGCCGTGCGCCGAATCCGAAAGCAAGTTTCCAGGAGCGGAAAACGTGTGGCGCCGACGGCGGCGGCCGTCCAAGTTGGCGGCAGGGCAGCGTGTATGATGAGCACTAGCAGCTCCGGCGGGAGACGGAAGATGGGAGCTGCCAAAACCTGTTTCCGGGCCTTGCATTCTGCGAGCTGAGCGCGATGGCTAGCGAGGCGAGCGTAATTGGACGTGTCAGTGTCTGCAGCATCGATGACCGCTAAGGAGGCATCCAGAGACGTTATGTCTTGGCGGAGCAGCGAACTCGTCTGCGGAGGGCGTATAGCCGAAGCGCGAAAGTTCAAAACTCGGTGGCTGACAGAAGGAGGAGAGCGTATGCTCGTACTTCGCGCAAAGAAATGTTTCCGGTGCACTCATGCTGTTCAAGAAGCTGATTGATTTCGTCGATCGGATAAAATTTATGCTCACCTTCAAGATAGGCTCAACTGGGCGTCTGAGCGAGATTTTGCAGAGAGGTCGTGGAGGTCAGGAGCAGGAGGCGTACACGTGCTGGAATTCCCGCGCGCTGAAATCACTCTCACGTGCCCGACACGCGACACAACGCAAAACCTACACGTCCGACATTCTGCGCCTCTTGGGGTAGCCTATGGAGCAAAAGACGTAGGCTGCAAGTAAATCATGTAGAAAAAGAACTACTTCGCCTCCAGGTCATAGGAAACAACATGAGATAGTGCCCCTCGGCTGACGTCGTAGCAGAGGTCATGAAATCATCTGTCTGACGAACGCAATCTACAAGTACAACAGTCAGCAGTACTACTACAAGATTTCATATTAGTACAACGGATGCCACAATCCCTCGTCAAAGGGACCATCAACATCCATACACTTCACCCATACCAGCGAAGTCGAGGCTGATTCGGCCTGTCGCAGACAGGTCGACCGTAGCTGATGATATCGGCGGTGCGCGTACGAAGTTAGCTCATGCACTAAGCACATAGCTGCGCGACAAGGCCGTCTCCGTCGAGCTCGGCACGGCCAACAAGACGCCCCACATCCTCAGCGCCTGACACCCCGCGTCCAAGCCTGTCAGCGCAGCGAGGGACCAGGCGAGCGCTGAAGACCTCGTCAGCCATCTCCTCGTACTGGAAAGTACAGCTCATGCGCACCTTCATGTACGACGAGCAGGTTGACTCCATCCGCACTCATATCCTTCCCATCTCCGTGCCTCCTCTGACTGGTGAAGAGTCCCGCATCCGCCACCAACAGCGCACACGCCACGATCGCATACGCCAGCCGCGCGCGTATGGTGAAGAGCCTCGAGAGCCGGAATCCGCGCAAGAAAACGAGCGCGATCAGCTGGAAGGCGAAGAGCGGGGCGTAGGTGAGCACCGTCCATCCTGATGCGGTAAAGGCGAGCGGCCAGATGTCGTGAAGCGCAGGTGGAGCGCTGGAATATAACAAGCCGGTGATGACAAGCTGAGGTGTGTGGGTGAGCAAGCAGGATGGGAGCATGGAGGCCAGCTTACCTGAACAACGGCGAGCAAAGCGATCGCCAAGTCGAGCACGATCAAGCCCACCAGTGCGCGCCTCAGCCGCACGAATTGCGTATCCCTCATCAACGTTTTGCGCAGCCTATCCTCCGTCTCTCGCGGCGTCTGAGTCGAGGACGAGGAGTTATGCCGCGCCGTTGTCGGCAAGGGCGTAACACGTTCCTTTTCCCGTACGTGCGGAGCAATGTGTGCCCATAATAGAGGTTCCGTCTCGGCGTCGACCTGTACGTGCATAAGCCTTCACCAATCCAACGTCCAAGCCAAAGAAAGGAAAAATGAACCCCCACTCACCTCCTCCCCCCTACTAACCGGCACATACCACCGCAAAAAGTCATGAATATCCTTACTCGCCGGCCGCTTCTTCGGGTCCGCGTCCCAGCAGCGCTCGGCGAGCAGCCACAGCACCTCCTCGTGCGTATCGCGCCAGGCGGTGGGTCGGTGCGGCCGCTTGCCCTGCGCGACGGCGAAGAGGACGGCCATGTCGTAGCGGAGGTGGTGCATGGGGACGTGGCCGGTGATTATCTGGAGGAGAGGTTGTTCAGCTTTCGGACGGGCCCAGTGGTGCTCTCAAGAGCAGCATGATGCAAAATCACAACCCTACGAGCGCTGACGCGAAGAAACTAACTCACCTCCGCCACCAACATCCCAAACGCAAACACGTCGCTCGCCATCGTCTTCGCCACATCGCCCTCACCCTCCCCATCCCCCTCATGATCACCGGTGAGCGCAAACAACTCGGGCGCCATATACCGCCCCGTGCCCACGCCATTCAGGTCGGACGGATTGCCCGAGAGGACTGCGAGGTCGGAGAGGACGATGGCGAGGCCGAAGTCGCAAAGGAGGGCGTCGCCGGTGGAGGAGATGAGCACGTTCTTCTGTGGGGTAAGTTAGTGGATGTGCAGCGGGTGAAGGGTGAATGGGTACTAGTAGACGGGGACGATGAAGGCGAAGGCGAAGGTGCAAAATGCAGGAGGGGTAGCAGATTGCCGTATATGGAGCACAGGCACCAGAGCGTGGCATGCGCTAACACGAGGCCTTTGTAACCCCACGAGGCATAAAAGCACGACACGATGTAGGACATGAGGAACGTGGGCGGTCGCACAATGAGAGCGCTGATCACACGAGGGGGTAAAAGCATACAAAAAGCACGAAGAAGGGTACGCACGCCTTTGATGTCCCCGTGGACGATGCCGTTGGCGTGCAGATAGTGCAGCGCGTCCGCGGTCTGGGTTATCTGTGTTGAGGGACCGGGGTGGAGGCGGGGGCGAATTATCGGAAAAGATGGGACGCAGGTTATCGTTGAGTCAATCAACGCGATGGTGAGGGCGTGTTCAGGCGATCGAGGCGTAAGAGATAGAGCAGCGGTGGGGCAGAAGCAGAGTAGACATGGCCGATGAAGCAAGTATAGCAACAAAACAGAATGTCTGGTCAGCCATCATCGTGCGATGCCAAGTCGCAGTCAATCGCACTCACCAACACCAGCCTATCCACGTCGGGTCGCTCCCTGAGGTAGTGCGGGAGGTCGCCGCGGTCCTGCCAGGGGCTGCACATGTACAGCGTCGGCCCGTCGACGCAGAGCCCGAAGAAGGGCAGGACGTGCCGGTGGTCGAGGCGGCACCAGGTGTCGGCTTCGTGCCGGAAGCGCTGGGTGAGTGATTAGTGGGGTGTTGTGAGTCGCGGCAACTTCATCCTCTCCCTGGCCTTCACTTGCTCCCCTTCACCAATAATCCACAACTACTGCTCTCAAGACTCACCTTCTCCGCCCGCCCACCATCCACGCCCACATGCATCCTAAGCTTCTTGAGCGCGACCAGCCCCACCCCGTCCAGCACGCCCGTGTGCACGTCGCAGTACCCGCCGCCGGCGCGCCCCCACTCGCTGATCTGCGTGACGTGCGCGGAGACGTCGGCGAAGGAGGTGCGGCTGCGGTGCAGCCGGAGCGCGGCAGTGATGTGCGGGGTGCGGTGGAAGCGGGCGGGTGGGGCGAGGGAGGGGGCGGAGGCGATCCAGGGGTGGGTGGGGGGTGAGGTACTCTTGGGAGGTGGGGAGGTTGTTCGTGGATGGGTTGAGGTGGAAGGTGATGTGGCGGGTGGGGTGATGGTACGTGGGGGAGAGGCAGATGGGAAATGGGACGCGGGAGGAGAGGATGGCGACGGTTGGCTGGAAGTTGGTGTACGCGAGACCAGCTCGATGGGGGATGCGGGGGACGGCGATCGGACGCGGGGGATGTGCAGCGCCGCCGCCTCGTCGAGGATCTGCCCAAAGGAAGGGCGCGTCGTGTGATCGGCCGGTGCGACCGGCAGCCTATCGTTCCCTCTTCGTCTTGCTGGCACGGGGGCCTGAGGGATGGGGAAGGGTGAAGGTGGTGTATCCGAGGTTGCAAGAGATGTCGGTCGTGAGTCGCGTTCGCGGTCGTCGCTGTCATCGCCATGATCGGTGCTCAACTCACCCGACTCCGTGCTCGTCGGCGTAGCGCCCTTCAACCTCCCCACTGCGCGCAGTACCGAGGTCAGGTCGAAGATAAGCGGCAGACGCGTCGATGTTGACCATTTTGAGGCTGTCGTTGGCGTTCCGGTCGCCTGAACGGGGAGGGGAAGTGCCAGCGCGTTCGGTGATGAGGGCATGATCGGGTACTTCCTGCACTGCCCTTGCGTGCTGGATCGCAAGTAGATAACCCTTGGGCCTGCGATAGTAGGCAGGCAATCAGGGAGCGGGCTTGGATGTTGACTGTGAGGAATCCGTCGCGATCATGCACTCGGTGGACGTCGTGCAAGCAGTCAATGGACACGATGAACGCTCAGGTCGACCCACCGTCCGACACGGCGATAGAGAGGAAACAGCGCGCATGGTCGATGGGAGCGCCCATGGCGCGGTCACGAGCGGCAGGCACTGGAAGCACTGATCATTCGGGGTCAGTGAGTCAAGGGGAGGCGGTGCGATGTGCTGATGGACCTGCTACTGCAATTCCCTGATCAAGTGATAGATCTGTTTATTGACCTTCACTGACCCGGAGTCAGTAAAGTATCTGACCGAGGTCAATAAAGCGTCGTCAGGTCAGACAAGCGTCGCTAGCTCGACCAGTCAGGAAGGTGAACCTCATGCTCGACATACAAGGTGTTGGGTTGCAAGCACGGTGAATACGATGCTCACACGGACTCGCGCGATGATAAAGGTGACGAGCCACGACCTCCAGTCCGATGTCTGCGACATGGAGACGAAGGTAAAAGAGCCAATCTGCGACATGCGCACCATATGAACTGCAGTCACAGCCTGTCGGACGGACAGAAAGGGTGTCGTTCCGAAAGCTCAGCGAAACCAGTCTCGATCGAACAAAGGCAGTGAAAGGCAGAGATGCTCGTCACCACCAGCATCGCCCAACTGCTTAAGTCAGTCCTTGAGTGATTTCGGAAGCGCCACCGGGCGAGCGTTTGGGCGCCTGTTTGCGCCTCGAAGTCAGAACCGTGATCGCAACAAGGACGTCGTCGAGGGTGCGCAAAGACGCATCAGGGCAGGCAGCGCAGAGACGCATCGGAGCCGGTGCGACGTCGCAGAGGTGGAGGCTGCGTCGTTGGTACGTCCCAAAGAGGGTCGCAGACGAAGCCTGCGCTGATGGTACGTCCTTGAGAGCGTCGCCATTCCCGAGAAGACAGACGATCGAAGAGTCTTCCTGGCAGCGGAGCATTGAGGAGCTGTTCCAGCACATCGAGGATGCGGGGACGACAGTATACCCTGTCGAGCTGAGTTGGACGAGCGAGATATTCGTCGTGAAAACAGGCGGGGTTCATCGTGTTGTTTTAGCAGCGCAACATGAGGGAGCAGCATAGAAGTGACAGCTGGACAGGAGGCCAGCACGAGGGATGTAAACTTGGCACGAAAAAGGAGAACCTCGCACGAGGAGGGGAAACCTGGGGTGAAGCTGAAGTTGTATATTCCGCCGCCCGCGCGCGTCGGTCGGCGTCCGAGGGACCGACTCGCGGCGCTGAAAGAGTCCAATCATCGCGCGGTCCAATAGTTTGACTTCCAAAGAACCAAGTCCCAATGATTTGACTCGCGCAGTCCAGTAGTTTGATGCACGCAATTGAGTGGTCGGGCGCGTTGGCGGGGTCCGACGGTCTGACGCGCTCGCACACGTGTATGTTCTCATCTCGCTGCCCCACCGGAACCAATCTGGTCTATCACCGTTCGAAGCCTCCGTTCCCTTTGTTCAATGAACAAGGGGAAGCAAGCGAAGGCCCTCCCGCCCAAACCGCGCGCAAGCGCCAGCGCCCCTTCCTCCTCGCCTCCCCAGGCCCATCTTCCGCACGTCAGGCGATCATCCAGGCGTGGGAGCGGTCGCGGGGCGGCGGGATTTTTCTCCGCCCGCTGCAGCGTGAGATCTGGAACATGCCCTTCGTTACGAGATCACCGTGAGCGTTGATGGGTGCGTCAGTCAGTCGCCACAGGGTCGCCCAGCGCCTGCCCTCCCGACCGTCAAAGCCACGCTCGCCGAAGCGCGCCCCCAATTTGTCAGCCAGGCTGCGGTGGCCTGGCTCCTGAATGCGGGTCAGAAAAAACGTTGGGAAATACGAAAGGGACCCCGGTTCGCGGGGCGCGACCTGCCTCGCTGCCGGGCACGCCTTTGGGCTGAGACAGCGCGCGCGGTGCGACAAGGGAGGCGATTGTGCACAAACATGGGCTGCTTTGGTGGCAAGTTCGCTGAGAGCTCGCTTGGTGTTTGTCAGCTTTCAGATTGTTCGGGCGTATGTACGCGAGCAGTAAATTAAAGTCTTTGAGCAGGCTTTGGGTGGTCGATGGCCACGTTGTGAGACTGAGTTCGCCGTCTGCAGCACGCGCGGGGCCGCATGTATTTTCTGTGATTTCTTGGAGGAAAAAGGAGAGTCAGGGTCCGGAATTTCCATTCGGCAAGGCGGAGTTCCAACAGGCTGGCTTTTGCCGATAAGAGAGGCGTGGTCCTTTGCTTGCGTCCGACCAAAATATATAGCCTACCATCCAGTCTCTCTCCGCTCCTCCTTCTTCGCTGAATCCGGGAGCATAAAAGGGTCAGCCTCGCCGTCCGACACGTCCCGCTCGCGCTCACCCCGATCCCCGACAGCTGCCGGCCGCTTGTAACAACAGTCAGTCAGTCGACCGCGACGGGCGAAAACCCTGCTGGTGCGCGACCACCTCCTCCGCAGCGACCACCCACTAACGCCGCGCAGAACCACCTTGTGCCATTAGCCATTCCATTGCTTAGCCCTAGTCCCCTTCCGTCTTCGCCTTCGCTTTCGCCTCTGTCGTTCACCGCCCTGGAACTTCTGCATCTCTCGGCGTCTACACATACACAACACAAACACCATGAATATTTCTCAGGAGAACCCTAGTACTACTACCCATACTGCTAATCACTCCCCCGTCGACGACCGCAAGCAGAGCCCTCCCGCCTTCCTCGACTTGGCCGACTCTGTACGTACTTCTTCCATTCATCAGACTCCTAGCGCTCATGCGGGGCAGGCGGCGCGGCTGGGGACTAATATGTCCGACATCTCTGCTGTGCGTGCCGCGCGCCCCCGCACCCCAGCGCCCACTGACTCTCCCCCGCAGCGCGTCGAGCTCAAACGCCAGGAACACGAGCGCCAGCGGCTCATGCAGCGCAAGATCTTCGAGGACCAGATGCGCGCCCTCGAGCAGCAGCAGGCGCAGGAGCTGCTCAAGATCCCCTTCGACGGCAGCGGCGGCGGCGCCCAGCCCGTCGCTGTCTCCGCGCCCACGACCCCGCCGCGTGTCAGCGCGCAGCTGAACGGGGACGCGCGCGACCCCGGCCGCCTGTCCGTCGACGCCGAGTCGCTCTCCAAGGCCGTCGGCTCCGCCGCGGACAAGCGCAAGTCCGTCACGTACGCGACCAGCACGGTCAACCTCTCCCCCGACCTTGGGGGCGCGAACGGCAACGGCTACGGCCGCGCGGTCGGCGCGAAGAGCATGCCTGCGAGCCGCCGCACCTCGGCGAGCAGCCAGGACGAGGAGCTCGCGGGCCACCTCCAGAACCTGGCTCTGGCTGGCGAGCGTTCCAACAGGGGCTCCCCCATCCCGCCGCCTGTCTCGGCGTCCATTCTCCTCAAAGGCAACCGCTTCGAGGACCAAGGCGCACGCTATGCGAGCACGTACAACGCGGGGATGATGCTCGACGAGCAGCTGGATCAGGAGATGCACAGTGCGTAGCTTGCCGTCGCGCAAGCACATCTTACTAACGCACTGCACAGACGCGATGCGGCACCTGCCCACGTCGGACGATGACAAGTACAACACATATAACAAGGTGTGTTACAATCCATCCCTCCACTTCTCCATACTTATTTCGCAGCAACAGGCATCTGCAGCCCTCGACCTGGCCCACCGCGGCGAGTCCCTCTCCGCCCGTGACAAGCCGTCCGATTGGCCGTCTTTCCCCGGGCGCGACAGCCTCTCGCGCTCCGATCGCCGCGCGTCCGCCAACCTGAACCTCTCCTCGTCCCCGAGCGACCTCGCCGCGATCGGCAAGCTCGCCGGCTCCGTGTCCGCCACGAACACGCCGCTCCTCGCGCAGCACCAGCCGTCCGCCACCGTCGGCCTCGGCTCGCGCCGCGCCTCGCCCCCGAGCCTCCTCGATGGCCTCGGCAAGCTCGAGGGCCTTGGCGGCACGACGCGCTCGGTGCCGACTACGCCACTCGGCCTGTCGAGCTCGGCAGCGCACCTTCTCAAGACCCCGGGCACGCCGCTCACGGATGCGCAGACGATCAGCCTGCTCGCTTCGGCTGCATCGAACGACTCGAACCTGTCGCCCAGCGATCTCCAGGCTTCCCTGTCGCGCGTCAACCCCGGCCAGTACGACAACGGCGCGCTGAACTTCTCAGGCCTGTCGCCGCACGAGCCGCTGCAGGTATGCTTGACTGACGTCCCGCTTGGTACCCAGTCAGCTAATGGGTTTGTGTAGCAGCAGTATGGTCTGAATTCCCCGTATGGGCTCGGGTCCGGGATCGAGGGTCGGTATGGGTACGGCTTTGATGGGAGCAACGGCTCGCCGGAGACGACGGGCTCGACCGCGCTTTACCACCACAACGGCGCGCGGTACGGCCTCGGTATCCCAGGCCGCGGCCCCAGCGGCATGGACAACAAGATGAACGGCTTGCACGGCCCCAAGCACAAGCGGGGCGACATGGACCGTGAGTGTGAGTGTGGTCTCCATCGTAAGATACTTTGTGCTGACGACCGTCTTAGTCAACCGCTTCGCAGGCACGCGGCTCGAGGACCTTCAGGGCGAGATCCCCGCGCTGTGCAAGGACCAGCACGGCTGCCGGTACCTGCAGAAGAAGCTTGAGGAGGGCCTCCCCGAGCACCGCGACATGATCTTCCGCGAGACCTTCGGGCACTTCGCGGACCTCATGACGGATCCTTTCGGGAACTACCTCTGCCAGAAGCTGCTCGAGTACTCTACGGACGAGCAGCGCAACATCATCTGCGAGAGCGTTGCGCAGGAGCTCGTGAACATCTCGCTCAACATGCACGGCACGCGCGCGGTGCAGAAGATGATCGACTTCTTGTCCACCAGGCGGCAGGCGAGTATTCTCTATGCGGGCCTGTGTTTGCGCTTACACGTCGCAGACTGACGGCCGGTACAACAACCACCAGATCCACTCGATTATTCTTGCGCTCAGCATGCATGTCGTGGTGTTGATCAAGGACCTGAATGGCAACCATGTCATCCAGAAGTGCTTAAACAAGCTCGCGCCGGAGGATAATCAGGTAAGCTACAAGTTGGGTGATGTCTCGGTTATCATTGGCTGACTACGGCGTAGTTCATCTACAATGCCGTCGCGGCGAACTGCGTAGAGGTTGCGACACACCGGCACGGCTGCTGCGTGTTGCAGCGCTGCATAGACCATGCGTCGGATCACCAGCGCATCCAGCTGGTGAACGAGATCACGTACAACGCGCTCACGCTCGTGCAGGATCCTTACGGCAACTACGTGAGTGGTTCGATTGTAGGACTTCGGTCGGTCGGCTAACGAATCTATAGGTCGTCCAGTACATCCTCGACCTGAACGACAACCGCTTCAGCGACGCCGTCATCAGGCAGTTCGCGGGCAACGTCTGCGCGTTGTCGGTCCAGAAGTTCAGCTCGAACGTCATCGAGAAGGTGCGTGGCTCCATTCGTATCTATGTCGCTATGCTGACCTGTCCAGTGCATCCGCGTCGCGGAGCACAACACCCGCAAGATGCTCATCGACGAGCTCCTCAACCGGACGCGACTCGAAAAGCTCCTCCGCGATTCCTACGGCAACTACTGCGTGCAGACTGCGCTCGACTACGCCGAGCCCGCTCAGCGCGCCCTGCTCGTGGAGGGCATCCGGCCTGTCCTGCCTCTCATCCGCAACACTCCGTACGGCAAGCGCATCCAGAACAAGCTGCAGCGCGAGCAGAACGAGGGCTACGGCGGCTATCACAGCCAGCCCAGCATCGCCGTGCTCAACAACGCCGGCGGCCGCCACATGTCGCCCAACATCCGCACGAACCAGCTGAACGACCTGTACCTCTCGCAGGCGCAGGCGGCGCAGTACCCGGGCGCGCAGTTCGGTGGCATCAGCCCCGCGACGGCTGCCGCGGTGGGCATGCCCATGTCCGCGATCGACCCGTACGTGCTCCAGGGCGGCGCCGCGCACAACCTCTCGCACTCGCCGTCGAACGGCTTCTCGACGTTCGGCACGCCGAGCTCGTACGGCAGCGCGGGGCTCACGGCGTCGTTCGGCGCGGACTCGTACCAGCGTTCCGCGTTCGGCGGCTACGCGATGTGAGCGCTGCCGGCGCACATGTCGTACCCCTATGCAGGCCAAGCCACAAGTCGTCCCGCCGCGCCACCCGCGGCAGGGGCATACACTCCTTTATGATATGAACCAGGTCCTCTATGCTGCCCTTTCGTGCGTCGCAGTCGCTCTCCCGCCGTCCCCGCACCTACTTACACCCCCCGCTCAGATCTAGCCTAGTACCTTACTCGCGTCTACTTTGACTTGTTTTCATTATACGGTACCATATCATTATCCGACCCGCTGCATTTGTATCTCCTACAGTACCACCGCATCCCCCCATTTTTGTTGCTTTTTGCTTTCCCGTGTCCGAACACTTTTCCTCTTACATCGATTGGCCAGGTGTCGCGTATTCACGTCAAATGTACAGGTTATACACCATTGATCCCCCTGCTAACACCTGCACTAGTGTCCACTGTACTCATCTTCAGTAGCACTGTCTACACAGTTGTATAAAGACCCAATTACTTAGATCGCTTGCAATGGATTGTCCAGGGGACGGATCTCTAATAACTCAAGCTCGCGTCGCTTGAGAGGGCGCGGCCTTGTTGAATTGCGCGAAAGCGTTGCGTGGAAGAGGGTGACGCTCATGATATTTGTGCGTCTTTGTACAAGTGGGCGTTGATGAGACGGATTCCCACGATGGATCCACGCTGTTGCTTGTTTCCGTACCACCGTCACTGCCAGCAACGGCGCTCAATCATCTTGATGCTCCTCACACTCGCCCAGAAAGTATGGCTATGTTTCGTCAACTGAATTGACGGACGCTCATTAACCGACTACGAACCCTCTAACGCGAACTCAAGCAGGCGACGCTGATTTCATTGCCAACCCTTTGAGGCCGCGGCTCATCCCCGCTCTCCACCTCTGAATAGAAGAGGTGACTCAGAGGTCTGCTGCGAGCATCCTGTGACGCTAGTAGCCCCAAGTGCATACTGGCTTTGTTGCGGTCGTATATTTCCCGTAACGCTTGGGGTCCTCGCAAACATTGCCCGTAACGATGCTGGCTCCACCTCTATTGGGGAGCTATGCCAGCAGGACTGTGAACTCGGTGAACGCGCATAAACTTCCATGTATTCCTCTGTGTTGGACGAAGGTATAAAAGGCAGCGTACGACGCCCTCTTTCCTCACCAACAGCACCTCTTCGACTTCCAACAACTAGCCTCTCTCACCCTCCGATAAACATGATTTTCAAGCTCTCCACCGTTGCATTCGCCGCCTTCGGCGCTGTCTTCCTCCTCGCCGGCCAGGTCAGCGCGCTCGCCGACAACCCTGGTACGCTGTTCGCGTCGTTGCCCTTTGACACGCGACTGACGCTTCTCTATTCGCAGTCGACGCCTGCAACGGCAGCAACCACTACGGCGAGGGCCACTCATGCTCATTCAAGTCAGGCGATGGTCAGGCTGATGGCTGTGAGTTGTCTCAATAGTCGACGCTGCGCCGTGTGTACTAATTCCTACCGACAGACTGCCACTTCACCGAGTCGGGTGTCCTCACCTGCGATACCGCTTAAATCAGGAGAGCATGAGCGGGAAGCGCCTCCATCCGCATGGCCTGTAATTATTGTCTAAATATTATGCTCGCTCGTCGTCGAGTGAGCTTCATCCTGAGTCGCCCGAGCTGATCTCTGTCGACTGCCAAGGCACGTCCGCGACAGGCGCAAGGCACCCCTACTCAGCAATGGTCTAGCCACTACCCTCATGACACCAACAGCAGTCTCGTTCTCGCCACAAGGGCTTTGAGCGGCCTGAACATCGTATAAGAGCTCGTTGTAACTTGTTGTGCGCACCTTCCCCCTCGATACCGAACGCCATGATGAAGCACCTCTTCTTCGTTGTTCTGGCTTTCTTTCTCGCGGCCTTCAGCGTGCGCGCCTTCGGCACGGAAGGCAATCAGGCGGTGGGCTACATTGCTATGCAGGTGATCATGTCCGTACCCATGCCGCGCGCCCAATGCTGATTATACCTAGTTTCTCGCCCCGCGAGCGCGCACCTTCGTCACATCTTCCCTTGGCCCGCAGTATGCATTCTCGCTGGGACCTGCGGCGACGGTCGGTCAGTCTGTGCATGGTCCAGCTCGGTATTAATCAATGTGTAGTGGGCCAACGCGGTTAAGTCGCAAAGGGCGTACGAGTGGTAGTGATCCATTGTCATTGAAGATTGCTACGTCTGTCTCATATAAGTCATACTAGGTCTGCCGAGCTGCACTATGTCAACGCCGTCGGTACGCGCAAGGCCTCAATGTAATTGTAACGCTCGCCAGCTGAACCCTTCCCATAGACACCGCCCCGAAGTACTGCGAAGTCGATCAGCAGGACTGCACGAATGGGCGGTGTATTTTGACGGCTATTGCGAACTACACGAGTGGGTCCATCGCCTTCAATATTCCCCATAAGTATCTCATCTGATCATCCTCGCTTCAGCTCGCGTAGTTGACACCAGCCTACCGGCCTCTCAGAGACAAGAGGCGCTCAAGTTTCTGGATAGTGTACGTTGCTCTCATCCCTCTCCCATACACCCGCGAATGCTAATCCATCGCTTAACAGTTCTTCGGTGACCTCGGCCAGCCACTCAACGTCGAAGCCTTCGAACACGGCGGGCGCGATATTCCCGCATTGTGTTCGGGCAAGCAGTCGAATCTCTATGATGTGTGGGGTAAGTTCTTACACGCATTCTCGTCGTTTGCAGATTACTTGGTTGCGTCTGAGCTGACAATCGCCCCCAGACTCCGGCATAATCACCCAACTCCTCAAGCGCAAGTACTCGCGCTCGGTGGCGAGGTGGGTGGGTGTGCTCGCTGGGAGGATAAGGGTGAGCATGCTTCGATGACTACCTTAGTAAATGATCCTGACGTGGAATCTCTTTTCAGACCGGCGAATACAAAGATAAAGCATCCCAGTGGCTCGCCTGTTCCTCCACGACGCAACCGGAAGGGCCCGAGTCTCGCAAGCGTGCCATCGACGGGGAATCGGACATCACTCCCTTGCAGTGCCCCCTCCTCTGGGCGAGCGAGTCGAATTGGCTGGTTTGTGTGAGTCGGAGGCAAGGGTGCACTTCGATGCGCACGTGCTCACTCCCTCGCGCAGTTCGACGTCCTGAGCTACACTTCTGTTAACCCGGGAGTCTGTACCGGAACGTACTATGATAATGCGGTGAAGGATGTGAGTATATCGTTTGTGCCTCGTCTGTTGGAAGAGTGACATGAAGGGAGAATTGACGCGTGTGTTATAGATCGAAATACAGGTCGCGAAACAGGGATATCGCTTGGCTGCATGGCTAAATGTGCTGTTCGACGGGTCTACGCATCTGCCTTGAAGACCGCAAGTAACGGGGTTTCCACTTCATACAAGTACAGGAAATGACAACACATTCACGGCTTGACAGCGTAGATCTGGAACGAGCCGACGTATTCGTTGAAGTCGATGTTCGTCGCCTTCTCCTCCGACTCCTTCTTGGTTCCGCACGTCGAGCCCTTGCCGCAGCAACCGACACTCTCCTTGTCGCTCTGGTAGACGTTCAGATCCTTCTGCGTGTCCACGATGGCGATATCTGTTATACTCGTCAGCAATCTGCGCCTTCTCAAACTCCAATCCACGCCTTCCCCCAGCTCCAATCCCCAACCAAAACACTCACCCTCAAACCCCGCCTCCCTCATCCACCCATCATACTCCCCGGGCTTCGCCGCCCCCGCAATGCACCCCACGTACAGCGTCAGATCCTCCCGGATGAAGTCAGGTAAATCGGTCTTGGTGAGGATATCCGACACGGCCATGCGCCCGCCTGGCTTGAGGACGCGGAAGATCTCGCGGAAGACGAGGGGCTTCTCGGCGTGGGGGACGAGGTTGATGACGCAGTTGGAGGAGACGATGTCGGCGGAAGCGTCGGGGAGGGCGATGGCGGTGATGCGGGATTTGACCTGAGGGCGCGGTGGTGGTTAGGGTATTGAAGGTGGGGGAGGGGGAGGTGACGAAGGAGAGACAGGGGAAGGGAGGAAGATGAGGAGGGGGACGAGAGAGCGATGGGAGAAAGACGTACGAATTCGACGTTCGTGTACCCTCCCTTTGCAGAGTTGCGCTTGGCGAGGTCGAGCATCTTGTCCGTCATATCGACGCCGATGGCCTTTCCCCGCTCGCCAACCTTGCGCGCAGCAAGAAAGACATCGATACCAGCTCCGGAGCCGAGGTCGACGAAGGTTTCTCCCTAAGAATATCGGTCAGTGCAAAATCAACAATCGCGAGTATGATCCGAAGGCTGACCTCCTTCAGGTTTGCCGTAGCAATAGGATTACCGCACGACAGCCCGAGATTAGCATCAGAGGGGATAGCAGACAGCTCCTCTGTCGAATAGCCAAAGGCCTCAGCGACACGGGCATTATACTGCCCGGTGCCAGTCGCGGTCTCGGTGACCTGGCCATAAAAATCGCGGACGGCGTTCGTAGTCATCATACGACGATTGGTGGTTATCGTACAAGGAAGAGGGAGGTACAGATGGGTTCCGCACCCCTCCCCCTCCTTTATATACTCTCCCTAGCCGCCATCCGCGCAGCCTCGGCGAGGGCTTCGAGGAGGTCACTGCTGGAATATGATTGGACGGAGGTAAAGACGAACGTGTGACAGTGACTTCGGTAGAAGCCGAAATTCAATCCATCGCGCGGAATGGGACGCTGCTCTTTGCTCCTGACCACTGTCGAGCTTCATCACTAGTCATGACTACCCGAAAGACGAACAAGACAAGTGCATCCGACTCTAGTGCGTCAGCTGCACGCGTGCGTGAGAATCAAAGACGCTCAAGGGCGCGCAAGCGAGAATATGTCGCTTCGCTAGAAGAGCGGCTGCGACGCTGCCAGGCTGAGGGAGCAGAGGTATACCTCTCCCCTATACATTATATTCATGCACCTACGCGGTCTACAGAAGAACGAAAAGATCCAGGCTGCCGCGCGAAAAGTTGCCGCAGAGAACCGAGCACTGCGGGAGCTTCTCCGCGAGAAGGGTGTAGACGAGGACGAGATCGCCACTCGAGTCGGTGGGGACACCCAAGATCCAAGGACACCAACATCGCCCTCCTGCAGCAATCCGTCTGCAAATTGCTGCTGCACAGGCTTTTCGACTTCAAGTCCTCCGTCGTGTCCACCATCGTCCTGCGGGGAGGGATCTGCGTCTACGTCGTCTCTTCGGCCAACCAGCCCTCCATCCAGCCTCGAAGTCGGTTCAAATTTGACCGATGACTCGCTGCTCTCCGCCCTCGTCTCCCTTTCGCCTATTATACCCGCCGTCATGCCGCCTAGTCTCGTTCAACCGACGTCGGACGCCGCCCAGCACAGCGATATTCTCTCCCTTGTCGAGGGAGCATCACTATTTTCAGCCCCTGCGCCGAACGTGACCACGCCTCCATGTCCTTGCGAGGCGGACTCCTTTCTCTACCCAGAAGCCGAGGACTCGTACACTTCCACGCCCTGCACTCTGGCTTACCAGCTACTACAAGCAGTGGGACTTCAGGCGCACCGAGAAGTGGACGAGGTCATCATCAACATCGAGCTATGGGGCGCATTCCGTGCTGCCCCACTCTTCAGTTTTGAAGGCTGTCGAGTGGAGAATAATGCGCTGGTGCATGTTCTGACGAAGGTTCTTTCCGGGTCTCTTCATGTGAGTGCATTACTTTACCTTTGGCATCTTCGTCGATGTCTTGCTCACGAGGTGCAGCTGTCCTAGACATTCCACATTATAATCATGTTGCGTCGTCGTACACGAAAATCATCCCTGCATCTTCCAGAAGATGGCCTCTCAGGGCGAGCCTCGACCTTCCGATCGGAACAGCGCAAGAAAGCAATTCTCCAGTGTCAAGTCTGCGAAGCTCTGCGCTCAACGTCGGTATGGGCGAGGTACCGACGCTTCTTCGAGGTCCGGCTCAGGACCACCCGTCGGACTAGCGACTCACCGACGCGCTACAGGGACGGCTCAGTCGCGCTGTTCCACCAATGCAACACCGATGCACTAATATCACTCATTCTGTCGACCCGATATACACATCCCTAAGCGTTATCGAACCTGTCCACAAGGTGAAGAATCACGTGTCTGTATCACCATTCCAACAATGGCCACTCCCTCATGGCTGCGACGACGGCCCCGCGCTCGCGATATCGACTTACGCATGTGCGTCGGGCTACCGCGTATTGTGCGGCCAGGAAGCTTTCTCCCATGCTGTTTGAGCCAGCAATCCCACTGATCGCATGTGGAAGTACGCCACCATGCTGTGCGCGCGAGCCTGTCCGCCGCGAATCACACCGACCGCGCGTCGCTGCAGCAGCTCGCAGCGCCTAGCATGTGGGCTCGAGGTATAAGTAGGACTCGGTGCGATAGGTGCAACTAAGCGTCCTTCTTGCTTCCCCGCCCCTTCCTTCATCTCCCCTTTCGCCTTCCCTCATCTCCCCGGTTACCTCACCATGAAGGCCGTCTCCGCAGCCCTCGCTCTTTCCTCGCTCGCCGGACGCGTCGTCGCTTGGGGCGCTGTGGGGCATGAAGCGGTTGGCTATGTGGCGCAGGCGGTGCGTGTGCTGGGCTCTGACGCCCAGCCTGGATGGTTGCGCGGACGGCTCATATTCACTGACGGCTTGCATTTAGTTCCTCGCGCCCAACGCACTCGACTTCGTCCAGACCTCCCTCGGGTCGAAGTTCAATGAGTCGCTTGGACCAGCGGGTCCGTGGGCGGACGAGATCAAGAGCAATCATGCGTATGATTGGTATGTCTGCCACTCACCGTGTGCACTCGACCCCGCCAAATGAACCTAACTCATGCGACGCACTGTAGGTCCTCCGCCCTCCATTACGTGGACGCGGAAGACAGCCCTCCATCGTCCTGCTCCGTCGACGAGGAGCGCGATTGCGCGGATGGAAAGTGCATCCTGACAGCGATTGCGAACTATACTTGTCAGTGGTAGTAGCAACGTGCCGTGAGCTGGGCTGACAATTGAACCCATAGCTCGCGTAGTCGATCAGGACCTGACGGATGCGGAGCAGTCGGAGGCCTTGAAGTTCCTTGGTGAGGAGATTCTTGACATGTATGACGAGAGGCGAAGCTAACGAGCATTCCACAGATCACGTAGGCATATACATCAGGAATTTTGTAGGGACCATGCTGATATCTGTGTCTTGCAGTTCATTGGTGACCTGGGCCAGCCTCTACACGTCGAAGCCACCAAGGTGGGCGGAAACGAGATCAAGGTCAAGTGCAATGGGAAGTCCACCAACCTGCACTCGGTGAGTATTTTGCCCCTCATTGCATCATACACCTACTGACGATGATGCTCTCTATAGCTCTGGGGTATGGCGCCCTTTTCATTCGAGCGAGCCAACGCTAATGGATGAGCAGATTCCGGCATCATCACCGTCCTTCTCAACGGCAAGAGCGCGGAGTCCTGGGCCTCTGACCTTGCGAAGAGGATCAAGGTGAGCCCTGCAGTCATGCTCAACAATTTGTCGCTAACTCCACACTCAGTCCGGCGGCGTATACGCCTCACAGGCCTCCGACTGGATCACCTGCGCTGACCCGAGCGCGACGCTGAGCCGGCGCGATCTCTCGCTCCGCGAAGATATCTGGATGTTCCTCGAGTCGCGCGCGATTAAGCCTTTGAAGTGCCCGCTCGAGTGGGCGAAGGACGCGAACTCGTATGATTGCGTGCGTGTTTGCTGTTTTTCTCCTTTCCGACCCTCTTTGTTCTCGGCCTTTCTGCTGAATCATCCTTTCACGACACGACATGCTGACCACACTACCTCCAGTCGACCGTCTTCACCTACAAGAACGGCTCCGACCTTTGCACGGGGTCCTATTACGACGATGCGGTGAAGACGGTACGTCGACATCGGTCCTATATCGTACGGAATACGCTGCTAACGGACCTTCCTAGATCGAACTGCAAGTAGCGAAGCAGGGCTACCGATTGGCGGCGTGGCTGAATGTGCTGTTCGATGGTGACACGAACTTGTGATGACTATGATGTTATCGCGGCGCGGCGCGGAGCAGAGAGGGCGCCATGTAGCACTAGTTCAAAGTGCAGGAGCCCGACTGACGGGTGGCAGCTTCGTTCATGAGTTAGACGAGGCACGAATAATGTCCTGTCGAGAACCAACGCTAGCACCCTGAAGTACTGAATATCGAGTGTTGCTCTGCAATCCAGGTTGGATTGATCACGATACAATGTCAAAGGAAAGTAAAGACATTGGGGCTCTTGACTACCGTTAGGAGGAGTACCAGCCGTACCTTCGGGCTGTGTGTATGGTGATTGAGAGTCGCTCGAAATGCCATCAGTGGCGCAGAAATCGAACTTGTCACGCTGTCGTCCAAGCGTGACACCTCTTGCCTTTCGCCGTCATCGCGTCTGGCGCCGCTTACCTACAGGCATCTCCACGCGCGGCGAGGCATATCCACTGTTCCGTGCCTATACTGACCATCCTTCTGCTTCTCCCCTCATCCGGCTCAACGGTATACGAGTAGCAATTTCCTGAGAGGACGTATCTAACGGCGATCCAGTCCTTGTAAACCTCAATTGTACCACTAAGAAGATCTTGTTCGGATACCCTGGTCCAATCAACACACTGTAGCATAGCAATACCTTCAGACTCAGCACTTATACGTACGGTCAGTTCCGTCCCAGCCTGCCTCCAACATCACTTCCGCTAACCAGATAACCCAGATATAATGGGCGTCATCCTCCCCCAGGAACTCATCGACGACATCGTCGACCAGCTCCACGATGACCCCGCCGCCCTCCGCGCCTGTTGCCTGGCCGGCGCCTCCTTCCTCGACATGGCGCGCACCTACCTCTTCCACGCCATCTCCCTCTCGCCCATCCGCGGCGGCGCCAAGCGCTGCGCGCAACTGCAGGCCCTTCTCGACAACAACCCGGCCCTCGCGGGATACATACGGCATCTGCGTCTGGTAGAAGATACAGGCGGTATAGCGCGCGCGTGGCTGCACGTCGAGATGTCGCTTCCGCCTCTGCTAAGACGCATTGCGGATGCACAGGCGCTTCAAGGGCTGTATGTCTACGGTCCTGCGTCTTCGTCGATATCGTGGAGTATCTTGCCGGCTCCGACGCGGGCTGCCCTTTTCGACATCGTGGCTTCGCCGTCTTTGCGCACCTTGCGCTTGGAGCGCGTTAGCGGGCTGCCCTATCTTCTGCTGGGATCTCTTGGACCATCGTTGGCGGATTTGACTCTTCTGCACCCAACTCTGATTGATATCGACGAGGATGAGCACGAGAAGACCGTAGCGGACAAGCAGAAGAAGGCATCCTCTGCACCTGCTCGCTCGCTCGTCTCCATACAGGTGGAGACCCCGTACGAGCTGCGCCATGCCGGGAATGTGGAATATCTGCTGGATTGGCTGGCTCAGCGCGAGCGTCGGGATGATACGTCGCCACTCAGGCGTCTCAACGTTGTGCTGCATGCCCGCGGGCCCGATACGCATGAAGCGGTGAACAGGTTGCTGACAAGCTGCGCGGCTCTCGAGACTGTCTCCCTGTATCCATGCTCAGGTATGCCTGCATCTGATCCATCCGTTTCTAAACTTTGGCTCACATACACGAACAGACTACGTTCCGCCTCGCGCTTTCTCAGCGATGGACACGGCGATCGCCATGACGCGGGTCTCTACACTACGGGACGTCACCCTCGGCGGGGCCACCCTCCGCCTCGCGCCCCTCGGCGTCCCCCGCTGGCTCGTCCGCGCCTTCGACCTCCTCCCCGCCAGCGTCGACTCTCTCCGCATCGACTTCGTCGACGCCGACTGGCGCGCCGGCGCCAGCGGCTTCGCAGACTGGGAGTCCGTCGACGAGACGCTCGGCGCGTGGGCGGCGCGCGCGAAAGAGTTGCGGGAGAAGATCCAGGACGATCAGCCGTCGATGCTGTTGCAGCCTCTCGCGCTGTCGGGGGACACGCAGATCGAGGTGATCGGGCGGGGGATGCGGAGTATGGCATTGATGGGGGCGCCGCCGAGGAGGGTGACTCTGTGTCTGCCGGCGGAGCTGAGGTACACGATGTTGGGGTATGAGAGGCTGGTGGAACGGATCTGGCTGTCGCTGCCGCGGCTTGTAGTGCCAGGCGTTGTGCTCGATGTACGCTCGGGACCAGGTCGGCCGACGACTTGGTGAGCTCTGATGTGGGCGTGTGCTTGCACTTGTTTGTCTTCCCCTGATTAGGCAATCCTTGACCGACGAACTTCTTGGCACAGACTCCCATGTTCGATATACACGCCTTGACTTTGCGCTGGTATATCTGCTAAATCTTGCCAAAATGTGCAGGAATAACACCCTCGCTATGTGGCTGGCTTTGCTTACGGACTTCGCTGAGATAACCAAATTTAGTAAGCCTTGCGATAAGTCCGCGACGGAAGCCTACTCCGTAGCCACCGACGGTTCTTCTCGCCATCTGGACAGCTTCATCACAAACAGCCTGCCTTCACTTTCCCTCCATTGGATCGAAGGCGTCTTTCCCAGACTATCCCCCGTCCCAATCACGGGCACCCGCATGCGGGCGGCGGAATCAATGACGACGGGGAGGAGGCGACGCAGGCGCATACCGTTCACGCGCTTCCTATTTACGCGCTATACCTGTTTACGCGCTTCCTGTTTACGCGCTTTTTACTCCGATACGCGCCATCAGGCGCATCCCCGCGAAAAATGCATGGGGCGGGGTTGGCGGTCCTTGCCTTCTGCCATTCCGTTCCTTCAGGCTCGTATGCGCAAGCGCTGGGACCGTTGTGCATAGTTCGCTGGCAGCATGGCCGTCACTCACTCGATCATCCTGGCCGCGTCGATGATTGAGGTGCGTTGCCAAGCCTGGCGGGAAGGATAGGGTCACTGACTCTGCGAGCCAGCTCTTCTCCTACGGTGCGCTCTGACATCGCAAATGCACCTGTCCGCTGGCCCTGACATTTCATACCTAGGCATATATACGACGGTATTTCTACAGCATGTGGCGACTGTCTATCGGAGGAGTGTTGTGAGGCATAAGCGCGTAGGGGTGAGTGTATTGTTCCCCTTTAGTCGTGTTGGTACTGAAGGACATCTAGGCCTCCATGTACATCGCCACTGTCATGTATATCCTGGCTTCCGTGCATACAGGTGAGTACGCCTCTGGCAGCTCAATCGGATGCATCGTAACAGTGCGCCCAGCGATGACAATCTACCGCGTCATTCGGGGATTCAGCTTCATTCACGAGAATAACGAACAGATCGAATTTCTGACCAGCTTCACGCACTGGCATCTCAGAGTGATATTCACGACGGAGATGGCTCAAGTGGTGATGGCAGACTTGGTACTGGTGCGTAGGCATCCGAGTATAACCGTCGCCCATCGCTCATCTCATCCGATACACCCAGCTACATCTCACATACGTCGTCTGGGGGAACTCCTGGTGGTCTCTGGTCGGCCCTCTCACGCTCTTTGTGGTTTCCGTAGGTGCGGCGCTCCTTCCACTCCGTCTACCCCGATCCCCTCGTTCTTTCACTTCCGTGAACTGGTCCCCTTCTTATCGTGTAGTGTCTTCCCACTTCCCTCGCCACATCCTTCGCTTCTTTCCCCTTCGATCGCTTCTTTCTCACCACGCCGCTCTGAACCTTGAACCTTTTCCCTTTCCTGGACATTGTTTCCATAAGTAAACCTTGTCTCCGTTGCTTCTTCCCCTCCCTCCCTCACCGCACCTTCTCTCGTCTTACCTTTCCCCGTCTTACCTCTCCCCGTCTTATCTCACCCTCACATCGCCTCACCCTCTCACCTCACCCTCACCCCCTCCCCCCCCTCTTGACTCTCCCTACCCCTCACTAACCCCCTCCCAGTCACCGGCATCCTCGCCATCATCCACCTCGACGTGCAGTTCAACATGTACATGGCCATCTGCCTCCCCGCCTCCTTCGCCGAGAACCTGCTCATCACCGCGCTGCTCGCCTGGCGCCTCCGGCAGCGCCATCGCAAGTCCATGCGCGCGGGGCTTGTGAACGTCGGGGACGCGGCGTTCGACCGACCGGGAGCGTTCGAGCGCGACAGAACAGTTGTGGGAGATGATCACCCGCGGGCCTCAGTTGACCTGAGTGCCAGTCCGCGCCTCAGTCACGGTGGTGGTGGTCACCTGACCACTCGTCGTCTGGCAAGCGGGTCGTCCACCGAGCGCGCAGACGCCTCCCTCGGCAGCGCCCACCGCCTCGCCGGCAGCATCAGCTCCTCGCACGGCTCGGCCGCCCGCCGCGGGCGCCTCCTGCGCATCTCGCGCACGATCGTGCGCACGTCGGCTATTTGGCACGTTCTCTTTGGCCTGTTCACGGCGCTGTCGCTGGCGGAAAGCGTCGCGCAGACGCTGACGCAGGCGGCGATTCCGGCTACGGCGGGTGAGTATCCTATGTTTCTACTCTCATGGCCTTCCCAGTGTCTACATCTGCATTGCATACCTGAGGAAGAAGGCCCTCCGCAGATCGCGACCCCTCCTGAATTCACCTCTCATCATACGAACTGACCCCCATCCCCAGGTCTCACCTACTCCCTCCTCACCCTCCGATTATACCGACTGCTGGACGACGACCACGCCCAAATGACTCAATGGCAATTGCCCACTATTCAGATTCGAGCGGGTGCGACGCAGCGAAGATCGTCGGAGGACAGGCGGTCGGAGTCGAGCTTTAAGGGGTAAGGAGTTCGTTGTAAGTAGGTGGCCGGTCAGCGATTTCGCTACAGCTATGTGCTTGGCAACGCTGGATGACCCGCGACTGCTGGATAGCGGGCCAGGTCTGTTCAACGACTCCGGTACGTCGTGCATAAGCAACTCCCTTCATGTAGACGGTAGTTTTACGATGATATGCGGACTTCACTGGCCTGCTCTCAAGGCTGCATGATGTTGCAGATTCTCTGTCCCATCACATACCTATGGAAAATGTTCATGGATAGATACCACTGCATCACATAGCTGCTATCACTGCACTACATACAGTAGCTGGATACCGGACTTTTTGCGTACACATTTGGATTCACTGTATTATCAGCAACCTTTGAGTGAATATGTTGGATAGCAAACTAAGATACAGGTGAAGAGCACAATATGTAGCGGTGAGACGAATATGGCGACAGGAAATGAATCTTGACTCGGAGCAAGCAGGGTACACCTTCCTTCCCATCCTCAATGCTGATGTCGACGCCAAGGCGGAAGAGGACGACCACACCGCGCCGCGCCTTCCTGAGAGGCGGAAGCTGCCGCCCCTGCCATCCAAGCCCATGGACCTCGTCCCTTTAGCGCGGGTCAGCTACACTTCGACTCCTCACGCTTCAACAAATGTGAACGTACCCGCGAAGGAGGACCCCAGCTCTCAGCACCGCCCCCACTTGAAGCGCCTCCCGTTGGTAGACTCGATGCACCTCCCAATGAAGGACCTCCACTTGAGGATTTATTCGGCGCAGAAACACTCGGCAAGACCGACCCGCTCGCACTCGGATCCAGGCGCGCCAGAATCAGCTTCGCGATATGCTCGGCCACAGAGCAACGGCGGCTGACTGAAGGAGGGGTACGAGGTGGTCGGCGTCGTCTAAGAGGCTGTGGGGAGTGTAGGTGTGGGGAGTGGTATGTCGGGAGGAACGGCGGGTGACTGAGCGGTCGGGGTAGTCAACTTGGCGATCATTGTGGGTGGAGGAGCGAGTGGGGTATTCGACAGAGCGATCGTGGTAGTCCTTCCCGTGGATCGCCACCTCGCGGCCCTCACGCTCATCTCGCTCGTCTTCATCCTCATCGTCCTCGGCGGTCGCCAGCACGAGCGCGCCCCCCGCCCGACCCGCAGCGCGCGCCATGCACTCGTGGCATTCGCAGCAACCGTCTGGTAGCCAAGTTACGTCAGGTCGAGTATATTCACGAGTATCTGGATGGCGCACCAGGTCTCTGTGTGGGCCCATTACCCCCTCTCTGCCCCATAAAGTAGTACGCGCCACCCGCGGCGGCGAGGCCGACGGTGACTACGCGCATGAGCATCATCTTGCGGAAGAGGAATGCGTCGAAGGGGTCGGATTGCATGGTGAGGGAGGAGTGTGAGGAGGGCTATGAAGCGCGGTGAAGGGCTTCCAGGTAAGAAAGACTGAGCTTGAAGGGAGGACTGAACTCGATGGGGGAGTACTGAGCTCGATGAGAGAGCACCGCGCTCGATGAGGACAACTGAGCTCGACGGAGGCGTCAACCACGATGGCGGCAACAGGCAATGCTACAACGCGCCCTCGCCCCCCACGGCGTCTGGATCCTGCATCACAGGCCCACATAGCGAGACGCGTCGTATCGGCTATCGGCTAGACTTCAGAGTTTCAAGACGTTACGAGGATTATTACATCGTCTGGGATAGGCTATGGCCTGAATACGACAAGAGAGGGCTGAATACGGTTGGGTATCCGGCGAAAGGTGCGAGGGGGTGGGGGTGGGGTTCATACATCTGTGATCGTAGGCAGAGATGACCGTGGAGAGGAGAAGAACCCAGTGGCGGGGATCTCGGCGTTCATACTTCTCGCGCACGTGGAGTGATCGGTACCGATGATCACGAGGTTCTCACGGTTGACCTAAAAGCTTCCGATTCACGTTTGGCGACGCTACTCACGCGTTTGTTCAGAGGTAAAGTGAGAGCATTGTGTCCGTCTATCTCCTCATTTGAAGGCTGATTTTTTTAGCAATATACAGCGCATATACCCACAAAATATGGCCCATGAACCGCGCATCGTAATTTTGTGCGTGGCTTACTGACCGGCTCATATAACGATGTCGTCAATGTAGCTTACTCGGCTGTCGTGCACCTAGTGGAGACTCGTATAGCGTCTCCGCCGAATGTGAGGTCGACGAAGACGAGCGTCCGGATGGCAAGACATGGGTAAGTCTATGACGCGGGGAATGGTTGTCGATTAGCAGGCGCTGACAAGCTTGTAGGTCGACCACGTCCCCGAGTACCTCGACATATCAGTACAGCAGATTCAGAACTTCTCAACGCCTGGGGCATCCACAGAAGAAGACCTCGACGAACAACTAGCCCGATTCAGCAACCTCAATCAAAGTGGTGGCCGTCTCGCCTTATCCTCAGCGACCTACGGTTCGCCTCTCTCCGCCTTTAACCTCCTTACGCATGGTTGATGCGCCTTTTGACTCTTCTCTCAGTCCTGTACTTCGCCTTCTGACTCTCCTCCCAGTCCTCTTCTTCGGCATCAACGACTGCGGGCAAAACACCGCAGACAGGCTCGGCCCTATCGTTGACAAGGTCATTGACGCCGCACAAAGTCTGTACACAAAGTTCGGGGCGAGGAACTTTGTCTTCGTGGACGTGCCGCCAACGGACCGGGCACCCGCAGGTGCGCCTTGTCGCCTTCTCGCTAATCTCACCTAATGCTTCCCCATTCTAACCGTTCTAATCTCGCACCCTTCCCACTCACGCGCCGCACGCCCCCACCTCCCCCATTCACATGCAATCTACTTACGGGTATCCTTATAGCGGTCCGAATGGAGTGCGGGGATACCGTTCAAGGCCGTGTGAACGCCTGGAACGACCATTTGCGCGCGAAGGTCACCGAATGGACATCAGAAACTCAGGCAAAGACGACCCTCTTCTCCTCGCATGAAGTCATAACTGGCATCCTTGACGAGCCTGAGAAGTACGAATTTTCGAAGGAGGATGTGGCGAAGGAGGGCGGGGAGATCTGGGTGGATGACCTGCACAAGGGGGGTGCGGAAATTTAATAATTTACACGGGGTCTACACATCGATACAGGTCGTATCTGCACTGGAGTACCCGGGGGCATTACTTACGCGTAGCTTTCGGGGCATTAATCATTAATGTGCGAAAAGTTTGTGCTCTGGAGTAACGGCCTGCTTGAAGGGAGCGCGCGACCATGCGATCGCCATCAACCGTCCTGAGGCGTTGCCACCGCTCGTCGCTGTCCTCTCCTCACCAGCCTCGGTTCTTTGAACAAATACTCGCATAGGTATGGCGGCGATGAATACATCTACACATATAAGTACCAATAAAATGCTGACCCTGGTGGGCCAGGCGTATCGAAGAAGAGCCTCGTTGGACGCGCAAACGACTGAACATCCACGGCTCAGAGCACCCTCGCTTCTCCCTCGCGCCGTTGTCGTACTGGGACCACCGATCTCTGCTGCTGAAGTGATACCCGTATGAGAAGTCTTGCAGGATGGAAGGCAAATAAGGGGTCACAAAGCGCAGCGGAGACAGGCGCTCGCAGGTGTTGAGAGGACTGTCCCTAGGACTATACCTTTATACCCTATGATCACTGGGGGTCGTATTACATTGTCCACACTGATTATAGTCCAGCGGTGGTAGGGCCTATTCCTTTATGATCACGGCTTGTTCCGGGTCGTGAGATACGTTGGGAAATGCCTGGCTTTGATGGGGGGATTTGATGGGTGCCCCGGCCGGGTGGACTTGGGGTTGAATTGATGGCAGGGGCCGCCGTCGCGCGCACAGCCACCGCTGCCTTCCCTCCGCCTTCCATTGCACCCTCCGCTCTGCCCACCTCGGACATTCGTCTCGCCTTCTCCACTACCTCTCGTCACGGCTGCCCGTCATTCCATCCCTTTACGCCTGCCCACCGCCCGCCCCGCCGTCAGCGCTCTGGCTACGTGCTTCACCCTCGTCATCGTCCGCGTCGTTGCCGACGCCTCATCGCTGTATTGATCGTCGCGCGGCCGCAACACCACGAGCAACCAAAGCGAACGACAATGGCAAGATAGCCCCCAACCCTCTCCTACGTCCTCGTTATCCGTCCCGCCGCGCGACACTGGCGCAAAATTCACGCGTTCCCAACGCGGTCCTGAACTTCCACCCCACGAAGCGCGATGTTCTGCGTATGATCGTCCCGCATGTCTTCCTCGAGAGCGCACCTGCGAGGAGCGTCCTCGTGCGGCAGGCGGGGTGTCCGCTGGAGGCCCATCCTGGCTACAGCCATTGATGCGGCTGGCTGCGGCGCAATACAACACGGGGGCTCACAGCGCGATTCAATAGCCTGCGCCCTCATGCACGCAAGAGCACTCTAGTACGACATGAAGCGACCTTCATGGGGCGCCCGCCGGGGGCATGCGTATATCGTGCGTGTTCATCTGTACTTTGGTATGCAGGCAGCTAACGCCTGCGCATATACCTATAGATCGCTCGTATCCCGTCTCATCATTTCTTTATCTGTATCGTTGTTGTAGTATGTCTCGTACTCTTCGTTACCGCTGCGCCCCTCTCACATGTCGTCATTGTATACGTTTCCTCTCTCGATCAGTCCCCCAACGCGCTAGGTTCAGTCGTTGCTCGTCCCTCATCCCGTATGCCCTTTTCCTCTGCAATGTATCATATACTACCATAGAGAAGACTTGACGAAGGATAGTGTCCTGTCTAATGTACCACGGCCAAATATTATTTGCCGAACTTACAACGAAAAATCTGCAAGTCCGAGTGCGTGGTGTATGCTAGCCGATCTTTGAGCTTCGACTTAGATGTGGTTTCTCTGCAGGCCTGACATTGCAACTCGAGATGGTATACCTACCAGACAGGTGGATAGATAGAATACACGATAACCATAGAGCAAGCCAGTAGATACACAAGATGCAAAAGCTTAGAAAACATGACATGAACGACATGAACTAGTATAATAATCAGACGAGCGGCAACAACACTCCGTAACCTACTCCTGGGGCCGGGCTTTGAAGGTCTTGACAAGCTTGGTGCGGTCACGTAGTGCACGCGCAGGACCGGCATCGACAGCGGAGGCGATGTCAGCAGAGGGTGTTGACAGATCGGCGGACGGGATGTCGACGGACGGCACGAGCTCGGCTGAGAGGGTAGTCGGGCGGCGCTTCGTCTGTCCACCACCATCAAGAGATGCCTTGCGTTTCTTCGCAGCCTTGCCAGTGAGTGCTGTGCGCGTATGGGATGTTTTGCCGATGCTGGCCTTACGCGAGCGCTTCGAGGGCTCCGAGAGACCATTTGAAGTGTCGAGATCTTGATGTGCGCGCTTCTTGGAGGAAGCCGTACCGTCGCCGTCCTTGGTAGTAGCGCGAAGGGTCCTAGATCGAAGTAAGCTTACTATGTGCAGGTAGCAGCTGGGCGACATACCGTGTTCGCTTGCGTGCCACCTTCTCAAAGCCAGGTGTGCGCATCATGAGCGCGAGGATATCACCAAAGTCCCGAACGGCGGAGTCCCACTCTATCCACCGCTCCAACGACGTGCAATGGCCGCCACCTAAGTTCACGGCACCTCCCCACCAGAACAGCATCATCAAGGCTTGGATGAGACCGTCCTTCCCACAGCACTTGTCCAGGCCATCCCAATCCTCCATGCCTCCCACGAGGTCCTCGAACTGCTCGATGGGGAGGAGCTTGTCCTCTGGGAGACGCCGTGCAGGTTGCACTGCTTCCCACCAAAGCCAGTACTTGCGGGAGTACTGGGCAACGTCGTCGATGCCAATCAGCTGCTCGTAGGAACGCCCAAGCTTCTCCCAGTGCAGATAGGCCGAGGGTCGTAGGCTCCCAGCTATGAGACGGCGGTCATCGCTGATGAGAGGGAAGCCAAAGGAGCCTTCGAGCTGAAGGAAGGCTTGGACGGCGTCAGCGAAGCTCGTTCCCCAATGGCGTCCTTGCATGAAGGCCGCGAATGCGTCCCGGATGTGGAGCGGCCACTGATTGGTGGAGGTGGTCGACCAGACGACATGTGCGTCGCCTTCAATGAAGTCCGCGATGCCGAAGGCAATGCTATCACCATCTCGTTGTGGTGCGCAAGCGGCCGGTGGAGGATTAGGTGCCGGCGACGTGCGAGGGGATGAAGGCGCGCGAGAGGCGGACTTCGGCAGTGATGCACGAGGAAGCGACTGCGCACGAGAAGGCGATGGTGCATGATGAGGGGTAGGCGCGCAAGAGGGCGATGGCGCACAGGAAGGAGATGGCGCGCGAGAGGGTGATGGCACGCGAGGAGGCGAAGGTGCCGGAGAAGTGGACTGGAGCGGCAACGTGCGAGTAGGCGACAACGTGCGCGTAAGAGGCGGTGTACGAAGGGCAGAACGCGCGGGAGACGGTGGCGGTGTACAAGCCGAAGATGGCGGATGGAGAGAGGGTTTGCGAGGGGGCGGCGCACGAGTGAGAGTCCGACCACGATGAGAGGACTCTGATCTGGGCGTAAGCGATGATGGCGGGGGTGAGCGTCGGCGAGATAGCGTCGTGAGCGACCGCTCCCTGGACTGGGAGCGCGACGCAGAGGTGGGACGCTGAGGCTGCCTGCCACGTTGAAGCCGACTTAATGGCTGGCGGGGTGGGCTCACAGAGGCCGCGCGTGATGATTGCGGCTGTTGGGAGGGACTCCGGATACGCGAGGTCGTGCCAGAGGTGGTGGCGAGTGTGGAGACCGTGTTGTTCAGATGGTTGATAGCACGCTTTGCGCGCTCCTGCTTGGCTGTGTTATGTTAGTCCAGGGTCAAATCAACGAGCAAGAGGTACTCACAGAACACCTGCTCCCCAAACCCTATCAACGACCGCTCGGTGAGGGCATATCCTTGCCGGTCAAAATCGAACCACTGTATGCCGCCAGGTAACTCGCCGGAGTGTATACTGCAAACTCTCGTGAGCATGCTGGGATAATACAGCGAGCAGCAGGTACATACCTGACCATCCCGATCGCACCACCCTCTTCAGGTAATGGTCCAACGAGCAGAACCACACATAGCATGCCCAGCTTAGCAGCAAAGGCATCTGCGGTAGGCTGGATGTACACCGCCGCATTGTCAATAGCCCTGCATAGCGTCAGCAGAGGATAGTCTAGAAAAGGGAGGTACACGTACCTCTGGTAATCCTGCGGAGTACGCAGGACGACTGGCCCCGATGGCGCCTGAGCTGCTGCTTCGCGCGCCGCTCGCTTGGCCTCCTTCTCCTGATCGTGTGCGAGAGTGACGAGGGCCCGAAACGACTCAGACTCTCGTTCCCAGCACTCGTTGGTTATGCGGGTGCGTATGGCGACCTCGGCGGGCTCCTCGTCGGTGCAGATAGGAACGCCGGCCTCCTTCCAGGCCTTGCATTTTGCTGCCCACTCCGCCTGGGCAGCTGCCCAGACAGGCTCGAAAGTAGCCTTGACGCGTGTGGTGTAGTGATGCGATGAGTAGTAATGTGTGATGCGGAGGTTGGCGGGCGTCTTTGTCGGTGCGGTGGTCGCGACGTGCGAGTCCAGGATCTTGGTAATGTCGACCTCGTCCGCCTCTGCCTTGGTGATGCGTTGCTCCTCATCGCGAAACCACTGGCTGATCCGCTGCGCGAGCGTCAGCTATTCCCTCGCACCGTAGATGAATGAGTGAACGTACAGTACGCAGTGAATCGGTGTATACAGTACGAAGCAGACACTCCTCGGGACTGTACGTGGTGTGGTCGATCTCGTCGCCGGTAGGGTCGGGATCGTCTATGTCCTCCTCGAGGTCGGTCGTGACGTCGAAGTACATGCCGTACTTAGCGATGAATGCGCAGACGACGTGGTCGTAGAAGGGTCCGCGCTTGCGCCTCGACAGACACGACCACTGAGGGAAGAATCGCAGCATGAACACGCGCTTCGTCCCCAGCGCCCAAGGTGTTCGACCGCGAACATGGGCTGTTGGGTCGTCGGCAGCCTTCTTCCGTTTGCCTGGCATGGCTATGCTGGGTACGGGTGCGACGATTCGAGGGAGAGCTGTTGGTTGCTCCGAACGTCGGTGTACTATACTATACAGTGCTGTCATGCATCGCGCTTGATCGTCGATTGCCACAAAAATGATCTGAGAGTGTATCAGCCTGTCAACATTGTTCGTTTTCCTGCTCGGTGCATGCACTTACCGGTACAAACTGCTTCTGGCTCGACAGACTTGCCCTTCCGCCGTGCTCGTCGCACCACGCTGCATGATTCGTGCAGTATATCCCTGCTTCGTGAGCCCCTTTGACGGTTCATGAGTACTGACTCCGTGTTTTACAGTGCGGAACGTACCTTATTACAGCTATAGGCGATTTGTCGCCGGATAGCTGTTGACCTTCTTGCAGGCTGAAGACCTCGTGTGCCTCTAGAATTCCCCTGAACACAAATCTTCAGGCGGAATGTGGCCAAGCGATGGCTTCCTCGCGACCTAGAAGTTCTTGTTAGGTCCAAGACAAGGAACTTCGTAGACGAAGATGGATGAAGGAAACTCGGTACGGTTTCATGATGTAGTTACGCACGAGGGAGTTCTACATGCAGAAGATGACATACGTACAGAAAGCTCGATTGCTTACACTTCGAAGAGATAGTCGACGGCTTGCGCCAAGCCTGAATGGCTGCGAGAGATAAAAACCTCCCCATGTTCCTCCAGTAGCTGCTCCGCGCGCTTGCTGAGAAGCTGTAAGTATAAACACACTGAAAGGAGCGCGGAGACGTACGGACTGCTCGTCACTACGCCACCTTCGGGAGTTGCACCCCTTGAAGCAAAGAGAAGCTTCTGCGGAGTCTTCAGGCCGCGGATAGGAGCGGAACTAGGCGCGCGTATCGCGGGAATTGGAGAAGATTCAGCGGCTGCGCCCCAAGGCGCACGCGTTGCGGTGGGGGTGACAGGCGACAGATCTCGCGATGGCTGGTGAAGGGGTGTTGCTGAGCGCAGCACCGGTTTGACGACCGGAGACGCAAGACGTGTGGATGATCCATCCCTGGTCGTATCCCGAGTAGGTGCAGCCGAGCGGGACTTGCCCGATGATGTGGGAGCTGTTTGCGAGACAGAAGTTGACGATGAGAATGAGGAGGAAGCGGTGAGAAGAGGAGGGCAAGACGTTGTTGGAGCGGACGGGGAAATGCTGCGAGCGAGCCAATCGTCGATGGCCTTCGGCGGGGTGTGCGAGTGCAGGGCGAGTCGGCACATGTTCTGCCATGAGCTAACGCAGGCTCGCCACGAAGTACGCTGCAGGACCTTCGGCTTTGGGTTGATGCCTTGCAGCGACCATCCTAGGTCGTCCCTGAAAGTAGTTAGCCAAAGCCTGAATGCGTGGGATGAACGCACTTGTCGATATAAACACCGCCACCGTGATGCTCGTCTGCGAGAACAAGAAAGTATGTTGTGAATTCAGGATTGTCGCGAATGTCGTGGTGCTCGAGACTTGCATGGAATTTTGGGTTACAGAGGCCGGGGCCCGGGTGCACATCGTTGAGATTCACGGCAAGGCAGGCCGTGATGAACCCTGGAGAGTGGTATCCTGCATCGTCTTCATCCTCTACCACCTCCGCTTCGACTTTCTGGGATTTCAGCATGTAGTAGGCGATGCAGCGACGCTTAACGAGGTTGGTGGAGACATCGTGTAGTCCAACGCGTGCGGATCAGTTCTTGATCAGCATCAATAAACAAGAACAATCACTGGACTTAGCACCGCAAACGCGATCCATCAAAGCAATGCTCCGAGTCTGCATACATGACTAGGAATTCTCGTGGCCTGAAAACTAGATATATACAATCCGAAGAGTGACTGGATACTACTCAGAAAGTTTGCAGATGCCCTTGCAGTTTTCGACGTTGGTGTGTACGCAACACTGGGTAAAGTCCATCTCGAGGATTGTGTCGCACACTTGAACGTCGTCTTGCCTTTTTCGTCTCATAGAGAAACCAAAAATCGGTCAAATGCAGAGTACATATACCTTACAGGGATGCCACAGATGACGGCTATTTAATGGTATACTTTTCAGGGACGGACTGGATATTCCCGCCATGTCCGAGCGTTTGTTATGCACCGTGCGACATATTCTGGAATATTTGTGTACTAGCGACATGTGCTATTCACAACCGCTTACCTGAATATGTGAAGTTTACATGATTTTGAGCTTGTAGCACTATTTTGTGAGCATTTAGCAGTATCATTGAACGGTGTAGACACCTGTGAACATAAAATAGGTATATGTTCGGCCAGCTATAGTTCTGTTCATGTGAAGATTTAGATCCCGAGAATGACATTGTATGGCAATAGCAATCTTTGCTTGAAATTAACATACTTTTGGAAAGCTACCGACGCAGCTATGGTACCTAACTCTCCCTGCCAATCCAGGATAATGTTATATGAATAACTTGGTGCTCGCTGCGAAGGAAGCGACTGAAATTTCTGTCAATGCTCTGATATACTTGCTACAGAGGTTGAGCTGGTTTTCCTTGCAGCTGAGCGCGTGGAATGATCATAGTTGAACATCGGCCACATTGGACCTACAAGGTCCCCCAGTGATCCCGTGACTGCTCCTCTTGCCCAAAGGGCATCAAATCCACGCGGCACGCTTCCTTCCCTCATCTGGCGTTCACGGATCTCCGCTCTGTCTCCCTCATCCGCCCGTAGAAAAGAACTGCAATGCCGACTTCAAAGGGCGTCGCTTCCCATCCTTTTCTTCGACTATGGACCGCCGAACCCCGGACTTTGTCGACAGAATTCCCCTCACCGTCAAGCAAGCACTCGACAACGACTTGATCAACGTGGACCAAGAGAATTTCCTGTGAGCGCCCCTCAACATGTAGTGAAACCCTCTGACACAGCCGCAGACTCGACTTCATTCTACGGATCTTCAAGGATAGCGAGGCAGAGATCACGCTCGGTCCCTTTCGTGAAGATGTTGTCGAGAAGGGCTTGACTCAAGCGGAAAGACTGTGCGTCGCGCCATACCCTACAACGTAGCTCGGACTTACTGACTTGTCGCAGCGCATACAAGCTCTCGAAGATCCTTCCCGACTATGTTCCCATGCCTTGGGCCGTCAAGTACTCCTGGGACAACATATACCGGCGCGATCTCAAGCTCATCAATAACCCCGGACTTTTCTATCCAGAGGACCCAGCATCGGTTCCGCGTGCACCTCGTCATGTCCGAGTGGAGCCAGGCCGCAAGCAGGGGGGCGCATGCGCACGCCAGTACGGGCGATCGTGGCCGCTGAGGGCGTTCGAGTCCGATGTACAGCTTGGGAGGGTAGATGTGAATGAGGTTGCTGCGCTCTCCCGTATCGTGCCTGAGCGAGGACGGTGCGTTCATCCTCATCTTCATCTCTTCAACATACTCACTTGCCTCCAGTACTTACCAGTTCGACGAGCTCTTCCCACCCGGGGTTTTCCCGGGTGAAGTTGTAGGCGCGTGCTGCGGGTACCACCGGGACAAGAGCCTCAAAACGTTGGAGGCCTTCATCATCAAGCCCAGCGGCCGTCGCGCCTCACGCCCGTCCAAGGCAACTACAACTCGTCCCCCAACACCCAAGCTTAAGGATGCGAACATGAAGTCGTTCATCACGATCATAGCACGTCCGCAACGCGCTCCGCGTCCCCCAGCTCCTCCTGTCCTAGTCAAGACTTACACCGCCTCCAAGCTCACCACGTACTTTGTGTGTGTTGGCCGCCAGTCACCTATCTAGTACACGCTCGCGAGTTCTTGTTGTTTACCTTGATGTGCATACTAGCTTACAGGAAATACACACGTCTCTGCATTCTTTTCGAGCTCAGTATGTCTAGGAAGGATCCTGGCTGACTATAAGGGACCCCGTCGCTCCGACTTTACACCCATGTTGTTGACCCACACGTGCTTGCGGACTTGTCACATGTGACTGGACGCGTCGCGGGCCGTGCCAACCACGCCTCCCAGTGTCCTTCCTCCAAGCATCCACTTTAGATAGCTATGAGCAGGCCCCACACGTCGCATAAGCGAAAAGCAGTCTCCCCGCCTCGACTACATCGACACCAACCTAACAAGGCCACACGAACAACCGTCTCTGCCGATCAACGTCGCATCCTCTCGCATTCCCATCATCTCTTAGCGACGTCGACTCGCACTGACCCGTCGGTACACCCACCCTCGCATGCTGTTGAGCCCGAAGCCAACCCTCCACTCCTCCCGGACGATTTGTTCTTTCGTACTTATAATGAGAACGAAAACGAAACCATCATCATTTGCGATGTTCCACCTGCACGGAAGCGGTACCAGGTGCGTGGAAGGTCATGCTCTCGCCCTTCGAGTTTTACTCACAAGATACCCAGGACGACCCTGTTGGATCGTTTAAACCACTGGCGCAGGAGTATCTGGATGAGGTTTCACGATGGAACTCTCGCGGCCATCGAAGCTACATCGAAAAGTGCCGCGAGTGTGACGACCCCACTCCTCGTTTCCGGTGCAGAGACGAATGCATGGGCCATTGGCTATTCTGCCAGCCCTGTATTCTGCGCCGTCACGCGTATACTCCCCTCCACTGGATAGAGGTCCGTCGCGCGTGCTATGCCGCTTTTAGCATGCTTCTAACAGACCATCAGGAGTGGCTTCCAAGCCAGCAATTTTTCGCTCGCACAACTCTGAAAGATCTGGGGCTTCGTGTCATGCTGAACCACCCGCCTGGCGAGCATTGCCTCTTGAAAGCCGCAGCCGATAAGGACTTTGTCGTTATACATCTCAATGGAATCCATAACGTGGCTGTCGACTTCTGTCACTGTCCCCAGGGTCGGCACGTAGAGCACCGTCAACAACTGATGCGCAACGGGTGGTGGCCGGCAACCACAACTTCGCCGCAGACTTGCGCTACCGTCGCCTGTCTCAGAAACTTTGGCAAGATCAATGCGTTGAGCAAGGTGGCCGTCTCGGAGTATTTCAAAGCAATGCAGCATCTTAGCGGAAACGGCGATAGCAAGATCCCGGTGAGTGCTCCGTGTTCGATGTGTTTGCTCGCCGCTCACAGCTTCCGGTATAGGACAAGCGCCGCCAATTCATGAATATCGTTCGCCAGCAGCGGCATGTTGATCTCCTGCAACGAGGTGGTCGCGCACATGCGGAAGACGGTGTCGCGTCGACGCAGCAGGGACAGCTCGCGCTCGGATGCCCCGCCTGTCCTCAGCCGGGGCGGAATCTACCGTCCGACTGGGAGACTGCCCAAGGCGACAAGAGGTACGTACGAGTATCACCTGCGTCCTCACTGTCTAACCCGCGCACATTCAGTTTCCTCTACAAGCTGTTCATTGGTGGGGTAGTAACTCTAAGGTACTATCTCACCGTTTGTTGGGATGCGTTTCCCGCCGGGTTTTCAGAACGACTTTCGGGTGAGCCGGACTTTGATCCGAATTCCTTCGGCCGACTCCCCTGGTTCGCGTCATCGTCGTCATCGACATCCCCCTTCTTTCCCACGCTTGCGCTATGGTCCCAAATCACCTAAGAACACATATACCCAAGCTTTCTTGCCTCTTTCCCTTCCCCCCTCTTCCAAGCGGCTTGAACACAACTTTGGGATCCTTCCAAGAACACCTTTCTTATACATTTCTTTTGGTATGCACTCTTCCGAGCGACGCACGCGCCGCCGGAAGATCATGACACATTCGTCACACCGATCGCGACCATGTCACACCTTCACTCCCACTCCCACCACCACTCCCACTCGATGGCGCCCAGCGCCAAACGGCTGCCCCCTCAATCGCGGAGGACGACGGAGAGGGCCGGGGACTCGTACGAGCTCCCAAGGTATGTCCTAATAGCTCAATATCTATCGGTCATACTAAAGAAAATTTGAGTGTCGCTCGCTACGCGCGAGCGTCCGCGGCCCTTCAACGACCCCCCACCCCCAGCCCCCCATTCCCAATCATCGACGACCCCCGACCCCTACGTCGTCGCCGCAAGCGCGCCACGAGTTAGCGAGGCACATGGAATCCGCGCGACGACGACATCCACCCCCCTTCCCCCGGCGTGCACCCGACACCGTCGAGCTCAACGACGACGATGCTCGGACGCCAGGCCGGGCATCCGGCCCGTCCATCTGGCGCGTTCGGCCGCGCGACGTTGTGTCCTCAACCACTGATACGCCTGACGGCTGAAAAACGCGGAAATCGCATATAAATGCGTAATAAGCACGTACAGTCTAGCCTAGATGGGCGGATCCGTATATACTGCACCGACGTTGTGACCGTACAACGGGCGCGTCGGGGGTATTTTATGACTACAAAGGCGGGAGATTACGCTTCCCAACCTTACAATCAGATGATCGAGCGGTCTCATCCATCTGCACCGACTGTCCAGGGATAGCGGCGAGCTCCTCAGCGCCTGACGACCAATCTGCGCGTTGAGGATGACATCCTGCGAGTCCTTTGGCGGGCATCATCCTTGTGGTAGGCGTACTAGCGTGCCACAGCCTTCAGTCGGATTGCCTCTACCGCAATTCATATCATCGTCTATTGTTTGGGGCTCGGACAGGTCGCCCTTACCCTACATTGTCATGCGGAGACACGCAGAGACTCGCCACAGCGGGACTCGAACCATGGGCGTGACATTCACGTGACTTCGGCCCGCGATCACATGATCAGGCCGCACCGAACATGACTCGAACCGATTGTCGTCGCCGATACGCCGCGCACGCCTCGGCAAGGGCATCGTTCACCGCGTCTCATCAGTCTAGAATGCGTGCTCTTCACCGCGCAGGCCTCTGAGCCGCGTCGCGCCCGAGGAGAGCGGTGGAACCCAAGCAGGCACTGTCCCTTGGTACTCATCTACAAGCATGGAAATGCGCTCGGCATCGCAGCGCAGCAGGATACCCTACAAGTCAGCCGCTCTACCGCCAGGAACCGCAGCAGGAAGCGTCAAGGATAAGGAGGAAATGCATGTGGAAACAGCTAAAGTTGGACTTTGACTCATAGATAGGGTTTATGTCATGCCGATCGGTCTGGATTGCCGAGACGATCTCGCCGCCTCATATACCGAGCTGTACATACGATTCGGGGACTCCCCCCTGGCTGCCCCCATGCCCCCAGGCAGGAGATCCAACCATACCACCTACCATACCACACATCAATGACATGTTCCGCGTTTGCAGCGCGTTAACCGTCATGGAATCTGGATCTTTGAGACGCTGCTAAGGAGCAGTAGAAGATCGGCATCCACGCTCTTGAAGTGCCCTAAGAAGCCCTTGTAGCGTTGGTTACACCCTGCAAACCTATCTGAGCTCTTGAAGTGCCCTAAGAAGCCCTTGACGCTTTGGATAAAACCCTGAGAATACTTGCGGAGTTCTGAGCGCCACCTGCTCGCCCAAAGTCCTCTCGTATCGATCTAGATCGTCTGAGGCTCTCCGCGGACCGCGAACAAGCCCATCAGCAACGTTCGAAGTCGCAGAACTATCCCCTAGCAATATAAATACATCGGACTCGGTCGCCCTCCTAAGACGTCTCCAGTTGTATATTTGTGTGGTTGGGTTGTGGGTGGTGTGGATCATCTATCTAGACTGGAGCGTCTTTCTTAGGAGAGCGTACGATCCCATCATCTGGAGCCCACCGCGAGGGGATATTTCTGCTTTCTATCGGACGTTGGCAGACGATCCTACCGTCGAACGAGATAAAACAGGCGGCTAACTGTTGACTCTTTCTTCACTCGTACTATCGGGTACCGCAACCACGTCTCCTGGACGAAAAGTCCAGCCTCACAGCTTTTGGACCTGACTGGCACGGCTCTGTATCAGAGTTGTCCAATAGGAAGGCCATACAGCAAGCACGTCTTGCGGAACGATCCTCTTGCACATCGCGAGAGGGGCCTACACATAAACCCGTTACTCAACGGGCGGTCGATCGATCTGAGGGGTACTACCTACCCGGGCGCGCTCCCCAAGGATCTAGAACCGCACCCATTTTCTCCTGTCTCTGTCTCTTGTCTCTCTCGTCTCCGACCTGGTCCCGGCCCCGACAACGCGAATTGTCACCTCTCGATATTGTTTCCACGCCTCCAACTCCGACTCCGACTTCTCGATTGCTACCGACTCCCGACTCCCGACTGTACCGACCTGGATCATTGTTACCGACTGCGCTCCCGACTCCGACTCCGATTTCTCGACTGTACCGTGTTCCGTTCCCCCGACTCCGATTCCGACTGTGATTTTTTCTCAACATGGCTACTCCCTCTTGGTCACTCAAGCCGAGTGCGGCGTTTGCGCGTCCATGAGCGGGACGGGCGGGGACGCTTGCCTGTCGTCATCACCCTCGCCACCTTTGGGTGGGACCAACATGGTTTTTGCCATAACTATCTACATGGAGGCGTCGCTCTGCACCCATGGCCCCTCTGAGGGATCTCTGGCCATGCATTGCGAACCTCAGTGTTGACCAACCTTGGGCAAACCTGGGGAAGCCATTCTGCACCGCTACCCTGAGATAATGGGCTGTTAGTCGGGCAATGGCTTGAACTCCATAAAAATCCGCTCAAATTTATTTTGATCTTGTTGAGCAAAGCGTAAAAGGAGCTATCCTCTTTGCAATGATTCGAGTTCAATCTATCCACACTGCCCAGCAGTAAACATGAGTTCCTGAGCTGAAGCTTAGCCCTCATGGGTCTTGGGTCGCATCTTGAAGCCGCCTACCGGTCTGACCGGGTCGCTCGGCACTGCAGCTTCTATTCTGGTCGATCCAG